CACCCTAACACCCTAACACCCTAACACCCTAACACCCTAACACCCTAACACCCTAACACCCTAACACCCTAACACCCTAACACCCTAACACCCTAACACCCTAACACCCTAACACCCTAACACCCTAACACCCTAACACCCTAACACCCTAACACCCTAACACCCTAACACCCTCAACACCCTAACACCCTAACACCCTAACACCCTAACACCCTAACACCCTAACACCCTAACACCCTAACACCCTAACACCCTAACACCCTAACACCCTAACACCCTAACACCCTAACACCCTAACACCCTAACACCCTAACACCCTAACACCCTAACACCCTAACACCCTAACACCCTAACACCCTAACACCCTAACACCCTAACACCCTAACACCCTAACACCCTAACACCCTAACACCCTAACACCCTAACACCCTAACACCCTAACACCCTAACACCCTAACACCCTAACACCCTAACACCCTAACACCCTAACACCCTAACACCCTAACACCCTAACACCCTAACACCCTAACACCCTAACACCCTAACACCCTAACACCCTAACACCCTAACACCCTAACACCCTAACACCCTAACACCCTAACACCCTAACACCCTAACACCCTAACACCCTAACACCCTAACACCCTAACACCCTAACACCCTAACACCCTAACACCCTAACACCCTAACACCCTAACACCCTAACACCCTAACACCCTAACACCCTAACACCCTAACACCCTAACACCCTAACACCCTAACACCCTAACACCCTAACACCCTAACACCCTAACACCCTAACACCCTAACACCCTAACACCCTAACACCCTAACACCCTAACACCCTAACACCCTAACACCCTAACACCCTAACACCCTAACACCCTAACACCCTAACACCCTAACACCCTAACACCCTAACACCCTAACACCCTAACACCCTAACACCCTAACACCCTAACACCCTAACACCCTAACACCCTAACACCCTAACACCCTAACACCCTAACACCCTAACACCCTAACACCCTAACACCCTAACACCCTAACACCCTAACACCCTAACACCCTAACACCCTAACACCCTAACACCCTAACACCCTAACACCCTAACACCCTAACACCCTAACACCCTAACACCCTAACACCCTAACACCCTAACACCCTAACACCCTAACACCCTAACACCCTAACACCCTAACACCCTAACACCCTAACACCCTAACACCCTAACACCCTAACACCCTAACACCCTAACACCCTAACACCCTAACACCCTAACACCCTAACACCCTAACACCCTAACACCCTAACACCCTAACACCCTAACACCCTAACACCCTAACACCCTAACACCCTAACACCCTAACACCCTAACACCCTAACACCCTAACACCCTAACACCCTAACACCCTAACACCCTAACACCCTAACACCCTAACACCCTAACACCCTAACACCCTAACACCCTAACACCCCTAACACCCTAACACCCTAACACCCTAACACCCTAACACCCTAACACCCTAACACCCTAACACCCTAACACCCTAACACCCTAACACCCTAACACCCTAACACCCTAACACCCTAACACCCTAACACCCTAACACCCTAACACCCTAACACCCTAACACCCTAACACCCTAACACCCTAACACCCTAACACCCTAACACCCTAACACCCTAACACCCTAACACCCTAACACCCTAACACCCTAACACCCTAACACCCTAACACCCTAACACCCTAACACCCTAACACCCTAACACCCTAACACCCTAACACCCTAACACCCTAACACCCTAACACCCTAACACCCTAACACCCTAACACCCTAACACCCTAACACCCTAACACCCTAACACCCTAACACCCTAACACCCTAACACCCTAACACCCTAAGTACTTTTTTATTCAAAACTTAAAATCATAATTTACAAAATCATAGAGTCAGCAAACGCTAATTAGTCTAAATTCATATCTCAACTATTCTCTCTTTCTCATCAAATCGAGAATATTATTATTTTAATTTAGATCAAAAAATCACTATTGATGTTGCTTATTATGTTGAGCATATCTCAATTAGAAGAGTAGGTAAAAAGATTGAAGCAATAAAGCGCAATGGCCAGAGTTTTAAGCTCGATCCTTATTATCTGGATGAATGCAATGTAAAAGATATTACTCTAGAATATTTAGCAAAAAATCTAGAAGCAATCGAATGCTATGACGAAGCAATCAAACTCCGTCCAAAAGATGCTGATTTATACAATAAAAAAGGCAAAACTTTTTATGATTTAGAAAGATATCTAGAAGCAATCGAATGCTATGACGAAGCAATCAAACTCAATCCAAACAATGCTGATTTATACAATAATAAAGGCCACGCTTTTTATTATTTAAAAAAATATCTAGAAGCAATCGAATGCTATGACAAAGCAATCAAACTCCATCCAAAAGATACTGATTTATACAATAATAAAAGCAACGCTTTGTCTTATTTAAAAAGATATCTAGAAGTAATGGAATGCTATGACGTAGCAATCAAACTCAATCCAAAAGACGCTGTTTTATACTATAATAAAGGTAACGCTTTTTATGATTTAGAAAGATATCTAGAAGCAATCGAATGCTATAACAAAGCAATTAAACTCAATCCAAACTACGCTATATTTTACAATAATAAAGGCAACGCTTTTAAGATCTTACAAAGATATCTAGAAGCAATCGAATGCTATGAAGAAGCAATCAAACTCAATCCAAAAGATGCTGATTTATACAATAATAAAGGCGACGCTTTTTATGATTTAGAAAGATATCTAGAAGCAATCGAATGCTATGACGTAGCAATTAAACTCCATCCAAAAGATGCTGATTTATACAATAATAAAGGCGACGCTTTTTATGATTTAGAAAGATATCTAGAAGCAATCGAATGCTATGACGAAGCAATTAAACTCAATCCAAACAATGCTATTTTTTACAATAATAAAGGTAACGCTTTTAAGATTTTACAAAGATATCTAGAAGCAATCGAATGCTATGACGTAGCAATTAAACTCAACCCAAAAGATGCTGATTTTTACTTAAATAAATTAGGAAGATACACAGAAGCAGTAGAGAGCTATGATGAAGCAATCAAAATCAATTCAAATAAGGCCAAGTATTATAATGGTAAAGGCAATACTTTTTATGTTTTAGAGAAATATAAAGAAGCTATGCAATGCTATGATGAGGCAATAAAACTTGAACCCAATAATCCTTTGCATTTCTGCTGGCGAGCAAGACTATTTAATAATCTCAAACAAGAAGAAGCGGCTTTGCAGGACTTTAGCAAGGCTTATCATTTGAAGCAAGGAAATCAAGTAAATGGTGTTTTCACTGGGAATGAATGGAAGCTTTCTAGAAAAGATATCAATTTTATTAACGACGTATTAGGCCGAGACCGTATTGAACTACTTCAAAAAATGCAGATTTAGAATAAAATTTGGATTTTAATAAGCAGTCATTATAATAATTATATATACCCCAAGCTTCCCATTTGGTTAAGGCTATAGAGCATAGGCAATTTTTGAGTTAGGCCACAACCTTTAAGTTAATTGAATATGCGTGATCGTGTGCACCTTTCTTTAACTCTATCCTGTGAATTGCACTTCGGGAAACATTTAACGCTTCCTGGCAAGGCTCATGCCATTAAGAGAATTTTTGTAGTAGATTTTTTACAAAAGAGTAGTTAAAAATAGCAAGCTGAAGGAAATACTTTAGCCAACATTAAATGAATCAAGAAGCGGCATTGAAGAGCTTTTGGAATCAGGTTTAGATGAACTAAACTCCCCCCCTTTAAAGTTGAACAAGATATAGGTAAAATTTCGATTTTTTTGGTGGATTTAACCCCCTTTAAATTGGAACAAATCCAATTTTATAGATAAAAATCATAATTTTTTATGTAAAAAGTTTTGATATAAGTTAAATGTTTCTTCTTAACTAAAAAAAAAGAGAATTAAGAAATGCAATGATTGCTAATGATATCTCTATTCTTGGAATTGCTGAAGCATGATTGAAAACTTCTTTGTATATTCAAGGATTATCTGAATTGGAAATAATGGCCGATTGCTGGCAACAGAGAATCAGGTTGAACTGGATTATTAAGACACGAAGCATTTCCAAATCTAATAACATCATTGAAACTAATAATCATAGAATAGCAGCAACATTAATTGAAGATTACTTAATAATAGTAGCTTATGCCCCAGTAGTAACAAATCACCAGAGTAAGAAATCAATTGATGACTATATTAACTTTATCATAGAAGTTCAAGAAATTTTTTAAAAAAATCAAAGGATAGACGTCAAATAGTCTAATGGGTGATTTTAATGCACATCTAAAAAGGATATTTATCTGAGATCGATGATCTAACAGGAGAGATATTTTCTAAATTTATTAAAGATTCTCATTTATATATTCTCAATGATATGCATATATCAACTTTTAGAGGTCATAATACACACACAATTATTGATTACATTCTTTCAAACTCAAAATCAGAAATTATTTATGAAGAAGTCCTTCAATTAAATACTAACCATATTTTACTTCTATAGAATATTATATCTATCACAATAATAATGCTTTGGAGGATCAAAAAATTATGATACTTAGTTAACTCTATCAGAGAGATTTGATTAAATGAAAACTGATGAATTAAATTAAAGCCACTGCCACAAGCTGATTTCTCTTGCAATGGTGCAATATTTAACGGGAATATTGTGATTTCTGGATACAAAATAAAAATCTTTTAAGGTATTCAATTGACAGCAACACTTTTGCAATAATTCCTTATGATTTAAAGCTGATGAAGGCAAGATTCTTATAAATGCAGAGAGACTGTATTTAATTGAATGTGATGATAATGGATCAGTCTATGAAAGTTACTTGCCAAACGACAGTGCCTGGAGACGAATTGGAGACTCAATAATAAATGCTTATTTTTCTCAAGTTTATTTGTCATATAATAAAGGAGGAACAAACAAAGCTAGATGAAATAATTTACTAATATTTAATAATCTTTTGCTATTAACTCCTGAGTCTTTAAATATTTTTTATTAATCAATCTGATTTACCCGCACAAAACTCCCAAAAATGGAATTAATTTTTGTATTGCATCCAAGAAAGTGAGCCCAACTTTAATCTCTGTTCACAATTCAATTTGCAGGACTGAAAAGATGTAGCTTTTTTTACATCACCAGAATAGAATCCATGATTTTTGAGGGTTTAGACCTGCAAAGAGTCATCCTCTGGAACTTGACAATTGAAAGAGAGTCCTAATAAGACTGGATGCGAATTAAGTCCTAAGGCTCTCGTAACTGCCGACTCATTGTTTAGGGCCGAAGCTGCTTTCATTTCTAGGCTTTCAGGGAAGATCAGGATTGAAGTGAAAAGAGTAATCTTATCACTAGTTGAGCTTTATCACATCAAACTCAATCTTCTAAGGAAACTATTTTGGGGAAATCGGATTTTTCGCCAAAAAAGCAAGAGCCTCTTCTGCAAGATGTTTGAGCTTTTCAGAGCTATTTGTTTTTGAAAGGAGCCACCTTTGAAAGTTTTATCTAGGTTTCCCTTGCGCAAAAATTTTAAGAAAGATGTCAAAAAGATTACTCAGTCCTAGGAATTTATTGTTATTTATGCAAGAATCTTTGCCATGTCGCTCTTAGATGTAATAATTGCATTTTTAAGTTTGACCATAACTATGTAAAATCAAAATGACTTCGTAGCCATTGAGGAGCAAACTCATTTCTAAAGAAAACCTAGATTAGCCTCAGCTACGAAAGAAAAGTTCTCAAGGTCAAATAGCAAGACGCTTTCAATTCAAAAAACTTCATTGGGATTTGAAGGCACCCAGAGCATTTATATTCTAATATGAAACCTTGAAAAAGAAATCGATTGGTTTTATTAATTCTTCAAGAAAATTAAAATACTAAATCTGTGAAATTAAGGAAGAAAAGACGAGCTCAATTTTCTAGAACTTTAGGTAAGTGATCTGATGCCAGCAAAGGTTATAATAGCGTTTTGGATTCTTCATCAGGTGAAGAAATAGAGTTCAGAAATTCTGACTTCTTTTCTAAAGATAAAACTATGCACCTTTCTCCAAAGGGCTTCATACTTTGCAAAATGTATATTAACTTAATTAAATTAATTTGTGTCAGGTTGCAGTGGACTTTTTAACAAGCTCTCTATCTTTTACTGTTCCCTTTCCCTTCCCTCTGCACTAACTTTTAGTAGAAATCTTTATCTCCTGGTCTACCCCACTATTCTTACTACTTTGCTCTCCTTTCTTTGCGCCTGAATCTTTTTTTCTATCCTCGCTATACCTCTCAGTTTTTATATAGACTTCTCTTGCCTCTTCAAATTCTATTCGTAGCAATCTTGATCTAAGCTTAAATCTGATTGATCATATCTCTAGCATTGCTCCATTATGTGTTTCTCATTTTCGTCAATATATCCCTTTGTCAGGTGTCTTATTTTCTTGTTTGAGATGCTGGAGTTAAATCCTACCTTCACTCATCTGCTTTATTTCCTTTTATTCCATTCAGTTTCTTTCTCCTCTTTCTTTTCATTCTCTATTTCTGATTCCTTTGCTGATTCTGTTTCTTTGCTTGCTCTTTAATTCTCCTTCCATTTCATTTCTTGCTTCTTTCTTCATACCATCTTCAGTGGAAAAAACATATTAACAGTCTTTAAAATAATAAAAGAATGCTCTTCAATAATTAGGTAGAAATCTAGAAGCTATAAAATGCTATAATGAATCGATTAATTTTTTTAAACGATGCTGATTTTCACTATAAGAAAGCAGTTTTACTAACTCCCCCCTCGATGAGGGAACAAAACCATTAGAAAAATCCCTATTTTTTGACCAAAACCCGCCCTCCGTGAGCGAAAAAAAAAAAGCACTTTGATATAATAATGATAATTATTATAACGAAATCCCCTAGCTAATTCTGGTTGATTTTAAACAGCTTGCGTTTTAAAATATAAATCTCGCAAATAAAATTTATTTTTGCCTCTCAATTTTTACAAATTGGAATTTTTTTAAATATTGAAAAACAATTTCTATAAAAATTTATAAATAAATTTTTCAAAAAAAAAAACTAACCACCGTGAGTGAATATAATTTTTTGTTCGCTCACTGAGGGTGTGAGTAAATGAATTAGGAAGATATCCAGAAGCAGTTGAACGCTATGCCGAAGCAATCAAAATCAACCCAAATAATGCCAATTTTTATAATGATAAAGGCAATATTCTTTATGTTTTAGAGAGATATCAAGAAACAATAGAATGCTATGATAACGCAATCAAGCTCAAGCCCAATAATCCTTTGCATTTCTGCAACCGAGCTAAAGCATGTAATAATCTCAGACAAGAAGTAGCAGCATTTGCAGGACTTTAATACGGCTTATAATTTGAAGCAAGAAAGTCAAGTAAGTGGCACTTTTACTGGGGATGAATGAAATCTTTCTGAAAAAGACATCAATTTTATTAATGATGCATTAAGCAGAGACCGTAATGAACTACTCCAAAAAATACAAATAAAATCTGTTGAATCTGAAGAAGAATTTAAGGGTCTCGAAAACCCTAACCCAGAATATTCAAAAAGGACTAAGATACAAAAAATTCGCAGATCCCAAATTGCAACAGAAAATTTAGATCTTCCAAGCGGAAGTAATAATCAATCAGTTGGAGAAATATTTCAGCAAAATATTCCAACTAGAAAAAGAAGCTGCTGAAATAGGAAAACAATAATTACAGTTTTTGGTTGTCTTTGTAATAAAAAGTAAGGAGAGGAGAGATTTTTAGATTTTAAATTTGAACTCTTCGATAGAAGAAATTTAAAGCAAAAAATATTAATAAAAATATTTAAGTAAATATATTATGCTATTAGTCATATTTTGAAGCATTTTCTATATTAGCAGCTTGCTTATAGCATTCTGTGGCTTCCTCTCCTCTACCTAAGACTGTAAGAACGTTTCCTTTATTTATGTAATAAACTGCTATACTTGGATCTATTTTAATTGCATTGTTGTAATATTTTATTGCTTCTTCATATTGATTTTCAATAGAGAAGATAATTCCTATCATATTATATGCGTTATCTTCATTTGGATCAATTCTGATAGCTGCTTTATAACATTCCATTGCTTCTTTTCTTCTCCCTATTTTTTTGAGAGCATCTCCTTTATTTGTATAATAAAATGCACAATTTGGATCAATTCTAATTGCATTTTCGTAATATTTTATTGCTTCTTCATATTGCTTTTCACTTTCTAAGATAACTCCTATCATGTTGTATGCATTATCTTCATTTGGATCAATTCTTATAGCCTCTTTATAGCATTCCATTGCTTCTCCTCTTTTGCCTAACATTTTAAGAGCATCTCCTTTATTTATATAATAAAATGCACAATTTGGATCAATTCTTATTGCATCGTTGTAATGTTTTATTGCTTCTTCATATTGCTTTTCACTTTCTAAGATGACTCCTATCATATTGTATGCGTTATCTTCGTTAGGATCAATTCTGATAGCTTCTTTATAACACTCCATAGCTTCTTTTCCTCTGCCTAATTCTTTAAGAGCATTTCCTTTATCAGTATAATAAAATGCTATATTTGGATTGATTCTAATTGCATCATTGTAATATTTTACTGCTTCTTCATATCTCATTTCATTTTCTAAGATCACTCCTATCATATTGTAAGCATCAGCATAATTTGGATCAATTCGAATTGCTTCTATGTAGCATTCCATAGCTTCTTCCTCTCTACCTAACTTTTTAAGGGCATCTCCTTTGTTTGTATATAAAAATGCACAGTTTGGATTGATTCTAATTGCATCGTTATAATATTTTATTGCTTCTTCATACCTATTTTCATTTTTTAATATTATTCCTATACCATTGTATGCATCAGCGTAATCTGGGTCAATTTTGATAGATTCATTATAGCATTGCATAGCTTCATCTCCTCTGCCTAACTCTTTAAGAGCATTTCCTTTATTTGTATGATAAATTACTTTATTTGAATTGATTCTAATTGCATCGTTGTAATATTTTATTGCTTCTTCATATGCCCTTTCACTATAGAAGATAACTCCGATGTTATTATATGCATCAGAATAATTCTGATCAATTCTGATAGCTTCTCTATAGCATTCCATAGCATCTTCTCTTCTGCCCAGCTCTTGAAGAGCATATCCTTTATTTGTGTAGTAAAGAGCACAGTTTGAATCGATTCTAATCGCATCGTTATAGAATTTTAACGCTTCTTCATATCTCTTTTCATTTTTTAAGATAATTCCTATGCCATGATACGCGTCAGCATGATTTGGATCAATTCTGATAGCTTCTTTATAGCATTCCATAGCTTCTTCTCTTCTACCTAAATAATGAAGAGCATATCCTTTATTTGTATAATAAAATGCAGAGTTTGGGTCGAATCTAATTGCATCGTTATAATGTTTTACTGCTTCCTCATATCTCTTTTCACTTTCTAAGATCATTCCTATTTTATTGTGTGCACCAGCGTTACTTGGATTAATTCTGATAATTTCTTTGTACTCCTCTAAGGCATAATGCATCTTTTCTTCCTTCTTCTCAAAGTTTATACGCCCTTCAAGGGGGTTTTTCCATTCAAACTGCATTTCATGTGAAATACCTTTAGACTTTTCTTCGGTAAATCTCTTTATAATTTCATCAATTTGTCTTCCCATTTCGGAGAATAATTTAATGCTATTATTTGATCTTACTGTAAAAATTGTTTTAGCTTTTCCAACAGCTTCATTTGACGGGAAAGCTAACAAATTTAAAACTGGATCCTTCTCAAATCTCGACAGTCTCTGGGTTTGCAAGATCTTTTCGACATCACTGCAAATTTTTACAGAGTCATAGTCAATTTCTTTCAAAATTTGCTCAAGGATATTTTTATAGCTGCAAAGAGTTTGAGAAAAGGAAGCGATTATATTTGTTCTTATTTCATCAGTTTTATGTTTTTCTTCTGCAAGAAGGCTAAGGATCGCTTCTTTTGTGCCTTCAACAGGCTCATAAAATATTGAGTTAAAATTATGAGGTCTGCTACTAGATTTACAATGCTCCAATAAGTGTTTTTTGCAAGAGTAGATCTCAGGAGAAATGCAATTGCATGAAAGTTCAACTTCACGGTTACACGTTAGCTTATAACATCTTATGGTACTCATATTTCTTTAACTTATATTTCCATTAAATTATCGTTCTGAGTAATTGAATAATTTTCAAAGCTCTAATTAAAGAATAAGTGCACCTTGCTAATGTTTGCAAAGTTAATGTTCCAAAAAATTGACCTTATATAAAAAAATAGAGAGAGGCATTAAGTTTAAAAGAGACTTAGATTAACAATATTTATTACAGAATATAGCTGCATTTCAATTACAACTTTATATATTTAAATTATTCTAGGATTTTTAACTAATCTAAATTGATCAGAATTTTGAATTATCTTTAATTGTCAATTCCAATTAAATAAAAGTGAAGAATTTGGATTAAAAATATTTAAGCAATGCTTTTTTTTAATTTATCTTCTTGTTCCATATATAAAAATAACGATTTCAATAAAATATTTTTAAAAGTTCTCCTTATATGAGCCAGTTATTTGGCATCAAGAAATATTTTTCAAGCTGAGATTTAGCAGCAGTAATTTTAATTTCTAAATCTGAATAAGCTCTTACTCCCCCCCCCCCTCCGTGAGCGAACAAAAAAATTTTGTTCGCTCACGGAGGGGGGTTAATTTTTTTTTTTAAAAAAAAATTATATATATAAATTTTATAAAAAATATTTTTTTCGAAATTTAAAAAAAATCCTAATTTGCAAAAATTGGGAAGCAAATATTAATTTAATTTGCAAAATTTATGTTTTAAAACGCAATTTGTTTAAAATTAAACAGAATTAGCTCTAGATTTCATTATACTAATTATCACTTATATATCAAAATTTTTTTTCCATTAAAATTTTTTCTATTAAAAAAATTTTTGTTCACTCACGGAGGGTGGGTTTTTGGTCAAAAAATGGCGATTTTTCTAATGGTTTTGTTCGCTCACGGAGGGGGGGGGGGGGGTTTAAAATATTCATTTTCTGTTAACTTTATTTTTGGTTGTTGAAATAAATATGCAAAGAATTAAGAGGAATAGTTAATTTGATAGGGAAAATATAATTAATTTGTTAATCTATAAGAATTGCAAAATATCATTAGTTTATGCCTAATTATTCCTTAAGTCATTTTGCTAGTATGCATAGCTCTAGATATTTAATTAAACTGAAATTATAATAATAGTCTTGATCTCGATAAATTCTTGTCTATTATAATATTAATGGCCTTCAATATAATTATCGCTCTTAAGCTCCAAATCCTATTTCAAATATCCCAAGCTTTCAATGTGGATATTTTAGTATCAAACTCTACACCGCCAGGCCTTGCAAATTACTTGTGGAGATCTTTAAATGAAAAGTTTCAAAGGGACTTTACATTTATATTAACGAGTGCTGAGGATTGCAACTTTCAAATTGGTTGCATCCATTTGCCAAGTCTAGCGATTGATGCCACTTTTAACAGTTTTTATTCCTTCCAAATAAGAGCTTATTCTGAAACCTCTCATTTTTTGTACATAAATCTGAACCAGCAAATAGGCATATATGGTAAATATGAATTTTTTAGTCACAATTCTCGTGATTTTCATTATCAGGCCTTAAACCAGCTGATAAAGTATTTCGGTTGAAAAAATTTTATAGTAATAGCAAATAGTGCAGTAAATCCCATTTCACTTTTATTGAAAAAAGAGGGCAAAGGCTTGCCGGTGCTTTGCACAGATACTGAAAATCAAGATATTTATGATTTAATTATAGGAAGAGAAGTAAAACCGACTGGTATAGGGAATATCATTATTCTTAACAGTGGTAGAAGTTCTTCTATGATAGTCACAAGTTTAGGCTCTAAAATGATGCTAAAAAGCGGTTATGGAGTCATCATGGGAAGCGATAGTATTTGAGGAAACTTCACTAATGATGGACTCGTATTTTATACTGAAGAAGGCCTTGAAAATGCAACAAGCTATAATCACTATGAATATTTGGCTCTAGAAAAAGTTTTAAAAACTGTTTTACAAGTTATAGACTATAAAACACAAGAAATTATGCAAATACTAGAAAAAAGGACTATCAATCACAGTCCATTTCCAAATTTTTCGATTATAAACATCCAAAATGGCCAGAAAATCAAAGTGGGAGGAATTGCAAACGGAAAAATTTCGATTAAAAATGCTTTAGTTTATCCTGGAAACTCAACTACCATTCCTAACTTGCCAAGAGCAAACATTACAATTTCCCTTGCCGATGGGGTAAGAGATCCGGGTGGTATAAATGCCACTTATAACATTTTAATCCGGCACGGTAATTACTTTGCTTTCCGCTCTGCTCGTCAATCCGGGCTTCTTAGGAGTTTCAATTTAAATGTTCAGTCTACAGACTGTGGAGTTACACTTTACAGTAAAAATTTATCAAGGCCATGCTTTGAAAAACTAAAAGATAAGATTGGAGTGGTTCACTTATCTTCCAAGCGTGATCCCGTTTGCATTGGAATAATCACGGACTTTAGAGCTCTTGGCATTTCTGCTCCAATCATATCTAATGGATGTGAATTTACTCCTGAGTTGCTGAATAAGTCAATATTTCCAGAATTCATGACTATTTATAAAGAAGAATCATTTACAGCAGGGGTTTTTCCAGAGCTTGCAAGCATTTTTGGCTGGAAAAAAGTTGTTGTTGTTCACCGGCCTGAATGATCCAAAAAAACATACGACACTATGGTAACTAAGCTCTCAAAATATCATATAGAAGTAGCTAATAATCCATCCTATTATTTTACCACTGTTTATACAACTGACCAGCTAGAAGACTACAAAGATTATTTTTTAGATATAATTAATTCTAAATGTAGGATCTTGATCGCCTTAGTCGATCCCAAAACATTTGCAAATTTCCTGATATCGCTTTATGATTTAGGAATGAGAAAAGGTGATATACTTTTTTTGCTTCCATATAGATATTCTCTAACTGATCTCTTATCGTCATTCGAAGGTGATAGCGCAAAACTTCTTGAAATGTTCCAACGGTCCTTAACTGCAAATTTAGCTGAGTGAATAGGAGATTATGGTCAATCATTGAAAAATCAATGTGAACAAATTTATCATCATTCTAATCATTTAGGATTTTCCTATGATCAAACAATGCTGGCATTAAATGGGATTGATTATAGCATTACTAAAGGGGATAATCTTGAAAATTCTACTGCAATTAATGAAAATATTAGAAAACAAAAATTTTTTGGAGCTACTGGGACTCTATCTATAGAGCCAGATGGTAACAGCAGAAGTATTTTTTATGTAAATATCTTCAGCGTTCTTCCAATTGCTAACGCATCTCTGAATGGAGACGAAGTAGTTGGAAATTATAGCATTTCAGGAAACCAAAGATTTCTATTTAATAAAATTATATGACCAGGCGAAACAAACGTCATTCCAAGTAATATGAGAACAAATCAAATAGATTGTCCTTTTAGTTATAGATTAGTACAGGACTCTTTGGATGGAAAAATGGTATTTTTAGCAATTGTCAGTTCCTTAATTATTGTCGAAATATCATTAGTGGTTTTCCTGCAGAAACGATGAAAAGAAGTGAAATTCGAGGATCTTAAGGAGCCGAAAATGATAAAATTCGGAGACTTCTTGATGATGGCAATTCTTTGAATAGAAACTCTGGAGTTAATTTCAATTGGTCCTAACATGAAATCATATAGCACAGTAATATCGCAATTTATTAGACTGTTCTCTGCAGATTGAAATGGGCCGTTGAACGTTCACGGAGATAGTTTCTGGATCGAAGTCTATATAGTAGTATCAATTATAAGCTTTATGGGGTATTCAGCATTCATTGTAACAAAAAAATATAGCGAAAAATACTCCAATTACTTTTTTGAGGTAAATGAGCTTATATCAGAAATCGGAATTCTTTTGCTGTGTAGTATTGCATACATTCCATTAGTATCTATACTTTTCTCTGTGTTTTTATGCAAAGAGAGTGCAGGAGACTCTATTACAGATAGTTTTGTATCTAATGATTGCTATACATACTGTTGAAAAGGATTTCATTTATCGATTTCTTTGCTTTGTCTTATAATTTTATTATTATACATGACACTCACAATATATTTCCAGCCTTCATGACAGCTTTATCATCCAATTTTCAATATTGCTCTACATCCAAAAACTGCAGTATACAAATCTGCTTTATATTTTATTATGATAGGAGTCAATAAAAACCTTGATTTTGTTAGCAAAGCTCTAGAAGGAATGGTTTACTCTTTTATTCTGCTTGCTCTTGCTTTTATATATTGGAAAATTCGTATCTATAATTATCCACGAATGAATATGTGAGCCATTATTTCGGTTTTTGCTGTAATTTGGAGTAATGTGATTTCTAGTATTTATTCTCTTGTAAATGATGATATGAATTCCCTTTGGGAACTCGGACTCATAATAGGGTGGGGAATTTTAGGAGTAGCTGGTATGGTATTGCAGGCTTTAAAGTTCCAAAATTTATTAATCACAGAGAAAGGCATCGAAATGGGATTTTTATTCAAATTTAGTTTGGGAAGCAAGATTTGTGCAACTGAAATAAATATTTTGAAGATAAATAATGGCTCTTATTCTAAAGACCCGCTTTTTGCAAGCTCAAAAACACCAGATAGCCATTTGAAAAACGAGGAGAATTTTGCAGGATCTCAATGGATTTCAGATAATTAATTATCTAACTACAAATAAAATGGCATTTTTATAATTTAAAACAGTAATTAGGCATAGATTCTCTCAAATTGCTAAGCTGCAAATCATCTAGTTTGCATTAAATTCACGATCCTTTTATTCATTAAAAAATATTAAGAGGAGCCACAGCATTGAAGGTTACTTTTGGCGTTTTAAATGAAAATCAATAATCATATCATCCTCCATGATTTCTAATTCAAAAAAGGAATTTAACTAAGAGGCATTGATTCTGATCTGCCAAAATTAAGTAGTTTTTCTCAACCCTATACAAAATTGGAATCAAATCTAATAATTAGAAGTAAAATAAAGAAAAAATTGAAATTTTGTGCAAGAAGCAAAACTCAATGAAAAGTGCATAAAAAATTATCCCTTCAATTACAGTAGCTAATTCATTTAAAATCTTTTAAATAGCGTATGAAATCGTATTGATTTCGCTTTAATTAATTCCAAAGATCCGGAGCTGAAACAATTTAATTAGTGCAAGCTAACAAATTTAAATAAAATGGCTTCAATTGATAATGAATACGATTATATCTTTAAAGTAGTTATACTTGGAGATTCAGGAGTTGGCAAAACTTCTCTGATGATTAGATATGCTGACCAAATGTTCGAAGAGTCAATATTCTGCACTATTGGGATAGACTTCAGAATGAAAACAATCGAGAGTGATAATGAGAGAATTAAGTTCCAAATTTGAGATACAGTTGGGAACCCAAGATTCAACAATAATTTCAAAACATATTTTAGGTTTGCGCAAGGGATTATTTTGGCATATGACTGCACATCTGAACAATCTTTCATATGCGCTAAAAATATCAGCAATGTTGTTAATCAATATACCTATGAAAATATTGTAAAAGTTGTAGTCGGGAATAAATGTGATAGGGAAGATAAAGTTGTGGAAAAATCAAGGGGTGAGGAGTTTGCTCAAGGAATACAAGCTGGATTTTTTGAGACAAGTGCAAAAGAGGATATAAATGTAAACGAAGCGTTTGAATACTTGCGTCTTGAAATCAAAAACTGAGTACATTTAATTGGAAATAACGCTGAGAGTTTAATACCAAAGATCAAAGTGAAAGAAAGAAAAGAAGTTTGTATTCAATAAAAAGTCGATAAGCTAAAAATATTAATTATATCAGACTAGCTCTGTTTTTTTAAAGATAGTCATTGATATGATTTATATCAACAAAAGAGTGATATGAGACATTTGATAGTATTTTATAGTAAATTCAACTTTTTAACCGCGATTTTATTTGCTCAGCCATAATTTTTTTGAAAGGAAACTAATAAGAAATGCATTAAATAGAGGTCGAAAAGGTGTAAAAAGCGAAAAGGGCTTACAGAGGAGGAAATGCAGAGAAAGACCCCAAAAGACAAACCAAATGATCCACCAAAAGAATTATCAAAACCTACAAAAAGACTTACAAAAAGTCCTATTAAAGACAACCAAAAAATCAATCAAAAGGCCTGCCAAAAATACTCACAAATAATTGCTGCAAGAACTGCAAAGAGAGTGAAAAATTGAAGAAGTGCAAATGAAATAAGAAGAAAACCTGTAGGAAGGATAGGAATAAGAGTAAAAAGAGAAGGAAAAGAAAAGCCCGACCAATAAAGCTGGCTAGCGGTTTCAGCAGCTTCAGCAGCTTAAATAGATAATGGCAAATAGCTAATTAAATATGATAGGAAAGATAAAGTCGTAAAATAATCAAGAAGGTGAAGAATTAGCTCGAGAAGTTCAAGCTGGATTTTTTGAAGTAAGTGCAAAGATAAATGAAATGTTTAGTGCCTGACTGTTGAAGTTTGAAGTCAGAAATTGAATGCTCTGTTTCATAAAAGAACAAAATAATTTTTTTGATAAGATCTAATTTCCATATGAAATGTAATTATCAGAGCATAAACAGGAATTTTTTATTTTTAAGATATACATTATGTTGGATATAATGCTTAAATTTTAATTCCAAAGATTAAAGTGAAAGAAAGGAAAGAATTGTGCATTTAATATACAAAACTCGTAAAAAGAAAGAGACAATGCAACTTTGATTCTTAAAACTATTTTATAATAATATCAATATTCAAAAATTCAGGGCTAGCATCTGATTAATTTCAAAAGTAATTTTTTATAAAGCATTTATAAAGAATGTTGCAAGAATTATCTGCTATAGTAATTGCCCGAGGATGGCGCTATCTTGGGCAATTTAAAAAATGGCCCCACACCGGGAATCGAACCCACGTATGGGGCCATTTTTGGTGCGTGGAAGTCGATGTTCTCCACTAACCAAAAATGGCCCCACAAGTGGGTTCAATTCAAGGTGTGGGGCCATTTTTGAATTGCCCGAGGATGGCACAAGATAGCGCCATCCTCGGGCAATTACTATATAAAAGAATAGCCCTTTTAGATCAAAAATATAGTGATATTATAAAAATTTGTTCTTGTGCCTAACAAACTTGTCAAATTATTAATTCATTTAAATTGAAATTCTTCCTCGAAATTATTTCTTTTTGTTTTAATTTAGAAGACTCTCTCTTATTTTCGTCTAATCTTCAATTTTTCTTCATAAAGCAAAAATTTATAACGCTTAAAATTTTTCCTTTTTATTCGAAATTAACATCTTATCTTTTTAAATTATATTGATTTTAATTGCTGAAATTTCTCTGTTTTAGCTTTCTTCAAGGTTAAAATTTTAATTATTGCTAGAATTATCTTTTCGAACTTATTCATTTTACAAACTATGCAAATATAATTCTGAGAATTTTTGATAATGATTTTTATTTTTGATTCACAAATAGGAATAAATTTAAATCCAAACCCAACTACTTAAAGAATTTTATAGCTTAGAAGATAAAATTTATAACGGCTTTACATGTTCATTTTAATTAACTTCATATATCGCCAGCAAAAATAAAGAGTTTGCAAGTTTTTCTTGATGCCCATCATTTTCATATTCACCTATTTTATTAATAAATAAATTAGCTTAAAGCCTTATTTATGAATGCGGTATAAGCCTCTCCAATAATCTTCTTAAGATTATCTGCTCTTTCCTTATTTTCCGAAGAAAGCATCAAGTAAGCTTTAGTCATGACCGAGTAGTTTTGAGGTGATCCGTTTAAATCGCTTTCTATTTGATTTTTAATGCGTTTCATCCTTCTCTTCTCTTTTATAATTTCTGCTCGTTTCCTATAATGGTTTGTGCGTCTGGACTTTTCAGTTTTGAAATGATTTTTATGCTTTATGGCTTCTTCTTCCTAAATTATTTTTACGTTTAAGTAGTAGTTGAATTGACCATCTAATTTAAATATTTTAGGATACCATTTCAAGGCAAAGTCAACGATTTCAAAGGCATTTTTGGTGAACGGCTTTCCCTCACTAGTGGTCATCAAGTGCCTTATAGAGCTAACATAGTCTATTAGGACTTCTATTGGAGTGTGGCCATTGGCTTTGAGGTAGTCTACTAGACAACCAACAGAGGTATATCTGTATTTCTCATCTAAATTTTCAAAGCTACTTGCATTGCTTTCCATTTTATGGCTATTTTCCATTTATAAAGCTAATAATGAAATTGTAACCTAAAAGTTAGATTAATTTAATTTAACCCAATATGAAATTTAACCTTAATCGATTTATAGTTTTATTATTTTCAATTTAATCCCACTATTAATTTTTGCTGATTAAAAATAAGAATTACTTCTTTGACAATTTAATTTATGATAAGAAATTCAGTAAAAATATTATCAAATTTATTACTTTATTTCGAAGGTTAAATTCCAAAGATTAAACCATTACCATTATCACTAGAAGGCTATGCCATATTGTTAACGCGGTCACCACTGACCCGAGGGTTCACCAGTTTTGCGCCGTCTCCGGTTCCATCTTGATCGACTGGGAAAAGATTTGCTGGGCAGCTGTACAGCTCGGATTTCTTTCCTTCGTCTTCTTGAGACCCTACTGCCTTGGAAAGCAGAAGTATCGATTCCAAAGATTGAATCAAAACTTCATTGAAAATTGTTTATCTGAAACATATAATCCTTATTTTGAAATACAATTAGCCATTATAAATCTGGGCTTAGCTTGATTTTTATCACTATGAATTGTTATAATAAAATAGGGTTTGAGAAATTATCTGGAAATTTTATTTGAATACCAATTTTTATTTAATTTGGCATAGAAAAGTTTTTATACATTAAAATGCAAAAAAATCATTTAAATTCATAAAATTGCAAAAAGAATTAGTTTAGCCTTTGCTTTTCAATTTTTACACTGAGGTTTAGTCTATTCTTATTATAAAGCATACTTTCTTATACATGGCGAGAATTGTAACTCTAAAATTTATATTAGCAAAATGTCATTTCCTTATTATTAATCTATCAAATTGCTTTACTCTCATGTAAAAATTATATTATTTAAAAATAAAATTTATATTTCTTCTTTTTGAGAATTTATTTATCATTAAACGACTCAAACTTCGTCAATTTAAACTGAAAATGACACACTTAAAAGCTTTTAGTCTGATTTTCTAAGGTATTAGTTGATGCTGTCAAAGAGAGAATCTATTGTATAAAATTATTATAAAATGAGTTTTTAATTATTCTTGCTATCAGGAAATTGGAATAATTAATATTGGTAAAATTTATTATTGCAAGGTTTAAACAAATTATCAATTTTTACAGACTGGAATATAAGACTTCCAAGCTTCTAGGGTTAATAGGCTCTTGTTTGCATCCAATAAGTTGAATAAAGCCGCGCCAGTAGTATTACAAAACTAATGAAAAACTGGAATTTCCAGTTACAAGTCGAAGTATAGAAGTTTCCTATGTTTGGCGCTGTAAGGCCGATAAATTCTGATCGGAATTTTATCGGTTGGTTGCACCAAATCAATGCCTTGGTCGGACCAAAAAGCGATTTGGTCCGACGAACTTGGAAAGCTCCTGGGAAAATGTCTGCGCTTTCAGCGCTATATAGAGGAAACCTCTATAGTTGATTGAAGCTGTTAATCAGATAAAAATATATTCTGAAAGTCTGCTGAGTCGAAAAATAAAAATAAAATAATGCTAACAAATTAATGATGGAGTTGTAATAATTTGATCTTATTGTAAAAATCATTTATTAACGCAAAGAGCCTTTATTTGACAATTTTTAATTTAATTGATTGATGATTAGTAGATTAGTCACGTTAATAATTTGAAGGGTAAAAATGAATTAAAATTTATGATATCACCATAATTGTTTTGCATATCTTGAATCAGAAGTTTTAAATAATGTTTCTCTATTGCTATGCTTATCTAAAATATAAATGGTAAGAAGATTAAAGTTTCAAGAACATCTATAACAAAAAAGCATTGGGATAGCAGAAGTAACTATAAATTTATTAAGCCAAAAATGATCTAACATCAGGATTTTATGATCAAAGCTACCTGAAAATTGAATTTTTGCATATTTTTGCTGAAAAAATTAAAGCAAGCACTTTTCAAATTCTAAAGTTGCCATTAAAATATCAAAATGATTTTATAACTCAACAGCATCAAGCAGAATTCAGTCTAAACATTATTATTATTATTATTAATTTTTAACTTCTTACTTTAACTACTGCTGCTTACTTTTATCTGCATAATTAATATAATTTTTTGATAAGTTAAACTTCTATTGCGATCGAATTGGGATTTAAATTCAATCTTAAAATTTTATTGCTAGTTCCCCCCTTGAGCGAACAAAAAATTTTTGCCCTCTCATTGAAGGGGGTTAAGTTTTTTTTTTCCGAAATTTAAAAAAATCCCAATTCGCCAAATTGGAAAGCAAGTACTTATTTAATTTTTAAAATTTATATTTTGAAGTGCAAGCTGTTTAAAATTAAACACAAACTAGCTCGAAATTTATTATAATAATTAGCACTTATATCAGAAATTTTTTTCATAAAAAATATTTTGTTCGCTCACTGAAGGGGAGTAATGTTTAATGCAAATTTTAAAATGAGAAGTAGGATAAAAATCACTTCTTTATTTGCAAAAAAACTTTTAGGCAGAAGAAATGGAATATTATTACTAAACTCCCCCCCCCCCTCCGTGAGCGAACAAAAAATTTTTGTTCGCTCACGGAGGGGGATTAATTTTTATTTTTTAAAAAAAATTATATATATAAATTTTTAATTGTAAAATAATATTTTTTTATAAGTTGAAAAAATTATTTTTAAAAATATTATGGGGGGAGAGTAAGGGAATTTCCCAAAAAAAAAAGAATACCATTTGATTAAAGGTAAAACACAGCTTAATTTTTCAATAATTTAATAATCAATAAACCTATTAGTAATAAATATATGCATTCAGTTAAAATATTTTATATATTTTCTTATTTAATATAATAAGCAAATTCTCTATAAATCATAATAAAAATGTACAAAGGGAAAAGAAAGTACATTGAAATTTGGCAGAAAGTTGAAATTGCTGAATTTTACATTCAACACCAAAATGAGATGAGCATGAGAGATGTTGCTGCAAAGTTTCATGTCAACTCCTTTAGCTCGATTTCCGAATGGGTGAATAAGCTTGATGAGTTGAAGAAATCAGTAAAATCTGATAAAAATTAAAATTAGAAAGCTTCACTCAATTTCCAGAGCTAGAGAAAGAACTAGTTCATTGGTTTACTGCAATCCGTGAGCAAGGTATTCAGGTTCTCAGATCAACGATTGAGGAGAAAGCAAAAAGTTTGGCGGCAGAAATGGGATTGGCGCGATTCGGCTGTGGAGATAAATGGTGGCAAGGATTTAGGACCAGAAATAATTTATCTTTCAGAAAAATCAATGCCTCAAGCATTAAGCCAATCGAAAAAGAGGCAGAACTTGTCAGGCAATACCTAGATGATTTAGCGTCATTGCTTCCTCAATTCGTTCCATCTAACATTTACAATTTCGATGAAACGAGATTTGATTGAGATGTAAAAAGCAAGTTCACTTATGATTTCAAGGGAACTCAACGAATTCTAGGCCTTCAATCAGCTAAAATGAACCATTTTATCACTGTTATGCTTATGATTAGAGCTGATGGAGAAAAAAATGCCTGCTTGCTCATTTTTCAAGAGAAAAATGGCCAGATCCCGAACCTTGTAAGAGAAAGACTGAATATTCCAGAAAATGTCATCATAAAATCAAATAAATCTGGCTACATTTCTGACCAGATTCTTAATGACTACCTCAGAACAATATTGAGACGAGAAAACCAACTGCTGATTTATGATCAGGCTGGAAGTCATAAAACTATCATGATTTCTAATGCAATTTCAGATTTAGATGCAACCAAAATTGTGATCCCTGGAGGGTGCACAAAGTATTTGCAACCACTTGACGCACTGGTAATTGCAAATTTCAAATCAAAAACAACAGATTTCAGAATCAAATTCCAAACAGAGCAGATTGAAAGAAGATCGAAAAGAACTGGAAACCTCAAAGCTCTTGATCGCCAGCAACTGATAAACATTGCTTCAAAGGCGTGAGATGCTGTAAGCCCTCAACTTGTCAGAAAATCATTTGAGTTGACGGGTTCTTATGGCGTTAATCATCCAAAGATTTTCAGCCATCAAGTTAATATGAAGAAGTTAATTATCTAATCGATTTCTTCTATTCATTTTTTTGTCTTAAATTTAAAAATTGTTAAATTCAACCTTTTCACTTATGGTATTCTTTTTTTTAACCCTTTGAATAATATATCAAACAAACTTAATAATTATTTTCAATATTATCCTCTTTATTTGTATTAAATATAGATATAATAAACTATATATAAAATTATATGTAAAAAAATTTTTTGTTCGCTCACGGAGGGTGGGTTTTTGACCAAAAAATAGGGATTTTTCTAATGGTTTTGTTCGCTCACGGAGGGGGGGGGGGGGAGTAAGAGTTGCCAAAAAATCATGAATGGTGCTTTACTCATGTAAACAGAAATTAGAAGAACAATGGAGAGCAAATCAATTATTTACGCTCTATAAATAGAGTCTGATATGCTTCATCAATTAGTCTTTTGAGATTTTGGCTTTCATCATTTCCAGAAGCTGAGATTTCATCGATCTCAAGTAGGCATCTGAATATAAAGTTTTGTTTTTTAAATACTATTGCTCACTGATTGGATAAAATTTAATTTTCAATAAATTTTAATTTTGGCTCACCATAAAATATAGGGCAGAAGCAATTCTTGGATATGTCTAAATTTTCACCATCTTTCTCAATCTCACTTAAATCCTTATTTTTCTCCAAATTTTTCTTATTTTCTTGGATATAAAAATACATTTTTTAACATAAAATTATATTATTTTTAGTTTTATATGCAAATTAAATATTATATATTTTAAGTTGCTTGCAGGGATAGCGTATTTTAAGATAATACGAATTTGTTTATTTACAAAGCTTTCCAAATTTTGTTCCTAATTATGATTTACAATCAAGGTCCAATTCTCATATTGATTCATTTGGAAAATTTGCTTATTTCTGATTAAGGTTGATCTAGTGAGCTGCTCTGGGCTTTGCACGTATTTTTTCCCTTTTGGGTCTCGTAATAATTCTATACGAGAGGACACGTGTTGTTCCATATTAAATAAGGTTGAAGGTTCTTGACTCTTTAAAAATTCAATTAAGCAGCCTTCCGCAGTCAAATTGAATTTTCCAATTGGGTCATAGTAGGAACCCTCTAGTAGGACACAGCCCTGGGAGTAGGCTGAATCTGAGGAATCAGAATTCATATTAATATATTTATTATTCACCTGCTAAAATGGATAAAATTCTGACTAAAATACATCTCAATAGGAAGAAATTAAAAAAATTTTGTTCCGAGAGAAGCTCAATTATTTCTATCAATATAAAATTAATAATTCCGATTTCCATTTGCTTAATCTAATTATTTTTGAATTTATTAAAAATACTTCAATGATTTAAAAATATAATTTGCAATAATTTTAAAATATAATAATAAGATCATTTAACTATTAATATTCTTAATCAAAAAATTTTTTTGTATATTTATTTGCTCTTCAAGGGTGTAGGTTAGATAAAAAGCTGCTTTTTAACCTAAAACATTTTATAGCTCACTCTAGGCTATAACTAGCGCCCAAAATTCACGAATTGAGCAGTGCATTTTTAATTTTATTTATTTTTTACTCGATAGTTGCTGGCAAACAACTCCAAACATTCAGTAAGCAGCTTCTGACCCAAGGCAAGCTAGAAGCTGCCCTGGACTATATTGTTGGATTATTCCATAAATTTTTTAAAATGGTAGAATAATCACTCAGAATTTTGAGAAGCGTTATATTTTCCAGTCCTTAAGAAAATTATCAAGCATTATTATAATTACTCTTTAGGCAAATTATTGAGATAATCCTTATATTTGGCTTCTATGAACTCTTTAATCTTCAGGCTTTTGCTGTCGCCTAAATCTAGTATTTCCTCCAGCTTCGATATATACATTAAAATGGCGAGTAAGCTAATAACTAAAAAATTAAAAAGTAGCCAAAAGGAATTCAATTAGGCCACTCTAAATAATCAATTAAGTGCTCAAGAGCAATCTGTTAAAATATCTGCGATTTTAAATCAAACCAGCAACCTCGAAACAAAGCAAGATTTCAGGAAAATTAGCTCATCGTATAAGAGTAAGTAATCAATTTCAGATCCAGCACTAAAAAAAGCTTATTAGAGCTATATCAGCGTATATTAGGTCTCCATCATTATAGACCTTTATCCAATTTATTAATCATCAAAGCCCATTGGATTTTTCTTATTCTAGGTCAGATATCTCAAAATCGAAGTAATCGAATATCAAATGGTCTCTTAAATTAAAAGGATGTCAATATCTATCAATAGCTGTGAAGGTACTATATAGTAAGATCACATCTCTTTATTATTTGAGTATATGTATAAAAGAACTAAATTCCATATTTACGGCACTGAAAGTGAAAATGAGTATGTGAAAGTATTGGAAACTCCAGAGCCTTTGAACTTCAGCACGTGCATTGCTCGACTTCCAAATGGTGAGCTATTAAGCTTTGGCAATGATAACCCAACATCAGGACTTGCATTGATAATTGATTGAAATTTTAAAATCAGAGAACTTCCATCTGGAATTTATTATTTATTCTATTTGTATTTTCCTCTTAAAGAATGATTCTTTTTGAAATAAATTTTTTTTAAAAAATATTAAGCCATCTGGAACTCCTTGCCACGGTTCTTCTGCTATACTCTCGTTAATTAGGAATTAAAATAAAATGATTCATATTTTATAACTATTGAGACTATTCAATCAACTTACTCCCCCCCCTTTTAAATTGAAAAAAAAAATTTTGTTTCAATTTAAAGGGGGTTAAGAAAATTTTTTATATAAAAAATTTATATATAAAAATTTTTTCAGAGATAAAATTTTATAGAAAATAAATTATATATAAATTTAAAGAGACAATGGTATTCTTCTAACTCTCCCCATGACAATTGGACAAAATAGAGTTTAATTTCTAAATCTTATATGTTTGAAGCATATTAAATAGGGTATTAACGTATTTACATATAAAATAATGATTTTTACCTATAAAATTTTCTATTATAATAAAATTTTGTTTCAATTTAAAGGGGGGGGTAATTTCCCCAAAAAGTAGGAATTTTACCTATATTTTGTTTCAATTTAAAGGGGGGGGAGTTAGTTAAAAATCTCCCTCCCTTTAGCATCACTATGCATGATCCGCATGAGCCTGCGCCCCTCCTTCGGGTTTTCAAATTAGCCATGGCTTAGTCCCTGAATGGTTCCTTGGCTTTGGATATTTCCGATTTTGACAGCTGGCTTTCAGCTTCTACAAAAATGGATTTTCTCGTCTCTATGTCTTGAACGTACTTTCCAGTTTCACCAGGAGAGTTGCCTGATTATCTAAGTGATCGTACTGGTAGATAAAAATCAAGCAATATGTACTCTGCTTCCCCTTTCTAATTCCGAGCTCCACTTTTTGCATGAGGTTAAATAAATCCTGAAAGAAGATTAAGGCTCCTAGCCTATAATTGCTGTCCATTTATGGGTTAGCAGACCTTTTCAGATATAATTAAATATACTCTCAAGCTTCGTGACGACTGAGACACAATATTTAAGACTATTTAATCAAAAAGCTATATATTTTTCAATAGAAATGTTTACTGTTTTGGAGGGAGGGATGATTTCAATTGGTTGACTCTATCAAGCAGATTTGATTTGTATAAAAACCAATGAATTAAACTAGTTCCATTATCAGAAGCTGATTTCGATTGTCAAAGTACAGTATTTAATGGGAATATTCTTACTGGAATGTGCGATAGACACATTTTGGTATATTCTGTAGATCTGGACTCTTTCTCGACAATTCCTCATTATTTTGCAATTGATACTAGAAAGTATCTGATAAATGCAGAGAGATTGTATGTGATTGAGTTCGAACTTGATTATATCTATGAAAGTGAAATTGGAGATGAGTACACTTGGAAAAAAATAGGAAATCAAGCCTTGATTATTTTTCCTTTTAACATATCTGCACATATAATAAAGGAGGAATATATATTCTAGGAAGTTATGATAAGAATATTGAAAGTTTGATTTAGATAAAAAGGTTATGAAGAAAGTACGCTGGGATAATTTTAATAAAGATATTTAATTTAAAATTTAAGTCTATTAACGCAATTAAATTAAATCTGCCTCAAGTAGTCTGTGTTGAAGTCAATCATTTATGCAAGTGTTATGATTCTGGAGCTTAATTTTTTGTTTTATACTCTTTGATTATATAATGGATTTTCGGGCCAAATTAGGAAGGGTTATCCTGCGAGATTTTTGAATAAATGATACGCAATTGATGTGGAGGAGTTTGAAAAATGATTTCCTCTGCTTAAAATCTGTTGATGAATAAAAGAAAACTAAAAATATTCAGATGGAGCTGCAATTGCATGGAAATCACGCATGGAATTTTTATACATTGTGGAACGAGGAAAGCTGGAGATCCAGTGAGTCTCAAACAAATTTTTGGTTTTTGATGGTCTGTCTAAGACTCGCAAGTAGGTTATGCAATTCACAGCCAAAATTTTCAACAGTGTGGATGCACATGGGATTCTGATGGAATTTGAATGCTGTGATATGGAGTGATTTGCAGTGGTTAAGCGTTGGAGTATTTATTTGACTGACTCTCCTACCCCCTGTGAGCGAACAAAACCATTAGAAAAATCCCTATTTTTTGCCCAAAAAACCCACCTCGTAATCGAACAAATTTTTTTTTGGAAAAAAAAATATATATAAGTGATAACTAGTATCATGAAATCTTTCCCTAATTCTGTTTAATTATAAGCAAATTGCATTTAAAACATAAATTTTTACAAATTAAATTAATATTTGCTTTCCAATTTTTGAGAGGTGGAATTTTTTTAAATTTTGAAAACAAAATTTTAAAAAAAAAAAACCCTCTGTGAGCGAACAAGATTTCTTTGTTCGCTCACGGAGGGAGGGAGTGAGAAAAAGATAGAAATGCTGCTATCGACTAGAGCTTAAGTTTAAATATAAATATACATTTCTGTGATTTTCATTTCTGAATGCACCTAAAATAGATGTATAAAACTTATCGCTTTGAGTTTAAAAAGAAAAGTCTAAGGAAAAAATTTACAAATCAAATTTATTATAATTCAAAAAAGGAATTTATCTGAAAAGGTTTGATTCTGATCAGCCAAAATTAAGTAGTTTTTCAGAAGATAATCTCAAGCCTATACAAAATTGGAATCAAATCTAATCATTAGAAGTAAAATAATTAAAAAATATTGAAATTTTGAGCAAGAAGCAAAACTAATGCATAGTGCGTAACTCCTTCTTCCTTTAAATGGAACAAAATAGGTAAATTTCAATACTTTTGGTAAATTAAACCCCTTTTAATCAGAATAAATTGTATTTATCAATTGAATATTTTCTAAATAAAATGCGTTTTTTATATAAATATTTTTTAACCTAATTAAATGGAGGAAATGCAAGTAGAATTCTATTTTAAGCAGCTGCATACAGTTAATTAATATTTTGTAATTCATTCTTTATGTTTAAGTTTAAGTTTAATGAATTACTCTAAACAATGCCCTTAGTCTTCTTTTACTTGAGGGTCTAGCTACATTAACAGCTCTGAATAACTGTAGGTGGGCGGCCTAGCCGTCAAACCGTTAAAGTTAATAAGCCCTTTAAGACTTCTCTAGCCAGTGCAAGCCTCAGCACTGACCTCTTCTCTTAAGCCGAGACTCTCAATAAGTTTGATTTCTCTCACTAAGCTCGGATGATAGGTTTAACAAGAGTTAGGACCTATCCCTAACTGACATTTTTAATATTGTGCCATTCTTTATAAAAATAAAATAAATAAATGTAAAAAATTTGTCATTTAAAAATTCGTTTGCTTGTATTAGTTTTTTTCCCAGTTCAAAGTAGGTGTGCAAGATTAAAAAATTTATCCCTTCAATTGCAGTAGCTAATTCATTTAAAGTCTTTTAAATAACATATGAAGTCTTATACTTTGCTTTAATTAATTCCAAAGACCCGAAGCTAAAACAATTTAACTATTTACAATAAAATGGCTTCAATTGATAATGAATTCGATTATACCTTTAAAGTAGTTATACTTGGAGGTTCAGGAGTTGGCAAAACTTCTCTGATGATTAGATATGCTGACCAAATGTTCGAAGAGTCAATGTTCTGCGCTATAGACTTCAGAATAAAAACAATTGAGTGTGATAATGAGAGAATTAAGTTCCAGATTTGAGATACAGTTGGGAACCCAAGGTTCAGCAATAATTTCAAAACATATTTTAGGTTTGCACAAGGGATTATTTTGGCATATGACTGCAGATCTGAACAATCTTTCATATGCGCTAAAAATATAGGCAATATTGTTAATCAATGTGCCTATGAAAATATCGTAAAAGTTGTAGTCGGGAATAAATGTGATAGGGAAGATAAAGTTGTGGAAAAATCAAGGGGTAAGGAGTTTGCTCAAGGAATACAAGCTGGATTTTTTGAGACAAGTGCAAAAGAGGATATAAATGTGAACGAAGTGTTTGAATACTTGAGTCTTGAAATCAAAAACTGAGTACATTTAATTGGAAATAACGCTGAGAGTTTAATACCAAAGATCAAAGTGAAAGAAAGAAAAGAAGTTTGTATTCAATAAAAAGTCGATAAGCTAAAAATATTAATTATATTAGATTAGCTCTGTTTTTTAAAGATAGTCATGGCTACGATTTATATCAATACAAGAGTGATATGAGACATTGATAATATTTTATAGTAAATTCAACTTTTTCCTTGTGGCTTTATTTGCTCAGCCATAATTTTTTTGAAAGGAACTAATAAGAAATGCATTAAATAGATTTCGAAAGGTGTAAAAAGCGAAAAGGACTTACAGAGGAGGAAATGTAGAGAAAAACCCCAAAAGACAAACCAAAAGACTTACCAAACCCAACAAAAAGGCTTACAAAAAGTCCTATTAAAAGACAACCAAAAAATCAATCAAAAGACCTGCCAAAAATACTCACAAATAATTGCTGCAAGAACTGCAAAAGGGTGAAAAATTGAAGAAGTGCAAATGAAATAAGAAGAAAACCTGCAGGAAGGATAGGAATAAGAGTAAAAAGAGAAGGAAAAGAAAAATCCGACCAATGAAGCTGGCCAGCGGCTTCAGCAGCTTACATAGATAATGGCAACTTGTTAGTTAAATGTTACAACATATCTGTTAGATTATTGCGTTTAGTGATGCTAGTATCACTAGCAACACTAGCAACACTATCAGCACTAACACCACTAGCAACACTATCACCATTAACACCACTAGTAACACTAGGAAAGATAAAGTCGTAAAAAAATCAAGATGTGAAGAATTAGCTCGAGAAATTCAAGCTGGATTTTTTGAAGCAAGTGCAAAGATGATATAATTATAAGTGAAATGTTTGAGTGCCTGACTGTTGAAGTCAGATATTCAATGTTCTGTTTCATGAAGAAGTAATATCTTGCCGGATATAATTAAAATATGTGCTCGGAAGCTGCCTGGCCGGAGGTCATGCTAAATTCTGATCAGCTAATATGTAAAGGAGTCAAGTATGTTATAAGATTCCTTTGAATATGCCATAAACAAAAAATTATCTTTGAGTTTCTAAACTTATCACTAAGAGCATTATACTGTGCTTGGTTGCGATCCACAAAAATTATTTGTGGACTCTGAAAATGTTTTAGAAAGTTCATAAATATTCATGAATAGTCGTTTTCAGTTTCTTTTTTTGTAAGTGCCATTGCTAGCACATAGTTAGATCCATATGGATCTACAGTTAAAATAAATACTGCAGATCTAAAACTTTCATGAACCTTATATGTACTGTCTATAAGTATCACATCTTGTAATTTTTGTCACATCTCTATTCTTGATAAATCTGTAATAAAAAATCTCATTAAGGCTCTATCAAATTCAATTATTGCATTTGTATGATGACATTCGCTTGATATTATTCTATCAAAGGTGAAATTTTCCGAATGAGTTTTTGCATAATATTCTACAACATTGTATAATTTCTCTATTGATATCTTAAAATCATCATTTGCGCTTAGCATAGACTGTATCTGCCTAATTGTAAATCCTTCAATATAATATTGGATCACTTGTTCTTTGATGCTATTTGGCAATATTTCGCATTCAATTAAATTATCACACTGATCTTGCGGAATTCCTTTATGATTATGATTTTGATGAACATGTATGCACTCAAAAGTATATGACTCTAATAAATCCAATGTATACTTTCAACTCATTTTGAACTTGCAAAACAACTCAGGCTTAATAGAAGGAAAAAGAATATTAGCATGCTCACTTGAAAAATAACACTCAAACTGAATCAACTTTTTTGCAGAATCAGATCTTTTAACATAAATTTTGGCTTTGTCGTCCTGTAGAGCTTTCTTTTTTATAATAATATGAAATTCTTTTATATTTGTGCAATTTACCTTGTCTCCAACATTAAATGCACCCGTGATATTTTCTTCTTCTTTGTGCGCCTCTAATTGCTGTTCAAATGCTTGTCTATTGTCAGATTCTAAATTAATTTGCGGATTGGCAATAGATATTTGAGATACCTGTAAATTAACTTTGCTTAAATTTTCTGAAGCTTTTTCTTGTGACTCATTGTTTTTGTCTGACTCATCTTCATTATTTACTGGATTTTCCAAATCATGCACAGGCATAAAATTGTTTCTTGAATCTAGATTATTTTCATCAGCTTCAGACATAATTTGCTGTACAGCTCGTTCATCTCTACTTTTTTTTGACTTTTTATATTCGCTGATTATCATGGACACTTTAAGAGGTCCTAATTTGAACCATTTTGCTACAGATTGAAGTATTACCTCATCGTTGGAAGCTAATTCTATTAACTGATCACTAAGATTTTCGCCTTCATGACTTGGAATGTTAAAACCCAATTTTCGCGCAATTTCTGAAGTCAATTCCGTCATTTTATATTCTTATCTTTATTTGTTAAAGAAATCATAAATTTATGTATTGAAAGTATCATCACCAATAAAAAGCCTAAAGACGAGGAAAAATTCAGCTGAGTTATCAGATAAAGCATTACAAGCATTAATAAGCCTTATATTTATTAATAAATAAATACTAAGATTAGATTTTAAAGGGATTATAGGCTCTTTAATGATGAAGCAATAGTTTGCTAACAGTATTTTGGAAAATTTTGTAAGAAATATATTAGCTACCCTATTATATTCAGGTAGAAATACTTTAACAGCTGTTATATATTTTATGAACATAAGAAGCAAGAAGAAAATTTATTTTATTTTTCTTTACAATTTAAACCACTTATTGTTCACATTCAACACATCCTGTACCAGAGCATCCTGCATATCTGTTGTACTAACGCAACCTGTATTCACTAGAGTATTCTTGTATAAACCTTGCACTAGCGCATCATGTATTAAAACTTTATTAGCACATTCTGCATTTACCAGGGCATTATGCAACCTTGCACCAACGCATCATGAATCAACATATCCTGCATTTACTACAAATTCTGTATCAAATCTTGCACTAACGCATCATGTCTCAAAACTTTACTAGCACATTCTGTATCAAAACTTGTACTAGTGTATCATGTCTCGAAACTTCAGCAGTAAATTCTGCGCAACACCTTGCACCAGTATAGACTGTAGTATTGCATATTGCAGAGCATATTATAATAACAGATTTTTAACTAGCCTATTTAGTGCCACTCAATTTACCAGAGCATCTGTCTCATTAGAAACAACTTAATTTGCTAATTAATTGATATAAAGTACAGTGTAAGCGATGCGGCCAGGGGTATTTTCAGGACAACCCTCTAATTTAAATATGTTAGGGTACCAAGTCAAGGCATAGTCAACGATTTCAAAGGCATTTTTGGTGAACGGCTTTCCCTTACTAGTGGTCATCAAGTGCCTTATAGAGCTAACATAGTCTATTAGGACTTCTATTGGAGTGTAACCATTGGCTTTGAGGTAATCTACTAGACAACCAACAGAGGTATATCTGTATTTCTCATCTAGATTTTCAAAGCTTCTAGCATTGCTTTCCATTTTATGGCTATTTTCCATTAATAAAGTTAATAGTGAAATTGTAACCTAAAAGTTAGATTAATTTAATTTAACCCAATATGAAATTTAGCCCTTTTCGATTTATACTTTTATTATTTTCATTTTAATCCCTCTGTAATTTTTTGCTAATTAAAAATAAGAACTAGTTCTTCCGCACTGTAATTTATGATAAGAAGTTCAGTAAAAATTCTATCAAATTTATTACTTTATTTCGAAGGTTAATTTCCAAAGATTGAATCCAAACTTCATTCAAAATTGTTTATCTGAAACATAATCCTTATTTTGAAATACAATAGGTGATTTTTATCGTTATGAATTGTTATAATTAAATAGGGTTTGTGAGAAATTACGAGAAAATTTATTTGAATACCAATTTGCAAATAAAAATTAGTTTAGCCTTCGCTTTATAATTTTTACAGTGAGGTTTAATCTCTTTTTATTATAAAATATACTTTCTTATAAATCTCGAGAATTGTAACTCTAAAATTTAGATTAGCAAAATTCCATTTTGCATATTACTAATCTCGTTGCTTTACTCTTATATAAAATTTAAATTATATAAAATAAAATTTATATTTCTTCCTTTTGAGAATTTTGGCAATCATAGCTTAGTTTTGGCTTTGGAGGGATAGAACCCGAAATTTTGGTTGTTTGAAAAAATTTAACGGCCTGATGGCCACGGGTTGCAGGTGACAGAATTCTGGGGTGGGGTGTGGTCTGGGCTAACTGGACCTCCCCTCGACCTTTAGACAAGAAGACCAGCAGCGCAACACCAATCGAGCACTTCTGGAGAAGGATTATGTTGCTTTTAAATGGCAGAGGTAGTTCCAGAAGGAGCTTACTCATACCCTGAGGATTAAGAGAGTCACTTGCTGAAGTTTTTTGGCCAAGCAAGTTCGGGTGAGTCTCCCCCCAAGATGTCGACGTCATCATTTTTAGTGACATTGACAGAAAAGGGTGTTAGGTGGCTTTAGTGCTTAGCGCCACACGAGCGCGAAGCTGAAGCTCAATTGGATTAGGGGCTGAAATAAACCCTGCTTTAACCCTCTCTAACCATAATCTCTCTCATTTTGAGCAATTATTTATCATTAAGCGATTCAAACCTCGTCATTTTAAACTGAAAATAATATACTTGAAAGTTTTTAAGCCTGATTTTCTAGAGCATTACTTTATATTCTTAAAAAGAGAATATATTTTATGAAATATTATTGATGCAATTTCGGTAATAATTTCAAAATAAGTTTTTATAGTGAACTACACTGACTGACACGGGGTGCTTTTGGCTCGAAACTGAGCCAAAAGCACCCCGTGCCAGTCAGTGTAGTTCACTATAATTATTTCACTACCAGAAATTGGAATAATGATTTAATTGAATATAGCTTTAGTAAAATGATGCACAAAATTAATATTGGTAAATTTATTATTACAAGTTTAAACAAATTTTCATTTTTTAGAGATTGCAGCAAAACCTATATAAGGCTTCCGGGTTAGAAGGCTCTCGTTTTTATCCAACAAGATGATCAAAATAGCTCCATTAGTTGTTAATTGCAGTTTTACAAATCTAATGGAATTCTGGAATTTCCAGCTGCAAGTTGAAGCAGTTGATTGAAACTGTTGACCAGATAAAGAATAGTCTGAAAGTCTGCTGAGTCAAAACGAAAGTATTTGATTGATATTTAAAAATAAAAATAAAATAAAGCTAGCAAATTAATGATGGAATTGTAATCATTTGATCTTATTATAAAATCATTTATTAATGCAAAGAATCTTTAGTCACCGTTAATATAATTTGATAGGCTAGGCTAACATTGCATTAAGATTTATGAAATCACCACAATTTTAATTGTTTTGCATATCTTGAATTAGTCTATTGCTATGCTTATCTAAAATATAAAGGGTAAGAAGATTAAAGTTTCAAGAGTATCTATGACAAAAAGCATTGATATGAAATAATTATAAAATTCTTAAGCCGAAAGATGCTTTAGCAGCATTTTATGAGTTAAGCTGCCTGAAAATTTGATTATTTGCATATTTTTGCTGGAAAATTAAAGCAAGAATTTTTCAAGTTGACATTAAAATATCGAAACTCAACAGCATCAGCAGAATCAGTCTAAACATGATTTATTATTAATTTTTTTACTTTTGTTGATATATTAAAATGGCGACGGCGATCCAGCCCTTTTTCTCAGCACGTGCAGCCTGCGTTCGCGGGGGACCTTGTGGAAGGGAGAAAGGCGCTCGGGATGTGTATCCGGTTAGGCTTTTCCTTGGCACAGTAGAGAGCAGCGTTGGACTAGGCCGACCGCAGCTTATTCTGATACCAGGGTTTTTGCCTCAGAGGAAATGGTTTCCAAGGTTGGAAAGGGGAAGCTCAGCAGCATCAGGAAGGTGCCTCCTGATTAATCGGGCAACTCCCTAGTGTGAAACTGGGCGTTGCGTCCAGGCTTTGGATTTTCATTTTGGCCGACAGCCCTACCAGAAATATTTTTTTTTCAAATTTTTCGATGGGCAACCTCTGTTGACGTATTGCTGGGTGGCGTAACTCATCCAACTACGGGTGGCAAGTGCGCATCCTCGTCCAGTAGGAGCAACACCTTGAAGGTCGTGATCGATTGGTGGTGAGCAACCGGGTGAAAGCGTGAAGGGTGAAGCGTGAAGGGTGAAGCGTGAAGGTGAAGCGTGAAGGGTGAAGCGTGAAGGGTGAAGGTAGAGCAGGGAAACCCTAGCTATTACGGCGGGCCTCTTAATAAATATAGTTAATGTTAAGCTTACTTTTATTGACATAGTTAATATAATTTTTTGATAAGCTAAACTTCTATTGCGGTTGAATTGAGATTTAAATTCAATCTTAAAATTTTATCGCTAACATTTTCATGCAAATTCTGAAATGAGAAGCAGCATAAAAATCATTTTTTTATTTGCCAAAAAATTTTAGGAAGAAGAAATGGAATATTATTCCTAACTCCCCTAACGGTGGGGGGTTATTTTTTTAAAAAATTTATAAATAAATTTTATAGAAATTGTTTTTTTTAAAAATATCCTAAAAATAGGATTTTTGGAATAATTTTGCTCGCCACAGAGGGGGAGTAAGAATTGCCAAATAATCCATAAATGGTGCTTTACTCATGTAAACAGAAAATTAGAAGAATAATGGAGAGCAGGTCAATTATTTACGCTCTATAAATAGAGTCTGATATGCTTCATCAATTAGTCTTTTGAGATTTTGGCTTTCATCATTTCCAGAGGCTGAGATTTCATCGATCTCAAGTAGGCATCTGAATATAAAGTTTTGCTTTAAATACTCAATACTCACTGATAGGATAAAATTTAAATTTTCAATAAATTTTAATTTTGGCTCACCATAAAAATATAGGACAGAAGCAATTCTTGTATATGTCTGAATTTTCACCATCTTTCTCAATCTCACTTAAATCCTTATTTTTCTCTGAATTTTTTCTTATTTTCTTGATATAAAAATAATTTTTTTATCATAAAATTATATTATTTTTAGTTTTATTTGCGAATTAATTATTATATATTTTAAGTTGCTTAGCGTATTTTAAGATAATACGAATTTGCTTATTTACAAAGCTTTCCAAATTTTGTTCCTAATTATGATTTACAATCAATTTCCAATTCTCATATTGATCCATTTGGAAAATTTGCTTATTTCTGATTAAGGTTGATCTAGTGAGCTGCTCTGGACTTTGCACGTATTTTTTCCCTTTTGGGTCTCGTAATAATTCTATACAAGAGGACACGTGTTGCTCCATATTAAATAAGGTTGAAGGTTCTTGACTCTTTAAAAATTCAATTAAACAGCCTTCCGCAGTCAAATTGAATTTTCCAATTGGGTCATAGTAGGAACCCTCTAGTAGGACACAGCCCTGGGAGTAGGCTGAATCTGAGGAATCAGAATTCATATTAATATATTTATTATTCACCTTCTAAAATGGATAACTTTGATAAAATTCTGACTAAAATATACCTCATTAGGAAGAAATTAAAAAATTTTATTCGAGAAGCTCAATTAATTATATCAATATAAATGTAATAATTCAGATTTCCATTTTGCTTAGTCTAATTATAATTTTTAATTTTTTTAAAATACTTCAATGATTTAATTTAAAAATAAAATATAATTTATAAATAATTTTAAAATATAATAATAATAAGATTAATATTCTTAATAAAAAGTTGGTTTTAACCTAAAACAGTTTATAGCTCACTTTAGGCCATAAGCTGTCACCCAAAATTCACAAATTGATCAGTGAAGTTTTAACTTTTATTTATTTTTATTCGATAGCTTGCTGGCAAACAACTCCAAATATTCAGCGAGCGACTTCTGATCCAAGACAAGCTAGAAGCTGTCCTGGGCTATATCTTTGCTATTATTCGATAAATTTTTTAAAATGGTAGAATAATCACTCAGAATTTTGAGAAGCGTTATATTTTCCAGTCATTAAGAAAATTATCAAGCATTATTATAATTACTCTTTAGGCAAATTATTGAGATAATCCTTATATTTGGCTTCTATGAACTCTATAATCTTTAGGCTTTTGCTGTCTCCTAAATCTAGTATTTCCTCCAGTTTCGACAAATACTCAAAAGGACTATTTTCAATCGTCTTTGTAATTTTTTTCCTCTTTTCTTTACATTTCTTTGTTCGATTATATTTTATCTTCAATTGTTTCTCAATAATTTCTATTTGATTTTTCTGGAAATTCATAAGATTTTCATTCTGCTTATTGATTACAATTAAATTTCATTTGTTGGAGTCGTCTAAGAAAAATAATCTATTATAGGATTTTAGTGCTGAAATTGTTAGAACTTCGAGATTTTGACTGTATTTTCGGCCTTTTGGATTTCGCAAAATATTTGTTTTAGATGTAATGAATTCTTCTAACGAGGATAAAGATGAGGGTCCATGATGCGATAAGTATTCTATCAAAGAGCCTTCAATAGTGTTATTGAATTTTTGAATTAAAGGATAAGGAGTTGCCTCTTGGGTTTCGAAGATGATTTCTGATTTTTTGGTCTGCTCATGATCTGCTAATGAAATCATTTTATTTATAAAGAATTTACCTATGCAGTGCTAACTAAAATATAAACACTAATTCTTGAAGGTTTTATGAATTTCAAATGTTTCTTATCGAATGCATTTCTCAATAGCTTATCACATTTTACTCATTTTTTTAGTAACTCTTAGGAGCTTTTTTATTGATATATATGCTATACCTTATTAATTTTGATTTTTTCAAAACATAAGCTGTGCTTGTTTTTTAAATATTTGCAAACTTGGAATTTTTTTAAATCCAAAAAAAAAATATTTAATATAGCTCCAGTCCCATTTTTTGCTTTTTTAGGAGCAGTGCATTTGCCTATTAAATAGGCTACAAAAATGCCAATTTTCAGGCAAGTACAATTTAAAATTGGCAAATGGAAATTATACTTTATATTGTCAACTTTTAATTAGCCTTTTCAGAAAAATTGGCATTACGTGGCCTATTCAATAGATAAAGGTAATGTTGCTAAAGAATCTTAAAGGGTCTAAATTAGATAAATGTTGTAAAAAAACTAAACTGCTTTTTTGAAAGCGACTAATAAATTCTTAATCACTCTTAGGGAGGAAGTAATAAAATTTTCTGATTTATATGTGGAAAAGTTTAGCCTATTTAATTATTTTTATGTTTAAGATTTGATTAAGATTAGCTTTGTAAAAATAAGAAAAATAAGAGTAATCTTAAAGTTCCTTCAGTTGAATCGTCTGAATGAATTGAATATAATTTGAGGAGTTAGAGAGCTAGGTCTTGGCTAAATAAGATATAAATGTTAATCTATTAAATAAAAGTAATTTATTTATAATTCAAATTACTTCTTTTCACTTAAATTAATTCATAGAGTAATATGATTGCTAAATTATAAATGGAAAGAAATAATTAGGAACAGAAAAAAATACCAGAACCTTCGAAGATTTAGACAAAAAGTATAAATACACTTCTCTTGGCTATCTCATAGATTATCTTAAAAAGCATGGCCATGCCTAAATGGAGAGATTAATATGTTTGCTTGATAAGACACTTGATGACCACGAAGAGAAAAGGATTCACCAAAAGCGCCTTTGAAATCGTAAACTTGAGCTTGAATTGATACCCAAAAAAATTAAACAAGACAGTCGACCCTTCTATATCCCAGGAAAGGTTTTGGATCGCCTTGGATTGAAGATTTTCGAAACAATTCCCTTTTTTTTATCACAAAAGACACAAAAAGTTTACCCAATATGAGGCATATGCCACTTTCCCAATTTTTTTGACATTTTCCTCAGAAAAGCTCATGGTTATATTATTTAAATGTTAAAAAACTTTAGCAAGAAGAAGCCTTAAAACACGAAGACCATTTAAAACTGAAGGGCATATTGCAAAAGAGAGTAAGGAAAAGAAACTGAAATTAAAGAAGGAACGATCGCATTAAAAACTAAATCGAAAGTGATTTAAAGTATATTTTGAATCAAAATTCAATATATATTTTTCATCAACTCAATGCCCAATTTAAAAATCTTCAAAATCAAAATATTATTAGAAATCCGTTTACTTTTTATTGTTGATGTTTTTGCATAAGTGCAGATATTAAAGTTCGATGAAATTTTGCCTATTTACTGCAAAAGAATCATAAAGAAAAGATCTCTATCTTTGATGAATAAATTAATATATAGATGATTATTGAAATTGAATATTAATGCCCAATCTAATATAAGATATTTTCGAACATTTTTCATTTTAATTTTTAATTCCTGTCTTAAATTAGTGTATTTTTCTCCGATCAGATAAGCTTCTGAAGAGCATACAGTCGAAGATCTATGATGCCGCAAGCTTTGATTATATTTTAAACTTAATTTATACAAATTAGCAACTCTTTAAGCAGTTCATATAATAGGGGTGGAAGAATCTGAGTTGAACAGCGAAACTCTCAAAGTCTTAGTTAAACAAAATAAAATAAATCTCTGAATTTATAAAAGAATAGTAATTTAATTAAGATTAAAGCTAAATAAACTAATCATTTTTGTGCAATTTGCGCATTAATGAATAGCCTGCTATTTCATTTTTGTATTTATTTTCATCAATATTCATCCTGAAAAACATTTGTTCTCAACTGTCTAATTCTTAAGATTTATTTCATCACAAGAGTAGCTTCCACTGTTTAACTCATTCTGGTTGTGTTTCTCTATTTAAAGCAGGAGATTTTTAGCGTAATATTGTGGGTGCTTAATTTTAAAAAGTCAAATTTCAATACTTCTATGTCTAGAACACCTCTAAATATATTCTGTAGCTGAAAATTATAAACATGCTTTACAAACTATCTTTTTGATAAAACTTAGATTAATTGATGTCCTTGTAAAATTCAAAACCTTTAAATTTCTCTGAGATTAGGATTAAATGCGGCCTCTAATAAGTATTGGATTAATCTTGTATCTCAGTAAGCCAACTTACTCATTAAAGAGTTAATTTGCTTAAAGAACCAATTTTAAGAAAAGTTTGCTACTTGATACTGTATGCAAACATCAAAAATTATATAAAAGTAGCACAAATAAACGAATTATTTTAATTCCTTTAGAACATCTCAGCTCATTATATCATCTATAGGTCTTTGGCGACTTTAAATTTTTGCCTATACCCTACCATATTTATAAACTTTTACTCTAAAGAATTACTTATTTTACTTTTAAGCCTTGATTAAGTAAATAAAATTATAAAGTTCACTTTTTTCATTCTTCTAAATTTTATATTTTTTTAACTTGTCAACCAACTTCTTACTAAAATTTTTATTGTCATATGTGTTCAAAATGTTTTAATCAATAATTTAGATTTTAATTTATTTTCAAAATTTTTTTAATCGATAATTTAAAATTTTAGTTCATTTTCCCTTCACTTTCTTCGAATTCTGTCAACTGAAGCGACATTTTAAAAATTTTTGACTCCATCTTAATTGAATTAATTTCGACGAAGGCTAATTTTGATTTTATTCAACACTTGGATTTCTTTAGGTTTGAGCTAAAATATTCAAATAAAACCTTAAAATTTTAGCTTGAGCATTAATTTTCTTCTTAATTTTCTTTAATTTCTTCTTAATCTGATGATATTGCTTTCCAAATTTTTGACTCAAAAAATTATCCTCTTCCCAGATGCCATAACAACTTTCTAAGCCATAAAATGTTGTTTTTTATTGTTTTCTTCACTATTCTGTGCTAGAAAGTTCTCCGAAATCCCTACAAAGGCATCTTCATTCTTCATCTCAAAGTCGATCACGATTCAAAACCTCTGATTTTGCAGTCTTTAATAACTTCTTTACTTACTGATGTTTGCCGAAAAAGTACCAATAACAATTTCTAGTCTTTAACTTCTCTCAAAGAGGCGGCGGAGCTGATTTTTGGACTCGTCATCTTTATTATTATAACTCTGCTCAGTTTTAGTCCCTTTACATAGTAAAAATAAATGTTCCCTAATTGCGCGCAAAAACAAAAATCGAAAAAAAAAATTTTTTAAAAAAGTTCACTTGAAAATTTAAAAAATCTCGCTGATTTGACACGTACAATGAAAAGTCTCATAAGTTTTATAGCTCTTATTGGACTCGCTACTTGTGTTTCAATTGGGGTTAAAGATTCGACACTTGATCCTGGCAGAATTATGTGGCCAAAAGAGACATGGGTCAACAGCCCAATTCAAATATCTCAAACTAACGCAGGATCAGCTGTTACAATTACATTCAACTTCAGAACCAGCACTGCTCTTACTAACGGTGTTCTTGAAGTAGATCTCCCAAGTGGTCTAACTGGAGGTCCTCTATACATTCCAGGAAGCTTTGGTCAAAATCAAGACAAGACTCTCAGCCACTCAACTACTATTACTTTGCCTTCATCTGCAGGCGTTTATGGACCTTTTGCTCTTATTACTAGATCATCACAAAACGGACAAATTTACGATGCAAACTACGTTTTCGGTTGTATCGCTACTACAAGTTCCGTTTCAGCTTCAACAACACTTTCTGTGACTAACGCCGCAACTTCTCCTGTAGTTGGATCAGCTGATGTGCTCTCTTTTGCTTTCAGCTTGTCTCAAAGTCTTTGGAAATATGATATCATTGAAATTGTTCCTCCAACAGCATATACACCAACTTCATCAGTTACTTGTGCATCTGTTACATTAACAGGAGTGAGTAATATTCTTTACGGTCCTCAAGGAGACAACAATCTACCTTGTGCCATAGCTACCTCAAGCAGCGCTTCAGCTGGCCCTCAATCAACTACAACAGTGAATGTTGCAAATAGTGTTTACATTTATGGCCTCGCCCAAGACGTTTACTTAAGTTCAAGCTCTTTATCAGTTAAGCTCAGCGTTACCTCTTTCAATTATCCAGGATATAAACAGCCATCATCCTCTAACACTTGGAAAGTCAACATTTGGAGATGGGGAACCACAAACATGATTGCCCAATACTCTGCATCAACTGGTCCTACTACACCTACTGAAGGAACTGTTACTGCTACATGGGCTCCTATTAGTGGAATTTCAGCAAACGATGTTGTATCAGGAATGACTATTTTCACAAAGGTAAGCTTTACAACTACTCACGATATACCTGCAGGTGGAAACGCTGTCATCGCTTTCGCAAATGTTGATATCCAAACTCCAAAATGGTGGTCCGATCTTGATGGCACAAATTCTCAAGCTGGCCAATGCTACTTGACAGTACCAATATCTGAAGCCTCTTGCACAGTTAACAGCGCCACTCAAGTAACAATTTCTTTTACAAATGCTCAAAAAGCTGGATCAGTTAGCATAGCTCTATTGGTGACTTTTAGCGCAAGCCCTAAAGTTTCATCAATTACAACTAGCAATGGATCTTACAATATTGACTATTCTACAAATTTAGCATCATGGACACTCAGCAGCACCAATACTGCTTTTTCACTTTTCAGATTCCACGGATATCAAGACTGTACAGCAGCTACAAACTATCCTGCTAGTGCAGCTTATACTGCTAACCACATTTATGGAGCAGATACATCCCTTGACTTATTTTGGATCTTTACTCATAGTGTTACATGGACTACATCTACTTCCATAGTAATCAACCTCCAACAGTCTACCACTCAGGTGTACAATCTACCATACATTGGATCTAGCCCTGGAAAATATGAAAAAGATACAACACTTGGAAGCGCAACACAATTAGCTGCCTTAGGAACAAATACTTTTACTATATCAGGAAACCAAATAACTGTAGCCTTCCCTAGTACTGCTCCTTCCAGTACCTACTATATAATGTCTCTCACAGGAACTACGACAGCTTTACCATACGTGGCTTCTAATTTAGGTACTTTTTACGAAAGTTATGCTAAAGCAACAACAAGCACTTCAATTGAAATTGGAAGCTCAGTCTATTCAGTGCTTGCTAAAGATTATGCAGGAACTGATATATATGCAACACCTTTATGCTTAAATAATAAGGGTTCTGGCATTCCTATTGTGGTAGCTTTTAAGGCTGAGCTTATGACTATTGATTTTACTTCTTCAACAAACACTTTTGTTCTTGAAATTGCATTTACAAGTGGAGCCAGCCTTGGTACGAGCTTAGCTGCTGGTAGCGCTCTTCCATATTACTCCTCAACTAGCGGCTTGACTGTTACTTTATCACAAACAACATCCCCAGCAACCCTCAAGATTACAGGTTTAGGAAGTGTCACAACATCAGCAAGTGCAATAACTCTATTTTTAGCAACAGGAAACTATCCTGTTACGGCATTTTCTAGTGTAGCTACTGTTTATTATACCACTAGTTCAGACTCAACCCTTAAAAATGTTTTATACAAGAGCACCGTCACGAAGACTCTTACTAACACTCAAACTGCATTGAGCGCTGGATCATCTGCAAGCACATGGTCAATTTCAAGTTCTGGCAGCTTATCAATTACAGGAGCAAAGTCTGCAGCCGATACAACCCAGGGTGAATATATTGGTATTGGACTTCCTAAAGGGTTCACTGCATCTTCACCTACTGTCACTGTTGCAAGCATTGCAGCTACTTCAAATATATATGTTTCTAGTAGTTCTGATTCGATGTCAGGTGGGTTTGTGATGGGCATTAACAGTGCAAGCACTGCTTTTGTTCTCGATGATACTACAGCTGAAGCAATAACTATAACTGGGCTAAGCGCACCAGGATTTTCTGGGTCGAGTGCTGCATCAACAAATAGTGTCACATTCAATTTCTTTGTATCCTCTGCCACTCCTGGGTCAGCGTGCACTGTGAATGATATTACATCAATCACTGGTACAGTTAGCACAGGTGCAATCTCAAGCTCAGCTACCACTTGCTCTTCATCTTCCACAACTGCATCAGGCCCAGACTCTGTAGATTCCACAATGACTATTGGAGTAACAACAGTTCATAACATTCCTAAAGGTGGAACAATTACACTTACTTTGAGCTCTTCATGGACCTACTATGGGTCCTCTTGCACTGTTTCAGGGCTTAGTGATTATGACTCAAATACCAAAGTCAGCTGTCTTGTTGGGTCAAATTCAGTTACAATTACCCAATTTGCTGCCTTTACTGCAGGAACAATCACAGTCACAATTCCTCATGTACTTACACCATCCTCAGCTAGCACTGTTCAATGTGTCACTGGAGTTACCACACAAGATGCAGCATCAAATTATATTGACTATGGAGCAAGTCTAACTCAAAATGTAGTTATTAGCGACGCTGTTACATCTGGGACTTCATCTGGAATTACTGCTACTGCATTTCCAAATTTTGCTGGAGCTGTAGGAGCAGATATTTATCTTTCATTTTCATTAACTAAAGCTCTTCCAGCTGGCAGCCTTATTGATATTTCTGCTGGATTTGCTTCATGGTCTCGTTCATCTGGATCTATCAAAGACTATTGCTGGGCAAATATTGACTATACATCTTGCTCAATAACAAGCTCAAAAGTGGAACTAGCTATTACAAATAGTCTTCCAGCTTCTACCACAGTTCAAATTTATCTTGATGCCGCTTTAACTTTACCTTCAACAGCAGGAGCAACAACATCAGGCTGGCAAATCACAACATCTTGGAATAGCGTAACAATTACAACTGATTCTACAGGAACTCCATTCACTGTTGGGGCTGCAGTCAGCACAGCTATTACTATTACATCTATTAAAATCAGTGACATTACCAATGCTGGTGAAGCTGGCACTTATGTATTTTCATTCTCCAGCGCCGCAGCTATTGCAAGCGGAGACTACTTTGTAGTACAATTCCCAAGAGGATTTGACGCTTATATCGGAGATGCCACAAACACTTACTCTGATTGTTTACCAAGCACTTGGTACTTAGGTTGCAGCTCAACTGCTCTTGGCAGCGTTTCATGCACTGCAGACCATTGGTATCTTCTTGTCAGCGGTCTTTCAAAGACAGCAACTGCTTCATCTTCCATCGACCTTACTGTCCAAGGTGTAAGAAACCCAACAGCAGGCTCAACAGGTTATTTCAACATCTATCACTATAAATCAGATGGAACTGTAAAAGCTTTCATAACATCAACCACTAGTGTTACTACAACTGCAGTTTCTCCAAGCTCAATCACCTTGAAAGATGTTATGACAGACTCCACTCAGCTTTCCGCCTCAGCCAAGTATACCTTTGACTTCTACGTTCCTTCAGGCACCTATACAAACGATAACAAGATTGTAATTACCTTCCCAGAACAGTTCAATCTTCAATTATACATTGGAAGCAGCGCATCAGCATCTTGCAGTACTTCTTACTATGATGAGTCTAACGGTACAGGAACTGACCACACTAAAGCTTTATCATGGATTTCAGTAACATCTTGTGCAGTCAGTGGACAGCAAATTACTATGGCTCTTCCCAGTGGAACAAGCCAAACTTTCGCTACTACTTCAAAAATTCAAATTGCTTTGTCTTCAATAAACAACCCTCAATGGGGGCTTGACAGACCAAGCACTGATAAATGGTGGGACAATGTGTATACATCACCTTATGGTGACTATTCATATTGGACAAGCAGGTTTGGTCTAGCTATAACCAGCACTACCAATACTGCAATTTCATATAAGAGCTATGGAATTCTTAACTCAGCCTATCTAGGCTTCGCTTTAAGCACTACTTCAACAAAAGTTGGCTCTTATAACCCTGCAAACATGAGCGGAAAAATCCAAGTTGCCCCAGGAACCCAAACTAGCGATATCACCGTCAAATTAGACGACGCCTGGCCACTTGCTTCTAGATCAGTTAAACTAACCCCAAGCTCAAACGTCAACTATGCAGACAGTGGAAACCTTAAATACACTTCAGCCCACTATAGCTGGATGATTTATCAAATGTACCCAAGTTTGAATTTCAGAGTTGCAGCTCTTACTGGAACTGCAGTAGGTATTTATTATATTGACTGGGCAATCACCGAAGTTCCACAAACTGGTCTATCTGCCATATACAGCACTCCATTGAGCATCATGGTCGAAGTCTGCCAAATCTCAGCTGCAACTATTAGCATTGCCACTATTCCAACCATTAACATTGGAACCAAGAGCATCCCAATTGCAATGACTCTTTCAAACGCTCCAGCCTCCGACTTAACTGTGACTCCATCATTCGGAACCACCACCACAGCCATATCAATTAATCCAACATCACTTACATTCAAGCAAGATGTCAATGTCTTATACTTCCAACTCATTGTTTCTAGCTCATACACCACTGCTTCACCATCCCTTTCATTCACCCTCACTGGAACTGATGCAGCTGCCTTTACTCAACCATCTGCAAAATCAGTTACTGTTTCAACCTCTTCAAGCACTGCTACTGCAGCAACAGTAAATTTATCTTCAAGTGTTAAGAGCGTCAACCAAGTAGTTGTCACTGCAACTTGCTCACAAAACATTGTTCTTTATTGGAGTCTTTCTTGCAAAGGATCTGTAGTCCCTACCTTCTCAGAACTCATTTCAATGACTGCAGATCTTATTTCTAAGGGCTCAGGAACTTACTATCTTCAAGAGCAATTAGACTCTGACTACTCAGCCACTGAAACAGCCCCTGATTACACCAAAGGTGACACTGATATTCAATCCTTCTTCAGAAGACAGCATAAAGAGCACTGCGCTTCTCCTTGGACCTCTTCTCAAGTTATTTACAGCGGTACTTCTGCTTCAATTGACTTGAACTGGCTTATGGGAGGGACTGATTACACCTTTACTGGTTATGCAGTCAATGAAGTTACTAACAACACTACTCCTGTCACTATTAGCTTCTCTACCTCTTCTCTTCCTTCAGTATCAACATACTCTGTCCAATTCTCAGGAAGCGTTGCCCAAACCAGTGGAGATAACATTAAATTAAGCCTAGCTAAGAATATGGGCATTAACCCAGCTTGGCTCACTCTTCAATCTTATAACGGACCTACCTCCAGATTCCTTGCTGACTCAACAACCACATTTACTTACAATGTTCTTTATGACAGAAGCAAGTCATACACCCCAGCCAACATTATTGCTAATATTGACCAAACTCAACTTTCCTCAGATTTGACCACTCTTGTTGGAACTTCCCCAACCTTGACCTCAGGAACAGCTGCCTCAGCAACCACCCCAACTTGGGCTACTATAGCTTTTTGCCTTGAGTGGCGCGGTATGGGCGCCACTTCGGCAAGCTCCTTCTTCCAGTTGGCCGAGCCAACTCAGGTTGGTTCGATCAACTGGAGAATTGACAAGTGAGGCCTTTTGGGGAGACTTGTCAATTCTAGTTGGCCGAACCAACCTGAGTTGGCTCGGCCAACTGGAAGAAGGAGCTTGCCGAAGTGGCGCCCGCACCGCGCCACTCAAGGCAAAAAAGCATGCCCCTGCTTATAGCACGGTTGGAGAAGGTTTCATATGTTTTGTCATAAAAAAAAATTATATCGAAAACAATTTCTTTTCAAATTTTATTTTTTTATGGGTTGATCGGAAATCGTTTAAAAGTAATTGTCACTTGTTAAAAATCTCGCTGTTGGAGAAACATCAGCTGCATTCACTGCTACCTCGACAGTAGCTGGAACTGTTCATGTATCTTGCACAGAAAGCGTCATTTCAGGAAAGAACGTTTATGCTTGGCAAGTTATCGATGGATTAGATGGTAATTCAGAAATTGCTTATGCAGCTACTAATAACAGCACAGCCAGCACTAGCACTACTTTGACAGTATCAGGCTTAACCGGTGGCACTACCTATTATACCTTGGGGCAGAGTTTAGGCTTCCTCAAGCTCATTTTTCCTAAATTGATTTATAAATTTTCTGTTAGCAAGCCAACTCCAAGCTGGCATAGCCAGATTGCTTCCTTGAATTTCAGCTTGAAGTTGGCTGATAAATTTAAGGTTGGTAAGCAAATCCTTCAAGGTTTATAGGTTGAGGTGCCTTAAGGACAAGTAAATAATTGCCCAGGTTATACTGCTATTTCACTGCTTGCAATAGCTATCCACTCTGGCCAACTTGCATCGATTATTCATCAACTGCTTCATTGGCCATGGTAACAATCAAGACCACCACTCCAGACGACGACAGCGCTATGGTCTTAGGTGCGATCGCAGGATTATTCTTAATCTTTAACTAACTCCCCCCCTTCCGTGAGTGAACAAAAAAATTTTGTTCACTCACGGAGGTTAATTTTTTTTTTAAAAAAATTCTATATAAAAATTTATAAAAAATTTTTTTTCGAAATTTAAAAAAATCCTAATTCGCAAAAATTGGAAAGCAAATATTAATTTAATTTATAAATTTTGTGTTTTAAAAAGCAATTTGTTTAAAATTAAACAGAATTAGCGCTAGATTTCATTATATTAATTATCACTTATATATCAAATTTTTTTTCCATAAAAAATTTTTCTATTAAAATAATTTTTGTTCACTCACGAAGGGTGGGTTTTTGGGCAAAAAATAGCGATTTTTCTAATGGTTTTGTTCACTCACGGAGGGGGGGAGTAAGCTTTTCATCTTAAACTGCCTGAAATTAATTATTTGTTTATTTGTCTATTTGTCTATTTTTCGAATTTTCTTTTATTCTTTAAATTTTTAAATTAAAATAATATTTATGTCTATAAACTTTTTAGTTAAATATTAACCATTACTTATTATGAGCGATTTTTGCATATGCATATGCTTCATCAATTGCTTTCTTAACACCGGCGCCTTCTTTAGTTTCCTCTCTCAGCACTTTATCTAATTTTAGTAAGTTTTTGAATACAAGGTATTGGGCTTTCTCCTCTTCTTTTTGCTTTTGTTTTTCCAATTTCTTTTTAGCGTACTTAGAAATCAATGCAATTTGTTCATTCTCGAAGTCTTCTAAATTTCCAGCCTGAATAAGAGTTACTATAAGAGACCATTTTTCATTCTGGTCTAGATTAAAAATTCGCCTGTTTCTGATTAGGGTTGATCTGGTCAGTTGCTCTGGGATTTGGACGTATTTTTTGCCTTTTTGATTTCTTAACAAGCTAAAATTCGACTCAATATGATTTTCAAGTTCACTTAAAGTTGCTGACCCGTGGGATTTTAAGTACTCAACCAAGCAGCCTTCAGAAGTTGCTTTAAATTTATTATTAGCGTCATAGTAAGCTGCTCCTTCAGTAGAAGTGCTTTGTAAGTTAGCTCTTTCTAACTCCCCTTCCGTGAGCGAACAAAAAGATTTTGTTTGCTCATGGAGGAGGGTTAATTTTTTTTAACAATTTATATAGAAATTTTGTTTTCGAAATTTTAAAAAATCCCACTTCTCAAAAATTGGAAAGGAAGAATTATAACTTATATATCAAACTTTTTTCCATAAAAAATTTTTGTTCGCTCACGGAGGGTGGGTTTTTTGGTCAAAAAAAAGGGATTTTTTTAATGGTTTTGTTCGCTCACGAAGGGGGGGAGCAAGTTTTCGGCTTCTCTTTCCATTTATATTTATTTTCCAGTGAATGATGACCTTAATTTTAACTTATATTACTTATCGATAAGTATCCTGTATGCCTGAAAGCAGTCATTAGCGTCTATGCTCATCAATTGCTTGTCAGTCGAGCATGGCATTCTACTATGCTATTCATTACAGGCAAGGGCTAATATTCTCACCTGAGACCAAGAGCACTGGATCAGCATTCCGCACTCAACGAAATTGCCTTCAAGAAACTCTGGCCATTGTTGACTAAAATGGAAACTCATAGCCCAGGACGCAACACCTCGCGAAAATTTCAATTGGCAAAGAACTAAATAATGACTCTGCAGGGCTCCCCTCCCATACTCTGAATCCCATTGCTCGTGAGGCAAAAAACACTCATGATGCGAGCATGTGCCGGCTAGCCATCATTGCGCTCCATCTAAGTTGCCAAAGTCTGGGCCGGATATATATTTATAAACGCTATCTTCTCTTTTCACAATATCCCTGGACTTTCAATAAGCCTTCCGGCTAAATATCATAAGGACGGGTTAGATCTAACACCACTTTAATGTGCATACATAAATGATGACATAAAAATTGCTATCAAGTAGTGAACTGTTTTATCAAATATTTGGTCTGGATAATTTAATATTTTTTTAATACAATTTTTGTGGTTCAAATAGTTTATTATTGCATCAAGAAAGACAGAATTCTTGAAAAACAATTTAAGGAATTTATGACTATTCTTAAATCAAAAAACTCTAGCCATAGTAATGATAATAATAGGATGCTTTTGCACAGGCACTATATAAATATTTAATAAATCTACTGCAATAAAAATATTCTTACCAAATGTTTGCATTTCAGCAAAATCAATTTACATCTTTGACAAAAATTTTTTTGAGCTATATAGATCAATTTGAGCAGAATATAATAAGGCTACTAATATAGCCACAGGCTCAAACATAAAAAGCCAAATCCTTTATTGGTATCAATAATCAACCCTTCGCAATCATATCTCTAAAATTCAAGTTAAATATTTTTGGTAGCTTTTAGCTTCTTCCGCATTTAATAATTATTGTATCTATAAAAATTTATAAATTTGATTATTTATTTTGAATTCTCATGTGAAATAATTTTAATTGGCTTTTTTAAGCTAGTCAAAGCTTTTCTAAATTTCCATCCAGAAATCTTATATTCTATAAACTGAAAGTCCTATACAAAATTGGAATTAAAATGTGTTTATACCTAAATCTTTCAAAAAGGCCTTGTGTAAATTTAAGTTTCAATTATTTAGAGCTGCTTGATAAATTTACTTGCTCATCCCTAATTTCTAATTGATGTTTTAAATGAAAGATATCAGCAGCATAACATTATCTTAAATTTGTTTAAAAACAATATAAAACCTTTAATAGCTTTTGAAAAATAAATTCTTTAAGCAGAAACAATAATTTTGTCCAGCTCTGCTATCGATAAGCTCAATAATTAGATTCAAGTCTGAAAATTCAGTCATTTATTAATTAGTACAAAATAATTCGCTTGAATTCACACCTTTTCCAAAATTTAGCTTGAATCATATGCTATTTTGAATTACAATTAACCCCTCATATTTTGTTAAACATTAATAAAAAATATGCATCATTACGTAGCCGCTGCAATTGTCGTGATTTTCATTTTTGTAGCTTCTTACCTTCTCAAACCAAAAATTATTGTTGATCCCCGAAGGCCTGAAAGAGTATACAGAAGTGATGAGTGCTTACTCTGCTTAGATCGTGTAAATAATCCAGTTCAAACTTCATGCGGACATGAATATTGTGGTCAATGCATTATACAAGTCTGGAAGCACGACAGATCTTTGTCATGCCCAGCTTGCAGAACATCAGTTCATTTGCTTTTCCCTGATTTTCAAGAAACAGAAGAAACAAAAGAACTAATGAAAGAAATTATTATTTATTGGACATTTTACTTATTTATAGGTATATAAGCCTAATTTTAGCCTGAAAAAATATTTTTTCATAAGAAAAATGGATGATTTAGTATAATACATTCAATTCAGATCGCTATCCAAGGACGATCTGGCAAACCATTGTAGAGGCTCCAACGCTGCTATTAAGGTTTATTATAAGTGGGGATTTTTTGAGGATTTTCAGGTTTTGGAAAGTTATTTTACTTGTGGCGTTTTGTGTAGTTTATGTAATGCTACCTGAAGATATAATAAATGAAGCTGAAGTTGGGCCTATAGGAAGTATCGATGACCTTGTGGTAGCGATATTGTCACTTCTATGTGCGTCGATTTCTTATTATAACAGAATTAGAAGGCTATCTGCTGATAGATTAGTAGCCAATTAAGTCGTTCTTTATGTGATTTTTGTTAATAACTCTTAAATAGTAAAGATATAGACATATTTTCCTTAAATAGTCAATATATATACCCTTTAGCGTTAATAAATCATAAAATATAATAATCGCATCGAAAAATAATGAATTTATATCCCAATAATTATAAATAATAATAATAATTAACGATATGTATTTAAGGTCCCTACTTCCAAGCGTGACATTCCTCCGCGCCCCTTGAGGAGCCGTGCTGGCACGAGCGAAAAGGATGGACTTCCATCACTGGTTCTCTGAGCCCAGGCCGAAACCCCTGGTTTCTCGGTAGTGGGTTGCCCTATTGGGTCGTCAGCCGACCGTCGCCGGGCACCACCATTTCCAACTCAGCCTTCCGCCCCGAGTTTACGCCAGTCTCTGTCTCCGGTTGGCCAGGCCGTCCTTCTTTCAAGGACCCTTTTAACTGGAGAGACCGCCTTGTTGTCTAATCTGCCTCCCTTTTTCCCAGCTTATCCGCTTGAGAAAAACTCAATCGCTTCCGCGATTCGGGGCAGACCACAGTAGCAGCTTGAGCAGGTAAGTCGCCCTGCTCCATTTCGGGCACCCACTGGCTTGGGCGCTGCTGGAAAAAGAAGATGCTCCTAACTGCCCTAGGATCTGGCCACGATCAGCGGGTCTGTGTTCTCCCCTGGTCGCCACCAGGGTCCAGATATTGCTGGGCTAAGTCGCTTCTCCTGAAAACCATGCCCGGATATACATGGGTTACCGTCACTGGGAGGACGGGTCGGACGTCATACGCCATTTTATGTATATATCCCAATAATTAAGATCAATTAGGCTAATTCTAAATCCATGATAATTAATATGGTTAAAAAGATCAAACTTAACAAAAAGAAAGCAGAAGCCACAAGCATAGAAAACCTTCAAGAAGAAACCACAAAACCCAAAATCCCAAAAGACCTCTTCATGATCGATAAAAAAGGTGACGATTCCATCCAAAAGAAATTAGCTCCTCAATACCCAGAAAAATTCGCAAAAGATAAAGAAATCCGCAGCTTCACTAAAGGCGAAAAAAGGAGGCTTGAAAAACTAAAGCCTTCAAAATCCAAGCCACAAAAAGAAGAAAATCTTTACGATTTATGGAACGACGACACACAAGCCACAGCTCCAGAAACCAAAAAAACACACATTCCTGCAGTATTGGCCCCACACCCTGGGCAAAGTTACCTGCCTTCAAAAGAAGAGCATAACGATTTACTGGAAAAAATCATTGAAGAAGAGGAAAATGCAGAAGCAAAAAAGCAAAAAGTCAATGAAATCCTTAATAGCTACAAGGTAGTTGATGATTTACCAAGCCCAGTAGAAAGTGAAGAAGAAGACGACACCCCTGCAAATTTCATTAAAAATCCTCCTGTAAAAGAGAAATTTTTGACAAACACAGAAAAAAACGTAAAAATGCGTGGAAAACTTAAAGAGAAGCTGAAAAAAATCCAAGCTGACGAAAGGAAATTTAAAAAACAGATAGATCAACTACCACAGATTATGGGAGAAATTAAAAAAGAGGAGAAAATCCGAAAACAAAGCAAAGAGGAGTTTGAATTGCAAAAAAGACTGAGGGAGGAGCTAGAAATGAGAGGAGAAAAAGCTCCGAAAATAAGAATGGGGAAGTTCCGATATGAGCTTCCTGAAACAATTGGGGTTGTTGATCTGCCTAGTAATTTAAGAAAAGTTAGTGTGAAAGGAAACGTGACTGAAGATAGGTTTGATTCCTTGATAAGAAGAAAAATGATTGATATGGATGAAGGTAAGCCAAGGAAGAGACAAATGGTGACGAAGGAGAGCAGAACTGGGGATACTGCTAAAGTTATGCATGAAGAGAGAAAAAAGAAAGAAGAGGAAAAGCTGACAGGAAATATTGCATTGAATTAGATAATTAATCTTTCTGAGTACTCTATAGAAATTATTTATGAGTATAATTAAAATTTATTTATTATATATTATGCAGCTTTTAAATGAGTATTAATTATTTAATATCAAGACAAAAATTAGCATATTCATAAAAAATGGTAAGTGAATAATATCATTTCTCTGAAAATTTGAATATCTATAACATCCTCAAGATCATTGTTTGATAAATATTAGGAAGCTCATAGCATGAATGATTATACTTCATGTTTTAAATAAGATTACTTAGAAAGTGCAAGACGATTACTTTGTTGTTTTTATTTAAATGTAATTTTTTATCCTATTTCTAAGAATTCCTATTACCATTATGCTGCACATATTCAGGTTAATTTAATGAGTAAATAATAGTCAGAAAATAATATCTTTAGTATACAAAAAAATGATGCGAAAAGGAAAAATTTGGAACGAAGAGGTGATTTTCATATAGGAAGACAAATGGATTAGGGAGCTTGTGGAGGAATTCGGTGATAAGAACTGGATTTTGATAGCCCAGAATTTACAAGAGCGTCATAAGGTAAAGGGAAGGTAATAATTACTTAGAACTGCAAAACAATGCAGAGAAAGATGGCACAACCACATCAACCCAGTAATAAACAAAGAAGCTTGGACAAAAGAAGAAGAAAAGATTTTATTTGAGTACCAACAAATCTACGGTAACAAATGGTCTGAAATTGCAAGATATCTTCCTGGAAGATCAGACAACTCAATTAAAAACCAATTCTACAGCACAGTCCGCAAAAACCTTCGCCGATACAATAAAAAAAGGCCACCAAATGAGAGGATTTTAGGCAAAGTCAAACAAATTTTGCAAAATCCAGCTTACTATGCGATATTAGCAACTAGTTCTGAAATCCCAAAGGAAACAAGTACAGTCCGCAAATCTGAAGACAAAAAAACAAAGCCTTTACCTAATAACAAAGAGCCTTTAAAATCTCCTCCCATTAAAAATCAAGCTGAAGTGCCTTTAAAAGATGAAAATATTCAGGACGAAACACCAAATATTCTATGTTCTCTATATGAAGAGCCTAAAGAAAAATCAAGTATTATTTGTCCACCGTTATATCAGCCAGAAGAAATCAAGCAGGACGATATTAAGATTGAGCCATCCATGCCAATTTTTAATTTGGCTAATTATCAGACTGAGTATAATTTCAAGAAAAATAACATGCTTAAATTTCCTGAAGATTTTCCGATTTGCAACTGGGATAACCCTGAGGTGTTTGATGGGACGCTACAAAGAGGGGATTCTTTAGGAGGCGTACAAGAAATAGGCCAAGAAATTCAGCGATCTGATTCACTTCAAAGCCTTAAAAAGTATGATTCTTCATCAGGGTGGAAATCAGAAATCAGCATGGATTTCTTACTCTATACAAAAAATACAATAAATCAAAAAATTATTTTTTTAAAAATTATTTATAAAAATATTTTTGATAAAACGAGTTAAGGCAGCTGAGAGCATCCAGCTTACAATCTTATACACTTCCGCCTTTTTCTCCGATGGACTCTTTTCAGCATATAAATATGAACCCTCGTAACAATAGTTAAGCATTCATGTATTTATCTTAATTTTTCAATTCCTCTTCCCAAAGTCAGTTATTGAATTTCACTTTTCGGAAAATTTAAATAAAATGGCAAACAAAGCAGTCTTTTCAATAGGCTCAGACTGGCTTGGACAAGGAGAATTGTTATTCGCCTGGCAGCGTTCAGACTCTCTAGTTGCAGTATGTGGCAGCAGTGGAATTGTGCATATTCTTGACCGCCAAGGCAAAAAATACACTGAGCTTTCCCTCCCTGAGAACCGCCCACTAAAGGAACTTGACTGGGACAAAGATGGAGAAGCAGTTGCAATTCTCCAAGAAGGCCTCACCTACGTCCTCGTCTGAAATATAAACACCCGCAATTACACCCAGCTAGAAATCGGGTCAAATGACCGTCCGAGTTTCATCAAATGGAGCAAGGTTCAGCCAGTCCTCGCAATTGGCTCAGAAAAAGGAGGCCTAGTCTTCTATAACAAAGGAACTCAGCGCAAAATCCCGACCGTCGGCAAGCACTCAATGAAGGTCATATCAGGTGACTGGTCAAAAGATGATCTTTTAATAACAGGAAGCGACGATAAGACTTTGACAATTTCTACTATGAACGGAGACACCAAAATGCAGAGCTCGCAAATAAAGGCCCAACCTTGGAACTTAAAATGGGGTAATGCAGGAATGGCAACTATGATGCTAAAAGACCAATGTTTATTGGCTTATTTTACAAATGATAACTTATCCTCTATAGAAATTTCTTTTCAGCAGCATTATGGACGGCTTTTGACTTATGAGTGGTTTAGTGAGGATAGGATTATAGCAGGATTTAGTGAAGGCTGGGTTGTAGCAATAACTACACATTTAGCGGAAATGGGGAATGAGATAAATTCAGTGAAGCTTTTTAATACGACACTCGATGCTATTTGTGTATGCAAAAGTTTAGGGAAGGTGGCTATTGCAGGGGATAATTCAATTAGGATTTTGGCTTTGTCAAATTTTAAGGAAAGTAGGAGTGACAAAATTGAGCTGGCTTTTGAGGATGGGAGGATTACGAAAATGTATTGGACTGATGACGGACAAATTTTGACGGCAGCTACCACAGGTGGGAAATTGCTGAACTTTTTGATGATTATGCCTTCTCTTTCGAGCTCTTTTGGGACTTTGGTAGGCCTTTTGACGTCTTTGACTGAAATTTCAGTTATTGAGTGTTCAGGCGGGGTAAGAGTTATCAATAAAGTTACCTTGGAGACTGAGCCTTCTATTATGTGCTTAGGACCTTTCCATATAGGTGTAGGAATTAATGCCAGTGTATGGTACTACAGATGAAGAGACCACAAAAAAGACCTAATTGACGGCGGAGTCTGTGTAAGAAAAAGGGATTACCGCGGCAGCGCCAAAAGTATGGTAATTAACCATGCCTGGACCGCTACTCTTTCTGATGGGATTTGTTCTCTGCATTTAATAGAAAACGACGACCCTAAAGCAGAAAAGCAGTTTCCTGAAGGAAATGATGAAAAAGTCGCTTGCATCGCTATGAGCCCAAGTTTCTTGTTTATTGGCGACGCTTCTAATAGGATTAGATGCTTTTCGCTAGAAGATATGAATTTTGTAAGTGAATATAGGATGGAATCCCCAATAGCGGCTGTATATCCAAGCCAAACCGGCACTAAAGTGGTTGTCAAAGACGTGACTGGGGCTGGATTTTTATACACCCCAGCTAATGAAAAAAGACTCAGCATTCCCAATTTTTCAAGCAGCGTGCTTAAAGTGATATGGGACACGTCTGACCAAAATTTATTTGTCATTTGTGAAGCTGAAAAAGTTCTGGCGTTTCTTTATAGTCCGGTAACACTATATGGGGCTACTATAGAGCCAGTAAGGGAGCTTTTATCTGTAGAAGATTTGGATAAGAATTTAAGGGAGTCTGTGACTATTATAGAAAAAGGCCAAAAACCGGTGCTGCTTTTTAATGGAATTTTATTTTGCTTATCTGAATCACAAGGGAATGTCAAAGGAAACTTTTTGTCAAGCCACACGTACTTGAACCAATGGAGAGGCAGAAGTGATACCCCAGAAGGCCATTATAAATTTTTCTTGCAAAATTTATCGCTAAAGCGGTTTCAACAGTGCTTTTTGGTAGCAGAAAAGCTGGGAGGAGTAAAAATCCCTGAGGTGCTAGGAAATTTAGCCTTGCAAAATCTTGATCTTGAGGTAGCTGAGCGCGCTTATCAGATTTCTAAAAATGTAGGGATGGTGTATGCTATTAAAAATATGAAGCATGAGAGTGAAAAACAGATTTTACTTGGAAATGTCGCTTTAATTTTACATCAGCATGATTTAGCTCAAGATTTGTATATGAAATCCTCACAGCCGAAGCTAGCTTTAGAAATGAGATGTGACCTACGTTAACATTAGATTATAGAGTAGCTCGCTTTCAGGATCCTAAAATTCTTATTCCTTCTATAAAGCATTACTCGCCTGCTTGCTAGCAATCGTAGCACAACCTTCAAAGTGTTATTCCTACGAACGCGGGCTTGAGCACACTCTCCGGTAGTAGAAAAGTTTGGGTCACCGTGCTGCACTCAACGGGGCTGGCTTCGAGGAAGCGAAAAAACAAATTTTCTGGTTGCCGGTCAGCCAGATGGAAATTCATAGCTCAGGAGCAATGCCTAGTATTGCGCTGGGTAAAATTCCTGATCGGCCAGGAGGAACCTCGCTTTTACTGCTGGAACACCCCTTTCCAACTCAAAACTCCATCTTGACCTGGAATGAGCTGCGGTCGGCCTAATCCGACGTTGCGCTCTATCAAATCAAGTAAAACCTGGCCAGAAACACATTACCGAACGCCATCCTCCCTTACACAAGGTTCCTCGGTCTCCCCAGCTTCAGGTGCTAAGAGGGTGAGCTGGCTCACCATGCCATATAATATATATGAGTTATGACCTACAGGACTGAATTATTGCCTTACAGCTTGCCAGATCTGTAGCTCCAGAAGAAGAACCAATCATTAGCAAACAGCTGGCTTTACAATTAGAAGCCCAAGGAAATTATTCTGAAGCTTTACGACTATTTGAAAGAGCAGCTCAGAGCATGCAAGGCTCAGGACTATCTTCTCAAGAGCTGAACCAAAATCTTATGCAGAGTTACGCAGGAATGGCCAGGACCAGCATAAGAAATGGCGACATCACCCGAGGCAATAAAATTGCTTTAGAACTGAACGATCCCCAGCTAAAAGTAGACTGTGCCCAAGTATGTGAACAAATGAAGCATTACATTGAAGCTGCTCAGCTCTACAAAAGTGGAGGACAGCCTGAAAAAGCAGCCAGCTTATATATCAGGCTGAAAAAATGGAAAGAAGCTCTTGAACTTATGAGCGTCATTAAGACCCTAAAACTATATACATAAAATGGCTGGAGACGAGCGACCCGTCCCTCGTGGCGGGTGTCCTTATGTATACCGGACGTGGTTTTTGGATGCAGAGAGCTACTCAAGGGAAGAGTTAGCCTCGAGGCGAGGCCCAGCCCAATTTCCACTGATTTGGGACTTGACCCGGGCAGCAGTTTTTCGCATTCTTTTTGCCAGTAGCGCCGAGGCCCAGACTCGGTGTCCGAAAGTGCAGGGTGAGTTACCTGCCTAGGCTACTTGGTGGCTTCGCCCCGAGTTCTTTCTCGGAGCTAATCCGGAAAAGAGGGGAAGGCGAGGCTTGACTCAGATTCTCAAGGGCATAAGTCTCTCCAGTTAAAAGGGTCCCTGAAAAAGGGGCGATCTGGTCGAGCTAAGCAGGGTTGGGTAATGCTGGCGCCTAGGTTGGAAATGGTGGTTCCTGGCAAAATCCGTATTACTCGGATCAGGAGGGAAATACCACTACCAAGAAACCGGGGTTTGGGCCGGCCTAGATTAGCCTTGGGGGAGCCCACCCTGCAGCGGTCGCTGCGGAACGCATGGTACTTCGAAGTAGGGACTATAAATATAAAGTGCATAATCTAATCTAATCTAATCTAAGACCCCAAAACTCCTTATTCAGTTGGCCAAAGCTAAAGAAGCTGAAAATTCTTTTAAAGAAGCAGAAGAAGCTTATGAAAAGGCTGGGGATTTCGAAAGCGTGATAAGACTTAATCTTGGGACACTTGATAACCCAGACAGAGCTAAAACTTTAATAAAAACAAAATGCCCAACTACAGCTGCAGCTTCTATGATGGCTGATTATTTAATTGACAAAGGCAAAAAAGAAGAAGCCTTGGAATTTTTAATTATGGCTGAGAGAAAACAGGACGCTTCCGTATTAGCTCAAAGCAATAAGTTAATAGAAAAATACTCAAAAATTGTACTAGAAAGAGATGATAAAAATGTAGAAGAGCATGTGAAAATTGCGCTTGTTGCTGAAGGACAAGATAAGCCTTGGCTAGCTGCTAGGCATTATGAGAAAGCAGGGAATCTGCAGAAATGCTTGCAGCTTTATATGCAGGCTGGGGAGGAGTATTATGATGAAGCTATAGATATGGCGGGAAGAGCCAAAAGCGACGTAATTTCTATGCAATTATATGACTTTTTTATGGGAGAAATGGGGGATGGGATTCCAAAGGACCCTAAGTACATTTTTAGGCTAAATTTAGTGATGGGAAGGCTTAAAGAAGCTGCAAATACTGCAATAATTATAGCCACTGAAGAGATGGAAGCAGGAAACTATAAAAAAGCTCACACCATATTATACGACACCACAAAACGCTTAAGAGAAGAAGGCCAAAGAGTTCCTCAAGCAATGCAGAATAAGCTCATGATCGTCCACTCCTATGTCATTGTAAAAAGGCTCGCCAAGCTGCAAGACCATTTAGCCGCTGCCAAACTTTTGAACCGAGTTGGCAAGAATATTTCTCAATTCCCAGCCCACACTGTACAAATCCTAACATCTACAGTCTTAGAATGCACCAAAGCTGGGCTTAAAGAAGCTGCTTACAACTGGGCCTGTGTGCTGGTTAGGCCTGAATATAGAGTGTATTTAGATGAAAAATACAAGAAACCTATTGAAAAAGTAGCAATTAAAAGGCCAAAAGTTGCTGACCCAGAGGAGACAACTTCTCAGTGTCCGTTTTGTAATGCTTATATTTTTGATTATGAATTAGAGTGTGAGAGCTGCAAGAACTCGATTCCTTACTGTGTTGCATCAGGAAAGCATATGATTTTGAAGGAATGGAGCCAATGTCCAAATTGTAAATTCCCTGCAATATTGTCAGAGTTGGTCAGGTCGTTGGAGTCTGAGCCGACCTGTCCTATGTGCAACCAAAGTATAACTTCTGGCCAGCTGAAGTTGTTGCCAGACCCAGTGAGTGAATTAAGGTCAATGATGGATAAAGCTGAAAATGAAGGAGAAGAAGGGGAAGAAGAGAATCAAGCAAGATATTAGTAATCATAATTATTATAATTTAAGAAAGTTCACATGGGTGTTTAATGCTTTATTTTTCAGCATTTTCCTAAAAACAATAATGGCATTTATGCTTAATTATGAAATAATTATAGCGATATAGCTTGTTTCTGATTGATCTTTTACCATATGATTGAATCACTTTTAGGATGTAAAATAATCATGGGATTTCTAAACGCCAGAAAGGATATTATTGTGCGAATTTATCAGAGAGGGAATTTCTACATTAGCTCTCATTAATTGTTTCGAATAATTCAAAGAAACTTTTAAAGTATTTTTAGAGTCTTATAGGCCAGAATTATATATAAAAGCTTAGTCCTAATAGCGTTTTGCCTATTCAAATGCATCATAATGACATAAATTAATTCTTTTCTTTTGAGTGAATTATTTTTAATTTTTTATGGGATAATTTTACTTAAACATTTACTCCTATGGGATTTTTATTATAAATTTTTTTTATTGGTAAAGTATGAATGAAAAAATAAAATCAAAGATATAAAAATTTTATTAGAATATGATAAAAAATAGGGAGATTAAATTATAATTTTCTCATAAAACTAATATAATTTTATTAAAAATTATTCATTATAAGAAGTGAGAGATTTTGCCTCACAGTTCTTGTAATAATCAATAATCCCTTCATATTTCTGAAGGATATTGTTCATTTGAGAATACTGCGCTTCATGCTCTTCTTCTTTTTTCTGTATCTCAGCTTGCAAACTGATCGCTTTTACTTTAAAACTCAAGGATTCTTGAGTGAGACTCTCAATTTTCTGCATCATTATCTCAAAAAGCAAAGAAACACATTTCATCATAGCCTCAAGCGGCTGAGCGTGCTGTGGAAATACCTTGTAAATCCCTTTAAGAATAGAACTCATACAAACCAAATAGTCAAGGTACAAACTTTTATAATCTGAACCATCAGCAATGATCTGCTTCAGCAAACTTATGGACTTACTCTGCAAATGTGCGCAAGTAGCTTTTAGTTTTCCGATTATCTTGATAATCCGACTCATATCAGCTGAAGTTGCGTCATTATTAGACCCTTCATTTGGATCTTTAAAGCAGGGAGTTATCGGGTTTTTTATTGAAAATGGAGGCGCTAGCTGACTCTGCCTTTTAAATTGGAATAAAAAATAGGTAAAATTTCCATATTTGGTCAATTATACAATTTTTTTTAAAATTAATTTTGACCTAATTTAATTGAATGGTACAATTAGAATATTATTTAAACAGTTTTAAATCAGATTAGTTTTTGAATTAATTCTTCATAAAATAAATTAAAATCCGAAAAGAGTGTGCTCAATTTTTAAATTTTTTAAACAGAAAAATTTAATCCGATTTTTAGTTAATTTAAAGGGGGAGTGAGTAAAAGAAGTTTGCATTAAAGCTTCTGGGTTATTTTGCCGCTTACCTTCATTTGTCTCTTTTTGATTAATAAATTGAGGTATTATCACCCTTAAATATTGCGATTTTAACGATAAGTCCAATGACAGCTTATTTCCTCCTATAGAAAAATCAATTGCAAAAGGGCTGGTTTCCTGCTGCATTTCTTTAGAAGAGCATCCAGATATGCTTGGCAGTCTTCTCTTCGGTGGGGTTATTGATTTAAGCCTCCCATTTTCAAACATATTTGAAGAAATCGGTGGCGGATCGTGATTTCTTGACGATTTCTGGCTTCTTATCGGCATCTCTAAATTTGACTTGATCTGCATAATAATAGCGATTTGGTCATTTAGCATTGCTTCATTTACTGGAGAAATCAAGCAATATTCACAATAAGAACTGGAGTCTGAGACATTGGTTAGGCATAAGCATTTTTTACACCGCTTAAAGCTTGCTGTTTCAGAAAGGTCAAAAGTAGAAATATTAGTCTGTGGGAAAGAATTTGCCTGCTCTGGCTTTAATTGGGATAAATTTCTTGGTAAGTTTTTGTTATTAGCTCGGCAGCTGCAACCACATAGTAAGCAGGAGTTTTTTCCTAATTGTCTGATTTCTTTTATATCCTCAGGAGACAGCTTTGAAATACCTAAACCTGACACTTTTTCAAGTAGCCCTATCCTTGTATTTTCTGCTATTTCATATATTTCGCTATGAATAATGCGTCATTCTTCAATGGAAATTTTATCGAGAAATTGATAATGCAGGCTACTGCTTATTGATCCTCGGTTTTTCAGTTTTGAGCTGAGCTCATTGGCTGAATCTGGCTCATCGTTAAGAAGTGTGCGCTCTGTATAAGATCTTTTAAGATCTGTAACTGAGGATTGCCTCTGGTGTTTTAGTCCTGGGACATGAACAGCAAGAGTGTTTAGATCATCTGTAAACGATTTCGGGATGCTATTAATATTTTGAGCTTTAATTATGTCAGCAAAATCACTTCGTTCAATTTGATGACTTTTTTCTTTATTATCAACAACTGTTTTCCTGCGGATTGCGAGCTCAGGAACGTTTCTGTGGAATTTTGAAATCGATTCTGCTATTTGCATATTTTATGAATTACTATAATTCAATGGAAGCCAATTAATTCATTATTTAATTTATTAGTGCAAACTACCATATAATATTCTCCAAAGAACTGGAGGAACAAATTTGGCAAACTTTACTTGTTTACAATATGGTGTATAGCACAAGTCTCATTTTAGATCCCTGAGGACAAGTGTTTTTATTTAAAAATTAATTAAATTAAGGAAAAAACTGAAAAGTCAATTTTCAAACTATAAATAGGACATATATAATGGCATTTTTAAATTGATATTTCACTTTTTGGTATTTTTTTAAAATAAATTTTTTATTTAAAGGGCAGTTTCCTTGAAAATCTATAGGAGAGCACGCGCTATAATCTGTATAGCACTACTTTCTATAAATAACGGTAAAATAATTAAAAATTAAAACGTTCTGTTTATAAGCTTTTCTTTTTAATATGTGTATTCATAATCGTACTTTTACATAAACCTACAATAGTTTCTCTAAATAATTTGCTGAATTTTTCAAGAGTGTCTGGCTTGAAAGTCTGCTTTACGAATTTCGGCTTGGGGATATAAATCCCATTATCTTTGCAAATGCAAAGTAAATCATTGCTTGATTTCGCGATATTTGCTTGGGAGTCCATGGATTCTGACAAGCTGCTGGTATTATATTTTCTTTTATTATATTCTTCTATATTTCTTTCAATTTTTCTTCACCTTTCTTGCTTTCTTTTCTTTTTTTCAGTTATTGATAGGTTGCAATTGTCAATATGCAGCTCTGATTTGGAAAGCTTCATTTTTATTTTCCTTACCCTAAAGGATATTCATCCTAAATTCTGCAATTTCTATTAATATAAAAATGGAATTTTGTTGTCTATTATAGGGTGGGAAAGCTAAATTAGCCAAATCCAAGCGTGATTGAGGGACTTTAAGCTGCAACTTTTTAGGCTCCTCTTCTGAGTCATCAGAATTACCTTGGTGCCTCGTGCTGCAATTCGTATTCTCTAAACTTGCATTGTGAACTGCTGCAAAATCTAAAATAGAATTCGTCGAGTGGTGCCTCTTATGGCGTCCTTTAAAGCACGATTTTATATATTTCGCACAGTCCCCAGGCTGCAGATTCTGCAAAGTGTCTAGATTTCTTGAGAATTTTATTTTTGTTTGGATTCTGATAGGAGATCGCTTTTTTTTGGTTTCGCTTTCGTTTTTTCACTTCTTGTAATCAATCATGTATGCTGGAAACATCTGCATATGAGAAAGTGGCTGTGAGGCTGCTGGGCTCTGTATTGGAGATAGTTTTCTAAACAGTCTTCTGGCGTTCAATTCATTAATTCCTAAATTATTGTCAAGCTTTTCTTTTCTCTTGACCTTAAGTGGCTTAAATGCAGGATTTTCTGACATGCGTTTTTCCTTTAAATTTTTTTAAAGATTATTAACTTGAGAATTATTTTCGTTTTGGCTTTCAACTGTCAGCCTAAGAGCTGCTGTTGATGGCCTATTTAATTGAGCCCTAGGGCTAAATAACACTTTTGAAGAAGCAGTGTTTTCTGTTTTATAAAGCCCAGACCCAGTGGTATGTTTGCCGTAAAACCTATTTTTCTGCAGCTTGTGGTTGTTTTTCTGCTCAGCTTTTAAGTTCTGGTACCTCTTTAGCAAGCTTTCCATCTCTGAAGCTCTTAATTTCTTAAGTTCATCAAAGCCTTTGCTGGCTTTTAGCTTAAATGCCTCTATTTCGTGTTCATGCCTTTTGGCCAAAGTTCCCAAACTCAATGAAATTTGAGTGTCTCTGTCTTTTCCTCAGTCTTTTTTTTCGTTTTCTTCTAACTCAAGCATCTGCTGCTGGATTGCGTGAGCTTCTACGTATTCTTTATTTCTGACTAAGGTGTCTTGGATTCTTTTAAGATTTAAATACTCAGAAGAATGCTTTGGGATAATTGGGATTGTTTCTTCTAAGCTTTTTTTGGTGGTCTCAAACTCGTTTTCTTGTTTATTTCTCATTTGCTGTTCCATTTCTTTGCAGTTTTCTTTATAAGTGTTCATGCGATTGTCCCAATCGTCGTTAAATGCTTTAAATTCTTCTTCAAAAGTGGTTTCTAATTCGGCAGCTTCTTTGGCTTGGCGCTCAGAGAGCTCATCTTCACGTCTTTTTTTTTGGTCTGCTTTAAGATCGAGGATTCTTTGATGGACTTTTTCAGCTTCGAGGAACTGGCCTGATTTTTCATATGTAGTTCTTTGGGTTTCTAGCTGTTTACTATGTAAAATCTTACATTATTTCGTCTGTTTCGTCTGAATTGCCTAATGCTAGTGGAGGAACTAAACTATTGCTTTCCATTTATTATTGGTCTGCTTAATAGAAATATTGAGAAAATATATCAATAAGACTAGAATTTATAATATTTTTGATCTTTCATCATAATAATCCTTTTCGGAAGACAAATTAATATAAGATTTAGAGCTGAGAGAAAAAATAGTTTTGGAAAGCTAAATATGGTAGATTTTTAAAAATAAAAATTTAGAAAATCGAATTTTTTAATTTGGTTTGAAATTTATATATGATAAGTTAATTACTCAAATTTAAGCTTGTCTTGAAGCTTAATATACTGATCGACAGCATATTTCAAAGTATAGCATGGTTTAAGGTCTCTTCTTGATAAGTTTTGCCTAGTTAATGGGCAGAAATCATGACTTTCCAGCCATCTCTCTATATGCTCCCTTTGAAAACAGTGCCCATAGGGTGTTATGACAGGATTTGTCATCAATTCATGAGAAATTGGGCATAAGAGCGCTTCCATTCCTTCAGCATCTTGCTCAGTTTCATCATTCTCTCTTCTTTCAGTGGGAACTTTCACCTTTTTCCCCTTTATTTTTCTTTTTAGCCATTTGGCAAATTTTTTAAGGTTTTCTCTTATCGGTTCTTCTTTTGCTGCTATCGCTACTAAAATAATTCCGGCTATTGCTATCTTTACAAAAACTGCAGCCATATTTAACAATTATTTCAAATAATTGGCTTGCAGAATATCTCCAATTTATTATGCTAAATGAAATATTAAATATAAACACGAATTTTGAGTCTTTTTAGGTTGCAATATTACTAATTACAATTAGAAATTCACCATTTCTACAATTAAAATATCAGAACAGCCATTTTTAATTATAATAATTTTTAGAATTTTATTTTTATGCTTGTAAGAACAGTTTCGGAAAGCTGTAGCACAACATCTTTACAAAATAAGGATTATCAATAAAGTCAATATGCCTATTTCTGCAGCACACAAGCATCTTCCCCAAACTAGTCTGCTTAAAATGCACATCAATTTTAGTGACTTTTTCTTTATTTACCCTTTCATATATATTATTAATCATTTCTCTATAAATAGGGTCTTCGCAGTAATTTTGACTATTTTCTATTCGTGCAGAATCTTGTGAAACGTAAATATCGTCAGGGGAGCTAAATAAGACAATTTTTTCAAAATATTCTAAGCCTGGGGTTTTGCTTAATTCATAAATATAGCTTCGTTTAGACAGGGAAGTGTCAGAAAGGGACATTTGCTCGAATGACCGAGAATTTTGCCATTTTTTGATAAGCCATTTGCCGAACTCAAATAATGGGCTTCATGAAGCTACAAGACCAAGGTGGGGAGTGGACAAAGTTATAAGGCAATACATATTGTTTTTTAAGAAAGCTAAATGAGGAAGTGCAGCACGAACGATCAGCCCACCTAGTGAATGAGCTAAAAAAGAAACCTTCAGACGGGAAAGAGAAATATTATTGACCCTTAAAAATTGGTTTATTTCAGTTGCAAGATTTTTTCCTTGGAACCCAATTGTATGGTTTGATAAATTTTCATTGAATTTTGAATTTAAAATTGTCAAATTAGGGTACAAGTGGCTAAGGTAGCCTTTAATTAGTGTCATATCATGAGAGCTCCCTTGAAACCCATGCACTAATACTAAAAGATAAATATCATTAACTCTTCAATATGGATTATCATCAATTTCTTGTGGCTGAAAAGCAGTTTCCCCTAAAATATCATTTGAATTCTCAACTACGAAAATTGGCTGGAAATTTATATTTTTTGAAAAAAAATGCTCAGGATATATAAAACTTGGCTCAGGATTTAAGTGCAATTTCAACCGAAATCTCAAATTTCTGACTTTTATTTTTCTATCAATTGGATTATGTCCCTCATTCAATTCTTCATCAGAAATGAATTGGTTGAAATATGCCCGGCTTTTATAATGAAAAGTTGCTTTCAAAAATTCTAAGAAATTAATATTTGAGTCATAATATCTTTTTATCATTCCGTCCAATGAAATTGTAGACGTAGAAGAAAAAATATGAATTACAGACTCCACCACACAGAAATACTCAGGCTCAAAATTCAATGGAATATATTGATCGGCTGTTTCTCAAATATTTGCTATGATATATCTTTTTACAGATACAGGCTTTAAATTAGCATTTCTATCTGCAAGTTTAAGCCTAGGGCTTTCAGCTTCTGCTTGAAAATCAAGATTATCGTACAAAAGTTCTGCTTCAAGAAACAATGGGGACGATAAATAAAGCGGGACCTCGCATAAAAAAACACAAAGCTCATTAAGATTAAATTTTTCTTTTTGGTACCTGATCAGAAAGGAGCAGGAGCAATATGAGTGGTCAGTGTCTTGGATATATGATGGGGAAACATAATTCGGGTCAGATCTTCCTAGCTTTTTGCTGAAAAATCAAAAAAATATGGGCTTTGCGTAACTGAGCTATTTATTTCTTACCTTATTTTGGTACGTGTAATATAGTTTTATTCGAATCTGGTAAATCCCTTGTTTAAAAAGCTCTATGTTCACAAATTTCTCCAAATTGATCGCTATCTTGACTTCTCCTTTCTTTGACATTTTTATATTTAAATAATCCGTTTCAAGGATGAGCTATCATTTGATTTTTTTCCCTTTTTTGGCATCATAATAAAATGGCTACGTGGGGAATTAGTTTATCTTAGAACTATTCCTCCTTGCCAATATCGATTATGGGGTTCAGTTTTCCACATGAACCTTTATCCACAATGTCAATATGGAATAACTGTATAGGCAATTCGGTGACTTAAAGGAAAAGGAATGATTTTACTTGATTGCCTGATGCACCCGAGGAGGATGACCAAGGGGCTCAATACGCGCTGAAGTAGGTTCGGGCGAGACCTTCTGGCCGATAGAGGGCCTTCTGAACCAATTTCTAGGCAAGATGGCTGCTATCGCTGCCACTTGGAAATTAAATTTGAGCTTCAGTCTAAAAAGTCCTGCTAAAGAAAAGGAAACACATTAAAATCTAATTAACGGTAATTAGTCCCTTCATTGACAAAAAAAAAGAAAATTTAATTGGCATATTTATTTGGGATAAAAAATTTAATGTTTTAAACCAGCCAAAAGGCTTATAATTGGAATAAAGCCAAATGAGGCATTGTTGTTATTTTTTAAAATTAAAAAATATTTATTAAAATTAGTAATCCTTGATAGAAATGGTTAGTTATAATAATTGATGGAATTTTCAATCCCTTATGCAAACCCTAATGCAAATTTTTTAACCCAAACAAACTCTTCAGCCCTCCAAAGCCGAAAATCAGTTCCAGTCTCTCATCTGCCTAAACTCAAAAATAATGATGAGTCAAAAAATGTGCTGGGGCTCCTAGAAGAAAGTAGGAAGCTTGAACTGATCCACCGAAGCCTTGTTGAAAAGAATAAGCTGACAAACAAACAAATCCATTATTTAAGACTTCCTACAATTCCTAGAGAAGAATCAGCTGAACTAGAAAAATCATCAGTTAGCGATTCAGCCTACATAAAACCTGAAGTCCCAATACATACAGTAAACCTGGAAATTTCAAAAGAAATTTCCCTACCAAACAATAGCACCTATATAAAAAGCAAAAAAAAAGTCCCAGTTCCTGAAATTGTTTCTGATGAGACCAGCAGAATCTTGGAAAACCAATGGGACGGGTCCTCAATCGTGGACTCAAATATGAAGGATTTTATCTTCCGTCCTAATAAGCAGCAGAGGACGACGATCTATCATGTCGAAGATATCTTTTCAGCTGAAAGAAAAAGCTCAATTAGGCCTATTACTTCTGAGAGAAAGCAAATTAGCGTTAGATTTGCTCATAAATCACTTATAGGTGATGGAGCAAGAGCTTATGAAGTTTGCTTGAACAAATTACATAAAAATAATATAAGCAAAAAACTCAAGCCTAAACGATACCCATTTGATTCTTTTGGGGTGCAGCTTGAAAGAAACTTGCCTAGAAAACTAAGGTCAAACAAAGAGCTAGAAGCGTGGACTTATTTCGCATACGGAAATGAGGCTAAAAGCGTGTTTGATTTATCTGATATCGCAGAAAAAGCATATTTAGTTTAAATTTATTGTAAAATTTGTATCTTTAAGGTTTATTTATTAATTTCAGTAGTCGTAAATCTTTAGTTTGCAAGTGAAATCTGTAAACTTTGTTATCCAATTCGAAATACCATGACCCTTGATATACAGTTTTGGACCTTATAATTCAAGAATTTCCAGCAGCCAAGCAGAGATTTTCAATAATTTCCCAATCATATGGATTTTTATATTTGCTTTCGTATAGCCAAACACCTCTTCCTACATGACTCGACACAATATATGCCCTATCGTCTCAAATAAATGCATAATTTAATGCAGAGGACGTTTGCAAGGCTATCATATGGGAATTTGCAATAAAATCATAAATTCCGACGATTTCTCCACGCCCAGCATATAAAATTTTGCCTCCAAACTTCAAAGCATTGCACTCTTGTAAACGGCCTGGAAGTTTTGCTAATGTTACTCATTTTTTACTGTTCAAGTCAAATTTTTGACAATCTGTATCCAATTTGCCCAGAATATATACCGCATCTTGATAGTAAATCCCTTCTGTATATGAAAAATGTTGATTAAAAGGAAGATAAGTTATCCTTTTAGTGTCCTCGATGATAAATGCAGTCCCTGAATTATCACTGACAAGATTTGCAAGGCAAAAAAGCTGTCCATTTGGAAGCTTGCAGATGCTGGATATATATTGGACTTTGCTTTTTAATTCATAATTAGAAAATTCAGAATTTCAATCCTCAAGATTTAGCTTTTGTATTGTTTTTGTGTTCTCTATGAAGAAAAATAAGTAAGGAGATTCAGGTTGAGGTGCATAAGAGAGCTGAAAATTCAATAAAGAGAAAGAGCTTTTAGCTGTGAGAGTGTCATCTAAAATTTTATTAGAAGTTTCCATTGTTATATACAGTGCTGAATTATTATCTACTAATAAAGCATTTTCTTTAGGCTGCTGCATAATATTAAGGCTTTTAGATATGATGAATAATATAGTATAAGAACTTCTTAACTCAGATATACGTCATTATGTATCAGTATAATCTAATATATGCTAATAAATTTATCATGATTGTTAATATACTATTTATTGATGACTTTTCTGGCCTTTATATAATACCCCTCTGAGTACTCTCCGCATATCAAAGCCCGAAACTGCTCTGAAAATCCATTTAAATTAAACTCAGGGTTTGCTTCAAATCCACTAGACTCTACCATCTCAAATCCATTATCCCCTAATACCATAGAAAACTGCTCCAAAGAATAAATATACCTCTTCCCTTTTAATAGACCATTATTACACATAAATTTTATTTTTTAAAATAGAATTCCGCCTGCTTACTTAAAAAATCCCCAATTAAAAAGAAATTATCTATTTACAGTTAAAGCATGCCTAATAAAACAGTGGCGCAAGGCGAAGGATCATTTTATATAATCGATTATTACCGAGTATAAGCTATATACGCTATCAAAACGAATTTTTCCTCTCTGGTTTGTAGGTCCACAAACGCAATTTCAGAAGTAGGAATTCCATTAGAATTGCCAGGATTTTTTAATATAGCGAAAAAATCGTGGCTTGTGAGCTCTCTAAATGTTTCATATTCTGTAGCAACTCTAGGATTCGCTGTAATAAATGCCATTTCTCCTCCAAGCTTAAGTAATTTATTGCATAAAAGAAAGCCTTCGCTTAGCCGTTCTAAATTTTGAGCACAGCAATGCAGTCAAAACGCTGAAATTGCATCAAAATAGCATTGGTATTCGGATAAAGGTAAAACTGATAGGACTTCTTGTGAGGAAAAACAGTCTGCTCTATATACTGAAAACTTGCGACCTGGGAATTCTATGTGTGATAATAATTTTTTTGCAGTTTCGACCATTTCTTGTGAAATATCGAGCCCAATGACCTCTTGGGCGCCTTTTTCTAGTAGATGGCCTATTTCTCGGCCTTGCCCACATGCAAGATCGAGTATTTTCATGCCAGATAAGCAATCTTGTGAATATGTTTTGCTTGGAGATAAACCTTTGATTATTGTATACTCATGACAGTGGTAAAATATTGGGTTTTCTTTTAGGATGTTATACATTTCGACATCATAAACTTCATCAGCATCCACCATATCAAAGTTTATATTAATTAAATAAGTGTAATTAATTATCGAATTAGTTTTTCTAAATTGCAGGAGAATTTATCTTTAGCTGAAATCTATCCGAGCATACTCAGCATAGTATCAACCTGAAGACTTATTATATTTTATATAGAAAAATATTTATTTTAGGGAGCTATATTAAAGCTTAAGATTTAGTAGATTTTTTGTATTTTTATGGAATAATTTTCATTAAAATAATACAGTCAAATGACTCAAATTAAGCAGCAAAATATTTGGTAATTTATTAGATTTCAGATGGCTAGATGTGAAAGCATTAACAGTGCGAATATTTAATGATATAAAGTTTGAGTGTGTACTAGAAAAGATATTAGATGCAAGATTAGATCTATAATAAAGTTCAGGCTTAATGGTGGAATTAGATATTATTGGAGGTTGAGTGAATAATGACTGCAAATTTATTAAGCTTAGGTTGACAAAAATAAGCTTTATAGTTTATTTTCCTAATTTTTATAACGAAAAATAATTTTGGCTTTGGATTATTGATAAAAATCATTTAGAAATTTAAGATAATTAAAAGTGAATATTGAGCTGAAGAAAGTTATGAAACGGCTGATATCAAAATATAAATAATACTCTATTTTTGAGAAAAAGGAAAAAATACCTTTAAAATATTAAATAGCAGCTTTTAAAAATTAATCGGGATGATGGATTAAGAAAGAGTGCAGATAATATAATTAGCATCCATTTTCATACGATTATTTACTCCCCAGCGAACAAAAAAATCTTGTTGCTCAATGAGGGGGTTAATTTTTTTTTTTTAATTTATAGATAAATTTTTTTTCTGAATTAAAAAAATCCCACTTCTTGAAAAATTGGAAGGTAAATATTAATTTAATGTGTGAAATTTATGTTTTAAAAAACGCAATTTGTTTAAAATTAAACAGAATTAGCTCGAGATTTCATGATACTAGTTTCTCTTAATATTAAAATTTTTTCCCATAAAAAATTTTACTATCAAAAAATATTTTGTTAGGCTAGGGAGGGTGGGTTTTTAGGCAAAAATAGGGATTTTTCTAATGGTTTTGTTCGCTCACGGAGGGGGAGTTAGCAGTTTCTTAAAAAAATGACTTTTAGGAATTTATGACAATTTTTAATTATTATGAAAACAAAATAAATGGGCCAAATAATTAAGATTTTTCTCTATATCCTATCTTGCTCACAAACCTATTCAATCTCCTTTACAAGAATCCCAGCAATGGACTCTCCACCTTCTAAAAGAGAATACGCATTATTAGCTTACAACAATGAAACAGATAACTTGATTGTATTTGGAGGTAACCTGGACGTATCAATTGTCTATAATGACGTATGATCATTTTCCTTAGAAACAAAAACCTGATCTAACCTTGTCCCACTTTCACAGATTTCGCCCAGTATTTGTTATTATAGTTCCAAGAATATTTTTTGGAGGTTTCGTTGATTCTGTAAAAAACAAGCTTTATATTTTTGGAGGCCTGACACTAAATGGACCACTTAACGATATGTGAAGTTATGATCTTAAAAGTTTACAATGAAATAGTATAAAACAGAAAGGCGATATTCCTTCCTCCAGGTATAGATTTGGTTATACAAGCTATTATGACACTGTTGACAGAAAATTGAAGTTTGCCCTTTATGGCGGATGTCTGCCGTTTGGATACGATAACAATCTATTTATGTAATCTCAAGTCAGATTTAACGTTGAAAACTCTACTTGGACGCTTCAGAATTTTCAAAAAGTAATTACACCTAAGCTAGATTTCGCGTTAATTGAGCATCTAAATGGCTTTATATATATGTGTGGAGGAATCGAAAAAGAAAGCTCAAACCCTTTTAACCAAAAATTTTTTAGATATGACATACACAATAATCTATGAGAAAATATCACAAATAGTCTGAATACATATACAAGCACTTATTACGCAGGAAGTGCTATAATAGGCACAAATTTTTATTTATTATATGGCTGATCTGAAGAATTTTATGGGGATATAGAAAATATTATGACTGTCGATCTTTCAGACCATACATATGAATGAAAATACGTTAACCCTATAACTGCTGATACAGTCTCTTTTCCGATTATCAGAGATTCTTTAAGTTTTGCAAGTAAGCCTGGCTCTTTTTATATGTTTGGAGGGTATAGTGCTTCATTAGGAATTATACTGAACAATATGATAGAATATACCTTAAATGGGACTGAGCTAGAATATAAGTTTATTTCGCCTGAATATTTAAGCCCAAGTGTCAGAGAAAGGCACTCATTGAATGCCATTTATGATAAACTTTATTTATTTGGAGGGAGAAATCAGACTTTGCTTTTAAACGATTTTTGGGTTTTTTATCCAGAAAAAGAAATTTGGGAGCCTGTTTTTCTGCTAGGAAATAACCCACCACCAAGAAGTGGTCATGGCTCTGACTCAAAAGGTGACATCTTGGTAATTTTTGGGGGAGAAGGATATGCAGGATATTCTAATGATTTATATGTGTATAACGTCCTTTCTAACCAATGAAGCTTAATAGAACCCTCTTCATCTGATGATGTCCCTACTCCTCGGACAGGCTCCTGTGCCAAAATTTATTTTCCTTACATTTTCATATTTGGTGGCCTAGCCTTAGCTGGGTATTCCAATGAGTTATGAATTTTTGACATTTCTACCTATACCTACACTTTAGTCTACGATGGAACTGACGAAGGTCCAGCACCTTCTGCTTTTTCTTCTTGCAAAATCGAAATTGATGACAGTGAAAACATCTTATTTTTCACTTTTTATGGGACTGGCAAAGGAGAAGCGCCATTAGGAGATGTGGACTATTTTAATTTTACCTCTAATAAATGGACAAATGTATACACTACAAATTATGAGACTCCTATAACAAATAGGGCTAATGCAGTTGTCCAAAAGGTATCAGACAAGATTATAGTAATGGGAGGAGATCTATGGGCTATTGATGTCTACAAGGATATTTTTATTTTGGATTTAAAAGAAAAAAGCTTTATACCCTTAGGGCTGCTTCCGGATTATATATATAGAGCAGCTTATGTGTATTATAAAAATAATATTTATATCCATGGAGGAGGGTCAATGTATGGCCACTCTATGAGAATTTTGGTAGGCAAAAATAGTTTTGTAAAAGTTGATTTTGAGGGGTTAGATTTTGAGTGCAGTCCAGGTTTTTTTGACAATAATGGAGAATGCCAACTGTGTGGGCCTGGGAGTTATACTGATTTTTATGGGATGGCCAGCTGTATACCATGTCCTGAAGGGACATATAATCCTTCTTATGGCTTGAATTCTTATAGCCAGTGCTATCCATGTCCTGAAAATACTTTTAGCTTAACTTAACTTAACTGTCTGGTGTTTAAGGTGTCTAGTGCCGCACCCCATAAAAATGGAGTTATAGCGAAAAAATTGATGACGTCGCCGGGCCATCTTGGAATCGCGATGGTTAGCCCCACCGGCCAAGCCTTCACTTGCACTTCGCCCCTCTTCGCCGCACATCTCACCCGGCGCGTTGCCGTCGCCCTTGCCCGACTCAGCTCCTGCGCGTGTTCCGCCTGAGGGTCATCCTCCCTTGGGGATGTGCTGAGAGGTAAAACTCCGAAATCTTGAGTGCAATGAGGAGCTGTTCCTTTGGTTATCCCCAAAGTTAAACAGCTATTGCTGTGCAGAAGTTCTCGAGAGAAAACCCAACCCCATAAATAAAATTCCATGAGGGAGAGAAAATTAGCAAAGCTAATTTCTCTCGAACCGAATGCCATTTTATTTATATGAAAATACTTTTAGCAATGAAATAGGTAGCAGTGCTTGCAAGAAATGTCCAGCTGGAAAAATTTGTCTGACAGGGAGTGTTAGCCCGCTTGATCAAAGTAATTACCTCGATAAAGAGTCAATTCAGCCTGATTTGTACACTAGTGGGTCACTAATTTCTGCTTCAAGTACAATTTTAAATTTATCCTTAAGTTTTGTAGTTTTCTTATTTCTGCTGATTTCTATTGAAAAACTGAGAAAGGAAATTGCGAAAATCGATATTTATGACGAAATGCATAACTACGTAAATGATTCGGTAATGATTTTAAGGAGAACTAAAATTGGAGGAGTGTTTACAGCTATATTTATATGCTGGTTAATATAAATTAAATAAAAATATTTTAGGATTTTATACCTGTGTTTATTGTATAGAGAAATAGGATGAAAGAAAGTGTTATTATAGAATAATGGGGTATAATAAATTAAATAAGAATTCCAGCAGTAAATAGCAATTTAGTCTTATTAATTTGAATATTTCTTGCATTTTTATTGGCTAGCTATGAGATTGGCAGCTATATAAATACCAATGTCCAAGAAATGAAGCATTTTATCCCACTGACTACCTTATGAGACCAAATTTCTACTTTTTCAGCCAATATTACAGTATCAGTTATCGTGTACGGCTACGGAGACTCCTGTGGCTCCGACAAAGTCTGTTCAGACCTCACTGAATTTTCATTCCAATACATCTCATATTCTTCCTATGAAATTTACTGTGCCAAAAACAATGAAGGCAGCTGCATCATCAATGTGGTTTTTACAAACTCAGAACTCTCATATGGCTCACATCTAGAACTGACATTTAAAGAAAAATTCAGCTATGCGTCAGCATTTAAAGTAAACGTTACATCAACTTCTTCAATCCCAGATGAAATAAGCAGTATGTATCAGTCATTATCTGCTAATAAATCCACTGTATTTCGAGGGCCCAGTCCAAGCCAGTTTCATTTTTCTTTGATCCCTTCGTATTTTATGTCAGAAATTTCCTCATGACCCAGCAAACTTACAGGATACCATTAACATTAACATTAACTAATATTATAGAGAGGCCCGTCGTATTGACTAGGGTTTCTCCTGCCCTACCTTCACCCGGCTGCTCACCACCAATCGGCCACGACCTTCAAGATGTTGCTCCTACTGGACGAGGATGTGCACTCGCTACCCGTAGTTGGATGAGTTACGCCACCCAGCAGTACGTCAACAGAGGTTGCCCATTCCGAAAATTTGAAAAACAAATTTTCTGGTAGGACTGTCGCTAAGATGGAAATCCAAAGCCTGGACGTAACGCCCAGTTTCACGCTAGGGAGTTGCCCGATTGATCAGGAGGTACCTTTCCGATGCTGCTGAGCTTCCCCTTTCCAACCTTGGAAACCATCTCCCCTGAGGTAAAACCCTTGGTGTCAGAATGAGCTGCGGTCGGCCTAGTCCGACGTTGCGCTCCACTGTGCCAAGGTAAAACATAGCCGGATACACATTCCGAGCACCTTTCTCCCTCCACAAGGTTCCCTGCGAACGCAGGCTACAGGTTTTGAGAAAAAGGGCTGGATCGCCGTCGCCATTTTAATGTATATACTTACAGGATACCACGTCTCTATTATAGAAGCTCCAGAAGAAGGTTCAGAAGTAAACATCATTAGCTTACCTTTTTCAGCAGGATTAAAGATAAATGTGTGGCTTGATAAGCGAGAAAACTGCTTATTTACAACAAGATCACAAAAGATGTCATTCAATATGCTTGCTAGTATTTTAATAGGGTCGATTTTTGGAATTGTGAATGGGGCAGGTGGGGCGATGAAAAAATTCGAAATGGCATATCATGAAATTTCTGGAAAAATCAAAAATAAGAAAAAAGCGACAAATTTGAAGCAGAGAAGGGAAAATTATAGGAATATGCTTAATAGCAATGTGATGGAGCATGTAAATTTTGACGGAAATGAGGCAAAAAGTGATATAATTTATACACAACCTTTAAGTTTGGAAAGTTTTAATTATTAACAAATAGACTTTCGATGTACAAAAGTGTAAATGGGAATAGCTAAGTTTTTATTAAATATAGCAGATCTTTAGAACTATAATTTCAATTGCATGCAGAATAATGCTTTTTCTATAAAATTACGGCACTAAAAATTTCTATAATGTTAATGCTAATAAGAATACTGTTTTTCAAAGTCCAGATTCTTGCAGTCTTAGCTTGGATTGATAGCCCTAACCATCAAGCTGTCTATGTCACACGCTAGCACCAGTGCGAATCACCTATCTTGTAGCTAAAACACTCAAGAAGTCATCTACTCTCTCGCTGAGTTAGGCTGTAGGATGTCATACCCCTAACTGCCATTTTATATTATGATTTCTATAGTTTTTAGCAATTACTCGATTAGTGCACAGGCTTGGTAATTTTTGCATTAGCCTTGGATTTTTGTCTATTATATATAACTTGGCATGCAGCAAAAATTAGCTAACACCATATAACATAAAAATGAAATTAAGTTAACTTAGGTTATTATAGAAAACTCCCGACAGCTTGAGAAAACTTTTCACGTCCCTTGCTCCGCACTATTGCTCCTTCCGGATGAGGGATTGCACTCGCTACCTATAGGTAAAGATGCTAGGTCACCGTGGTACACGTCGACAGGGTTACCTTTTCCAAAAATTCAAAAAGAGAATCTCTGGTCATTTATTGACCGAGATGAAACTTGTAGCCCAGAGTGCAACTCCCGATATCGTGCCAGGAAATGCCCGATTGGCCAAGCGGACGCCCTCTAGCTTTCTTGAGCTGTCCCTTTCTAACTTCCAAGTTCCATCCCCATCGGGGCAAAATCTTGCCCTAGATGTGGGCTAGCCTGACATTCAGCTCCATCAGACCAAGTAAAACCCGGCCGGACACACACCGAACGTTGCTCTCCCTTCTACAAAATCCCCCGACTGCAGGTGTTAAGAGGGCAAGCTGGCTCTCCACTCCATTTTATACGTAATATAAAAATGACAACACTAAGGCAATTTTCTCTATGCGATATATTTAGCTTTAACAAAGTCAACCTTGATATCCTTACAGAGACATATAACGTCGGCTTTTATGGCCGCTATCTTGCTAAATGGCCAGAATACTGCAAAGTCGCAGAAGGTCCAACTGGAGATATCCAAGGCTACGTCCTCGGTAAAGTTGAAGGCGCGAAGAACTGTGATATCAAACGAGACTGGCACGGCCACGTCACAGCTGTAACAGTAGCTCCCACAAACCGACGACAAGGCTTAGCATCTGCCTTGATGAAATTTCTTGAAGACACCACAATAGCCCATGACGGCTATTTCGTCGATTTATTTGTAAGGGCTAGCAATGAGGTAGCTATAGGTTTTTACCAAAAGTTAGGCTACATCGTATATCGAGAAGTCCGAGACTACTATTCTCAGCCAGAAGAAGACGCTTACGATATGAGGAAAGCAATGCCCCGAGACAAAGAAAAAAGCACACTGGTAGCGAAAAAGCGAAGCATTAGTCCTTCAGAGCTGGAATTTCATTAAATTACAAAAATTAGGAATAAATTGTGTAGAAAATAAAAGAAATAAATTAAAAATTCATTAATCAATCTCGCTGTCATAGGTGTAGGTGTGGATGGTATTGAGAAACGAAGTTGCGCATATCATAGGCATAAATGGATGCCATGATACATCTCTCGAACACGTCTCTCCAGTCAACATCTGCTCATGAGTCAGCGATCTCAGAACATTCACAGTCTTGCCTGTGTGCGCGTCATAAACATAAACCTGCCCATTATAGTCTCCTGTATAAATAAACCTCTGTCCTGTTATAAAAATAGGCGAAAAATAGCACCTTATCAAAGTAGTCAAAACGTGGTGGCCTCTAAAAGTCAATAACGAAGTGTCCGCAGCTAGCCTCTTCGTATATCCTTCCATAGGATACCTATTTCACCGATAATCAAATCCTGACTGATAATGGTGAGTCCTACTAAATGCTTTATATTCGTGCTTGCTCGAGCACTTTCTCAAGTGGTGCATGATTTTTGCCCGAAATTTTTTTGATATTCAGAGGAAATAGACTGAATTTTTTTTCATTTGTCTGTTTTGTCAAACAAATATATAAAAAAATTTTGAGAATCCACATGCGGGTACTAAAAAAAGCAAAAGGCAAATATATGTCGCCACTCAAGTCCCATAACTTCAACGTTTGGTCTTTTGAGTTTGAAATCAAATAAAGTTCATCCCCTTTAGAAGACACATGAGTAACCCCTTCTCTATGCCCTATCAAAACTCCTTGGCAGTCTCTTCCGTTCATCGCCCTGACATCCCATATCTTTACCGTTGTATCATCAGACCCTGAAAAAATCACATTGGACCCTTCTCTGTCTGCAAAACAAACTGTATTTACGTCATCATGGTGGGCATTTGGGACACTGCAAATGTTTTTTTTCTTTACTAAATCGACAACCTCAAGTGAAAACCCATTGGTCCCGACGACTACTTTGTTGCCTTCTCCTGAGAATTTTAAGCTGAAAACAGCATAATCATTACGAGCTGAGGTGTTTATAGCTATTTGTTCATTAATTTGAGCAGATGATGTTTGATAGACGTTTTCGCTGTCCGGAGAAATATTGGCAAGAAAAATGTTAGAGTTAAAAGTGCTATATATGATGTATTTTTGGCAAGGGCTGATATCGGCATCTGTAATAGTTCATTGGATTCCGATCCCATCGATGGTTTTTAGTAAACTCCAGTCTAAGGGGTCTGAAGTATCATAGATTTTGATATCACCTTGTGAAGTGCAATAATAGAGATCGCCTGTACAGGAAAATTGGCCATTGTAGACTCTTGAGTCAAATTCAAGCGTAGGGGGGATACACTACGTTAGTTTTACTGTTGACGGGACTAGTCGGCTTGAACTTCAATAGCTGTAAGAGCCAGGCAGGCCGCATTCTCGATTATAAAGTTGGCTTGAAATTGGTTCGCAGCCAAGATCTCGTGGCTTGAGCAGGGCATCAGTGAAGCACTGATAGTCTTCTACGTCGTCGGGAAGCTCAATTCTTGAGGGGCGACTTCCAAATGCAGCTCTAAACATAATAAGTAATTATTAGTAAATCGTCAAAATAAATGAGATCTCACACATGAAAAACCTCTGGAGAATCAGATTCTGATAAGTCGTCTTCTGATGAGAGTTCGTCAGAAGCAGATATAAGCCCTGTAGGTTATAAGCCGATACGACCGAATTCGTTGACTCTAGATTTAACTCAACAGATGATTGCGAGGAAGAAAAGAAGGTACTCATTAGATTCTAGCTCAGAAGAAGAATCCCCGAATCATAATAAGAAAGCTACTCATCGCCATACTCATGGAAATTTAGAGCATTCTCATACACGGCCAGATAGTTCTCAGTTCGAGCTACCAAAATCAAAGATTTCGCAAGCAAGGCCAAACGAAAATTCGAAACACAAGCTGATAATTGACAAAGAGCGGCTATCTGGTATTAATTCGAGCAGAGCAGTGTCTTGTTATCGATGCACTGTGATTTAATGTTTATTAACCGTAATTTTGACCTCTAGATCTACAGAAAATGCCTATTCAGTCTATTTATTTTTGCCCAGTTAAGAATTTTTCTATATTAAAGAAGTGTCTTATCTGTCTGCACTGTATGGCATATGATTGAAGAATAGTTTTGCTTCAAACTTTATGAAACTTAAGATAATTAAAATAACGAGCACATAACTGGGAGAGGAAGCTGAACCTCTCCCTTTATATAATTTTCTCGTTTAATTTGCTTGATATTCATCTTCGTCTTCGTGATTATCGCCATCTGAACCAAATTTCCAAAAGCATAGTTTCTCAAAATCAGCCCTGCAGATAAATCTCTCACACATATCCCGACTGCTGTGTTCCTCAGCACTTCATTATCTTCTATATCTTTTCCCTTATTTTTTAATTTTTTTGTATATTAATCATATTTTTTCTTACTAAAATCAATAGTCTATAGCACTACCCTTTATAGATATTCAAGAAAAAAATCTAAAAAATTCAAAATAAAATTTAAAAATTTCATCTTTTATATCTTCTATTTGTTAGTTTTAAATTTGACTTTTCAGATTATATTAAAATGTCAAAAGGAATTTTTCTTCTCGGGCATTTTTCCTCAGAAATCAATAAGGAGTCAGGCACTATAATATTATAAATAAAATATCAAGGCAAAAAATATAATAAATTTATACATCTGGCTGACTACTTCCTGCTACCACAATCCCGCTCCTTCTATTATCATAAACAGAATTCATTGTAATAACAGGGTGGCTATCCACCACCAAAATCCCATCACTATTTTCATATATATGGTTCCTCTTTATCCACGACACCCCTCCTTGGCAATTAAAAATCCCTTCACTTTTGCTCCTAAAAATTGAGTTCTCTATAATAGTGGTATCACTATTTTCGCATCCCCCAAAGGCAATATTCGCCTTCAGATTATTATGGACGCTATTCCTTTCTATATGAGCCGAAGATCCTTTTACAAGTAAAATCCCTTGTGTTCCATTCTCAAAAATATCGTTCTTGAGGATCACACAATGGGCATTATCCCTGACTTCAATCCCAGTTTTTTTACTATTAGAAATTTTTCCATTGCCCACTATGACAGTGCGGCAGGTGGGGCCTTCGCAGACGATCCCTTTATCGTTTTCAAAAATATCGTTGCTCATCAGTTTCCCATCACATCTGAGCTCTTTGTCACCTTTAAAAATGCAGCCTTCTCCAAGGTTCGATTTTATGATATTTAAAAACACAAAAGGGTCGCCGTTATCGACCTCGATGCCTTTTTCATTATTTTTGATTTCATTGCCTTTTATTTGTGCACAGCAGAAAAGACCAACTCTGATGCCTGACCCGTCGTTATTGGAGATTACACTTCTTTGGATTGTTGGTCTTGATTCTTCGCCTGAGCAGAAAATGCCACAATTCATGTTATTGGCGATTTGGCACTCTGAAATAAAGATAGAGCTGAAAGGAGTTCCGTATAAAATGAGCCCTCCGCCTCTGTGGTTAAAGATTTTTGACTTTTTGCAGGTGAGGTTTGCCTCACTAACATAAACTCCTACAGTGGGGACTTCTTCGTTTCCTTTAACTAAGCATCGGTCTAGGTTTAAGTGTCCATTGCTACAGACGATGCCTGTGAGTGGAGACTTAGCAGAAGCTAAAGAAATCCTGCAATTCTCAAGGGTGGCGACTCCACCGTCAACCCAGATGCCACAGCTCATGTTTCTAGAAATCTTTAGTGACCTAATTCAATGCTCGCTGCCTTTTTGGGTATCAGATAGGCCATAAAAGCTTTCATCAGTAGCGCTACTGAAGCTTTCTTGTCTTTTGCCTGCTGTTGAAGTATGGATTATTTTTATTCCTTTGATTGTACAGGACTCACTGTCTTTTAGGGAAACAGTTATTATAGGACCTTGGGGACAAGTAATTTGGACCTGTCCCTCCGGCTCCTGTGGCTCCAATACTAAACCAGGTATACTGATTGTAATATTTTGCGTATATAATCCTGAAGCAATCATAATTCTAGTACCAGGCGATGCTGCATTAATAGCTTCTTGAATTGTAAAAAAAGGCCCTTTTCAAGGTACAACTCTTAGTACCTTATACAATTCATCTTCAAATGGCGGGTCAGGTTGGCCAGGATTAAGATCCAGCATAATTTTGCAAAAATTTATAAAACCATATTAAATAAGGCTTATTACATTTGATTGATAAAATTCTCAAAGACTGTATCGTTGTCTGTGCCAACCATACAGAAATCAATATCATCAGTGAACGGAGACTCCTGCAGCTCTGGAGGTGAGGTGCAGCTCAATGGAGAGTCCCCGCTGTCAACTGAGGATGCTCCATGTGGGATATAATTCATTAAATCCTTACTTGCATAGTCATAATACACATATCACAAATCAGAGCCAGGCTGGCATTTTTTCGATAAATCTTCGTGTCCGTTGTTCTGAAACCAGTCCCGGAAAGCAGCTACAAAAATTGGCTCAGAAAACAGAAAGTTTTTATATTTTTTGCCATATGACAAGAACTGGTTACCTTTGCCTGGCTTCCCGCTAGGCCCGAGATATTCTAACCAAAACAGCTGTTCAGTTGTGTTGAGCCTTTGCTTGATTTTGGAGTATCTAGATTTCATATAAGCACGAAATACACGTAGCCAGTACTTGTCCTTTTCTTCTGTTTTCTTTTTAATGGGGTCGTTGGGTCTGATTGGTTTTCGGCCTCGCTTTTTGCGATTTTCTGAGCCTGGAGATAAAGGCTCAGGCTTAGGCTCGATTTTTGGAACGACTATCTCTGGGCTGCTGGTTTCAACCTTTAAGGCTTGGAAAGCGAGGTTTGGAGGGTTTTCTAATGGCTCTGACGTTGGGATTCCAAAGTCTTCTTGCTTCAAAATTGAGTTTAGGCGATAATCAAGCTCTTCTTTGTCTAGTTCGTGATGAGCCATATATTATCGTTATAGCACTATTAGTTAGGGAGAACTCTGCAGGTGGAGATTATGAGACTTAGGAAATAGAAATAGATGAGCTGGAGGTGGAGAGAATAATTTATTAGAAAGTTAAAATTGGAGAAATATTATATAAGGGAGTCACAATAAGATAATTAAAATTTTGGAATTTATGGTAATTAAAAAAAGCTATTTTCAGATTTTATCATACTAAATCCTCTATTCTGAAAATTTTTGGAAATTAATAAATGGTTTTATGCAGAATGTATTTGATATATGGGCAAATTTAATATAATTCTATTAAATTATAGGCATTTAATTTTAAAAATTTTTTTGGATTTTGTTTATTATTATTAAATATTTTTTTCAAAAATTTAATCCTTAATAAGGAACACACAAAAATCATATTGTTTACAGAGAGGGAATAAGCAGCATGATCGATTATAAATAGATTAAGATTTTGGTTGTTTTAATAAAGTTAAATTATTATATTTCATTAGAATGGTAAGGGCAAGTCATCAAATTCAATTGATATCTTATCAGACTCAGAGTCAGAAATATTTGGAGGGTTTATTATCATTTTGTTTCCTTTCACAGGAGGAACTTGTGCTTTTACTACAGGCTTTGGAGGCTCTTTTACAGGATTTGGCTTTTGAGGAGATTTGGATGCCAAAATGTTTTGGTTTTGGTTTACCACAGAAAAGCCAAGGTTCCAGTCATCATTTATTTCTATGCTGCTTCCAGTATCAAATGCTAGCCCTTCTCCTAGTTCTTGTTTGGGCTGTTGAACAATTGCCTTACTTTCCTTTACAGGAGCTTTTGCAGACGAACTTCAAGGATCTTGCTTGTACTGCTGAAGAGGAGCTTTTGAAGAAGACTTCGGAGATACTTCCCAAGGGTCTTCTTCATCTAGAACATTGCTCCATTCATCCTTAGCTGCAGGCTTTTTAGGCTCTTCTTTATACACATTTTGCTTTGGTATTTCTTTAGGAAGCTTAGGCTCTTCTTGTTTCTTCTTTTGCAGAATTTCGTCTACTATTGAGGGTTTTTTAACTTCTTTTACAGGCTCAGGCTGCTTTTGGACTTGTTTAATCGGCTCAGGCTGCTTTTGGGCTTGTTTAATTGGTTCAGGCTGCTTTTGAATTTGTTTAGCAGGCTCAGGTTGCTTAGGAATTTCTTTTGCAACTTCAGGCTTTCCAGGAATTTGTTTAGAAATTACTTCTGGCTGTTTTGGGATTTCTTTAGACACCTTTTCAGGTATTTTTTGGCTTCCTTTTGCAATATCCACTGGTGGCTTACTATCTTTAGCCTGCTGATTTACTTTTTGCTGAGGTTTTGGTGCATATTTGATTTCTTCAACACTGCTATCATGCCTGCTCGCGAAAGAATGGTTTGGGCTTATTTTAAGCTGCCTGATATTTTTTAAGCTGTCACTGCTGATATTAAGCTTTTTTTCTTCTTGTGGAGTTTTATAAGAAGAATAAGGATCTTGGGTTAATTGTTGGCTCCTTTTTCTGGCAAGTGCAACTTCTTCAAAACACTTTTCTAGTTCAGTGTTGAAAAGATTTTTGGTAATTTGTTGGATAAATGGAGCTAGTAGGTCATTTCGGCTCATTTTTTTAGGCTCTTCTTGGGGTTGACTCTTTGGTTCTGCAATTTTAGGGGCTTCTGCAGCTTTTGGCTGAGGTTTTACTTCAGGAGGTAATATTGGGTTTTCTACAATTTTTGGCTGCGGCTTTATATCAGGAGACTTTTGGATTGGCTGCGGGTTAATATCAGGAGATGTTTGGGGTGGCTTTATATCAGGTGATGGCATTTTTTGAACAAGCTGTGGCTTCTCTTTCTGCTGAGGCTTTATTTCTTGGATTTCTTTTGCAGGCTCCTTTTTAGGGCTCTTTTGGGGTTGATCTGGGATATTTATCCCTTTGAGCACTGGGCTTTCTCTTTTACTATCCTCACTATCCCTCGGTTTAATATCTGAAAGAGATCTTATATCTTCAGGGATCCCTTGAGCCCCAAAAGAAGACAATTTTTCAAACTTTTGGCTTTCTTTCTCAATATTATCAAAGCCAGCCTTTGCACTTTTAAAAGGATTTGCGTCTTTTTGCTTTTGAAAAGTCTTTTTTTCTTGGGCAATTAGCTCAAAATCCCCTTGTTCGCTTCCTGAAGACTCATTTTCAAGCTCAATTATCCTCATCTCAATCCCTTCGAGCTCTTTTTTGATTTCTATCTGCAAAAGTTTCCCCTCTTCGAGTCTTTTGTTTATTTCTTTAATAATCTCATTGATTTCTTCTCTCTCTACTAAATTCTCTGTATCTATTTGTACAGGCTGGCTGTTTGCTGCAGATTTTCTAACTTCTTCTAAATCTTGTTTAGATGCAAAATTCCCAACACTTTTTTGCAGACTTGTGAACTGTTTTCGTAGGTCTCCAATCTCATACTCAATATCCCCAAGGGAAAATTCATTTTCCAGCCTCTGAATTTCGCTTTTCAATTTTCCGCACTCTTCTGTAATACTATTTTTGACAGTCGCAATTTTCTTGGTCCAGTCTTTATTTTCATCATCAATTCTGTCATTAATCACGTCATTAAAATCCCTGAACTTTTTCTCATACATTTCTACTGTTTCTGAATTAAAATTTTGCAGTGTTTGCCAGTCCTGGCTGATTTTATTTTCAATTTCGTTTATTTTTTCAGCTGTTTCTCTGATAACTTCATTTTTCAAGTCAAGAATTTCTTTAGGGTTTATCATTGATTTTGCCAGCTCTCTGAGACGGTTTTCTACCATAATAAAGGCTTCTTCTTTAATCCCATGCAGCTCGCTCCGTAGATCTTTAAAATCAAGCTCAACTTGGGCTATTTGGTATAAATGGGTGTTTTTCACAGACTCTTCAACTATTTTTAAATCATCTTGAGTCACAAACCCACGAAAAGTTTCTTCAAGTCTCCGTGTTTCTGCCAGGCATTTATTTTCTACAGCATTTAAAGACTTTTGGAAATTCTCTTTATTAGCTTCAGACTGGGCTTGGCTTGTTTCGAGAATGGCTAATCGGTCGTTTATGCTATTGATGTCATGTCGCTGGAATTTTAAAAAATCGGTCACGATTTTTTCTATGTGAGTTTTCATGTAATTTGGTTCTATTGGTGAGTCTTCTGGCTGATTGGCAGTTCTGGGTCTTGATCGGATATCAGATGGATCATTGCTTTGATATACAGCAGAGGTTGCTGGCCGAGACTGTTCTTCATAGAGCTGCTGGAGAGGGGTTTGGATGCGATGAAGATTCATTTCGGTTTTTCTCATTATTGAAGTAATTGAGTCAGCCCAGTAGGAGCTTTTGCGATATTCCATAATAAAAGTAAATATGAAAAGATTTGAATTGTCATGAACTTGATAAAGAATATGGCATTCGGCTCAAGAAAAATTAGCTTTGCTAATTTTCTATCCTTAATGGAATTTGGTTTTAATGGAAAACTTCTGCACAGAAACAGCAGTTGAGTTTTAGTCGCATAGGGCTAGAGAAACTGCTCATTAGTGCATTCAAGAGCTTAGGTTTTAACACTCAGCACATCCAAGGAGATGATCCTTAGGCAGAACACGACAGGAACTGAATCTGAAAAGAGCGATAGAAACGCGCCAGGCTATAATTTGGGTCAAGTATTTACAGGAATTCCTACCATATAGTGCGCAATTTCAAGTGACAGGGTGGCCTGTGATGTCACTCTATGGGCTTAGTCTATAATAAAAGGAGTGAGCATAGAATAAATTAAGTCAAGAACTTGATTAATGAAATGGGAAAATAGGTTGAGATTTATATTAAAAAATCTTACTCCCCTCTCTATAGAAAACAAAACCAATGGGAAAATCCCTATTTTTTGCCAAAACTCATCCTCAGTAAGCAAATAAAATTTTTTGATATATAAGTGATAATAATTAGTATAATAAAAATCTCGAGCTAATTTTATTTAATTTAAAAAAACTTGATTTTAAAATATAATTTTTACAAATTAAAATTAATTTTTACTTCTCAATTTTTATGGATTGGGAATTTTTTTAAAAATTTGAAAAAAAAATTGCATGAAAAAACCCGTGGCGAACAAATTTTTTTAGTTCATTCACGGAAGGGGAGCTAGCGAAAAATTAATCAATCTAATATTAGATTTATTTAGCATAAAAGAACCGGCAATGATAATTTTCAATTAAATACGATATCTTATTCTGATTTAAACAGAATAAATAATACTGATTTTAATAATAGCTCAACCATAAATTTCATTTATAAATGATTCTCTTTGTGTTTGTGTTTTTTATTCTTTTTGTGCGCATGATCTCTGTAACTTCAACGATAAAAATCAATTTATTTATGCAACCATATAGCAAAGGTTCTTTATACTTTTAGCATTTTTATTATTTATCTAACCATTCAGAGAATACTTTAAATTTTTATTTTTTTACAGCCAGAGGATTATTTAATAACGCGAATAATCTCCAAAAACTCAGAAATAATCCCCTCGTTTACTCACACTTCTTGGTCAATCCCTCAATTATATCCTTTTCGGATACTTGACCGAAATGCTCAAGAAGCGTTTTCTGGTATTTTTGATAGTCCTCTTCTGCAACAAACAAATTGAAATCAAGCAAGAGCAAAAATTGGCCCTAGGAGTTTTTTTGCAATTAAAGTCCAAATATGAATTTTTTTCCATTATTTTGTTTATATTTTTTATTTTTAATAATTTTATTTTTTTTTGATTAATTTTCGATAAAAAGACTTTAAACTGCAAAAATTGGAGTTCCAAAAGGTTTAGCTCAGAGTTTGAAATCCCTCCTACCTTTGCATAGTAAGAGTTTTTATAGTAAATGTCCTCTGAAAATTTTGCGGCTATCATCACACCTGTCAATATTAGACGATGGATGCAAAGGGAATCGATGACGAAAAATCGCTCGTTAGACGTTATTCGATCGATATAGATGAGTGCAAGGACGTAGCACTCTTCGGAGCATTTCATGTAATCCTCAAGCCTTCGAAGATAATTCTTACACTTCTTTTCTAAATTGGAACAGAATTTTTACTTTTTCAGTAAATTAGCCCCCTTTAAATTAAGCAAAATTTTAATTTTATCGTATTTTATAGGTCAAAATTTTAATTTTATATATGGAAGAAGTGCCATTTAAAAAACAGTTGACAGGCTGAATTGAATTAATTTTATGAATTAATTTTCATTAATATAAATTAAAATTTAATCATATATTTTTTTCATTTTATAGAGAATTTTTTTTTCAAAAATTTCAACATCTCTTAAATTAGAACAGAATTTTTTGTTTCAATTAAAACTGAGCGAGCTAATAGATATGTTGGGAGGCTTTTTAGAATGAAAGTATGTAGTTAGGTTTACACTCGGTTCGGGATCTGTCTGCTCTAAATAAGTCTCAAGCATACAAGTTACTGCTTGAACCACAGACATTTTAATTTAACTACTCACTTAATATTTAACTAATCAAATTAATGAAGATATGAAAATACTTATATCCTTATTAAGCATATTTTTATTATTTCCAGTTGCTATTTCTCTAATGATTTAACTCAAATTATAAATATCAATAATATTAATAAAGATATTTAACCTTTTCAAATAGAAATAATTTTATCTAATTTTACTTGCCATCTGCTTCAAGTATAACCCTGCAAATTTTTCAGCTTGCTGAATCGCATCCCCTCTCTGTATAAACCTCAAATAAATCTTCTCAGGCAAGTTTTCTTCATGGTCATCTAAAACCAACAATTTCTGATTCAGCTCTAGATGCCAGTCCCCCAAGTTCTTTTCCATAATACTAATCCCCGCCTGCTGCTTTATGCTAGAAATAGGTAGCTCTTTCATTGCGCTTACCAATTCTTTTATCTTGATGATAAGCTCTACTAAATCTGAATATTTAAACTCATTTCTATAAAAATCCTCCATTCTTTGTGCAATATGCAGGTATTTACAATATAAATCCCCACTAAAGCTCCATGAAGCGAGCTCATGTGACTTTTCTTGAAGCGGGAGAATAATTCGCTCATATAGATGCTCATATAGGGCGTCCCCTTCAAAAGAAATTATGCATTGTGGGGCAGCGTTTTCCATAAAAATGTTATGAGCTCTATAGTAGTCTTCACAGTTTAGATAGTGCATGATGGAGTTTAAGTAGTCAAAAGTGGCTTCGCAAGCTAGACCTTTGGCTTCATCTATTCACGCTTTGGGGATATGCAAATCGTCTATTAAAAACTCTTCATGAAGGTCAATTTCAAAAGCATGGCGAGATATAAGCTGCTTTATCAATTTTTGAGAGTTGGTTATGAACATTAGAACATAGACAGCCCATTGCCAATTTCCATTAAATTCCAGCTCTTCTGCGAAGGCATATGATAGTTTTTGGAGATTTTTAAAAATTTCGTCAACGTTAGAGTTCAGCCGATTTGACCAAAAACTGTCAGAGAAATTGGAATAATAGTAGACCCCATACAAAGGGCTGCTATAAAAAATGACAAATTAATTTTCTATGGTGTTTTTATAAAAAAAAAAAATTACAGTTACTTTTATAGAGAAAAACCCTTCTTATCATGACCCATATAAAGCCACCATAGTCATTCATGAAGCTTCTAAATTAAAATTCTGCTGAATTGTGTGAGGATTTAGCGCAAAAGTAAGGTTTTCTATTGCATCTTTTGGCCTAGAATAAAGCTCTATTAAATAGTAGCAAAGGTCGATTTTTTGCTTATTTATAGGCAAATATGGGTAGCATTCAGCGTTTTCTTCTTTAATATGCTTATCAAAATATTCAAAAGCCTGCTGGATGTCTGTATTTAAAGGAAGCCCATACGTCATTACTAGCTGAAGGGACTGTTTTCAGTCAACCAGCTGGGCTATATCAAGCTCTCCAGACATAAGTCTATAAATTTTATATATAGACTCAGGGAAAAGATCAACTGTTTTGTTACCCAGTCACGCATCCAGCTGCCTTTTTACACATCTTTTAAAGTCCCCAGACGTGCTTTGGCTTAGTAAATTAGCTAAAAACAGATTTTTGCTTTGGATTGCTGTTATTACAGCTTCTTTTATTTCACCTCTTGCCATTTGGCTAACTCCCCCCCCCCCCCCTCCGTGAGCGAACAAAAAAATTTTGTTCGCTCACGGAGGGGGGTTAATTTTTTTTTTTTAAAAAAAATTTATATATAAATTTTATAAAAAATATTTTTTTCGAAATTTAAAAAAAAATCCTAATTTGCAAAAATTGGGAAGCAAATATTAATTTAATTTGCAAAATTTATGTTTTAAAACGCAATTTGTTTAAAATTAAACAGAATTAGCTCTAGATTTCATTATACTAATTATCACTTTATATATCAAAATTTTTTTCCATTAAAATTTTTTCTATTAAAAAAAATTTTGTGTTCACTCACGGAGGGTGGGTTTTTGGTCAAAAAATGGCGATTTTTCTAATGGTTTTGTTCGCTCACGGAGGGGGGGGGGGGGAGTAAAGGATTTTTTCGCCAGCATCTTCAGTTTCTAAAGGCTCAAATAAGCAGTTCCATGCCTTTATCCAATACCTGAGGCCTCTTTTTCTGTTTAATGTCACGCTTTCAGGACTATGCTCAGTGCTCGTCCAGTTTTCAAGGTATTCTTGGGAATTTAAAGCTTCATATGTATTTATTGTGGAGTCTCCATACAGAACATTTACCAAGCTCCAGAGCATGGCGTTTCCTGGTCACTCTTCTTTGTTCATCTTCATTATATACAGCTTGGCTAGTCTTTTCCATAAATTTTGCTTATTTTTAAAAGAAAATCCGCTTATTCCTGGAACTTTTTTGGCGATTTTGGGGGGTTCGAGATATTGTAGGTGCAGCTCAAGAGAGTCAGCGACGTCATGGTCTGGCTTGGCAACTGAAAACGGGACAAGCTCATTTTTTTCAGTCGGCAAAAAAAATTTACCGTTAGGACTGAAGCAGATGCGGAAATGCTCATTAAGACAGATATGTTTTGGCTCGTCTGCAGGGTGCTCAACAACCATTTCTGCTTCTTCAGCTTCTTCTTTGGCTTTTCGTGATGGCGGCTCTTTGAATTCTGGGATATAAATTTGTGCTTCCTCTTCTTCAGAAAATAAGCCTTCTCCTTTGTCTTTGGGATAGTCTGGATGCTTGGTATCTCTAGGGTTAGGCTGCTCTTCGTCTGAGTCTGTATCATCAAAGAAGCCATAGCGCGTAAAATGGGGTACCTTAAATGTTAAAGAATTGGTATTTTTATTGGATTCAACCAGTTTTGACTAAATATTCCTTACATCTGATGCTGGCAAAAACTTTAGAAGGGCTTGATTATAAACTTTAAGGCGAATTTCCCAAAAAAAAAAAGAATACCATTTGATTAAAGGTAAAAACACAGCTTAATTTTTTTGGCAATGGTACCATAAAAAGTTATGCACGCTGGCTTATTTAGCCCTTCCCCTACCACTGGCTTGGAAAAATCATCAGGATAGACTGTGACATCATTTTTCTCTATATTCACAATTTTATCAAGATCCAGGCCTCTTAAATCGGTAAAGCCTTCAAACACAATTTTCCCATGCCTGTTTGCAATTGTGAATCCGTTAACTCTAGAAAGCTGCTCACTTGAAAAATCAGATAAAGCGCTTATACTTGGAATGGTGAAATAGCCTGGCTTTGTAAGTTTCGGGAAATGTGTGGGACTGGATGACTCTTTGGACATGTTAATTAATAGAAAATAGGGAAATTTGTATTAATTTAGATAGTAAAAATAATTTATTGAAATTCATTTAGTATATTCAATGCATTTTGGAGGTTTTTAATTGCAGGGGCTACGTTTTTATATTCTAGTTCTTGAATTGCATATTGGGCTTCTTTTTTGGCTTTTTCTATGGCAGCTCTAATTTCTCTTTGCCCTTTTGGTACTCCAGATGGGATAGTAGCTGGTTTTGAGGGTGGAGGAGGATTATTTTGAGGCTGAGGGGTTGTATATGGCTGAGGAGGAGGTAGGTCGTACCCAGAAGGCTGGCTTGGAGGAGGCAATCTTGTCTGAGCTGGAGGAGGTGGATAAAAATCAGAAGGCGGACTTGGAGGTGGCTGTCTTGTCTGAGCAGGTGGAGGAGGTGGATAAAAATCAGCAGAAGGTGTAGAACCTTTTGATTGGAATCCTGTCGGCGGACTAGGCAGCGACAAATCATCATATTCCTTCTCCAAGCTATATACATTAAAATGGCCGCATGTGTCAATTTCCCCTCTTGAAGCAACAGTCCAGACTTTATGACCACGGCGAAGTGGGACGGACTCAAGTCGAGAATCAAATGCAGGCTCAAGAGATGTGCATCCGGTAGGTTTTGGCCGTTTTCCTGTGATTGGAAATGGAGGTGTTAATGTATAGCATTTGCATTATAAAAATTTAAAAAAATATGTAGCACAATTTGTATCAAATCTGTAGCCTATATATAAAATTAATGGATAATATCTTCCAAAAGAGTTATGGCTATTAAAAAAATGAGAATAAAAATAATTTTAATGTATAGCATTTGCATTATAAAATTAAACCAAAAATAGAGCACAAAATATAAAAATTTGTAGCCTTTCATTGGTCAAGGGGAAAGTGAAGAAAAGATTAAATGGCTCAAAAGTCTTTGGCTAGAAGAGAATTTTGGGGAGGACTCACCTAATAGACTCCGAGTAGTTGATCTTTGAATCAAGCTACTTCAATTGCCATAGCAGGGCTGCAGAAATCCATAAGCACTCAAGACTGAAGCCGTAAGGCAAGGAGTAGACAGAAGGTACGGAAGTGGCACAAACCCTCTGGGCTGGAGTCGAAAGCGGTAGAACCTCTTGTACAAGAGGTCTTTGGTGACTACGTCACCAATATGGCTAAACCTAACTTTTAATAATCCTAATCCTTCTCCAAGCTCTTATCCCCTTGCTCCGGCTGTACTTCTCCTTGCTCATTTTCTGCTTGGGCTTCTCCTGGTCCCCCTCTCTGAGGCACAAGTCCTGCTTTCAGCGCTTTATTGATATCATTAGCTTTCCACTTACAATAGACCCTTTTCTCTTCCCAGTCAGGCGGCAGCTCCTCAAACACCCTCATAGCTTCTATGAAATAGCTGGTGACCAAAAAGGTCTGTGCCGTAAGTTTTGTTGAGCCTTCTTTGCGATCTTCAGTATCAGCTTTGACGAATAAGGCAGTGCAGAAGGACTCAAATTGGTCTTTAGGGTTCTGGACTTCGCCAAGCTGGGCTTTTTTTTGTTCAGTCTCATTTAAGAGGGTAATGACATATTGTCGGACTGTTTGGTTTTTGGAGTTTTGCTTGTGGTACTCCATTGCAAGCTGCACAGCGTAGAGGTGGGTGTAATAGGAGACCAGCGGCATTGCGGTTTCCATTTCAAGGGACCGAACTAGGAAGGGCTTGATAAATTTCAACTCGTCAGGTAGCTTCGCCATTTATTTTAGTAGAAGGTATAGGATTTTATATGGAATAGCTGAAATTAGATTAAATTATTAATAATAATCAATTCACGTTTATGCATTTCTTTAAATCTTGGTTTATACCTATATAATTATTTTTTCATTATTTTTCCTACTTTGCCTTTTTTCTGCTGTGGGCGGACAAATTGCACAGGAGGTCTAGGATTATTAAAAACTGCTTCTTGTATATCTCTATCCTGGGCTAGTGGCAAGAACTCTTGCCCAGTTGTTCTCCCTTCAGCTCTCCTTTCCCACTCCATCTCATAAAAGACTTCATGCTCTTCTCAGTGTTTATCGCATACCAAGCACAAGAAATTTGACTCAAATCTGTAGCAGGGGCACAATACACAGGACTGAGTATTTGGGTTATGCTCTTCATGGGTATGGTTACATTTACATTTTATTCTTTTTTTAATTAATTAGGCTCTAGGCAATTCTTATTAAAATTAATTATATTTATTAGAAAAAGAGATACTCGATAGGTATTTATATTGAATTCTTTACGTCTAGGTAACCACCATTCTCCAACCTCTTCTGGCCTTTGTGGAATAAACTGAAATCTTTTACAAACACAAGCTTGACAAGGGTTTGTTTTCTTATTAATATCATGGTCTTGAAAAAAGTGCCCACAAAAGCATTTGCAGCCTGGACCTACACGGGTGCATTCGTGCCTTGTAGAAGGCGATCTCCAAGTTATATAGAGCCCTCTTTCTATTGCCAGCTGAGCTGCTTGCATTTCTAGGCTTAGCATAGCTTGAGCGCCTGGGGCAGGCCCAAACCTATTGACGGCATTTCTGATTGACGCCTTATCAGTTGCTTGTATCATATTTAAATTGGATTTATTATTATTTTTTAAATGGAATCAGTGACTTTCGAGAGTTCTGAAGACATCAGGGTTGTGCCTTCTTTTGACTTGCTTGGCCTTCGAGAAGACCTTTTAAGAGGAATTTACAGTTATGGCTTTGAAAAACCATCAGCTGTTCAACAAAGAGCAATTTTGCCAATTATTGAAGGAAGAGATGTAATTGTCCAAAGCCAGGCAGGGACTGGCAAAACCTGCGTTTTCTGTGTCGCAGCTTTGCAAAGCCTTGACTTGTCAGTCAGAGAGCCTCAATGCTTGATCCTGTCACCTACAAGAGAACTTGCAGAGCAAAGCCAAAGAGTGGCTATGGCACTCGGAGACTATATGAGTGTTCAAGTTCATGCTTGTATCGGCGGAAAATCCCTTGCAGAGGATATCAGAAGGCTTGACCATGGTGTTCACATCGTTTCTGGCACTCCTGGACGTGTTTTTGACATGATCCAGCGTCGAAATCTTCGCACTCGATCGATCCGTCTACTAATTCTTGACGAAGCTGACGAAATGCTCACTCCCCCCCATCCTTGATCGAACGATTGACTGTAAAAATTCCTAAAAATTGGGGAAATTAACCCCCATCCTTGATCGAACGATTTTCATATCATGCAAATTTTTATATATATAAAAATATAATAGTTATCAAAAGCTTGGGAAGATGTGCATAATGAAGTTGTTTTCAGAGACTTTGAGACGACAGAAAGCTTCGGAGTCAACCATCAGAAGTGATTTAGTTATCAACCTAGGCTTAAAAACTCAATAATCTAATAAAATAGAGATTCTTTAAAATTTTAAAAAAAAAAAATTAATTTTAATGAGGAACAAATTAAAATTTATACAATTTAAAGGGGTAGCTAATAAATCAAAATATTAAAAATTGGTATTTTTATGAAATTAATTTAATTTTTTGCTGTAAAAATAATTATGAAATACTCTTATTTCTCTTATTTAAAAGTAAAATAAAATATATGTATATAATATTTTTTTTTCCAAATAATTGTTTTTAGCCCCCATCCTTGATCAAACGACGGCGAGTCGTTCGATCAAGGATGGGGGGGAGTGAGCAAAGGCTTTAAAGACCAAGTCTACGACATCTACCGTTACCTCCCGTTTAACACCCAATGTATTGTTGTCTCCGCGACTCTCCCCAAAGAAATCCTGATCATGACTGAAAACTTCATGAAAAATCCTGTCAAAATTTTAGTAAAAAGAGACGAGCTTTCCTTAGAAGGAATTAAACAGTTTTTTGTAGCTGTGGAAAAGGAAGAATGGAAATTTGACACCCTTTGTGATTTATATGATACACTAGTCATTACACAAGCCGTCATTTTTGTAAATACAAGGAGAAAAGTAGAATGGCTGACTGGGAAGATGAGGGAGGCAAATTTTACTGTGGCTATGATGCATGGAGAAATGCCACAGAAAGAAAGAGACGCAATTATGGAGGACTTTAGGAGCGGGACCAGCAGGGTTCTAATTGCAACTGATATATGGGGAAGAGGGCTAGATGTCCAGCAGGTGTCACTTGTGATTAATTATGATATTCCAACGAATAGAGAGTTGTATATTCATAGAATTGGGAGAAGTGGGAGATATGGGAGAAAAGGAGTTGCGATTAATTTGGTAAGAAATGAAGATGTGAGACTTTTGAGAGATATTGAGCAGTATTATTCAACACAAATTGATGAGATGCCGAAAGACATTGCTGAGCTCATTTAATTGGAAAATAATAAATATTTTTGAAAATTAAGAATCGATTTATATTTATCAAATTATTCAATTAAACATTTTAAATATAAATAACTGATGCCTCCAAAAACTGCAGGGAAACCTGGAGGACGATCCAAAAAAGATATGCTCCAAGACGAAACCACAGAAAAAGTATATAGACTGTACAGAAAAAATCTCCAAGCAGCTGGCCTTGCCATGCCTCGTAAGCTAATAGAAAAATTCATTATTTTAAGAGATGAAAAAACCCCAGGAAATCTAGAAGAGCTTGCCCTATGAGAAAACATCGGCCCAGAAGGAATGAAATGTCTAGCAGACGCCCTAAGAGAGTATGACTATAAATACTTAAAAGAAGTTCATCTATGGGATGCTGGAATCGAAGATGAAGGTGCAAGGTCTCTATCCATGTACTTAATAAACGCTATCTCAATGAGGACTATTGAAATTGTGAATAGTAAAATCAGTCCTTTAGGCTGTGAGTTCATAGGCCAAATTTTTGGTATCGGTTCAAGAAATTTTATATTGAGCTTAAAGCTAGACTACAATAACTTTGGCGATGCAGGGGTAGAGCTGCTTTCTAAAGGGCTTCGGCTAAACCAAACTCTATTTCACTTAAGCCTCGCGTTTTGTGGAATAACAGGAGAAGGCGCAAGATTCATCATGGAAATCATCATTAATCAGCAATGCAATATTAAAGATCTAAATCTTCAAGGGAATTGTTTAAGAAACCAAGGAGTCGTTATTTTATTTAGAGGGTTAATGATAAACAGCTCAGTTGTGTCAGTAGATTTGACTGATAATCAGTTTGGAGAAGAAGAATTAGTCCTGACAACTCTGAGAAATTTGGTTTTTACTAATAAAACTCTAAAAACTTTGGATTTTACCCATAATGGATTTTACGAGACTGGCGCACAGTTTATTCTTGGGTTTTTGACTGAGAAAAATGATGAAGGAGCTGACATTGTCTACGCCATAAACGAAATTAAGCTGCCAGAAAAAATATCACGAGACACTCTAAAAGCAATTGAAAAAGCTATCAAAGACAACAAAAAGCTGAGAACTAAAGGGAAAAAGAAGAAAAAAGGTAAGAAGAAAGGCAAGAAAAAGAAATAAACTTGCCGTAATTTATTTTAAATATTTCTTATATAAGACTTATCATACTATGCGTCTTTACAAATCAAGCTTTTCATCATACTAATTTGGGACATCATCCCTTGGATATCTTCGTCATCTACCTTAAACTCAGTAAGCGTCAAATAAAACATTTCTGCATAACAATTGTATTCTTTAACTGTAATTCCTTTTGCATGATGCAATAGTAAGCACAATTTAATGGAGAAAGATTTCATTAATGAAATACATGAATGGAGCAGAGTGATATTGACGAACTTGAAGAATTGTGGGGAAAGGCCAGACTTGAAGGTCTTATGGCCATAAATTAATTTTAGTTAGTTTAGTTTTGCATGATGGGCAGCTCTTAATCTTCCTCGTAATTCTAGGTTAAGGTTTCCATGGAACATTTTGAACATCCCTTTTACGATCATTTGGAAACTTTCGATTTTTGAGTCTTTAAAATACTTATTTAGCTCGTCACAGCCCAATACTTTGTTATAGAGAGAAACTATTCTCTATACAAATGTATTAACATTAGTGTTTTTTATTAGGCAATTTGCCTATTTTTTTAAAAAAAGTATATATAAATTTGCTCCAAAAAGCTTCTCCACCATATTTTGTGAATAAATTTATTTTTTTTGTTTTTGCGATATTTACATTCATTTTCATTTCTTCGTAATTGTCAACAGCTTCTGAAAAATATTTTCGTGTAGATAAAACCACAGGGCTTTCGTCATGCTTTTGCTCTCCAAATGGACATTTATCAAATTTAGCGACTGAAGCATGGGTAGGAGTTAAGTCAGGAAGATGAGGCTGAAAATTATTATAATTACTAACTCCCCCCCCCCTCCGTGAGCGAACAAAACCATTAGAAAAATCGCCATTTTTTGACCAAAAACCCACCCTCCGTGAGTGAACAAAAATTTTTTTAATAGAAAAAATTTTAATGGAAAAAAATTTTGATATATAAGTGATAATTAGTATAATGAAATCTAGAGCTAATTCTGTTTAATTTTAAACAAATTGCGTTTTAAAACATAAATTTTGCAAATTAAATTAATATTTGCTTCCCAATTTTTGCAAATTAGGATTTTTTTAAATTTCGAAAAAAATATTTTTTATAAAATTTATATATAAATTTTTTTTAAAAAAAAAAATTAACCCCCCTCCGTGAGCGAACAAAATTTTTTTGTTCGCTCACGGAGGGGGGGGGGGGAGTAAGGTAATTTTGGATGCTTTCTGACCTTGTCAATGAGGAATGAGAAATCTTTTGAGAGCTTAAGCGGTCTATTTTTTCATTAATTTTGTTAAACCTGTCATAAATATCATTCATTTTTACAGTTGCTTTTCTTTTCTTAATCGGGGTCAGCTTTTCCACTGTTTTCCTCCTTTGAACTTGTTTAGCCCTTGCAGACATTGGGTGGTTCAGCTCGCTCATGCTCCCTGTATCAGTCCTATGCATCCCTGGAATGTCCATATCAGTCAGTTTCAATGGGTATTTCGGGCTATGCACCTTATTGCTTTTCTCCATATGTTTCGAATGGTCAATTAGATGTTCTTTACAGTCAAGTAAAAACCATTTATTATTAATATCCTTCACAAAGTCAAGTACTAGTCCTTTTGTTTCTCTATTAAATACATGATAAGTCAAAAACTCAGCCACCTCATTGACCATTTCATCAATTTCTTCAATTTTCCCAAAACTTTCGCTAGCCAGGCAGCTGGCTGTATCATTTGTGATAACTAAATATTCTTTGCATTTATTCCCGTGAATCACCATATTTTTCTCAATTAAATTGTCAAAATTAGTCGCGGATTTTGTATCGTTGGAAAAGGTTTTAAAAATATCGGACCTGCGGGATTTATTTTTGGACATATAAGGGGAGCCAAAAGGGTTTTCACCTTTGGAAGATTTTTTGGATTTAAATGGGTAGGTAGGAGAAGGGCTAGGCAACGAGGCAAGAGAATAGCGGAACCCAGTCGTAAGCTTTTTTCGTTTAGATGTCAAAGTCCCTGAAGCGTTGTGTATGAGCCTTTTTGTGGCTGCTTTTCTATTTATTATAGTAAAATATTTATTTTTTGTCCCTTTTTTCCATAACACCCTGGTAATCGCTGATGGGTTTGCTTGACTTTGTATGAAAAATTGCATCAAAGCGTCATCGTTGCTAGAATTTCACAGTTTGGCTGCCGTTTCTTTTGAAAACGCAACTACGATTTCTTTAGCGAAATTTTTAAAGCAGAACGAAGGGAAGCCTGGGCTGCTGCTTGTGCTTTCCAGCTCAAAAAATTCTTTTTCCACACATTCTCTTATCTCCACAATATTTTTTTTATTGGTTTGAATTAGAAGAGGAGACGGTTCTGATTTCAGCCTAATAAGGGTGGTTGGGATATTAATATTTAGTTTAGCTGAGTTTGCATGTGTCGCAAGAAGGCTAAAAAATTTTATTTCTTGGTGGTTAGGAGACTTGGGTATAGCTTTTTTGTCCCTGAGGATTCCTATTGACCATAATTTTTTGGTTATATATTAAAAATTTGTATGGGATTTAGCCATTTTGAATTGTAAAATTAAATCTAGAGTGATTTATTGTGATGGATTTAGTATAGAAGATTATTGATTCTGCTTATCATTGTGTTTCAGCTGATATCGGAGCCAATGCTATCCAAAATTTTGGTAGATTCAGCCAGTAGAGTTTTGATTTCTTCACTGAAAGCGTCGATTCCGTTTTCGTCGTTGGGATTTTGATGATAGTCGTTTAGGTGTTCTAATATCCTTGGAATATCCATTTAGTAAAGAAATGGAAGAGATGCAATTATTTTTTGTTTTTTATTTAACAGGAGATATTAGATTAGATTAAGTGATGTGTCTCTATAGTCCCCACTTCCTGGATACCATGCATTCCGCAGCTATCGTTGCGGGGTGAGCTTCCTAAAAGGCAGCTTGAGCCTGGCCGAAATCTCCAGTTTTTCGGTAGAGGCATTTCCTTTCTGATTCGCATAACACAAATTTTGCTGGAACCTACATTTCTAACCCAAGCACCAGCATTACCCAGCTTCGCTTATACTAATTGCCCGAGAATGGCGCTATTTGCGCCATTCTCTGGCAATACGGAAAATCGGCTCAACACGGGAACGATTTTCCACGTGTAGAGCCATTTTTTTCACACGTGGAAGTCAGGATTCTCACGTGTGAAAAAATGGCTCCACATGTGGAAAATCTTTCCCGTGTGGAGCCGATCCTCGGGCAATTTCTATAGTCGGCCAGATCTCCCCTTTGATCTGGGCCCTTTTAAACTGGAGAGATTTACGCTCTTGAGCCTCACATTCCCCTCTTTTTCGGATCATCTCCAAAAAGAACTTTACATCCTGCAGCATTCGAGGCGAAGCCACCAAACAGCCTAGACAGGCAATCCATCCTGCCTCTTTCAGATACCGAGCCTTTGGTGGCATAAATCACGTGAAAAACTGCCGCTCGAGCCAGGCCACAAATCAGTAGAAGTTGTGCTGGATTTCTCGCCTCGAGGCTAGCCCAACCCTTGGGTATGCCAATTGCCCGAGGATGGCGCTATCTTGCACCATCCTCGGGCAATTCAAAAATGGCCCCACACCGGGAATCGAACCCACGTGTGGGGCCATTTTTGGTGTGTGGCCAACATAGACTTACACGCACCAAAAATGGCCCCACACGTGGGTTCGATTCCCGGTGTGGGGCCATTTTTGAATTGCCCGAGGATGGCGCAAGATAGTGCCATCCTCGGGCAATTCCTATAGCTCTTCGCACCAAAAAAGCCACGTCCAGATACACATAAAGACACCCATCACTTGGATGACAGGCAACTCTTTACCGGCCATTTAATATATATTAACAGGAGATATAATAGCTAGATATTAGATAATTCTAAGAATAAGGGATGGAATACTTAGGTGGTTTTATTTAGATTTTGATATGAAGATTGGAGGTTAAGTAAATTAAAGTTTATTAATTAAATGGGTTTTCAGATTAGGTTAATAAATTCTAATATCCTCTTATAATTATTTAATTCAATTTTTATTTATATACCTCACTTAACTTTTTAAAAAATATTTTAATTAAAAAATTCAAGATCTCCATATGCTACGTCACGAAGACTAAGAAAAAGACTCAATGCCTTATATCAAATCTCCTGTCTTTTTTGCAAAAAATTAATCATTATTCTTTATCCTCCCATTGAGCAGCTAAAATCCATTGCTGATAATATGTCACAAATAATAAGACATAATAATAAATCAGTAAAAATGAATACAATTTAATTTATCATGCTGAAATTAAAGGGTTGACTTACATATTAGACTTTTCATTGATCTTATTTGTGACATAATTCCTTGTCTATCTTCTTCAATGATATTGAAATCCACTATTGTGTCCTCAAAAATATCAACATAGCAGTTGAACTCTAATTCACTAATCCCTTTCGCATAGTGAGCTACCCTAAGTCTTCTTCTTAAATCTAAATTAATATTTCCTTGAATAATCTTAAACATCCCTATAATGATTTTTTCAAAACTCTCCATTTTGCAGTCTTTGAAATGCTTGTTTAAAATATCACATGCCAGCACTTTTTTATATAACGAAATAATAAATTTATTCCAAAACTCAGCCCCACCGTATTTTTTGACGATATTTTGCTGCTTAACTTTGGCTGCTCTCACATTTGTTTTCATTTGTTCAAGATGATCAATCACTTCTGTGAAATGTTTTTTAATATAAACCAGCTGACTATCCACAATTGGCAGTTGGTCTGTGTGCAAATATGATCTTGACTCACTAAAAATGCGAGAAGTATTTGGGACTGGTGTTCCTCTATATGAGGGATTTTGGTTATTAAAATTTTTCACATAATAGCTGATCCCTTCTTCTCTCCCTGATATAAATATTCTTTATATGATAATAAATTATCCAAATTATTTTCATTTTTCCATTATAATAATTTCCTTGACAATTGTCTATTTATATCAAAAAGAATGGATTCCTAGGTGTTTCAAGCTCAGTCGGGTGGTGTATTTTTTCATTAATCCTGTTCAGCCTTTCCATAAAATCTCTTTCTGTCAATGAAGAAGACTCAAATCTTCTTGGCTTAGATCGTATTTTAAATGGACAAGTTTCAGGCTCAACTTCTAATCTGGAATTTTCTTCAGCTGTAGGTGTTAAAAATCTGGTTTCCGATTCACATCTTGGCTGGTGCACTTCTATTTTTGGTAGATTTAACGAGTTTTTTGGTGTTTCCAGTCTTAATAAGGTCTTTTTTTCTTTCAGTTTTTCGTTGTTTTGGTCAGTGCAGTGTTCTCGGCTGTCTAATAAAACTCAGCTGTTATTTTTGTCTTTTAAAAAATCAATCACAATCCCTTTAAGCTCATTACGCTGAAATGCTTGAGAATTGAGGAAATCCACGATTTGGTCTACCATGAACTCGATTTCGTTTATTCTGGTGGAGCTTTTGCAGGCATAGCAGCTTTCGGTGTTTCGGGTCAACACAAAAAATTCTTCGCTTGATTCGACTTGTCAATGAGGGATGCTTCTCGTTGTGATTGGGCTGTAACCGTCGGTTTCTTTATTCTTAAATATACCAAACATATAAGAATGGCTTTAATAATTCATATATTAAGATTTAAATTGATTTTTTTTGATAAATAATTAGAGCTTGCATGGCTATAGAAAACTTCCTTGGAGTGGCGCTGCAAGCGCAGGCCACTCCATGCGGAATTCATGGGTTGGTCGAACCAACGCACAGTCTTGGTTCGACCAACTCCTATGTTGGTTAAACCAACACAGGAATTCCACATGGAGTGGCCTGCGCTTGCAGCGTCACTCCAAGAAAAGAAGTATACTTGGTGGTGCAGTTATTAATGCTATTGAGTATAGAGATTTCAAAGAGTCATGATGCATAGCTTCTTCTTGCCACTCAAAAGGGCACATTGTTAAGTGCTTTCGCCGATTATTCCGATTCAGAGGTACAGGCAAAGGAAACGGATCAGGATCTGGCTCTGGGGTTGGAGATATTGAGGCTTGATGGCTAATTAGATCGGTTGATTGTTTGCTTAGTCCTCCTCGTCTATGAGTTGGATTAGAAGAATTGCTAGGCTGTTTGTGTATAATCACTTAACTATTTAAAAACTTAAAAAATAATCTATTGATCTTATTTTTTTATAAAAACAGCCTCCAATCCTCCACAAGTATCCCCAGTCTTCTTACAAACTATAATTTTTTCACAACTTTTTTCCGATTTGTAATAGTGTATAGCTCATCCGCCTAAGTGGATTGCCATATGCTCGACACCTCCCAAGACGGTTGGAGTTTGGTTTTCACCAAGCCTTGAAATGACAAATCTGATTATTTGGTCGATTTGCCATTCCAAAAGTTGGTGAAGCCCCCCAACCGTCCAAGAAGACTTCAGGCATATGGCAATCCTTTTAGATGAATGAGGTATAATATTTATTTTTAAATCCTTTTCTCCACAACACCCTGATAATTGTAATAGGATTAGCGTTATTCTGTACATAGCTCTGAATTATTGCAGCAGTAAACGATGAATTTCATAACTCCAAAGCACTTTCTTCTGAAAATAACGTGACAGGATTTTTCCCTGATATTTTATAGCAGAATAAAGGGAAATAATTATCATTTCCCATACTTGGAAGGCTGAAAAATTCATGCTCTGTGCATTGTTTGGATTGGATTATCTTTGTATCTTTTTTTGTTTGCAATAAATACATTTTGCCTTCATATCTTACAAGGGTCGGTGGGATATTTGCATAGACTTTGCAGATGTTTGAGTACTTTGCGAGCATATTGAAAAGATTTAAGGCTTTGGCTGATGACTTTGGGAGTAAATTATTTAGTCGTTTAATCATGTTGTTGGCTGTTATATCTGGGCAGAAAGCTTGACGGCCATTAGTTGATTCTGTGATTAGAGCTTTGAGATCTTCTCCAAAGCTGAGTATTTCATTTTTCTCATAGGCGTTCTGATGATAATCATTCAGATTCTCCAAGATTTTTGGAATTTCCATTCTAAACAAATAATATCATAATTAAAATGAAGAGATTACTAAACTGCCCAACCATTAGCGAGTAAAGCCTTGTAGTCTGTAAAAATATTTTAATTATTCTAGATTATAACAATAAAAATTATCTAGAGAAGATTGAATTCGAAAATATAAGCCACACAGATTTTTGAAAATTATTTGCACAAAACCTTAAAAAAAGTATTACCTGGGGAAGTTAAAGAAAATAAAATAATTTTTCTAATAAATGGAAAATTTTTTCTAAGGTATCTTTAAAGAGTTTTAATGAATAAAGATTATATTAATAAGAAAAATTATTTTGAATTAGCTTTATACAAGAAATTATATTAAATATTTACACCTTTTTAGTATTCATGTTTAATTTTGAGTTGCTTTGAGCTAATATCGCTAATGGGTCTATATTTTTATCAAATGCTTGAATAGCTATGCTTGCTCTTCTTGAATTTGTGTATTCTTCTTTTTCGAACTCTTTTGTTTTCTTTGCAAAATTAGATGAAAAAGAGTGTCTATGTCTCCCTATAACTTTGACAGTTTTTGGAGGTGCTTTTTCAGTTTGTTCGTTGGCAAGTTTTTTTGCAATGTTGAATTCATTAGCTTCGAATTCATGCAATTGTTTTTGAAAGTCGGTACTTGTATCTCTATGAGTTGGTTGATCTATAATATCTACATGTTTAGCTTGCGCTTTTATGCTAATTTCATTAAATAATGCCTTAAATAGCCTTATTTATTTAAAATATATATTTAAGGGAAAGATAATATACAGCCTCTGAGAATTCTCATTTTTCAAATTCCCTTGATTTTTTTCTAAAAATCATTTTTTCAGTTTCTGACAATTTAGGCTTCTCCTCGGATGGAATTATTCTAACTCGCTTTGGTTGGTCAAATTTTGCTGTGCCTTGTAAGTTTGAGTTAGATTTAGAGGAATCAGAGCTTTCTTGCTGATTTTCTGATTCTTCATCTGCATTTGGAGCATATTCCTTTGATTTCTTCACAATTGCAGCTTTATTGGCCTCTTCATTTTTTCTTAGGTTTCTGAAAGAACTACTTGAGACAGGGCTTTCTGAGTCTTTTTGAAAAACAATATGCTTTTTCTCAGTGTTTCCCATAATTTTTATTTATTATTAATGAAAGCTTTATCTCACTAATTTTTGCAGTCAGAATCTTGCCATTTTTGCTGTGGCTTAATTTTAATTAATTAATTATATTTCTATTTTATAAGAAAATATTTTTATAAAGATTTAAATGACATATAAAATTTAGTTTAAAATGCTTTATTCTTCTATAAAAACATCTCTATCTTTTTATAGGGCTTTTTATATTAATTTATTTTCAAATATATATGTTTCTATCTCAATTTCTCAATATTATTAACTTATGAAATTTCTTATTTTAATTATGAAATAATTATTATATAAAGAAAATGAAAAGAATCTGTTCAGAAAGAGAGGTTTCTGAAAATGATACCCAATTCAAAGATAATTTTGATCAAGAAGATATAAATCCTGCATCTACTCCTCCCTTTAAGAGCAAAGATTTTTATTTTGCAATATAAAAAATCTCTCTTAATATTCGAAAGAAAAATCTAATTTAATTTATAAAATTAATTTCTAAAAGATGCAGGCTAACTAAATTTAAATAGATATATCTGAAGATTTCGTAATAATAAATTTTTATTATGTATAAAATATTTGAATATAAAATAGTTACGTAAAACATTATTTTGATTATCTTAAGCGAATTTAATTTCCCAAAAATAGGCATTTTTTGAATGTTTTTGTTCATTCTTAATAAAGGGGGAGCTAATTATTTCTTGAATAGCTGCCAAGTTCCTATATTAAATAATGAAATAAATTGCGAAACAAATTCAATAATAAAAAGACGAAAAGCCAGAAGCACGTTTTTGTCGTGATTTTTACCTGGTAGACTTTTCTCGGCATCATTTGGTCGGAAATTTTCCTCATCAGACATTTGCTTCAAAAAACTGTTATTTTCAACCAAATGTCTTACTTGAAAAAGTTTTGACCAGATATGGCTGATGAAATGTATGCAAGAATAAATGCTCCGAAGAAAGGCACGCAGCCGAAAAGGCAAATGGCACGCTGATGAAGATTTCTTATTAATTCGTCAATACATCGAGCATGGACCTAATTGAACTTTATTTACCTCGCTATTTAATAATAGAGGGCCAAAATCAATAAAGAGTCACTTTTATTTATTAACTCCCCCATCCGTGAGTGAACAAAAAAATTTTGTTCACTCACGGAGGGGGGTTAATTTTATTTTTTTAAAAAAATTTATATATAAATTTAAAAAAATCTCACTTCTATAAACATTAAGCAAATATTAATTTAACTTGTAAAATTTATGTTTTAAAATGCAATTTGTTTAAAATTAAACAGATTTAGCTCGAGATTTCATTATACTAATTATCACTTATATATCAAAATTTTTCTATTAAAAAAATTTTTGTTCACTCACGGAGGGTGGGTTTTTTTGGCAAAAAAATAGCGATTTTTCCAATGATTTTGTTCACTCACGGAGGGGGGAGTAAGAAATCGAATGACAATGGAGCAAATGGAATTATTAAATCATCAAATTTTGCTTAACAGAAAAAAAAGAGATTCAGGGTTGATATACGAAAAGTTAAAATTTTACGAAAATGATATAAAAGATTATAAAAACAAAGAGCCATTAGATGAATCAAAAGCTTTAAAAGTATGAAATAATGATATTAAATGAGAAAGCCTTTATGAATCAGAAAATGAAAAAATTTTATCAAAAATTTTCGAATTAAAAATAAAAGAAGCCTTATTGGAAAATCAACTTTTTGCAAAAAAGAGAGAGTTAAGCGAATATAGAAAATCGCAAGGATTTATTGAAGATGCTTTTTAATATGAATAAATAACTTGCACAATTATATTTTATTGCTTCAAATTATTGCTAAATGTGCCTATTAATATAATTAAAATGGAAATTTTTGCTCTCAATTTTTTTTATCATTGCTCTTGAATTTTCATTGCAAAATCTTTCTTATACTTCAAGCTACTCTATAGATATTAAAATATGCAAAATAGAAATGAAAATTAATTTATTTCTTAAATCTTATAAAGTACGATCAAAAAAATGAAAATGCCTAGATTCATTTAGCTAGAAAAACAAACAATATTAAAATAAAGAGCTTTAGTTACTAAAACTATAGAGTATTAAAAATAGAAAAATAAGCAGTTTATTTGAAAAAATAATAATTTTTTGTGCAGTCCTATAAGAGTCTATTACAAAAAATTCCGTTATATTTCTTCCCAACAGATTTATTATCATTCTTAATGATGAGCTATCCATTAGACAGATAATTATCATTCTTAACATAAGCTATCCATTAGACATACAATTAAATATCAGTACATCTTAATAAAAATTTTTATCACTACAATTTATAATCAATATTTTGAATAAACAGAATATATAGAAGTTTCCTATGTTTGGCGCTGTAAGGCCGATAAATTCTGATCGGAATTTATCGGTAGGTTGCACCAAATCAATGCCTTGGTCGGACCAAAAAGCGATTTGGTCCGACGAACTTGGAAAGCTCCTGGGAAAATGTCTGCGCTTTTAGCGCTATATAGAGGAAACCTCTATATGATGAATTTCCTTCTAATCTAATACACTAATATCTAAATTTTTTACTTTAAATAATTTCATAATAGATTTAATACTCATTAAATCAGACATATTTTTACGAGCCAAATTATTGATTTATAAATAAATAAATGAAACAATTTAAATGCAATCTTCCTGGATGCGATCTTGAATACAGCACAAAGTATAATTTAAATCGACACATAAGAGTATTCCACGTAGGAGTAAGATACAGATGTGATGAATGTGGGCAGCTTTTATCTTCTGCACAAAATTTACAAGACCATATGTATGTCCACACAGGAGAAAAACCATATATTTGCAAAGCTAAAGGGTGCGGAAAGCGATATAGCTCATACCCCTTTATAGATTTCTTTATCGAGCAAAATGTACTGGATTATTGAACGACCAAGAGAGACTCTATTAAAGGAACGAGCTGGATATCTATATCAGGAAGTGCTAAAAAGTGACATGTCAAAAAAATGGGTGACAAGTCTGAAAAAAGTTGACAAGTAAACGCGCCAATTTTTAAAAATGGATTTATTATTAAAATAAATTTAAAACTTAAGATATTTTAATTTTAATCAATATTTAATTATGCTAAGTATTTCTCATATGAGTCGATAAGAACTTTGCATATATTTAAAATCACAAGACACGCACTTCGCAAATTATAGTTTTAGTCTTCATAAATAAATTAGCATAAAATAAAGAAATTCTATCGAGCCGGAAAAATGCACATTGAGTTGCAAATTTTTGATTTTAACTTATAAGCCATATTTAAATTTTGCTAAGTACTTCTCATATGAGTCGGTAAGAACTTTGTATATATTGATATTAAATTTTTGCTAACTCCCCCCCCCCCTCCGTGAGCGAACAAAAAAATTTTGTTCGCTCACGGAGGGGGGTTTAATTTTTTTTTTTTAAAAAAAAATTTATATATAAATTTTTATAAAAAATATTTTTTTCGAAATTTAAAAAAATCCTAATTTGCAAAAATTGGGAAGCAAATATTAATTTAATTTGCAAAATTTATGTTTTAAAACGCAATTTGTTTAAAATTAAACAGAATTAGCTCTAGATTTCATTATACTAATTATCACTTATATATCAAAATTTTTTTTCCATTAAAATTTTTTCTATTAAAAAAATTTTTGTTCACTCACGGAGGGTGGGTTTTTGGTCAAAAAATGGCGATTTTTCTAATGTTTTGTTTCGCTCACGGAGGGGGGGGGGGAGTAAGTACTTCTCATCTTAGTCGATAAGACCTTCTTATGTATTGAAATACACAAGCCACGCACTTTGCAAATTATAGATCTAGTCTTCATAAATAAATTAGCATAAAATAAAGAAATTCTATCGAGCGGAAAAATGCACATTGAGTTGCAAATTTTTGATTTTCACTTACGAGCCATATTGATTTTTGCTAAATACTTCTCATATGAGTCGATAAGAACTTCTTATATATTGAGAATCACAATCCACGCGCTTTGCAAATTATAGCTCTAGTCTTCATATATATAAATTAGAATAAAATAAAGAAACTCTATCGAGCTGGAAAAATTCACATTGAGTTGCAAATTTTGATTTTCACAGCTATTATTAAATTTAAATATATATAAATCAAAATATTTAAAGCCAATATATAATGTGTAATTATATCTTCTGTATAATTGAGTATCTTAAGTTTTAAATTATTTTAATAATAAATCCATTTTAAAAATTGGCGCGTTTACTTGTCAACTTTTTTCAGACTTGTCACCATTTTTTGACATGTCACTTTTTAGCACTTCCTGATATAGATATCCAGCTCGTTACTTTAATAGAGTCTCTCTTGGTCGTTCAATAATCCAGTACATTTTGCTCGATAAAGAAATCTATAAAGGGATATAAGCTATATAGACAAGTGAGCCAGCTGTCAGTCCATAAGAGAAAACACATGAAAGCCTGCGTTCCAAGAAAAAATTTCATTATAGACTGGAAAATCAAACTTTTTATTGATGAAAAACCAATGATCTTTGAAATTCCATCAGGACCATATAAATTGGAAGACATCAAATTAAGTCCAATATTTTGTTAAACTTAATAAAAAATTTAAATTTGAAAGCCATTTTTTTTCCCCTTTTTATATTTAACCGGACTAATAATCTGAGCTGATAGTCCATTTTAGAAGTAATGAATAAGTATTTTAACTGCAGTTGAAAATCTTCAAGATAAAATTTTTGAACAAACTAATTAAATATAATTTACGAAAAATCAAAAAATTTTAAGGAAAAATTAAAAATTGGATAAAATTTATAATTCTTTCTTAAGCTTAATTATCAAGGAATTATTTTTTAAAGGCCATATCAAGCTAAAATTAGTGAAAGAATACAATTTTTGATTATTTCCCTTTAATTTTCTTTTAAATCTCAGAAAATATGTTTTCACTCATCAAAGGTACTCTCAGTTGATGTTTTGCCAAAAAAGTCGTCAGAGTTCTTTTGCTAGGCTTAGATAACTCAGGAAAAACAGTAAGCTCTACACAGACCTTTTTAGAACAAATAAAGAAGCTTTTTGGGCAGCGATCCATGCCAATTCATAAAATCCCTCCTACAGTAGGTTTAAACAGTAAAATTTATATAGTCGCAAAGCTAACTCACAACAATATTCAAGTATTAATCTGGGATTTAGGAGGAAAAGAAGGGATAAGGCAGATTTGGAACCACTATTACTCTGAAGCCCAAGCTTTAATTTTCATGATAGACGGATGTGATAGAAATAGATTCCAAGAACTTAATGAAGTTTTAAAGCAAACTTTGGCTGAAAGCCAGCTGAAAGGGGTGCCTTTGGCTATTATTATTAATAAGCATGACCAGGACTCGTGTGCAAGTATTGGATTTATAAGGGAAATGTTTGAAACAGATACTATAGAAGGAAGGTCAGTTGAGATTATGTATGGGTCATCGTATACACAGGAGGGGATTGAAAAAGTAATTAATTGGATTTTGTCTGTTGCATAAAGAATGAATTTATCCAATTACGAATTAATTTTGGTTTAATATTTTCTAAGTATACAGATCAAATGCAAGTCTGATTTTGCTATGTAAAAAGGCAGAATTTATACAATTATTTGCATTTATTTGATTAAGATTATTTCTATTTTAAAGTAAATTTTAGCTCACAAAATGCCAAAATTAATAGAAAAGGCTTTATTGTATAATTATTGATAAACTGCCTTATTATTGGATGATATTTTTTAATCCTTTGTCTCTTTGATAAGTAGAAATTATCAGCGACAGATGATAATTTTTGCTATTGTTTAGAATTAGCATTTATTTAAAATTATTTAATTTTATGAGCTTTTAAAACTTATATTAATTATTAAATCGTATGGCAAAATTTATTTACTATTTTAAAATCTCCCTTAAATATTAAATTCTATAAAGAAATTCAATAAACTCTATATTTTCAATAAAGAATAATTAAAGGTTACTAATCATGTTGTAAAAGTAGCCTTTTTGACTCATCAAATCTTCTCTAGTCCCAATTTCTAGGATTTTTCCACTTTCTAAAACCATAACTTGATGTGCTTCAGAAATGGTTTTCAGGCGATGGGCAATCATAATGCAGGTTTTTTCTGCCATCACTTCTTTTATTGTAGAAAGCAGAACTGCCTCAGTTTTTGGGTCCAGTGCACTTGTAGCTTCGTCAAATATTAATATTTTAGGATTCCTAATAATAGCTCTTGCTATAGCAATACGTTGTTTTTGGCCACCACTGAGCATGCTTCCTTTAATCCCAACTTGGCGATCAAAGGTTTCAGGGTATTTGGAATCTGTTATAAACTCCAGAGCCTGGGCTTTTCTTGCAGCCTCTTCTATTTCTTCTTGATCAGACTTTACTCCATAAGATATATTTTCTGCAATAGATCCAGAAAACAGCACAGGCTCTTGGCCTACATATCCTATTTGTCTTCTTAAGTGTTTAAGATTGTATTTTTTAATATCCATGTTGTCTATTAGTACTTTTCCGCCAGCTGGGTCATAAAGCCTCAGCAATAGTTGAATTACTGTCGATTTCCCTGACCCAGTCCTGCCAATAATCGCAAAATGAGTGCCAGGTTCAATAGAAAAGCTCAGCGATTTCAAAGCCATATAGTTTCTATTGGGATAGCTAAAGGATACATCTTTAAACTCAACTTTTCCTTCAATTTCTTTTTTGTCTCCATCTTTGCTATTAACATTTATTGTAGGCTTATACTCAAGGATCTTAAACAGCCTCTTTGCTGCCTCAATCCCATTTTTTACGTCTGGCATATAAACTCCTGCAATCATAAAGGAGTCAGACCCAAATTGGCAAGTTACCATAGCAATGACCATATTTTCATAAGAATCAAGGCCATCAACTACCAGCTTAGCTCCATACCAAAAAAGCAGCGAATATACACAAAAAATAGCCCCAAAGCCTAGCCCATAGGTAAACCCTGATAGCTGAGCCTTTTTCTTGATGCCTGCAAACTCAGCCTTGGCAGGCTCCAAGTACCTTTCAAGCATAATATTTTCCAAGTTAAAGGCTTTGGCTGTTCTATAGTTCATTATAGCATCAGCCGCTGTCGAAGTGCAAGACTCATAGTCAAATTTGACAACCCCAACAGACTGGGCAAGAAATGATGCTGCAGTTGCGGTAAAAATAACAGGGATAACAGCTAAGAAAACTAAGCTCATTCTCCATGAAAAAGCAGCAGCAGTCCCATGGGCAACTGCTAGGGATGCAGCGATGCTGATTAAAATTCCTATCATGCTGCCTGATAAACCATTTACTTTTTCACAGTCGTTGCAAAGTCTTGCTGAGAGAGCACTGCAGTTGTTTTCTGGGATATCAAAAAATGCTGCTTCAAATTTAAGAAGAGCTTTAAAGCTGGCTTCTCTCATTTTTGTAGTAATATTTGCACTCATTCTTGGATAGCTGATGCTTTCCATAATTAAGCCTATAGCTACAAAAAAGGCAAGGAAGCAGATTCATCCTCCATACTCTGCACTTTTACTTAGCATATCATTATCTTCATTGGACAGGACAAAAATTTGTTTCCCATTAAGCATTCCTGATATTGGATAAGAAGCAGCAACAACTAGCGACCCAAAAATTCCGAAATAAAGCCAAAATCTTTCACTTTTTGAAAAACTCAGCATTTTTTTCCTGACGTTGACGTCTTCTTCTTGAACCACTTTTTCACCTTCACTTATCGATTTGCTTGCGTCTAGGTCTGTCAATTTTCCTTTGACTTGTTCCTCATCTGCATTTCTCTGTTGTATTTTTTGCATTTTTATAAGGTGATAGTATTTTGACTTGTTTTTCATTAACTGCTTGTGATTGCCATACTCAAGGACAGTGCCTTGATCAATCATTATGATAAAAGTGGAGTCTTTTATTGTGAGTAAATTCTGTGCAATAGTGATCCTCGTGCTTTCAGGCATAGCTTTATCAATATCGTCAACAACAGCTTGCTCGGTCTGTCGATCTAAAGCACTTGTAGCTTCATCTAATAACAGAATTTTTGGGTTTCTTATAATAGCTCTTGCAATAGCTATCCTTTGTTTTTGGCCTCCTGAAAGCTGAGAACCTTTTGCGCCAGCAGGGGTTTCGTAGCCTAAAGGTAATTTTCTAATAAAGTCGTGAGCTCCCGCTTTTCCAGCTGCAGAATGGATTTCAGCTTCTTTTGCATCTAGTTTGCCATACCTTATATTTTCATAAATACTTGTATTGAACAACAAAGGCTCTTGGCTGACAATTCCTATATTTTCTCTTAAATAGCTGATTGAGTATTCTCTGATATCATGCCCATCAATAAAAATACTTCCTGAAGTTGGCTCATAGTACCTTAATAGCAGCTGAATTATGGTGCTTTTCCCTGAGCCAGTGCTACCTACAACACCTAATCTTTGTCCTGGTTCAAGCTCAAAACTCATCCCTTTCAGTATTTCTGAATGTGGGGTTGAAGGGTAGCTGAATTTTACATTATCAAACACGATTTTGCCTGAAATTTCAGTAGTCCTTGTACCTTGGACAAGCTGACTTTTTGTATTTATAATTGCTAATATACTATGAGCAGCTATTCTGCCTTGATTTATAATTTTCAAACACGGGACACACAGTGAAATATTGTTAAAAGTCATCAAACTGACCCACATCACAATAATAGTCTTCGTCAAATCATAAGGCTCCTGCAATACCCAGCAGTCTTCATTTTTATCAATAAACCACGCCCCAATAATAAAAGTGATCCCATTCATTACTATAAAAGAGGACATCGCCATCGCAATCCCCAGCCCTGCTTTTAACCCTCCTCCATACATAGATTTTTTTGACTCCTTTACTGCATTTATATATTTACTTGCTTCATGCTTTTGTCCGTTAAGGGAGGATACTGTTTTTATTTCTTCTAGTGCTTCTTCTGCAATTCCACCAGCTTTTTTATAAGAAGTGTCAGCGAATTTTGCATTTTGCTCAAGTCCTTTATTGGCCAAGAAAAAACCACCTACAATCGTAGGGCAAAATAGTAAGCAAAATAAGGTTAATTGGGTACCTTCTATTATAGAAATGATAAAGGAGGATAGGATCATCCCTATGGTAAAAATCAATATAACAAGTTTGTCACCTGTGGCTCTTTCGACCATTAGGGTTTCTGTAGCTAAGGACTGAGGAAGCTCAGCGACTTGTTTGAGGTCAAACCATGAAGGGTCACAGCTCATTATGGACTCGAAATATTTTTTGCGGAAGTTAAAGGCTTGTCTCGCCCCAACATTGATAAAGCACATGACTGATAAATATCCAGTCACCCCAAAAACGAAGGCACAACCTATAAATTGGTAACACACAATCTTCGCGTTGTCATAAAATTCGTTTGCAGAAGTGTCTGGTCCCATATCTCCAAAGAAATTTCCCATGAAAATAAAAAATAGAGGCTGGATTGATCCCATTGCAATGGCAGAAATGCTTCCAACGGCGATTAAGAAATAGTCAAATGGGGTTGCATATGTGTACAGTTCTTTTATGGAGCTCTTTTTCGTTTGATTTGGCTTAGAATTTTCGGGAAAAAGAGTGTTGACTTCTTCGGTGTCTACTATCATTTTATTATTAGCTATTTGGTCGACACCTCAAAAATGGTGAGTAATTGTTTGGAGAAAAGTTTTCAAATATGGTAAGAAGACCAACTAACAACTTTTAAAAAAATAGTTTGCCTTATCAGCGATGCAGAAGGCGTTTAAATTTACGATATAATTAAAGATAGTCATCTTTTAATGACTTTTGCTTTAGTAGCAATGGAATAGAATTTTTTGGAAATTCTTAAGTGCACGTTTAATTGCTTTAAAACTTGATCATTTTGCTGAAGTTAAGCGGCTTTGAGTTGTATAGATGGATAGGTAAATATTTGTGGATGAGTTTTGAATTGCAGCAGGAAGACTCTGGTTGTCCTATTTGTTCATTAGATGAGGAATATCAATAAGCATATTTTTTGGAAATAGGCTAAAATTCCTGATTATTTTCCAAATATTTTAGACTGCCAATTTATATACTCGATTTTGAAGCTTTATCTTTAAACTTTGTTTTACATATTTCATATAAATAGAAATTTTATCTTAAATAAAAAAATTATCAAAAAGTTACTGAAAGTCCTTGATATAATAATTTTATTTCAAACAAAATTATTCAAGGCTAATTGATCTCTTTTCTAGTAATTTCTTCATACTTTATTATTTGCCATTCTCTGACTCAAGTTATTTTAATTTCTATGAGGACTATAGTTATGCATAAATGTGTCAAAATATAAACATAGTTCTATGTTAAAATATTTTGATAAAAAATTATTCGAATAGCAATTAAAATATGAGTTAAACATTCTCTCATTTTTTATGCTATATATAGAAAATATATGAATTTTCTAATAAATATATAGGGTTTTCAGTTAGATAGCCCTGCAAGGTCAGTATGTTAGCCGGACCAACTCACTTGTTGCTCCACCAGCTAAGGATTCCGCCCAGAACCCACAACCCTTGCAGAGCTCTCTAGGGAAACTCCTATAAAATAATCTTGAGAAAAATATAGTTCACTTATCATTGCTGAAGAATCAAAACAGTCAACTTATATTGGAATCGGAAGACTGAAACAAAAGAATATTACTATATAAGCATGAGTCAAATAAAATTTAATTTGAGACTATATGTAAATGCATGACTTTTAAATTGCACTTATATTAGATTCAGACATCTTTTGCATAGAACAAATTTAAAAGGTTATCACATTTTTGAAATCATAGTAAATATTCTTCTAACAAAAATTGCCCTAAAGCAGGAGTTGCGAGTTATAAAATATGCACTTAAAAGTCTGACACAGAATAATTCTGAAAGTTTTAAGGGAGTTACCTCTGATATGATTCACCAAGCCAGTAAGATCTGACCCAGGTTTATGATTATTAGATTCCTCTCTTATACCTCCCCAATTATCTCTGTTTATTAAATTTTTCTTTCTCAATTTTTAAATTAAAATTTTCAATTCTTCCTCGCTTCATAATGCAATCCAGTCATCATTCCTACTGGGAAAAATGCCTTTTCTTATTCCAGTTCTCATTATCCTATCATCCTTTATCCTGCCTTCAAGCATCCTGTCTTTTGAAATTTGTAACGCAGTTTTTCTTAAATAATTACTCTTCTCAGATTAAGCATGCTTGAATAAAAATATTAGACAAAAATTATGAGGCAGTTATTTTTAAGCCAAAGCAAATATTTTGGCTCAGTTTTGGAGGGAAAGCCCTTAATATTTGAGAGATACCAAAAGAATTATATAAGAATGAAGCAGAAAGATTTTTGAATAAAGCATTAAAATTAGATATTATGACTGCTTTATATTAGATTTGAACAGGTTTGTAAACGAAGGCAGGGTTATTGTCCCCTGGCTGTTCCCCATTTTAAGTAGTGGAAGTTGGGGCTGCTCGATTTCGAATTTTTCTCAGTTTAGCTTTTCTGGGTTACTGTAAATCAAATCAGGTATATGTATTTTAGGGTCTTTATTAATTTATAACAGAACAAAAAATATTTAGTTTAATAAACAAACTGTAATTTTCTGTCAATGAAAATAATTTATTTTAAAAAAATAATAATGCCTATATTTTAGTAATTCCATTATTTTGTACAATTTCAATATTTCCCTCTTTTATGTGGATTCTTTTATGTTTTCTTAGACTTAATTAATCTATACACGTTTAACGTTTACTACCAGGTTGCTCAACCATAGCTACCTCCAGCACCGCATTGGGGCGAAATTTGCGCCATTTTCCTCGGCCGCCACAGGTGTGGCACCTCTTTTGATCTCAAATGAGGACGTCAGTCCATAATTTAGGGCTTAGACAATTCTTCTTTGAGCTCAGGCTCTTAATTGGGCCCGAAGAGCATAATAAAGGTCCAAGTCTCCACCTCCTGGAGTAAAAAAAGTGCCCTTCTGGAAATTATTCCCTAAGCCCAAGCTTCTGGTAGGAAACACCACCCAGCTCTCACTTCCCCTAGCATAGCTGGGTAATTTCACTATGGGAAGCCAAACCTCATAATTAAAAATATATAAGAGATAAATTTTCGGTCTGGAGACCAGAAAATTCGAGCAACGCCATATTTTAATTATCTTTTATGGAGTGTCAGTTGACTAGCTTGTCTATATGATTTACCACAGTTTTCACAGACAAAAGGTTTAACTCCATTATGTATATGCATGTGCTCCCTTAAATTCTGTTTACTTGACAAATTTTTTTTGCACACAACACATTCGAATTTTTTGACTTTAAGATGTATTGTTTCTATTCTTCGAAAATAAATATTTTGAATTTTTACCTTATAAATCTCTATTTTCTATATATAAATTAATTGCTGGGTCCTAGTAAAATCTTATAAATTTCTATAAAATAGCTATATATGATGCTTGAGGTTGAATTTTGTTGTATATGTATTACCACAGTTTAGGTGGTAGCAACAATAAAGAGTCATCGATTCTAGGCACGCTCTTGAAAACTTATCCATGATTTTAAATATTATAAGATTCATTTTGCGATGCGTTTTATATGTTTTATGCATTGCAATATGAAGTTACAGGATTTTTATTATTTGAGGCAGATAGATAAGTGATTAGATATTGAAGGATCAGAAGATAGAGCTGACTTATAACGAAAAAATATTTATTGAAAAAATGAAACTCATAAAAGTTGTAACGGGTGATGGACTTTTGGAAGAGAGAAGACTAAGAGAACTGATATTAAATATTGTAGAGAATATCTTGAATGCTCTTAATCTGCAATAAAACTGTCTTGAGCTGTATATAGGCAGAGAGATCTCAAAAGCGTTTCAATTTCTCTTCTAATAAAATATGTTTTAAGATATATTTTTTTATTTATATATAGATGCAAAGGCAGTAAAATTGATATGCTTTGTTTTTTTGTAAAATTGAGATTAGCATATCAGCTAACTTAAAGCTAATGATATATAGTTTTTATAGAGAAATTATCAATAATTACTGATGAAAAGCTCAAAATTACCCTTAATCAAACGTTGGCGTTAATGTGGTAATCGAATCATCGCTGCGGACAAAATTTTGAGCATTTTTATAAAGTAAATATAAGTTTGTTTTTATAGGCGTGCTTTCTATAAATTCAAAGTAAAGATCAACTATTTTTAGTTTAACTATTTATAGCGCATATTCTACATTATTTCTAACTTATTTAGAACTTATTAACTTTTTTGTAAAATATGAAATAAATAGGAGTTACCTTAATACATGAAAATATATTTTTTAATATATAGTTTGCAATAATACTACATTTTACCACCTTGATGTGTTTTAATTATGATTTTCAATCTAAACTATGCATTTAATTGCTTATTTTAATTGCAAGATATTGCAGCGGTTGAGCTTAATTTGAAATTCTTAACTCAGTTAATTATAATAAAAATGAACAATTATATGTCAATTTTTGTATCCCTGATGCTTTTTAAACTCTTTATTTTACTATGAATTATATTTCTAACCTATAAATTATTTTATGATAATTATTTGATGCTTTTATTTTTTACTTCTCACTGACTCCTGTGGCATTTTTCTCTGAGGCTCAGGAGATCTCGAAGTCTCATCTGTTTTTCTCGATGTCCCTTTTTTCGGCTCATCTGGCTGTACACGCTTAATTTCTTCTTTATTTTTTCCTTTTCTCTCTTCCTCTACAACAGGAGCGTTTTTACCTTTTTTCCCTTCTTCTGGGACTCTTTCAGGCGATCGATTTTTTGCTTTTTTATCCTCTTCTTGGACAATTTTTCCTTTTTTCTCATCCTCGATTCCTTTTTTCTTATTAGGCTCTGGAGGTTTCTTTTTTTCTTCTTCTCTAGGCTCTTCACCTTTTACTTTTTTCTCTGGGGTGGCTTCTTGCTTGGCTTTAAGAGCTAACTGTCGCTGCTTTGCTTTCCATTTCTTTTCAAATTTCAGCATCATAAGTGCTGCAAATTCATAAAGGTCACCAGTAGGCAGGCCATGCTCACAGAGACTTGTCAGAAGATCTGGTTAGTGATTACACTCATAAGCTTGGACTAAGCCGTTTTTTTCGAGAAAGTTAATTGCTTTGTTTGCAGGTTTGTCTTCCATTTTATAACTGTTATAGATAATAATTAGTGATAATATCATATAATCGATTATTTATAGGAATTTATTTACTGTATAAGTCTAATTACTCTAAATTATATATAAAAACCTAAAAATAAATATATTTCTATATTTGTTGATGATAATGCTAATTTATAACCCATATAATGCTTGCCCAGACTTTTGAAATGCATTGCATTTCCTTAATTTTATTCTTATAAAATGGCTCTTCTCTTTCCCCTTTTATTTTCTCTCGTGCTTTCTCTAGACCCCAAACTTGTAAAATACGCCGTCAACTGTGGCGGCGACTCTATTGTTGCGCCAGACGGTGTCACCTACATCCAAGACAACGGTTTTTCCTCAGGCACAGCTAGCGATTACGGCAAACAATTTCCGATTCGCCTCACAAGAGATACAGAAATCTATCAAACTGAGCGTTATGATGAGCAAGATTTCACATACACAGTCCCAATAAAAGAGGAAGGAAATTACGTGCTTATTTTACGCTTTTCTGAAGTATATTTCTCATACCCAGACGCTAAAATCTTCCACGTAAGAATTGGGGATACTTATATAGTCAAACAATTAGACATTTTCTCCAAGGTAGGGAAGGCTGCTGCTTATGATGAATTTATTGAATTTACCTATGAAGCAGGAAAATTAAAAATTAAAGAAAAAGTTGTACAAGGCGGAATTTCTAATGGGAAAATGACCATCACTTTTGAAAAAGGGCCAAAAGACAACCCAAAAATAAATGCTATTGTTTTGGTTAAAGGGGGATTAGAGGATACACATCAGTTTGAACAAAACCAAGCCCTGGCACGAATTCAAAAGGAAAGAATTGCAGCACAGCAGCAAGCGAGAGAAAAGGTGAATAAAGAGGAAAGAAAAGAAGTCCTGGACGACACTGATTTTGAAAGCTATGAGCAGGAAATCCACACAATTGAAGAGTCGGATTCTTTGCTGTCAGTGATTATGAGTGGGCCTGGGCTGGTTATTATAGGGATTATTGGAATACTGGCAGGAGGAGCTATTATTTCATCAGGTAAAGGAGATAAAAAGAAAGAAAATTAATTAAAAATAAGGGTTTTCTTATAGAAAAATCATTTTAATAGTAATTGAAATAAGTGTTATTTTTAATATAAATTTGTGATAAAGACTGCAAAATATCCATCTTATTTTCTCAAAATATCTATGATTAATTTTAGCCACTATCTTAGAAATCACCAATTCAAATTATTGACGAAATTTCCTTAAATTAATAAATCCACTACCTTAGCTTCAAGCTAAGCAGATAATTTACCTATGTCTTGTTTAATAAAACTAATAAGATCTCTACTGCTGAGAAACACTGAGTCAGACACAAGAAAAGCTGACTCAAAGTCATTTCTCATCGTAAAGGTATTGGTCATAAACGAATCCATTATAAATTTTGAATTGCACTCTGTTTTTTCATCGAAATATTCGACATCTCCTTGAGTCACTCTTCTAGAAATAAGACTTATATCTTCAAATTCTTCATCAAGTGACTTTCTTTTTTCTCTCATTATCATAGCAGCCTCATAGCTCGGTATTGCAAACTCAGATTTTTCAAAATTAATTCCTTGACAGCAGCCCATTATAATTATTCCCTATATTAAAACTATACAAATATGGCATACTTACACGTGTTTTTAAGCTTGATTTGCTTGTCCCAAGCTGTTCTTTATGACTATTCCTCTACAAGTGTCCATATTTTGACATCACAAAATTTTGATAAGCAAGTAACTAGGAGACGAGACAAATGGGTCAGTGTCATTCATTTTTATAAAGAAAAAGATAGCAGATCTAAAATTCAGGCTGAAGAATTCAATCACTTTGCTGATGAGTGGCAAGGTGTTTTTATAGTAGGGGTTGTTAATTGTGACACACATTATGAGCTTTGTGAAGCACAAGACATCAGAGAAGTCCCTGCAATTAAAGTTTATCCACCTTTTCCAGCGCCAGTCGGGGTTTATGAAGGGGAAGTCACGTCAAAAGCTATAAGTGCTTATGCTGCCAAATTTATCCCATCTTATGTAATTGAACTTAGCAATGAAAACTATCAAACTTTCCTAGAGGATAAGCCAGCTGTCCCTAAAGTTTTGCTTTTTACTGAAAAATCGTCAGTTCCAACTTTATATAAAGCACTGAGTGTAGCATTTGAATCGAAAATGTTTTTTGGGATTGTGAGGCAAGAGGACACAGAAGCGATTAAAAAGTTCAAAATCAAGCAATTCCCAAAAATTTTGCTTTATAAGACTGTAGATGCGAAAACGACTGAGTATAAAGGAGAAATTAAATATATATTTAAGTAAAATAAATAATGATTTTTTTTTTAAAAAAAATAAAAAAAAATTAATTAAATATAAGTAGAATAGATCAATATTTGAGTGGCTAAATGTACATTCAGAAACCTTTGTACATGGAGGGACTGAAGAAAGCTCAAGCACGAAGTCCTGGATCGTTGAAGCTTTACCTCAGTTACATAGACTTTCAGCTGATGATATTTGCTATAAACAAGAAGTTCTCTGTGGGATATTTTTCTTAAACTCCCCTCCTAATGACTCCCTTATCAATACTGCAAAAGAAGTCGTCAATATTATTGGGAAAAACAAAGACAGAGGAGTTTCTGTTAAGTTTATGTGGCTTGATCTTAGTGCTGACAAAGCTTTTGCTGACAAATTTGAAGGCGTTGGGGCTGGGAATTTGGTGTTTTTAAAGTATGGCAAAAGAAGCAGATTTGTCCTTCATGGTGGAGATAATGCAGAGGCTGCGATAGAAACAACAATTAATAAAATCAGCGGCGGGGATGGCAAATTTATAAATATCAAAGGAAATTTACCTGATCTGTCGTTTCCAAAGTCAAATAAATAAATTAGTGAATTTATAACGATTATTTTACTTTTATTATGGCTTTACAAATAAAGTGGGTTTTCCATGTAATATTGCATAATAAATTTATTTATGGAAAATGAAAGAAGCCTTCTTTAGCAAAAAAGGCTTTATAAAAGCTATCGAGATTATATTTTGAGATATCTGAGGCTGACAGAATCTCAATTTTAGTCCTGATTTAGTAAGCTTTTTCAGAAAAATTTTAAATTCAAGATATAAAAATGCAATTGAAATCTTAAATAAGATTTCCTCAATGCCAAAAATTATATTTTTTGAATTTAATTGACAAAAAATATTAACTCCCCCCTCCGTGAGTGAACAAAAAAAATTTTGTTCACTCACGGAGGGGGGTTAATTTTTTTTTTTTTAAACAATTTATATTTATAAAATTTTTTTATAAAATTGTTTTTTTTCGAAATTTAAAAAAATCTCACTTCTATAAAAATTGGAAAGCAAATATTAATTTAATTTGTAAAATTTATGTTTTAAAACGCAATTTGTTTAAAATTAAACAGAAATAGCTAGATATTTCATTATAATAATTATCACTTATATATCAAAATTTTTTCCCATAAAAAATTTTTTGTTCACTCACGGAGGGTGGGTTTTTCGGGCAAAAAATAGGGATTTTTCTAATGGTTTTGTTCACTCACGGAGGGGGGGGAGTAAGAAAAATATATGAAAAGTTTAAGCCCATTTTTCTCGGATAATTTTACTAACCAATAATTAAATTTTTCTAAAATGGTTGAATGCGTTGACGATTTCCTAGGACCTGAATGTACAGTCCCACTTGAACTCATGCTTGAGTCAATGCAAAGTGAATTAATGCACCCTAGAGAACGTAAGTTGTCATTTGTCGACTTACTAAGCCATTCATATTCGTATTACACAGATGTAAACTCTTTGCCCAGCATAGAATCTATGCCTGAGCACTTTGATGAGCAAGCCCTTACACAATCTTTCAGCACCCAAGATGATGGGGAAATCACTTTAAACCCTTTAATTTATGATATTTATGAGACTCAAATGCAAAAACTGAAGAAAAAAAAACAAGTCGTTACGAAAGAGACCGTTGTAGTCATACACAAGCCTGTCGAATTAACGCCAGACCACATTATCGGTACAATTACTCTTGAAGAAAGGCGAAAAAAGATCAAAAAGTACCTAGAAAAAAGACAACGAAGAACGTGGAACAAAAAAATTTCATACGACTGCAGAAAAAGAGTTGCTGACAATCGTCTTACTCCCCCTCCGTAAGTGAACAAAACCATTAGAAAAATCCCTATTTTTTGCCCAAAAATCCATCCTCTGTAAGCGAACAAAAATTTTTTATGAAAAAAATTTATATATAAGTGATAATTAGTATAATGAAATCTTGAGCTAATTCTGTTTAATTTAAACAAGTTGTGTTTTAAAGCATAAATTTATAAATTAAATTAATATTTGCTTTGCAATTTTTGCGAATTAGGATTTCTTTAAATTTTGAAAATAAAAATTTCTAAAAATTATATATAAATTGTTTTAAAAAAAATAACTCGTGAGCGAACAAGATTTTTTGTTCGCACACGGAGCGGGGGTTAGAATTAAAGGGAGATTTGTCACAAAGGAGCAAGCAATTGCAATCCTTGGTATAGACCATCCAGCTGTACAAAATTTGCTGGCAATGGAGAGAGAAAGTCAAATTATGGTTTTTAAATTATATAAGGCAAAATGAGCATAATATTTTTTAATTATATTAATGCTGAAAATCTAAGAAAGAATGATTAAATAGTTTAAAAAAGTATAACTAGATAGTACACTAATCAAAAAATATACATATTAATTACCTTTGCATTTTATATTGTCTTTTGATATAATAAAATTTTTTTCTATTTGAGGAAAAGATTGCTTTAAACGATCTTGAATTCCATAGGCTCTATTGTTTTTTGGCTTAATTTTAGGTTTTTGATAGAAATTGACATTTCTTATGCATAAAAAAGATTGTTTGATGCATGCTCTTATTAGCTTATTAAGATTATCAAGAAGCATCGGCATGCCTGAAAAGCACTTTCTCACACTTGTGTCAATAAATTGCCTACTACTGTCTCTTACAGGTACTATGCTCCTCTTTCTGGGGCCCGCGCCATATTGGAGAGAAAAGTGGGATAGGTCATTATTCCACACAGTTTCGTAAAACTAATATTCTTGTCGGGTTATTGATCAATATGGATCTCGTAGCTCAGGACGTATACCTGACTGGTCAAGCATAGGTCGCAACCAGACACCCTCTCCCCAATAATGGAAATCCCTCCTAAAAATGGTACCCCCACCCCCTCTCGGGTTTATCCTCTAGAAGTAATTGATAGGAAAAAAGCAGAATAATATTAATATAATCCAATTAAAACACTATATTGATTAATTAAGTACATAAATTATTTTAATATTTATGATTAATTAATACATTTAAACTAATTAACAATTAATGAGAAAATATATTTAAATTTGTTTTTTATATTTATAAATATATGCCAAAGATATAGATAATGACATTAATTATTAAAATTAGCCAAGCAAAATACAATAACTTGCATTAAATTTATTGATTCATAAATTAATGCCCATTGTACAAGGATTGCAGGACTGAATTGGCAGCAGGATCAATAGTGCTAATAAAAATCGTATTTGCTATTGTCATTTTTACTTTTGGATCTCTAATTCTACTCTTTAGCCATTTTCCCACAAAGTTCATAAATATATGCAGGATATACTCCTAATTAATATCAAAGATCATTATTATGCTTGCTAACAAAATTTCTTAGATGTGGTGTCTTAGTAGTTATAGGAAATTCTCTCACCCCATTCCACCTACTCCTTAATCGATTGTGCTACACTATGTGGATATTGTATAAATCAGTAATTTTGAATATTTAAAATAATAATTTATTTATTACGCTCTAAATTAGCATTTGTCATATATCTATGCTATATTAAGGGGGGGTGGGGGTGGGGTGCCATTAAAAGGGGGTGGGGGGGGTGCCATTAAAAGGGGGGTGGGTATCATTAAAAAGGGGGGGGATGGCTCTGGAGAAAGTGCTTGATTAGCCACAGGAATGCTATGGCTATGCTGTGCATCCCCTTTCCAAACCGAGATTTCAATCATCTTTTAGAGTAAAACCTTGAACCCAATGTGAAGCATCCAAGGTTTCCCTCACCAAGCAAAGTAAAATCCGGTCAGATACACGCCAAACCATTATTTTTAAGTATGCTTAATGCATGTTTAGTAATGACATTATGCATATTTATTAGGCCAAAATTTTATAATGGCAACACGTTTTAAATTCCTGTATTTAGGTAAAAAAGTGAATACAAGTTTAAGAAAATTATAATCATAAGCCAAGAAGCTTTCTTCTTTACAAGAGTATTTTCTCAAATTTTTTAAAAATATTTATTTATTACCTGCTCTCGTATTTTTTTTAAATTCACCTTATTTGATGTAGCATGCATTATCTAAACAAGTAAGAAAATTACTTGAATAATATTTAAATAATTCACAAAATTATATATAAAAGATCTTTGTCAATAAGATTGGGGTGAGCCAAGCTAAAACCCATTTTCCATTTGAGTTTAAAATGATTTCAAATTAAACTATATTTATACCTTTATTTTCAGAATAATCTTTAATTCTGAGATTGAAATTGTTAGGTAAAAGGGATCAATTAAAGGAGATATTTTATATTTTCTAATTATAAAAAGTTTATTAAAAGAAAAAGAATTATTTGATAAAATATTTAGGTAAGATTTTTGCTATTACTGCCACAATTATATTAATTAATATTAAAGAAAAATTAACTAGAAAAAGATTAAAACATGAAAAATTTAAAGATATTTCTGCCCTGAATAATTGAATTTAATTTAATTGCCCAGCAATGATTAATTTTTTCTTCTTAAACAAAAATTCAATTTCATATCATTTATTATCTAAAAAGAACTCAGCTTGATCTATCAATCCTTTTTATAAATCCATTAATTAAGCATTTCTTAACACAAAATATGGGAAAGGTGCATGGTGGTTTGGCTCGTTCCGGAAAGGTAAGAAATCAAACTCCAAAAGTTGCTAACCCCCACCCTCCGTGAGCGAACAAACCATTGGAAAAATTACTATTTAAACCAACACTATGTGAACGAACCAAAATTTTTTATAAAAAAAATTTATATATAAGTGATAATTAGTATAATGAAATCTCTAGCTAATTCTGCTTGATTTTAAACAGCTTGAATTTTAAAACATAAATTTTGCAAATTAAATTAATTTTTTACTTCTCAATTTTACGAATTGGAATTTTTTTAAAAATTTTGAAAAAAAAATTGTACAGATAAATTTTTTAAAAACAATTGACCTCTCTGTAAGCAAACAAATTTTTTTTTTCGCTCGCGGAGGGGAGTAAGCAAGAAAGACGTAAAAAAATCCTTCAAGGAAGAGCTAAGAAGAGAAACCTCTATAACAGAAGATTCCTTAACATAGTCTCAGGCCCAGGCAAGAAGAAGGGACCAAATGCTCAATCCAAATAAGACTAAAGTTAACCAATTCACTCCAAATTTTAAAAAATTATTATATTACGGTCTAGCTTTATAAAACAACAAATAAGATGACGCAGTTCCAATATCTGTCGCTTCTGTCACTTTAGAGTCATTAAACTCAAGCCACTTGTTTTGCTCAACGTCAAAGCACGTCGCTGTATAATGCCCTCCACCTAAATTTCCAAAATGATTGGAAACTGCATACAAATCATATAAAGGCGGCTTTTCAGGTCCAATTACAAAGCCACTAATATCAAGTCCTTGGTCTGGAAAAGTGACAACTGTTGAGAGTTTTTCTCTATAATATCCATGAGTTTTGAAGCGCTTCAAGTGGATAATCAGAATTGGTGGAACCTTGTAGATCTCCATTTGTTTTGTAGCTTGAACATGTGTGCGGCATGTTGGACAGAACCATGAGTTTTCTTTTTCAAGCTCTTCTGGGATCCTGAACATGTGAAAGCACTCATTTATGCTGATTGGAGGCCTTGCTGTAACTCTTTCTTCACTAGCTGATGGATGTTCTGAGCATCTATTTATATGCTATTTTTGGCTGAATTTAATTTTAAAAATAATTATTTTTTTTATTTTGTAGACAAATTGTAAGCCAGGATATCTTGTAAATTTACACCTAAATCATTGCAATCTTCTTTCCATCTTAGTTCAATAATAATCCGCCCCTTAATATGCAGAGATTCGATTAGATCTGTAGAATAAGGCACTTGGCAGCCAGGGCATGAGGATTCTTTGCACAATGGGCAGTTAGAATCTTTTTTAACACTAAAATATAATCTATACGCAGGACTCTGTATAAATTTCTCATAAGAAGCCTGAGTATTTTTTGGGGCAATTTCTTTGTATTTTTCTATATAAATTTTGACTTTTTTAAAAGCTTCCAAATGAAGATTTTTAAAAGAATTTGACTTATGGATAAAAACTATTCTGGGGAAAGCAATAAATTTGTTTTTATGCCTCTCTTTTGTAATCTGCATTTCTACAGGGAGTTTTATGGTGCAGTCTTCTTCTTGGAACGCAAATAATGTGATGGATTTTAATGTATCGATTTTTCTGTCATCATCCAAAATTTCTCTGACCACGTCATTTACTATAGATATAAAAAGAAAAGAATTTTGAGGGATTTTTAAGGCTTTAGCTACTGAATGCCGGACATATGATAAAGATGAATCATTTGACACGTCACAACCCATTCTTAAAGGAGGCTCATTTGGGCTTGATTTTATGTAGTAAAATAGCAATTTTCGTTCTTGAGGCTGAGGGATAGGAAGAGATATCGAGTTAAAAGGGTCAAAAGTATGTGAATAATTTTTACAAGTAGGGCAGAATAGTGTCGATTTGTATTGGCCATGCATCAAGTCTACCACAATGCTTTGGTTTCTTGCAATATGTCTATCCCAGCTTTCTTGTGATAGCATTTCATCAGATTTTCCTTTATCGTCCACATCTTCAAAATACGGTTTTTTCTTGACTTTATTTAAGTCTTCATGAAGCCCATCTAAAAGGTAGCACAAAAGTTCATGAGCATCATGCTGATGGTACCCTACAAATTGAGGAGCAAATGACGATAAAGTCTTTTTAAATTTCCAAGGCGCAAATGATAAGGCACCACTTTTCCACAAATTTTCTAAAAGTTCGGCATAAGCAGTGGCCAATTTTCCTTTAGTCCCGAGTGGGTTGGATTTGTTGATTTCTCTGGAGTATTCATTGGTTAAGAAATATCGAGTTAATTCTTCGGTGTGGGATAAACATTGTAAAGCAGAGTTCATAAAGCAAGTGTTTCCTAAATTCTGTAGGCCAGTAGCTGTGTTTTTGCTTCTTATTATCTGCCTTTGTGCAGAGACTACTACTTCGTCTTCGTCGTAATTTTCTAGCTTTTCTGAGTGTCGGCATAAGCATCTGAAAATGCTGAGCTTTTTTGGCTGCTTGCAGTTGGCTTTGTGCTCTTCGGCGTGCTTTCGTTTGCAGATGGCTGTACAATATTTTACTTTTTTGCATAAACTGCATGATATATAATATTTTTCGTTAATTTGCCTGGTTTTCTGGCCGATTAAATTTTAATAGACAATTTAAAAAGGGAAATTTGATATTAGCGCTTCCTGATTTTTGGCAAAAAACGCATTTATCGACAGCTATGGCTGGGTCATCTGAAAATAAAAAGATGCCATTTCTAGTGGCTACTTCAAATGGCACATATACCATAAAGACTTTTTTATCCTAAATTTTTTAACTGCTTTTCCCATTGTTTGTCTATTTTTGGGTCTTTTTGCCCAATTTTTTAGCTTCTTTGTCTAATTCTGTCGAAAAATATAGCATATCGTTATTTGCAGATTTTTAAAACTTTACCACCTAAGCGTGGAATTTTTTCCGCGTGTGAAAGAGGATTCCACATGTGAAATCAAAAGGGCTCCACACGTGAAAAACACCTTTTCACACTCGGAAAAAAAATCCATACTTAGGTGGTAAAGTTCAAAAATCTGCAAATAACGATAACAGATTATACATTATTTAATATTAAATAATGATTTAGGCACTTAAAACATTAATCAAAAATAATTAAGTAATACAATATTCAAAAAAATAGGCCAAAAAAATTAACTAGGTCCAAAACAAATGATCAAAATTTAGACAAAAAAATAGGCTAAAAAAAGTCGTTGTGGAATAGGCGTCATGTGAAGCCGCAATTTCTAGCTGGCTCTATCAAAATGATGTCTTCATCCCCAATTTCTGCATCATCTAGCTGCAAGTCTTCTTTAACAATCATCCCTCCTTCTATATAAACTTTGCTATTTAATACAGTAATTGCTTGTAGCCTTTCTAATGAAATTGAGCCTAAATTTACTTTCCAAACCCTCGCATTTATTGAAGATCCTCTATAATTCAAATAGCTTTTCTTAAGGTTTGCTATAGTTTCTTTCCTGCTCATATTAATAAATCCAATATCCAGAGTCATTAAGCTCGGAAACCCAATTTTTACTCTTTTTAAAAATATTTCTACCTGATAAATCGAGTCATTGACTTCGATCGCGAATCGCTTAATATCATTGGCACACCGATAAATTCCTTCTAAAAATTTGAATGCTTCTCTAGGCAATACAACATAATTGACATTTTCTATTAATTCTGGCTTTAAGCAGATTTTATTAGTTGAGGTTGGATTTTCTGAAATGGTAGCATTCGTTGCGTCGCTGTCTATGATGTCTTTATTATTAATAGTTCCAGGGTGTTCTACTTTTCCTTCAATATTGAAATTAAAGGGCAAGTCTTCGTTGCCATCTCTGACTGTAAGGTTCACATAGGCTTGCCAATTTTGAAACCACGCATTGCTGACTACGTGCCATTCTGAGCCTGGATGAATTGCCATGTTTTCTCTAAAAATGTTTAAAAACTCTTCTCTTTCAGACACCAGTAATGCTTCGTCGTATTCTCTGCTACTACTGCTTTTTAATCGAGAAAACATATCTTGGGCTTCTGATCTTAATCCATTTTTTTGAATTTTTTATCTTTTATTTTTTTTATCTTTTATTGTTTTTTTTAATTTTTATTGTTTTTTTAAAAAAAATCCTTCTTAGGGAATTAAATTCCATTTTTTCCCAAACGATATTACTTTATGCAAATCATCAATTGCTTGATCAATTTTTGAAAGTCTTTCATAAATCTGTGCCCTTCTATAGAGAGATTTGTAATATTGGTCTTCTTCGAAAGGCTGAGAAATTTTCAGCAGTTTTATTGACTCAGTAAAATCTTTTTCAGATTCTTGCCACTTATTTAGGTACATATAGCAGCAAGCTCGATTATTAAAAGCAAGCCAGGAAGGTTTTGCTATTATTAATTGGCTATACTTTTCAATTGCTTGATCATATTTTCCTTCTTTAAAAAAGTTTTCTGCTTGACCTTCAACAGTTTCCATAATTGTATCTATCAGTCAATAAATAGATTATTATGAGTTAATTAGGCAGAAAAATAATTTTAATGTGTAATTCAGGATTTATTTATTAGAAATAATGATAAGGATTACAATTAATTTTAAAATCTATATCATGCCATCAATTATTTCTTTTCTTGGACATAACTAGTATAGATATATTTAATTGATTCAAAATTTTTTTATTAGAATTTTCTTTAATATTTATAAAAAATATGATGGATTCGTATAAGATTAAACATTTATATCTTCAAGATCTCTTGTGAAAGTGGGTAATTAAGGCCAATCAAGATTAACACTTTCAGCACAAACTGCTCGTTGCCCATGATACTGCTTTATATCAGGGTGTAATCATCCTCTAATGTCTTGAAATCAGCAAAAAGTTTTGGCTATTATCATAATTATAATACTATAGAGGAGCCTTGGCCATCCCAACCTAAGACCGTGCAATAATTTGGCTTAAATCATTATGAATTGTATAGACCCCGAGACTCTGACCAAGATTTTTTAGCTGTTATGCCAAAGCAAGAATAAAATTGATTAGCCCATTTATCCCTTGTTTAATAAATAGAAGAGTCGTCGACAGCAATTCATATCATATTTTGTAGGAAAGCATGAAAACCAGTCTACAACATATTGAGCTTGGCTTTTCAAATCACTAGAATAATAATAATAATAATTTATATTTATAAAGATTTTTTAAATCAAAATCAAAAATGAAAATGAAATTCTTTATCCGAATATAGAGAAGAAATTTTACTATTTTAAGAAGGGCTTCTGTTTTTATAAGAACTTTGGAAATAAAAACAGCCTATAAATGCATTTAAATTGAATACCAAATTATTCCTCAATAAAAAAACTCACTCCCCCCCTCCGGTGAACAAAACCATTAGAAAAATTGCTATTTTTTGCCCCAAAAACCCACCCTCCGTGAGTGAACAAAAATTTTTTTAATAGATAAATTTTTAATGGAAAAAAAAAATTTGATATATAAGTGATAATTAGTATAATGAAATCTAGAGCTAATTCTGTTTAATTTTAAACAAATTGCGTTTAAAACATAAATTTTTTAAATTAAATTAATATTTGCTTCCCAATTTTTGCAAATTAGGATTTTTTTAAATTTCGAAAAAAAAATTAACCCCCCTCCGTGAGTGAACAAAATTTTTTTGTTCACTCACGGGGAGTCAGTCTTTGCGTATATTATTTGGAATATTAAGACGCTCACCGCAACAAAATTTCCATAAAAATACTATTAAAATTCGACTAGACCTTTCTAAATTTATCATAACTCCTACTTATTTTTAATCGTGCAAAATTCTATAAAACTTATAGAAACCTCCAAAGATTTTCTAATTTAAAAAATGCTATGAAATTTAATTTTTTCAATTTTTAAGGAAGATTTTATTTTAAGGCCACCAATCAGAGTTGACATAAATCCCACAAGTAGACTTAGTTATAACTTGGGGCAGCCTTTTGGCTGCCCCTAACTCAATTCTTCCTACGCATCATGAAGGAGTTACTAATCAGTCTTCTATTAACAAATTAACTCCATGTTGACAATACCAGAGATAAATTTCTTATTTTAAGTAATCTTATATCAAGCCAAAAAGTCTCGCAGACTATAGTCCATGATACTGCTTCATGTCAGCCATCTCCCATCCTCCGAAAGGCTGGAAGTCCATAAAATTTTGTTGATTATCATAGTGGTAATACCAAAGGCCAGCCCACGATACTCCACTCCAATTAAGCCCTACAATGGTAGACCATTCAGCTCTGCTCGTGTAAATCCCAACACTTTGTCCTAGACTTTTGAGTGTATTTGCCAATGTTGTAATAAACGCTTGATTTGCTTGTACATTGCTAGACCATTGGTAGGTTTCCACATCAATTCATATAGAATCATAAGTTTGGCCTTTAAGAGCGGTAACTAGATCTTGAGCTTGCTTGGCTGGGTTTCCGCAAGGAAAGCATGGGAACATATATACTCCGACTGTTAAAAACGCGTTTCCAGCGTTTTGGATATTTGGTACAACGTTAGGGTCTACGTTCCCAGAACTCATGTAACCTCTGACAATTGCAGATTGGATTTGATATTCGGCAATACAATACCACTGAGTAAAAGAGCCTAGATCGGCTGTATCAACGCTTTGTGAAGATTGCGCTACGATGACTGCAAAAGCTAAAATCAGTAAAGCTTTACCTCTCATATTTATTCACCAGTGACGATATTGACATCATTATTTAAGATCCTATTTTAGCATTAAATAAGGTGATTTTTCTGGCCATGACTGATAGGATTTTTTACTATTAATTCAATACTCTTAGGAAAAATAATTTTCCAAATTTATTATATCTGTAAGAGTTAAAGCACTAAGAAAAATAAAAAATCTTATGTGTATCCAATTAATTAGGAATATCGATTTTAAGACCAATCTAACCCTACGTTAGTTCCACAAAGGGTGCTTGAAGCGTTATATTGTTTTAGCGTTGGAGCAGTCCATCCAGAAAAAGGTTGAAAATCGCTGAAGCTTTGAACATTGTTATAATGATAATACCATAGAGGAGATCCTGAATAATAACTATAGTCACCCATGATATTTCCCCAATCATTAGCACTTGTGTAAATTCCAAATTTTTTACCAAGAGTTAAAATTGCATCTGCCATATCCTCGAAAAAGAGCTGGTTATTCCCAACTGTGCTTGACCATTGGCTACCTTGGACCGCAATCCAAATATTCGCATACTTTTGGCCTCTAAGAGAATCTACTAAAACTGTGGCTTGGCCCTGAGCATTGCCGCAAGGAAAACAAGGATAAAGAACAACATCAACCTGCTTTTGGCCACCTGAAATTGCATTTTTTATATTTTGTATTGCGTTTGGGTCCAAAAGTCCTGAACTTTGGTATCCTCTTAGTATCGCATATGTTCTTCCCAAGCCTGCTAAGCATTTTCAAGCACTACTAGACACCAAATTTGATGAATCTGTGCCTAATGTTGTACTTGCTGCTATAGCTGCAGAGAGAAACAGCATAAAGAATGATTGAAACTTCATTTTATTACTCACCAATATCATTAAATTAGCTAAATCTTATTAAGTCTCTACTTCCACAGATTCTCTGTACGGCTCGGTTAGATGCAGACCAGTTGCACAAGCGAATTGGATTAAGTAACTTTGAAACCTAGGCAGAAAATTCTTTCACGGTATAGCCCAGGGCTTGTATATCAATAAAATGAAAATCATAAAATCTTTTCATATCTGTTAGATAGAAAATAAAATTATACAAACTATGAGGGAAATTAATTTTTATTTAATTGAGATGCTTTGGCTGAGTATAGTTATATAGGTAGAGGCTTGCTAAATATTATATTTTCTTATTTCATTTAAATTAGGCTATTTAAACTAGCTATCTTTTTAGAGCCAAAAATAGGTATTCATATTTTCACCAAAAATGATGTAATTAGTTAATCAAATTTTTATTTTTAAAATAATTAATTTTTCAACTCAAGGCTCAATTTTTGGAGTGATTAAAATAACCAAATAAAAAAAAGTTTTATTATTTCAATAAAGGCTAAGAGCATAGATTTTAAAATAATAATATAAATAATCTTAAATAGAAGTGCATTTTAGGCCCTCAAGCTAATATCTTAACTATTAGATCGCTTATTGTGTGTAAAGCTTAGATATTCAAGGATTAGAAGTCTACTAGCCCTTCTAAATTATCTTTATTTTATATATTTTTATTATTTAAAACTTAAAATGATTTCTAATTAAAATTATAACAAATTAATATTTTAGATGAAGGTGTTAATTTAAGGCCAATAATCAGAGTTGGCATAAATCCCACAATTAGACTTTGTTAGTCCATGATACTGTTTTATACTAGCCGAAGTCCATCCTCCAAATGGTTGAAAATCATTAAAGTTTTGCTGATTATCATAATTATAATACCAAAGGCCAGCCCATGATACTCCACTCCAATTAAGCCCTACAATGGTAGACCATTCAGTTCTGCTCGTGTAAATTCCAACTGTTTGTCCTAGACTTTTCAATGTATTTGCCAATGTTGTAATAAAAGCTTGATTTGTTTGTACATTGCTAGACCACAGGTAAGTTTCCACATCAATTCATACAGAATTATAAGTTTGGCCTTGAAGAGCGGTAACTAGATCTTGAGCTTGCTGGGCTGGATTTCCACAGGGAAAGCATGGGAACATATAAACCCCGACATCTATTGAAGCACTAAACGCATTTTGAATATTTTGGTAAACATTAGGGTCTACATTCCCAGAACTCGTGTATCCTCTGACAATGGCAGCTGGGACTCCAGATTGGGCAATACAACGCCACTGAGTATAAGATCCTAAAGCAGCTGTATCAATCATATTCATAGATTGTACTGCAATAATTCCTAGAGCTAAAATTATCAAAGTCTTACCTCCCATATTTATTTCGCCAATAAAGGTTTTGGCATTGTTTATTTAACATCCTATTTTTATCATTATATAAGGATCTGATCACGACAGGCAGCATTTTTTACTATTAGTTTAGCCTTCAAGGAAATAATGATCTTAATTTATAAATTATGAGTTTACCTCAAAAATAAAATTTTTTCAATTTAAAAGAGGGTAAGAATAGATAGTTTTTTTTAATTAATGCTTATAATAAAATTTAAGACCTGGCTTAGCATTGTTTTTTATTAAATCTGCATATAAGTATATTTATAAAAAGCTTTGAAGTTAGTATATTTAAAATATTTTATAATTTATCAGAAAGATGAGTCTGTTTAACTTTCAAGAGCATTATCTTAATTTGGATTAATTCTCTCAACCTCTTTATAACACTCTTTAGCTTCTTTTTTTCTGCCTAATCTTAAAAAAGTATTTCCTTTATTTATATAATAATCCGCACAGTACGGATTTATTTCAATCGCCCACACAGTAATATTCTAACGCTGTTTCATACTGTCCCTTATAATGTAAGAGAGTTCCTATGCAATTGTATGCATCAGCATTATATGGATCAACTTCGATAGCTTTTTGATAGCATTCCATTGCCTCATCTCTTTTAGATAACTTGGCAAATGCATCTCCTTTGTTTTTAAGATAAAGTGTTACATTTGGATCAATGTTAATTGCAATGTTGTAATATTCTAGTGCTTCATTATACTCTCCCTTATCATAGGAGATAATTCCCATTCAATTGTATGCATTAGCAGTATTTGGATCAATTCTGACAGCTTCTTGATAGCATTTTATAGCTTCATCTTTTTTGTCTAACTGTTTAAGAGCATCTCCTTTATTTTTATGATAAATTCTTCTATTAGGATCAAATTCTATTGCTTTATTGTAATATTGTAATGCTTCTTCATATCCCTTTTCTTCATAGAAGATAAGTCCTATGCCATTGTACGAATCAGAATTATCTTGCTTAATGCTGATGGCTTCGTGATAGCTGACCAGTGCTTCATCACTTTTGCCTAGCTCTTTAAGAGCATGTCCTTTATTATTATGGTAAATTGTTTTATTTGCATCAAATCTAATTGCATCGTTATAATATTGTAATGCTTCTTCACATCTCTTTTCATTGTGGAAGATATTTCCATGCAATTGTATGCATTCACATTAGTTGGATCAACTCTAACTCCCCCCTCCGTGAGTGAGCAAAACCATTAGAAAAATCGGCATTTTTTGCCCAAAAACCACCCTCCGTGAGTGAACAAAAATTGTTTTAATAGAAAAAATTTTTTATGGAAAAAAAAAATTTGATATATAAGTGATAATTATTATAATGAAAATCTAGAGCTAATTCTGTTTTAATTTTGAACGAATCGCTTTTTAAAACATAAATTTTATAAATTAAATTAATATTTGCTTTCCAATTTTGTGAATTAGGATTTTTTAAATTTCGAAAAAAAAATTTTTTTTATAAAAATTTATATATAAATTGTTTTTAAAAGAAAGGATTAACCCCCCCTCCGTGAGTGAACAAAATTTTTTTGTTCACTCACAGAGGGGGGAGTAAGCATATTTTTATATATATTTAACTCAGAATATATATCCATTAGCTCTTTCTCAAAGTTCAGACGCTCTTCAAGACTTTTCAATCCAAACATTATTTCACTTGAAGTGTATCTAGATTTTTTCATCAAAACTTCGAAAAATTTTATTAATCTTCCCTCCCATTTCGCAGAACAGCTCGAAATTTTTATTTGATTTCTCTGTAAAATTTTTTTAGCTATCTTAGCAGCTTCATTTGGCTGCAAAGCTAGTAAATTTAAATCTGCATCTTTCTCGAATTTTGATAGCCTTTTTACTTGAGAGATTTTTTCAGCAGAACTGTGCATTTTTGTAATATCAGAGTCGATTTCTTTTAGAGTTTTTTTAAAAATATTTTCATAGGTTAAAAGAGTTTGATAAAAGGTAGTAATAATATCTCTTTTAATTTTCTCAATATTTTGACTTTCTTCTGCAAGAAGGCTAGAGATCGCTATTTTTGTGCTTTCAGCAGGCTCATAAAATATTGAGTCGAAATTATGGTTGCCTTTAGATGTGCAATGCTCCTTTAAGTGCTCATTGCAAGAATAGATCTCAGGAGAAGTGCAGCTGCATGAAATCTCAACTTCTTGATTACACCCTGGTTTATAGCATCTCGTGGTGCTCATATTTTATAATTTATACTCCTATTAATATATAATCTTAAATCTCTAGTTCAATGCAGCTTTTTTTAATAATTCTTAATGATATGAATATAATTTTTATTTCAATTAGCATTTTAACTTTATATTTCCTTATTTAGCTCATTTGGAATGCACAAAAAGGTGCATGGCTGAAGAAATTAAACATCCAGCTCCTTTATTTAGAAGTATTTAGCAATCAGATAAGTGAAGCAATCAGTATCATCAATCCATTGATATTAGCTTCTATCAAGGTTTTAATCTATTAAATATAGCTAGTAGACTATTTAAATCCCTTTTTTACATTTAGTAAGAAATACAGCACAGAAATATAGTTTTAAAGCAATGTGAACTCGAATCATTAGTGTCAATAAAATAATTATTACGTATTTCAACAAGATTTGCTATTTTTTTTCATTTTTCTTAAAATTGGTTTTAGCACTCAATTTAGTATCTGCACTTAGGTGTTAAATTTTTTTCCCTAAATTTGTCAAGCTTGGCAATTTAATTTCGATACAAATTGTTTAGGATTTAAAAGAATTAGCCTAAGAATTATAATTTTAATAACAAAGCATTAAAACAAAGGCACATAAAATTTCTACCAAAAAATTCTATATCGCAGGAAAGGACAATTTTTTAAAAAAAGCTTCAGATAATAAAAAATTTCTTCTAAAAATCCTGAGGTGCTAAATAAGTGTATGGATGAAAAGAAACAGCCAAAATGCAGAATTAGCAATTTCTTAATTGAGAGAGAAGTTGATTGTATAGAATTAATTTCAAGTAAGCAAAATAAATATAACTCGTACACCTTAATAGATCTCTATACCTCAGCAGAATACCGACCAAAAAAAATATGGTACAAGGCACCTGCCTTATATAATATAAGCCTGATTAGGCACCTTAAAACCATAAACGGAGATTTGCCATTTTCGTTTTTACTTTTCAAAAAAGCTGACAAGTACAAATTAATTTTGGAAATTAAAATGGATGGGCAGTAATGATCTAAAATATATATTTCAGGGGCGATAGCGCAGCAAAAAAATACAGTAAATAAAAAGAATATATTAAGTATACTATCAGTAATTGATATATCCCTAAAATATTTAAAATCATTATTGACCATCCACCGTACATGTCAGCTTTTTTGAGAAGTAAAACGAAAATGACAAATCTCCGTTTATATTTTCAAGATGTCTACCCTGGACAATATTTTTTTCTGTTTATGTTTTGTTGATGTATAACGATCAATTATGGTGCGTAAATTATATAATTGTCAACTCAAATATTACTATGATTACTATAAAACAGCAAGAAAGCTTAATAAATAATCTTAAACTGTTTATTTCATAAAAAGTGTTTTTAAACTGGAGAAGGAATTCATAAGAGGGAGTAAGTGGGCAAAGTATTATTATCGAACTTATTTTATATAAATATGCAAGCTATAATATTTCATCGACTTTTTTTATATCCAAACTAAACTTTCAGTAATTGTATCTAGGATTTTGAATGCACCCTATGTAAATTCCTCCTTTATTATATGTGCATGAAACTTGAAGAGGATAATGGCGTAATCCTGATTTTGCTATTTTTTTCAAAGCATATACATCTTCTACCTCGCTTTCATAAATAAATCCCATTTCACATTCAATTATATACAATCTTTCTGTATTTATAAGAATCTTTCTGGCTATGTTAAATTCATATGGAATTATAGTGAAAGAGTCTAAGAAAGCTGAAAATAGCATAAGATTTTTCTGTGCACCAGCAATCAAAATGTTCCTCTTAAATACTACAGAATGGCAGCAGTAGTCACGTTGCATCATTGGGGGTAATTTAAATCATTGATTTTTATCCAAGTCAAACCTTTCTGAGAAAGTTGAAGTTGAAATTCCATTAACTGATCCTCCAAAACAATATACAGACTTGTTGAAATATATAGCTGATGATAAATAGCGTGGCGTTCCTGTGGGCAGTTCTCTAACACTGAAATCGTCAGAAATTATAAAAGCAATCCCAGAAGGCTTTCTTCTGCCAAAACAGAATAGCTTACCATTTGGAAGTCGAGCTATGCATGTAGTGTTGTCGATTTTCTTACTCCCCTGCGTGAGCGAACAAAAAGATATTCGCTCACGGTTAAAATTTAAAAAAATCCTAATTTGTAAAATTAATGTTTTAAAACGCGATTTGTTTAAAATTAAACAGAATTAGCTCGAGATTTCATTATACTAATTATCATTTATATATCAAAATTTTTTTATAAAAATTTTTCTATTAAAAATATTTTTTGTTCAAAAAATAGGAATTTTTCTAATGGTTTTGTTCGCTCACAGAGGGGGAGTTAGAAAAATTCAAAGGTTTTCTTATCTCTTTTTCACTTTCAGTGTCATAGATAAATAAATTAGCTCTCTTGTTGACTTCTCTAATAAGATATAAAGAAGCAATTTGGTGATAAGCATTTACATGTCCTTGAAAAGCTTCTTGGAGATCCAGGGCAGAAGCAGAACTCTGTTTTTCATATAATGAGCAAGTTCTCCTGTAATCTCACTCTATTTCAGGACTGTTGACGCTGCTTAAAATCACAGATGTTTTTGCTTTTAAGTCTTGAGGATCCAATGATCGATTATCAATTGTATTAAACTGATTTTGAATGATTCCGCCTTCATTATTTTCTCGATCTGGTTAAACTGATATTGAAGCAATTTGAGAGAATTCTGAGTTTTAAGCTCCATCTTATAGGGAGTAAGTATTTTGTATTTAGTTAGAGGTTGATTCAACACTAAAATTATTTGTTTATTTTTCTTGGATTTCTATTGATATCATTGAGACAAAGAATAAGTTTTTGAGTATTTTTCACCAAAATGACGTAAATATTTTAATTGTGTTTTTATCATCTATCATTAAAAAAATTCTAAGTGGGCAAAGTATTATTATCGAATTTATTTTATATAAATAAGCAAGCTATAATAGTTCAACTACTTTTTTTATATCCAAGCTAAACTTTCAGTAATTGTATCTATGATCTTGAACGCACCCTATGCAAATTCCTCCTTTATATGTGCATGAAACTTGAAGAGGATTATTGTGTAATCCTGATTTTGCTATTTTTTTCCAATCATATGCATCTTCTGCCTCGCTTTCATAAATAAATCCCATTTTACATTCAATTATATACAATCTTTCTGTATTTATTAGAATCTTTCTGACTAAGTTAAATTCATATGAAATTATAGAGAAAGAGTCTAGGTCAACTGAAAATAGCATAAGATTTTTCTTTTCCCCAGCAATCAAAATGTTCCTCTTAATGACTATACAGTGGCAGCAGAAGTCACGTTACATCATTGGGGGTAATTTAAATCATCGATTTTTATCTAAGTCAAACCTTTCTGAGAAAGCTGAAGTTGAAATTCCATTAACTGATCCTCCAAAACAATATACAGACTTGCTGAAATATATAGCTGATGATAAGTAGCATGGTGTTCCAGGTGGCAGTTCTATAACACTGAAATCGTCAGAAATTGTAAAAGCAATCCCGCCAAAACAGAATAGCTTACCATTTGGAAGCTGAGCTATGCATGTGGTTATGTTGACTTTCTTAGGAAACTTCAAAGGTTTTCTTATCTCTTTTTCACTTTCAGTGTTATAAATACATAAATTAGCTTTCTTGTTGGCTTCTCTAATAAGATATAGAGATGAAATTTGGTGATAAGCATTTAAGTATCCTTGGAAAGCTTCTTGGAGATCCAGAGCAGAAGCAGAACTCTGTTTTTCATATAATGAGCAAGTTCTCCTGTAATCTCACTCTATTTCAGGACTGTTGGCGCTGCTTAAAATCACAGATGTTTTTGCTTTTAAGTCTTGAGGATCTAATAATTGATTATACCTGCTTGCCAAAATAGCTCACTAGCTCTACCCTCCGTGAGTGAATAAAAAAAATTTTGTTCACTCACGAAGGGGGGTTAATTTATTTTTTAAAAAATTTATTTTCGGAAATTTTTAAAAAAATCTTAATTTGCAAAAATTGAGAAGCAAATATTAATTTAATTTAGAAAATTTATGTTTTAAAACGTAATTTGTTTAAAATCAACAGAACTAGCTCGAGATTTCATTTATACTAATTATTACTTATATATCAATTTTTTTTCATAAAAAATTTTTTCTATTAAAAAAATTTTTGTTCACTCACGGAGGGTGGGTTTTTGGTTTTGTTCACTCACGGAGGGGGGGATTAAGGAGCATTTTTTGGTTCGCCATTCTTAAATTTGGTTAGCCAGAAAATATGGCATGCCAACGAATTTGCCAAACCAGCTATTGTCCGGCCAACCAAATATGCTTAGTGGGCTATTCTTAGTAAATAAGTATATCAAGAATTGTATTAAATTGATATTGAATGATTCAACCTTCATTCTTTTCTCGATCTGAGTTAAGCTGAGAATGAAGCAGTTTGAGAGAATTCTGAGTTTTAAGCTCCATCTTATAGGGAGTAAGTATTTTGTTTTTTAGTTAGAGGTTGATTCAACACTAAAATTATTGCTTATTTTTCTTGGATTTCTATTGATATCATTGAGCAAAAAAATAAGTTTTTGAATATTTTCACCAACGTTTTAATTGTGTTTTTATCATCTATCGTTACAAAAAATTCTAATGCATTTTGACACAGATTAAACTTGAATTTTAATATATTAAATGGTTGTATGAACAGCCTGTTCTCCCTGTGGTGAGCGAACGTTAGCATTTCTGGACTATTTTTGTGCAAGGAGCTCAAAAAGTAGCTTGCCTTGAGGCAAGAGATCCAGCGCATTTCACTGATTTGGTCTGGCTTGAACTCAGTTTTGGTGAATATTTTTGAGTCAGAACTCAAGCCAGCTGGATAAGCTTGTATTTTAATTTTCATTATTTAACTAACCTTAACTTTATTGATAAAAAATAAAATAAAACTCTCATAAAATTTAATTTAAAATAAAATCCATTATCTAATTTAAATTCGTTTAGCTTAATACCAATCGAGATCTACTCCAACTCCACAAATGGTGCTGGATCCGTTATACTGCTTCATAGCAGGGCTTGACCAGCCTCCGAAAGCTTGGAAATCACTGAAGCTTGGGTTATTGTCATAATGAGCATACCAAAGAGGTGCCCAGGAAACTCCACTCCAGCTGAGCCCTACAATGCTTTGCCAGTTATAGTAGCTTGTATAAATTCCGACATGCTGTCCAAGATTTTTAAGTGTATTGGCCATTGTTGTAATAAAAGCTTGATTGGAAGTTAAGCTGCTTGACCATTGATACACTTCAATATCAATCCAAACCATTCCATAATTTTGCCCTCTAATAGCATCAACTAGTGCTGTAGCTTGTCCTGCTGGATTTCCACAGGTAACACAAGGGAAAATATATACGTCTACATCAGCTTGGCCTCCTGCTCTTGCATTTTTAATATTATTCACAACGTTAGGGTCAACTTGTCCGAAACTTTGATACCCACGGATAATTGTAAATACTCTTGAGTTACTTTTCAAGCAGCTCCATTGGCTTGCAGATACTGCAGTTGAGACATCAGTCCCCAAAGTGGCGTTTACAGCAATAACTGTAAGAGCTAAAATAATCAGTGCTTGCGACTTCATATTTATTCACCAATTTTCTGAAGAATTAAAACATGAAATGGTATAATTCCACATGGAATATTAATAAAATTTAGACGGAATAAGGATAGAGATTGATTGGTGGAAAGGGAAAAATAGGCAGTATAAATTTGGGGAATAATTTATTTTGAGTTTTAGTTGTAAATTAAGATGGAGAGTTTAAAATTAAAAAATTAATTATGTGGGAAATGCGTGAAAGCTGGGTATTAATGAAGATAGAAATAATATATGTTTCTGAATGTAAAAATAAAATTTTTATACAAATTTAAGTCGAAATGATAATTAAGAAGTCTTAGTACCAATCAAGATCAACGCCAACTCCACAGATGGTGCTGGATCCGTTGTATTGCTTCATGGCTGGGCTTTTCCATCCACCGAATGCTTGGAAATCACTGAAGCTTGGGTTGTTGTCATAGTGAGCGTACCAAAGAGGTGCCCAGGAAACTCCACTCCAACTGAGTCCAACAATGCTTTGCCAATTATAGTAGCTTGTATAGATTCCAACGTGCTGTCCAAGATTCCTAAGTGTATTAGCCATTGTTGTGATGAATGCTTGGTTAGAAGTCAGGCTGCTTGACCATTGATAAACTTCAACATCAATCCAAATCATTCCATAATTTTGACCTTTAATTGCACTAACTAAAGCTTCAGCTTGGCCTGCTGGATTTCCACAGTTAACACAAGGGAAAATATATACATCTACATCAGCTTGCCCACCTGCTCTTGCGTTCTTAATGTTTTGCACAACGTTAGGATCAACTCTTCCAACGCTTTGGTAACCGCGGATAATCGTGAATACTCTTGAGTTACTTTTCAAGCAGCTCCATTCGCTTGTTGACACAGCAGTGGATACATCAGTCCCCAAAGTGGCGTTCACAGCAATGACTGCAAGTGCTAAAATAATCACCGATTGTGGCTTCATATTTATAAGGTAAAAGCATGGATAAAAGATGTGGAATTTTTACTATAAAAAAGAGGAGAATTCTTTAATTTATCTTTATAAAAATTATTCCAAACATTTTTTCTTCTTTTAGTCTGAGGTTATTAAAATACTGAAAAAATTATTTTGATTTAGTTTATATTTGAAACAGAAATTTTTAATTAAAAATCAGTTTAAATTTTAATTAAAATTACTTAATATTTTCAATAAATTTTATATTAAAATTCGAGGAATATTCCTTATTATAAATTATGTTTCTAAAAATCATAAAAAAAGAAGACAGGTATAATAGAGCCCAATGCTATCATATAAACTTCTATTAAATTACTTTCAAAAATTATTTACCCTTCATTTTGCACTAGAGCTGGCAAAAAAACATTCAGGACACTTTTATTTTGAAGCTTATAATTGCATAATAAATCTCCATTCTTAAGCTCTTTTCCATTATAAAACATCCTTACAGCCTTTAGCTCAATTTTATGGGTGTCCGCAAAGAAACTTTTAAGACTCTCTACTTTGTCAGAAGAATTTACAGTCGCTACTAAATCTTTATCAAATTTTGGGCACCTCAATGAAAGTTCTCATACTTCATTTCCAGCTAAAATCAATTGTGAAGATTTAGGTGTCCCATATTCCGCAGAGGATATACATTAAAAATGGCGACGCGTGCCAACCTGCCCTCTTGGCGCAACAGGACAGACCTTATGGCTATGGCGAACTGTGACGGACTCTGAGTCGAGAATTAAGTGCAGGCTCGAGAGATGTGCATCCGGGTAGTTTTGGCAGCTTTCCTGTGGTTGGAAATGGAGGTACTCAATAGCGTCCTTTAGATCCGAGGACCCATGGACATTCCTCTACCGGGAAGCTGAGGGTTTCCGTTCAGGCCACAGTAGACTTTTTCCTGTAGCTATCGAAAGAAGGCACTTCTGCATCCGACAGACTTCAAGGATTTGATCCTTGGAATCAAGCCTCTTCAATAGCCTGTAGCTGGGCTGAAGAAATCCATAAGCACACAAGACTGAAGCCTCAAGGAAAGGAGGAGACATAAGGTACTGGAAGTGGCATCCACTTTGGGGTAAAGAACCTCTGGGCTGGAGTCGAAAAGTGGTTGAGCCTCCCGAATGAGAGATCTTTGGTGACTGTGTCACTTTTATGGCAAACGCCTTACTTTAATAGCCTAACCTAACCCATATTTCACAGGTGGGTTGATTACAAAAGGAGGGAGATCATACCGATTTCCAAGCGCATCAAATGTAATTGACAGTGACCCTTCAAACAAATTCATCCCAGCAGATTGAATTATCTGCTGCGCTGCATTAGCATCAGGCTCATCACAAGCCATTTTCAATGTTATTCAGCCAACAGGATCTCCAGTCACTCTCGTATCCCAAAACTCCTCAATTTTCTTTTGAACTTCTTCAGGGGTGCATGAAGTTTCCCATGCAAGTGTTCGTTTGCAGCCTTTTCCGACTGTTTTATTTTCTATATAGAAAATACCATAAATACTTATCATAAAATTCCCAACTTTTTGAATTTTAATTCTGTCACGACTTGAGCTTTGACATGTACATCCACCTCCCATTTGAAGATTAATCTTTTTATATATACTTTTATATGCTAACCTCTATTATGTTTTTCATTATAAATAAATAATTATTTTCAATTTAATATAGAATATTTATCCATTTATGATAGAATAAATCATTTTCTGATTCCACCTATTATAGTCAAGATGATAAGAGTTGGAGCCAAAAGACCACGTGGCATTAAAGGTGTTAAAAATCCTGTTTACGATGGCTATAAAAACATTGACGCCACAAGTGGAAGTAATAATAAGCTGGTTTCTCCAATAACCAAAGAGGTTGCCTATGCAAAAGAATTATCTCCATTAAAAGGCAATTTAAAGGTTGAAATTGATGGAATTTTATATGAAAATTTCGAAAATGCTTGACAATGCCAAAAAGTTTACCGAGAATTTGGACACTGTGAAAAGAAAAATGGGCGCTGGGTTGTGACCAAAAAATTTTTAAAGTGAAGAAAAAAGTGGGCAAAAGTAAAAAAAGGCCATCGACATATGCCAGGAGCGAGAAAATTAAAACCAATTGGAGCTTATTGGGATGGAGAAATTATCAGCTATAAAGATAGCAGAGAATATTATATAAATTTATACAGAAAATGTGTAGAAAATTTACCAAGTATCAGAATTATGACAGAAATGCTTGAAAATGGGGAAAATATTATGATACTTGGAGGTGATGGGCCGCCACTAAAATTTATTCCAAAAGGAAATAAAATGTCTAAGGAGGAGCTGGCTGAGCATTGGTCTACTTTTCAAGATGCTTGGCCTGAAGGTGCAGAGGTTACGCCTGAATTCTTAGCAGAGAGGAGAGAAGATATAAATTATCCCTATGGCCATGAATATGTCGTAGCGAATATTTTATATGATAAGCTTAATTATTAAGACTGAATAAGTGATTTTTTTCTAAAAAATCAATAAATTTGCAGTATAATCATATAAATTATCAATATTTTAAAAAAATAAAATTTTATTTTTTATAATCGGGTAGAATGTCAATGAAAATATCAAATTTTTTTAGTGCCAAATTTTATTCTAACAATCACAAAATGCCTGAATTTTCATTAAAAAATAGTAAATTCCAATGAAATCTCCATAATTCTGATTGAATTTGTAAATTTTACCCTTTGCTTAATAAATCCAATTAAAGTAATAAATAATATGGATACTGTAAATTAATTCGCCATTATTCAGACACCAACTGATGGCAAATAATTTATTCAATTATGAATCCTAATTCTTTCCCTTCCACTGAAGATTTAAGGAGGTGTACTTCTTTTACGAGCAATATTGAGAAAGAATTTAACGAAGAAGAAGATCTTTTTCTTCTAATTCGTGGGGTCTCTATACTTATCCACTAATAAAAGCAAAATTTATAAAGAAAAAATAATTTCTTTAATAAAATATTTTATGCTTTTAAGCCAATCCACTATCAAATCACTATTGATATTGAGCAAAACAAGCAAAATCTAGGCGATTCTACATTCGATGAAGGAAAATATTTAAAAACTAAAAATTTCCCTCAGGAGAGAATTGATCAACTGAAGCAGGTGCCAAATGATATTATAGTGACAAAGTTTTTAGAAGCGCTTTATAACGGAATTCAATGCAGTCCGGAATGCCTTATTATTTCGCTGGTATATATATATCAAATAATAAAAACTGACCGACTTTTCCTTCGAGAACTAACGTGACGACCAATTATCCTTTGTGCGCTTTTTATTGCACACAAGGTTTTTGACGATCTGCCTATGACAAATGCAGAATTATCCAGAATTTACCCATTTTTTACCTCCCACGAGCTTTGTGAGCTTGAGTCGAAATTCATGGACTTGATTAATTTTAACTTGTACGTTTCCCCAAAGAAATACGCTCAGTTTTACATTGAGATTCATAGTATGTTCAGCGAAAGCAACACAAAGCCGCTTGGGAGGCTCACAAAGGCCCAAAAACGAAGGTTGGAGAATAAAACCAAAAATTTTGATAGGGAAAGTTGTGCAAGCATACTTTTAAGTTAATTTAATTTATTCAATATGGGAATTTGTGAGTGCGTGCAAAGAAAAGCAAATCTGGCTAAAACTGAAGAAGAATTGAGAGGAGAAATGCTTGTGAAATATCTTAATCGGCTTGATCAAAATTTGTTGTCAGCTCAAATGAAGCTAAATGAGATAAGTTGTTCGGTGCCGGATGAAGTGAGCGGATATCAAGATTCAGGGGTTTATAATGAAGAATCTGTTGCTGATGAATTATTAGTTACAGATGGACTTAATCCTTTTTTGAGCCGAGAAATCATAAAATTTTTGAGAAGTATTGTGTAGAGCTGTAAAAAATATCACTATGCAAATTTTTTGTATAATGATTTTATATAATTATTAATCTTATGGATCCCCCCCCTCATTTGTCAAATTTTCTAGTCTTTTATCATTTGTCCACTTTTCTAGTTATTTGTATAGGAAATAAAATTTTTTTTAGGACCTCATTTGTCCAATTTTCTAGTCAAAATTTTGATAGAAAAAAAATTTTCAGGACCTCAATTGTCTCATTTTCTAGTTTTTGTAAAGTAAAAAACTAAAATTTAGGACATTCGAAAAAATCCAAAAAAGACTAGAAAATGGGACAAATCATTTTACAAGATTTTGGGACAAATGAGGTCCTGAAAATTTTTTTTTCTTACTCCCCCCACTCCTCCGTGAGTGAACAAAAAAATTTTGTTCACTCACGGAGGGGGGTTAATTTTTTTTTTTTAAAAAAATTTATATATAAATTTTTATAAAATTTTTTTTTTTTTTCGAAATTTAAAAAAATCCTAATTCGCAAAAATTGGAAAGCAAATATTAATTTAATTTATAAAATTTATGTTTTTAAAAAAGCAATTTGTTTAAAATTAAACAGAATTAGCTCTAGATTTCATTATACTAATTATCACTTATATATCAAATTTTTTTTCCATAAAAAATTTTTTCTATTAAAACCATTTTTGTTCACTCACGGAGGGTGGGTTTTTGGGCAAAAAATGCCGATTTTTCTAATGGTTTTGTTCACTCACGGAGGGGGGGAGTTAGAAAAAAAAAAGACTAGAAAATTGGACAAATGAGGGGGATCCTTACAATTAAATCTCAAGTAAATTCTATTAGATTTTAGAGAGCTTGCATTTAAAAATAAATTATTATTTCAATATTAAATTGATAAAAATATTTTGAGCAAGCCAAGAAATCATGCGATCTGCAAATAAGTTAGCAATATAAAACGAGAAAATGAGAGTTTCCAAAATAAGAAAACTGAAAATAATTTAGAATTTCTGCTTTCACCTTTAACTGCTTCATTTGAATATAACCCCGTAACTGAGTCAGATGCGAGGATCACTGTAAATAGAGATTTTTTGGAAAATATTGACGACATTTTGCTTGACGAGTATCAGATTTCTAGTGATTTTGCGTCAAGTTATGAATACGGAGCTCCTCTGAGAGGAGCTTCTGTCTTTGCACCGAAGGAAAAGGAAAGTTTATCTAATAGAGGATCAGTTAGGATGAGTGAAAAAAATTCAGTTTAATATGCTTCGTAAATCCATAGCCTTCTTTAATATTTTGAATTCTTTATTTAATTATTAGTTAAGTCTTTCTTATAAGATTTCTCATAAAATTTTTTTATTAGCATAGAAATAATTATCATAAACTTATGCAGAGATATGACAATATGACCATAAAAGATAATTATAATAATCAAAAAATATCTGCAATATATAACCCAAGCCTACTCTTGGCTTGGGCTATCAAGACATCTCCAGACGCTGGAAGGATAATTAGTTCTATTAACATTGTTGGTAAAACCAACTCATCAGATGGCAAATCTTCAATATAGAGTACTTTTATTTAGATGAAGGATGGCAGATTTAATTCATCCTCTTTTCCGACCAATATGCAAGATAAACTTGATATTGGTCTTGGAGAAGACAGAATTATCTACGGCTTTTCCTCTAGAACCTATTTTTTACCAGAGCTTGAAGAACAAAGATTTTTCGAATTGTCAGTGGAATTCTATCTGTCAAAATTTGTCAACAACTGCGACCAGAAAAAGAAGATGGAACTCTTATCAGCGTTTTGTATTTCGATTAACCAAAACTACCCCCCTGGATCAATACTAAGATGTCACAGACTTACATCCGGTGATGCAATCTGATCACCAAAGAAAAATCTATACAAATAGAATTATTGAATCAAATAGTGTATAACCTTAAATACAAAGGAAGAAACATTATCATTCCGGCTGGACTCTTGTGACTAGGCTGCAAAATCAATTTCTGCAGATACCGAATTAATTTTACATTACCCCCAGAAACAATTACCTATTCAAATTGAATCCTAAAAGACCTTTTTAAAAACCGCTTCAGAAAATTTTTGGATTCGTCAATACAAACACAAGCACATACAATTGATTAATCTCAGGCGTTTCAGAATTATGATATTCAGCTGATTTAAATGAAGACTTAATTTTTTGAAAAATTATGAAAAAGGCGCCTGAAATAGAATGCCGTTTTTAAATAATTAACTTATTAATTCAATATAGAGCGGATTTGCCATCTGAGGAGTTGGCTTTACCAAAATCCAATTCCCCTTCCGAATTCGGAAGATATCGATATAGCCCAGCCAAAGGAGGCTCATGCTATATCAATTTTACATCATTAAAAATACTATTTTTAGCTTGATAATTCCAATATCATTTTATTTTTCTAACAAATAATATCATCAATTCTAAACTTTTTATTCCAACATTTTATTTTATTTATCCAAATCTTAGACATTTTAACTATTTTATCTTATCAGCATATGAGAAGAAAAACAACTCGAAACACCGAACCCAAAAGAAAAGAATATTTAGACTTCAGCACTTACGTAAATTCTCTTAAATCCACACCTTCAACCACAAAAAACAATCGACATCCCGGATTATCCCTCAACAACTCTCCAATCTCTCAAGAAAGACAACGAACTTCTGGTACCCGGACTCCCCACACAACCAAACATAGGTCTTCCCACCCTTCTTTAATGCTCTCCGAAATCAGGTCAACCGAAATAAACCCTCCTGATGACCCCAAATTTAAAAATTTCATACAAGATGAAGCAAATAAAAGACTATTCCGAGGCTCCAGAGGCGAAATTTTTTTGTCACTTTTAAATCCAATTTCTCGATTCGACTCAGTCGAAAATGCTGAAAAATTTTTTAATTTGGAAAATGAATTAGAAAACGTTGACAATGAAAAATTTAAAGAGTTTACTGAAAGCTTATTTTATTTGAAAAAACTGAAATTTGACTTAGAATTGACATTTCAAATGACGAGGGCTAAAGATTTAGGAAAAGAAATAGAAAAATTGCCAGTTGGGCTTTATTATCAGTTAGAAGATGAGCTGCATCAGCTTACAAATGTGGATGCAAAAAGAATTCTAAAAATTCCTAGCTCGGAAATTGTGGAAAAATTAAATAGATATACTGTATTTGTAAGGGAAACTATAAGAGCTGTCCGATCTAAAGGCGCTTTAGATGAAGCGATTATTTTTGAAATGCTGTGAAGAGTTGTTTTAAAAGCATTTGATTTGTCATTAAGAATCCATGATTACACTATTACTGATGCTGTTGAGATGATGAAGCTAAAAATTAGGGATTATATATAAGAATTTATGCTGATTAGCCTATTAAGAAGCAAATATCAGCTGGCTAATTTAAAAAAAGTTAAATAAAGCTAGCCAAAAATACCTATTTTTAGGCTATTCATCGTAAAATTGTATAGAAAAACACAGAAAAGAAACAGAAACATTACAAAATGATTTAAAAAGAAAAGACGCTTCATATTTAGAATATATTAAAAACCTCAAAAAGACTATAGATGATATGAAAGAAGAAATAAAAACACTAAAACAAGCCTCATTAGACAAAGATATCAAAATTGTAGAGCTTACAGAAATAGACAATAGGTTCGACATAATAAAAGGTGTAGGAAAAATGCTAAAAAAGCTGGACTCCGTTATAACAGAAACTGTAGACGAAAATGAAAAACAAGCAGTCACACTAAATACGATATCTGGGATGATGGAAATCGCGAAACATATTGATAGCAAAAAACCTTCAAAAGAGAAAGATACACAAACAGACTGGTGTTTCATACAAAATAAGCTTGGGATACAGGAACAATCATATCCGCAGCTATCAATTCATCCTTTTTATGACATTATAAAAGAAGGTCCTTGTGCTTTAAATGAAGAAGACATAAAAAATATATTTTATGAAGCTTTACAAAGCTATAAAGGTGCTGAAAAATTTCCGAATTTTTTTTTATCAAAAATAGTCCCAAGGTTTTTTTCAAAGGAAGAGTTAGGTGTTGGGCTGTATAATATATGTAAAAAAGTAAAAGAATTGAAAAATAATAATGTGCATTGAGCTGTTGTTGCTGAAAAAATGCTGAGCCTTTCATATATGTTACCATTCCAAATAGAAAATTTTATATCAAAATTGATATCACAGTTCTTAGACCTGAAAATTCCAAATGGGCCAATTTACCAAGCACCTTTTCAAGCACTGCAGCAAAATTTAGAAAAATTAGCGATCCGAGACCAAGAATTAGCAGAGTTTATAATGACAAATATCAATATATCTGCCCCATTTGCAGACAAAAATACACTAAATGACGAAGAATTAAAAATAAATTCAATACTTATCAGATTCGTATACAGCCTTAGCCAAAGCAAGAAAAACTACAAAAGCATAATTGATAGCGTTGATATTGATAAATCTGGACAAAGTAATCAATAATTAGTCAATTTTGAATCCTTTACCATTCTCATTCGAGAAAAGTGTGGATTTTCTCTATCAGATGAAAATTTGCATTTATTTTGAAAATATTTTAACCCCGAAAATAAAGAATTTATCGATAAAAAATTTTTTATTTACGATCTCAAATTTAACGAAAATTTAGAAAAATCGAAATCCTGCGTAGTTTTTATCGAAGATTTTGTGCTGCTAATATTGACAGAGTTTGAGAAAAGATATAACGAAATAAAAGAAAACTATGAGGAATTGGAAAATGTTAGCACATATCAGGAATATTATTCAATTTTAAATCAGTTGCGTCCAGACTTGAATGAGGAGGTAATAATGAATTCGTACACAGATTTTCTGATTACAAGTAGCTTACTACCCCCCTCCGTGAGCGAACAAAACCATTAGAAAAATCCCTATTTTTTGCCCAAAAACCCACCCTCCGTGAGTGAACAAAAATTTTTTATGGAAAAAAAATTTGATATATAAATGATAATTAGTATAATGAAATCTAGAGCTAATTCTGTTTAATTTTTAAACAAATTGCTTTTTAAAACATAAATTTTATAAATTAAATTAATATTTGCTTTCCAATTTTTGCGAATTAGGATTTTTTTAAATTTCGAAAAAATATTTTTTTATAAAATTTGTATATAAATTTTTTTAAAAAAAAAAAATTAACCCCCTCCGTGAGTGAACAAAATGTTTTTGTTCACTCACGGAGGGGAGTTAGGCTATATTATTGATAAATACAAGCTTCTCCAATTAAAAATCCCTCAAGTGGAATTCCGAAGGTCGTCAACTATTATATCTGGCAGAAGAAGGACATTGTTTAAATAAAAATCCATTAATATCTTTAATTTAAAAAATACTTACTCCCCCCTCTGTGAGATTTGAAAAATCCCTATTTTTAGCCAAAAAAAACCCCTCCGTGAGCGAACAAACATTTTTTTAAAGGAAAATTTTTTTAAAATATAAGTGATAATTAAATATTACAAAATCTCGAGCTAATTCTGTTTAATTTTAAGCTGCTTGCATTTTAAAACATAAATTTTATAAATTAAATTAATATTTGCTTTCCAATTTTTGCGAATTGGGATTTTTTTTAAAATTTCGAAAAAAAAATTTTACTATAAAATTATATATAAAATTTTTAAAAAAATTAGCCTCCTCCCTCCATCAGTGAACAAAATTTTTTTGTTCTCTCACAGAGGGGGAGGAGTTAATAAATGCTACATAAAACCCCGACAGAAAACTCGATCAATACAACTTGCTCAACTCCTCTAGGTAAACCACCTTCAATGTTTTTTGAAAGATCTCCTAACAAGCATCACACAACGATCCCAGCTTGCTCTTCCACCCAAAACTATTTTTCGCCAAAAAATTTGACTCCCAGATCATCATGGGAGCATCACTCAGAAGCCAAAGACCACATATCAGCAATTCTTCCACAAGATCAAATGAATTTCTTAAGCTTTAAAAACGAAAAATTAAAAATTGAGGTCGAAAGAGACCATTTCAAGCAACTCAGCCACAATTTTGAGCAAAAATTATCTGCAGCTACTGATGAAATTAGCCAGCTCAAATCCGAATTAGACTATAAAGATGAAATGCTAAAACGTCTAAGTAAGCTTGTAGAAGAACGTGAACAAAAATTCAAAGATTTATTCGCAAAAGAATCCCAAGAATACGAAGAAATTATGAAGGAAAAAGAAAAAACTATAAAAGAGCTGAGACATGAAATAGAAAAATATAAGAAAATTGAAATGAAGAGAAAACAAGCAATTAAGATAGAAAATGAAAATTTAGACATAAAAATCAACAAAATTGGCAAATTCAGTGATAATGAGTCGAAAAAAGACGAAAGCATTTTGCTTGAATTTTCAGAAGATATTGACCTTTTTATCAGCAATAATCCACACAAAGCGAAATTTGATGTAAAAAATCATCCTGAAATAGTATCAATAATAGAACAGATTGGAGATTTAAAAAACATAATGACGAGCGTCATAAAAGGTGAAAAAATATCTATGGAACTTTTAATCGAAAGTGATAAAATTGTGGAGAAAAGAAACCTAAAGAAAAAATCAGCTGGAGAAGCTTTAAATGATCTATGTGAGATTAGAACGATATTATCAGATATATGTGCAGAAGATTGTGGTAGTAAATGCCGAGTACAATAAATGATCATTTAACTTAAGTATAAAACCCTATTATATTAATAATAAAAATATGGAAGGCTGAATAAGTGATTATTTTATTAGATATTATCTGTATTATATTAAATATTGCAATTTCTTGTGGATGGCGCTGTTTTGGCCTTGATTTTCCTACTGGAAAAACATTTTTGGTTAGACCAGTACCATATGGTTTGGCCAATAAAAAAATTTTCCCAGTGGGAAAATCAAGGCCAAAATATCGCCATCCATGGGAAAAATCCCATATCAACAATTAAGAATCCCATCTTTTTTTATTTGTATCATCATAGCTATTTCCGGTCATTTTCAAATTCACAACATTATTTGACTTTTTTTCGCGATTTTTTCCGCCCTCTTCCTTTTCTCTATTAATTCGTGAAGCTAGCTCTGCAGCCAGCGAAAAATCTGAAAATTTCGGGGTGTCAGCCCTAGAAAGAAAAGGTTTTTTATATAAAAAGGCGGACTCCAAGTCAGATTTTGTTGGATGAGGCGTAAAGCTTGTAGACCTCGGCCTAGGTGAATTTGGCGTGGACTGGTGAGTTGTAGGGTTTAGCATAGACCCATCATTGTTTTGGTTAGTATTTGTGATAAGACTATCATCATGTGAAGGAAGACTTATATCATCAAAAGAGTCAGAATTTTTTAAAATAAGGATATTTTCTTGACGTTTAAGCGTGTTCGGTGAAGAAATTATCAGGACTTCTCCGGTTTCTTGAGAACAGCAGCAGCATCCCATATTAATTTTATCGTAATCCTTTTGAATATTATTTTTAAACAGAAATGCAATGATAACTGAACTTGATAATTTTTCGACAAAATTTGATAAGTCTTTCATGTTTGTTAAAATTTTATGCAAAATCCCTATTTACATAATCAAAAAATACTGATACCAGTTTTTCTCAACCCATAAAACATGGACGCTGAAAGCAAAAGCAAAATCAACACCTGGAAAGTACCTGTAATTTAGATGATTTTACATGTAGAAGATGACCCTACATTGGAAATAGAAACTGCGTTGGATTTGCCGAATCAGCGAGTTATAAAATCTGATGTCGAAAGAACTCGCACTGGAATTTTGACTGAAAATGAACGAAAAACACTAGAAATTTTATTAACATTTTACTGTAAAGAGCACACAACTTCATATAAGCAAGGGATGAATGAGATCATGGCACCTTTTTTATTATTGATGCGTGACGGGCTTCCAAAAGAGCATGCTTATTTAATGTTCAAAAAATTTATACACACTTATCTACCTACAATGTTTATAGACAGTGTAAAATTTACTTTACTCCCCCCCCCTCCTCCGTGAGTGAACAAAAAATTTTTTTAATAAAACAATTTTTTATGGAAAAAAATTTTGATATATATATGATAATTAGTATAATGAAATCTAGAGCTAATTCTGTTTAATTTTAAACAAATTGCTTCTTAAAACATAAATTTTATAAATTAAATTAATATTTGCTTTCCAATTTTTGCGAATTAGATTTTTTTAAATTTCGAAAAAAAAAATATTTTTTATAAAATTTTATATATAAATTTTTTAAAAAAACAAAAATTAGCCCCCTCCGTGAGTGAACAAAATTTTTTTTGTTCACTTACGGAGGGGGGGGGGAGTTAGGGATTCAGACCACTGCAAGCGTATTTTTTGGTATTTCGCTTAGTTCTGCGATATCATGAGCCTAGATTCAGTAGTTTTTTACATATTAATGGGATTTCTCCAGAGCTATATGCAACTTCTTGGTTTATTACACTTTTTGCCAACAAAATTAGTGATGTAAACTTGATTTATAAGCTGTGAGAAGATTTGGTGAAAGAAAATGACCCTTTTTTCCCAGTCTATATAGGGATTGCAATGCTTTTTCACTTTCAGTTTCAAATTTTATACCTAATAAGCTTAATTTTACTATTTTTAAACACCATTTATTTTTTAAAAAATTCAGCCAAACTAGCATAAACAGCCAAGACCAAATGATAACACAAGCGATTTGTGAAATTAATTTGGAAACTTCCCAAGACGTCGAAGAAGTGCTACATAAGGCTGCACAAATAAAACAAAATATGCCATATTCAATAAAAAGCAGCCTAAGGAAATATGATGTTTTCAATATGGAAACTATCGATACATTGCTAGATACCCTAAGAAAAGAGTCATGTTTATATGTAAGCGCTAAAGAAATTATATTAAAAGCATATCCTGAAAAGTGCATATGTGAAAGAGATGAGAATTTTTGCAAATTCTGTAGAGAAAAAGCTAGAGATATACCTATGCTAGTATTAGACTGCAGAACAGAAGCTGAGCAACAAGCTGGGATTATTCCAAACTCAGCGCTATTAAATCCACAAGCTTATAATGATAGCAATGTTATGCTTGATATCCCAGACGCGTTTTTATGCATGAGAGGGATTTTTCATTTTTGTCTGCTTGGCTCAAAAACGTTTAAAGCGTCTAGTTTTGAGTTCAGCTTACAAAATGAGCATTATAATGCAGATATTGTACAAAATATGGTAGAAAATATATTGCAAGCGTTTTTGGTTAAAGGGTTCCCTTATGTCAGTATAATTGAAGGAGGTTTTGAGCTGTGCCATGGGATTATTAAGATGTTTAATTTAAATCTGGAAGGCCATGACCCTAATTACTGCTTAGTTTGTAGCCCTGAAGGGCCAAAAATTATGCATAGGGTTAAAAGCAGATTTAAAAGTTTCACTGGGACTATTGGGAAGCTAATAAGGTCTCGATCTCCAGAAAAAAATAACGAAAAACCAATAAGTGAAAATAAAACAGAAAAGGGAGAAAACAATATAAGAATTGACCCAATGTTAATGTTAATTAAGATTATAGAAAAGCTCCCTGTCGGGGCCCGAAAGCCCTTATTCCCTTCCATAATGCTCCACTCGCCTGCTCGCCAGCAACCGTCTCACGGCATTCAAAGTCTTGTTCCTACGGATATGGGCCTGCACATACATCCCGTAGTCGGAAAGTTTGGGTCACCATGCCGTACGCCAACGAAGGTTGCCTGCACAGAAGTTTCAAAAAAATGGGAATTTCTGGCCGACTTTCGGCAAAAGGGTAAAACTTGTAGCCCAGGGCGAAACTCCTGGTTTCTCGCTAGAGAGTTGCCCGAATGGCCTAGAAAGGCTTTGCTGGGCTTCCCCTTTTTCCAACTCCAAGTCTCCCTTCCCTCGAGGTAAAAATCTAACTCGGAAAATAGACTAGGGCTAGTTATCTAGCATAACTGTCCATTTCTTCGCTAGCAAAACCTTTCCGGATATAATTAAAATAAGGCTCGATACTGCTTGGCCGAGAGGCCAAGCCAAGTGTTGAGACGCCATATTTTAATTATATAAGAATTGACCCAACTACAGCATTTTATGTAGCCAAAAGATTTTATAAGGACACACGGCTGGAGTCAGAAGATGAGTATTTTTTCTGGGTAAAAGACAGATGGCTCTATATAGGCGTTTGTGGATCCCTCGACCTTAAAAATTCCTCCAAAATTTCTTATGTTTTTAACATTTTGGATATTGAAAAAATCACAAGCAAAAAGCGCACCCCAAAATTCCTCACTTTTCACTTTAAAGGCTTCAAAAAGCGATATTCCTTTGTCATGAAAACTGATTTAGAATCCAAAAAATTTGTCAACCAGATCACATCCCAGTATCAATTACTATTCAGAGGCCCAAATATAATCCAGGAAACCCTTAAAGTTTAGCTCATCAATTAGTGCTATTATTTAGTAATTTAAAATATCCTTTAATTTCTCAATAAAAATTGATTTTAATTAATCAAGGAAAATTAAAATAAAATTTATGAGTATTTAAAGGGAAAAACGACTACCCTTAAATGGCTAATATTAATGGCAGGCTTCCTAGAAGAAAATCAAGAATCACTCAAAGAGTTAATGACACTAAGGGACACTTTGGGTCTGGCCAGTAAAAATCCAAGAATCATAGTAAATGAAATCCAAAGAAAAGTCGGCCATGGAAGCTTATCATTTGAAGACTTCTCAGATTTGCTGATGGACTTGGACTGTGCAACAGAAGGTACTGAAAAAATGAGAAAAAGAAGAGCCATAAGAAGATTGTTTGATCTGATCGATCAAAATAAAAATGGGACACTTGAGGAAGATGAAATATACTGGACCAGACTGAATTTTTAAAAAAAATTAAAAAAATAAATAATTCAGATAGGATGGGCATAATAAATTCTCTTGTTGTACTTTGTGGTGGCACTCCAGATGAGAAAATTGAAGCAGTTTTTATGCTTTATGATACTAATGGTGACGGTTTAATTTCTTTTGATGAACTTCTTGCTCATCAGACTGCTGCTTTTAGGATGCTTTTTTCATGCCACCCTGAGCTGGAAGCCCAATATGGTGAAACTCCAGAATTCATGGCAAGAATAACTGTTGAGCAAATATTTTTATACCTCGGGAAGCTGAATTTGATAGTTCAAAAAATAATAATTGTTTGGCCACTTCGTGGCCAATAAATCTTAATATATATAGTTTATTTTATTGATTTTTAATTATAATTTTTATAAAAATTTTAAAAAATGTTCAGGCCAATCAATTATCTTCAATATAGAAATTGATACTAATAAAGACGGAGTCATTACCCTCCCAGAGATGAAAGCATGGTTTAACGGGCAAGAAATCACTGAAAAAATCCAAGAAGATAAATCCTTAAAAATCGAAGCCCTCAAGCAGAGAAAAGACCAACTCCTGCACAGGCTTAACCAAATAAAAGCCCAATTAAAATCCCAAGCAAGAATCGATAGCATCCACAACCAAAAGAAAATTACAGGCCTTGGGAGAATCCACGTAAGAGACGCCCTCAGGACTTTTAGAGAACAGAATTCCTCAGGATTTTTTTCTCGTCAAGACTTTTCAACCATCTTAAACAGCCTCATAACTAAATACGCAGGTGACGCATCAATTGATAAAACTGCTTTACATCTATTAATTTCAGACTTGTTCTCACAGTTTGACGATGATGGCAATGGTGTTGTTAACCTTTTTTAATGAATTATTAGAAAATAATTACAAAAAAAGATTTTTTTTAATTTATTTATAATTGGTATAGCATGGGAGAACTATTCTGTGGACTATCTGTCCTATGTGCAGGCAGCTTAGGTAGCAAACTTCAAGCTGCAGTAGAATGCTTTGACCAATCAGGAGATGGAGATCTACAATTCCCAGAAATCGTGAAATTCATGAAATCAGTATTCCGTGTTCTCATCCCTGAAGATGTCACTGAAATCAAACCTAGTGCTATTGCAACAGCCACAGCCAAAAACTTGTTCAGGTCTGAAGGAGTTAATTAAGATTATTGAAAAGCTCCATGTAATGCCTGAGCCAGGTATTTAACTCACCTTGCTTCGTTAGGCCGCCTGACCACCCCAGCAGGGGTTAACTCCTCTTCACTTGAGGCTCGTGTCAAACGGAGAATAGAGTAGGATGGGTCACCGTACGTCAGATGAGGCTGTCTTCACAAAAATCCCAAAAAATGGGATCTCTGGCCAAATTTTGGCAAAAAGTAAAAACTTGCAGCTCAGGGCATAACCCCTGGCTTCACGCAAGGGAGTTGCCCGATTGGCCTAGACACGCCTGCAGACCTTGTTGGGCTTCCCTTTTTCAACTCCAAGTCCCTCTTTTCCTCTACGTAAAATCCAGCTCTGAAAGCGGACTAAGGTTAGGCCCCCAAACGCAACTGAGATTGCTTACCTAGCATGCAGCCCATTTATGGGCTGGCAAAGCCTCATGGATATAATTAAATATGTACTCGAGGCTGTATGACCAGGAAGCCATGATCTCCATATTTAATTATATGGTCTAAGGAGTAGACATCGAAACTGGAGGAGTTTCCTATGAAGTCATCAAAAAATGGGTCAATGAGATGAAAATTAATTAACCTCTCTTAAATTTAATTAAAATGACCGAAGAAAATTTTATTGAAAAGAGGCTGCAGTTAGCTTTGGATCCTACTACTGATTACAATGTAAGTAGGAAGCTGGGACATTTAATTGACCCTGATACATGTGAAATCGTGAATAATTGTCTGCTTGACCAGGATATTGTAGAGAAATATAGGAATCATATTGAAAAATTGACGGAATCATTGCAAACTCATATCCCGCTGACCAAAATGTTAATTAATTATTTTGGGATTGCAGGAGATGTGTTTGAGTTTATAATTACAGTAGGTGCATGCATTTTATATGTAATGTCCACTTATATGAGTGATGATTATCCGGATGAATTTGAAATCATTGATCTGGTAGTTGCATCAATTTTTCTTTTTGATTGGACTTTTCATATGTGGGCAGCTTCTTCTAGATGGGAGTTTATTTTCAGCAAAATGACTGTAATAGATATGCTAACTATTATCCCGGTTTATGTTGATTCATTTGGGTCACAGTCATTTGGGACAAGAAGTTTAAGCTTTTTCAGAGCACTTACTTCTTTTTTAATAAATTTTTTATAAAAATTTATTTAGTTATTATTTTTAGTTTTTTTTAAAATTAATTTTTAACTCCCCTTTTGTGAGCGAGCAAACTCTTTCGTGTGGGTTAAATTTATAATAATTTTTTTTACGGAATTTTAATGAAATTGGAAATTAAAATTTAATTAAAAATTAATTTTTTAGAATGCGAGCTGTTTAGATTTCAACAGGTTAATATTAAAAATAATATTAAATATATATTAATTTTTTTAAAAAAAATTGATATTATAAACAGCTTTGCTTGTTCAAGAAGTGGTTTTAATCCAAAAATAGGAATTTTCAATGGTTTTGCTCATTCTAGAAGGGGAGTAGGGAAAATTAGAATATTTAGAGCTTTGAGAATTTTAAGAATTTTTAAAACAATTGAAGCTGCCAAAGCAGAAGACGATGAAAGTGGAAGGCTAAAATACACTGTCGATACCTCAGGAATTTCTAAGCAGCTTGGGATTACAGCTCTCACTATATTTTCTGTTTTATTCATAGGCGCAGGTATTGCTAGCTCCCTCAATGATTTACAGCCTGGCTCTTTTAATTGTCTAGGCACTTTCGATTTTTTATCAGCAATTTACTATTTAATAGTAACTTCAGTCACAATTGGATATGGAGATATTTATCCATTAAAAGCAGCATCCCGTATGGTTGTAGTATGTTTCGTCCTAATCATGGTTTTTATAGTAACCAACCAAATTTCAAAATTCGGGCAGCTTATGGAAAGTTACTCTAAATACGACACAAACTATAACACAAGCAACCACATAGTAATTATGGGAAATTACCGATTTAAGGTATTGCACAGATTTTTAACTCAATATTACCATACTGACCATGGAAATGTCAAAACAAAATGTATTGTCATTGGTGAAGAATACCCAACACAAGAAATGCTTGGCATTATTAATGATCCAAGATATGAAGGGAAGGTCCAATATTTAGAAGGAAAGTCATCAAATTCATCTACATTTAAAAAAGCAAATATTTTTATAGCAGAAAGCATTTTTATATGCTGAAATATTTAAATAATATTTTTAATAATTAATTAATATTGATTAGTCTTATTTATCACAAAAAAATTTACTTACAGACCAGCTTAATGATAATTTATTATCCCAAGACACCTATGTTACACTATTAGCCAAAATGATCCAAGCCAGAGCTCCCTTTGTAAGGGTCTATATCCAATTAACCAGAGCTATGAACACTGACAAAAAAGAAGAAGAATACAGTCCTGGGAGCTTAGCAATATCTACACAGTCAGTCAAAATGGGGATTTTAGGCTCTTCTATACATAATCCAGGATTTTGCACCATTATGGGCGGACTTTATATTACAGTAAACGACTCAGTTGGTGATGGGCATAACGCAGAATGGCTATTAAAATTTGTCAGAGGCCTAGCTCAGGAGTTTTACTGCGTGCCAATATCAAGCTATTTTGCAGGCATGCTTTTTGACCAGGCTGTATATGTAATTTATACTATGTGCAACGGAATTTTGGCACTTGGGGTTAAGCTTGGTAGCTCAAAAATGGAAAAACATGACGTCCTGCTAAACCCTTCAAAATACGTATTAAAAAACGGGGATTATTTATTATTAATTTGTGATGACCAAGAAAGTGCTGATTTAATATCAAATTATGACGCAGGAGAAACCCATTCTCGAGGGATTATTTCAGAAAAAAGACAAAAAGCTATTATTCAGATGTTTGAAAAAGAAAAAATCAAGCAAAATATCTACAAGTGTGATGTCACCAGTAATGTGATTGACCTTATAAATGAAGATTTAAGCGGAAAAATAAAAAATCATGTGCTTGTTTTTGGGAGTTTAGAAGAGTTTGAGCTGCTTTTAAACACTATAAGAGTTTATTCACAGCAACCGGTCTGCTTTTTTAGTGACCAAGACCCAGACGCAAGATGGGAAAAAATTTCAAAAAAAGGGAATGTTTTTTATTTACAAGGGAGCATGCTTAATTTTCAAGATCTTTATTATTCTGGAATTGCTGATTGCTATTGTGCATTAATTCTATCGTCAAGTAGTCAAAATAGCCAGTCACCGGATTCTGATGTGGTGCTGCTTAGCAGAATTATTGAAATGTCGTTTCCTAAAGTAAAGTATATAGTGGAGCTTATGGATGAATCTTATATGAGGTTCATGGGAAGCCGCCCACATGGGGATTATATAAATCTTCCATATCATTTTTGGCCGAAGTATATTTCTGGAAAAGTGTATTTTACTTCATATTTGGAAACATTGATTTGCCAGACTTATTATAATCCTGATTTAATTGATATCCTGATGAAAATGATGGGAATCACAAAGCCACAGCCAGAATCCAAAAAATATCAGGAAAATTCTATAATAAAAACAATAAAGCTGACTGCTGATTATTTTACTAATGGTGAATCCTGCCCCTACCATGATTTATTTATTGATTTCATCCATTTAACTCCTCCAGTGATTCCCTTACTTCCCCCTTTAAATTGGAAAAAAATATTCTGTTCAATTTAAATGGGGGTTAATTTTTTATTTTTAAAAAAAAAATATATATTTAATTTTTGATATAAAATAATTTTAAAATTTTTGAAAAAATATATAAAACTTTGAATTTTAACTAATTTTATGAACAAATAAATAATTTAAAATATATCAGTATGCAAATGTTTAAATAGCATTTTGTCTATTAAATTAGGCTATAAAAATTATTATTTTAATTGATAAAATTTTCCTAACAAAATATGCAAATTTTACAAATGTTTTGGTCTAATTTAAAGGGGGGAGTTAGGGATTTTTTCAAAGCGATATATGCGTTCAGGTACCGAATCAGATGAAGAGCTCAAAAAAATGGCAACAGTTGACCATGAAATTGTCATTACAAACCCTGAACCCAATATGACAGTTTATAAAGGAGATAAAATAATTGTAATTGGAGAAGTCCATGAAACAACTAAAGAAATTTCTTATTACCCAGAATTAGATGATTTGATGAACCAAAAAGAAGAGAACTATTTATCAAGAAAAAATAGCAACATAGATCAACTGGAAGACATTGAGTAATTTTTATCTAGTGAAGAGGAAAAAGAGGAGGAAGACGCTATTAAGGAAATGATTCAAATTTTAGGCAAAAGACTTGAGGCTACTCCAAAGCTGCAAAGAAAAATTGAAGCTAAGACAAGAATGATCCAAGACCTGCATAAGGAAACAGAAAACTTGAAAGAAGAACTATTAGGGAGATATAATATGAAAAACTCCTAATATTTTTACAATAAACAAAATTTCTTTATTTATTTCTCCAAATATCTTAGTTTTCTTGTCAGTTCTTATCAGGCATTTAAGATATAGAAATTGCCCGAGGATGGCGCTATATTGCGCCATCCTCGGGCAATTGGAGACACGGCTCCACACGGGAATTGTGTTCCACGTGTGGAGCCATTTTTCCACGTGTGGAGCCATTTTTCCACGTGGGAAAATGTGGATTCCACACGTGGAATACGGTTCCCGTGTGGAGCCAATTTTCGCTTGCCCTAGGATGGCGCCATATAGCGCCATCCTAGGGCAAATCCTATAGCTAAAAATCCATAATTATTCCCTCAATCAAATAATTGCATCACTTTATCTATATTACAGTAATAATAATGGCTGGAAATTTTACTGCTCTTCTGCTTAACTATTAATTATAATAGATAAATCAGCTTCATCTTTATAAATACAAAGCATTTTCAAAATTTAATAAATTATTAACATTTTCTCATATATATCCTAAAAAATTAATTTTTCCCTAATTTTCTAACACAACCTCAAAGCTGCAGCCATATTAAATCTAATAAAAAAATGTTATCGTTGAATGTATTTCAAGTTATTTGTGAATTCTTAACTTACAAGGAGCTTACTAAGCTAGCTCAAACATGCAAAAAATACAAGAAAATAGCTGATTCAGACAAATTTTGGAAAAATGAAGCTGTGAGACTTTTTATGAGTGAGCTTGATTTATATCAGATTTATGATGAGATTGCTATATATCCAAAACTAGCCAAGCATGAAAACGAATTATCAGGCTCACAGTGGAAGATTTTAGTAAAAAATCAATTTGAGATTAAATATAGTTGGAAACAGCTTGAAGGGGAAAATTTAAGCAAAAATGAAATAGATGAGCTTTACTGAAATATATCAGAAGAGCTAAAAAATCCAACACCTCCAATTCCAAGCTTAAAAGCTGAATATTTCCCTTCAAACTATCAAGATCTTCTTGGAAATTCTTTATTTTTAGACCCTAATGAAAATAGCTCTCATCAAGGGATTCTTCAAATTTTCAATTCAAATTTCCAAGGATTCTGTGCTGAATTTACCTCAATATCCCATATCAGCATGCTAATTAGCGCAGTCTATAACACTTGGAGCCCTGATTTCGAGCTAAAAAACTACCCTTGGATTATGAAATTTTATTCATTACTTTATCAGATGATATCAATAAATTGCAAATTTTCCTATAGCAAAATTGTGTGTTATTCTGGAGAAAATCTTTTAGACGAATATATGCTGAGATGGTCAGCATTTTCTGCGGCCATGCAAAATTTATCTGAGTTTCTCAGGCCTTTTACTGAGATGGTCAATTATATCAGAAATGAAAAAATTAAGGAGAATTTAAAAACCAAGGAATTTAAATTGCACATTTTGATGAATAAAATATGGGAGAGGAGAAAATAATATATTTTTTAGAGATTTTTAGCAATTTTTTTATAAAAAAAATAATAAATTATGGAAAGAAGAAGTTTTTGAAAAAATTCAAGCAGAATTAAGTGAAAATATTTTGAATTTGTGAAGAAAAATCAGAAGCTCTGACAGTGATTCTGGATTAAATCTGCTGATAAAAAGTATGGACTGTATCATAGATCATAGCGTGGATGAGAAAAATTTACTTTTTAAAAATCATACGCATCATTTTACAGCAAAGCCCTATAAGTTTATACATGATCAAGCTATAGAAAAAACAAAAAAATATTATGAAAGCTTGAATTTTTCAAATGAAAATTGACGAACTATTATTGATAGAGACATTAGGATCGTAAAATTAGCTTTCCTTCCTGCCACACAAAAAGCAATTGAAGAGCTGGCTTATAGTAAAATCCAGAAAATTATAGCTTCCCAAATAAGCAAAGAATTCTCCAGGTTCTCAATAAAGAAAATATACCCATATAACGAGCAAATTATTAGTGAATATGTGTATAGTCCAATTGGCTTGCTCCTTTTCCATCAAGAAAAATCAGTCTCCAAAGTTCGGTCTTTTATTTCTTATGGATTATCGAAAGAGTCTTATATTAATTTGTTCAGAATTTATAATGATGGATTTAGAACAATTTCTACGATATATGACAATCAAGATCAAGAAATAGAGCTTAAAGCAAAAAAGTGTGGGTTCTCATCTGAGGGTTCCAGATGTAGTCCTACCACTGAATTGGAGAATTGACTTTTAGAAAATATCGTCATAATATAGGTTATATTAGATCGCGTTTGCTATTCATAATTAAATAGGAATTTTTAAATTTTTCTTTTAAGAACTTTATTATAAAAGCATTGGTATTTATAAAAAAGTTGCCTTTATTAAAATTATATAAAAATTATTTTGGTTTCCTCTTATAAGCTAAAAAGTTTAAAACGATTCTATTGGCTTTATTTTATCAAAATTGTCCTTTTTTAAAGCTGCAATCTAATATAAAAATGAAAGGCAACGTTATCATAGAAAATTTATCAGGATGGAGAGATTGGCAGAGCAGTTTGAATAAGCACAAAACGCATGTAAAACAAATACTAAGCTCATCCTCACGAATTGACAACGGAAAACCTAAAGGTTTTCCAATGCATTCACAAATGGCATCAACAAGGGAGTTTTATACTCATGGTAATGATAACTCAGAGCGAAAAAATGAAATCCAAAAATCCAATGAAAAATTTTTAGAAAGACTCCTTGACGTGACATCTACAGTGCAAGTTTCTCAAGCAGAAGAAAAAAATATCAAAAAATATAAAGAAAGATGCAAAAAAGAAGTAGATAAACAGAGGGATAGAGAAAATTTAGAAATTTATAAAAGAATTAGCCATGCATCAAGCTCTTTAAATTTTACGAAATTTGAGAACGATTTTAAGAAAAGTAGGCTAAAAAATTAAGCGGATAATCACTAATCTTTGACCTGTATCGGCTGAAAAAGCTAGTCTCCATAGATCTGAGAGGTCAAATGTGGAAAAATGGCAGACTCCATTCTGGATTTCCAATCTGAATCATCTGTCTAAGGGGATTAGCTCCTAGGGCAGAACCATCATCTTTTGAATGATGCCCGATGTCCTAATAAGTAGAGGCCATATGGTAGGCAAACCTGTCTAGTCCGTCTGGCAGGGACAAACAAAGCTTTCCTCTTTGGTAGACATCCCGAAACCCTACAGTCTACCTCAAAAATGACAGAGGTACTATGTTTGGCTTCATCAGGATGGGTCCTATCTACTTATAAAAGTATCCTTCGGATTCTTTCTTCCTTTGATGTCACCATTTCATTTCTAAGAAAAGCAAGGAATATTCAAAATTAAGGACGAGAAAAAAATTCTCGAAATTTCCTGCTTTAGGGAAGAATGGTGGCAGTAACTCAAGCAAAGAAATAATAAGTAATTTATAGTGAGTATAAATAAAAGAATTTGTCCTAAAGATTCAGTCTAAAAATCTTGAAAAACACATAACTTATCGTTGACCTGTTTAAATTACCCAGCTCCCCCCCCCATTTTGATCGAACGACTCGCCATCGTTCGATCAAGGATGGGGGTTAAAAAATTTTTTTTGGGAAAAAAAAATTATATATAAAATAAAAAATATATATATATATTTTTATTTACTTTTAAATAAGAGGGTTAAAAGTATTTCATAATTATTTTTACAGCAAAAAATTGAATTAATTTCATAAAATACCAATTTTTAATATTTTGATTCATTAGTTACCCTTTTAAAACTGTATAAATTTAATTTGTTTTTTATTGAATTAATTTGTTTTTTTTAAAATTTTAAAGAATTTCTATTTTATTAGATTATTGAGTTTTTAAGCATAGGTTGATGGCTAAATCACTTCGAATGGTTGATTCCGTAGCTTTTTGTCGTCTCAAAGCTCTGAAAACACTTCATTAGTACATATTCCCAAACTTTTTATAACTAATATATTTTTATATATATAAAAAATTTGCATGATCTGAAAATCGTTCGATCAAGGATAGGGGTTAATTTCCCCCAATTTTTAGGAATTTTTTACAGTCAATCGTTCGATCAAGGATGGGGGGGGGAGTAAATAATAAAAAATATTCAAAATAAGCATTATCTTAATATTCTATCAACAAATAATATTCAAAATTAGAGTATCTTTTATTTATTATAAAAATCAAAATACAATTTTCATTTCATTTTAAAAATAATTTGCTAATAAAAGCAAATTTCCCTCTCAAAAATTATTTAATAAAATACTACCACAGGTTATAGTTTATTTTATTATCCAATATATATTACAGTCAACCCAATCTAAATATCAAAATATTACCTCTTCATCAAGCATTTAATCTTATTTAATTTTTCTGAAATTCTTTTAAATACCTATTCAATATACCTTTTTAAAGCTCACCCTCTTGGAAATCATTGAGTCAGCAAAATGCCTTCATGTTTGTAAATAGCTATTTCGGAAATATATTAATTTTTTCAGTTTTTGAATATAATAAATCTATACAAATATTAATATAGGCAGACTTCATAAATGAATTTCAGTGAGCATTTGCCGCATTTATAAGCTATTTTAATTTCATTCCTCCTAGACAATTTATCAAGTATCAAGCTATTTCACTCAATAAATAACTTTGAACGCAGCTGTCTCTTTAAAAGCAATATCTTTTATAATAGAAAAATAATTCCATTACCAGTTCTATCCTTACTAATTCCATAAACAAAATAATGGTGGACTTACTTTTATTCGAAATCTTTCTTTGCCTGCTTTTTGTCTCAATTTTCCTGATCCTAGGCACATATCTTCCAAAATGGGGTGTAATCATTATTTAGTTTTGGTTTATCCATGAATCTGGCATCGTAATCATCATAGGTATAGCGATCGGAGCAATTATGGGAGCAGTAAAATTTATATAGGCATGAACAAGTCCATCAGAATTCGATGAAGGAATTTTCTTTATACCTTTTTTATATGAATTATTGCTTTTTTCAGCTATAGGGACGAATTTATTGGATAAAATAATAATTTCATGCTCCCTTTCTTGATTTTGAACGCAGGCTACAATTTGAAGAGAAAAAGATTTTTTAAAAACATTGGCCCAATTTTCCTTTTTGGAATTGGTGGAACATTAACAGCTTTTATTGTCATAGGACTTGAAGCTTATCTTTTCAGCGAAATGGGTCTTATAATTAAGGATGGAAAAACTTATCATATACCTCTACAGGATGGGTTATTGATAGGTGCTGTCTTGTCTTCCACGGATATCGTCTGTACTCTAGCAATGGTAAAAGAAGATAAAACACCTAAATTATTTACTCCATGTGAGGAAAACTTTTGAAAATAAATTAAGTCTATTGATTAGATATCTTGGATTTTCAAAGACTAATTCTATAAATTAATACAAAGCCTTACAAATTGAGTTTTTCGATCGAAAAAAATTACAGTTGCCAGTCAATCTTTCTTTTTTTTACAATTCACCATAAAACTCTGAGATGAATAATTTCCTATGAGACCAAAAAAAATTTATTAAAAAATTGACTTTAATCATAAGAGAGTTAGCATTTTATTAGGAGAATCTGTGAGTAATGATGCTATTGGGATTTTATTAGTGCAAACTCTAAGTAGCATGGATTTAAGCAATATTGGTGCTAAAGAACTTTTTATTTTTATCGGAAAATTTTTATATATAAAGATTTATAAAAACTAATCTATTTTTTCCAATTACAAACAAAAATTTCCTATACAAAGTAGAAATAATTTTAATTTTTAATGGTGCATATTTTTCTTATGAAGAAATAATTGCTTCACAAGCACCATATGTGGGTCAATATTCGGAGTCGTCACAACTTATATGACAAAGCGCTTCAAATCCCTTAGAGACGACCCCAGCAAAATGATCGGGCTATTTTTATATATTTCATGGATCGGCTACACAGTTGCTGAATTACTCGGGATTTCAGGCGTTATTTGCATCTTAGTCGCTTCAATTATTTCCGGGCACTATTCCTTCTATAACATGACTCCAAGTTCCCGAATTGCTTGTACTGAATTCATGCATTTCATAGGAGACGCCGCAGAAGCTTTAATTTTTGCCTATTTAGGCTTAACTACCTTAAGCTACGACGTATTCAGTGTATCATGGGTTTATTTATTTTTTATGATTATTGGTGTGCTGATTGCTAGACTTTGTGGGACTTTTGGGCTCAGTTTCCTTGCAAGATTCTTATCTAGAGGCAAACATAAGCTTACTATTAAACAATTAGCAGTCTGCTGGATGGGCGGAATTATCAGAGGTGCAGTCAGTTTTGCCCTTGTGCTGACTTTGGACGGAGAAAATGAAAAAATCATGAAAATGACTGTTTTAGCTCTAGTTATTGTGACTACATTGGTATTTGGGGTTGTTTTACCTTTGTGGGTATGGTGGGTTGATCCAAAAGAAGAAGACGTTGTGACTGTAGATGCACAGAAAGTCCTTGGGGATTTGGCAATTGGACATAACAGAATTGTGATCACTAAAGGGGATTCTGAAGAGAGAGGATGGTTTCATAGGACTTGGAGGAATTTTGATAATAAATATATCAAGCCATTTTTGATAGACCCAGTTGCATTAGAAGAAGCAAGAAAAATCAAAGCAACAATTAAGTCATTAGGAAGGTCATCAGTTGGATCTGTTGGAGAAGGTCATGAAGAGCACCATTAGATAGAATTTAAATAGAAATTATAAGAATTTATATGAAAAATTATTGGATGATTTTGATACAAAATAACTATTTAACCTTCGGGTGAAGAGGTGGAAGCTTACGGGCTATATTTGGCGTATTTTCTAACAATTTTACAGCTTTTAGAAGCTTGGAATCTAAAGCTTCTACGTTTTCAGTTATGCTCTGCATAAAATTTACAATAATTTCTTTTTTTACATCAAAATTACTAAAATTCATTGTATCACCCAGCATAGGTGTCACATCCCCACTAAGCGTCCTCCGTCTTTTTATTTTTTTTGTGCCTGCTAATTGTTTTAAAGTGTTTTCTTTCCTCAATTCTACGACATCCAGCAAGTCTATTATATCTTTTCGTGCCTGAATATTTTTTTTATATCTTTCAGCTGCGATTTTTTTTATTTCTTGGGCGACTTTTGGATATTGCTCCAGCATCATTTCAAAAATATTTTTTTTCATGACTAATAATATGCATCATTTTTTTGTCATAACAGAAAATTCTCGAGGTTTTTGAGACAGTAGCTCTATTTCCCCAAAATAAGAGCCATCTACCATAGTTTTGAAAGTAAAATGCTTTGGACCATATACATAGCACACTCTTCCTTGAACAATAAAATACATATTGTCGGCATAGTCATTTTTTTTATATATAATTTCGCGTTCTTGAAATTCAAGCCTTGTCAAACGAGGGACAATATCAGCAATTAAAGCTTCGTCCTTTTTTTTAAAAAAATGAACTTTTTCTATTGCATTATCAAACATTGCTTTTCCTATTTCATATCTCAGGTTTTTTGGAATTGTTGTAATCAAGTTAGATCTTTCTTTGTCGTCTAATGCAATTTCACGTAAATATTCTTTTGCTTTTTTAGTGACTTGCTTTGTAAGATTTTTAGGTAATTTTATATCATTAGCAAATAGCTCAATGTGCCGCAATTTTGTTTTGATTATAGCGCCTTTTTCATCTAAGCTTGATAAGGCGCTTGCTAAAGTTCCCATAGAGAAAGAAAAAGAGCTGATTCCAAATAGCATTCAGAACATTGTAATTAGTATTTCATTTTCTGTGAGGGGACTTATATCACCGAAGCCTACAGTGGCAAGTGTGGTTACAGCTCAATAAATACTTGCTAAATAAATTCTAGAGTTTGGGTAGTCTTAATCTTAATCTTGACTTATCGAAAATTCAATAATTCCTGAAGGATAACTTCCACCTTAAAGCTAGCTTGCTCGCCAGTTCGTTATATGATATCGTGAAGGCTACTACTGCCAGACGAGGGCCTGCGTTGGCCACCGGTAGTTAAATGATTTTTATCATCAGACTGCGGGTCACAAAAATGCTGCCCTCCATAAAAAATAAAAAATTGTTGAATTTTCTGACGATTCTTGGTCAAAATAGAAATAATAGCTGGCTCTATGCCCTAATATAATGCATTGCACTGATTATGGATTGCATTCAACACGTGAAGAAATCCTCATGTGAAATGCATCCATAATCAGTACAATGCACTATACACATTCGTTAATGCTATCCTCCTTCCTCAAGTCCCTTGCACAGGCTAGACGTAGAATCATCCAAGGAGTTAAAAGGATAGGTTCATTTGTCACACCATTTTACAATATAAGAATTTCGGTAGTCAATTAATCCATTTCTGACAATCCAGGTCCGAGGGCTATAAGAGTCTAATTTTGCTGAAAAAATCCATATACAGGCTACAAAATGTGTCATTATAGCTACTATCATAAATAATCCCAAAATTCTTGCCCCTTGGTAATTATCGAGAAAATTATCCAATTTTTCAGAGCCAGTTAAACTCTTTACTATAGAAGCCAATTTTTTAGCTCTGACAAGTTTGGTTAGTTTAGTCATTCGTAAAAGCCTTACAAATCTATTAGCACCTGAAGCTGAGCCTAAAGAAAGCAGATAAAACGGGAATATTGAGATTATATCAATAATAAGCATTCCTTTCAAATAGTCTTTAAAAATTATAAGACGCGAGGTCTTTAGTTTTCCTCTTGAGTCATAAATCGCTGTATTTAAATTTATTAATACATCAAATAGAAAAAACAAGTCACACGTCGTATTTATTCAAAATCACCTGTCTCCTATAGTTTCCTCCATAAATGCGACTTCTAATGGCACTACCGTGAATGTGTAAATCAAAAAGAAAAGCAATAGGATGTTTCATATTTGTTTGAATTTTGAGCTAGGATGAAAAACTTTGTTTTTTATTTTAATTTCCATTGATTTTTCTGATTCATTTGAGGTAGACTTTGACTTGAGCAGGCATGAAATATTACTTTTGCATGAGTTATATGAGCATAATGAATTTGATTTGGTTCCATAAAGTCTGATATCGTCTACCATGGATTTTCAAAGTAAAATACCTCTTATCTTTATTAATGCTTTTCTGAACATAGCTTGGGTTCACTCATTTTTAACCTGACGAGTTAAATAAAATTCTCTTCTACGACTGGTAAGACTTCCTTCATGATCGTCATTTCACGAGGCATTTGCATTTGTAAGCATATCAAAACTGTCTACTGAGCCTAATGAGTTGTTGTTTGTTCGTGGCTGGGCTTTTCGTGCTCTTTTCTTTGTATAGTAATCTTGGTATTCATCTTCAAAATTAAAACTCATAAATGTTATGGTCTAATAAAATTAAAACAAGAAAAAACTCTGATAAGTGATAAGAAATATTTTATTTTGCTATGGATTTATTGATAGGTAGGATTAATTAATTTAAGGTTTAAGAGACTCGCTTAGCGTCTACTACCACATCACCTGAACTGGCTTCTGTTCCTGCTTTGGGGTTCCCAGTCCACCGCTAAGTCGTGTTCAAGGCTGAATGGTCCCTCAGCGTTGTGCCTTCGGATTTTGATGGCTGCTCTTCCAGCTTGCTTGAGTATGGGTGCCTGCACAAAAAATTTCAAAAAATAGAATTTCTGGCCAACTCTTGTCAAAAAGGGAAAACTTGACGCCCAGGGCAAACTCCTGGTTTCATGCGGAGAGTTACTCGACTGGCCTTTTGGTGTCAAAAAGCCTTAGAGGGCTTCTCCTTTCCCAACTCTAATCTTCATCTTCCTAACAAGATAAAATTCAACGCTAAAAAGGGCTTGGCTAGGTTCCACACTCTGTCGGAATTGCTTACCTAGCATTTCCATCTATTTCTGGGTTGCCAGATATATTAAAATATGTACTCGGCGCTGCATGGCTGGGAGGCCATGCCCTGGCTGAGATGCCATATTTAATTATGCTATTGGATTTTTATAAGTATTAGTGTATTATATTAGGTTTATAAAAAAAATAATAGTGAGAATAAATGTAACAGTTTTTTCTTACTTTTATCTATCTTTAAAAAGAAAAAATTATAGGTAATTATTTTAAATAATATTACTTGCTAAAAGCAACTAAATCAGTTTTTGAATAGTATTATTATATTTACCGCCAATAAATTAATAAATACTTTTCCAATTTTGGTAAAAAGCTTAAGGCAAGTTAGAAATGGAAAGGTAAATTTTTTATATCTTATCAGACCACCTTAAATCTTTAATGAATTATCATTTTAATAAATTCAACTTTTCTTATTATTAAAGTCTCATTAATAATTCCATCATCAAATGTGGCTCAGCTTCAAGTTCTTGAAATGAGGTATTTTGTTTAACATCTTTGAAGTTCAAGCATATATAATCCATGCATATTTCTTTTAAAGAATTTGCTCTATGATAATAAGCAACTCTCAAAATAGGAACAACATTCTCAATTGTAATATTTTTCCTTATATTGTCTTGGCATAATGCTTTTAGCCTGTCTATCATGAATCTCTCTGCAGCTACCATAACTGATACGCCTTACTTAACTTAAAATCTGGTATTTAAGGTGTCTAGTGCCGCACCCTCGCAAAAGGGATATAGTTAAGCTAGTGCGTCACCGAGCCATCTTGGTTTCATGGTGGTCAGCTCACCGCCCAAGCCTTTTACAAAGCTTCGCAGCACGTCTCACCCGCTATAAACTGATACACACATATCGACACTCATAGGCCGAATGGTATCGGTATGCAAATATTGTAAAATTTCTTCAAAAACCTCGTATTGGACATCGTCAATATGGACAAGAGGATCAGTTTGTTCTCGCATACCTCCGAAGAAAAGGGCGTTAAAGTGCTCACTTCTGGCAGCTAATAGTGACCTATTTGCTTTAATTTCTTTGTCTTCGACAATAAAAGTCACGTCACTAAAACATGGATGGTTTATCATGTTTTTTATATCACTAAAAAAACTTGATGGAGGAATGGCAACCATTTCGAATTGAAATTCGTAAAAATCATTCAACACCAAGTTTCCATTGTATCCTCCAAATGCAAACATAGAATGGCTGTACACTTGGATCACCAGGCTTGATCTTCCAGTTGGAGGATCTTCCACAACTAATTCACCGATGGGTATAATTTTTTTTTCTCTGATTTATCATAAATATTTTTGAGGAGGAATTTTTTTTTTAATTTGGAAGAAAAATAAATTATCTACCATTATAAATTCAATTCAAAATATAACCAAAATAACTATATATTGCTTATTCTCATATCAGAGTAAGCAGCTCCAGCGTTTTTTATTAAAATCAAATTGATATAAATCTTGCAGCCTTTCTATACCATTATAGCCTCCAAATAAATACATACAATCTCCATATACAACAGAAGAATGAAAATACCTTGGCGAAGGTGACGGTCCTGTAAATTGTACAGGCTTTCATGCTTTTTCTTCTAAATCGAACTCATAGAAATCATTCATCCTATGCACACCATCATAGCCTCCAAACAAATAAACACTTTTCCCATATGAAACCCAAGAAGGGCAGCTTCTTACGCTTGGGGAAACTCCTTTTATATCAAGTTTAGTCCATTTCATTTTTAAAAAGTTGTACTCATGCATGTCATTTAGCCAATTAGACCCATCATAGCCTCCAAATACTAAAAATGTATTATTTTTCTATTAAATAATTTTTTAAAAAAAATAAAATTACTAATTTTGCCAATTTTTTAAAATGGGATATCTTTTCATGCTGCACTTACGTAGCCAAACCTAGTTGATGGCAGATTTCCTTCTTTTGCTATAACTGGAGTCCAAGCAAAGGAATCTAAATAATCTTTACGTAAATCTAAACGGTGAAAATCATTTAGCCAAAAGCATCCTGAGTAGCCACCAAATATATACATTCCACCCTTATATAAGACAGCACCATTATTTTCTCTACCAGGTGGCGATGTCCCATGAGTTTCTAGCCTATGCCAATTCTTTTCACAGAAATTGTACTCTCAAAGGTCATCTAAACGTCCATTTCCTCCATATCCGCCAAATATATATAAAGAGTCTTCGTAAACGACGCTTGCGGCTCCACTTCGTGGCCCAGGCCGAGGACCATTTTCATATACAATTTGTTTCCACTTATAAGCTTGATTGTTTTCTAATAAAGAATGTCCAGCAGCACCTGATGGATCGTTGTGGTAGGATCTGGAAGGATCTTCATATGCTTGCATTTTGATAATTTATTATTGAATTTTTGGAATATTAAAGTTGATTTATTTGAATAAAATTAAATTTTATTTTATTGGATAATTTATATTTTAATATAATTTTTTCGGTTATCTTTTTATTTCGTGTATTATGTTTGATGCGACAACATTATAAAAATAAGTGCTTTTCATGTAGAAATTAATGGTTTTTATATGAAGACGAATAAAAATATATGAAAATGGTTATAATTTGCTAGTATAAATCCATAATATATTAATTTACAATGACTAATATAATTTTTATAATTTCTTTTTGCTTAATTAAGTTCTATTACAAAAATTAAAAAATAGAGTTGGGACTATATCGTTTTTATTTAAAGCCAAAGAAAATGTCTTAAGTCGCCAATTTTTAGGATTAACAAAATTGATTAATAAATTTTTTTTATTTAGGTACCCTGATTCTCATTAAATTTCTCTAAATAATTGCCTTAATTCCCTAATACACAATTCAACTATTATCATATATACTTTGAAGCATAAAAAACTGCCTGTTTAAGGCTGATATACATTAATTACATCAATAACTGCACCTTGCTTTATTTTATAGCTGTTTAATAGACATTTGTCCTCTAAAACTCTTCCATCTAAAAACATATGGACATCATCTAGCCCTAGAGCTGCTTTAGCTTTTGTCCTTAAGGTACTGACTTTTTCTCCGGCTAGAATTTGAACTTCTTCCTTCCTACTATCGACTGTTTCAAAATACATGATCATCAGTTCATTTGGGCTAATTTCATTGATTTTATCATCATATTTACTGAAATAGCAAGAGGTATTGCCATCTTCATGCAAAATTTCTATGTTGCTTATATCAAGCTTTAGCATCTCTTCCATTGTCAATTTTTTGGGTTTGTCTGGTCTTGATGCAGGCTTTTCTGACTTTTTTGTTAGGACTTTTAGACAGTTCCCCATATTTATTTACTGATAACTATTGTTTCTCCTCTTTATGATGGGTTAGATGGACTATTCTAGAATAGGGATTTACTGTATTTTCAAAATTTAAATTGAGAGCAAGCATAGACAGTATAAATTATATAAGGTGGAAAATAAAATAAAAGTAAAATTTGCCTTATAGAAAAATAATCATCAATTTATGAGTAATTAATTTTAATTGAGTCTTAGAAATAAAAAAATTGAAATATTGCAAACTTGCAGGTGAATCTGATAAACTGTGCACTTGACATTTCAAATTCAAATAAAAACCATATACCGTGCTCATTGGGCACATTAGAGCTATTAATTTTTAAAAAAGCTTAAATACGACCTCTAAGACTAAATAAATTTAGTTACGTATACCTACTCTTACATAAGGATTTTTTCTCTCAAAATCTGCTTAGCCTTTGGGCAACTTGTCAGATTTTTGTTTAAATTTTCATTATTATATTGCCATTTTTGGTATAACCACTCAATTTGATCACTCATTGGTGATGGCAAAAATGAGAGTTTTTCACTTCTATTCTCTTTATCAGCAATATCATTGAAAAACTCATTGAAAATATTATGACTTTCAGTTTTACTAAAAATTTCTTTAGTGAAGTCTATGACTTGGACATTTTCAGTTTCTTCATCTAAAGATATGCAAGTGCTTGCCTTACAACTATCATGCTGACTATCATATAAATCAATTTTCTTTGTAAAGCTCGGTTGAATTATAGTTGCGGAACTTGTCCTTCTGTGGGCAAAATCCAGTTTATTTTTAATTGATACTGCTTTTTCGAGATTTGTTGGTGATAAAGTCCTTATTAACTGAAAGACACCAACATCTTTTGTTTTGTTTTTATCATTATTCAACTGCTTTTCTGATTTTACTTTTCTTCCTTTCGGGCAATTATTTTTTAAATTTTGGATTTTTCTATTGCATTTCTCAGTTTTCTTATTCTCCATTATGATATAATTATTTTAACTACATATCTAACGATTTTGCATTTCCATTTTATTTCCTTACTCCTTTATAAGAGTTAGGTAATTTTTATTATTAAAGTTTTTTTTCCCCAAAAATAATAAAATCCTATGTTTTATAGGCTTGGCGGTCAAAATTTATGAGTATTAACTAATTTTTAATTAAAATAATTAATAAAATACTATAAAAATCTCACCAAATTATTTAATTTTTCAATTTTTGATTGTATCTTGTTGGGAAGGAGTTAGAACAATGGAATTAATAAATGCTTAAAGTCATCACTCGAGCATTTTTCTTTTCAATGCCAAAAGTAGCCCCAGGTCCAGACTACCAAGCGAAGATGGACGAATTTTCACAAAAATACAACAAAATCTTTACAACTGAAGAACAAGAACGATTGAGGAAGCAGAAATCGACATTATCCCCAGAGCAGATTGAAAAGATTGATATAGTTCTTAACCAGATCTTGAATTTGTCTGTTTCCGAAATGAGGGTGTTAAGATACAACATTAGCTTAAACTTATTTCAGACTGGGCTACTTTGATATTATTAGCCCAGTCACAAGAATCCCATAGGGGATTCTACCTCTTTGCGAAGTTACCAGGGAGAGCTTGCTCGAGTGAGATGAGATTCATGGGTAGCCAAGTCTTGGACATCACCTTTTTTCTCTTTCAGCGCCTACTTCCACGGTCATCTGAAGTATAGTTCTATATCTCTATCTCCTCTTTCTTTTCAGCTCCAGTGTTGAGTGGGGAGGCTTGCTGCTTGGTTTGAAAGAAGTCTGTCTACAAAAAAATCCCAAAAAATATATAAATTCTGGTCGACTTTCATCAAATAGGAAAAAAATCATACCCTGAGGCGTAGCTCTCAGTTTCACACTAGGAAATTTGCAGATTGGTCTATTTATTGTCTTTCAATAATTTTGGGCTTTCCCTTTCCAACTCTGATTTCCTCTTCCCTCGAGGTAAAATGCGGACTAGGACTAGGCACTGTTCATTACCAGAATTGCTTACCTAGCATAACCCCATTTGTAGGTTAGCTGGATATATTTAAATATGTGCTCTGCAGGAGGCAATGCCCAGGCTGAGAGACACCATATTTATTTATGATACAACATCGCTAAATTCAAAGGATCTGAATACTCCTGGCCTATTTTTGAAAGAACTAATAAACCACAATTGGGATATACTTTTTTAAATAATGATATAAATTCTTATAAATTAACATAAATAAACATTTGTTTTAAAAATAATATATTAGTGTCAATATTAACTATTGGTTATATATTAAATCGTCATATAATTTAGCTCAAGGACCATTAGGGGAATTAGGCTTTGCAGAAAAGCCAGCCGAGTTTTTAGAGCAAATCGTATTTTCTGCACCTACAGAAAAGGTAGAAACAACCCAAAAAGTTGAAGAGAAAAAGGTAGAAAAAGATATTTTCAATTTGGTATTAAAAGGTTTTGACCCCGCCACCAAAGTGAAGCTTATTAAACAAGTTAAAGACATGCTTGGACTAGGCTTAAAAGAATCTAAAGAATTCGTAGAAAATGTCGCTAATGGCCCTGTGTTGCTTTTCAAGAATGTGTCTAAAGAATCTCATAAAGAAATCGCTGAAAAATTAGTAGCGAATGGAGGAATTATTGAGTTTCAGTAAATATAACTGATTATTAAGATTTTAGTTATTTAAATATCAATTATATATTTCAAAAACGACGAAAAATCATGTTTTAATTCTATACACGTCTCTGTTTAAAAATTTTCATTCTCAATCGATTTTCTATGGTGAATTGCTGATAACTCTGGTGATCCTATTTCGCTCCTTGAGTCATCTCGCTTTAAGCTCTTAAAACTATAAGACTTGTGTGGTATCAACATGTCAGAACTGTTCATATTATAAGCGTATTTTATACTAAATTTAATTCATTTTTACAGTCTTAAATAATTAAAATTATTTAAGAAAATAAGACACTGATTTTCCGGATTTTAATGGATTTAAATATATATTGAGATTATCCCTATATTGGCTAATATCAATAAATGCGCTTTTGCCAAGTCTTGATTTTTCTTGTTTGGCTAGCTTTGTTTGTATCATCCCAATAAGCTTTGTGTGGTTTTTAAGGTTCATGGTTCCCATTTTTGTGCGCTGCTTGTGGAATTTTTTAAGCCGCTCTTTTTCTTCTGATAAATCTATAGCGCTTCTGGCATTTGGATCTTTTGTGCAGTGGCGAGGAGTGTGGCCTGTACCTTTACAGCTGGAACATCGCTGGTGCTTGGATTTGTCTTCTTTGTCTTCTTCTTCATCTAATTCATCAAGTCTTGGATCATGCTTATGTTTAATACACCCTGGGGCATCTATTCTGGTTTTCCCACAACATCAATATATAGAACCGTTTCAGTCATTAGGGTGTATTGAGCAAGACCAATTAAAATTTTCTTTTTCATAATAAGATTTACCACAATTTTTGCACATTTTTTCTTCGTCGGCGTTATTAAGACGATTTCTGGGGCGAACTTCTCGGGCATATTGTCGTAATTTTTCGTATGTTTCGGAAAAATCTTTGCTTTCTTTTTCTAAGCTTTGGAATTTATGCTGTTGTTAGATAAATAGATGCTATTAATTAATACAACCTACATAAAAAATAAGGCAAATATAATATATATTGTTACTTCCTTACTCCCCATCCGTGAGCAAATAAAAATATTATGTTTGGGGGATAATTTTTTTTATAAATTTTATAGTAATTTTCGAAATATAAAAAACTTAATTAGCAAAAACTGAAAAGTGAAAATTAATTTAGTTTAAAATTCATATTTTTATGCAAGCTGTTTAAAATTCAACAGAATCAGCTAGAGAATTCATTATACTAATGATCACTAATATCGAAATAATTTTCATAAAAAAATTGTTTGTCTGTCTATAGAGGGTGGGTTTTTAGGCTAAAGAAAATATGAATTTTCCAATGACTTTATTCTCTAGCGGGGGGAGTTATAATAATCCAGTATATCTCTAAAAAAATCTCTTTCCACCACAGCTTTTTGTAAATCTTTTTGTTTTCTACTAATAATATCTTTCATTTGGTTCCTAATTTTCCTCATTTCCATTTGATTAGTTAATTTATTCTTCAAAATATTTTGATTTTGAAATTGAAAATCTGTCGCATCCTGCAGTGCTAAAAATGTTTTGGCTGCTGTTATTTCTTCAAAATCATTGATTTCCTGGGCAGAATTCATAATAAACTGTTTTTCTCAGTCTAATTTTTGGCTTGAACTGTTTTCTCCACAGAGGCTTACAACAGAATCAAAAATCCCTTTTAATCTTTCTCCCATTATATCATTTTGCATTTTAAGAAGCGCACTTCAATGGACAAGCTCCTTGGTTTTTATTTTTAATTGATCATTTTCTTCTCGTTCACGTGCACAAAGCCGTCTAAGTTTTGATTTTTCACTAGATGTCTCTTCACATAATTTAAATAAGCCTCTATTTTTTTGCTCAACAGAAAACGTATATTTATTTAATTTGAAATTTATAGAAAAAATAATTTATTTTTATTAGGGATAATTCATATAAATAAATCATAATTAAATCGTCGGTTTCTAATGAAAATCCTGAAAGTTTCAGCTGAAATTTAATATTTTCCAGAAAAGTTTTCGCATCTTCCATCTTAAGCCGTGTCTCAGTTATTTCATTTTTTATTTTTTCAATTTCATCAATAGTGTTCTCTCAATTTCCTTTTAGCTTGTCTAATTCACCAGTAGTCGTAGCTAATTTCTCTTTTATTTCGTCACTCAGCTTATATTTTTCTTGAAATTTTGCTCGATTTTGAATTCCTATAGACATGGATCTTTTTTTGTCATTTAACAATTTTGTATTTGTTTCAAACATAGGAATAAAATATTCTTTAACTACCCTTGCAGCTACATGAGGATTTATTTCGATTTTATTATGTGACTTACGCCGATATAATTTTTCAGAAAAAGAAGGCTCATAAGAGCAAATACTTGATTCAGATTTTTTGAGCTCTTTACTCCCCCTCCGTGAGGGAACAAAAAAAATTTTGTTTAGTGTACGGGAGAGGGTTAATTCGCAAAAATTGAGAAGTAAAAATTAATTTAATTTATAAAATTTATGTTTTAAAAATGCAATTTGTTCAAAATTAAATAGAGATTTCATTATACTAATATGAGTAATAATCACTTATATATCAAAATTTTTCATAAAAAAATTTTTTTGTTCACTCATGGAGGGTGGTTTTTGGGCAAAAAATAGGGATTATCCAATACTTTTGTTCTCACAGATGGGGTTAGGGATTTTTTTCCGTATTTTAAAGGAGGCTCCAGCTGTAGTAGATCTTGTAATATTCAATAAAGAAGGCTCGCTATATGTAAGATTTAGGAAAGAATTATTCATTTATATTGGAATAATATAAATTAAGAGATGCTACGATAATTATATTAATAAGAGCATAAAGAATTGAGCTAGTTTATGCTTTGTGAATATAAATTATTACAAAATAAAGCGCTAGCAACATGAATAATCCAAAGCTAAATTTAATTGAGATTAATGTGTTCTTTTAAGCAAAGAGTTTAAATTAATCTGAAATTGATATTTATATTATTAAAATCAGAGCCATTTCAAGAATTCAGTTTTAGAAAATGGTTCGAAGCCCAAGAACTCACGGATTCAGCTTACCGTTGCATCCCGCACAGATTTTTAGCTGATTGATTACTCTTTTCAACATTATTGTGGTTTCTTTGGTATATTTTCCGAGTATGAAAATATATTCTAAAGTAAAAAATATTTAGATAACCTTTGCAATATTATTTTACGTCTCAGAATTGTTTTGCATAGATTTCGCTTTCTGAGCGATGGTTTGTGACCCTACTGATCCTATGGTATATGAACATCGTGAAAAGCTTATGAATGGGATTAAAGATGAGCCGAAAGAAAACCACGCATTTTGCACAATCTGCTGCTGCACTGTAGATATGAAAAGTAAACATTGTGGCCAATGCAATCGATGTGTGGATAATTTTGATCATCATTGTATATGATTAAATAATTGTGTTGGCAAAAGAAATTATGTTTACTTTATTAAGCTTATATTAGCTTTTGAAATCAATATGATTGTGATTTTTAGCTATGGGTTTAGCATTATAGTGAAATATTATAGAAATTATGATGATTACAGACATGATATAGACTCTGTTTCATATGGCAGTGAAAGCAGTTTTATTATTTTGACTTATGTAGTAACTATAGAAGGAATTTTAATAGCTGCAATTGATAGCTGCCTTATTGGTCTCCATATTTGACTTAAATTCAACCATATGACAACCTTTGAATACATCCTTAAGAAAAGAAATGAGAAAAAAGAGCTTAAAATAGCCAAAAATATAGCCCGTTCCCGGTTATAGATCGGGCTTAGCCCGATCTTTGCAGGGAAACTCGGGGGGTTGTCTGCGTCACCTTGAGGTGACGAGTCAACTCCCCGAGTTGACAAATAGCCGCTATATGGTGATTTGCCAACTCGGGGAGTTGACTCTTCACCTCAAGGTGACGCAGACAACCCCCCGAGTTTCCCTGCAAAGATCGGGCTAAGCCCGATCTATAGCCGAGAACGGGCTATAAAGTTTCAGATTTCAAAGAAAATACCTCAGCTTTGTGGGATGATACCACCATTTCTTATATTGAAAGGAAAAAAGGAGATCCCAAGCTAACGCTTAAAGAAGAAGACGGAAAGAAATCTGACGAAATTCTTACAAATGACGCAATTCAATTAAATATAAATTCTGAAGGGGTTTTGACAGGGAGGAATACTGAAAGACTATTAAATATATCATAATTTTTCATAATTTGCTTTTTTATATTTCAGCTAAGTTTTCATAGGCGATAATAATTAGAAATCTATGAAAACTTTAAATAAAACTATGCGAATTTTATTATAGGGGTTATGGCTGTTAAATAATGATTAAAAATGATTGTTTAGTAATAGAAATGTGAATAAATTTCCTAAATAAATTAAAATTTCACAAGTTTTGTAGATATAAGTGCTGTGGAATTAATTATTAGTGAAATTCTTCTTCCATAGGCTAAAAAGCCCTCAAAATACAAAATTTAAAAGTGGAGAACAAAATAGCTATACAATCAACACTCTTTTTACTATAAGCAATTCAAAATATATTAAAAATTAGCTGATTTCTTCAGAGTTTTCTGCCAGTGAAGTTCTGGTTTTCTCGTTTCTCTCGATATTAGCCTTTGTTAAATCTTCGTCCGAGTTTTCGTCGATAATTATACTTACTCCCCTCCGTTAAATCGAAACAAAAAACCCTGCTCCATTTTAAAGCAGTTAATTTTTTTTTAAAAAAATTTTGTATTTTGTCTATTTAATTAAGTCAAAAACTAATTTTTAGAGTTTTCCTATTAAAAGCAATTTAAAGTAAAACAATTTTACCGATGTTTTATTCCAATTTAAAGGGGGATTTAGTCTATTTAGAGCTTACTGATTGTTAATTGATGTTTCTTCATAGTGAGCTAATTTGAGGCTTCCTTTAAAAGTTGATCTCAGCAATGACTCATCACAGACTAAATGGATTGAATGATCTTTTTCCATCGCTTGAGGCAAACTTTGGTTTTTTGAGCAACAATTTCCCATTTATGAAGTTGAATGGTAGCAGAAATGATGTCATTTAATGAATTTCTTAGAAAAATGCTAATATTTTAATTAAAGCTGGGGATAATAGTGAGTTCTTAGATCAGAAAATGGTTTATTCCTTTTATAAGTTTTTATTGCTAAATTTCCCTAATAAATTTCTTTCTACCTTAAAAATTCTATAATGCTTTGGCCTCAACACGTCTGGATATTTCCCACATGTGGAGCCACCCAAGTGTGAAAACTCCACATGTGGTATTTGGATTCCACATGTGGGAAATATCCCGACGTGTTGAGGCGCTCACAAAAATAATTCCAAAGCATTATATATATGAATGCTATTAGCAATAAATTTAATCTCCAAAATCCATTAAAACTAGCAATATTTAGGCTTATTTATTACCAAATCCTCTAGTGTTCTTTGTCGCTTATAAGCTGCAGCAGCTGAAACCTTACATTTCTTTTTTCACATGCAAGATTCTTTTCATTTTCTTGCTGAATGCTAATAATATTAGTCATGCTTTCTGCAAGAAGTTCTATTACTTTGTCTTTATCAGGCTCTTGCACTATAGATGAGTTTAAACTTTTTTGTTTCTTTAGGATTGTTCTAATCGTAAAAATTGTTTTTAAAAATTTTTTATCCAAAATTACAATAATATAAAAAAAAATATTTTTAGCCAGGTCTAATCGCATCAGTATCTGAGGCATCCCCAGAATCCTGAGAGTTGCTTTCACTTAGTTCTCCTAAAGGAGAAAGATCACCAGGTTTGCATACATATTTTGTTTCTTCTTCACTAGGACAGTCAAGTTCACTTACTATGATTTCAACACTTTCAGATACTGAACTAGAAATGTTTGTAGAGGAGGACAAATAAGGGTTAAATTTATTGGCTTGATGAAAAACAGAGCCTGGATTATATGCTGAGAATCGTAATTTTTTACTCAGATTTTTTAGAGATGATTTATTTTTATATAAATTAAGGCATTTTTATTGTAAGGGATGGGATTTTTTAATAGTAATTGGGATATTTTGATTGTTTTTTAGAAGCTGGCTCATGAGAAGATGGGGAGTTTTTTCGATTTTGATTAGGAAGCTGAGATGAATGAAAAGCATTTTTAGGCGAGGTTTCGTCAGGGAATTTGTAAGATAAAAGGTCTTTTGATAAGCGAGGACGGTCTGGTATTTTATTTTCATAATGATCTCTATTGGAGTTTTGTTTAGGGGCAGGCTTGTATAGATTAGATCTATTCATATTAGGAAACTTTACATTTTTGAAAATGGAAATTGAAATATTATCTTTTGCTAGCTTAGATTATAAGGAAATGACTTTTAATTTTGATTTTAAGAGTTTATTTTGCAACCTTAGAAATAATTAAAATGGTAAAAAAATATAACTCATAAAATCAACTTCAAAATTAATCAAAAAGGTAAATCAAATTTCTGTATCTAAGACTCTTTTGTAAACTCAGTTTAAATTGATATATAGTTTTTATATTTTATCTATTATTTATCTGCTAAATTTTCGTCAAGGTCGCCTATGTTTTATGAAGCCATGAAAAATAAAACAATTATCAATAATTGTATTTTTTATCAAAATATTCGTATGCTACTTAAACGAATTTCTGTTTCACAACTATTTGAAACTTACATATCATTAAAACCAACATATCACAAATATAACAAATATTTATTAAAACACTAAACTATTCCTAATCCCCTATCATTATCTTTTTATAGATAATATTTTGACTTTTTAATTTCTATGTTCCTTAATTTACTTTCTAAAATAAATGTTCAGCAAATTTGGCAAAATTTGTCAAGAAAGGTTCCAAATACTCAAGCACAGAGAAGAAATCCTTTCAGGCAGATCTCCACGAAAATCACCAAGACCTCAAGCGCCAAGATCTAAATCACAACAGCTGTCACCAGAAAAACTGCAAGAAATATTAAGGGATAGTATCGTTTCAGACTCTCCACAAAATAAGTCGCCTCCAAAGCAAAGCTATGCATTTATGTCTCAAACACGAGATGAGTTTTATAAAGCAAATGGCTTAAAAAGCCCAGCACCACCATGTAACCACTATGATGCTCGATATGAATTATGCTATTTTTCATTATTATAAGCTATTTTTTAATAAAAAAAATAATTTTGAAATTCAATATAAATCTATATAGTCGATAAACAGCCTAGAAAAACAGATTTCAGAGAAAGACCCAAAACGGCTTCAAGAGTAAGAAATCAGTCAAAAATAAGCGATTTAGAAAATATCCCAGAGCGGCCAAGGACAAAATTAAAAGGTGCAATTCCTTTAGATAAACAATTACCAAGACCAAGTATCGTTAAAATGACAAATGATGTAAACGAAAAAAGATTCGAACATTATGAAGACATGCCAGTTGTGCTAGGAAAATATAAAAGAGTTAGCACCCCTGATATAGCAAAATCAAAGCCAAGAGATGATAAATTTTTGCATGAAGATGTGTTCCCTACCTATGATACTTCATATAAACTTGTATCAGATGATTTAGGAAAAGTATAGTATTTTCTATTAAAATTGGAAAAAGTTTTATTAATAAAAATAATTAAGTTTTTTCAGTAAAAAAATATAGCGAATTTTGATAAATATTCGCCGAGAAAACCTATATTATTGAGCCATCTAACAAATATGCATGGATATAAAGTAAACTATGGAATGGTTGAAAGGAGAGTTAGCTCTCCTGACTTCAAAAAGGTGGGATCAAGACCTGAAAGTGCTAGTCCATTACCAATTTATATGCAGAAAATTAACTCAAGGGCGTCTCTTAACATTTTAAGCGAAAAAATGCTTGAAATGAACTCAGCTCTGGATATATCCAGAATCTCTTTGTCTGGGAGCCCAGTAAAATTAAGATCGCCAAATTTAAGCATGATTTATTAGTTTTAAGATTTTTTAATTATTTTAAATTAAAAATTTGGCAAAAATTAAGTAAAAATTTGAACAAATTATATCCATATTATGCTGGTGCTTAATAATATTGTAAATTAACTCCCCCCGTTTAAATTGTAACAGCACTCCTCTTAAAATTTAAAGGGGGTTAATTTTTTTTTAAAAAAATTATATTATAAAAAAAAATATAAATTAAAAACCAAATTTTTTTTCGAATTTTATTTATTTTATGAAGAATTAATTCAAATAATTAATAGATTTATTGTAAAAACTATATAAATAATATTCTATTTGCACTTTTTCCATTAAATTAGTTAAAAACTAATTTTATAAAAGTTAAAGGGGTTAAAGTTTCAAAAAAATTAAAATTTTACTTCAAGTAATAGGGGAGAGAGTAATTAAGGCAAAATTTAAAAACAATTAATCATTATTAATTGGTATAAATGTTAATAAACATATTCTGATGGGTTTCTACGACCAAATAGAGATCGAAGATATGGAATGGGATGCAGACACTGAAGTGTTTTTCTACCCATGCCCTTGTGGTGACAAATTTCAAATCTCTTTTGAAGAATTGTGCTATGGAGAAGAGGTTGCTCGATGCCCAAGCTGTTCTCTTTTATTGAGGGTAATCTATGACGAAGAAAACATTACATTAATTAGGTGTCTAATGCCACACTCCCACTAAAGGAACAGAGCCAAAATGGTGATGATGCGAGCATTTCCATCCAAAAGGTCGAACCATCCCAAATAAATCTTCTGCCACCCTGACTAGCACTTCTCACTCGATGCGTGTCGTCACCCTTCCCTGGCTCAGCTCCTAGGCGTGTTCCGCCTAAAGGTCACCCTCCTCAGATGTGCTGAGAGATAAAACTCTGAGCCTCTTGTCTGCACTGTGGTGCAGTTTCTCTGATTATCCCCAAAGCTAACCGCTATTGCTGTGGAGAAGTTCTCTAGAGAAATCCCAACCCCACAAATAAAATTCCATGAGAGAGAAAATTAGCAGAGCTAATTTCTCTCGAACCGAATGCCATTTTATTTATCCTAAGACGAAGAAACACTTTCTCAATTTGGAAATATTGAAATTTAAACACACAATAAGTTTTTTTTGAAAATTTTGCTTATCTTAACTATAAATTTAGCTATAAATTACAGCTTATCTTCTATAGCTTTATTCTAGAATTTATATTTCAGGAAATATAATCTATATATTTTTTAATAAATTTATTGCTAAAAATAAGCAATTCAATGCCAGTCTAAGTTTAATTATTGCATTTATCTCATAATGAATTTTTTGAAAATTATTGATCAAAATCCTCAATAATAATCAACTTTTCATTCAATATGATTCTCCCTTAAATTTATTCTCTTTCACTCTTAAACAAATGTGGATCCATTACAAATAATTTTCCCCAGCTTCTTCTAAAGCTATGATCTTTCAGTCCTTTAAAGCTATCTATGCTTAGTTCCGCAGCTTTATCTTTGGATTTTCGAAATGCTCTATCAGCACTTTTAATATTCCTTTCGCTTTGTCTGGATTTCATTCTGCTCATAACTTTTGCTCTCAAAAAATAATCTTTATCATGGAGGATCTTGCTCCCTTGAGCAAGCTAAAAATTTTTTGTTTGCTCAAAGAAGGTGGTTAATTCGAAAATATGAAGAAACGAAAAGGAAAGGGAACAAGAAGAGCCAGATATGTGAAGCAGCCAAAATAATAATGAGAAGTTAAAAATTAAAGCGCCTAGAGCGCGATAATTAATAATTGACTCTGATATATAAATTTTAAAATCTCAAAACTTTGGTAAAAAATATTTAATTTATAAAATATAAGTTTATAATGCATATATTTGAAATTCTTTTCACCTATATTTTGCAGGTCAACTTTTCTCTTCATGAGAAATTTCATTATAATGAGAAATTTCATTATAATAATTATTATTTTATTTTTATATTGGGAATTATTTTCGTTAAAGGAGGGGGAAGTTAGGCTTTTTTTTAATTTTTAGTTTTTTCTCCATATCTCTTTTGTGCGCATTTATTTCATATTGAGCTAAAGGATTACTTGCAAAAGGACTGTTATAAAACCTTCTGAATGATCTGTCTGCTAACTCATCTTTATATCTTTGCACTAAAAATGAGCTATGAGCTCTTTCTAATAGAAATTGGTGTTTATATTGAGCCCTTATAAAGTTTTTTTTTGATTCAAATGGCGATGGCTTGGCAAAGTATATGCTGTGTGGTGTACTTATACCATCTCGCGAACTTGTTCTCATTTTTATAGCAATTTTAATTTTATTATCAATTTTAAGCTAATTTAGCCAAAACCTGGTGACATTGAGGGCAGATATGGACTTTTTTTTGGTTTAACCACATTGGGCCTTCACAACACGCAAAGACGTTGGATGTTATTTTTAAAAAAAATATTTCAATTCGGCTTCCAGTAAAACTAATTTCTGTATGTATATCTTTGAAGCAATTTTTACAATACGCTGTACAAGGCATCAATCCGAATTTTGGAATTATTTTTCTTTCATATACAAAGTCACAGTGTTTATTTGAAACATCTTCGATTTCGTGATCCAATAGTAAAAAACTATTGCAATCAGTTGTAAGTATTTTATCTGAGCTGTAATATGAGCAATTTTCTTTTAATGGAGTCTTCATAAAGCTTTTCACTCTATTAGATTGCAGCGAAATTTCTGAAAAATCAGAATTATTTATAATAATTCCATTAAAATAATTTTATTATTTTTTATTTATAAATATAATAAATAATCATGTTAAATATCATAAAATTTGATCTATGTCTTCGTCTTCTTGTAAAGTCTCACTTTTCTTATCATCAAAAGCTGGTGATCTCGAGCTGAGAGGTGAATGGTTATAAGAAATAATCCCACTGTCCACTTCTGAATAAAATGACACTGCATTGCTATTTCTGTTAGAAAAATCATGATGATCGCTATTTTTCGGTGAATTTTTATTTGAATTTCCTAAACGAGGCAAATCAAGCATATATGACGAATTTTCTTTGTTTTGGTTTGAATTGTGTGGGAGTGTTTGGCTCAGTTTTTCTAACTGATTAGGAGGCTCGCCAGAAATATGAATATTGCAAGTGGTTTCAAATATGAGTTTTGAGGTAAATTCTGATGAGTAATTTTTGTCCGATGCTTGTGTTGAGGACATAAAACTATCCGCGGGCTTTTTTAGATGAAGATTTAATCTCATTGATTTGGATTGTTAAATGTAATTTACTGTATAAAATAGCTTTATATGAAATTCTTATAATTAATGATGACCCCCCCTCAATCTTCATGTCTATTGCAACAAAAATGCAATTTTTTAATATAAAATTTTATATAAAAAAATAATAATTTTCATGTCTCTTGCAACAAATTATATACATTAAAATGGCGACACGTGTCAGCCTGCCCTCTTGGCGCAGCAGTCCAGACCTTATGGCTATAGCGAACTGGGACGGACTCCGAGCCGAGAATCAGACGCAGGCTCAAGAAGTGTGTATCCGGGTAGGTTTTGGCTGCTTTCCTGTGGCTGGAAATGGAGGTGCTCAACAACGTCCTTGGATCCGAGGGACCATGGGTATTACTCTAACGAGAAACTGGGGGTTTCAGCCCAGGCCACAGGGGAACAGTCTTTTTCCTGTAGCTGTCGAAGAAAGGCACTTTAACACACCCAATAGACCCCAAGAGCTGATCCTTGGAATCAAGCTACTCCAATCGCCTGTTGCAGAGCCGCAGAAATCCATAAGCCGCCCACTCAAGACTGAACTCCCAAGGCAAGGAGGAGACAGAAGGCACCGGAAGGGCACTCGTAAGAGGATAGATCCTCTGTGCTGGAGTCGAAAAGTAGTAGAACCTTCCGTACGGAAGGACTTCAATGACTGCGTCACCAATTTGGCTAGCGCCTGTCTGTAATAATCTTAATCCTAATCCTCTTGCAAAAAATTTTCGATGCATCTTAAATTTTTTCCGTACTTTTTAGCTAGATAAATTTAATAAAATGGCGAGCGATGGCATAGCCGTCCAAATCTCGATGAGAAGGTCATTGACACACCTACAGTAGTGCTGTTTTATGGTTTTTTTGAGAAACTCACCTAGAGAAAAATTCATTAATTTTTTTTATAAAAATGTCGTGTTGCAAGTAGGCATGAAGATTATTTCGAAAAATTTTTGTTGCAGTAGACATGAAGATTGAGGGGGGGGGATCATCGTTACTTTTATAGTAATTTTTAAAAATTTTATTAAAAAAGCTGTAGCCGTTAAATTTATTTAAACCATTTTAAGACTGTTAATAAAAATAATTGGATTTTTTTCATATTTATTGAAATAGCGAGATAATTAGGAAATGCTAATGATAAAAGCAAATATAGAGTCAAGTTCACTATCAGATAACTCTCGCTGGCAGCTTGGACACCTGGAATAGCTTGCGCCACATCTCAAACAACTAATGCAAAGTTCGCAGTTGCAAACCAATGATATAGCATTAAGGGCAGACTCAACTTGACAAAATGAGCATATTGCACTTTTTCGAGCTACTTGCTGGTTTATTGCAGGCTCTGCAAGCTGTACAAAATTTTTGTATTCATAATTAGGTTTTTCATTTCTGATTGGCTCAACAAATTCACGATTTCTTATTTCTGTGTTTTCTGGCTTTCTTTCGACATCTTTTTTCTTTGGGATTTCTGGGACTTTTTCTACTTCAGGCTTATTAATATTGCTTTTTGGAATCTCTTTTTTGGCTGGCTCAACAAATTCCTTATTTTTCACTCCTGTTCTATTTTTATTTCTTTCTGGCTCTATTTCAATATCTTTTTTGGGGACTTTTTCTACTGAATCGATAAAATCAGCTTTTGGAAGTTCATTTAATGCTTTTTCTGGCTCATTTTGAATTATTTTCTGAGATATTTCGGGGTTTTTTATTGATTTTTCAATCAGCTTTTTTAAATCATCCTCAAATTCCCATTTTCACTTCTTACAAGTTTTTAGCATTTGAAGCTCTCTATTAATCCTTTCACAAGACTCTTCACTGATCATAGCATTATCCTGCATATAGGAAATAATTTTTTTGATAAAGCTTTTAAGCACTTGTGAGTTGCCATTATTGTCAATTAAATTGGATTGGTCTCCTTTTCCATCTTCTATAGGCATAGCATAAGGCAGCTCAATTGTTTGAGGGCTAGTATCAAGGCCTTGACTTTCATGGTACAAAATTGACACTTCTAAGCCGTCTGGTTTTTCTATTTGCATAAGAGTTAGTAAAATTGGATTATTGAAGGGATTGTTTTTTATTTCAAAATGAGATTTTACATCATAAACCCATATAGTAATATTCAGTTCTTTAGATAAGTATAAAAAATCAATATTGTTTTCTTTTATTGTTTGGGTGGCTTCAAGCCCAAAATTTGTACATAAGTCATTTATTTCGGTAAGAAATTCAGTGCTTACAATTGTTCCTTGGAATTCTTCTAGACTAGCATTTTTTAATCCTATTTTCTTTATTCAATCTGAAATTATAGGGAAGCTTTGGCTTGTAGTTTGCTTTATTTTCTGGATGCTGCATAATTATTCTATATAATATTATTTTATTATAATTCGTCATGGTAGTGTCTCTATTTTCTTTAAATTCACCGATTACCATATCATTTCCTTAATCATTTAATACTAAATCAGTATATTACAATGACTCCAAAAAAATCAGCCCATGGCAATTAAGCTTTTGCAGCCAAATTAACTTTTCCATCAAGCTTACAATAGTAATGCCAGTCAATGACAATCCTGCACAAGGCCGAATAGCCACATATCGACTCTCTAGCACATGAAAAAATCCCTCAATCTCTGGAATAGCAAAAAGATCCATTTTAACTTTTATAGAATCCTATATAAAACTTTCACTATAGCTAATTTTAGGTTATTAGACATAAATATCATAGGGCACTTCAGTCTCAATATAAGCCATTTGTACCTGCTCATCTACATAGTAAGTCGTGAAATCTGGATACCATTCGTTGTCTCGAGGAGTCTGGAAAAGTCTGTAAAAAAGCTTTAAGGACTGCTGGTCAAAGTGGTTACCATAGAGTTTGAAAGATAATAGTTTTTGATTGTGGAATAAGGCTTCAGCCAACCTTGAAAGTCCTTCGTCTCCAATGCTATTTCGAGTTAAATCAATGTGAATTAAGCTTTGATTAACTGCTAAGGCATATAAATTAAAATGGCGTGGCTAATCAGCCCACCATCTTAACAACTATAGCTGAGGAACCAAGGGATCTTGTGGAAGGGAGGATGCCATTCGGTAATGAGTATCCGACCAGGTTTAGTGGAGCAATATATTGGATTAAACAGATCGCAGCTCACATCCATGTCAAGGTTTCGCCTAGGAGAAGATGAGGCTCAGAGTTGGAATGGGATCTCCCTGCAGCAGCACCAGTAGCGTTCCTCCTGATCAATCGGGAAAGCTTCCCAGCCGATACAAGGCGTTATGTTCTGAGCTACGGGTTTCGATCTGGCCGAGAGGCGATAAGAAAAATCGTTGTCGAATTATCCGGAAGCCAAACCGATGTACTGCATGGTAACCCAGAGCCTCTGACTCACGAGTCAAGAGTGCAAAGCTTCGTTTGTAAGGGGCAGCACAGTAAGAGGCTGTGCTCGAGCTTGCAAGCAAGCAAGCGGTGGAGTGATACGAGGTGAATACGTCCTACCCAGATATGCTTACAAGGAGCTTCTCTTATAGTCTTATGAATTTAAGTTAATGTTGACAGCTAAGGCTTGCGCGATGGATTTTGCACCTAAATCTATATGTTTTAGACTAATTTTAGCTTATATTATATTTCTATAAAAAAATATTACCATTTAGCCAAAAATATATACGATTTTATTGACACCTAAAATCAAGCTTTCTAACCCACAATACTGTGCCTTCAAATACCTTGATAAATATTCTGCCCCGTCTGATGAAATTTCGTTGCATGACAAATCAAGTACTTTTAATGTTGAGTTCTCCATCAAATGGTTAGAAATCGTATAAATTCCATCACATCTCAATTTAAATTTTTTTAAAGACAGTTTTTGCAAGGTCTGATTGATACTTAACATTTGGCCGAAATGTACCGCAGTTTCTTGCATTATAGAATTTAGTCTTGGATTTTCTAAATTTATGACTATTTATAATGATTAAACAACTATCAATTTAATGCTCTATTATAAAAAAAATAACTAATATCATTCAGTATAAGACTTCTAAAGCTAATCTTGCTCTGTTAAGGGCAGTTGTAATAGCAATTATTCCATAATGGTCTATATAATTGTTTCCTATATCAAGCTCAACGATAGCAGGACATGTGAATAAAAGCTGAACTAAAGCGTTTGCACCTGGAGTGCCTATTTGGTTTCCATTAAGATTGAGATAAAGTAGCCTTTCATGATTTTCTAAGCATTCTCCAAGCTTTCTTGCCCCTTCTTCGCCAATGTTATTGCTTTGTAAATATAAAGTTTGCAGATTTATTGCAGGCTTCAATAAATTACCTAAAATAATGGCTCCAGCATCTGATATTATTCTAAAATATTTAATTAACCTTATTAATTTTCTACAAAAAATCCTTATTTTTATCAAAATAAGCTCAAATTTAATTTTTAATTTTTTTCCTATAAAATTATAAAAAATATAAATTAAATCTCAAATCAATGTGCTGTATTAAGATTGCATGGTCCACTAAAGCTCCCACAAGCGGATAAAGATTTGAATCAGTGATTCTGCTTGAAAAATTCAGTTTATCATTGCCTCTGAACATTAAATCAAAATGGTTTCCTTCTTCAATCGTGTAGTCTTCTTGCTCTGCTCTTTCTCGCTCTGCTTCTTGCTGGATTGCTTGCTCTTCAAGGTATTTGTAAAGAGAAAGATTTCGCGGCTCATTTGATTCTTCACATTTCTGAACGTAAAGGTTGAGAAGCTCTGATTTAGAGACCATAACTGCCATCTTAATATTCAAGTCTGCCATAAAGAATTTTTATTTGTTATAATTTAAGCTAGGGTAAACTGCATTGTGGGTTTATTATGATAAAGATATAAAAATTATATTAAATTAATAAATTTTAAAATAATATAAAGCACAGATATAATTAGATAAGAAAAACAGGTCTACTGCTAGATTAAAATAAGCTAATTATAATGCTAAATGAGTTTTTAATTAAATATAAAATGAAGGAATAAATTTCTGCTAGTAGTCTAACTAATAAAACTACTCCTTGTAATTTTTTAGATAATATCTAATGTTTTTTTGGTAGGAATTTGTCTCTCGAATGACATTTCTAAATCATGATATAATTTTTTAACGGAAAATGAACTTCATAACACCACCCAAAAATCAAACTGAATTATCAAGACGATATTCAAATGCGTCTACTAACTCCCAAAGGTCAAACCAAAGCAATATTTTCCCAGATGCACGCTGTGGAACCCATACATCAAAAATTTCAGAGACTCGATACCAGCATACTCCATCAATTGCAGATATGCAGATAAGTGAAAATAATAGCTTTGACAGCCATCACAGTTTATCCCTTTTATACTAATTATCTATTTTTTATTAATTTTTTTAATAAAAATCATATTATATGTATCCTTTTTAATAATATTTGCCTATTCGCTGTTTTTAAAAAATCATCTAAATCTATTCTTTCTCAATAGAAATAAATACTATAGGCTTTTCACTCAAAAGTATTTTCCCAGACTCGGTAAATTATGACATTAGAAGCTCAAAAAAGCATCAAAGAGGCCTTTCCCAGCCTCCAACTGTATTGAACCCGGCTTTACTTTTGCTTGATAAATACAGCAAAAATGGTCTTGGACTCAATAAGAGTTTTTCAAGTATCCACAAAATGTTTTATGGGAAAGAAAACTACAAAAAACAAAAACAAGTCTCTGTGCTAACAAATGAAGCCTCCTTTAAGGAGATTAAAAACACATCCCATTGTAGACATGCAAGTGACGCTGATTCAGTTCTATATATGGAGCCAGACTCTAAAGAAATTGAGACGGAAAATCTTCCAATTACAGTGTCTACATATAATCCATTTACTACAGAAGAAAATAAAGAAAAAACAATGAGGATTTTATGCTTTGCTAGATAAATAAGAAAAATATGGAAATTTTAAATGGAAAAGATAGGAAAATGGAAAAAAGGATAGGAACAAAGCCTTGCACTGCTTATTGTGAGAACTGCCAAATGGATGTACATACAAATATTGAGTTTGATAGCAAAAAAGATATCCCAAGGCCATTTTTAACATTTTTTAGCAGTATTTTTGCATGCTGTGCTACAGAACCATCATGACTTGGGAAAAGAGTGCATAGATGTTATAAATGCAGTGAAGTGGTAGGGTTTTGCAATTAATTAATATATATTTCATTTATATCTTTTTAATAGTGTTTAGATTTCAAATAAAATTAAATTAAGGAAGTTTGTTGATATAAAAGAAGACCAAAATGAATTTGAGGCTAAAATACTGAAGAAATTTTGGTCACTTAATTTCGTGCTTTTATAATGTTGCAATTTTCATTTTAGAAATGGATATGGCAAAAGGTAAAGGTTTATCATAGAAAGTATTTAATGATATAAAAAAGCATGGCTTCACCTTTTAAAGGGTCTTTTCTTTTAAATTGGAGATTTGAAATTATAATATGTAATCAATAGTGAACAAACCAATAAAGAACATATTTTGGTTAACCTAATTCATATATAACTTTCCAAGAAAATGGTAAGCCAGCTGAGGCCGATTAGCAAAAATATTTTTAGTAATTTATAGCTTAAAGCCAATCAAAAATTTTTGGCTATTTGGTGGCGATGAATTTTATTGCACTTATTAAATAGTAGTGTATATATGCAGGATAGCCTATTGAAATCAGAAAAATTAACTGTTAAAAATTGATATTGAAGCAATTTTATATAAAATCTTTTTAAAATAGAAAAAAAGCTACTTTTTATTTTTCCATGCTCCTTTCTATAAAAATTTTTTTTGCGATATTTCTTGTACTCGTAAACCTTTTTATATAGAGGTTTTCTCTCATATGAATTCAGATGAGCTTTCAGTTAAAATTCAGATAAATCTCTTTCCTTAAAATTAAGCTTTTTACCAGAAGGAATTCGAAAGTTTCAAATTATTTCCCTCAAATATCTAAACTTACTTATACTCCAATTAAATTATTTTTATAAATCGTCATGCACTCATGAAGTTTAAGTCTCAGATACTTATAGCAATCTATCACTAGCTAGCATAATAATGAATATACACAATTAATAGAATTATGCTTATAATTAAACTTTATTTTTTTCTTCTGATTTCTTAGTCTTTTTACTATCCTTAATATATTTCAATAACTCAGCTCTCTCGGATGAATCCAACTTAGGCAGAAGCATCATATATTTTAAAAGAAATCAGAAATATAAGAAATCCAATCCAATTATGATGCATTCTATAATTACAAAAGCTGTGTTATCCTTTATAATAACTACCAAAACAGCTCTCAGAATTATAGTTCCCAAAACATAAAATTGCTGTAAAAAAGGTAAAATTCAATAAAATCTGCGATAGAAGCAGCATCAAATGATTGGCAAAACTATCAATAGGTAAAGTATAAATAAACCGCCTACACCATACATGAACACGAATATCCCATCAGTGATATTAAATCTGAAATTTCAGTCTCCAAACGTTTTAATTTTAAGAAGTTCTTCATCAATTTCAGCAGGAGCTGGAACTTCATTATTTGCCTGAGCAGGTTCAGATTTATCGTTGTTTTCATTAATTTCTAGAGGCATTGGCTGTTTTATCTCTTCATTTACTTTTTGATCATGATTCCAATAATTAGCTAACTCTATATCCTGAAGTCTTTTAGCAAAGCTTTCATCACCTGACATTTAATTATAGAAGAATCATAAATGATAAAAATGTACTTATTTATGAATTTTATTTAATATAACACATAGATAAACTTTTCTTTTGTTATCTGACAACTAAAAGCTGATTTTTATTGGAAATCTGCTAATTATAAAGTTTTATAAATTATTATATTATAATTTTGGAAGCTCAGGGACTTCATTCATCAATTGGTATTATATTAAAGCTTGATAATCGCTCTGCCTATAAATTGCATTGAAATTCTCTAAAATGCTTCTTAATCGCTATTTGTCCTGTTTTTTCTTCATTTTGGCAAAACATCCTGTGGTGAAATAATCCTTAATTGTATAAATCATCATACACTCACAAGATTTGGGTCTCATAAACTTATAGCAATCTATCACTGGCTAGCATAATATTGAATATATACAATTAATTGATTATGCTTATAATTAAACTTTATTTTTTTCTTCTGATTTCTTAGTCTTTTTACTATCCTTAATATATTTCAATAACTCAGCTCGCCCGGATGAATCCAAAGTCGCTATAAGCTTGATATATTTTAAAAGAAATCATAAATATAAGAGATCCAATCCAATTATGACGCATATTATAACTGTAAAACCTGTATTATCTTTTATAATAATTGCCAAAATAATTCTCAGAATTAGAGTTCCCGAAACATAAAATAGCTGCAAAAGAACTAAAATTCAATAAAACTTGCGATAGACGAGCACGGCAGCTAGCGAAAAAGATTGGCAAAACTGCCAATGAGAAAAGTATAAATAAACCGCCTACGCCATAAAAGAGCACTAATATGCCATCAACGATAGAAAATCTGAAATTTCAATCTCCAAACTTTTTAATTGTAAGGAGATCTTCGCTAATTTCAGCAGGAGCTGTAGCATGATTATTTGTCTGAGCAGGTTCAGGCTTATCGTTCTTTTCATTAATTTCTAGAGGTGCTGGCTGCTTTATCTCTTCATTTCCTTTTTGAGGAAGATCAACAATATGACCTCACTCTATATCCTGAAGTCTTTTAGCAAAGCTTTCATCACCTGACATTTAATTATAGAAGAATCATAAATGATAAAATTTACTTATATATGCATTTTATTTAATCTAAAGCCTAGACTAGACTTTTCTTTTGTTATCTGACAACTAAAAGCTGATTTTTATTGATAATCTGTTAATTATAAAGTTATAAAATTAGTATATTATAACTTTGGAAGCTCAGGGACTTCATTCATCAATTGATATTAAATTAGAGATTGATAATTGCTTTGCCTAAAATTGTATTGAAATTCTCTAAAATACTTCTTAATCGCTATTTGTCCTATTTTTTCTTCATTTTTGCAATACATCCTGTGGTGAAATAATCCTTAATCGTATAAATCTCTTAACATACCATTTATAAAGGCACCATAAGGCTTTTCTCTTGCATGGATACTAAGATGTGTTTAAAATAAAAATTAAAAGAAAGTATTTTATCATAAATTTTGCAATGTGATTGTTAGTAATTAGCGATATTAGAATTTATTAACGAAAAATCAATTAAAGGAAAAAGAATTCTTAAAGAAGCAAATTGATCCCATAAAGAGATTAATTTCTTTGTTCATGCTCAAAATCGTCTACCCTTGTTATACTATTTCTTTTTAAACTTTAGCTATGCAATTTAAAATAGCCAATCGAAAGCTTAATCTTATATCTTTAAATTATGAACATTTTCTATCCTAATAAAACAATTTCTGCATATTTAAAATTTTTTAAATAAAATTTCCTTGTGATTATCATATCAGAACGAATCTTTTTAGAAATTGACTGTTTTTATTGAAAAAATATCTACAAAAAAATCAATGAAATAATTATACAATTAATAGAAATATGCTTATAATTAAACTCTATTTTTTCCTTCTGATTTCTTAGTTTTTACTATCCTCAATATATTTCAATAATTTAGCTCGCTCGGATGAATTCAAAGTTGACAGAAGCATGGCATATTTTCAAAGAAATATTCAATATAAGAGCTCCAATCCAATAATGATGCATGCTGCAATTGCAAAAGCTATATTATATCTAAGAACAGCTGCAAAAGTAGTTCAACAAATCATAGCTACCAAAACATAAATCAGCTGAAAAGTAAGGAAAAGTAAAGAATATCTGCGAATGACGAAGCAAAAAAAGATTGGCATAGCTAACAATGAGAACATTATAAGTAAGCCACCTATCCCATAAAAGAACACTAATAAACCATCAACGATATTAAATCTAAAATTTCAATCTCCAAACTTTTTAATTGTAAGGAGCTCTTTGCTAATTGCAGCAGGAGCTGGAACCTGATTATTAGCCTGAGCAGGTTTATGTTTATCGTTCTTTTTATATATTTTTGGAGGTATTGGCTGCTTTATTTTTTCATTTCCTTTTTGATCGTGATTCCAATAATTAGCTAACTCTATTTCCTGAAGTTTTTTAGCAAAGCTTTCATCACCTGACATTTAATTATAGAAGAATCATAAATGCTAAAATTTTACTATATGCATTTTATTTAATCTAAAACCTAGACTATACTTTTCTTTTGTTATCTGTAAACTAAAAGCTGGTTTCTATTGGAAATCTGCTAATTATAAAGTTTTATATTAATTATAATTTTGGAAGCTCAAGGGCTTCATTCATCAATTAATATCAAATTAAAGCTTGATAATGGCTCTTCCTAAAAATTGTATTGAAATTCTCTAAAATACTTCTTAATCGCTATTTGTTCTGTTTTTTCTTCATTTTCTTTTCAAATTTGGCAATTCATTTGTGATGAAATAATACTTGATTGTATAAATCTTTTAGCATAGCCTTTAGAAATGCACCATAAGGCTTTTCTCTTGCAGAGATCATAAGATGTTTTTAAGTAAAATCGAAAGAAAACATTTTGTCATGAAATTTGCAATGTGATTGTTAGCGATTATTGAGAGATATCAGAATTTATAAACGAAAAATCATTCAAAAGTAAAAGAATTCTTGAAAATGCATTTTGATCACCTAAAGAGATTAATTTCTTTGTTCATGCTCAAATCTTATGATATTGCAACCTGAAAAAAGGTCACCTAAATGAGGACAGTTCTAATCAAGCATTGATGCATGGACTCAGAGAAACAAACTTTATACTTCAGTAATATGGCAGGCAAAACCTGTCTAGCCCATCTGGCAGGGCAGGAAACCTTCTGGGAAAAAAAAAAGCTTCCCTCTTTTGCTGGCATCCCCAAACCTGAAGGCCTACTTCGAAAAGAGCAGGGACTGTTTCAGCTAGATCAGGATGGTTCCTACCTGCTCCAAAAGGGGTGCTCCTTGAAGTCTAATTCCGTCAACGCCACACTTTTATTTCTGTTCCCCGCTAGGAATGCGCTAAAGGAATAACGAGGACAAATTCACTCACCTCTCTATTGTATTCATCTTTTATTCATATCAAAATTGTCTACCTTGTTATAATAAATTTTTTTCAAACTTTAGCTATGCAATTTAAAACAGCCAATCAAAAAGTTTAATCCCATGTCTTTAAATTATGAACTTTTCTACTATTTTCACTGACATTAAAACAAAAACACTATTTATTAAGGACAACTTAGCTTAATTTACAATAACCACTCTATTAAAGCTCTCCTTACCAGTGCTGCTTAATACAGCACTGTCTGATAAAAATTAATTGGCAAGCCTTCTGATCAGGCTAATGCTGAGTTTCTATTTTGACACACTCCACTTCAACATTGGTTATTCTAATAATAAAATTCTGATTATATAAAATTTTTCAAATAAAATTTCCTTGTGATTAACTATATCGAAACGAACATTTTTAGAAATTGAATGTTTTCATTGTAATATAGCTGTTTATGATTTTCAATATTTATGAGATAAAAATATTATGAAACTATTTTTTAACAACTTTCTAAGCTTATATATAATCTTAAAGCACGCAAATTTATTCGAAAGAACTTATAATTACAAATTAGTAGAAATTAAATTAAAAAATTTGCACAAAGCTAAATAGAATCAATATATTAGATTTATAGGAATAATTATGAATTTTATAAGTTGAAATAATTTTCAAAAATACATGAAATTCTCTTTAAAGTGCCTATCACATTTCAATTTCTGACAAAATTCTGTTCATACTTCTTTAAAGATGTTTAAATATGGACTGCATTGATTTTTAACTAAAAAAGTGGATATCACATGCCAATTCTTTAACAAATGAGAATAAAAAAGCTCTCGATTCGTCGGCAACTATTTTTAGCTACATTAGCAGTGAAAGCTGCTGGTTTCATGAGCATTCTTATTTAGAGCAGCAACAGCCAAATATTAATGAATATTTATTTATCAACATAGTTATTGCTTATAATCAATATTTTATTTTGCATCATCAATTATTTTCTATTTAAATTTTATTAACGAATAGCTAAATTCTGGCTCATGAAGAGTTTATTACAGTAATAATAACTCTCATTTTCTATCAGTAATTTATAATTTCTATCGAAATAAGAGTAAATATACTAATAAAAACCCTTTAGCAATCAGATCCTTAGAGTTTTAAAATATTTACGAATTAGATATTCCCTTAAAAAAATTAGAAATTAAAAAACTTAATCTATTTAGAAATATAGAGCTCAATTTCATAAATTACTCATAAATACCTTATTTATCACAGAAAAGACTTAAGTAAGCATATTACAGCTTTTATGTAAATTTTAAATGGTAAATGCAAATGCATGTATGATTAAATTTCCAATATTAATACCAGAATTTAGAATAGCTGTCGAAATTTGTAGTTCATCACAACTGTGGGCCAGTAAATAGGTATTAATCCTAAATAATTTATAGGCTGAAGATAATTAAATTAAGAAAGTAGGCTTTTGTAAATTTTATAACAATTAACTTTGAATTTTCCAAATAATTATGCATAGTATGCTAAAATTAAAAGTCAAAATCTTTAAAAAAAAAAATTGGAAATTAATAATTTTTATTTAGAAATTACTAGAGGATTTTAGTTGAATCATCATCGATATTTTTTAGTCTTTTTTAAGAAAATTTTAGTTACAATCTGATAATTTTAATATATGAGAATTTAATTTCTAAGATAATACAAAATTGTAAATTAGAAAATAATGTCAGTATTTGATGATTCTGAAGCCCTAATTCAAAATAGATTTTGGAAACTTGATATGAGGAAGAACTTTCCGGAAACCTTTAGAACGGCAGTTTTTCGGAAGAAAAAATCTGGAGATTTCATAGAAGTCACCCTTTTCCTCAGCCAAAATTGGCTAGTTAAGATTAGTCCGAATTCATCCATGAAATTCTCTCTTCTTGATTGAAAAATGTTTGAGCCTTTTGAAGAAGATAACGGCCAGTTGAGAAGATTCGGCTTTTCGGTCAGCAGCACTCAAAACTGTAAGAAAGATTTTTATGTGGAAAACGAGGAAACTCTGGATGCCTGAATTATGCATCTATCCTCAGTTTGCATTATGACAGACTTCGAAAATGATTTTTCACTAGTAAAACGACTTGGCAGTGGATCATTTGGAACCGTTTATTTGGCAACAAATAATGACACTTGTGATATGTTTGCAGTAAAGTCTATTGACAAACATATTATAATTGGCAATCAAGGAAACCTCTCAAATCTCATGAACGAAATAAAATTCATGAGGAAGCTGAATCACCCAAATATAGTTAAACTTCATTATGTTTATGAGAGTACAACTCATATTTATTTAGTTATTGACTATTTAGAGGGAGGTGATTTGTATGGTAGGATCATGAAAAGAAAAATTTTAAATGAAGAAATAGCTGCAAAATTTACAGAAAAACTATTAAATGTTATAAGCTACTTGAACTCATTTAACATTGTACATAGAGATCTGAAGCTTGAAAATATTTTAATGGTCTCTGAAGATGATGACTGCAATTTCAAGCTTGCTGACTTTGGCTTGGCTACTGAAGTAACTGGTGCACTTCAGCTTAGATGTGGTTCCCCTGGATACACAGCTCCTGAAATTCTTAGAAAATGCTCATATGGGTTAAAAGTAGATATTTTTAGCGCAGGAGTTATTTTATATATACTTCTTTGCGGTAGAATGCCATTTTGGGGCAGGACTAATCAAGAAATCCTTCAAAAAAATAGAGATTGCAAAATCTCATTTATGGATGAACCTAAGCAAAATATTTCTAAATTTGGGTGTGCTTTCATTTTAAGATTGACTGAACCATTGCCAAAGCTCAGGCCTTCTGCAATAGATGCTCTAAATGATCCTTGGTTCAAGTCTCTATCAAGCCCAAGCCTTTCTCAGCATTGTTTTGATCAGCGGAGCTAGAAATTTTTAAGTCAGAGATTATTAATTAGAATTATTAATACTATTCCTAAACTTGTATTGATATTCTCAGAAATATTTCTTTTTTCGACATTAATTTTTTTTCGTTTACTTCTCTTTCTTCTCAAACTTGTTAATACATACCGTGAGAAGTGATACTAGATTATGTAAATCTTTTCATACACCTTAATAAAGGCACATATAGAATACATCATTTTTCAATTTAAATTAAAAGAAGCCCTATTCCTATAAAATTTGGTATAATACTTATTTCAAACTAGCATGCAAAATATAGACATCAAGAAATCAGCTTTTATATGTTTCTACTTTAAAACAAAGTTGCTTATCCGATAAATTTTTTTTAAACCTTTAAGCTTGCTAATATTGGATAAGATTTATTTTCTCAAGGCTTTATTTAATTTGATTTTTCTTATAAGAGCTAAAGAAATAATGAGGATAAATTTGCTCTCCACTCTATTGTATTTATCTTTTTTCAATACCAAAATTGTCAACCTTTGTTATAATTCTAAAGCTTTAGCTATGAGCAATATCGAAAAGTTTAATCTTATAGCTTTAAATTATGAGCTTTTCTTCTATTTTTCACTGACATTAAACAAAAGCACTATTTATTAAGGACAACTAAGCTCAGCTTGCAATGACCGCTCTATTAGAGCTAACCTTAAAAGTGCTACTTAATACAACACTGTCTATTAAAAGTTAATGGGAAAGCCTTCTGATCAGGCTATTACTGAGTTTTTATTTGATATACCCAATTTCAGCATTGGCTATCATAGTAATAAATTCTGACTAACTATAGTAGAACGAATATTTTTAGAAACTGAATTCTTCCTTTGCAATATTAGCTGCTTTATAATTTTTAGAAATTTATCAGATAAAAACAATTATGAATTTATTTTAGCAGCTTTCTGAAGATACGCTTTAAATTATGGGCTTTTCTTCTATTTTTTGCTGACATTAAAACAAAAACACTATTTATTAAGACAACTAAGCTCAGTTTACAATGGCCACTCTATTAGAGCTCACCTTTCCAGTGCTGCTTAATACAGTACTCTCTATTAAAAACTAATTGGCAAGCCTTCTGATAAGGCTATTGCTGAGTTTCTATTTGATATACTCAACTTCAACATTGGCTATCATAATAATAAAATTCTGAGAATTTAAATTTCCTTATGGTTAATTATATCAGAACGAATATTTTTAGAAATTGAATGTTTTCATTTTAATATTAGCTGATTTATAATTTTAGAAATTCATCAAATAAAAAAATTATGAATTTTTTTCTAACTACCCCTCCGTGAGCGAACAAAACCATTAGAAAAATCCATATATTTTGCACAAAAACCCTCCGCAATGAGCGAACAAAAATTTTTTAGGAAATAGAATTTTGATATAAGTGATCATTATTATAATAAAATCTCTAGCTAATTCCGTTTAATTTTTTAAAAATATTGCATTTTAAAACATAAATTTTGCAAATTAAATTTAATCTCAATTTTACAAATTGAAATTTTTTAAATTTTAAAAAGCAAAATTTTTATAGAGATTTATTATACTAATTATCACTATATCAAAATATTTTTTTCATTAAAATTTTTCGAAAAAACAATTTTGTTATCTAAAGGAGGGTGGGTTTTCCAATGGTATTGCTCAACAAGGGAGGGTAGGAGTGAGCAAAATATTTCTAAGTTTGTGTGCACTTTCATATTGAGATTGATTGATTCATTGCCAAAGCTCAGACTTTCTACAAGAGATGCTCTAAATGATCCTTGGTTCGAGTCTCTATCAAGCCCAACCCTCTCTCAGTAAAGCTAGAGGCTTTCAAGTCAGAGATTATTAATTTGAATTATTAAAACTCTACCTAAATTTGTATTGATTTCTCTGATTCTCTGAAATACTTCTTTGTCGACATTCATTTTTTTCGTTTACTTACTTTCTCTTTTCAAACTTGATAATATATACTGTAAGAAATGATACTTGATTATGTAAATCTTTTCATTATAAGGGTACATATAACGAGCATGCTTTTTTAATCTATTAAATTTGTTATAATAATTTTTTCAGAATTAGCATGCATACTATAAACATCAAGAAATCGACATTTATATGTTTTTACTTGAAATTAAAGTCGTTTGTTTAATAAAGGTCTTTTTAAATCTATAAGCTTGCTAATTCTTCTTTTGAGAGATACGAATCCTTAAATTTTGTGCTAAAATTTTAAGAAGATAAAGTCAAGTTAGAACTGAAGGTTTGCATATTACTATAGAGAGACTCATACTGCTGGAAATGAAAAAAAATAGGGCTAAACTTTTTTAATTGATTATTGATTCCAATAAAAAAAATTATCACACTATAATGAAATAAAATATAAAGCCATTAGACTATAAAACATAGGTAAAATAGCTCATCATATTATATATGCAGTGCTGATATTTTATAACCAGCAGTAAAGGCACAATAAATTTTCATAATTCAAATTAAGATTATGTATTCTGATATGAAAAAAAAAGTGCATATCTTATAATCACCCAAAAGACTTGGTTATTATGAAAGCTATAAATTCCGAATGTGAAAATTCTAATGTGCATTAAAAAGAATGGCCAATATGAAATGTCAACAGATTAAGTCGGCTTATATTCTTCTTAATTATTAATTGGGAAATCTTAATATTTAGCTTCAATTTCTTTTGTATCAGCTAATTGATCTAATTTCATATTTTTTATAATGCTTTGCAAATTAGAAGGATGACTGGTGTGTGAAGTGCTGTTGCAAAATGAAACTTAATAGACTAAAATCAATTAATCGCTTCCAAATTTGTAAAACCAAAACTATATATTAATAATTATGAGTTTTTATTTTCTTCAGACTACTAGAGCACGCTAAAGCTGTAGTGCAGCTTTTTATAAAATATCGAATGATAGATAGAAACTCATATATGATTAGAATTTTAACACCGGAATTTAGGCTTTTAATAAATTTTATAAAAATTAACTTTGGGTTTTCTAAAAGCTACTTAAAAATACAAATATTGATGGAACAGCACACTAAAATGCAAAATCACCAATGACTTAATTTTTAAAATAAAACAACACTTTAAGAATTAAAAATTTCTATTTTGAACTTAGTTGAGCATTTTAGCTAAATTATCTTTGACATTTTTTAGTTTTTTAATACAATTTCAAGAAGCGTCTGATAATCTTAATATGCAAGAATTTGATTTCTAACTTCACAAGATTGCAAGCACTTAGAAATTAAAAAACTTGATCTCTTTAGGGAATAAGAATTCGACTCCATAAAATACTCATAAATACCTTATTATCAAAGAAAAACTTAAGATAAAAGCTTATTTCAACTCTTTATAAAATACCGAATGATAGATAAAAACTCTGATTTGATTAGAATTTTAACACCGGAATATAGAATAGTTGTTGATTATGTTGACATTATAGTTGCGGGCCAATAAATAGGTATTAATCCTAAATAATTTATAGGCTGTAGATAACTAAAGTAAGAAAGTAGGCTTTTAATAAATTTTATAAAAATTGGCTTTGGGTTCTAAAAGCTACTTGAAAAATACAAATATTGATAGAATAGGATACTAAAATGCAAAATCACTTATAGCTTGATTTTCAAAATAAAAAAAGGTTCAAGAATTAAAAATACCCATTTTAAACTTAGTTGAGCATTTTAGTTAATTCATCTTTGATATTTTTTAGTTTTTTAAGATAACTTTCAAGAAGCGTCTGATAATCTTAATATCCGAGAATTTGATTTCTAAGATATTAACAAATTTTTATACGTCAAAAGAGCAATTAATAAAAAATATGTCAGTATTTCTAGATTCTGAAAACCTAATTATAAAAAACTTCTGGACCCTTGATACGAGGGATAAATTTCCAGAAACTTTTAGAACAACAGTTCAGCATAAGAAAAAAAATGAAGATCTGATAGAAGCCACCCTTATACTCAGCCAAGATTGCCTAGTTAAGATTGGTACTAATTCTATAAAGAAATCAACACTGCTTGATTGGAAAATTGTTGAGGCTTTCGAAGAAGACAACGGTGAATTGAGAAGATTCGGCTTTTCTGTCAGCACTCAAAGCTGTAAGAAAGATTTTTATGTAAAAAACGAGGAAACTCTAGAAGCATGAATTATGCATCTATCCTCAGTTTGTATTATGGCAAACTTCAAAATTGATTTTTCACTGATAAAGCAAATTGGCAGTGGATCTTTTGGAACCGTTTATTTGGCAGCAAGCAATGACACTTGTGATATGTTTGCAGTAAAGTCTATTGACAAACATATTATAATTGGTCATCAAGTGAACCTATCAAATCTCATGAATGAAATACAATTCATGAGGAAGCTGAATCACCCAAATATAGTTAAACTTCATTATGTTTATGAGAGTACAACTCATATTTATTTATTTATACCCTCTACTGGTGAATATAAAATTTTTATTTTGATTTGTCTCATATAATCAATACCTGCACAAATATTTTAGAGTATTATAGTTATTGACTATTTAGAGGGAGGTGATTTGTATGACAGGATCATGAAAAGAAAAAAATTCAATGAACAAACAGCTGCAAGATTTACAGAAAAACTATTAGATGTTGTAAGCTACTTGAGCTCACTTAACATTGTACATAGAGATCTGAAACTCGAAAATATTTTAATGGTCTCTGAAGATGATGACTGCAATTTCAAGCTTGCTGACTTTGGTTTGGCTACCGAAGTAAATGGCGCACTTACGCTTAGATGTGGATCCCCTGGATACACGGCTCCTGAAATTCTCAGAAAATGCTCATATGGGTTAAAAGTAGACGTTTTTAGTACAGGAGTTATTTTGTATATACTGCTTTGTGGGAGAATGCCATTTTGGGGCAAGACTAATCAAGAAATCCTTCAAAAAAATCGAGACTGTAAAATTTCATTTAAGCATGAGCCTAAGCGAAATATTTCTAAGTTTGCATGCGCTTTCATTTTGAGATTGACAGAACCATTACCAAAGCTCAGGCCTTCTGCAAGAGATGCTCTAAAGGATCCTTGGTTTGAGTCTCTATCAAGCCCAACCCTCTCTCAGCAAAGCTAGAGATTTTCAAGTCAGAGATTATTAATTCGAATTATAAGACTTTATCTAAAATTTGTATTGAAATCCATGAAATATTTCTTTTCTGTCATTCATTTTTTTTCGTTTATTTACTTTCTCTTTTTCAAATTTGTTAATGCATACTGTAAGAAATGATACTTGATTAAGTAAATCTTTAGTATACACTTTATAAAGCGCATATAATGAGCATGCTTTATTAATTTAAATCAAAAGAGGCCATATTCCTATAAAATTTGCTATGATACTTTCTCAGAACTAGCATACATACTATAAACTTCAAGAAGCAGCTTTATATTTCTACTAGAAAACAAAGTTGTTTATCAGATAAAATCTTTTTAAACTTATAAGCTTGCCATTTTTGGATGAGAAAAGTTTTCTTAAGGCTTTATTTTTCAGATTTTTCTTATAAGAGATACTAATACTTAAATTTTATGCTAAAATTTAAGAAGATAAAGCTAGTTTAGGCTGAAGGTTTGTATATTTGCTATAGAGGAGGCCTATATGACTCAAAATGAAAAAAAGACTAAATTTTTAATTGATTATTTATTTCAATAAAAAATTATCCCATTACAATAAAATAAATTATAAAACCATTAGAGCTGCATTAAAGCCGATTAAATGAGTAAGATAGTCATGCAATCAGTGTCATTTTGCTATATTCTGCTTTTTTGCACGCAATTATAAGTATTTGAACGAATTGGGTCAAATCTTTTAGCATTTATTTAACATGCCTTGATTTTCCACATTTCGGAGGCAAAGTGAGAAGAAAATTCATTTATCCTTTTTTTTAATGGTCTAGCTAAATTACTAATTTCTTCCTTTCTGTTGAAAAAGGCTTCAATGGCTAATAGAATATCTTGCTAGCTCGTTTTCTCATAATTTTGTGAGAAAGAGCCAAGCATCCTATAATTGATACTAGAGCTTCAACAAATTTTTTTGCAAACTTCAGCATATTGAATAGAATTGATATTCAACAAGATGTGTGCTCCTGGGCTAAGTCAGTCTATAGCATACATAATATAATGCTTTGCAGATTAGAAGGATGGCTGGCATGCCAAGTGCTGCTATAAAAATGAAATTTAATAGATTAAAAATCAATTAATCGCTTCCAAATTTGTAAAGCCAAAACTATATATTATTAATTATGAGTTTTTATTTTCTTCAGGCTTCTCAGGATGCATTATTGCCAAAATCTCTTTTCGCTCGCTTTCGTCTATGTTTGGCAGAAGCTTGAAAAATTTATAAAGAAAAACCAAATAAAGGACAGTGAGTATAACATCGACGACAACTATAACTATAAAAGCAATATTATTCGTGACAATAGCTAACAAAACGATTTTTAGAATTGTACCTATTACAAGGATAATCATATATAAAACTAGCAGAACTATTTGTAAATATCATTGTGCCCAGTATCCCAAAAAGACTAAAATTCAGAATGCCATCAATCCATAAACACAAGTCGCAGCGTACGCAAAAGCAAATATGCAGTAAATAATGCAAAAATATTTAGTATACTTCGCAAATTTTATAATTTTATTGAATTTTTGTAATTTAGATTCATCGTCGTTAGGAGGATCAGAAGCTTGAACAATAGCTTGCTTATTAGCTTGAGGAGGAAAAGTAGCAGGAGGAGCAATAAATTGATTAAAACCTTGTTGATTTACCTGAGCAGGGTTAAATTCTAGATGAACACTATTAGCTTCTATCGGCTGCTTTACTTCTTCATTTGAGTTTCGTTTAGGAGGCATGCAGTAATTGTACTCTTCATCTTGCAACTTTCTTGCAATCTCATAATCACTTAGCATTTTATTATAGAAAGATTATCAATGAGAAGTCATTTATTACATAATCATATAAAAATTATATATTGCAGTTTCTAAAATTAATATTTAGCAAAAAATGAGGATTTTTAATGCAGAATGAATTATTATGTGCTAATAAATAATAGCAATGCATTACTGATTAGTTAACAAAAATGATGAAGATAATGCAAAAATAGGCCAATAATAAAATTAAATTTGTTCTTCAGCCTTCTTAGACTTCTCAGCCTCTCTCATATTTTTCTTAGCTCATTCAAAAGTTCAGGTCATTCAGTGAAGTCAAACACGCCAGATTCTTTAAATTTTTATAAAGAAAAACCAAAAAAAGAAGTCAATGCAATGATCTATAAAAGGTAGATAATCTAAAGTGAAAATCAAAATAATTATTAAAACTGTATGCATATAAGGTAAAACAGTATAACTAATCAAAGATTATTTATTTTATTGTGATATTTATTCTATTGATTAAATTCTGTAAAATATAGTTTATTTAGTATATAAAGGCATACATGAAAATTAGCATGCAACCAAATTGATCAATTATATTTAAATTAAATCAATTTTTTATTTTAATAATTTTATTATTTACTATCTTAACCCTCTATATAAAAAGCACACCAAAATAGTAAAAGCAATATATATTATTTTTATATATAATTTTTTCTAAAATTTTTTAAACCCCTATCCTTGATCAAACGACTGGGATCATTCGATCAATAATGAGGGGAGTTAGATAATTAAGATTATAATAAACATAATCCTGTAAAAGATAAATAAATTTTTTATAAATATTTTGAATGAAACCATAATATATTAATCACTCTTGAATTTCTCAATTATTTTAAGCTCATAGCTTTCTAACTGCTTTAATTCTGAATCTTTATTTTTAATCAATTTCTTTATTTCTTCAAGCTTGCTAAACTCTAGAAAATGTTGGTTAACTAATTTTTCTATTTCCCTAAAGCTTGTTAAAAACGGATAATATTTTCTCATAGCATCAACCCAATCAAAAGTAATTACGAGCCATTGAAAAAGAGTCTCTTCTGTATATGAATAATTCCCGATTTGTATTAATCTATTCCTATTAGCGTTTATTGTTGGCAATAAACCATAAAAAATTGGCTATTATAATTATTTATAATAATACTTTCATATTTGATACCCTGTTGAGTTTTAATCCTATCCCTTCGTTAATCTTTTTATTTGACTTTGATACTAATTCTTTTTCTGCATCTTCGAATGCTTCATAATTCGACGTTTTGGCGAATGAAGTCCTACCATCTCAGATACTGCCGAGGGATCTATAGGCTCGCATTTAGAAACTAATCTGGGTGGATTAGCCAAACCTTTGTCCTCGGCCTGTAAGATAAAAATACCGACAGCATCATCAGCTCACAATCTGGAGGAGCATTTTGCTACCTTTAAATGGTGAAGGTAGTCTCAGAAGGAGGTAAGACCATTCTTTCATACTCTGAGCACTAACAGGCGTTAAGAAAGTCTTTTGCTATAAAGTTGGGTTATTTTCCATGTAAGACTAGCGAAATCGCCATTTTTTCTGGATCTAGGAAAAGGATAGTGCCTAGCTCCACACGAGCTTTTAAGCTAGACTATTTAAAAAGGAAATAATTAGTTTAATCCTTTAATTTCAATCTATCCCTATCATACTTACCCTTCTTATAAAAAATTGAATCAGATATGTCATTGCAGTCTAAATCCACAAGCTCTTTTATCAATGAAGCAGGGCTTGAAAATTTTGAAAAAATAGCTTGATTGTTAAGCAGCATGCTAACAGCTTCAGTTCCTGGACCATATGCCCTGCGGTCTTTATAGGTGCTCATAAGAACTCACAAGTCATCATTCATATGTGTTAGACTTCTAGGATATAGAAGATTATTTATGATAGCATTTCTGTCTTGAAAAAGCTGAGCTAGATCAATATAATGATCTACAGCTGCTTGTAGTGTCTGTTTTTGTAAATTTAAAAGTTCGAGTTCAGCTTTGATTGTTTCGATTAAGTAGGTAATTTTGTCATAAAGGTGAACCGCAGAGGATTTTACTTTTTCTCCGTTTTCAATTAATCTGATCAGCTCTGAATATACTTTCATGGAAATAATATAAAAATCATTTTTGATTAATGTGGAAGAAACAAATTTAAAGCTTATCTGACTGTTAAATATTATGTGTTACAATAATTGCTTATTGAGGTCAATCAGACTAGATGACGGTAAATTATGCATTTATAGTTTGGCTGCATATTTCCAAAATTTATGATTGGGCAAAAGATGGTGGAATTTTTGAAGATTTATTGGGAGTAGCATGCCATAAGGGTTATTTTTAGTCTTCTTTCCAAGCAGAGAAATGAATTCACTCTGCCTACAGCAGAGACCGATAAATTGTTAATAATTCTGCTCCAAATAGCTCTGAAGCTTTCTCAAAAATATTGCTAGAGGCTCCTAAAACAGAATTGATAAATCAAGAAGAAGCAAATGTCAAATTTAAAGCTTATTTGGCTTTGAAATATATGCTCATTTGAAATTAATTGGATGCTTAAATGTTTATAATTGAAAAATAATGATGATGTAAATCATTAGCACATTAAAAGTATACTCCACAATCTGGTAAGCCCTTAATTATTAATATATTCATAATCATTAATTAATTTGTTTTATATCATTTTATCCTCTTTAGAATTAAATTTGCTATAGAAATTTATAAAAATTGTTTGAATTTAAACGATTTGAAATGGTTATTATAAATATTCATATTTTATTTGCAATTATTACAGAAAATATCATTAGCAAAATGGTAATATGCATAAAATTGATAAATTATCTTAAATTGAAAACAGAAAGATAAGTATGCCAATGATAAATAAAGAAAAAAATAAAAGGCTGCCTATAAATCGGTATTCAGAGGATTTCAAAATAAATTTCAATACTGAATTACTTCCAGGTGTTAATCTTCAAGAAATGATGAATGTCTCCGTGCTTCAATTAAATTCTAGTCATTTTCGCATTGTAATTAATATAAATAAGCCCTTTAATTGGAACAACAAAATCTGTTTCAATTTAAGGGATTAAATTTTTCTCACGCCCAGCTTTTATATTGGAACGAAATATAGTTAAAATTTCCTTTTTTTTATAGATCTCAACTGGAGCAGACTTAGCTAGCTCCCAAATGGAGTATAAGGCTTGGAAAATCCCTATGAATGCTCAAACTATAGAATAAAATGCTAATACCCTAAATTGTGAAAAGCCCTCCTTTTTGAGCATGCGATCATATCTCGTACTTTAAATATGATAGCTTTACCTTAATAGTAAACCTCCCTGCCGACTCATCATCTAGGGGCTCATGTAGTTTCCATAAAACACTAATTATTTGACTATTCTTAAATAGAATAATCGAAAATGGAAGGAGACAAGATCAAGATAAAGACCTTAAGCTAAAGCCTAATTTTATGAGAGAAAGTACGCTGTTGATAAAATAATTTTTTATTATTAAAGACTAATTTTTAAATATAAACAAAACCTCACTAAATAAAACAAGCAAAACAAAAATTATAAAGATAATTTAAAGGAGATTTAGCCAAGCAAGCTATAGAACCCCAATATTAGCTGCTTTTATAAGTTTGCAGCTATACTGAATTAAAATAATATATTTAATCAGTATAAAATTAAACAATCATAATACTAATAAATGCTAAGTGACGAAGATTACGCCAAAAAGCTGCAAGCCGAAGAGTACAAAGAAATCATAATTCAAGACAAAACTAAAAGCAAAGAAGTAAAGAATCCTTTATCTCTAGAAACTAATGAAAATAACGCTAGTCCTCAGCTCAATCAGCAAAATTTTGTTCCTGCTGATTATGGCACCGCTCAGCGCAATCCTCAAAATTTGGCTCCAGCTGCTTCTGATCCTACTCAGCTCAATCAAAATTTGGCTCCAGCTTCAAATCGTGCTAATTCTTATGATCCAGATGCTAGTGAACAAAATTCAATACTCCTGCACCTAAAACAATTATTTTTTAATTATTTTTAAAAAATGAATCATAAATTTAAAATATGCATATTTCAAGAGTTAAAACCATAGAATTTGCAAATTGAATGCAATTTTTTTGTGTTATTGATTACCTTTTGGTTTTCATATATATTTTGGCAGGCATATATGAACTGCTTGTGTTGGGAGTGCTACCTTTTATAGGATACTTCGCGCAGAAAAAGCTATCCTTGATTTTACTAATTATATATATGATTAGTCTTGCATTACAAGCAGTTGTGAGAATTATTATTATTGTTATTGCAAATAATATTGCTTTTACAGTTCTAACAGTTATTATAATTCTAGTCACTATTTTTTATCTGATATTTCTCTATAAATTTTTCAAGCTGCTCTCAGGTTTAAGCTCATGGGAGAAAACTGAGATTTTGGAAAAGAGGAGGACTAGAATGACATGGTGCTAATTATTAATATAGATTAGTCATCTTCATATTTTTAGACTTGCTAGTCAGTGGCTTATTGCTTTTAATTTATTGAGCTCTAACTAGCTTTGTTTATCATATTATTAATTAGTTCTATAAGAATTCTAAGTGATGAAGATTATGCAAAAAAGTTGCAAGAAGAAGAGTTCAACGAAATCATGATTAAAGACGAAACTGCAAGCCAAGAAATAAAACATCCTCTGTCACTATGAATTAATAAAAATAATGCCATTCCTCAGCTCTATCAGCAAAATTTTGCTCTAGCTGTTTCTCATCCAACTCAGCTCAATCAGCAAAATTTTGCACCAGCTATTTTTGATTCTATTCAGCTCAATCAGCATAATTTTGCTCCAGCTGTTTCTCATCCTACTCAGCTCAATCAGCAAATTTTTGCTCCAGCTGTAGATGTTTCTTTTTTAATAACGAAGATGATGCTAAGTCAAAAAACATTCAATACTACTGCACCATGGAAAAATTATTTTTTTATTATTTTTAAAAATGAGTCATAAATTTAAAACATGCAAATTGGAAGAGTTAAAATTATAGAATTTGCAAATTGGACTAAACTTTTTTGTATTATTGATTTCTTTTTAGTATACATATATATTCTGACAAAAGTATATGAATCGATTTTGTTGGTAGGGCTATACTAATTTAAAATTTCATTAAAATCAACACAGTAAGCTGTGACAAAATAATAGAAAAAATTAGATTTTAGTTTATTATTTTAAGTAATATAATATAATATCAAATAGCATACCTTTTATAGGATATTTCGCACAGAAAAAACTATCCTTGATATTACTAATTATATATATGGTCAGTCTTGTAGTAGTTACAGTTGTGAGAATTATTATGATTATTATTGCAAATAATATTGCTTTTACAATTCTAACAGTTATTATAATTATATTCATATTTTTTATCTGATATTTCTCTATAAATTTCTCAAGTTGCTGGCAGATTTAACTTCAAGCGAGAAAACTGAGATTTTGGAAAAGAGGAGTACTAGAATGACAAAAAGCTAATATAAAGTTGTTATCTGCAAAATTTTAGATTTGCTAATCATTGATTTAATACTTTTAATTTATTGAGCTTTAATTAGTTCTATTTATAATATAATTAAGAAACAAAATTATTTGTTTAAGTTCTTAATTGACAAAGTGATTGCTTCACACAGTGCCTACACCATAAAGTTTTTTTTTGGCCTATTTTTTGGGCCTTTTTTTAGAACTATTTTTATCTTAAACATATAAAAGAGGTTAGTGAGAAAAAATAATTTTTAGAGTGAATTCTTATATTACATCAGCAGGTTTTTTATTTTTTCATTTTCAAAAATTTAAGTAAGTAAAAGTGCAAAATAATAAAAATTTTTATTCTCAAATGCAAGCTGCTTATAAAGTAAATAGAATTATCTAGAGCTTTGAATATATTAAAATATTTTTTTAAAATTAAAACAATTTTGTTCTTTCAAGGCAGGATAATTTCCCAAATAATAGAATTTTTCAACCATTTTGCTTGTTAAAGAAAGATAAGAGAGTTAGAAGCATATTTAGAAATAAATAAGGATTTATTAATGTTCAATAAAATAAATGATGAAAATCCATTTCTTACAATTTTTAAGCAAAAATTCAAAACTTAAGCATTCTTTTCTGCAGTAAGCCCAGTTTCCTCTTGTTATTCTATACTCAGTAATAAAGCAACTTATATAAAGATAACTTATTGATTGATCTTGAATCCCTTTATTGCTCATATACTAAATTTCTCCACTTCTTTAAATACTTTGACACTAATTTAACTAAAATTCTTATTCCAAACTGATATAAAATAAGTATAAAAATTAATATATAAGGTATAATATTTATAATCAAAATGGGAAAGAGAATAGGATCATATGAGCTTAAAGCTAAGCTTGGCAAAGGTACCTTTGGCACTGTGTTTTTAGGGAAGCATATCCCGTCTAAGAACAAAATCGCAATTAAAATGATCAATCGACAAGGTTTAAAGCCTGAGCAGCAAAATAGGCTTGAACAAGAAATTCTCTGTCAAAGATCCGTTGACAGTGACTATGTGGTTAAACTTCTGGACGTCCAAAAGACCGACAACAATTTTTATCTCATTTTAGAGTTTTGCTCAGGTGGGGATTTAGGCCAGTTTATACAACAAAACGGTCCAGTTGATGAAGCTGTAGCTCAAAGATGGATGCAGCATTTGGCAGAAGGCTTTAAAGCTCTTAGATCGAAAAATATACATTTTTATATATATATTTTGCCTTATTTTACATACAAAATTACCATTTTATATAGTAAATTTTAATATAATTTATCCCAATTTACTATAAATTATGATATAATCCATCGAGACCTGAAACTTCAAAATATTCTTATGACAGAAGCTTCAACATCTGCAGTCTTAAAACTCGCTGACTTCGGCATGAGTCGATTTCTAGACGACGATTTAGCTCAGTCTTGGCTTGGAACTCCTCTTTATATGGCTCCTGAAGTATTTCGCTTAAGAGAAGGCTATGATTCTAAAGCTGATATAGGGCCTTCCTATAGATGGCGCGCAATGCGCCATCACCGGGCATGTCGGGAGAGGGTTCCACACGAGGAATGGTTCTACATGTGGAACCCTCTTTTTGGCTTGTGGAAAGTAGTTTTTTCACAGGTCAAAAAGAGGGTTCCACACGTAGAACCATTCCTCGTGTGGAACCCTCTCCCGACATGGCTCGGTAATGGCGCATTGCGCGCCATCTATAGGAAGGCCCTATATATGAAGCTTAGGCGTCGTTTTTTACGAAATGCTCACAGGTGAAGCTCCATTTAACGCTCGGCGTAAAGAAGAAATCCCAAATGCCCAGCGACATCTTAAACCATTTCCTGTAGCAATTTCTCAAGTCTGCAAAGACCTTTTAGAAAGAATGCTTGCATATGATCCTAAACACAGGATTTCTTTTGACGACTTTTTTGAGCACCCTTTTGTAGCTGGGATAAAAGAAGATAATAGCTCTCTAATGGCTTCTAAAGGGTCAAGTGACGTTTATTTATCATCAGATATCGCTCCAAATATCCCAATCCCAGAGCAGCTAGAATCCCCTATGTCGACTGATGATTTTATACTTTTAGATAATGAAGAAACAGTCCCTGATTTTGTATTTATTGCTAAAGATAACCATCCAGCTATAAATTTAGCAGAAGTTATGTCCTCAGTCGAAGAACAATTAGAGACTATTATGATTATTTTAAAATTTGCAGAAAAAATAAAATCAAATAATGAGATTATTGGGAGTTTTGCTGTGTATGTAAAAGCTGTCACTTTGATGGAAAATTTGTTGAATTTTAGCCAACAAATGATAAATAAATACAATTTAATACCTGAGTCGTATCCAAACTTTTTTGAACAGCATGATAGGGTGAAAAGACTATTTTTGGAGAATCAGGATAAGACGGAAGAACTTTGTAAAATTGTGGATCATATTTTAAGCTCAGGAGACCCGAAATATGCAACTTTTATTGATTCGATTGGGAAACAAGGGCTTGCGGATAGCTTGCTGTATAATTATACTATAAGTTTGTGCAAGGAGGGAGCTAAGGATGAATTTTTGAGGGATTATCAGAAAAGTAAAGAAAAATACCAGGAAGCTGTATGGCTATTGGATCATCTGTGTAAGGGAAAAGATAGTGATCCATCAAGTGAGTGGGATATGGTTGAAGCTTTTAGGGCTGAAACGCATAGAAGATTGGATACAGTCAATGTTAAGCTGACGACTGCTTACTCTTCCGCATTTTAATATTAAGAAAAACCTATATCATTTTTCTATAACAATTTTTTTAAATCATTTAATAAACGAACAAAATTTGTACTTAATTTTTATGACACCTTTGGAAAAAAATTTTAAATTATTAAAAATTTATTTTTATATTTTAAAACAATTTAATGCAGATAAATAATATGTTGGTGTTTTTATTCATTTTATCAGCTTTAGCTATAAAATAAATCGAAAATACTTTTATTAATAATAAAAATTTTCAATTTAATTATTTTTATAATTTATAACCAATTAACAAAACAAAAAAAGGTTTTATTTTTTAAAATGTGTGAGAGTTAGAGTAAATACTGTAATTGTAATTTTAAAAAATAAATTAATAAGTCAGCAAACTACCATATAGGTATTTTCTTAGAATATTTAGGATATTCAATATAGCGACTAAACCATTTAATTTTTTTCTAGAATATTTTTAAGAACTTCTTGAAAATTATTTGCTTTGAAAAATACAGTTGTTAATGTATTAGCATGAGAAAAAAAATTCCCACAAAGTGTATGCCAGTAAAAACTGGCCAAAAATAATTACATTTACATTGGTACCTACAGTTTAAGCGCTCCTGTCAAACATTTCAAAGAAGGTATTTTCTTCTGCCCGAGAAGAGCCTCGAACGCCTATTGATTTATCAGATCTAAATCTGGATAAATTTTCACTATTTACATGTGAGTATCCACTAGTCATACTTATATCAGACAATCCTCTACAGCTTGATTCTTCATCACTTGACTCACTTGATGGATTTCCCAATACATTTAAATAAGTTTTCCTGGTAGTTATGTCCTTATCTGTTCTAATAGTTTTGAAGTGTTCTTCCCTCAAATCTTTTATGAATGCGCTTGCTTTTTGTGTGAAAGTTTCATTTTCCTGCATATATGCAGTTGCTTTTTGTGAAAAATTTGCTGTCTCATGTAAAGGTTTTTTTATATTTACTGGGAATTTTACGCTATGCTAAATTATTTGAATTTTTCTATAAATTTTAGTAAATAAGCTATATTAGCTGTTTAAGGTAAATCCGTATATATTTTCCAGGTGTTCTTCTCAATTGTCTTATCTAACTTCCCGACCCCCTTTAAATTGGAGCATAATATCCGCAAAATTTCCCATTTTTGGTCTTAAATAAATTTTTTTCTATAGGAAAATTTTATAGGCGAAATTTTTATAAAATTTCTTTTTCTTATTTAATGTAAAAAAAATGCAAATAGACTACTAATTAAACAATTCATTATTTTTTTGAATTAATTCTTCATAAAATTAATTTAGAATTTGTATATTGCGTTCTAAGTTTTTTTACAATATCTTTTCTGATTTTTTTCCCAAACTCTCTCTCTTTCAGCCATTTCTCCTTACTATCATCATCACAAATTTTTACTAAAACTTTATAGCATTTCGCCGCGGTATGCCCTAAAGTATTACAAAGAAAGCATCTTGTCCCCAAGGCTGTATATTTATTAGGGACTTCTCTTTGGCAAAAATTATATAGCTTTTTCTTTAAATATCCTATAAATAGTTTATAAAAATACATCTTATGGGTATTTATAGGGAAAACTATAAAGCATATCAGTTTTTTGCCTAGCTTCTGGCTTGGTCTTTAAAATTTCATTTAAATCGCTTCTGTGACAGACCATAAACTCACAAAAGGCAAGACACCTTATGCTGGCTTCCCTAGGATGCATAGCAAAGAACCCAATTTCTCCAAATGAAGACTCTTCATTAAGTTCTTTAAAAATAGTCAAAGTTCCCTTATGGTAAACTTCTACTATCCCTGACGATATAAAATAAATAGACTGACCCTTTTCTCCTTCTTCAAATACAACATCATCAGGTGCGTATCTTTCAACTTTTATTTTTTTACAAATTTCATTTATTAGCTTTGTACTGTAAAGCTGTCGAAAAATAGAGCATTCTTTAAATACTTTGCCTCTTGTTATGCCTGCGATTTCTTCTCTTAAAGGCGCAGATATGCATCCATTTGTAAGCTAAAAACATTGCTAATTATAGTCATTTGCTTTATTTTCTATTAAATTATTTTTTGATAATTTTTAGCAAGTTTTTAGCTTATAAATTATTTTTTAATAAATCAAAAACTTGAAGTTCATCAAAGTTTGTGATTGGGCGAGAAAATCGGATAAAATCAAAATATGTGCGCAATTTAAATTTTAAATCCCTTGGAAGCTTTTTTACATTCATGTAGTTGTTTATGTTAACCATTCTTTTCCGGAAATCTATATGGGCAATAGTTTCAGCAACTACCCAATCACTTATGTTGCCAATTATATAGGAAACAATAATGACAGCAATTCACATGTTGAAAATGTCAAAAATCAATGTATGGATTGTGAGTGGGTCGATATCTCCATATCCTAGCGTTGAAGTTGTGGTTATAGCAAAATAAAAAGCTCGAATATAAAGATCGCTTAAATTAAAATGCCCTAGTGAGTGAAGTTTGGATGTCCAAGTTAAAGGAAACGTGAAGGAATCGACATAATTGATATAATACCATAAGCATGCCACACAATGATTTATATAAAATACAATAAACATAAGTTTAAAAAACCGAAATGTAATTGCTACTTTTTTACTTTTTACATAATCTTCCAGTAAAGTCATTGTTTTTGCTAACTTAACAACTCTCACAACACGAATTATTTTGGTATATTCAAAAATTCGATGCATACTAAAGTATTCATAACTATTGTGATCCGTTTTTTCAGAACTAATTCCACCTTTAAAGGCAAGCAAATTTCTGGAAAATGCCTATTGAGAGCGAGTAAACATAATTTTTTATAAAAAATATTTTAATAATTGCTATAACGAGCTCTCAATCTAATATTATTAAATTTGAGACAGCTTGCATTCTTATAATAAAATAGATTTTTATAAAAAAATTAGTGCTATTTAAGAGCTAGCAAAAGAATTTCCTTACTCTTGAAGGGGGCAGTAAATAGCTCATAAAATTCTTGAATAGGAATACTTACTATTATATCATATAAAAATCAAGACGTTAAATATTTCTTTGCAATTCCAATTCTACTTTTTATTATATCATATTTTTATATAATTATTTTTAAAATACAAAATATTTTAATCCTAATAAATATTCAGTTAAAATAAATATATGTCCTTTGGAATATGAAGCAGTATTAAACTTTACTATAATATCCAAAATAAACAACTCGTTTATCAAAATATCTCAACTTCTTAGCTTTTTATTTTCAGAGTCTTCCATAAATAGAACGATTGGAGTATATATCAATTGTACCGCTATCAAAACGCTAACAGCTATATCTCAATATAGAATAAATTTGCATTCAGGTTGGATAATAAAACTCTTTTGTGAGAGGACTTCACTTTCTAGTAGGAAAATACTACTTGGTGTACTCAAATGAGATCTTGTTATTTGTCTGCTTGGAAATCAAGCTTCTGTTGGAGGCTCTATTTCTGGCGATTCATCGATAAAACTGCGTTCGTCGAGGCTGCTCATAACTCTCCACTATAAGTGTGTGTAAGGTTTTGGCAGCTGTAATTTTAGTGCTAATTAATTATTTTAATTCAAAATTTTAAAAAACGCTTAAATAAGAATTAATTTTTTAATAAGATCCCAGCCTCTAAAAATATTATTTCTGATAAAATAATTATATTAGAATTAAAAACTTTCTCTTGTAAAGGACAATCGGCCCTTACTAGAAATTCCTATAAGTTGGCTATATTAAATATATATAATTTTTTTTCAGGTTGAAAGAAAATCTGATTTAATTTATAAGATTTGTCTCTGCACAGAATATTATTTATATAAACAATTTTTTTGTTCATTCAAAAAAAGTTGATTTAAAAAAATCCGATTTTTCAATCATGTTTTCGTTCAAAAATGGTGAGTAAGTGAAATATCTGAATATCTTCGTTTAGACCTTCTCCTATTGATAATGTAGGCATTCATTATAAATTATTGATAAATTATTTTATCTTTGGTTTGTTAAAGGATTTTTTGTTTTTGAAATTTATCCGAGAAATAATTGGTATATGGAATAAATCAATAACTTTTGCTAAATATGCATTAGCTCAAAACAACGAAGATTTTCAACTCATCTGCTCAGAAAATGATGCTCATTTTTATTACTCATTTAATTTTTCAATTAACAAGCACCTCAATGATAGAGCTCATAGAAAAGTTTGAAGGGAATCATTATTAATCTATGCCTATTTCGAATTTTTTAGTTACCTTAAAAATGTCAATTCATTTATTTTGAATAAATTCAGATTTTATAAAAATATAGCATTCGCTATAATCGAATTGATATAATTTAATTAATGCTTGATGCTAATTATTCAGCGAATAAATATTTTTATTGAAATTTTATTAGATTATCTAGCAAATCTAAAGGTCTTGCAAATATTATAAATAAAATAAAGCATTGAAATATATTTTAAATTAATTTTGCTTAATATTACTCTTTAATAGCTTATTTGTAAATTATTTTTATATTTCAAATCTCTAAAATAATAACAAGTAGATTTTATTAGGAATTTCAAATTGAATTTAAAAACATATAAAAATGTTACTAAACAAACAGTGCTGCTATTAATTTCGGAATAACTAAAGTTAATTATTATGTTATGGTGCAACTTTTTTAGGATAGCCACCTTGGAAATTTGTAACGTCATGAAGTCCATGAGTATTTCCAGGAGTCTCTATTTGAGTGAGTGCACTTAATGGTCTTGATTCACCTCTTTTCCAATAAGAAATAAAGAAGATGACAGCCATCGGAACAAATAAGAAATTAGATACAATTGAAAGAGAAGGGCCTGTTGTGCTGCATATATCTAAAGTATCTTCAGGGTCATTTTGTTTGTTATCACAATTTTTATCAAATCCTGCTTTACTGATCCCAAACCAAATTATTGTCCCAAGTAAATTTGATAAAGCAATTAATACAGGATAAGCCTAAGTAAATCTTACATAATTCAATATTCGAATTCCATAGTCCCTTCCACTCAAAATTCCTGAAACCACTTGTATAAACATAGCAATCAACACAACAGTAATTCCAGCTAGCGTCACAAAGGCTGAAGAAGAGTCTCTTAAATGCTTAAATAAGTGGCAAGCTCCAGAGCTGCTATCAGAGTCGCATTCATTCCCAGCTAAGCAGTCCCAGCCGACCCAATCATAATCAGCGATACAGTCTTTGCACCTTAATAAGCTACCATGCATATGGTGGGCTCTTGGATCTCTTTTTACCCAGCTGTCTTCTCCTATTGCTGCTAATAAGAAAATAATTCCTGTAAATAGCAGAGAAAGTGTAATAAACATCCAATACCTAGTAGGTAGACAAAGCCATTTTCCATCTTCAACACCTAATCGGACTCCATCTGTAAGTCTGTCTCTTTTGCACATGAAGAAAAACACTGCGACAACTGCAAAAGCGTTTATAAAAATATTTGCAATAGCAATAGCTGGGCCGCCTTCAGCACAAAAATCTGGCCTGTCTGTATCAGTTGTTGGGTTTTTAGTGCTATCACAAGATCCACTTCATGACGCTTTTGAAAGCCCAAACCAAATGATAGTTGCTAGTAAATGACAGATAAACACAAAACTTGAAATAATGTAAATGAGCATTGGGCTCCCATAATCTCCACCTGTCCCTGCAATTATGAGCTTTTCGATGAGCATCACAGTTAGCATTAATGACAAAACTTCTAGGAACAAGTAGGCATAAGATGCTTTATAGCCGTCTTTGAAAAGTTTACAGTCTCCGAGATCATCATTTAGCTCGCAGTAATATTGCGCATAACATTCCCAGCTTCATTGATCATTTGAGGATGGACAGTTAGTACATTTAGTGAGACTGAATTCTAAAGAACTGCCTTGTGAAACCCATGTAGGATGAGAAAGGCTTGCTATATTCAGCCCAAAACTTATGATAATGATAAATAACGGAATAAACAAGGTCCACTTAGGGCAAGTTCTGGAGGCCATTTTTTATCATCCAATATTTTTGAGAAAACTTTTAAATTTCAGATAAATTATTCTCTTAAGGACAATTGTTTGGATCAGTGATAATTTATTACAAAAAAATTTGAGGTATTGTTTAATCGCTGACTTTTTAATGTCATCACCTTCCTATTCTTTTCTCTACCTTAAATGATCTCGATTATTTATTATCCTTTGAGTTATACAATTTATTCCTTATTTAAGCTATTATAACAATCATAAAATATTTTTGAATTAAGAATTTTTTAAATTTAGGATTCTAATAAGGATATTTAATTCTTTAAAAAGAATTTTCCAGTTTTAAAAGAGCGAGGTAATTATTTCAATAAACAAGCACTTATGGACACATGGACACATCTATTGCATATTGCAATTTTTATTCTAATTATAATTTATTATCTTCTATACCATGAAGGTGTTAAATTTTGAATCACACTGGGGTTTACTGACCTCAGCTCCTGTGGAGTCCAATTAAATAAATCTGGCAGGCTACTTCCATCTGGAAGCCTCGTTGTTTCTTGTCTTAATTCCTCAAAAAACGGATGCAAAAGCGCCTCTAAAGCATTAGGTCTTCTCTGAGGAGAATAGACCAGCAAAGAGCTTACAAAATTTCTCGCATCTTGAGGCACATTTGGCCCCAAAATCCTACTTCATGTCTGCACTTTTACATGTGGGAATTTAAATTCAGTATAATTAGGATTCATATCATGAATTTGTTCCCTTGTCGGTGTTCCAAGCACTTTAAGGATTTCTACCAATTGATCAACCCCACTTTCACCTGGAAAAATAGGCTTCCCAATTAATAGTTCAGCAGTAACACATCCTGCGCTCCATATGTCAATAGACTCTTTATATTCAACAGCCCCAAAAATAAGCTCAGGTGCTCTATAATACCTCGAACATATATAAGACACATTCTGGTCTCCAGGAATAAGTCTTTTAGCACTTCCAAAATCGCATAATTTCAGCTCATGCGTTGTAGAGTTTACCAGCATGTTTTGAGGTTTTACGTCTCTATGGCAAATTCCTACAGCGTGAGTGTGGGCTAGAGCCCTTAAAAGTTGATAAGTGTAAAGCTTTACAAAGATCAAAGGCATTTGTTCACCTTGCTTATTATAAGTTTTCATGACTTTATAAATTGTGTCAGGAATGAAATCCATCACGAGATTTAGGTAGACTTCGTCATCTTTGTCACCTTTTGTGTAAAAATAGTGCCGGAGCCCCCTATGATATTGGGTCATCAGGAAAAAAGATAGGTTTTTTCATGCTGCCGTTTACCATCAAAAATGATGGAGGGTTTTTTTCCGTATTTTACCAGCAAAAAACCTCAATGGCTTTTCAAGAAGTATACGAAAAAATCTATCTGATTTTGAAAAGTATTTTATTAAGATCTAATTATTTTAGGTGGAGATTTGCCTATAAGATCTAATATATAAAGACTTGCTTCAGTTTTGATTAGATAAGATTTAGTAGTTGTTTTAAGTCCGCTTTTAGTTGTCACGCGCGTTCCGCAGTGAAGTCCTGTGGGGTGGTGGCAGAGCATAGCCGTCTTGAGCTTGGGCCGGAACCTCCGGCTTCTCAGTTGAGGTAATGGTCTTGAACCATTCACTAGCTTTGCTGGCCGCCTCCATTTCCAACCCTTCGACGTCGCCAAGTTTTTGCGTCAACCCTGCTATTGCTCCTAGCCAGGCTGTTGCTTGAGCAACCATTTTCAACTGGACGGACTCCAGTTTGTCGTCTAGCTTGGTTCTCCTCTTTTCAGGTCATCCCGAGAAATAACTCAACAGCTTTCGCCGTTCGGGGCAAGCCACAGTAACAGCTTAAGTGGGCATGTCGCCCTTCCTCATATTGGGCATCCGCTGGACCGGGCGCTTCTGGCAAAAAGATTTTGCATTTAACTAATGGATTCAGGACCAAAAGCAGCGGTTTCCTGTCTCATATCCCTCGCTTTGGGGATACTGATTATAGCTGGATCATAATCACAGATCAAAATCCACTCCCAGTATACATAAGGTCACCTGTCACTGAGGTTAAGGCTGCTCGTCTCCGGCGCTTGCTTCAAACTTAGTTGCCTTAACCAGTTAACCACAAATTTTTTTTATCCAAAAATCGCTTGAAAAAATCCTAATAAAAATTATAAAATTCATATATCAGCTATAATTATAAAGCTCTATCCGGCTAATAATTCAAGATTTTAACTTTCCTAGAAATATATTTGGATTTATTAACTGGCAAAACTCTAACTCATAAGGAAACTAATAATGTGTGTAAGGAAGCTTAAAGCAAAATCGATATGAAAAAACTTTCACATTTTCCTGTCATTTTTGATTAAATATTTTCATCACATATATCCATGATTATTTATTATAGTTACAGATGTGCAATATTTATTAATTAAAATTAATTTGCGAGATAAGTCTAAATCTTAAATTAGCAGTCATTTAGAGCTTTCTATTATAGCTAATATAAATTTTTAAATTTTTTATTAGTGATTTTTCATGCGATTTTTGGATAAAAAAATTTATAGCCAAAAATATATTGGTGAAGATATAATGCAATTTTTTTCTTCATTTGACTTAGATTTTTAAGGTTTAAAATTAAGATTGAAGCAAGTTTTATATATTAGATCTTTAAGGGCTAAATCTCCACTAAAAATATTAGATTTAATAAAATACTTTTCAAATATTATTTACCTGAACAGGTAGATTTTTTTCCGGTATACTTTTTAAAAACCATTGAGGCTTTTTCATGGAAAAAAAAACCTCCTTCATTTTTGAAGGTAAAAAGGCAGCATGAAAAAGCCTATCTTTTTTATTTTTCGGCTCAACTCTATGATATTCGGGTGGCTAAGCTCTTTCATTATAGCGAGCTCACGGTTTTTATATCTTTTGTCTTGGAAGACTTTTTTGATTGCAACAGTTTCGCCTGTTTCATTTACAGAAGATTGATAAACTGTACCAAAGCTGCCATTACCGATAATCTTGGTAGCGCTATATGTAAAGCGCTGTTTGGATTCTTCATCAGCGAGTCTTGAATCTCGTGCTGCTGTTGAGACGTTATGAGCCTTTGCCATGTTTATAAGCTGTAGATTGAAAATTTGACGAATAAAGCTTGAAATCTATTTTATTTATGAAAAATTCATTAGGAATGTAATAAGGAATTTTATATTAAATATTTAATCAAATTTTTTATTATTATTTGAAATATTATAATTGCAAAAATCATATATAGATATTATTCTTTATAAATAAAATAAGGCTTTCTTTTTATCATAAAATTTTAAATTCTATGCGTTTTCGCAAAATAATAAAAAATATCTAATTAATAGTATAAATGAATCAAAACTTAATACATCTTAGTAGATCAATTTCTGAAGTAAAGTTGCCATTACTTCAGAATGAAGTGCAAAGCTTAGAAAGCGAAGTAGAAGCTTTAACCAGAAAATTGGAGCATGAAAGAAGACAATCAACTCTTCTTGGAAAAGATTTAGAAGAAATCAAGGCCATGCTTAATGAGAGAATTTCAAAAAATCAATACAAGAGTAGAGAAAAACGGAAAAAGCAAGGAGATGATAAGATTAAAATGCTTGAAAATGAACTGGAAAGAGAATTTAAGAGACTAAGTGAGCTGAAAAGCACAAATAAAAAACTGCAAGATAAAATCGATATGCTTAGAAAAGATAAAGGGTCTCTACTTAAATCCAACCAACAATTAGAAATTCAGCTTTTAAGCACTACAAGGCTTAGAAAGAGCGCTAGCGAAGTCTCAGTTTTCAACTTTAACAAAGATGAAATAAATCAAGGACGAATTGTAAAAATACAAAATTCCTTGAGCTCAACACGGAATGATTATTCCCAAAAGATCAGCCTGTTGAGCAGCCAACTTTTAGAAGGCAAAATGTCTGAAAATCGATTTCTCAAAGGAATTACTGTAAATTTCGCAGAACCCACAGTTAATGCTTCAGAGCTCTTTCAACTCTCAAAAAATCAAGCTAAAGTCTGAAAAGACTCCTGCATAGAAATAAATGAAAAAATAAACAGCTACATGGATTTTATCAAAGAGCTTAACTCAGGCATGGAAACTATGACAAATCAATGCAAAATTGATAGCTTCCAAGAAATTGTTGATTTATTTGTCACCACTTTTGATGAAAATACTAGACTTTCCCAATATATGTATGAATTAGGGGAAGAAATTATTATAATTCAAAAAGAAATAGAAAAATATAAAGACCAGATTTCGAATTTTCATAAAACCCGTGGGTTTTCTGAAAGCACCAAGGCAGAAAAAATTGACCAAATAAATAAGGCATATGAAGAGACAGTGAAAAATATAGAAGCAGAAAATGATGCTTATTCCCCCCCCCCTCCGTGAGTGAACAAAAAAATTTTGTTCACTCACGGATGGGGGTTAATTTTTTTTTTTTAAAATATTTATATATAAATTTTATAAAAAATTTTTTTTTCGAAAATTAAAAAAATCCTAATTCGCAAAAATTGGAAAGCAAATATTAATTCAATTTGCAAAATTTATGTTTTAAAAAAGCAATTCGTTTAAAAATAAAACAGAATTAGCTCTAGATTTCATTATAATAATTATCATTTATATATCAATTTTTTTTTCCATAAAAAATTTTTCTATTAAAAAAATTTTTGTTCACTCACGGAGGGTGGGTTTTTGGCCAAAAAATAGCGATTTTTCTAATGGTTTTGTTCACTCACGGAGGGGGGGGGGGAGTTATAAAAAAAACACAAGAAATATTCCAAACATTATTAAACCCAATTTCTGAAATAGAAAAAATGCTCAGTGGAGTTGGGTTTACTTGTAGAGAATTTCAGCTAGAAACTGATTTATCAGAAATTAATATAATTGAGGAGTGTATAAGTACTTTGGACACTTAAAAATGGTGCGAGAACCAACCTGCCCTCTTAACACCTATAGCCAGACGGGTGCCTGAACTTGTGGAAGGGAGAGCGGTGAGAATGTCCGGCTGGCTTTACTTAGTCTTATGAAGCGTAATGTCTAGTTGATCGATCGCAAGCTCGCATCCAGGGCAAGGTTACCTCGAGGAAGGATGAAACTTGGAAATTTGAAAATGATAAATCAGCAAAGCCAGAGGGCGTTCACTTAGTCAATAGGGCAATTTTCCAATGTGATACTAGGAGCTGCGTCCTGGGCTATGCTTCATTCAGGTCGATTACTAAATTGCATTATGGTTATCAGCCATATCAATTGGTCAATATCTTTATAATTTAATGGGTCGTCTTAACTTAAGAATACCCTCGATAGACTCCAAATTTTCTTTTTATTATTTCAAACGGCTTCAGTACTTCTTCTTAATAATATTTTCAAGAACATAATACAACCATTCTGGCCGATAACCTGACCTGAAAATTCTTTTTTTGAACTTTCGGCAAGGCAACCCCGTTGACGCACGGCTTAGCAGCCTAACATTTTTACCTCCAGTGGCAAGTGTATGCTCTATCCGGAGGGAGCAAGAATGCCTTTAGGCAGTGGGAAATCAAAGTATCGACGCAAAGCATGGGATGTTTTAAGCCGGCAAGGCTGACAGGGAGCCACTCTGAATAATAATCTAAGTTAGCATAAGTACTTTGCTTGCAATTTCTAATGAGAAAAATGAAGGCAATAAAAACCTTATTGGAAGAAACCAATCAAGATCTCCTTTGATAAGACCATTAGAAATTGATATAGACGCTATGGCTGATCCTGATGAAACCAGCAGATTTTTCACTCTTGACGAAATTAGAAATAAAGCTTCGAAAGCATTTGACCAAATTATTATGAATAAAGCTTCATAGGCAAGGATAAATAATTAATTTAAAGTTTAATCTAAATTAATTTTATCACATTTAATGCTCACTACCAGGTTCCTATCTGCCGCAGATGTCTCCAAAACCATATTGGCGCATTTGCAACATATTTGCCAAAGTGTATTCAGCTTATCTTACTTACGATCAGGATATCAGTCTTGAAGCTTGAGTTTAGGCGACTCTTAAGCTTAAAAAGTCTTTGAGTCGTGTCTAATCTCTACAACCCGGATAGGTAGCGGACTTTGGAAATGCAATCCCCTAAGGTAAGGAGTCTGGTAGGAAAACTACTCTGCCCTTGGTTCCTAAACAAAGCGGAATAATTCTAACTCCCCCCCCCCTCCGTGAGTGAACAAAAAAATTTTGTTCACTCACGGAGGGGGGTTAATTTGTTTTTTTTAAAAAATTTTATATATAAATTTTATAAAAAATTTTTTTTTCGAAATTTAAAAAAATCCTAATTCGCAAAAAATTGGAAAGCAAATATTAATTCAATTTGCAAAATTTATGTTTTAAAAAGCAATTCGTTTAAAAATAAACAGAATTAGCTCTAGATTTCATTATAATAATTATCACTTATATATCAATTTTTTTTTCCCATAAAAAATTTTTCTATTAAAAAAATTTTTTGTTCACTCACGGAGGGTGGGTTTTTGGGCAAAAAATAGCGATTTTTCTAATGGTTTTTTTGTTCACTCACGGAGGGGGGGGGGAGTAAGTAAAACCAAAACCTCATTATTAAAATATTCAAGAGAAAATTTTCAGTTATGAGATCTGAAATTCAAATATCACTATATTTAATTATAACTGATTTAAATCAAAAATGATTTGAAGTCTTTTTGACAAATTTTTACAGTTTAATTAATTCTTTCTATAGCTGATAATACAATATCAGCAGGGGCTGTTGTGTAAAACGACGCTATATATGAGCTGAAATGGAACCTTGGATGATCTATAATGAAACACCCATTGATATTTTGATGGGAAAAATGGAAAACCCTTGTGTATGCAAGAAATATAATGGTGACGTTGACATCTCCTAATGGAGCTGTGGGCCGGTGCGATGGGTAATGAAAGTAAGCTCTTCGTTAGAAAAGTAGACCATCTCAATGGGAAGCTTGCCTAAGGAGGGTGCTTTGTTTCTCCCCTAAGGTTTTCCTGTCCTTGCCAGATGGGCTAGACAGTTTTTTTCCGACCACATGGATCCTTCACATCAGAACTATCGGAGCACCTTGCAGACAATGGCTCTGTCCTAGAGAGCAAATTCCTTGGACAGGCATTTCAGATAGGAAATCAAGAAGGGCGACCTTTTGGAGCCAAGATGGGCGACGGCTAGTTGTTTATTCGTTTATGGTGAGCATAATCGCTTAACATTATTATTGTGCATGCTTCTATATCACTATAAAATCCAGCTGGCTCTGATTTCATAGGTAGCCCTGAAGATGGGTCAATATAATCACATCATCATTCAGACAATAAAGTTATCAGTTCTTCAGAAAACTCGAAAAAATTCTCGAGGCATTTGTCTTTTTCGCTTGAAAAATCTTTTATGTCAAAAAAGTTGGATTTCGCATCTTGGAATGTTAAGACTAAAGTCAAAGGTACATCTGCAGATATTGATGGAAAGACGTGGAGAAGATCTCTTCTAAAAGCATTTTTGCAGCATTTCGTATGATATTCAATATTGTATTTATTGCATATCATGATAAATTATTAGCATCTTATTCCCCCCTTCCGTGAGTGAAAAAAAAATCTTGTTCGCTCACCGAGGGGGGTTATTTTTTTTTTAAAAAATTTATATATAAAATTCTATAGAAAAAATTGTTTTTCGAAATTTTTAAAAACTTAATTCGCAAAAATTGGAAAGCAATATTAATTTAATTTACAAAATTTATGTTTTAAAACACAAATTTTTTAAAATTAAACAGAATTAGCTATAGATTTCATTATACTAATTATCACTTATATATCAAATTTTTTTCATAAAAAATTGTTTACTCAAGGGCAAAAATAGGTATTTTTCTAATGGTTTTGTTCACTCACGGGGATAGTTAGCAAAATTATTTTTAATAGGTTCAAAAAATCATAAACTTATGGTACAAGAAGCAGTTTAAAGGGTTATCAGCAAAAAAAAAGGCAGTTTTTTCATGCTGCCTTTTATCGTCAAAATTGCGGAGATTTATGTATACTTTTTAGAAAAATCATTGGGTTCTTTTTCTTGAAAAAAAAAGTAAAACCCTCCATCATTTTTGACGGTAAAAAGGCAGCATGAAAAAAACCTACCTTAGTTTTTTTTCCTTATGACTCAGTTTTAAGTAATAAATGCAAATATTTTCAAAACGTTTGCATAACATAAAAAACATTAATACGATTCTTTGTTATTATTCCCTGCATTTTTATTTAAACATATCACTAGAAAACTATAGTTTTGTTGAACTTATAATGTCTAAATTTATTGTACTTGTTTTGACTCTGCTAATAGCCTCTTCAGGCACAGAGCCAAACTTGAAATTCAACATTTACAACTGCATAGTCGACACTGTGGTGCTAGAAGAAATTATTCTGGAAATGGCAATGGAAATTTCTTCCATATGATACATCCAAGAAGGCTTTCATAAAATGCTGTTTGTTTTTTCTTTAATTCCTCAATGAATGTACCAATGTATTCCACTGATAGTAGCTGACACAGCAACTGAAGACCCAAATATTGATTTTATTCCTTTATCTGATAAAGAGATACTGGTGAACGGAAAATTAGTTGAAATTTCTAAAGAGGAAGCTGCTGAAGATAGCCAAGCGTGGGCAGACTGCAAAGATGTGGTGGCTGATGGATTAGCGAGGCTTATTAATGCAAAGGACGCGCTTGATAGCCAAGATTACCAGACTATGGTCGAAAATCTGTTGAGCATGAAAAGCTTGAAATTACCTTTATTAAAGATGTGTAAAGGTAACCGAATATAATTTTAGCCTTTAATAAGTTTGGCTCTATAATATAAATATTTATCTCGCTATAAGTAAATTATTACATGAAAATATTAGTCACAAATTTTAAAGATTAAGAAAAACATTAAAATTTAGCTCGTGCTTGATTTACTTTTTGCAATATATTTTTCATATGTTCATCCATCTTCAAGTTTGCATTTGCAGCCCCAAAATTGCATTTTGCAACATCTAAAAGCTCTTTATCTCCAATTTCTTCAGCAATCTTCATAGCTCGATAATAATTTTTTGTGCTGGAATCATAATCTCCAACACTAAAACTGATATTTCCAAGCTGTTGATAAGCTCCACTTTCTCCTTTTCTGTTTTTCAGCTCATGGCTTAGTGCTAAATATCGTTCAGCGAACATTTTAAGCTTCTCATTATCTCCTACAATTTTATTATTTCCGATTTGGCCTAAATTTCCAATAGCAACGCTTTGTCCAGCCACACTAGACATCTGTATTGCATATCGCAAGGCAAATTGATGATTTATTGCTGCCCTTTCATTGTCTCCAAGTTTGCTATAAATAATCCCTAAGTTTATATGTGCTAAAAATTTCCCAGGGACATCAGCAATATCTTTATGCTTCATATGATAATTAATAGCTTCCTGCCACAGTGCATTATTTCCAGGCTCAGCTTCAGCCATTTTGGTATAATCAACTCCAATGCAGTTGTTAGCCAAAGCTTCTCCATGGACATCTCCAATTGATTGGCAGACATTTAAAAATTGTGTATAAGAAGATATAGCTTTTTTATATTGGCCTAAGTTGTCATATAAAACCCCAATACTATAATAAGCCCTGCCTTCATCTCTTGTTTTCCCAGCTCTTTTGCAAGCAAAAGCTAGCATATTGTAATCCTTCAATCTTTTCATAACTGTAGTTGTCTTTTCTAAATCAAGGGCATTCTGAAAGCTTTGATTTGGGTTTTTAAACAAGTTATTCACAGGCTTTGGAGGAGATTTTGGTCTTGTTATAGAAAATCGTCTTGGGGTGTTAAAATAGACTGGGAGTTCAATTCTTTGAGGTTTTGTAATTTCGTGAGGAAATAATTCTGCCTTGCTGCGGTTTGAAAAATGACCTTCCATGTTGTCTTCTGCAAGAGTTCGTGAAGGGAATTTCGGAGTATAATTACGGTATTTGGAGGGTAGAGATCGTGAACGGTCATTAGGCTGAATTGATCTCCAACTTTGAACCTGTATAGTTTTCATTTATTAATGAATTTTAGATAACAATTACTATATAAAAACTCTAATAAGAAGCTAAATTCCCCTTACTAGCCTTTCTTGGCATGGTTTTTTCTTTGCTGATACCCCTATGATCTATAGGCTTTAATACAGGTTTACCTTGTGGCTGTGCAGCAATTTTTCCTCTGGCAGCAGGAGAAGCCAAGCTGATTTCTTGCCCAAGGACTGCACTTTTCCCTTCTCCTGTAAGTGATTTTAAATCAATTGGTTCTAAAGCAGCATTTTTTACCTGTTTTAGAATTTGTGAGTCCCTGCTATGTCCTCCACTTGTAATAGGCCTTCCATCATTTTCAAACCTCCCTTGAGCAATCCCGTTCTCATATTTCGTATTCGAGTATCCATTTCCATTGACTTCTTCATAATTTTGGCCTTCATTTCAGTCAGAAAATTTCATGTTCCTTAAATCTTCATTAGGCTCTTCTTCGTACTGGGCATATTTGGGGTTTGGCTGAGGGTTTTTAGCTTCAGATTGGTAAACTACTGTACGAGTTTTGAGTTCATTTTGAACTATTTCTCGTAGCTGCTGCTTAGGAAGCTTTGGGAAAGTTATTTGCTTTTGCTGAATCACAAAAGCAGGTATTTTTCATTCATGATTATCATCATCCCACCTTGACCTCTGCCTTATCTTCTGCAGCTCATTTGGTGGCAGCATAAACTCAAAAACTCTATGCAAAAAATCAGTCTCTCTTTCCTTTGACCTTATAGTCTCCAAAAGCCCTTCTTTTTCTATTTCATGCTCATGGTTCAAATCTTCAATTTCTGCTAAGCTTGACTTATATTTCAGTCTTAATTTCATTATAACTTTCCTCAAATCGTCGACTTCTTCTTGCAAATTCTGATACTCTTTTTCTTTCATCAGCATTTCTTCTTCTTTTTTTCTGTTTTCTTCAGCTAAAGCTTTTTCCTTTTGTTTTTGTTTTTTCAGTTTATTTCGGAAATCTCGTTGGGCTTTGAGACGCTCTTTTTCTGCTTTGTCAAGTTGCTCGCCACCTGCGATTAGTTGGAGCTGGATTTCTTGGATCATTTTTTCCATGTCTTCTTCTTTTTGTCCGTGATCTTCTTGAGCGAGTTCAAGCTGCAAGGCGGCGGTTTCTTCTTTGATTGAGGTGGTGAGCTTTCTTTGTTTGGGAGATTTCGCATCGGCAGAGGTTTTGCGGCTTTCTTTGGTTTTTATAGAAATTTTGGGGTCTTTGGAGATAATTAAGTCGGCTGTACTAGATTTTGGCTTGGATTTAGGTGCTGGGGAGCCTTCTTTTGAGGTGGGGTCTTCGTCTTTTGCTTGGATACTGGCTACATCTGGTCTGTTAGGTTTGCCTTTGGGTTTATGCTTTAGCTGGCTTTGAGATTCTTCAAGCTCTGTAGCGTCTTCATACTTTGCTTGAAGATTAATTCCATCTGCCTTACTTGGCTTAGCTTTTGATTTATTTTTAAACTGCCTTTGAGATCCTTCAATTTCAGCACTTTCTTCTTCTTTGGATTGGCGGACAATTACATCTCCTTTACTATTCTTAGCATTAGCTTTGGCTTTTTGCCCTTCAAGTTCTGTCCTATCTTCTCCTTTTCCTGGCCTTACTAATAATTAATATAGTGATGTTGATAAAAAATATGTCCTTCTGGGTGTCACCCTTCCTCAAGGTGGCCGATAGGAGGAGGTATCAGGCTAACCTTCCCCCATAGCATCCTCAAGATGTGCAACACAGAGGCGTCTTCCTAGTTCGTTGATACTCAGGGACGTTATACAAGCCCTAGATTCCGGGAGATAACTACTGTTGAAGGGGCTCAGGCAACTGAGCTACTCCTGAAAGCAAGAATCCTGTGGTAGCAAGTGTGTAGAGGCATCAAATCTAGAAGACCTTAAGACTTTTAATTTAATCTGCCTTACTATTAAATCTGCTTTACTTGACTTAGTTTTTGGCTTACTTTTAGGTGGGCTTTGTGACCCCTCAATTTCTGTAGTATCTTCATCCTTCATCTGAAGGTCTGAAGAGTTTTTCTTCGATTTTGAATATTTTTTTGGGTGTTTTGCTATTTCATTTTCCATGGTATTTTCTCCAGAATCTATAGAAGATTGGCTTTTTCCATTTTGTCTGTCATTTATCATTGAGGATTCAAAATCATCAGGATATTCTTCTTCACTATCTGATTCTAACACATTCGCCTTTGGCGCTTTTTTTCTCTTTTTACGTTTTCTTTTAGCCTCAACTTCTACGATTTTTTCTCTTTCCACAATTTTTTCTTTTTCCACAATTTTTTCTATTATAATAGGTTCTCCTGAGCTTCTTTCCTGAAGCATTTTTTTAAGTTTTTCGATTTCTTCAGCATATTGTCGAAGCAGGGCATCTTTTGGGTCTTCATTGACTTTTGGCTTATTTTGGATAAATTTAGCTCTACTTGCGTATCTTAAAGTGCTTAAACTTTCATCATAGTTATAATCAGCAGGAGAGCATACTGCGATCATCACCGTTTTGGTGTTGCCTCCTAATGAATCTTGTAAAAGTCTTGTAAGTTTTGAGTCTCTATATGGAATGTGCTTACACCCTTGTTTATTTTTTATTTTATTTTTTATTAAATATATACGAATAATAATAAAATTTATAAATTTGTTATTAAAAAGAATTAGCACTTCCATCTACCAATGCACTAATTACATTTCCTAACGCACTTAGCGATAAATTAATTTCAATTGCTTCTTTTAATGTATCTCCTGCAACCCCAGTCTTTTTCTGCCTTTCTGAACCAGCTAAATCTACGAGATTTAATTTTCCAGCCTTAATGATTTGTCTTTCTTCAATTTCTTCACTGCTTTCAATATAAATTGTAAAAATTGCATGAGATCTAGATGATCTTTCGTTCATCTGCGTTTCCTTTGTAATTCTGTGTGTGTTACCTTCAGCCATTGCTTGCTCAATCCCATCAACACTTTTTACGGTATGCATTGACAAGTTTTTGACAAAAATTCCATTGTCTTTGTTCTCTTTTAATTCGAGTTTCATATTTGGGTCGAAATGCAGTAAATCTCTGATTTCTTCATTATAGATTTCACAGTAGCTGCATCTCCCTACCCAAAGTAATTTATTTTAGCCAGAGCTTGTGATCCTATAATTATTTTCCAAGCTGAGGGGGTTACTTGAAATCCGCCCCACCGATTACTTTGTGGTGAGTTTTATTAAAATAGCAGAATCTAGCCTAAGTCTTCCTCTGCACTTGTCTAAAGTACTAGCCTAGTCTCGGCTGACGCAAAGGTCGCAATCTGGTTTATTTTCCAAGGCATAAAAATAGACAAAGCACGACTTCGTCGTGCTACTAAATCTTTTGGATAATAATTAACCAATCTGCATCTCACTAAAAAACATTTTTCATGAGGAGCTTCAGCAATAGCACTAAAAACATGTGAAAAAGAATTAGGAATAATCCCTCTAAGTTCTGGTGGATCATTAACACCAACCATCGTATAAGTTTTCCCACAGCCTGTTTGCCCATACGCAAATATAGTTCCGTTATAGCCTTGAATTACGCTTTCTACCAAAGGAAAAGCGGTTTCATCATATAACAGCTGCTGAGGACATTGTTCATCATAAACTGAGTCATATGCAAAAGTTTTTGGGACTTGGGTTTTTGGGTTAGTAATTGTACATTGGTTAAATTCACGGTCTATTTGAATTATGCTATAATTTCCTCGACCTTTTTCTGTTTGATTTAAGGGTCGGACCCTTACAACAACTTTTACAGCTTCCATATTTCTATATTTACTCCCCCCCTCCGTGAGTGAACAAAACCATTAGAAAAATCCCTATTTTTTGGCCAAAAACCAACCTTCCGTGAGTGAACAAAAATTTTTTTTTAATAGAAAAATTTTTAATGGAAAAAAAAATTTATATATAAATGATAATTAGTATAATGAAATCTAGAGCTAATTCTGTTTAATTTTAAACGAATTGCTTTTTAAAACATAAATTTTATAAATTAAATTAATATTTGCTTTCAAAATTTTGCGAATTAGGATTTTTTTAAATTTCGAAAAACAAATTATTTATAAAATTTATATATTTAAATTTTTTAAAAAAAAAAAATTAACCCCTCTCCGTGAGTGAACAAAATTTTTTTTGTTCACTCACGGAGGGGGGGGGAGTTAGGTTTTTTTGAATTCAAAGCTGGGACAAGTGAAAATTATCTTGAAAGATTTAATCAGTCTTAAAGATGATTATTATAGATCATGAGGTTTGAGATTAAGGAAAGATATTTATAAAATAAATATAGAAATAATTTATATATGAAATAGAGATCTTATATTCTTTTCTAATAGATATTTTTTGCTACTAAAATTTAAAACCGATATTGATTATGGAAATTAAGTTAAAAATGATAATTTTGCCTGTCTTTTTTATGTTTAAGGATTTTATGACCTTAAATTATATGTTTTCAATTTGTTTGATGGATTAATAATATTAAGACAGAAATTAGCTGCCAAGGATGATTATGTAAGCATATTCTTCAAGATTTCTAGCATTATTGTTGAACATTATAGAAAGTCAAGTCATATGTATATTTATTATTTTTAGTATCTAAGTCTCACACAATAGTATTCAAATTACAAATTCTGATCGTGAAATTGGTAAACTATCCATATAATTTTATCGTTTATTGTTTAACTCAGAATAAATAGCTTCTTAGAATTTTGGATGTATAGATGATTAAATTGTATAGTAAATTCGATTTATCTTCCACTAAGCTTTAGTGTTTAAATTAATGATAATTCAAATAACTTTCAATTATTAAACATTTTCCTTAAGCTACCATTCAAATAAAGGCAAAAAATTTATTGAACCATGTGTTTTCGATCCAAAGCTTAAATTTCCCACGCACTAAAGTATTTTTAATAAGATCGTAAAAATATTTCTCATTTTTCAAGATTTATTTTGAAATTCTGAGATCTTTTTCCTATTAGTTTATAATAAATGTAAATACTTTATAAAGGCGAAGCTGCCAGAGGTCTTTACGTATTTATTGATTCTAATTTATCTATTCAATACTACGTTGCTATGTATACTAGACCGAAATTAAAAAACCTTTCTTTTATAAAAATTGTCTTCTATTATAAGCTGCGTCTGCTATAAAACATTTGCTTTTACCAAGACTTGTTTCCTTAAAGCTAGCCTATATCAAACCCTTTCTAAACCCCAAAAACAAAAATTCAACGTACCTTCTTGTTTCTCCTTAATCTTGCTAAACCATCAACTGAATTCATCATTTCAAGCAACCTGCTACACTTTCCCACTAATAAATTATTACACTCTGCCGTCTAATGCTAATCTTAGTCAGTAAAAATATTTACTGAATTTCTATTTCAAACTCCATAACGAAAACCGATATAATATGTGGATCAGTAATCTAATAAACTAATAAAAATAACCAATGTCCGATTCAAAGCATGCAGATTTGTTAGTAATCGGCGGAGGAAGTGGTGGACTTGCCGCAGCTCGTCGTGCAGCTAAGTATGGTGCTAAAGTCATTGTAGTAGAGTCCTACCGTTTAGGTGGATTATGCGTTAATAATGGATGTGTCCCCAAAAAAGTCATTTGGAACTCAGCTCATATACTAGAAGGGCTTCATTTGGCAAAAGAATATGGCTTTGACGTGACTCACTCCCATAACTGGGCTACACTTAAAGCAAACAGGGATGCTTATATAGCAAGACTTAACGAAATTTATGCCAATCATCTCAGACATGATGGTATAGAGTTTATTTTTGGGACTGCAAAATTCATAGGCCCTGATTCCATTACAGTCGATAACTCCCTTATAATCACTGCTAGCCATATTTTAATTGCGACTGGATCTAAGCCAATGATTATGGACATTCCTGGCAAGGAACATTTCTTAACAAGTGACAATTTCTTTGCTATGGAAACTCTTCCTAACAACGTTTTACTTGTAGGAAATGGCTATATTTCTTGTGAACTTGGAGGTATTTTCAACACTTTTGGGGTAAAAGTTACAATTTCTATGAGAGAAGACCATCTTTTGTCTGTTTTTGATAGAGAGGTTACAAATAAACTTATGGAGCAGATGGCTAAAGACGGGATTTCATTTTTACCTGGGAGAGATATAGTTGAAATTAAGCAGGTCGATGGAGGATATCATGCATTTTTTAATACAGGAGAAAGCTTTGTATTTGAAAAAATTTTCTTAAATATAGGAAGAGTTGGGATGGTTGATGGACTCGACATACTCTTTTTCAGTGTTTTTTTTAAAAAAAATATTTTTATTAATAATTAATTAAAAAAGTTTTGGTAATTATATTTATTTTAGGGTTAAATTAGAAGCTGCAGGTGTTGTAATGGCAAGATATAGAGGCATTCAAGTAGATGAGTATGAAACTACAACAAATCCTCATATTTACGCCCTTGGAGATGTAACAAGAAAGCTCCAGCTTACTCCAATTGCAGTTGCAGCAGGAAGAAAGCTGGCTGATAGACTATTTGGAGGCCAGTCAGACGCAAAGTTAGATTATACAAATGTCCCAACAACCATTTTTGCTCATCCACCACTTGGGTCAGTAGGACTTATGGAGCAGCAAGCAAGAGAGAAATATGGAGATGATAATGTGAAGGTCTATAGATCAAGCTTCACCAATATGTTTTTCGCTTTGACTGAGCATAAAGAGCTGACCTTTATGAAGCTCATATGTGCTGGACCTGAAGAAAGAGTGGTTGGACTTCATGGAGTAGGAAGAGGCATTGATGAGATGATACAAATAACTTAAATATGGAGTCTCAGCGCTTCACGGTTGGTTATGCCGACTTCCTTCGAGCACATAACCTGCAAGAAGAAGAAAAGAGTTACGTTATCCCTAACCTATATGCACTACTTCTTTATTATATGTGCAATAAACTTGTCAAAGTTCATAATTGATTGCTGATTTTGCAATCCATCTCCAATTATTGTCACTGCCAATTTTGATTGTTGATTCTGCAATCCATTTCCAAGCATTGTCACGGGCAATTCCGCATCTTAAAGCATTGTCACTGCCAATTCCACATCCACACATCCAGTATTCAATCTTCAATTGCTTTTCTGCAAAAATAAGTCCTTGCTTGCATTCTGGAAGAAATCCTTCCTTATCCTGAATCTTAGCCTTGACGTTGTCAATGGTGTTGAGCTTTCAGTCTTCGATTTCGCTACAACTGGAGCTGGTTTTTGCTTAGCTTTAGGCTCTCTTAGCCGTTCCTTAGGCCACTCTTTTGCTGTTCCTGGGGCCACTCTTTTGGCTGTTCCTGGGGCCACTCTTTTGGCTGTTCCTGGGGCCACTCTTTTGGCTGTTCCTGGGGCCACTCTTTTGGCTGTTCCTGGGGTTGTTCTTTTGCTTGCTTCTTAGGTTTTTCAGCCTTTGCTGCACTTTCTGGTTTGAACTTGTTGGTTCTTCTTCCTCCCTGAGCCATCTGAGCCATCTGCCTCTGCTTTTGCTGTTTTTTGTGCTCCGCAGCATTGTGACCGACTTGCTGGCAAGCATCATAGGCAAGGATCCCCGCATGTCTTAGCCAAATGGTCTTTCCACCAGCAATCAGGCGGTCTGGATAGGCCAGGGCATGCTCCAGGGTAGGAAATTTAAAGTAGGCAGCATAACGGGACTCAGGGATGAAAGTCAAAGTCACATTCTTGTTCCCTTGCAGGATCGTGTTGTTCATGGTCACTTCCACCTCTCTAGCATCTTTCCTAATAATATCAGTGACCTCTTCAAGCGGAATGCCGGGGTGGGAGTGTGAATCCTATTCGGTATCGGAGGTAGTTAATTTCTCCCCCAGTGAGAAATGGACCCACTGGGACATAGCAGGTAGCTTGCTTGAGTTTGAGGCTTATGAATCCTGCTTCTAAGAATTCTTCGTACTTTTCGCGGTTCTTGAAGGTCAAGGCGGCATCCCCTGATGGCAGACGATTGCTTCGAAGGATCGTTTAGGGAGCGAAGTTTGTGTTTATTGAGACACAAAACGACGCGTAAAGGTCCTTCTTCTCCTCTTGGGTGGCCTTCAGATGAAATTGGACAGGTAAAATTTTGCCGTCCAGCCCATAAGCTCATGCTCACGGGTGAATGGCAGGGAAATTGTTAGGGAGGTGAACGCAAACACTACGCCGCTGTCATCAATCCCCAAAGCCAACACATGCTGGTCTTGGGCCGCTCGAGTCGGCCAGTGGAATTGTTCGTTCTCCTCCATCTTTTTTAAAAGTATAACCGGCAAGGTTTTGCTAGCTTAGAAAAGGGCAGCAAGGGGACGCCGCCAAGTCTACAAGTAAAACCTAGACCAATTGGGGAAGCTCTCCAGCGTGAAACTAGAGTTAAGCCCTGAGGCTACGAGATTTCCTTTTGTGCCAATAGTTGGCTAGAAACCTATTTTTTGGATTTTTTGCTTACACCCCCCATCTTTGATTGAATGATTCACTGCAAAAATTCCTAAAAATTGGGAAACTTAACCCCATCCTTGATCGAACGATTTTCGTATCATGAGAATTTTTATAGATATAAAAATATATTAGTTATCAAAAACTTGGGAAAGATGTGCTAATGAAGTTGCTTTCAGAGGCTTTGAGACGACAGGAAGCTACGAAATCAACCATCCGAAGTGCCTTAGTTATCAACCCGGGCTTAAAAACTCAATAATCTAAAATAAAGATTCTTTAAAATTTAAAATTTTTTAATTCAATAAGGAACAAATTAAAATTTATAAAGTTTAAAGGGGTAACCAATAAATCAAAATATTAAAAATTGGTATTTTATGAAATTAATTCAATTTTTTGCTGCAAAAATAATTATTAAGATTAAGATTAAGATTACGCTGGGTATTTAAGGTCCCTACTACGTCCGAGGAGGCATTCCACGGTTTCCCGTGTGGTGGCAGAGCGTTCACCAAGCCCGGGCCGAAACCCCCGGTTTCTCGGTAGAGGTATTGTCAAGGGCCGTCTTATACCGGCTTTGCTGACCGCCTCCATTTCCAACTTGGATCGTCGCCTAAGTTTACGCCAATACTGCCGCATCGTCCGCCAGATCTGCCCATTGAAGGGCACCTTTTCAACTGGAGATACCCCCGTTTAGTTGTCTAACTCGCCTTCCCCTCTTTTCCGGTCATCCCGAGAAAGAACTCAACAGCTTTCGCCATTCGGGGCGAGCCACAAAAGCAGCTTAGGCAGGTAAGTCGCCCTGCCTCATTTCGGGCACTCACTGGGCTGAGCGCTGCTGGCAAAAAGAAGTCACGAGTAACTGCCTATGGGTCTGGTCGCAAAAACAGCGGCTTTCGCGCTTAGGCCTCTCGCTTCGAGGTCCCAGACATTGTTGGGCTAACTCCTGGCTCCAAAAACCATGCCCGGATATACATGGGTAACCACCACTGAGAGGGTGGGTCGGTCGCCATACGCCATTTTATGTATATCCAAAAATAATTATTAAATACTCTTAACCCTCTTAATTAAAAGTATATAAAAAAAAATACATGTATTTGTATTTTATATATAAATTTTTTTCTCTCAAAAAATTTGTTTTAACCCCATCCTTGGTTGAAGGATGACGAGCCGTTCGATCAAGGATGGGGAGAGTTAGACAACCTTGTACCCTCCTCAGTCTCAAGCAGGGCAATAGATGTCCAATTGTTGCCTATTAACACTGAAGCCTGAAGGCAAAGAGGAGGCACTGTCATCCCTGTTGGAAGACACGGCCGCAAAGCGGTTGAATCTCCTTTGGAGATATCTAGCGACTATGTTAGAACTAGGTTAGCACATCTTATATTTTAAGTTTAAGTTTAGATGAGATGATACAAGGATTTGCTGTGGCTGTGAAGATGGGGGCAACGAAAAGAGATTTCGATAACACTGTGGCTATACACCCTACAGCGTCTGAAGAATACGTTACTATGGTTTAAATTCTTTAACCATTAATATATATTCGAAAATTATTTTTTATATTTAAATTCTTATTTCAAGCATTAGGGAGGTTGACTAGATTTATATTTGAAGACTGAGCAGCTAAGATCCCTATTATATTATGAGATCCAGCATATATCCAATAAATATAAACACTAAAAGCAGTTACTGTCAAATAACTTAATTTCTTTACCTTTACCTTTAAATTCAACAGATCCACTCCTCCAAGCCTTGTGGTCTTTCAATCAGTTAGCTATCTAACTTAGGCTGTGTAAATATTTAACTTAATTTCTTTAAAATTTCAATTGTAATTATTTGTCTAATATAATTTAATAATGAACTCATCAAAACGTAAGCAAAACAATTGAGCCTAAGTATATTAGGCTCCAATAATTTTCTAGCCAAGTGAGCCAGATCAAATGAAAAATATTTCATTATATTTCATGCTTGCAAATTACAATTTTAAACTGGTCAAGTACAATTAATTGCTTAAGGACGAAAATGCTATTTTTATCAAAAATAAACAGAGAGATTTATTATTTAAAAATTCCTATCAATTTCTTCCATCCTATATGAAAGAATACAAAACTTTTCATAGCGCCAAATTTAAATTTATTTCTAAATATCCATTGAAACCTTCAATTTTAAATTAGCCTAAAGACAAAATAGTGAATAAAACAAATATGGAGCAACATCCAATTTACTAATAAAATAATAAATGCTCGAGTCGAAGCATGCTGATTTCTTACTCTATCCATTTTGTCCAATTATTTATTTAAAATTTTGTATAAAATATAATCAAAATGCCCAGAAAAGCAAACAAAAAGTTAGTGATAGGCGGAGGAAGTGGTGGAATTGCATCAGCACGCAGGGCAGCCAAATATGGTGCTAAAGTGATTCTAGTTGAATTTAATCGCTTAGGTGGACTATGTGTTAACAATGGATGTGTTCCAAAAAAAGTTTGTTGGAACGCTGCACATATTTTAGAAGGAATCACCCTCTCTAAAGAGTATGGCTTCGACACATCAGCCTCTCACACATGGGCCACGCTTAAAGCTAATAGAGATGCATATATCGCTCGACTCAATGGAATTTATGCCAAGCTCCTGACGAACTCTGGAGTTGAGGTAATATTTGGCCGCGCTAGATTTGTCGGCCCAGATATAATATCTGTTGATGATTCTCTATTAATCACTGCAACGAATATTTTAATTGCGACTGGATCACAGCCAAGAGTATTAGACATTCCAGGCAAGGAACATTTTTTAACAAGTGATGCTTTCTTTGCTTTAGAGACTCTACCAAGTAGTGCTTTACTGATTGGTAGTGGCTATATTTCCTGTGAATTAGCATGTGTATTTAACACTTTTGGAACAAAAGCTACAATTGCTATGAGGGAAGACTACCCTTTAATAGCATACGATCGTGAAGCAACAACTAAGCTTATGGAACAGATGAGTAAAGATGGAGTTACATTTTTGCCGTCAAGTAACATTGTTGAAATCAAAAAGACAGATGAGGGACTTCATGCATTTTTCGACAATGGGCAAAATTTTGTGTATGAAAAAATATTTTTGAATATCGGTAGAGATGCATATGTAGATGATCTTAACTTAGAAGCAGCCGGCGTACAAATGGTCGGGCTAAGAAAAATCCAAGTCGATGAGTATGAAGCTACAACAAATCCACATATATATGCAATTGGAGATGTTACCAAAAAGCTTCAGCTTACCCCAATAGCTATTGCAGCTGGAAGAAAACTAGCAGAAAGGCTATTTAATGGGCAAGTTGATTTAAAGCAAGACTACACAAATGTGCCGGCTGTAATTTTCACGCACCCACCACTTGGGACTGTTGGAATTACAGAGCAACAAGCAAGAGCTCAGTATGGAGATGATAATGTGAAAGTCTATAGATCAAGCTTCACCAATATGTTTTTCGCTTTGACTGAGCATAAAGAGCTGACCTTTATGAAGCTCATATGTGTTGGACCTGAAGAAAGAGTTGTTGGACTTCATGGAGTAGGAAGAGGCATTGATGAGATGATACAAGGATTTGCTGTAGCTGTGAAGATGGGGGCGACGAAGAGAGATTTCGATAACACTGTCGCTATACACCCTACAGCATCTGAAGAGTACGTCACTATGGTTTAAATTCTAGCTAATTAAAAAGGATTAATGAATGCATGATATAGGAATTGATGATTTCTAATTCTTATAATAGAATTATAATGCTTATCATTATTTTCCAAGATATAGAGCATTCTATTTATGGGTCATTCTTAGCTTGCCATCTATGGCTAGCTTTTCGATTAGTAAAACTAGTTAAATGCAAGCTGTTGTAACACTCTCTATAGTTATTATACTTTAACGCAATTAAAATATTACTAGTTTGATTATTTTTCTTTCTAAATTCTGTTATCTTCAGCATAATAAGTTATGCTTTTAATATTTATGCTTTGCAGCTTATACTCTTCTTGCTCTAGGTTTTGTACATTATCTAGTTTATCTGGTTCAATTACATTATTTTCTGGCTCTGTTAAGCTGTTCTCTGGTTCAGCAGAAATAATTTCAGTCTCAATAAAATTGCTTTCTTCGCTTTCCTCAGCTAAATTACTTTCCTTATTTTCTTCAATTAAAATTTTTTCTTTAGTTTCTTCGCTTAAAGTTTCATGAAGAGATTCCAAACTTGCATCTATTATAAGCTCATTTTGATTCTTTATAGTGGATAAATAAAATGGCTTTCGCTCGAGCGAAGTTAGCTCTGCTAACTTTCTCTCTCTCAAGCAATTTTATTTATAGGGTTGGGTTTTCATCTCAAGAACTTCTGCACAGCAATAGCGGTTTAACTTCGGGTATAACCAGAGGAACTGCTCCTCAGTGCGCTCAAGATCTGGAGTTTCTACCCCTCAGCACATCCCAAGGGAGATGTACCCTCAGGCGGAACACGCGCAGGAGCTGAGTCGAAATAAAGCCGTGGCGACAGCGAAGCCCGTCGAAGCCGGAACGCCTTGTTTGCCTGTGCCCTGGTGAACAAAAGGGACCGATCCAGAGGTCTCTGGCCCGACACGTGGACAAATATGGTGAAAGCTCTGGAAACGGCTACCCCGTAGTGGACGTTAAACGACTAATAAATTAATATGATATGATATGATTCTTTATAGTGGAATTTTCATCTGTGGAGATTTCAATATTTTCGAAAATTATTGCTTCAGTAGCCTTTATTACATCTTCCAATATGCTATCGACATTTCCATTCTGCAAATCTGCTTCAATTACTTGTGGTGAGAATTCTTGAGGAGCTTCCATAGTTTCTGTTACTTCTTGTTGAGATACACTCTCAAGGTCTTTATTTAATGCTTCTGCAGTTTCCTTTTCAGATTTTTCTTCATTAATTACTTCATTTGCATCTGTTTCTTCTTTATTCTTTAAAATTAGTAAAGAAAGTGATCTGATGTGGCTTCTGGTGTACAGACTAGAAAAGAGGAGCTGCATTGTGGAAGTTTGCCGGGTTAGTTTTTTTGGTCCAAAGGCTGACACTCAACCTTTTTTCCTGGCTTGAAGGAGCGATGGCCCTCTGTACTCTATGGGATCATTACCGGTCTGTATGCAGCTCAGAAATTTTATAGAGGAGGCAAAGGTGATCGACCAGACCCGAGCCCTGCCGAAGGTTCAGGGAGTCTATATCGTTTTCCAGGGCCAAGGAGACGGGTAGAGTGATCTCCCCCGCGAAATCATCTATGTTACCAAATTTTTGGTGATGTCAGGAGTAAAGGGGAGGTGTGAGGATAATGCTTAATGCCACGAGAAGTATCCGTGAGACGGTGAGGGGCTGAAATAATCCCATTTAGAACCGCTATGCTTTTAATCTAATCTTCATTATTTTTGCTATTTTCTTGCTTAATCAAATCCTCATTTGAGCTATCACCTACTTGCTCTTTAACTTCTTCATCTTTTTCACTATTTTCTTCTTTCTTTTCCACTTCCTCATCTTCCCTCAATATTTTCATATACTGCTCATTTTTAAATAAAGCCAGCATTTTTTGCAAATAAATATCAAACTGAGGATCATTAACTCCCCCCCCTCCGTGAGTGAACAAAACCATTAGAAAAATCGCTATTTTTTGCCCAAAAAACCCACCCTCTGTGAATGAACAAAAATTTTTTTAATAGAAAAATTTTTTATAGAAAAAAATTTTGATATATAAGTGATAATTAGTATAATGAAATCTAGCGCTAATTCTGTTTAATTTTAAACGAATTGCTTTTTAAAACATAAATTTATTAATATTTGCTTTCAAATTTTTGTGAATTAGGATTTTTTTAAATTTCGAAAAAAAATATTTTTTATAAAATTTATATATAAATTTTTTTTTAAAAAAAAAAAATTAACCCCCCTCCGTGAGTGAACAAAAAAATTTTTGTTCACTCACGGAGGGGGGGGAGTAAGTGCCGAAAAATATTCAGTGGCCTGTTGGTATAAGCTTATCAATGAGTTAATTTTGTCTTTATAGATTCCATTTTCTATATCTTTTTCAGTCTCATTGATTTTTTCTAGGATTTCTTTTACATTTATCCTTTCTAATGAATTAACATTGACATCTTCTTCCTGCAAAGTTGGTGTTTTTGGTTTTTCTTTTTTTATCGAAACCCCCAGTTTTTCTACATTTGATAATATTAACTCAACTAATTCTTTTGATTTAAACACCCTGAACTGTTGGCAGAACCCTTGAATTTTCCCACATCTTTTTCATTGAATATTCAGCCTGTCAGGGTCAATTTTTGACTTTGATATAGCTTCAATTGACTGTAAAGTTGCCCAGAAAATCAGATGTCCTACATTATTCAGATGTGGGTTGATATCAAATTGTAGTACCATTGTATGAGTAATCACAATAGCTCGTTCTCTATTAAATTTTGGATTTAAAGGATCTACTTCAATGCATGGGAAAGCACCCATGCTTTCTTTAACTTCCCAGGAATCGAGAAAATAAGGGTGCCCTAACTCCCCCCCCTCCGCGAACAAAACCATTAGAAAAATCGCTATTTTTTGCCCAAAAACCCACCATCTGTGAGTTAACAAAAATTTTTTTAATAGAAAAATTTTTTATGGAAACAAAATTTTGATATATAAATGATAATTAATATAATGAAATCTAGAGCTAATTCTGTTTAATTTTAAACAAATTGCATTTTAAAACATAAATTTTATAAATTAAATTAATATTTGCTTTCAAATTTTTGCAAATTAGGATTTTTTTAAAAAAAAAAAAATTAAACCCCCTCCGTGAGTGAACAAAATTTTTTTGTTCACTCACGGAGGGGGGGGGAGTAAATGATATTTCCCTATCAAACTTATCTGGTTTTGGCTTGATGATATAAAATTTACGAGTAAATTAATAATTTCATACGCTGTAATGCTGGAGTCTCATTTTCTCCGAATAATATCCTCAAGCAAATCTCTTCCATCTGCTATTGAAGGAAAACCTATAACTGTCTCCAGCATGACTTTAGGCTGCTGCAAAGGAAATTTCCCATGAAGATGAATTTCAAAGACAAGAGATTTCGAGTCGAAGCCGAAAAAAGATTGATTTTCCATTGAGATTTGGACTGTGTAGCCTAGGCTTGACTTTTTAGCTGTAATGGTGAAGGTGTTTTTGAGATCTTCGAGAAGTTCAAGCTCTCTTTTAAAGCGAGTTTCTTGGAGTTCATTAGTAAATGTTGCCATTTCTATTTAATTTAATCTCTAAGGCAGGAAAAGGGTTATGCAGAGCCTAGGTAACGATTTAATTAAGAGATTATTTTACACTATTTTTCTAAATAAAAATGGCTTTGAGAAGCATCATCAGGCGAGCTTCATCTTCTATTAATATACTTTCGTTTTTTTTGCCTATCAGGCAAAAAATCAACACCTAGCGCCGCTTAGGATCCGAGGCTCCGCATCCGCAAGAATGTTGGAGTGCGTTTTCAGCATAATTTAGCTTATAAGTAATGTGCAGCAGCAAATTCAGGATGACTTCACGAAATAAAGGGTGCTAGGAGGCTCCTTGTTGAGTTGGGTATGTGAAGGAGGCCCAGATATCATCTTAAGCCGATTCCTCTTCTGGAGCAGGACCTGAAATTGCTTGATCTTGGATTCAGAATGAACAGGGATCTCCTAGAGAGATAATACATTACCAATAGGTGATGACGTGACCAGAAATTTTTTTACATTTTTAGAAAAAATTTTTAAAGGCTTAAGGGCCTAAATCAATGCCCATTAAAGCATTCTCTCTATTAATACAAATTACCGAATCTGGGCACAAGAAAAGCAAAATGACACCTCCCAATTCACAAAATCTCATCTGCTCAACAGTGGCTATCTTCGTGATGGTCAAATCCCTGAGGCTCTCCAGTATGATCATGCCTATAAATTAACAACTCTTAGCAATGGAGTCCGAGTAGCCACAGAACCCTTCGACAACGCAATAGCCACAGTTGGTGTCATGATTGAAGCAGGCTCTCGTAACGAGACTATGGCAAACACTGGGATCGCCCACTTCCTCGAGCATCTTCACTTCAAAGGAACCAACAAAAGGACCAGAATTCAGTTAGAAAGTGAAATAGAAAACATGGGAGGAAACCTAAATGCTTATACTTCAAGAGAGACCACGCTTTACCATTAACATTAACATTAAGTATATTATTAAGAGACCAGTCGTAATACCTAGGGTTTCCCCCGGTCTACCTTCACCCTTGACGCTTCACCTGGCTTCTCACACCAATCGATCACGACCTTCAAGGTGTTGCTCCTACTGGACGAGGATGTGCACTCGCTATCCGTAATTGGATGAGTTACGCCACCCGGTTCCTTCACACGAGGTCTACTCCATAACGACTATTTTTTTTTGGCCTATTTTTTTTTGGGCCTATTTTTTTTTGGCCTATTTTTTTTGGCCTATTTTTTTTTGGCCTATTTTTTTTTGGCCTATTTACGTATTTATCTATTTTACGAAGCCGTTCCTTCACACTAGCACTACTAAAATTAAAACTTTTTAACTTCGACTTAGTGACATCGATAATAAAATGGCAGACCAGGTGGCATTCAAGCAATCAATTCGTGATGGTAGAATTGCTTTCTGTCAAGGCTATGCATATAGAGTAAATAGGAAAGATCCCAGTATAAGGAGAACATACTGGAAGTGCATCAAATACTTACTTCCCTTTCCAACGTTTTTACTCATACTCGAAATTGCAAATATGTACAAAAAAAGAATTTAATTCAGTTTGTAAAATTAGGCTTAAGAAAGCACTTTAACTAAATGCAATATGATTATTTAGAGATTTTATTTTAATAACCATAATTTATATATAGTCTTATAAAATAAATTTTATTCACTTATTTTTAAAAAAAAAAGATTTTCGAATAATTTTGCTTTCTAATAGGATGAGAGTTAGAAGGTTGCCGCTGCACAATGGTCACAGAAAATGATTCCTTAATAAAAATCAAAGGAAATCATGATTTTCACCCTCCCAAATCAAGCTGAAATGAGCGCTAAATTGGATTTAAAAGAAAGCTTGAAAAGGAATTTGAACGAAAATCCTTTTTGAGAAATTCCAACAATGGCCAGAGACTTACTCAGCAGTGTGCCTAAAAAGATAAAGTTATCTCAAGAAACTAAAGCAAACCTGCCATCGCAAAGGAGTATTGAAGCTGCTCTTTACAGAGAGCGCGAATTAAGTGTTCTAGAGCTTCCTAATAGTTTGGCAGAATTGGTGCTTGAAGGCAAATACAGAATGACTAATGACAACTTGGAGTTTTTACTTATTGAAGATGGAATTGAAGATAAAATCCTTTGTCTTTGGAACTATTTTAGAGCTTCAAAAGCTATGTGGATGCGATGTCGTGTTTATGAATGGAACTTTTCACAGTGCACCTAGTATTTTTGCTCAAAATTACATACTTCATGGCATTTGTCTAGGCCAAATGGTACCATTGCTATGGGCTCTTCTTCCTGATAAGGCAACAACTACCTATGAGAGGCTTTTAAGTCTCATCAAAAAAGAAGCAGAAAGAATTGGCTTAGCTTTCAGCACCAAAGCCTTTCAAATTGACTTTGAGATGGCAGTTATCAATGCAATAGCCATTCTGTTTCCTTATGCTCAAATAAGAGGTTGCTTCTTTCATTTCTCGCAGTGTTTGTGGCACAAAAATTCAAGAGTTAGGCTTAGCAACAGATTACAAGACTGATGGCTCAGCACTTAGAAGTTACGCCAAAGCCATTCAATCTTTAGCTTTATGTCCTCTGGACCAAATAGATGAAGCGTGAGAAATCATAGCATTATTTGAGCCAGAAGGGGAAAGAGTTCAATAATTTACTGCATATTTTATGAGAACATGGCTGCTATCAAATGCAAAATTCAGACGCGAATTTTGGAACCACTTTGACAATGATGGTATGCGGACTACTAACAATCTTGAAGGCTATCATCACGCACTAAATAAGTTAGTAGGGGCTGCTCACCCAAATATTTTCAAATTCATTGAAACCATAAAGAATGAGCAGCAGATATTCAGTAAAGTTTTGGCTAATATTGCAGGGGAGCCAAACCACCCAGCAGTAGGAAAAAATACAGGCTTTTGCATGAAGCTGTTGAGAGGACAAAAATTTTATTGAGGAGAGGAGACATTTCTTTAAGCGATTATATTGAGCAAATTAAGTGGAAAACTCCTAATTAATTCAAAAAAATTCTCTAGTTTAAAAAAAAAGTAATTAGTATTCTAAATGCTGAACGGCCTGTGAAGGGTGAATAAAAATTTACTTATATTATTTTTTTTTGAAAAAAAAAATGATTAAAATTTTATATTGGGCCCAAAAAAATATGCCAAAAAAAAATATGCCAAAAAAAAAATAGGCAAAAAAAAATAGGCCAAAAAAAAATAGACCAAAAAAAATAAGCCAAAAAAAAATAGGCCAAAAAAACAAATAGGCCAAAAAACAATAGGCCAAAAAAAAATAGGCCAAAAAAAAAATAGGCTAAAAAAAATAGGCTAAAAAAAAAATAGGCTAAAAAAAATAGGCCAAAAAAAAATAGGCCAAAAAAAAATAGTCGTTATGGAGTAGACCTCGTGTGAAGACACGACGCCACCCAGGTACGTCAACAGAGGTGCCCATTTCGAAAATTTGAAAATAATTTTCTGGTAGGACTGTCGGCTAAAGTGAAAATCCAAAGCTTGGGACGTGGCGCCCAGTTTCACGCTAAGGAGTTGCCCGATGGGCCAAGTATGCATCCTTGGTGCTGCTGAGCTTCCCCTTTCCAACCTTGGAAAATCCATTTCCCCTGAGGCAAAAACCCTGGTATCAGAATGAGCTGGGTCGACCTTATTCGACGCTGCGCTCCACTGCGCCAAGGAAAAACCTAGCCGGATATACTTACCGAGTGCCTATTTCCCTTCCACAAAGTCCCCAGCGAACGCAGCTACAAGTTTGAGAAAAAGGGCTGGTTCGCTGTCACCATTTTAATGTATATACCACGCTTTACCAAATGCAGGTTTTTAAAAACGACGTGTCCAGAGCTATGGAAATTATTAGTGATATGCTACTAAGCTCAAAATATGATAAAACCAGCATTGAGATAGAAAGAGAAGTCATTTTGAGAGAAGCACAAGAGGTAGATGCGGATATGAGAGAAATGATATTGGAAAATGTCCATTATACGGCATATAGGAACCATATTATGGGACAGCCAATCTTGGGACATAAGACGAGCATTATGCAGATAAATAGAGATCAGCTGAAGAAGTTTATATATACACACTATGTGGGGCCGAGAATTGTAGTTTTGGGGGCAGGGCCGATTAGTCATGACCAGTTGGTAGATATAGCTGAAAAAAACTTTGGGAAAGTAGCTAACTCCAACGAGAACAATAAAGACTATTTGTTACTTATGGAAAAATATTATTAGATTTTTTTTTGGATTTAATATAAGTTATGCATTTTAAAGTGTTAGTTTTGAAGATTATTTTTTAATAAAAATGTTATTTAAGTAAATTTATCATATAAAAATAAATTTCTCCAAAAATGAGGAATTCTTCATTTTCATCAAAGGAGTAAGACAACTGAATATCCTTTTGATGGAGAAGATCCTCCTGAGTTCTGTGGATCTTCAATCTATGTTAGGAACGATTTAGATGAGCTAGCCCACATGGGAGTCTTCTACGAGGCTCCTTCATGGAAGCACGAAGACTACTGGCCATTTTTGCTTCTCCAAAGAATTATGGAATATGACCCAAATGCACCTATAAACACAAACTATCCTTATGGGCTCTACAATTATATGAACAGATGGTTTGGGGACATGAAAGATATTAAAAAACAAGAATGCTTATTTATCCCTTACAGAGACACTGGGATGTTTGGCCACTACGCCTCAGGTGAGTTCATAACCTCATTAATCAAGCCAACAATTGATAGAAAACAAACATACCTCGAAGAACTGTCATTTGAAGAAATCCAAAGAGCGAAAAATAAAATTTATACTGAGTTGTTAGCTATTGAAGCAGGAAGCGACATGATTCAAACCCTTGGGTGCCAGCTCATTTATATGGACAAAAAAGTACCGAAAACTGAAATAGCTTCAAGAATTGCAGCTATGGATAAGAAGTATTTGGAAGCGACTTATAAGAAATGATTTTCTGAAGGAGATACTGCATTAGCTATATATGGGCCGACAAGCACAATACAGAGAATTAATGAAGTATAGATATATAAAGCGTTAATTTAGCTTAAGATATTACGATTTTTTGAAATTATAGTTAGTGACACTGACTGACACGGGGTGCTTTTGCTTAGTTTCGAGCCAAAAGCACCCCGTGGCAATCAGTGTCACTGACTATAATTAGTTTTTGTGAATAAATTTTAATATTAATTTATGTGGTGTTGCATTTTAGATGAATATTTATTCTTATTCTGAGGATTCATATCAAAAAATACCTTAAATAGACCAATTAAATCTTTACGAAATTAAAATTCCTCACTCCCCCCTCTATTAGTGAACAAAACCATTAGAAAAATCCCTATTTTGCGATATGGAAAAAAATTTGATATATAAGTGATAATTAGTAAATGAAGTTTAGAGCTAATTCTGTTTAATTTTAAACAAATTGCATTTTACAACATAAATTTTATAAATTAAATTAATATATACTTCCCAATTTTTGAGAATTAGGATTTTTAAATTTCGAAAAAAAATATTTTCTATAAATTTTTCTTAAAAAAAAATTAGCCCCCCTACATGAGTAAACAAAATTTTTTTGTTCAATCACGGAGGTGGGAGTTGGAGTTATCTTTTTAATATTAATAAATTAGGAGAAATTCATGAAAAAATTTGACTATAAAAATTGGATTCTTGGAGGACTCGCTGTAATTGGTGCAAGTGCTTTGCTTTATTATTTTATTGATAAAAAAGACGCTAAATCCAAAGAAAAAGCCTTAATTCCTAAAAAAGACCTTGAAAATATTCTAAAAGATCTTGACAATGAGCTATTAGGGGTTTATCTTAATTTACCAGGGCTTATAAGAACTCATAAAGAGCTAACTGGTAGCATTGACAATGAGGATATAAAAGAATTTGTGGACTCTCGTTTTCACATTTCTAACGAAATCCAATCAATTGCAAATAAAGTTTACGAAAAGCACTCCGCTACAGAAGAAGCTGTTGAAAAATCCTGCATAATTTATGAGAAAACTGATAAAGATATAAGAGATCTCAACAATTTAATCAAAAAAAATCTAGCCCGTGCATATCAAGGAATTGAACCACAATTGTCGATAGATGATCCAGATTTCTTGACTGCTGATTTAACGCTAGAAATACTTGAAGAAATGTATGCGACAGCAAGAATGGCAAGCTATGAACGAATTGAGGAAATTGAAAAAAGAGGGATCAAGCGGGATCTTAGTAGCAATGAATTTTTGGATCAGATCGAAAATATGGACAATTTTATAGAAGAGGCTGAAAATGAGCTGTTCCAAAAATATGGGCTATATGCATTAAATCAGGCACCCACAAAGGTAATTAGGAATGCTGTTATTAAATATTCTCAGATCGACCCAACATTCAATAGGCATGTATTAGCTATTGAAAAGGAGCATAAAAGCGATATGGCAATGATATTAGGAGGAGAGTTTTCTGCAAATAAATTAGAAATGCTAAGAAACCGGTTAAAAAAGGGAGAAAATGTTGCTAAAGAAAGTTCTGAGGAGTTTAAAAATGAGACTGAAGAATATGAAAATAAAAACAGCCTAAAATAACGTAATATTTTTCTCGATTTCTTCTGATAATAAAGTAATTTTACAAATACACTACATTTATTTTTTTCATCTTTATCTATCCTTTTGTGTATATGCTGGTGCTCATCTTTTTCCATCAGTCCATCTTGCTCTCTATTTGTATCCTTATGATAGTCCTCTTTATCTTTATTTTTATTCTCTTCTCTCTCTTCTTCCTCCTGCTCTTTAGCCTTATCAATCTCACCTTTTTCCTCTTTCCCACAAGTAAAAAACTTCAAAAAATCCGCATTCAATTTTCCCCTTTTTTTGATAAATTTTTTCTATTACTTTTATTGCCACAACTTTAATCGCATCTTGAAGCTCAAAAAACTATATAACACTCTGCCACCATGTTTTCTTCCACGAAATCGCTACCATATCTTTACTAATTTCTGAAGATTTATTAGAAAAATTAAATGGTTAATTAGCAGCAAAAAAATGGCTATAATAAATCCACAGCCCCATGTCAAATGGCAGTGTATTTTTGATAGCGTGTTTCTAATCATGTGCATTTGGGCGGAAATTTTTAGCTAAACCAAGCGGCCATCCAAGATGCCTTGACCAAAATCAATGGCTTGTCCTTGCTGATAGTAAAGTCCCAAATTTGGAGATAAAAAAGAATTGTCAAAATTTCTTCATAAGAAAATGTTTCAACATTAAAACCTAACAAAAAATTTGGATTGCAAGAGTCCATATGTGCTAAACATAAATACAATTAATGTAATTCATTCACATAGAGGAACTATGGCAAGAACAGTGGCAATTATAAACATTACCTTTAAATTGAAATGCTCTGGCTTTTTTGAGACTCTAACTCAGTCATAGCTTACAGTAGCCATTGTGAAATCATTCAGGATTGTTATAAATACGACAGATATCATCGTCAATTCAAAAGATACTGGAAGTCCTAAGACAACTGAATATCCTTTTGATGGAGAAGATCCTCCTGAGTTCTGTGGATCTTCAATCTATGTTAGGAACGATTTAGATGAGCTAGCCCACATGGGAGTCTTCTACGAGGCTCCTTCATGGAAGCACGAAGACTACTGGCCATTTTTGCTTCTCCAAAGAATTATGGAATATGACCCAAATGCACCTATAAACACAAACTATCCTTATGGGCTCTACAATTATATGAACAGATGGTTTGGGGACATGAAAGATATTAAAAAACAAGAATGCTTATTTATCCCTTACAGAGACACTGGGATGTTTGGCCACTACGCCTCAGGTGAGTTCATAACCTCATTAATCAAGCCAACAATTGATAGAAAACAAACATACCTCGAAGAACTGTCATTTGAAGAAATCCAAAGAGCGAAAAATAAAATTTATACTGAGTTGTTAGCTATTGAAGCAGGAAGCGACATGATTCAAACCCTTGGGTGCCAGCTCATTTATATGGACAAAAAAGTACCGAAAACTGAAATAGCTTCAAGAATTGCAGCTATGGATAAGAAGTATTTGGAAGCGACTTATAAGAAATGATTTTCTGAAGGAGATACTGCATTAGCTATATATGGGCCGACAAGCACAATACAGAGAATTAATGAAGTATAGATATATAAAGCGTTAATTTAGCTTAAGATATTACGATTTTTTGAAATTAATTAATTTTGTGAATAAATTTTAATATTAATTTATGTGGTGTTGCATTTTAGATGAATATTTATTCTTATTCTGAGGGTTCATATCAAACAATACCTTAAATAAATTAATTAAATCTTTGCTAACTCCCCCCTCTCCGTGAGTGAACAAAAAAATTTTGTTCACTCACGGAGGGGGGTTAATTTTTTTTTTTTAAAAAAATTTATATATAAATTTTATAAAAAATATTTTTTTTCGAAATTTAAAAAAATCTAATTCGCAAAAATTGAAAAGCAAATATTAATTTAATTTATAAAAAATTTATGTTTTAAAAAGCAATTTGTTTGAAATTAAACAGAATTAGCTCTAGATTTCATTATACTAATTATCATTTATATATCAAATTTTTTTTCCCATAAAAATTTTTTCTATTAAAAAAATTTTTTTGTTCACTCACGGAGGGTGGGTTTTTGGGCAAAAAATAGCGATTTTTCTAATGGTTTTGTTCACTCACGGAGGGAGGGGAGTAAATAAAATTCCTTAATCTTTTTAATATTCATAAATTAGATGCAATCCATGAAAAAAATTGACTATAAAGATTGGATTCTTGGAGGATTCGTTGTATTTGGTGCAAGTGCTTTGCTTTATTATTTTATTGATAAAAAAGACGCTAAATCCAAAGAAAAAGCCTTAATTCCTAAAAAAGACCTTGAAAAAATCCTGAAAGATCTTGACAATGAACTATTAGGAGTTTATCTTAATTTATCAGGACTTATAAGAACTCTTAAAGAGCAAACTGGTAACATTGACAATGAGGATATAAAAGAATTTGTGGACTCTCGTTTTCACATTTCTAACAAAATCCAATCAATAGCAAATAAAATCTACGAAAAACACTCCACTACAGAAGAAGCCGTAGAAAAATCCTGCATAATTTATGAGAAAACTGATAAAGATATAAGAGATCTCAGCAATTTAATCAAAAACAATCTGGCCAGTGCATATCAAGGAATAGACCCACAATTATCAATAAATGTACCGGATTTCTTGACTGCTGATTTAACACTAGAAATACTTGAAGAAATGTATGCGACAGCAAGAATGGTCAGCTATGAAAGAATTGAGGAAGTTGAAAAAAGAGGGATCAAGCGGGATCTTCAAAGCAAAGAATTTTTGGATCAGGTCAAAAATATGGACAGTTTAATAGAAGAGGCTGAATATGAGCTGTTCCAAAAATATGGGCTATATGCATTAAAGCAGGCACCTAAAAAGGTAATTAGGGATGCTGTTATTAAATACTCTCAAATAGACCCAATATTCAATAGGCAGGTATTAACTATTGAAGAGGAACATAAAAGCGATATGGCAATGATATTAAGAGGACAATTTTCGGCAAATAAATTCGAAATGCTAAGAAATCGGTTACAAAAGGGAGAAAATGTTGTCAAAGAAAGCTCTGAGGAGTTTAAAAATGAGACTGAAGAGAATGAAAATACAAACAGCCAAAAAATAGTTGAAACAGTTTCAGATTAATTAGATATAGTAATTAATTTAAAGCTCTATTTTGGCTTTTTAAGATTTATTTATCGGCAGTTTAAGGAAAAATGCATAATATTTTTCTCGACTTCTTCCGATAATAAAGTCATTTTACAAATACACTGCATTTATATTTCTTCATCTTTATCTATACTTTTGTGATTTTCATCTTTTCCCATCAATCAATCTTGCTCTCTATTTGTATCCTTATGATAATCCTCTTTTTCCTTATCTTTATTTTTATCCTCTTCCCTTTCTTCTTTCTCTTCTTTAGCCTGATCAATCTCATCTTTATCCTCTTTCCCACCAGTAGAAAACTTCAAAAAATCTGCATTCAATTTTTCCCCTGAAATTCCTGAGATTTTTCCCTTTTTCTGATAAACTTTTTCTATTATTTTTATTGCCAAAACTTTGCTCACATCTTGGAGTACAAAAAACACTATGCAAAACCCTACCACAAACCATGTTTTCTTCCACGAAATCGCTGCCATATCTTTACTAATTTCTGAAGATTTATTAGCAAAATTAAATGGCCAATACGCTGCAAAAAAAATGGCTATAATAGATCCACAGCTCCATGTCAAATGAAAATGTATTTTTGATAGTATGCATTTCATCGGTGCATTTGGTCGAAAATTTTTAAATAGTGTGACATTTTGTCGAATTTAACTTTTTTTTCTCACTCCCCCCCCTTTAAATTGAAACAAAATATAGGTAAAATTCCTACTTTTTCGGAAATTACCCCCCCCCCCTTTAAATTGAAACAAAATTTTATTATAATAGAAAATTTTATAGGTAAAAATCATTATTTTATATGTAAATACGTTAATACCCTATTTAATATGCTTCAAAGATATAAGATTTAGAAATTAAACTCTATTTTGTCCAATTGTTATGGGGAGAGTTAGAAGAATACCAAGCAAGTTTACATTTTGAGATTGAGAAATTTATGAATTAATTTTTCATGAAATTATAAAATTTTATCTCTGAAAAAATTTTTATATATAAATTTTTTTATAAAAAAATTTTCTTAACCCCCCTTTAAATTGAAACAAAATTTTTTGTTTCAATTTAAAGGGGGGGGGGAGTCAGTCAAAAACCGTTTTCTAACAAATGTACTTCAGTGAAATGCACACTCATTAGACCTGCACCCTAAATCCACATATCATAGATAAACCAAGTGGCCATCCAAGATGCCTTGACCAAAATCAATGGCTTGTCCTTGCTGATAGTAAAGTCCCAAAATTGGAGATTGCGATACTTAAAAAAATAACTGTCAAAATTTCTTCATAAGAAAATGTCGCAATATTAAAACCTTGAAAAAAAGAATTTGGACTGCGAGAGTCCATATGGGCTAAACATAATACAAGTAATGCAATTCATCCAGATAGAGGAGCTATGGCAAGAACAGAGGCAATTATAAACATTACCTTTAAATTGAAATGCTCTGGCTTTTTTGAGACTCTAACTCAGTCATAGCCTACTGTAGCCATTGTGAAATCATTCAGGATTGTTATAACTACGACAGCAATCATCGTCAATACAAAAGATACTGGTAGCTCTGAGCAGCTTTTGCCATTGGAATAGCAAGTAAAATAATTTCTGGGGTTTATAATAATAATTGTGATAAAGAAAAAGCCTAGCAGCTGTATAGAAAGAGAAATCCTGTACATGAAATAATTATTCATCCTCTGGAAAATCATTCTTGCTGTATATATGGCACGAATTATGACAGAAAGTCCAGGCTTTGTTAAAACAATTGATGCAGAAGCTCGAGCTGCATCTGTGGAGCCTTCAACAGCAACGCCAACATTTGCCTTTTTTAAAGCGGGAGCATCATTAACCCCATCTCCTGTCATTGCTACTGTGTAGCCTTTATTTTGAAATACCTCACATATTTGGTATTTATGCTCAGGGAAAACTTCTGCGAAACCATCAGCATTTTCAACAAGGTTATAGGCTTTTTCTTTGTCTCCTGACTCTCAGGCTTCTTTGAAAACGTTAATTTTGTAGATGTTATCTCCAAGGTCTAGTTCTCTGGCGACTTCTTTTGCTATTGCGATTGAGTCGCCGGTGATCATTTTCACTTTGAGATTCATTTCTAAGGCTTTTTTGATAGTTTCTTTGGTATAATATTTGCATTGTTTTTTTGATAGATATTTTTTAGAGACAAATTAATATATATCAGAAATTATTATGAGCTTATGCTTGAACTAGATATATGCTTGACTGAAGAAGTATATCTTCTCTTGGAGGGTCATATAACGGTATTAGTCCTACTATCTTTCAATTATCATCATTTTCTTTAGCTAGTGCCACTCCTATAGTCCTAAACCCTCTAGCCGCCATTTCATCCACCTGACTTGTTATTTCATCCTTTATCTTATCCTTCTGTGACAGTTCAATAATCACTTGTGGAGCACCTTTTGTGCATTTAAACTTTTCTCCAGTTTCCTTATCTTTAATCGACGATTCCGTCCTTTTATTTTCAGGATCAAAAGGCACAAAATTAGTTTCTTTATACTTATCAAGGTTAATATCATAATTTTCTTTTGCACTTTCTATTATGCATTTATCAATCGCATCTTGATCCTGCCCTTGTCTTTTTGAAGCTAATGCTGCATATAAAAATATATCATTTTCTGTAAAGTTTGCTAATAAAAATGGAGGGTTTGCTTTTAGTTTATTTTTTGTTAATGTCCCAGTTTTATCAGATAATAGGATTTGTATGCCAGCCATTTCTTCAATTGCACTAAGTTTTCTAGCGATTGCTTTATGCTTGATTAGTTCATGAGCACCAATTGTTAAGACTACGGTAGATACCACCTGTGCGGCAATTGGGATTACAGAGATAAGTATGACTAAACATAAGGATAGAGATTCTAAGACATCACCGCCTTTCGCCATTACCACTATAAAAATGACTGCAGTTATGATAAATCCTAGAATTACTAGAATTAAGGTGAATTTTAGAATGATTTTGTCGATATTGCCTTTTGATTCTACTCCTCCAACTAAGGCTGAAATCTTGCCATAATAAGTTCTAGGCCCAGTGTTCGCCACAATTGCTTCTATGTCACCTCTTTTGCAGATAGAGCTCTGATAAACTATGTCATTTTGTGATTTTGTTACAGCCAATGATTCACCAGTCAGGGCAGATTGGTCAATTTCTAGACTTCCTGGCCCTAGTCGGCAGTCTGCTGGTATTACATCACCTAATTTTATATTAACTCGATCACCAATCACTAATTCTCTAGCTTCTACAGTCGCCCATTTATTGTCTCTTTTTACCTTGGCTTTTGATGCTAACCCTTTTTTTAAGGCTTCTATAGCATTCCCTGCGCTTCTTTCTTCATACCAAACTACAATTCCATTAAAAATTTGCAAAATCATTAAAATAACAAAATCTAAATATGAAAGTCGCGAAATTTCAAGGGCGATAGCAACTCATAGCACAATTGGTATTGGGCCTCAAAAATGACTCAAAAATTTTATAATGGAATTTTTCTTCTTTTCATTGATTTCATTAGGGCCGTCTCTATTAAAGCGCTCTTTTGCTTGCCCGTCAGAAATTCCTTCAGGTCCTGTCTCCATTTCTTTTAGCTGACCATCAGATAGCTTGTAGTCTTGCTTGTCCTGGTTTTTACTCCCACCCCCTTCATGAGCGAACAAAATAATTAAAAAATTCACAATTTTTTGGGTAAAAACCCACCCTCCGTGAGCGAACAAAAAAATTTTCTAAAAATTTATTTTAATAACTAATTACCCCTGATAAGCCCGATTTGGTCATACTGGCTTGATTAAAAAATCAGCATTTAGTTTTGGCAGATTGCCAATTTTTCTGCTAAAAAAACGGTCTATTGAAGGTAATTTCCTATATATAAGTGATAATTAATATAATGAAATCTCTAGCTAATTCTGTTGAATTTTTAAACAGCTTGCACTTAAAATATAAATTTTACAAATAAAATTAATTTTGCTTTCCGATTTTTGCGAATTGGAATCTTTTTAACCTCGAAAAAACTTTTACTATTCTATATATTTATTTTTAAAAAAAAATTAACCCTCTTAGATAAGAGAACAAAATATTTCTGCTTGCTCACGAATAGGAAAATTAGCATTTTCATCAGTAGAAATGTGTTGATCTGAGTTATTTGATTTTAAAGGTGAATTTTCTGACATTTTAATTTTATTTAGGATGATAAATTTGGATGGCAACTAGTAGAAGTAAAAATAAAAATTGCGAATATAAAAAATTATCTGAGGCTAATTTTGTATGGATTTGGATATGCCTATTCTAAGAGGAAAAGCTTATAGAAAGATAAGGAAAACTAAATGGCTTATTATAAATATCAAGTATAAAAGAAAATTTTCATTAAAAAATGGATTTTATATAAAGTACATCTACGAGAATTTCTAGCAAATATTACTCATTTTATATTTATTCTGATTTCTATTAGTTGATATTAAATAATGATTTATCTAGACATCATCAACTTTGCGAAATCTCTATAGTTAATATTGCCGTCATTGTCAGGGTTTGCATAATGAATCATTTTTTGCAGCTCTTCTTCACTAACTCCTTCCTCTTTTAGCAAGCAAAATTTATTTAAAAGTTTACACATACAAATATTTTAGTTTAGAAATATCCAAATTTACAAAAAAGGAAAATTTAGTCTAATTATTAAACCAATATTTTGGTATAATAATTTAGTAAAGATAACAAATTTTTTATTATAATAATTTATCTAAAAATTTTTGCTTCTCAAGGAAAGGGGATTAAGAGTCTCACCAAACTTTGTCATTAAGTTCCTTAACCTTGAAACAGTGATATTTCCTTTTTTCATTTCGTCTAGCTCTTCAAAAGCTGTAATAAGCTCAAGCTCAGAAACTGGCTCTTTTTGGTACTTCGCAAAAATCGATAAAAATTCTGGGTAGTCCACTCTTCCTGTCCCATCTGGATCTGCTTCATTTTTCATTACCTCCAGCTCATTTTCTGTTGGAGTTTGGCCAAGAGCTCTAACAATAATGCACATTTCATCTAGGCTGATCGTCCCTATGCCGTTCTTATCAAACAAAGAAAAAGTTTCCTTGATTTCAGCTATTTGTTCAACTGTAAGATGATCTGCCATTTCTTAAATTATAACTTTTTTGATTTTCATATAAGTTCTTTAATGAAAATAATAGAAAAATCATATGTTCCTAAATGAATTATATGAAAAGGCAACTAATTGATATTAATATCCAAGACTAACCATATTAAGCTTTAACTGCATATTCAATCAATCTGTCCATGAAAGTCTTCATAGAGACGTCTTCTGTGAAATAGTTCCCACTTTCAACAGTCGCGTTTCCAGCTCCCATTCCACTTGGATTTACTTTTGCCTTCAATAATCTTTCAGCTCCTTTTCCACAGTCAGTTTCTATCAGTCTTGGCACAGGGAATCTTTCAACTAGAATACTTTGGGCGTCTGCTACAGGCAACTTCAACAATTCTCTGAAATTTTCGTATTCTTCTTGTTCTTGGTATCCTAGTTTCTTCCATTTCACAATTATACCATTTCTTATTAATTTATCTATAAACTTAGCTTTATTTTTTTATAATAAAAATCAATGTATTATAGAATAAATCTCCATGCCATATAAGAACTGTGAAAAATGTGTCCAATAATAAAATCACGTTATTTTTCAATGAAGCAATATCTAGCAAAACTGGTGTAGGATGAGGGGACTCAAAAGAGTACTGAAGCAGCGCTGGCTGTATCATTAATAAAGAATTTGTTACGTTTTCTCTTACCAGCATTGTTCTGTAATACGCACTTTCGTCTGGAGACACATTGAAAGTTTGCAAAAACTGCGACCTCCTCATATGGAACATAAACTGAGGATACAGTCCGAATTCTCTGCAAAGTCTAAAAGTATGAGGCATTTCCTGCTGGTATTCCCCAAATTTCTTTACAAGTCTAATCAGTGTTCTATCAATCCATCTAATAACGTCAATTGTTTCTTCAGTTTCTGACTTCGAAACAGCCCAGCGAGCCATTATGACAGCGGCTGTTTCTTGGTCAAACCCACTAATAAATTTGGCAATATTCGCAGTCTCTACAACTGGGTATTTAACAGTTGTAACTCTAAGCCTTGATCTCCCACCTGAATGCTGATATTTAGTCTGGAACTGCACAAAGGCATGAGTTCGCTTAGCTTGTGGCTCTTGATTTACTATATCTAAATGGAATGACAGTGTAGTCTGATTATCAATGCTGCCTATTTGCCAATGATTGGTGCCACCCATCCCGATTTCGACTTCACTTACAAAAGGATTCTTCTTTTTGACCCCAATTCCAGGGCCTATTGCACCGTTAATTTTGATGTCTGGGGATGTAAATGCTTGAATTGTCGAGTTAAAGCCCATTCTCAAAGCTCCAGTATCGTCCCTGGAAAAGATTTTTTGTAAGGACAGTCTGAAAACGTCAGATTTAAAAGTATCGGTCAAAACTAGGTAGCCACCTGTTTTTTCACTTAGAGACCGCATTTCGAGCAGCCCGATTTGATCAATCGCACAGCAGAAAATGTCGATAGCGTGGCCATTGTTGGCAGCTCTTTCAGAAATTCCTTGGTAAAACTGAATAGCTGGCTTTAAGTATTTTGCGTTATCGTTTTTGATGTCAGATTGAGTTCTGATGGAGTCAACAAGTTTGTCGCCAACGATCATTCCTGGGCCAAAACTAGCAGCGCCACCTGCAAATAGCATAATTCTGCCTCCATGCCTAGTATAAGCTAGCTCCATCAATGAAACTGCAATATTTAAAGCATTTCCTACACATCTTAAAGGTCTTGATCCTTGAGGAACAGGCCATGCATCTTTTGATAAGTCTTCAATAATGTTATTTAAGGCTAGCTCACATTCACTTGCTGGCATCAAAAACCTTCTTGCTCCAGTTTGGACAGATCTTGGGTCATTCCCTATTAATCCTAATAAATCTTTTATTTGTGGGAGCTCGTATTTTTTGTCTCCTCTAAATGCGTAGCATCTTGTGTTTTCAGTCCACCCTAAATTGTAAGCATAGACATTTTTCCCAAATGTAATAAAGCCGATTAAAGCTTCAGCTGGCAAAATACTGAGACTTTGCTGAAGAGATGACTTTAAGTAGGATAATTCTTCTGTATCACAACAAGTATCCACTACAAAAACAAAAACTGGCGGCAAAGCGACTACAGGAGGCAAAATATATTCCATTGTGGTGTACTGAGCCATCAGTTCTGCTGGAAGTGTTGTTTCTGAAATATGGGCTTTATAGTGGCTTGGAAAACTATTACGTGTCATACAAAATGGACAGCCCCAAGCTTTTGACACAAAATCAATTGCGACGTGAGGGTTGAGAACACTTTTGCATCGAGAACAAGCTATCGGCTCATATTCTACTAGGGCAATATTTTCGATTTCTTTGAGAGGAGTGTAGACTAAGCAGATTGGGATTACGTTTCTTGTAGCTGTTACTTTATTGCTAGGCCAATTTTGCCAAGTGCATCGAATTCCATCTTTGGCTTCAAGTGTGTAAACGTCTTCACTCATTTTTCCTAGTAGGAAATAATTATAAATTTTTCATTAAAATAGACGTGTAACAATTTATTAGTAAAAATAAATTTTGAATATAGGATAAGTTTTGAATCTTCAAATGGGATTAGCGAACAAAATGCTGTTTAAGCAGAACGATTTATTAAGAAAATCTATAAATTAAGTTGTGATTGATGATAAATCTTAATAGTATAGATAGCCTCTAAAAAATTATACATCAATATAATAAAAGACTAGAAAATAGTATATATTATCTGTAAATACCCTAAAAACACAATTATTCATCAGAGTTGTCTTCATAAACAACTCCAGTTACACTCACCACGTTTAAAATTTTAGACCTCGCTTTTGAAATTTCCAGGACTTGGCTGATTTCTCTTCTACATATATGGCAGCATTTTTGAACTTTCCAAAGCTCAATTGAGCAACTATAGCATAGGCCTCCATGGCCACAGTCCATAATTACTGCATTTGGCTCTTCACTGCAACATATCATACACACTTTTTGTGTAGAATTCGACGAAAAATCTACTGATTGGTGAATAGATGCATCTACCATTGATACATTTGTATATTTCGGTTCAGTTTCTACTGTTTCTGCAGGTATTTGATTTCTCCCTACCATTTCAGATTTTGATTTTTTATGCCTTGGAGTTGTAGGTGTAACTTTAGCCTCATCACATGGCTTATATAAAATTTTCAATAATTTTGTATATTAAAAATATATTAAAATCACTATGGATATTCATAGAAAAGGGCTATAATATGTGTTTGACACCCTAACTAAGAATTTTGGTGGCTTTTTGAGTATAGAAATTATCTGCTCTGTGACTGTTTGGGAGGGAGAATTTATATAGTTAGTGACACTGAATGGCACGGGGTGCTTTTGGCTCAGTTTCGAGCCAAAAGCACCCCGTGCCAGTCAGTTTCACTGACTATATCGTGCACAGCCCCTGGCATGTGATTTATATCTTCATCTTGGTTAGAAAAAAAGTCTTGCCACCAGATTCTGCTTAAAAATTACTTTAAAGACTGAAAGCAGGTTTTAGTTAAAATCACCAGAAGAATAAGCACTAAAATGACTACAATATTTGGGGCGATCATTTGGCTTCAATCACCTTCATCAAGAGATAGTCCTAAAAAGTAAAAAAAATAAAACAAGGATAATGAGCTAGCTCAAGTTACAGATAAAAGCCATGAGGAAGAAACAATATCTATATATGATCCTTGGCCAGATATAAAAGAACAAACTGAGCTTATTAGTAATAAAACCATCCCAAGGCCTACAATAGCTAAAATGCTTGATCCTAGTCAAACAGGCCAAAATGTTGTAATTCAGCTTCATGAAACACTATGATCCAGCTTCAATCCTATTGATAAAATTGCTAGAAGTTTCAGTGTTCTTACTATTAAGCGAATTATCGCTGAAAATGCTTGGCACTCAACTGAGTATCCTGTTCCAATTGAAAATGGTTAAAATTTTATTTAAATGAAAATACAAATTTATAATTATTTTAAAATTAAAAAATTAAATTAATGTGATATTTTTGATTTTTAATTTATTTTTATAAAGCATTAATTTAAAATATTAATCATCTCAGCATGCCAAATGTTCAAATAGCATTCTACTGCAGTCCATCCATTAAATGAGGTTAAAACTATTTATTAGAATTACTATTTTTATCAAAAAACAATTTTTATTAAAATTTAAAGAGGAATTACTTACCAAAAAATTAGACATTTTTTCAATTTAAATGGGGGAGTGAGTATTTGGCTTGAAAATCCATCGTATAGCAGTTGTTACAAATATTGGTGTAGATATCAGCAAAAATGAAGTGTCTCTATATGATAAATAAATAATAACTCCAAATTTAAAAATAAGATTCCCTAGATGTTCCGCTATTTCTTTTATATTTCGCTTTAAAAAAGTCAGTCTTTATAAAAATTACGATGATTGGTTTTTTCTTTGCATTATGATTTGAACAAGCAAAAATAAATCGTAAAGAATTAAGGGGATAATAGCAATTTCATAAGGCATTGATAAGTTGATACAAAAAATGAGCAAAAAAAGGACTACTATTAGTGTAATTGTGAGTTGCATTCAGCGGATTAATTCAGTTCCGATCACTTTCTGCTCGAATTCTTGCTCTTGAAATAAAGTGTCAATATGCGAGCGAGCTGATGATAAGTCCATCGTACGGGTTGTATGCCATTTGATAGAAGATTTCCCTAGTATGGCATTTCCTCGGTATTTTTGGTCGAATTATTTTTCCTCGTGAGGCATTAGTTTGATTTTAAAGTTTCTTTTAACAAATATTTAGCGAGGAAAAAAATTGATAAAAATCCCTAAAAAATTCCTTACTAGGCAAATATTCCGATCAAAAGGGGCATTACATCGTGCGTGATGTCAAAGGATGAGAAGCGTAGTATTCCATTTATCTTTTTAAATATATCATCTCAAAATACTTCAAATTAATACTCTTCAATGAAGCTAACTTTTACAGTTTCATAAGTATTTATTTCAATTAATTAAATATAAATTAATGCATGATCTATCAGATTTCGTTATCATTCATGTTTAAATTTTTTTATTTGAGACCAAGATAAATAAGAAATTTTAAAGAAACTTGTAGGGATAAATAAATAAAAGACTTCGAAAACTAATAAATTGCTAAAAATAATTTGAAAGGCTTATTAATTAATAAGAAATTAAATAATGGGATGTGGATCAATAAACACCAAATTTCGAAGAGAAAAAAGTTTAAAATCAAATGGCACACAAGAAGAGAAAAAAATAAGCAACGTTCAAGAAATCGTTGTGCAGGCTAGCAACTTTGTGAGGGAAAATGAAAACAAATTTCAAGACATTTATAGACTAGGCCGATGCTTACTCCATCTCCTCGAGCAAACAAAAAATTTTGCTTGCTCACGGAGGAGTTAATTTTTTTTTATTAAAAAATTTATATGTAAATTTTATAGTAAAATTTTTTTACAAATATAAAAAATCTCAATTCGAAATAATTTTAAAGCAAATATTAATCCAATTTGTATCAAATTTAGAAGAATTAGCTAGAGATTTCATTATACTATTATAACTTATATATCAAACATTTTGAAACATTTTTATATTAAAATAAATTTTTGTTCGCTCATAGAGGCTTTTATTCAAAAATAGGGATTTTCCAATAGTTTTGTTTGATTATGGAGAGTGAAGATTTAGGAACAGGAGGATCAGGAGAAGTAAAGACTTGCTTTCATAGGGAGACTAATATAAAACGGGCAGTAAAAATTTTTCGAAAAGATCTTTTAACAAATGAAGCCTCTAAAGCTAATCTGGAAAAAGAAATAAATATACTAATTATGGTGAATAGCTTGCAAAATTATTTGGAAAGCGATATTTATATTTAGCTAACATACAGACATACATTAATTAAATTTTTAAGGTGTCTAACGCCACACTCCCACTAAAGGGACAGAGTCAAAATGGTGATGTCATGAGCATTTCAATCCAAAAGGTCGGACTATCCCAAATAAACCGCCTGCCCCCCTTATTAACGCTTCTCACCCGGTACAATGCTGTCGCCTTCCCTGACTCAGCTCCTGTTTGTGCTCCACCTAAGGGTCACCTTCCTCGGGCGTGCTGAGAGGAAAAACTTTTAGACTCTTGATTGCAATTTGGAGCAGTTCCTCTGATTATCCCAAAAGTTAAACCACTGTTACTAGAAAAAGCCCAGCCCTATAATAAAATTCCATGAGGAAAAGAAAATTAGCAGAACTGAACCGAATGCCATTTTATTTATTTATATTTGGCTAACAAAAAATGCTTTTTAATGCGTTATTAATTGTAAACATAATATCCTAAAAACTCTAGATCACCCAAATATTGTTCGCATATATGAATATTTTGAAGACTCCAAACGCCTCTATGTCATTATGGAATTTTGCAAAGGAGGTGAGCTCTTCGAAGAGATCATAAAGCGGCAGACTTTTTCTGAAAAGCATGCTGCCCAAATTATGTATCAGTTATTTTCAGCAGTCGCTTATTTGCATAACCTTATGATAATTCATAGAGATTTGAAGCCAGAAAATATTTTACTTGAAGAGAAAAACGGTGATTTAAATATAAAACTGATAGACTTTGGAACTGCAACTTATTCAGGTGCTTCTAGAGCTCGGGGAGAAATTTCAGGTACTGCTTACTATATTTCTCCTGAAGCACTTGTTGGGCATTATACTGAAAAGTGTGATCTTTGGAGCTGTGGCGTAATTATGTATATATTACTAAGTGGGATTCCTCCTTTTGATGGAAAAACAGAAGATGACATCATTAAAAAGGTCACAGCTGGAAAGGTCAATTATGAAATAAACCCATGACCAAATATTTCAGAAGAAGCCAAACAGTTACTCTCTGTGCTGCTATGCCCTGAAAGCAACAGAATTTCAGCCACAGAAGCTCTGCGGCATCCATGGGTAACATCAAGAATAGACCGCACTGTTACAAATAAAGAAATGCTAAATGAAGTTTTATCAAACTTAAGGAACTTTCATGCCTCTAGTAAGCTTAGAGATGCAGTCCATACATTTATTGCTACACAATGTATGGCTCCACAAGACACCAAAGGTTTAAAAGAAATATTTTTGATTATTGATAAAAACGGTGATGGGAAATTATTTTTTAAAAATTTAAATTGCCTTATTATATGCAACAGCCAGCCCTAATTTTTATATAAAATAAAAGAATTTCATAATAATTAACATAATGAATTTTAAACTAGCACAATATAAGCAAAGAAGACTTAATAGATCAATATACAGAAATTTTAGGTGCTGAAGAAGCTGGCAGAGAGGTCGCAAAAATAATGAAAGAAGTTGATACTGACAAGAACGGATTCGTAGATTATACAGAGTTTCTGAAAGCTGCATTAAATATGGAAAAAGTGCTTTCAGCTGAAAATTTGAAGACTGCTTTTAAAGTGTTTGATAGAGATGGAAGTGGGTCAATATCTGCTGCAGAGCTCAGGAAGATTCTTGAAGGTAGTGCTCCAAGTGATGATAGGGTGTGGAATGAAATCATTAGTGAAGTGGACCAAAACGGTGATGGAGAAATTGATCTCCAAGAGTTCCAGGATATCATCTTGGCCAAGTTTTAACAAATGTTTAAAGTGTTAATTAGAAATTGTATATGAATTGTTAAAAAAATAAATAATAAATAAATTAGTTTTTTATAAATGAATTTTTAACTTTTCCCAGCCAATCCGGCTAATTTGAGGCTGCGAATTTGACCTTTTTTGAATTCTTAAATTGATTTCATGGTTTTTCTGAATAGTCGGCTTAAAATTTATCATTTCTTCTTTAACTCTAGCCAGCCTATTAAAGCTTGGGTTTCTAATCTTTGCTTTATTCTCATTCCTCATCCTTCTTGACTCTGCATTCACATTAATTTCTTTTTTCATATTTCTCTTTGTTTTTATTTTCTTATTGTCTTTAGCATTATTTATATTTTGCTTTTTCCCAATAGCTCGTTTTTGGATTTGAGGCCTATAAGGACTATAAGGTCTGGCCACGAGCTGTGGCATATGAGGTTTTTGTAAAGACTTCATTTCATCAGTCTTTTGGAAATCTCCTAATAAGCTCATAGATCTTTTCATCATAGGATCATTCGTTAATAATGATAAATATCTCATAACAGGACTATGCTCGTTTTCAATACTTAAAGGAGTAAACTCTCTGACACTGTGCCTTCGTGCTATATAATCTTCATATGAAGGTTTAGATAGGTTAAAATTTTCAGGATTAGGAATAAATTGGGGTGCCCTGAGATAATGGAGGATTTGGTGAGGCAAAAGTGGAGGTTTTAAGTGATTATGGTCTTTTTCGAAGAAAATAGTACCTGATGAAGTTTCGTTGACTAGTTTGTTGGTCAGTTGTTGGCCTTGGACCAGTATCACATTGCTTATCTTCATGAGAGGAAATTATATAGAGCTTTGATACATTTATCAAATAATTTTATAGGGAAGTTTTAAGCTTGGGACTTTATTTTAACAAAAATTAAATTAATACTTCAAGGTTTTAGGCTGGATTTTGCTGTGGGCTTGAAATCTTGAAGCATCTGGTAGTGTTTCTATTAAGCTTTTCCTTAAATTTTTTTTGGATTTTTTATCAAATGCTAGTATATGATATAGCCCAATCCGTGCTTTGGATCGGGTTTGGCTGACATCGGGAGACGTCAGATGGCGAGTTGACGAGTCAACTTTTGCTGGCAAAGTCAACTCCCCAGATGGCAAATCCTCTCGTTATGGAGATTTGCCATCTGGGATTTGACTTTTCCAGAAAATTTTGGCTAGCCAAGTCGTCATCTGACGTCTCCCGATGTCAGTCAAGCCCTATCCAAAGCAAGGATCGGGCTATAAGAAGCATTTGAAAGTGGATTCCTACTTAAAAGCTCCTTTTTTTGCTTTTGCTTTTGTAAATTCTCTTTAATGTTTTCTAAATTTTTCAGCTGTTCAGGTATATAATTCCTCTTGATTTCTTCTATTTTTTCAAATGTCAAATTGCTGATACTTTTGTTTTTAACTTCATTCATAAGCCCACGTCTGACTTGTGCCATGATAATTAAATCGGTCGGCATCATTGTACTGTCATATTCTAACACAGGCATAGATACATTATATTTGTGCCTTCTTCTGCGTCCCGTAGATGATTTAGTTACTTTTAAGTTTTCTTCTATATGATGATGCATTTTTCTAAGCTCGCTTTCAATGTTACGTTTTTGGTTGATGAATTCTCCAGTGTACGTTTTAAGCAGCATTGGAGAGCTTTGCATTGTTATAGGCCTTGTTGAGGTTTTGGACTTATCATCAGATAGTAGGTCTTCTTCGTTGTTTTCAGATTGAAGAGCTTCGAGCTCTTGGAGCTGAGATTGCAATTTAATCATTCCTTCTTCACTGCTGATATCTCTGACAGATTTTGGATGTTTTTTCTTTTTTCTGATCCTGAGATTTGGGAGCTGAGGAGACTTTTCGACAGAAGGCCATCAAGTGTCGGTACTACTTGAGGCAATTAAGTAATTGTCGCTTAAAAAACGTTTATGTAAATTCATTATGAATTATTTGCGTTATTTTAATTATGGTATTTAAGGCTCAAAAAATTAGGCAAGGAGACGATAGGATTGGATAATTTAATAATAAAAAAATTATCAGAGCATCTAGTAATAAATTTCTTTTATTCTGGATTTATTTAATAAGTAATAAATCATATATTCAACATTATGCTCCATTTTAATTAAGCGTATTAAAGAAAAGAAATTCTCACTTAAAATTAAAATTAGTTCTCAAAAAAGATAATAATTCTTATAAAGAAGCCCTGATAGTTTGACAATTATCAAAAAATTGATATTATAATATAAATTAACTTGCTCCTATCTTAAAATATTTTTATGAAAATAAAAAATTAGATATTTTAAATAGAGAAAATATAATAAATTACAGTATCTGTTTTATTTTATTTATAGCCCGATCTTTACCGGGAAACTCGGGGGTTGTCTCCGTCACTTTGAGGTGACGAATCAACTCCCCGAATTGGCAAGTGGCCGCTATATGGTGATTTGCCAACTCGGGGAGTTGACTCGTCACCTCAAAGTGACGGAGACAACCCCCGAGTTTCCCGGCAAAGATCGGGCTAAGCCCTATCTATAGCCGGGAACGGGCTATATCTCAATGCAGTAAAAATTGTAAACTGAAAAAAAAACTTTTAATTAAATTCACATTACATTTTAATAACTCTAAAAGTAGATAGATAAATTTTTATTTCAAAGCAAACTATTTTTAAACTAAAATAAGTGATTTATCAGCCATAATTATAAAACAAAGATGAGCGACGCAGATAATTCAACAAATACAGATACCTCTGATAATGAAGGAAGTCATGGGGATCTTGGTGAGAAAGCAGCAGTATTTGTGTCTGGGGTTGTCTTATTCATATCTACTCTCTTAGTCTTATATCAGCTTTGGAAATACTACAGGCACATGATTTATAAGCAAGCTCAAATTGCTTTAATGGTTTTGTTCTTGATGCCAATGCTCATTGGTTGGACTGCTCTAGCTGTCATATCCACTATGGAAAAGCAAAAGACCCTTGAATTTTGCCTTAATATGTATTCTCGGCAAAATTAAATCTCATTCTCAATATTCGGGACATTCATAAATAAAATACTTATAATTTTAATTTATAAATAAAAAATATATCCTACAAATATAGAAATAATATAAAAAGCTTATACAAATCCATTGGCCTCATTGCTTTTATGTATTACATTGACCGCATGATGGGATGGATCAAAGAAGGAGATGAAAACAAATACTCTAAAAAAGAAAGACAAGAATGCTTAATGAGGATAAAAAAAGCTAAATGCATTTACTTCTGCGTCAAACCATCTCCATTGACGACTCCTAAAGAAGCTGATTCCTATATTACTAAAACTTACATTGGAGTGCTTCAGCTTTCAGTCGTTTTATTTTTAATTGGAGTAGGAGAGCTCATTGTTTACTTCCTATTTCACGATGTTTGGGTTTATAAAGGCCCAACGCACTATTCACTCGCTTATTTAGCTATGATTGCGAAGTTTTGCAGTTCCTGCTTTGCTCTAAGCTATTTATTTAATTTTTCTCATTTTGCCCATCACATCCCTGAGCTTGAAAGACTTGGAATTACGACCAAATTTTATATTATCAAGCTTTCCATGATGTTTACAGAAATTCAGCCTTTATTGATATTGATTTTGGTTGAATTAGGGGTTATTTCTAGTGATAATAAGTATACTGTAGATGAAATGACGACGTACACAAACAGCTTGCTGTTGTGCTCGGAAATGATTGTGGTAGGGTTTTTGCAGCTTTTGATATTCCCAGTGGAAGATTTTACTCTGAGCCCAGAAGCGAGAAAGCCATTAAAAGAAGTTTAATCTAAATAGGTTTATTTAAAAAAGTTAAAGATAAAAAGGTTATAATATCAATTTTTAAAAAATCAAATGCTCATACTTATGATGATTAATATTAATTATAAAGCAATCTCAAATAAATTTGTATTTTAAACGAGCAATAGCCTTCTATTTTTCTTATTTGTATATTTAACTGCATTTTGGAGAATTTTTTATGATGCTCATAAAAATAAAAGCTACGCTTTCAGAATTTGATCAATCAAAATGAGAGCTATTATTATCTCTTCATTTAAGAAGCCTAATAGTAGCTCAAAATAACAATAAAAATAATTTATTTGGATAGACATGCTTAAAAGCTAATACATTTCTTACTCCCCTCTGTGAGCGAGCAAAACTACTCTTTTTTGCACAAACACCCACCCTCCCCACCCTCCGTGAGCGAACAAAATTATTTTAAAAAAAAATCGATATATAAGTGGCTATTTTATAATGAAATCTCAAGCTAATTCTCTTTAACTTTGAACAAATTACATTATTATCATAAATTTTACAAATTAAATAAATATTTGCTCTCCATTTATTTTTAAATTTTTAAAAAAAAATTTAACCCTCTCCATGAGCGAACAAAATTATTTTGTTCGCTCACGGAGGGGAAGAGTTAGCATTCAAAATATGGAAGTCCCGACAAAGATAAACTGATTAAAGGATTCACATCATAGAATTCAAATCAAGCCAAACCCAGCAGTGCTTTGTCCTATGTGCCTAAAAGAATATGACTCAGAACATAGAACTCCAAAATTTCTCACCTGTGGTCATACCATTTGTGCAGAATGCATCAAAACGAAGTCAAAAGGGAAGAAAACTCAATGCCCTCAATGCAATAAAATTACTTCAAAAAATTCCAATGAATTAGCCACAAATAATTCTTTTCTTAGCCTATCTAAAGGAGAAAAATATCTGTATTTTTGCAGTGACCATAAGTATGAAATTGAGTATTATTGTACAGACGATCAGAAGTTTCTTTGCAAAACCTGTATAAGTGAGCATAAAAATCATATTTACTTTGGCTTATGTGATGCCATTACCTTAAACATAGTTGAAGAAAAGCAAAAAGTTATCGATGTTCAAGAAACAGCGATTGAAAGTTCAATTGATGAATATAAAAAGTCATTAAATGATATAAATTCGATTATTGAACAAATTAATTTGCTTGTAGATTCTCATATTCATGCATTAAAAGAAACTGACTCCCCCCCCTTTAAATTGGAACAAAATATTGGTAAATTTCCACTTTTTTGGTAAATTAACCCCCCTTTAAATTGGAACAAAATTTAATTTTATAATAAAAAATTATATATAATTTTTTATCTAAAAGGTTTTGATATAAGCTAAATGTTTCTTCTTAACTAAAATTAAAAATTTAGTTATATCTTGCTCTTTTGAAAAGAAAAAAAAGTATAAAGAGCATATTTATTTAAATAAAATTATTATCCTTAATTGCTAAATTTTGAAAAAAAAATTAATTTTTTTTTAAAAAATTTTTGTTTTTTTTGATAAAAATGATATTTTTTATTTGGATAGTTTTGATATAAATTCAATGCGAATTCTTTATAAAATTTCAAAATTTACTTATTTCTTGCTTTATTTTAAAAGAATAGAGTATAAATAGCATCTTATTTAAACAAAATTAGCACTTTGATCGATAAATTTTCTAAAATTTTTTTTTTTTTAATTTTTTTTATCAATAAAAATAATAATTTTTGTGTAAATAATTTTGATACCAATTAATAGTGGCGTATTAACTAATAATGAAAATTTAGTTATATCTTGCTTTGTTTTAAAGGATAAAGAGCAAATAGCATTTTATTAAACAAATTTTTTGATCTAATTCGATAAGTTTTTGAAATTTTTATATTGATATTTTTTTTTTAAAAAAAAAAATTAACCCCCTTTAATTTGGAACAAAATTTTTAGTTCCAAATTTAAAGGGGGGGGAGTGAGGCAAAAATGATTAAAGACATCAGAGAAGGAACTTTAGCTTGTATAAAGCAGGTCCAGGATTTGGACGAAATTTTAGAAGTGGGAAATCTTAAAGTATGCTTTATTGTGGGTATACTTAAAATGGTAGGTGACGAGAGACAGTACTCTCTGTGGAGGGTGTCCTTATGTAAATCCAGACCTGTTTTTTGTTTTGCCGAGAGCTGTCTAAGGGTTGGGTTAGCCTTGAGTGGAGAGGCCAGCACTATTTCGCTGATTTGTGGCCTGTCTTGAACGGCAGTTTTTTGAATCGTTTTCTTAAGCAGAGCCAGGACAGAATAGGTACCCGATAAAGGCAAGGCAACTTACTTGCATAAGCTGCTTCTTGTTCTGTCCCGAACAAGTGCAAGATTTTCAAGGTCTAATCTCTCCAGTTAAGAGGGCTCCGTGACAGGAGCAATTTGGCCAGGACCTATATGGCCCGGGTCAAAGGGGCGACACTACTGAGTAGCCGGGTTTTCGGCCCGGGCTCAGAGACTTTCGAAGGCCACATGGCGTTCATCGTGGAATGCATGATTTTACTGGAAGTGGGGACTTAAAATACATTACATTACATTAGAATTTATATCGCTTAACGTCCACTACGGGGTTACAACTCCAGGTTTATCACTCGCCTTTCGTCGCATCGGGCCCACCAGTCTGCTGGAGACAAACTCGCTTCGATCACCAGGGTGCTTCTGGGGCAAATGTCCACGTCTTCGACGGCTCATGGATGAGCTACTTGCTTGTACATGGGTTGCTTTTCCGAAAACCCAAAAAATGGATTTTTCTAGTCGGCTATCGGCAAAAAGAAAAATGCAAAGCCTGGGACGTAACGCCCAGTTTCACGCTAGGGAGTTGCCCGAATGGTCCAGAGGACTTTGCTGGGCTTCCCCTTTCCAACCTTGCACCCTCCTTCCCCACGAGGAAAAATCCACCCCTGAGAATAGACTAGGGCTAGGCTCTGAAAGCTACCAGAATTGCTTACCTAGCATTGCTGTCCATCTCTGAAATGGTAAAACCTTGCCGGATATAATTAAAATATGAGTCGAGGCTGCATGGCCGGGAGGCCATGCCCAGACGAAGACGCCATATTTTAATTATGGGGGACTTAAAATACACTATCCTAATCTAAAAAATGATTTATTGTAGTAAAATATCCAATATAAATAAATATTTTTCAATTTAATTTAAATTTAAATAAATATTATAGAGCTTGCTTCAAAATTTGTAAATCTTTCCGATTCACTTACAGAAATATCTAAAATAAAGCAGCATTTCATCAATGCAAGCATAGTAGAAAAGCTCAGCTGTGATACAAAATCTCAAACCACTGCCAAGCCTCCATCCCTTGCTCCAGCCCACAAGTTTTTAGATCAATTGAAAGCTAAAGTTAATTACAAAGACCTGATAATTGGAAAGTCATTTAAACTCCCTGCACATGGCGTATATGACATTGAGTTAGCTATTAGCAATATTATTGAAGAAAATAAAGAAAATCAGCCTAGAAGATCATCAGTTGTAAACTGAGACGACGTATTAGCATCCCTAACTAATCACACCAAGCCTACCGAAGACACTCTTCCTCCATTTGAATTCTATAGTAATCATGGGATGCCAAAAGAATTAAACTTGTCAGAAATATTAGAAAGCGGTGATATATATACTGGACAATATAATAATGAAGGCCAAAAACATGGAAGAGGAATTTATACATGGACCAATGGAGACCAGTATATTGGATATTGAAAAAATGATAGGAGAACTGGGTATGGAAGACTAATCAAAAAAAATGGAGACGTCTATGAAGGAAATTTTTTTGAAGATAAATTCAATGGGAGCGGGGTTTATACATTTAGTAATAAAAGCAAGTATTTTGGGTTTTGGAGTGATAATAGGATGTGTGGACAAGGAATGTTTACGTGATCTGATGGAGCTTCTTATAATGGAGGATGACTTGATGGGAAACAGCATGGAAAAGGAACTCTGATTGATAAAGATGGAAATCATATTGAAGGTGAGTGGAGACATGGCGAGAAAGTTGCTTAATTTTTTTATAAATAGATAAAAATAATGATAAATATTGCTAATTTTTTTAAATATATAACGAAGCAGATATTGATAAGATATATATGATAAAATTAAAAATTTCCAGATAAATTTTTTTCAGCTAATCATTTTAAGAAAATAGACGACTAATAATAAATGAGCTATAGTGATCTCTCTTAAATAGCCTGAAAGGGTATGAGATTGGAGAGGTTAGTGGGCGGACCAAGTCAGATGGTCAAATCAACTGGAGAGAGGCTCATTTGCCGACTCTCCAGTTGGTTTGACCAACTTGAGCTGGCCAAACTCACTAGAGAGTTGACCTCTCCAATCTCCTGCCCCTTCAAAGCTATTGAAAAGATACTATATTAATAAATAAAGAAGAAAGCTTAATTTCAAATTGATGGATTGATTTCTAATTTATTTTATAATAGATATTTCATATTTCAAGTGCATAAACTTTTAAGCTGCATAAAGAAAAGCTACTTTATATATTATCCTCAGTTGTTTATTGCTATTTAGATATGTATTTTCCCTCTTAAATTCAGAATTTAATTTTATTATGCTATAAGCTAAGGCTAGTTATTAATGATCCTTAATTCTCTTGTAATTGCTGATTTAATAAATTATGTAATAAATTATTAAATTATAAATTTTCACTTATTCAAATTGCTTTATATTCAAAAAGCTCACTACCCTCCTTTAAATTGGAACAAATATAGGTAAAATTTCACTTTTTTTGTTAACTGCTAAATTTTTAAAAAATTTAAATTTTTCCAAAAAAATTTTTATATTTTTTAGATAAAAATAATATAAATTCAATGCGAATTCTTTAAAAAAATTGAAAATTTTTACCTATTTTTAGTTTTTTTTTTAAAGAATAGAATATAAATAACACTTATTTAAACAAAATTAGCACTTTGGTCGATAAATTTTCTAAAATTTTTTTAATCAATAAAAATAATCATTTTTGTGTAATAGTTTTGATACCAATTAATAGTGGTGTATTAACTAATAATGAATATTTAGTTATATCTTGTTTTGTTTTAAAGGATAAAGAGTAAATGGCATTTTATTAAACAAATTTATTAATCTAATTCGATAAATTTTTGAAATTGTTTTTTTTGTTATAAAAAATTTTTATATTATAAGAAAATTTTTCTTTACCTACTTTAAATTGGAACAAAATTTTTTGTTCCGATTTAAAGGGGGGAAGTCAGAAAATTCTTCCAAATTACTATTAAACCGATAATGTATATTTTAGTAAGGAATTAAAGTAAGAAAACATGGAGATAGTGCTCAGATGCACCGATGGGCTTTTTAAAGGAAGATTTTTATATGTAAATCCCAATGTAATCACTATTTAGCCAGAAGGTGAAACATTCGGTTCTGGAGATCCAAGAGATTACGATTTGACTATGTCAATTGAAAAAGCTGGCCTTGACCCTCTGCACGCCAGAATTCTAAAGAAAGGTGACAAGTATTTTCTTTCTGACCTCAATACCTCCTCAGGCACCTGAATAAAAGTCCAGCAAACTACCAATATTGGTGAAGAAATAAATATAGGAAATATTATAAGGATCGGACCTTTTGATTTTGAAGTGATGGAAGGTGAAGAAAAAAGCTTAGACGACTATTGAATTGAAAAATATGAACTAAAAGAAATTTTAAATACTCTAGGAGAAGAATGGACACTGCAAACTTTGCTAAGTGCAGATATAGAAAATTTAAAGCTAGATATCCAAAATATTGAAAAAGTTTCTCATGCAATTAATGAAATTAGAGAACTTCCATGGGCAATTAAATGTATAGGCATATCCTTAGATAGCCCGATATGGGCTAGGGATAGAGGCCAAAACTTCCACTTGGTTTGGCCAAAATGGATTGGTCGAACCAAGTGAGAAATTTTGGCATCTATCCCTAGCCCATATCGGGCTATCTAAGGGATATGCCTATATACGTATTTTTGTACCTGAGCTTGAATTCACAGTCGGCTGGGAACCAGTTTATGTTGGAAGTTCACAAGACACTGATATCACTATTCCGAATCTAAGCCCATATCAAGCTCAATTTTGCTTTGTAAATAGCAAGTTTTATTTGGTAAATCTCGATGAAAACACTTTTAATGTCTATAGAAAACTAAACGCAGGAGAAGAATTTCAGCTGATTCCAGGCTGTGCTTTTCGTATTGGTAAACTTGAATTTGAATGCTGCAGATATAACGTTGGGAGATTTTCTGAAAAAGGATTAAGGCCTACAATGGAAGATGCAGACCAGATTATTCATAATTTATTTATTAGTCCTTTTGAAACAGTAAGTTATTACGCTGTATTTGATGGGCATGGAGGATCAAATTGTGCTGATTTTTTAAAAGAAAATTTGCATAAAATCATAAAAAAACATATAAAAGGGGAATCTGTAGTCGAAAATTGGAAAGGGCCATTAGTGGACGCTTTTATAGAGTGTGACCAATCTTTTCGTGACCAGTATTATGAAATTGGAAAATTCATGGGCTCTGCAGCTGTGGCTTGTATGATAGTGGAAGATAAAATGGTCATCTGCAATTTAGGCGACAGCAGAATCATTCTTTCACAAAATGGCCAAGCAGTTCAGCTTAGCAGAGATCATAAGCCAGAGCTCCCTGAAGAAACCAAGCGCATAGAAGCCAATGGAGGAATTGTTCTATTTGGAAGAGTTCAAGGGAAACTTGCAGTTTCAAGAGCTTTTGGAGATTTTGAGCTGAAAACAGCTTCAGAAAGTGAAGAAACTACTGGGCCACTAGTAAGCAATGAGCCAGAAATTCATATTATCCCAATAACATCTTCTGATGAATTTATTATTATAGGATGTGATGGACTTTATGAAGCCTATACAAATCAAGAATTAGTAAGGCTGACAAGAGACAAACTGAGAAAAATGCCTCTTTGTGAGCAGGATCCACAAAGAGTGATAAAAGATATCGTGAGTGAAGCAACACATGCAAGAAGAACAGCTGATAATGTTAGTGCGCTATTAATCACATTATCTGGAGGAATTTAAAATATTAACCATCAACATATTTAAAATTTTTAGCATGATTTTAATCCATTTTCAATGTTATTAATTATCTGGGAAGTTCTTCTGAGCTAAAATCATATACATCCATACTTTCTTTTGGTGACTTCTTATTTATATTATCTTGGGGTTGTCCTGCAGTTGAGGGGACTACACTTTGTCTAATAAATTGTGATACAGCTTCAAAATGCTTAATTTTATCTAAATCATGCACAAGCTTGAGACAAGTGTATGTGAAAGAAAGCGCAGAAATACCTACTGACGCAATCGTAAATCAGCTCCAATTATCGAGTTTTCCATTGTTGTAAGACTGCAGGATTATCTGAGGAAATGACTCTAAGACTGCATCATTTAAATTTGAAACCCTTGAAAGGGCATCTACCATATAAAAATCACGGTCTGTTGCTTTGACAATAAGCAAAGTGATTCCAAAAATAAAAAAACTGAGACCAATAGGCTCACCAATACAAATTAAAATTCCTAAGGAAAATTGTCCACAATTGTGCTTCCAATTTTTGGAAAATAAACCTTTTATAAAGCAATAGAGTATTATAGTAAGCAATAGAGCCATAGGAGCAAACAAAAAGATAAGACAAAATAGCTTGACGATATCAGAAGTAAAAGACTGTGAATATACATAATATGCGTCAAAAAGAAAGCTAGATATTCTTAAAATACCGCTTGCTATAATTAGTCATGCTTCAATTGCAATATTCATATATTAATTTTTTTATTTTTAAAAAATTGGTTACATTTATTTAATGATAATTTTTGTCTTTAGCATCTTATAGTATTTAATTTTTTGCATTTTTTTGAAATTTAATACAAATTTAAATTTAAAGAAAAACCAGCCAGAAACCAGAAAAAATAACCGTTAATTATTTATATTTAGAATGCTTTAAACAATTAAAATTATAATTAATGCCGTTTTCTTATATCTGATTTAGTAATTTTATTGTTTAAAAATGGGCTGCATATGTGCATCATCAAAAGAAGTTAGAACGACCAGGCATATGGTTCGCACTCAAATATTGACTCGAGCCACCACAATCGAACCCCCAACTGTTATTCATTTAAGGCCGCCAATGCCAAATGCCTGTTCTAGAAGAAAAGTTATTATAGATTCAAAATATTCTAAAGATGATATAAAAGCCCTTGATCATACCCCATCTAACACCCAGAGCAACTTTTTTCCTTACAGTTGTCCTATATGTTTTAAATATTTTACAAGTATTTTAACAACTAAATGTTGTAAAAACTATATTTGCCTCCAATGCGCGACAGATCTGAAAACTAAGTTTCTTAATTTTGAAGTGGTATGCCCCCATTGCCGAGCATCTCCTCTTCATGCAATAGACGTGACCCTTGAATCCCCAATAAAAAAATATACAGACACTCAAGAAAGTAAAAACGAAACCACAAAATCTGCTGGTTGGCGATCAATTATGAAAAACCAAGATAATAATGATATAACAAGAATGCCGGGAAGCATTTCAGAAAAACAAATATCAAAATCATACCAAATCTCTATGATGTATACAACAAAATAATTTTAATTTGTAATAAATAAAATTCCTATTAATGTGTTATTTTATTAAGATTCTTGAAATCAATAAGGTTATTGCATACCACCCTCCTATCAGTGCACACAAACTTACTATGTACTCCGAAAAAGACTTTGGGTTTGAATATTGAGTAGTAATCGGGTCCACATCATAAGAAAAAGATATCTCTGGAGGATGAACTCCTGGAACTACATTTTGGTGCCCAGAAGACTCATAATATCTTGCGCCATATGGTAAAATTGCAGGCACAACTTTTAAGTAATATTGTGTCACATAAGTTCTATCAGAGAAATACCCGTCCAATGGCCCATCTATTAATTTTGGAGAGTACTCAGGGTCAGTAAATTGTATATGGTTCACCTTATGAGATCCATCAATATCCAAAGTCCCAGTAGCCATCATCATTTGGCCAACCTGATTTATCGTAAAATGGAAGTTCCCAGGGATCCTTTTCATTAATAAATGCCCAAATATCATGCAGCCTTCTGGCTTTGTAGGTCTTTCATCATCTAAATGAAGCCTTCTTTTGCACTGTTCTATTAAATGCTGCTGAGGAGGGCTCCATTTCCTTTTTGTATATGCTTCTAAGACTTCATCACAGGTATTGCAGCATTGTTCAGCATATAATTCAGCCCCATAGCAGCTTCCACAGCTTACTGATTTTTTGCGTTCTTGTTCTTTAAGAGTAATAGATTGGGCTTCTCTGTCCCATAATAACTCTCCTTTAGGTGTAATCCTTACTCTTCTAAGAGTTCCTGCATCAAAATGCAAGCCTCCTGCATTGCTATAATGGGCAGATACTATTTGGCAAGGAATATGATACAAAGAAATATTGACATCGATTCTCATTCGGTCAGAAGCTTGATATCCCTCCACAATTAGTGAAGACTCATAAGGGGCCAAAAAATAGCAGTAAGATTCAGAGATGAAAAGGATGAACATCACTGTAAAGGTAATTCCAGATAAAATTCCTCCTAAAACTGTTTGTTCTTGATAATCGCCAGCAACTTTTCTGTAAAAATCAAATTGCTTCAGCTGTTTTAAAAACATTTATTATAACAATTAAAATTTGCAATAAAAATAATGCAGAAATAAGAAAATTATGAAGCTTAATCAAGTTATTCGTAATCTTTACAGCATATTCCTACCTTAAACAGATCAGGATCTTGCATTTCATCAGACGAAGTTGTGGTCTGGTCTTCTGTGTTCCTTGTCCAAATTTCAGCTGTAAATCTGAACCAGCCCATTGCTCTTGCCATTTCATAAGGGCCTGCATATAATTCTTCTAAAGAGCACATGTGCCAGTTGTCTAACTCCCCCCCCCTCCGTGAGTGTGAACAAAACCATTAGAAAAATCGCTATTTTTTGCCCAAAAACCCACCCTCCGTGAGTGAACAAAAATTTTTTTTAATACAAAAATTTTTTATGGAAAAAAATTTTGATATATAAATGATAATTAGTATAATGAAATATAGAGCTAATTCTGTTTAATTTTTAAACGAATTGCTTTTTAAAACATAAAATTTTGCAAATTGAATTAATATTTGCTTTCCAATTTTTGCGAATTAGGATTTTTTTTAAATTTCGAAAAAAAAATATTTTTTATAAAATTTATATATAAATTTTTTTAAAAAAAAAATTAACCCCCCTCCGTGAGTGAACAAAATTTTTTTGTTCACTCACGGAGGGGGGGGGGAGTAAGCATCCTGCCTCAGCATCATGGTAGTTACAAAGCTGACAGCTTAGCATAACTCCTAAAGAGGCAGCTAATGGAATTGCAGGAGCTGCTAATGCAGTTAAATCTTGCTCATGAAGGGTTGATGAATATAGTCTTAAATCATCAATAAAGCCATTAAATCCTTGATGCCAATCAGTTTTTCCGAGGTATATGTCTCCTTGGTTGTTCTTTACAAGAGCGTTTAATATAACTTGGCGATCTAAATAACTGTTTAAGTAGAATTGTAACAATTGGCCGCTAGCAGTAACTGCAATGTGGCTCCATCTGCGTAAATTTATAAGGCCAGTTGAGTCAAGTCCTTCATTCCAATAGTATTCAGTTGACACTCTTACGTGTAAACGACGCTCACGAGGCCAAAACATAAGGGTTGGTGTCAGTTCTTGAGGATTTTGACCTTTTTGTAAGACTAGTCTCCAAGCTCCTGTAGAATCTTCTAATAAATAAATCCACATGCTAAGTGTAAATTGGTCGACTTCGTAGTAAGATGAGTGAGGAATGACTGCTTGATTTGTCCCGTCGAAATACAAAGAATGGCCTTTGCCCACTACTTAGATCTTACGCATTCCAGGGCCTGCTTGCGCAGGCTCAGATAAAGGATTGGTGCTTGATGAATAGTCATGACCAAATTTGTCGTCAAAAGTCCACCAGCCTACAAGTGAGTCAGGTTCTGCTAGGTCGCCCAGCACATATGAGCCATTATCTAAGCAAATGGTATAAGGAACTGACAAACACTCATCACTATATAAACCTTACAGGTAGCTAGCTGTCGCTATAGATGAGCATAAAAGGAAAAACAGCATTTTTGTATAAAACGACTAATAAGAAAATTAAATTAAATTCTTACTCCCCCCTCCGTGAGTGAACAAAAACCATTAGAAAAATCGCTATTTTTTGCCCAAAAACCCACCCTCCGTGAGTGAACAAAATTTTTTTAATAGAAAAATTTTTTATCGAAAAAAAATTTGATATATAAGTGATAACGAGTATAATGAAATCTAGAGCTAATTCTGTTTAATTTTAAACAAATTGCGTTTTTAAAAATAAATTTTATAAATTAAATCAAATTAGGACTTTTTTAAATTTCGAAAAAAAATATTTGTTATAAATTTATATATAAATTTTTTTAAAAAAAAAAAATTAATCCCTCCGTGAGTGAACAAAAAAATTTTGTTCACTCACGGAGGGGGGGAGTTAATAATAAGGCTTTTTTTGCATTTTCTCTATGCTTTTTGAATTTATTTTTCTAATAATCTTATTTAGAAGATTACTGTGTCGATCATCGATGAAAGTGAGTGCAGAATATTATTGGTCATCAGCTGATCTACATCATGTTCTAGCCTTTTCTTTGGGTCAAGCTTCCCTACAGTACTCACCACCATTTCTTGTTTAGTCTTCTTCATTTCTTCTTGAATCCACTTATTATAAGTTTCTGCCAAAGTGACCATTTCTTCAATGATTTTCAAATTTTCCTCTTCCCTCTTCATGAAATCTTCCACTTTCAGCTTCTGCACCCATTTTTGTTTCTGTAAATTCAAAAGCATTGACTGTTCTAGCTCATTTTTCCTATAATTAATCGTAATAGAGTAATAGTGCCTATTCAGCCCATGCAAAAGTGCACTAATCGAAGGCTTGGCGACGTGCCCAATATTAGAAGTTGTCTGCCTTGGCTCCATCCCTCTCATAGACAGCTGAGGATTTATCAATCTAAAAGCATCAATCACCACTTTTCCTCTGACACTTTGTATAGGGTCAATGACGACAGCTACAGCTCTGGCCAGCTGCTGTTCAAAGCTCTGTTGGGTATTCATATCAACTCCTGAAAGCCAGCAGCCAAAGCCAGGGTGGGAATGATACCATCCGACAACCATTTCTGACCGCCCTGTTTGTTTAAGCATCTCAGTCATGTTGATTTGGAAAGCTTCGTCTATTGATTCGACGCTAACTCCAGTTCCTGACTGAGGCATTGCAAAAACGTCGACTACGCGGACTGTATATTCGTCAACTAATTCACCTAATAAAAGACCCATGACTTCTAATGGGACACCTGCTCGGCCATGTTTGAGCATTTTCAGGAGGGCAAGAGAGGAAATATAGATTTGTTCAGCTGTATCTACCATAGGGACGTCGCCAAGGTTTTGGTTCCTCATGTTGAATTGCTGCTGCATGATTCTTTGAAAGTCCATTTTGAGATTTATTAACTCCCCCCCATCCTTGATCGAACGACCTGCCATCGTTCGATCAAGGATGGGGGTTAAAAAAAAATTTTTTGGGAAAAAAATTTTTATATATATAAAATAAAATATATATATATATTTTTTTTTTATTTACTTTTAAATAAGAGGGTTAAGAGTATTTAATAATTAGTTTTACAGCAAAAAATTAAATTAAATTTCATAAGTCACCCTTTTAAACTGTATAAATTTTAATTTGTTCCTTATTAAACTAAATTTGTTTTTTTAAAAATTTTAAAGAATCTCTATTTTATTAGATTATTGAGTTTTAAGCCTAGGCTGATGACTAAAATCACTTCGGATGGTTGATTTCGAAGCTTTCTGTCGTCTCAAAGTCTCTAAAACAACTTAATCATGTACATGTAAATCTTCCCAAACTTTTGATAACTAATATATTTTTATGTATATACAAATCTGCATGATATGAAAATCGCCCGATCAAGGATGGGGGTTAATTTCCCCAATTTTTAGGAATTTTTACAGTCAATCGTTCGATCAAGGATGGGGGGGAGTAAGAACTTATGTGAAATTTAATAAAATAAATTAATTGAAATAATTAGCATTACAATAATAATATGATATGTATTAAGACATTCTGATTCTGCTTAATGAGCCTTCTTGATGCACGATTCCATCTCCTCCATTCACATAATCAACGCTGAACATTATATAGTGTCCAGAATAGTTCACTGCTAATAGCATATTTGTATTTGGGATCAGCGTCGCAATATAAGGGATCTTGAAATTAGTTCTGGCCACTATATATGACCTTGATGTCTCAAAAGAGTCCTTATAAGACCCTGGCACAATATAACTAGCTGCTGAAAATAAGGAATTTCTTATAGCATCTCCCCAGTTATTGCTTTCCCTCACTTCATTTCTATTAATATTATACACATGTATTGTCCCTGTATCGCTGCAGGACAATAGCAATTCAGCATCCATAGAAAAGTTTATAGAATACGTAATGGCCGCCATCAATCCTCTTTTAAAAGTAAATAACTTATTCCCTTCAGGCAACGAAAACACCCTAATGACAGTCCCTTTTTCAGAAGCTGTCGCACATAGGTTTCCTTGATAAGAAATAGCAATATATGCCAATTTTGACGTGTGGGCTTCTATTTCTGTTCTTAGCTGCATATTAAAGCAGTCATAAACTTGCAAATTTCCTTTCTCTACACTTGAAGGGTATAGTAATCAGCAAGCTGAATGGGTTGGGGATAAAGCAGCCAGACCTTTAGGGTTTTCGACAGTCCTGATTGTGTTTTGTGTTTTCATTGTTGTAGTGTCATAAATATAGATTGCGTCTGAGATGACAGCCACTATTCTAATTCTATTCATTTTTACAGATAATAAAGAGTCGGGGAATGAGGTCTCACAGATAGGGGTGTGCTCGGCGATGTTTCAAATGGTGAGCCGTCTTGGAGAAAAAGCAGGCTGCTCGCCTGCACCGACTAAAGAGACTAATAGGGAGCTTTCGTACATTTCAACAATCTTGAAATTTCCATTGTCTTCTTGGTGGATAAGCTCAAGAGGATATACTTTAAATACTTTAAACCCTGTTCTTGATCCTAAAGTCAGCAAAGTTCTGTCTTGGTTAAAACTTAGATGTAAAATCTCTTCTGATTCCATATTATAAAAAGATTAACAATAATTTATTATAGAATCCTGAATTACTCAAGAAGCTCTGATTTATCGACTTTATATAAATTAATCGTCATAAATAGTTCGACTATGATCTTGGGTCTCATCTTTGCGTTTCGGAACTCTTTCATAGACAATTAACTTTAGGCATCACAAATTAGAAAAAGTAATATACTCTTCTTGATTCAGCTCATGCTCAGGATTATGCTCATATAACAGATATTTCCTCTCATTTCATAAGATAAGCCATTTTGGTAAGTACTCGCTGCTTTCATTAATATCCATATGGTAATTGCTGGCATAAAAGCTAATTCCCTTCTCTTTTTGCAATGATTCTTCTTTACTTTCTTCATAATCAAGGCTGCATAGGAGAAATCTATTGAATTTTGGGATCTGATAGTCTGTCTCTGTATTTTTTTCTTTGTTTTTATATATGTATTTTGACTCACCGGGTGAAATGCCTTTTTTCATCTCAGGGGTATCAATTACTATTCCGAAATGATAGTAGCCTTCTGTTTCTGATTTTTCCTTAATAAAAGAATATGAAAAGTATTGATGAGAAGGGCATAGATCAGGACCACTATCTTCAAAGCAAATTTGACAGCACTCATGAACTAAGCTGATTATGCAATAAATAAGTTCTTTTGTATCCCCAAACTCTCCAAACTGTTCATATTCGCTTTGAAGAGCATATTTAAATCTTTCAATAAGGCTGCTATTTAGCGGATCTCCAAAAACCTGTTTTAGATAATGAATTATTTCACTTAGTTGTTCATTTAGATCTTGTTTCACGTTCATTTGAATTACAGAGTTTCCGAATTCATCTGACTCCCCCTTCATAAGTAGGGAAAAATTGCTTTAAGCCTTATTATAATTTAGAAAACTTTAAAATTTAAATATCCTAAAAAAATTTGAAGAGAAAATTAATTTAATTATTTAAAATGCAAGTCCAATAGAATCCCAGAGATTTCATCTAATAATTATCACTTATGTATGAATGTATTTTCCACAATTTTTTTCTCGTTCAACAGAGTTGGGATTTTCTCAGTGGACTTAATTGCTTATGGAAGTGGTGTAAGCTTTCTAATACTTTTAAAGCTAAATTAAAATAGTCTTCATCAATCACATCAGTCGATTTTTTGCTTTCCATTTATTAAAGAAAGGGTTATTTCTCTTAAGTTTTATAGAAATTTATTAATCAATTAGCTTTTAATATAACTTACACTATTTATTTTAAAATTTAGATAAATTATCTTATTGGTTTTGATATTGTTGGTATTGCTGCTTCGCATAATAATACTCAGGTAGGTACACTTGAGCAACACAATCTGGCATGTTTTGCACAAATGCGTACATTTTATAATTCAGGTTGTAATAATTATAAAATGCCATATCCTTAATCCCCTTTAAGAGTGGTAAAATTATTGAAAACAATCAAAAATTGTTTATAATATAATATCTTGGCGTTATTTCTGATCGGCTCCCACGAGCCAAAAATGGGTTTCTACGTTGAATTTCTGGATTTTCAAGCGTGAAATCCATCTTTGGCTCGTAGGAGCCGATCAGAAATTTAAGCAACTGATAATATATATTTCCAAAAATTTTATACAAAATAAGTTAACCCCCTCCAGAGAACAAAAAATCTTGCTCAATATTGAAGAAAGAGAATTAGCATCCCACCAGCTATTCATGCACCCATCACTATGTCTTCTAAAGGTATTGCAATTATTCATTTCATTGCTTTGGTACCATAAGGCAAGCTGGCTAAGATATGATTGTCCAGGTGCATCCCCAGGGAATAAACCACAATATCTATTTCCGTTTGGATTTAAAGCACAATCACAAGATGAGCTTAAATCAAAATTATTCCCAAAGAATGGATCATTGCTAGAGGTACACTCTGAGTTGTCATCACATGCCATTGGAATAAAAGCATAAGATTTCAATGGATTTGTGCAGTAATTTGCACCATTCAGCTGAGCACAAGTCAATGATGAGCATAGCCTATTTTGGTTTATTTGGCATTGAGCAACAGGAGCATGAGGCTGAATGCTTAAATATGCAACACAAGTACTTGTGGCTGCATTTCCTGTGAAATTGCATCCAGCTCCATTAACACAATCAAAATCAGAGTTACAGCCTGATTGGCCTACTTGAAGCTGAGAAACACAAAAGCGCTTGGAACAATAAAGTCCTGGGTTGCATGAGTTACTGTCTTGGCAGCCACCCCCTTTAGCAGCTCCTGTGCAGATTCCACCAACACAGCCTTTATAAGCATAAGCATTGCAATCTGAAGCCGTTGTACACTTCTCCCCAGGCCATCCTTGGGCTGTGAAATTTTGTTCGGCTTGGCAAGTGCTATTAGAGTTGTGGAGGGCTGGACAATAATTGTCTCCAGAACATGGTTGAACATAATAAGTATTCGTTTTTTGGTTGAAATAAACACATGTATTAGAGCCAAATTTTTGAGATGGGAGCTTGCAGTTAAACATTTCACATCCTGTTGCTGATAATTCTCCATATGCAAGGGTTGCTAAAAGACCCACAAAAACAAGTATTTTTCCTTGCATTATTAAATTATGGTGCAATTTATTAATTTCTATTATCAAAAATGTGTGTCATCATAGCTCTAAATTCAGTCAAGTCTATTTCTCCGTCTCCATTCTCATCGACTTCGTTAATATATACATAAAATGGCGTATGGCGACCGACCCACCTCCCAGTGGTGGTTACCCATGTATATCCGGGCATGGTTTTTTGGAGCCAGGAATTAGCCCAACAACGTCCGGGACCTCGAAGCGAGAGGCCTAAGCGCGAGAACCGCTGTTTTTGCGACCAGACCCATGGGCAGTTATTCGTGACTTCTTTTTGCCAGCAGCGCTCAGCCCAGTGAGTGCCCGAAATGAGGCAGGGTGAATTACCTGCCTAAGCTGCTTTAGTGGCTCGCCCCGAATGGCGAAAGCTGTTGAGTTCTTTCTCGGGATGACCGGAAAAGAGGGGAGGCGAGTTAGACATTGAGACGGGGGTCTCTCCAGTTTAAAAGGTGCCCTTCAATGGGCAGATCTGGCGGACGACGAAGCGGAGTTGGCGTAAACTTAGGCGACGATCCAAGTTGGAAATGGAGGTGGTCAGCAAAGCCGGTATAATACGGCCCTTGACAATACCTCTACCGAGAAACCGGGGGTTTCGGCCCGGGCTTGGTGAACTCTCTGCCACCACACGGGAAACCGTGGCATGCGACCTCGGACGTAGTAGGGACCTTAAATACCCAGCGTAATCTTAATCTTAATCTTAATCGACTTCGTTAATCATTTCTTTCCAGACTTCATCTGTAGCAATCAGCTCCTTTCCAAACACATTTTTCAGCTCAATTGCGCTGATTTTGCCACTTCCATCTTCATCAAATGCTTTAAAGGCCGAGTCTAGGTTTTCTATACACAATAGACTTTCTTTTCTTGCAGTAGCCATAATGAATTCTGTATAGTCAATATATCCAGAATTATTTACATCAACTTGTCTTATAATATCTTCAATGTCTTTTTGGCTGAATCCATTTCCGCCTAAAGTATAAAATGCTTCAAGAACTTCTTCTTTGCTTAATTTGCCATCTCCATTTGTGTCCATATCTCGAAAAGCTTCGCCGAGCTGCTTTATTTCTTCTTTATTGCTTATTTGTGATGCAATATAAGTTAGGACAGCTCTTTGCAATTTCTGTTCAACCCTAAAAGTTTTTAAATTTCACAAAGAAATTTGGGTGAGATTTTCGTCTCTTGTAATATAAGATGCATTATATTGCTTTATATTAAATTAAATGCATTTTTCAGAGATTTATTATTTTTTATGCTATAAATAACTTATTTTTTTCCTATATTTTAGGTCTGTAGGGTATATATATTATTCACTCATCTGTTAAAGCTTCATTAGCTGAAATTCTTGTATTTGGGTCATAATCAAGCATCCTTTTTATTAACTTTTTGGCCATTGGAGTCACCCCGTCCCAACTTGGGCCTTCAAATGAGAATTCTCCTTTTTGGACTCTTCTAACAATTTCTGGGCTGCTATTTCCATTAAATGGAGGTCTACCACTCAGCAATATATACAAAATTACTCCGCAGCTTCAAATGTCACATTTTTCATTATAATTTCTTCGCAGCACCTCTGGCGCCACATAATAACTTGTCCCATACTGCTTAGTCATGTTGACTTTTGAGTCATAAAATGCAGATAGCCCAAAATCAATGACTTTAAGGGTCGCTTCTTGTGACTGTGCATCTATAAGCAAATTTTCTGGTTTTAAATCTCTATGAACAATATTATTTAAATGGCAATAAGCCACTGCACTTAGCAGCTGTCTCATAAATTGAGCAGCTATTGGCTCCGAAAGCATTTTGCTTTTAATTATATAGTCAAAAAGCTCCCCTCCAGGAATATATTCAGTCACTAAATGATAATACATTGCATCCTCATAAAATTCATACAATTTTATGATATTTGGGTGATCTGTCTGTTTTAATATATCGATTTCAGAGTAAAATTGCGCATGTAATTTCATATCCTTGCCTATATGTTCTTTAGAGATTGTTTTTATTGCCCTTTTTAGGCTTGTAATTTTGTTTAAGGCAAGCCTTACGAGTCCATATGACCCTGTATGTATTGTTTTTTCGAAGATATAGTTATCTTCAATATTCCCTTTACGAAGGCCTACAAACAGGGAGGGGTTAAATGACAGCTGGTCTTTGGTTTTGATTTTTATGATGCGGTGTGATGAGATGCGGTCTTGATCTGTACTCAAATCTAGGTTTGACTGAATTTTGTTTTTGGGGTTCGATTTGCAAGCTATACAGCCCATTAATGTAAGAAAATTAATTTTTATGAAATTTGTGATTTTGATCAAAAATAAACCTTTAAGCCAAATTTTTTCAAATTTGAAAAGAGTCTTCTGGAATTTTTGGCTGAAGTGGTAAATTTTGTAGAGAATTTAAAAATACGGTAATAAATATGTTACATAAATAATGTATAGTATTAAATTAATAGAGTCGATGAAATAATTACGAAAAATAATTAAAAATTCAAATTTGCTTTCTTGAATGCTCAGACAAAGATTTTTGCTTCACAAAAAGATTTATCATTGCTAATAGCTATAAAAGCTGATTTAAGCTTAAATTAATATCAATAAAAATGCAATTTCTTTATATATTGGTAATACACTTTAAGTCTAAAATAACAGGAAAAATATGCAATATTAATAAAGATGCTAAGACTGATTTCTCGGAATTTTTCTGCCAAAGCTAATCTGTTATCAATCACATCTCAGGCTACCAGTAAGCTCAAAGAACTAATGGAAAAACAGCCAAAAGACGTTATTGGGCTCAAAATAGGAGTCAAAAAGAGAGGATGCAATGGAATGAGCTATACAATGGAATATGCTAAATCCTCCATTAAAAGAAAGCAAAATCATTGGTTTTTTAATTTATTTATATTATAATTAATAAATGTTATAATAGCTTGGATTTTAAAAAAAAAAAATTATAAATTAAAATTAGAATTTTCTTTTAAAATTTTGATAGCTTAAATAGAAAATATATTTTATATATATATTTTAAGAGAGAGTAAGCAAAAAAACAAATTAGACGAAATGGTTGAAATTGACGGGATTAAAGTAATTATTGATGCAAGGGCTGTTATGTTTATTCTTGGCACAACTATGGACTACATAAACACAACGACAAGAGAAGAATTCACATTTGAAAACCCTAATGCAAAAAGCAAATGTGGGTGTGGAGAAAGCTTCAATGTTTAGTAACAAAAATATCAGTCGTAATACCTATTTTGATTTATATTTGTTTTAACTTGTAAAAGGTAAATTTAAAGCTGTAAGATTTATTAGGTCCACTAATTAATTAATTTATGATATTGTCTTGCTGACTTCAAGCATTTAAAAATGATAGCACTTTTTATCAGAAGCCTCGCCAATTTCTTAAGAATTATTAAAAATCTATTTAAGGCTAATTATTAATAATTTCCAACCCAAGAGTGAGGAATAAGTCCAGCCATAAACCCATAGTCTTGATGGAGATCAAGTTTTTGCCTTGCAAAATATTCCCAGCTATAAAGCATGATCACCAGCCCATCACCTATAAGGAACATTGACCATACAAAAACATTCAAAAACCTTTTCTCTTGCCTTGAAAAAAATGTATAAATAACACCAGGTCCTCCAAACAAAATAAATAAAATTGGATAAAAAAATCCCATAGATACCGCTATTATAACTTCATGAATAACTGCAGAAAACACAAAAACTCCTACAAATCCCACTAGCTGAGAAATTTTCCCTTTTGAAAACCTATAAATATCTTGGTAAAAATAATGAAACAGCCAATCATGTACAACATTATTCCAAGTCCTATAATAAGCATGGAAACTCGTCACATTCCACCAGTCAGTATAAAATTCCCTATCCCCAAATCTCATTATTTCTGCCCACAAGTTTTGCCAACTATGTAAAATTCCAAAAAACATAAGCACTAAAAGCATAGTTCCAGGAAGCATAATTTGGAATCAAGAAGTCAGCATAAATTTAATTTCCCATGGCTTATTTCATGATTCTTGTAAATAAGGAATGCAGATGGTATGCAAGAGTAAGTAAACATAAAACATTGTCCCACAGACATTGAGGAGATTATAAGTAATATTCCACCATCTTCTGTGTGGAGTTATCCTAGGATAAGTATCTCTGTATATTAGTGTAGGGGAGAAAAAGAAGAAAAGAAATCTTTTAAGCTCAGTAAATGGGTCTTCTATAGTAATTGTAGGGATAGTTAAGTTTTCGACTGTAATGCCTCTTTTAGCAAACTTTGCAGGAATAAAAGTTGCATATTCGTTAGGGCCATTTCCAAATAGTAGTTTTTCTCGTAAATAGGAATGCATCGTCATTGACATACGGGCCATTTCACAAGTAATAACGAATCCACTGGCCATAGGAAGGCTGAAATGTAAAGTCCAATAACAAGGCCCGATATACATTATTAACTGCAAAAATACATAAATTGTAATCCACACAAGCTTTGGCAGATAATTTTTATGTATAAGTTGCACCAAAGGAATTACTAATAAGCACCAAGCTACTTCTAAAAGCCATCCTATAATTACTAAATGAAACTTCGCAAAAGCCCATGCAAACAGTGATAAATCTAAAATGACGCCATTTTCAATATACCCTCTAATGATTTCTCCAATACACATAACCAGCATAATTGCTATAAAAATATGATAAACTGTCCTTACGTCTTCATTTTTCAGCATTTTTATCAAGAGGCTTGATCTTCTCCTGTGCACTTTTTGTGATAAAATACAGGTTTGCAGAGAATTTTTCTTTTGGTCAAGCACATTTTCTTCTGCTTCTATGAGCTCATTTGCGACTTTATTGAATTCTGAGTTAAATTCGTCTAGTGTCTGCTTGAATTGTTCCTGCATTTCTCTCTGTGTGTCGACTAGTGAGGTATTAATTTTATCTATCTATCTATTAAATTAAATTTATACGCTTAACGTCCCTTATGGGGTTGCCCATCCCAGAGCTTCCGCCTTCCTCGATGCACCGAGCCGACTGGCCTCTGGGTCGACCAGCTTCTTCATCGAATGCACCTAGACGCAGGTGTTGCCGACTTCGACGGCTCACGACTGAGCTACTTCGTTTGAGGACATGGGTTGCCATTCCGAAAATCCATAAAAAATGGATTTTCTGGTAGGCTTTCGGCAAAAAAAAGGGTAAACACGAAGCCTGGGACGTAACGCCCAGTTTCACGCTAGGGAGTTGCCCGATTGGTCCTAACGGACTCTGCTGAGCTTCCCCCTTTCCAACTTACGTGCCTCCTTCCCCATGAGGAAAAAACATCCCTGAAAATAGACTTGGGCTAGGCTCTGAACTCCACCAGAAATTGCTTACCTAGCATTGCTGTCCCTTTCTGAAATGCAAAACCTTGCCAGATATAATTAAAATATGAGTCGAGAGGATGCATGGCCGGGAGGCCATGCCCAGACGAAGACGCCATATTTTAATTATGGTATTAATTTTATCAATTACTTCTTGTCGTATTTGTTTTAGTTTAGCTTCATATTGGGAATTTTTTGAATTCAGGTTTTTTTGGCTTTGGAAAGACTGAAGCAGTTCGATAGCTGAGGAGAGCTGCTTTTGGACGAGAGAAATACTCTGATCCTCCATTTATAAGAAAATTTTGGATGGAGGAATAAGTTAAAATAATTTTAGGAATTTTTGGTGGCTAATGAAAAGAAAATAATCTTCCTTACTCCCCCCCCTCCGTGAGTGAACAAAACCATTAGAAAATTCGCTAAAAAACCCACCCCTTCGTGAGTGAACAAAAATTTTTTATGGAAAAAAAAATTGATATATAAATGATAATTAGTATAATGAAATCTAGAGCTAATTCTGTTTATTTTAAACAAATTGCTTTTTAAAACATAAATTTTATAAATTAAATTAATATTTGCTTTCCAATTTTTGCGAATTAGGATTTTTTTGAATTTTGAAAAAAAATATTTTTTTTATATATAAAATTTTTTTAAAAAAAAAAAAAATTAACCCCCCTCCGTGAGTGAACAAAATTTTTTTGTTCACTCACGGAGGGGGGGGGGAGTTAGTATGCATAGACTTAGCAGGAAATTAAATAAAGGATTTATTTTTAATTATATTTAATAGAAATTACTGTTTATCAGGTCAAGAGTTTAGTAGAAACGTAAGGTTTAGTCTTTAATTATTTAATAAATATAGTATAAAGTGAATTTGGATATTCTACACCAATTATTTAGAAAAATTATTTCGCTCTTGGGATCAATTTTGAGCTTACCAGTTTTCTGATTAAATTTGTCGTTTTGTTTGGAATCAGCTGTCTTGTCGCATCTCTTATATTTTGCTGCAGCTTTGCAGGATTATTTTCATCATTTTTATTTGGTGATGGTGAGTATTCTCTGCTGACTGCTCTTTCTAAAGAAGGCTTATATCCTCTTTGTGAGCTATATGGCTGCTTCCTTGTTTTTGTGCTATTAGATCTTGCAAGAGATATAGACCGAGGGATTGATGGATACAATAGGCTAAAAGCTCCTTTTTTAGTAGAAATTTTATTTTTTCCAAATGCATTATACCTCGGTGTTTTCTCCTCTTCACTATTTTGATAATTAATTTTATTTTTCGGCAACACAGAGCTTGATCTTACCTTAGTCAAATCATTGATTTCTTCATATACTTCATGATCTTTTACTGTTTTATATTCCTCTAAAAATGCAGTGGCCTTTGACGTTGTCTCTAAATTTTTGCTTCCTGATTTTCTTAAATTCCTTGCTTCAGAAAGATGGGAAATTTTGATTTCATTCCATTTTGTAACCTTAGGTGAAGGATTTGACAATTTTGTAGGAATTACTCTTATTGTGTCTCCTAAGCTGTCATAAAGATTATCAGGTTTTAAGTTTTCTTCATTCATTTCTAGTTCTTGTAGAGGTAGCAATGAATTTTGTCGCGATTTTATTCGCCGTTTCATATTATCTATTTCTTTTTTCATTTCTTGAATAATTTTGTCTTTTTCTTCACTGATTTTTTCAGACTCTTCAGCTTTTTTTTGCAGCTCTAGATTCTGCATATGTAAATCTAATTTTTCTAGTTTTAAAGTTCTAACAGCAATTTGTAATTCTAAAAGATCTCGTTTTTTGCTGTCTTTAACATTTCCCATTTCTTTTTGAAGCGTCTGTTTCTGTTTCATATTTGCATACATCGCCTGCAATAGCTCATTTCTGTTTTCCTCGTTTTCTCTTATATTTTCTTGTACTAATTGTAGCTCATTTTTTAAATCTTCAAAAATACATATTTCTTTATCATTATTTTCTGCTTCAATTCTTTCTACCAAATACTTTAACCTTGTCCTATTCTGCTCATTAAGGGCTTCAATTTCTTTTATGCTTTGTTTTAGCTCCCAATGCTCTTCAAAATTCGTCCTCAGTAATCTTGATAAATTTTTATATTTTTCTTCATCTTTTTCGTCTTCAATACTTAAATCTTGATAGCTGTTTTGGTCTTCTTGCCTTTTAAGCTGGATTTTCAAAGTTTCTATTTCTGATCTTAAGCTATTAATAATATCTTTATAGTCATACTGAACTTCTTTTATGGTTTTACTTACCTTTGTGCTTATAAGCTTGACTCTTTGGGCGTATTTCAAAGTATGATAGGTGTCTTCATATGCAAATGCGGCAGGGATTATACAAGCAATCATGGTTGTCCTGGTATTTCCGCCTAAAGAGTCTTTAAGTAGCCTTGTTAGTTTAGAATCTCTATAAGGGACATATCTTCCTTTTTTCTTATCGTCGCTCAAAATATTAATACAGTTCCCGAGTGCTAATAAAGACTTATTTATCATGGCGCCTTCTACCATTCTTTGTCCTTTGTTATCAGTTGAAGCTCCTCTTTCGCTTCCAGCTAAATCAATCATGCATAGTCTAGAAGAAATAATTTCATTTTTATGGGACTGTTCTATATTTAACTGTAAAATGGCATGAGATCTCGTTGATAGCTCATTTGCGCTGGTTGAGGCAAAAGTTCGGTTTTTATTTCCTTCTAGCACAATATCATAAAGCTGCTCTAAGTTTTCTACCTCGAATTCTCTTAGTTCAGGGACTAAAATGCCTTTGGAGGGATCTTCAATTATCATTAATCCTTTGGAATCTTGAGGGTTGAGCAGGTCTTTCACATTTTCATTATAAATTTCTAAATAGCTAGCCTTGAGACAAACTTTTGACATGCTTGAAAATCTTTTGAAGCAGCCTTCTAGTGCAAGGAAAACAATCCCGCGCTCATTGTTTTTTAAAGATGTGATATGGCCGAACATTGTATGTGTTTTGCCAGCACCTGTGTTTCCATATGCAAAGCAAGTGGCATTATAGCCATTTGACAAGCTTTCAATGAGTTTTTCAATAGCGAAATCATATAAAAAAATTGAAGAATAAATAAAAGAAAAAATAGCCGCTTAAATATTAATAAGGCATTAACCAATAATTATTAAGCATTCGGTGTTTTTAAATAGTATAAACTTCTTTATTGTTGCAATCTTCATTAAAAACTCCATCAAAAGCATACCTTTTAGTTGTAAAACTTGGATCTTGTAGCCAAAGATCATTTGATATACTGCCTTGGTTTGTTGTCACAATTTTTGATGATTTTACCCTTGGGAAGCTCTGCTCTGTTTCTGAAAGTGGCCGAATTCTGATATAAACCTCAAAAGGTGATATGGTTTGGTTCATTTTAATTTAAATTCAAACTCCAATATGAAATAACAATTTTATTTACAATAAGCGTTTAACTCTATGTATAAGCCACTTAGCACTCCAGAAGCTCCCCATTAAAATATTTCGCACCTTGTCTTCTGTCTTTTTAAATCCCTTGATTTTTCAGTGATTTTTTGACTTGACGACTTTTTCACAGCATAATGGTTTCTACTTATAGCGGTGCCTTCACGGTTCGCTGCTCTGTCTAAAGGAGGAAGCTTGACATCTTCTTCCTCTTTAACTGATCGATGGTGGCTTCCCCTTCGAAAACTGCTCATATTTCAATCGAAAATTAAATCATTTTGGAATCCTTCTCTGGCAAATGCTTCTTTTAGAATTCGTCTTAAATAGGTGTAGTCAGGCCTGTCTTCGAACTTAAGCCCTTTACAGTATTGAATGTACATAGCAAGCTCTGGAGGACACCCTCTACAAAGAGACTCGATTGGGGTGTTCATTTTTCGTTCCATTATTTTCTTGTATTTGTCTTGCTTAGCTTGTGCTGCCACTCCTTGCCATGGAAGAGAGCCTTTTACTCCGCCTATATGATAAAGGACAAAACAGTCGATTTTTTAGCTCAACAGTTTATTAGCGAACAAATTTACTATTAAATATTTATATCTCTATAAGCAATTTCTACAATTATGGTGACTATAATTCTTCAAGCACTTCTAAATAGACATACATGTTATTCTGTTTTGATCGTTCTTTCAATTTAAATTCTTTTAGATTTCAATAAGTTATAGAATCTTTTTAAACTGCATGAAAAAGTTTTTTAAAAAATTATAGTTATATCTTAATTAATGCTTATTAATAAATTATTAGTGGTTTTAATAAGATATTTTATATAATTCTTTGATTTTTTGGGTAATTTTATTAGCCATAAATTTTTGAAATCACATAATTCTTAATACGCATTTCTTGAAATAATCTTTTTTAAAATATTTATAACAATAGATAATAAAATTTCAACCTATACCTCAATTAATAAAGAACAAAATGTTTAGATGGGAAGTTAGTAGGTATATTATTACATATCCAATGCTCTCTAGATCATCTCTTCGACTTTGTTCTATCCCCATATGTGAATTTACTGAAGCATATCTGGCTGTGCCAGTTAGGCTTCGATTTTCATTATACGGGATATGTCTTGATGTTTTTTGGTCTCTGTACTTTTTTGAAAGCCCAAAATCAATTATCTACATAATTAAAGATCCCTAAAATTGTGTTTATACTAAATTTTCTATAATATATATAATTTAATAACAGAAATACACTGCAATTGATCTTTACTGACTCAATAAGATTAAAAATATTATATTGCTACGGCTTCCCAGCCCAATCAAAAAGTTATCAGGCTTAACATCTCGATGAATAAAATTTTTCGAATGCAAATACTCAATTCGAAATAGCATCTGTTCAGCTATCATAAGAACAGTTTTTAGTGTGAATTTCTTTTTGTATAAGTTAAACATATCTTCGAGACTTGGGCCTAACAGCTCCATCACCATCACGTTATAAGTCCCTTCAACCCCTGACCAAAATATCAATGGTATGCCTGGTGATCCTTGAATCATTTTTAGCGTTTTACTTTCCCAAATTAACTGAGGATGTTTGCTGCTAAGGCTTTCTAGTTTTATAGCAACTTCTTCATTTGTTTGAATGTTTGTGCCCAGATATATTTCTCCAAATGAGCCACCACCAATTTTTTTGCCTAGTCGGTATTTTCCACCTACTCTTATATCAATCATTTTCTTATTTATACAGTAGAGTTATCTTTAATCAGTATGGCTCAATTCTTTAGAAAAAGTACATTAAGAATTCACCAAAAATAAAATGTGAATTATTTATAGGTGAAATATTGATAAAGGATTAGGGATTGGGATGAAGAGAGGAGTGAGGCTATAAAATTAGGTGGTTTGGAATTTTAAGGATATAAATGAAAAGTCATAAAAATGATAATTTATTGTAAAAAATTTGGATATCGATGATTTGAAAGGTAAAATAATTGCTATAGCACATCAAAAGGATTTAGATAAGATTAGTGGTATATCACTAGCGAACTTCATATCTTTTTTAATTAAGAAGTAATTTTGTGGGCTATTTTAAAGATGCTGAGATAGTGGCTGTCCTGATAAGTCCGAAAAGCATTATCGGTATAAATAATTGAACCATTTAAAATCGAATTTAAATTATTTATTAAATGATATTTGAATATCAAAGTATTATAATATTTTTTTACTGCTCATAGACGCGCTAAATTTCCTAAAATATGAGAGAGTAAGCATTCCACCTTCATTAATTATATTTTTAAATTAAAATAAACATTAATAAACAATAATAGATAAAATTAAACTGAAAAAAAATAAAGGATAAAAAATTGGCCTTAATATACTTTGTTTCTCTGATATAAACGCTCCTCGTTTCTATATCAATAACTTATGTGATTCAATACGATATTTCATTAATCATTTCTTCTAACTATAAAGTATTCAAATAAATGGAAATTTCAAACGAGCTGAATTTAAAGCCCAGCTTCTTATAAAAATGATTGCAAAACTCTAATCATAAAAAAGAAGCAATCAAGCTTAACACAATTTCCCTAAAATCTTGTCTTTTTCATTCCATCTGCCCATCATGAATTCCCCACTCACTCTCTCATATGTAACCCCTATCCTCCCAAATTTGAATTATTTTATTTCAATCCTCCTAATTTACCCTCAAATAATCCAATTATAACTTTAACAGTTCTTCCTTAAATTTCTCTTTGATTCTGAGCAGTATGTTAAAAACCAAATTGAACAAACATATGAATTTAATGGCTTTTCAAGTCTTATAATTTTTTACTGAACACTTAAAAGATCCCACAAATGAACAAAAAATCAAATCAAAGGGCCAACAGCGGCTATTGGTCAGCGTCCACTACAGAAAGTGAAGATTCCAAGAGGCCCTGCTTTTTCCTCGGGAAGTGAACTGTAGCACCAGATCCCCGAAGTTTACCTTTACCAAGCTTCAACAACTTGATACTAGCTAGCTCCAAGACTTTTTCCGCTTAAATTCACTCTATCTTGCTTTGTTTCTCGATGACTTTAAGGCATCAGAGCCAAACGAGTATGGAGTGAGCTAAAAGTAATTGAGTTGAATAAATTAGAGCTAACAATAAGAATTATGCCATTTATAAGAAATAGGATAATTGTTTTTTGCTATATAAAATAGGGTTGAAACTATTCATTATAAATAAAATATAACTGGAAAATAAATTAAATCTCATTTGGAATTGAGAATTTTGGGTTTATTTAAAATAAGAGTTTTGGAGGAAGAAATTTTTGCCGGAATGAAACTATTTTTTCTAACTTAAAAGTTCGTTTAGTAGATAATTAGTGCTGATTTAAAATGTACAAACCAAAACTATGTCATTTAAAGAATCAAAATCCTGCGCTTGGGTTCTGCAGCAGCTTTGGAGACCAAACTCAATCGAGTTTTGCCAAGTCCCTCTGCTTGATACTATTTTTATCGAAAAATCAGTCGGGTCACCTTACAAATGGCTCTTCACTGATAAGAACGGCATCGTCAAAAAGAAAACATCACAAAATTCCACAATTGACGTAATCACAGCCAAGTTTACTGCAGTCCCTCTTAGAGACTCAAACACAGCTCAGCTTTTTGCTTACTTAATTGTTGGGAATGATTTTCGAAAATTGAGCAGAAAAGATTTTCTAGATATTTTGCATCACCAAGATATCAAAGATGATGAAGCGATACAAATAGCTAAGCCTTTATTAGAGGAAAGTGCAAGGTATATTGCAGAATTTAAATTAGATGATGGAAGACCTTTAATTAAATATTGAAAAATCTATGAATTAGATGGGCAGGAAATAAAAGTTCAGCTTGCTGGGCAAAATATGATTGAGGCTTTTAAAAACATTGGGCAGCTGGTCATAAATTCTATAGAAAAAAATACAAGATTCAGGCTCGCTTCAATCAGCCTGATTTTTGTGCAAGATACAACAAGGAAATTCTGGCTTATGGGGAGCAATGACTGTGTAATTTTTAATGTAAAACCACTTGAAAGGAAGCCAACTCATTTGAACACGAGTTCAAATATTACAGAGCCTTTATCAAATGTATCAAGAAATGTTCAAACAAGCGTTTCTCCATATCCCCTTGCAAGATCTCAAAGTTTAACAAGAAGAAACAAAGATCTGGCTAAATTCAAAACAAATGTCAAACCTTGTGCAGGAAGTTTTTGCAATTTTATAATGAAAAGTAAAGATCCAAACTTGGTGAAAGCTAAAATTGACTATGAGCATTTAATATCAAAAATTACCTTGTCATTTCAAGGAGATTCTAGCAGCAATAGCGCTAAATTTAAACTAGAAATGGGAAGCGATTATATTGAGCAAGAAAGAGAAAGGCTTAAAGGCAAAAACGTTGTAAATGAAGTCCCTTATAAATATATTTTGATAGGACAAAGTGTACTGGCCAATATGAATGAAAATGCAAAAAATAAGGAAATTCTTGATATCGATATAGCTGATATATTAAGAGTACCATCGCCCAGTAAAGGGCTAGAATATATGCAAACCAACACTAATTTAATTCCAAACCCTTTATCTCACCCTAGCAGAATTTATGATACTGTAAAAATTTGTGATAGATGCTATGAAGTTTACAACACAATCAGAGTGATTAGATCTAAAAAACCAGAAGCCCCAGTCCATATTAAAAAACCCAGCTCTCGGCCTATGTCCTCTCAAAGCTATTCCCAGCTTTCTTCTTTCTCCAAAAGAGATTCTCCACTCAGAAATGTTTATAAACCTCCAATAGTGTCACTTACAACTCCAACTGTCGCTAAAAATCATGCTGGGTTAAATAAAGCTTTAAATGACGAAGAATTAAAGCATGCAAGCGCTGCTAGTAAAAAACAATTCTCAATGCTGTATAATTTGGTTACAGAAAATATGAAAAAAGAAGAAGCGGACATAGGAGATGATGGGGTGATGTTTCAAGAGGTAGCGCAAAAGTTCTTTCCTGGTGATTATGCGAACACTTGGAATGTAAAAACTCAAGAAGAAAAGAATATTGATAGCTGGAAGAACTATATAAAAAGTTTGAAAAATAGACCTATTATAAGGAAAAAATTTTAAATAAGAAAATTATTTTTAAATTTTATATACATAAAATGGCGTATGGCGACCGACCCGTCCTCCCAGTGACGGTAACCCATGTATATCCGGGCATGGTTTTCAGGAGAAGCGGCTTAGCCCAGCAATATCTGGACCATGGTGGCGACCAGGGACGAACACAGACCCGCTGATCGTGGCCAGATCCTAGGGCAGTTAGAAGCATCTCCTTTTTCCAGCAGCGCCCAAGCCAGTGGGTGCCCGAAATGGAGCAGGGCGACTTACCTGCTCAAGCTGCTACTGTGGTCTGCCCCGAATCGCGGCAGCGGTTGAGGATTTTGTCAAGCGGATAAGCTGGCAAAAGGGGATGCAGATTAGACGACTCAAGGCGGTCTCTCCAGTTAAAAGGGTCCTCTTTCGAGGGCAATCTGACCAACCGGAGACAAAGACTGGCGTAACTCGGGGCGGAAGGCTGAGTTGGAAATGGTGGTGCTCGGCGACGGTCGGCTGACGACCCAATAGGGCAACCACTACCGAGAAACCAGGGGTTTCGGCCTGGGCTCAGAGAACCAGTGATGGAAGTCCATCCTTTTCGCTCGTGCCAGCACGGCTCCTCACGGGGCGCGGAGGAATGTCACGCATGGAAGAAGGGACCTTAAATACATATCATAATCTAATCTAATCTAATCTAATTTTTAAATTTTGTGGGCTTATTAAAATTTATATAAGGTTAAAGGATTTTTAACTATTATTGATAGAATTAAGTTAAAGGTTATGCTTGCAATAAGTAGGTAAACCCACCAGCTGTCGCTCACCTTGGCTCCAGAAAGTGGCACTTCTATTTCCAACCTGAACACCTGCCCTAAGGATTAGATCCCTCTATCAAAGCAATTATGTAGAGTGCCCCAAATAGTCCTGATGAGAGAAGACCTCGCTTATCTGACTAGAGCAGTAAAATCCACATTGGAGAAACATTCGGCAGGTATCCGCAAACCTGAAGGCCTAATTCAAAGGAATAGAGGTCCTACTTTCAGTTTAGCAAGGATGAGTTCTACTTGGTTTATAGGATAGCACCTCGGAAGGCTTACTTTGAAATCTATAAGATTAGAAAAAAAAGGAAAAATTAGAAAGATTTGTTTATGTTCTTGATATGTATTACAAAAGCATACATTGTTGGCAATATTGCCTTGTCATTGGCTCCATTGTTGGCTTCACCAAATCATTTGTAGATTTAACGCTTGCTCTTGACATCAAACTTGCGAATAAGCTTTCCCTTCCTTCATTCCTAAGCGCTTCCCTCAGCCTTTCCTTGAAATTTACCTTCAAAACTCCATAGCATTTCCTACAACTAATAGATTTTAATTTCCCAGCAGGTATCATCTTTCTCATTTCCTTATTAATTTCATCAATTTTATACAACACATCTTCCTCACTCCTCTTCAGTTCCTTACTCTCTCCTCCATTAGCGAGCAAAATCGTTGAAAAATCTCTTTTTTTTGCGAAAATTACCCCTGCGAGCACACAAATATTTTTAATATAAAAACTTTTATTAAGATATAAGTAAGAAATATTATAAGAAATTCTATCAAATCTATAGCGCGCGACTCTTATTGGTTTCTATGGAAAATACCCTTAAAGAAAAATTATTTTAAGCATTTTAAAATATTATGAAAAGTCAAATTAAATCTGACAAATAGGAGATATAAGATGAAATTTTAAATTTAATTAATTCTTTTCATTTAAATGTTATTGTCCTTAAAGATCTATAAAGAGCACGCGCTATATAACTTGCATTTAAAAAACAAATTATATAAATAAAATAACTTTCCATTTTTGCAACCGTTTTGGGAAAAATTTTGCTCTCTTGCCGAGGAGTTAATTTCTTCTACCTCTGCTTTAATTTCCTCTTCTTTATCCTCCTTTTTCTTCTTCATCTGTTCTTCTGAACTTTTAGACTCATTTAAAGCATTTTTCAAGCTTTCCACCACATTTTGTACAGTTTTTTCTCTCTGGTTTTCTTCTTCAATCTTTTTTTCAATATTTTCCAGTCTTTGTGCATAAGTTTTTTCATTATTTTTTGTCTGAATTTCTAGCCGAGAAATAATTTCGGTTTTCCCTGTGATTTCTGCTTTGATTTTTTCCTTTTCTTTTAGCATCCAATTCATGTCACCTTTTAATGACTTGTATTGTGGGGCAAGCTCTCTGGCGATTTCTTTTTTAATTCTGCCTCTTTCGCAGTCGTCACATACAGGAAGTAATGTCATAGCAGTTCTGACGAGGATGTGTTCTTTACAGATGCCTTTTTTACAGACGGAGCATTCATAGCCTTTATGGATTGCTGAGAATTGAAGATGGCAGATGTGGCAATGTGTGATTAGATTTGAAGGCCGTGGAGGCTTTTTTGAGAAAATGTTTTTGAAACTAGGGCTTGAAGGTGTCAAAGCCTGAATTTTGGTTTCTTCCATTTATCGATATCAATCTGAATATTCAATATAGTTGTATCTAATTTAAAAAGTTTAATATCTTTATTGATTTTATAAATTTCCTAACCAAACTTAACAGAAGCGTTGCAATTTTCTCATTAGGAGCGAAAAGTTGTAATAAAAATCAATAATTTTGCATGAATTTTTAAATATTTCTTTTCTTCTCTAATCAATTTTCTCTCAAAAAAATTTGAATCCTTGATATTATACAAAAATAAACTTCTATATAAATGGCTGAAGAGATAATTACACTTATCGGAGTTTTCCACCCAATTCAAATGGATGTCAACGTAAACGTTGACTCAATCGAGCACGTCGTAAGCGAAGGAGCCAGCGTAATTTTTATTCAGCTTGCTTGCTACCTACCTAATCTTCGACAATTCCTCAAACCTATAGTCGAAGGTAAAAAATTCGCCGATATTCAATCTATCTTTAAAGCTCTCGATAATCCAGAATTCTGACACAACGTTCGACAGGTAACAAAGACTTAGCTCGCAAATGGCTTCGAAACTGAGCTGAACATCAAGCTCATTAAAGCTGCTCTTTACTTGTACAGCAGAAACAAAATAACGTAAAGAATATATAGAGTTCCACTAATGAAGATATATTATAACGCGTATGTACTTTTAGATTTCGAATCAATGAGAAATGGAGCAAAGCAAGACCCAGTTTTGCTGCAACGGTCCTTTATATTAGTTAACAGATTTTTACCTTTGAAATTGATATCATTGTGACTGGAACATAATACTCCTTATTTCAAGCGTGTTGGGATATTAGCACCTCATGAATATTTATTTTTAGCTGTGAATACTTATGATAGAACTAAACTTATAGAAGAAAGGCTATTTTCACAGCCAACATTAATCATTACAAAAGATTCGAACACAAAGACGTTTCATTTGTCGGAAACAGCAGCAGCTAATCCTGATCTTGATAAAAGGTTGGAAAAAATAATGAACAGCCATATAAATGCTTCAAATGTATTTTTTGAGCCTGAAGAAGCTATTGATGAGCCTCCACCGATAAAGCTTCGCAAGTTCTCTAGAAAATCCCGAAGAACTACTCAAAATGCCCAAATGAACGAGTTTAGGACACTTCTCCGAGACCCTAGCCTTTATGACCAAATAAAGCAAACATTATTCCAATCAACAGGGATTGTAAATAAATCTAAAACAAATGAAAAATTTTCCTATCAAAGAATGAGGGCTACCTGTGGAATTTTGAACAGTTCAAGACCTCACACCGCTGGAGTTAGGACGAGCTCAGAAAAAAATATCAAAAACAAAAGAACCCTGACTGATTTTCAGCTGCCTTTTGACGAGCTTAACAAAGCCAATGAGCCTCATCACAGATATATAGTAAGCTTCAGAGAAACTGAAAGGCCTGACTCCTCTATAAATTTGACAAAAAATAACTCCGATGTCCAAGTTCGGCCTTTTTCAGCAGCAACTACAACAACTTATAAAGGGACTAGCAGAGGTGCTTCTTCTCGCCCTATGACTGGAAAAAGCTCAAGACCTTTTACTGCGAATTCAATGGTAAGCACAGCTGTATCTTTAAGGATGAAAGAAGAGCCTTACCATGTATGTACGCTGAGAGAAGCCATGATGACTGAAGGGCCAAATCAAAAAAGTGAGCCAAAGAAAATGAAAGTAAAAAAGATTAAGAGGTGGAGGTATTAACATGAAATACTTATAAACCAAGCTGATTTTATAACAATTAATAGCATTTAATAAGCAAAAATGATGGAAATTGTAGAAAGGCTATGCAGAAGGAAAGAAGAGTTGCCAAAGCTCTTGGACAATGATACACACAGCATTTTAGAAATAATAAGAGCGAGGCCGAATATTATTGGGAGCAGCTTACCTGTGAATGCTATTGTATTTGCAACTCAACATTACAAAGGATCAGGGGCGTCGTCACAACAAATAGTCTTACTAACCGTGTATTACAATGCATCAAATTTTACTCTGGTAGATAAACACAAAATACATCTGCATTTAAGCTTCGACGAGTTTATAATCGCACACCGCAATGGAGCACAAAATTATAGTTTCTCTTTATTTTTAAGGGACAATTTTATTTCCCAAAGATCTGCCAGCTTATGCGCTCAACCGAGGCGTAAAAATGTGAAGGTAGATTATGCTGCTTACCTGATAGAACCAGATATTGACTTAAATATTGGCTTGCCGATTTATGAATTTTTCAGCGTTTTGCTGCTATCAGATAACAATACTAGTTTGATTGTTAAGCATGTAGTACAAGTTGATATGGATTCAACGATTGGCTCCTTATGTAAAGATATTGTATTTGCTGACAATGGATATAATAAAAAGAATGCATTAATAGAAGCAAATAAGCTTTTCAATAATATGATAAGAAATTGACATAAAATGAAACACTTAAATGAAATTAATGAATTTCTGGCAATCATGGCACCTAAAGAGTATAGCGCTTTCCCGAGGATGGCGCGGAATGGCGCCATCCTCGGGAAAAGCCAGGAAGGCATCCACACGGGAACTGGGAGTTCCACGTGTGGATGCCATTTTGGCATGTGGAAGTTTGGATCCCACATGCCAAAAATGGCATCCACACGTGGAACTCCCAGTTCCCGTGTGGATGCTTAGTTGACTTTCCCGAGGATGGCGCGGAATGGCGCCATCCTCGGGAAAGCGCTATATCTATATGGCAATTATAGAAATTTGTGGGAAGAAATCTTTTATTACCTAACCTGGAAAAAAGTAGACCCAAATTCACAAATTGAGAGCTTTGGGGAACAAACATATAAAGCTCTTGTTAGCTCATTCGATTGAGAAAAAAACGAACTGCTTAAGGAATTTAATCTGATAATACTGGACGATTTATTGACAACACTATGCAGAGAAATAGTTATTTGGATGGGAGAATTATAACTAAATAATATTGATAATCAGAATAATCTCTTGCTTACAGTTCTTAAATATTGCTTAAGATAGCATAATTAATTTCTATTAACTAGTTCTTACCTTATAATTTAGGTCTAGCAGCTTCAGCAAGAGTCACAACTTTCCCAAGAGTATCAGTATTCACAGTTGGATAATCAGTTGCCCCTTCAAAGCTATGGATTTCTCTTTCCTTGCTTTTCACATCTTCAGCTGTGAAATTTCCTGCGAAAAATGCTCCATTAGTCCTCTGCAGCCTGAGTCCAGCAACCCATCCTCCCAGGACATCATAAATATTCCCAGTTGTAGTGCAGCTTTCATGAGCCAAATATACAACTAACTGTGTGACCTTTATATACATTAAAATGGCAGCATGTCCCACCCTGCCCTATTGGCGCAATGGTCCAGACCTTACGGCCACGGCAAACTGGGAGGATCATGATTCCAGAAAAAAGTGCAGTCTCAGCCAATGAGCATCTGGGTAGGTTTTGGCTACCTTCTGTGGTTGGAAGTGAAGGTGCCTGGTAGCATCCTTACTCCCCCCCCCCCTCCGTGAGCGAACAAAAAAATTTTGTTCGCTCACGGAGGGGGTTAATTTTTTTTTTTTAAAAAAAATTTATATATAAATTTTATAAAAAATATTTTTTTCGAAATTTAAAAAAAATCCTAATTTGCAAAAATTTGGGAAGCAAATATTAATTTAATTTGCAAAATTTATGTTTTAAAAACGCAATTTGTTTAAAATTAAACAGAATTAGCTCTAGATTTCATTATACTAATTATCACTTATATATCAAAATTTTTTTCCATTAAAATTTTTTTCTATTAAAAAAATTTTGTTTCACTCACGGAGGGTGGGTTTTTGGTCAAAAAATGGCGATTTTTCTAATGGTTTTGTTCGCTCACGGAGGGGGGGGGGGAGTTAGGATCCAATGACCCATGGGCATTCCTCTACCGAGAAACTGGGGGTTTCGGCCCAGGCCACATGGGATTAGTCTTTTTCGTATTGCTGTCGAAGGAAGGCACTTTGGCACCCTACAGACTCAAGGATCTGATCCTTGGGATCAAGCTATTCCAATCTCCCGCTTCAGGGCTGCAAAAATTATAGCTAAGGCCTGACTTTAAATAACCTAGCCTAACTGTGCGACCTTTTCTGAAGAAAACAACACTAAAATTTCATCAGGCAAAATTCCTTTGGTCATTCTCGACGCCCCAACAGGGACAATTGTATTTACTTTGATATTGTATTTATCCCCTTCAATTGCCAATGTTTTCGTAAAGCCATGAAGTCCAAGTTTAGCAGTCCCATAGTTTGCTTGGCCGAAGTTCCCATAAAGTCCAGTGCCACTAGAAGTGTTGATGATTCTTCCATACTTTTGTTTTCTCATATAAGTCCATGCAGCCCTGACAACTGAAAAAGCGCCTCTGCAATGAGCTGCTAAGACGGCATCCCAGTCAGCCTTAGTCATTTTAATCATGCTGAGATCTCTGAGGATTCCAGCGTTGTTGACTACTACGTCAATTCTTCCGAAACTTGCAATGGCTGTTTGAATGATTTTGTCGCCTTCGTTGATGACGTTATTATAATTAGCAACTGCAATTCCTCCAGCATTAGTGATTTCTTGGACAACTTGGTCGGCGAGTTCGTGAGATGTGCCTTCTCCACTTGTAGTGACACCATGATCGTTTACTACGACTTTTGCACCTCTTCTGGCGAACTCCAGGGCGTAAGCTTTGCCAAGTCCTTGACCTGCACCGGTGACTACAACTACTTTGTTGTCAAATCTCAGTTCTTCGGCCATGTTAATTATTATGAGACGTATTAAAATGCAGGAAGAGACGTCATTTATGAGAAGACATATGGAGAAATTTATTTTCCTTAATTTTGTGAGTTTTTATATGATTGTTTGAACTTTATATGTCTTAACGCTCAATTTTAAGTATTTTATGATAATTTATCGCGTTGAATTATATTAACCAATATATATTGTATTACTCATATTGTGCATTAATCTGAATACATTCCCAAGGCTCTCCATCCTTATCGATATATAAATAATAGCTGTTCTTACTCCCCCCCTCCGTGAGTGAACAAAACCATTAGAAAAATCGCTATTTTTTGCCCAAAAACCCACCCTCCGTGAGTGAACAAAAATTTTTTTAATAGAAAAATTTTTTTATTGAAAAATTTTTTGATATATAAATGATAATTATTATAATAAAATCTAAAGCTAATTCTGTTTAATTTTAAACGAATTGCTTTTAGAACATAAATTTTACAAATTAAATTAAAATTTGCTTTCCAATTTTTGCTAATTAGGATTTTTTTAAATTTTGAAAAAATATACATTTTTTTAAAGAAAAAAATAACCCTCCTCATGTGAGTGAACAATATTTTTTTGTTCACTCACGGAGGGGGGGAGTTAGTATTTTCATAAATTGGCTTAAAGATCAGCTGTATTTTTCCTCTTTGCCCTTTAATGATTTCTAAGGTTTCATCTTTAACTTCCATTAAGTCAGGATGAGAAGAAACAATGAAAAATTTGGAATCACAGTCTGTTTGGTTTTGATAACGTCCTTCGTGATTGAACAAATAATTTAAATTCCTTATTAAAAGAAAACAAAACTTTTAGTGCGAGAAAACATTTTTTATAATAATATTGTTATATCTAAAATGTGAAATCTATTGAATACAACAATTTCTTAATTTTTTATTTTTTTTTAGATTTTGAAGAAAAAAATTAGCTTGTAAGTGAGTAAGTAATTTTTTTATTAACTGTTTCAGTTATTTCAATAGAAACATCATAAGATTTTGTCACTTCTCTTTTCGGGTGCAATTCTTTGTTAGTCCGAAGAGACGCAGATTTTACAAGTTCATCAATTGTCACTATTTTCACAGGGCTTTTTTCTTCATATCCTTGGGGACTTTTAGGCTCATATTCTTTAGTAATCATTTTTGGACTTCTAGGCTCATTTTCTTTAGGAGTTATTTTTGGACTTTTCAGATCATTTTCTTTAGGAACTATTTTTGGGCTGCTGTCTTCTTTTTTAAGCTCTATTTTTGCAAGTCTTTTAACTTCTGTTTTATCAGGGCTTTTTATATCTACTTTAAAAGGCGTTTTTACCTCTTCTTGCTTTCGAATGCTAGGCTGTTCATTTTCAATACTCCTTTGTGAAGCAATTTCTAGCTCTGGTAGCGATCTCTGATGCATAATTTCTTTTCTGTTGTCTTCTGATTTCCAAGTTTCCAAAGCATTTGTTGAGACAACTTCAATTAAATGATTTTCATTGTCTATAGGCTTCGGAGCCTTTGATCTTGTTTTTGCTGTTGTAGGCCGAGATCTCACTTTTCTCTTTTTAATCAGCATAGGTTTAGTACTTGGTCTTGCAGTCTGAGGCCTCTGTATTTTTGGAGGATTACTTGTGTAGTCTTGGATTTCTCTGATTTTGGCTGCCAATTGTTCAATTCTTGGCCACTTTTTGGTCCCAAGCTTTGAAAATACTATAAACTTTCTATAATAAATCTCAAAAGATCCAATTCTTGGAAAATGTGCTGTTCCCATCTTATAGATTAAAGGATCTGCATTGAATTTCTTTTCTAGTCCTACAGGTATTTGGTTTTCAACAACTATAAAGTTTGGGAATTCACTTTCCAAGGTATATTTTGCTTCATTGTAATATTGCTTGTATTTATTTTCATCATGGTTTGTACATCATTTGTGTTTATCACAATAGATGCTATATATCTTTTACCAGTGCTCAATAAATATCTTCTCTGAGTTTACTTGGAGCATTAAATTCTTTATTATATTATTCTTTTTTCCATAAGAAAAAGCTATATGCTTATAAAATTAATAGAATATTATTGTCTGATATTTATAGTTTATTTTATTTGGTAAGCCTAATATATTATTATTCTAAAAAAATTTGATGCTTAAAAATAAATGAGATAGGATATTTGAAAATGACGCTAAATTTGAAGTATTCCCCAGCCTGGAGCTTCCAAGGAAGGTACAAGTTGAGACAAAATCGTGAATCTCCAGGACCTGGAGCTTATGAGATGTATTCTCCTAAATCCTCGCCAAAATATAGAATTGGAACAGCTTCTCGTATAACTAGAAGTAGTTACCTATCCAAATCTCCAGGGCCAGGAGCTTATGACCCCAAACCTACTTTTTCAAGCACAGGCCTGCTACTTGGTACTGGAAAACGTAGCCCTCTAAGCCCCAAACAGCTGACGCCAGGCCCTGGAGCTTACGAAGTCAACGGAAGTTACCATGGACCAAGATTTACAATGCGAGGAAAAACTCGGCTGTTTCAAAAAGACGCAGTCCCAGGCCCAGGCCAATACAACCCCAAAAAGCCTGACACAGCCCCTTCCTACTCTTTAGGTTCAGCCGGCAAATCTTCCTACATAAAAATCGAAAAAGACCTCCCAGGTCCCGGAATGTACGATTCCAAGGTAAAAACTTCAACCCCAAGCTGAACCTTTAGAAGTGAAAGATGATTAAAGCGAGAGCAAATAGTCCTCCCAGGGCCAGGAAGTTATGAAATCCCAACCACAGTGGGTGCTATATCAAAATATGCAATGAGCCCATAAGTTTATAAATTAACTACTATTAGAGCATGTAGGACATTCATCTTTATGCTGTTCATGGTATTTATAAAAGCTTTCAGCTACAATTAATGGGACGACAAGTGTCGCTTCCGCAAATAATTTAATTGGGGTGGATCCTGACTTTATTTTGCCCCAGGAGACTGCTTCATCTGGAGGAGCTCCTGAGTCTGATCCTTCGTGTTCGAGGCCTGTGTTAACGTTGACTGAAAAATCAGCGCCATTTCTCATTAGATTTGCGTTATTTGTGTGGTGTTTGGGGACTCCTCCACCGATGATGAACATTCCTGAGTGCTTGGCGTCGAATGCCATGTTGTTGATTCTTTTGACGTCGCCAATGACGTCTAAAATAAGCCCAGGATTTGCATAGCTGTGCATGTAGAGCATGTCACCGATAGAGCCATCAGTGATTCCAGGACAAAACACAGGGATATTGTTCTTGGCTGCCCAGTAATAAACACTTTCTTCATTGTTAATTTCTCTTCCAAGCCTTTCTATCAGCTTTGAAGGCGTCCAGAGCATCCCTTCTTTTTGTTCTTCGAGCATTTTATCAAAGATCGGCATGATTCAGCTTTCAAACTTGCAATAATTTTCGTTAGGGACCAGCAAATTTCCAATTCTGTTCAGTCCTTGCTGTCTTAAAGATTTTCCATTGAGATGAAAATCTCCAATGTAAAATTTGGCTAGCACTCCCTTTAAGAGTGAGCAAGATTTGTGCTTAAGGGAGATTAAATGTTTTTTATTTTGACAATTTATTTGAAATTAAAAATTATATTTTGAAATATCAGCATCAATTATAATAATTATTAGATATATACTAAAAAATATTTATTCACAAATTTACATAGGAGATACTTTGGGCAAACTAATTTTTTCATTATATCCTGATCTTGGGAGTCAGTAGTAAGCATTTTATGAAGTCTTCTTCAATTCCGCCACCACTTGTAACAACTACATCAACTAGTTTGTGCTGAACTAGGTATCTTATAACTTCTCTTAAGCCGCTGGAAATTATGTTTGATGTATATGCCAGAAACTTGACCGCTTTAACTTTCTTACGGTCTTCTATATCAGGAATGGAGTCATCTGGGAGAATTGGCTCATCAGATAAGCGCCAATTTAGCATCCGGTTTAGCTCAGTTATGGCTTGGGCCATATGAGTTGCTTGAAATCCAATACAGTTGTAGGATTGGAGTATAGCTGAGTAGTCAAGGCCTTGGTTGAAATCGTAGCCTTTAACTTCTTGCTTGTCACTGATATCTACTGATTTTACCAGAACTGACTCAAGAAGTGCTGCTGGGACTTTATCCATTATTTAAGGCATTTTTTGGCCCATTTTTTGCAGTTTTCTTTTTTATTGATTAAAAATTGCTTGATTCTATAATCTTACTTTATAAATTATGCATATTAATTTATAAGAAACATTTCAATGCTCAGCCTCTTCTATAAAATGAAAGATTCTGATGGGTGTTTAAGCAAGCGTAGTGTAGTGGTTATCACATCTGCTTTACACGCAGAAGGTCGTGGGTTCAATCCCCGCCGCTTGTATTTTTTACTTAAATTTTAACTTTTTTACTTTTATTATATTTCATATAAATCGGAGGAAGCATAATTAGCACCCCCAAAACTACCAGCAAGGCAATTGACTCATAACTCATCTCTGTGCTCCCTAAGCTTGACAATGCCATCCCAGTATTTATATGAATGCAATTAGGCGGGATCAGACCAAATAGCGTTGCTAACTCCCCCCCCCCCTCCGTGAGCGAACAAAACCATTAGAAAAATCGCCATTTTTTGACCAAAAACCCACCCTCCGTGAGTGAACAAAAATTTTTTTAAATAGAAAAAATTTTAATGGAAAAAAATTTTGATATATAAGTGATAATTAGTATAATGAAATCTAGAGCTAATTCTGTTTAATTTTAAACAAATTGCGTTTTAAAACATAAATTTTGCAAATTAAATTAATATTTGCTTCCCAATTTTTGCAAATTAGGATTTTTTTAAATTTCGAAAAAAATATTTTTTATAAAATTTATATATAAATTTTTTTTAAAAAAAAAAATTAACCCCCCTCCGTGAGCGAACAAAATTTTTTTGTTCGCTCACGGAAAAAAGTCTTTATTGGGATCCCTATAATCGGACTCGTCAAATTAATAAGCCAATTCGGTACAATTGGTACGACCCTTAAAAATAGCAAATAAAACAAGACATTTTCCTTTTGTTGCTGAATTGCACCATGGACCTTTTGAATCTTGTCAGGAAAAGCTCTTACTCCCTCTTTAAACTGGAACATAATATTATAACTATTATTTTAATATGAAATTTATATACAAAAAAAAAAATTTATATTAAAACAATATTATCGTACTTATTTCATAAAATTTATTGATTCATGATAGCTTTGTTTAAATAATTTTCAACTTATAATCCCTCTTTAAAAAAATCAATTTTTTGTGCAACTATTTTGGATTATTTTAAAAGGAGAAGCTACAATAATACCTTTACCAAGGATATCTGAAAGAAAGTAACAAATTGTCGACCCAGTCGTAGCACAAATTGTTACTATCAAGAGACCTACCCATCTTCCAAATAAAGTACCAGAAATTAAGCTTAAGACAATTGGTCCTGGAATTGCAAAGCTTTGCATGAGCAAGTAAAGGAAGCAAAAAAGCGACAAAACATATAAGTAAGAATTTTCTGTATAAGAGGAAAAGACTTGACTAAGCTCATAAATTTCTTGTGGAGTTAATGGAAGTCTGTAAACTTTGCTTTTCTCTTCATCTGTCATGTCTGGAGCCAGGGCGATAAATATAAAGATTCCGAGGATTCCAACGGAAAAGAGGACAAGCAAACGAAACTTGTTTTTGGTGAGGTTCTTTTCGGTCTCTTCCCTTAAGCTATCTAAATCTAGCTCCATTTTATATATAGAATCATAATAAATAAAATGAAAAATTTATTTGTTAAAATTATTAAAAATTTAATCAATTTATTTATTTTTTATAAACTTTGATCAATTATTTTTATTGAAGCAATACCTAATGCTTTTTAATTTAGATTTATTATGTTTTCATAATTGAAATAGCTAAAAACTCTGTCAAAAAGAATAATAGCTAATATTCCTATCAAAAAAGAAAAATAATCTTGATAATAAAATCCTTTAAATAGAAAAGCTCCTAATCTAATGAAGATTATTAACATTTTTGCTTTAAAATGCTGCTTTATTAGTAGTTATCAATTTTATTTGTTGATTTAAAGCCATATTTATTCTCGATTTCTGACCAAAAATGCAGCCATTAATATTTATTGGACAAAATGGTTCATACCTTGCACCCTCTTCCTTATAGCTTTACAGCACTAGAACCAAGCATGGACGCACTTACAGTTGAAATCCACTATCTCGGCCACCATCAAACTTATGTAACCAAGCTAAATCTAGCCTTAGCAGAGTTTCCAGACCGAGCAAACCTTGACCTCGCCGCATTACAGCATACAGTAGCTGGCTCATCTCCTGCAGTTATCAATAACGCAGGTGGTCACTATAACCACACACTCTTTTGGCAAAATTTAGCTCCTATAGGAACAACCAATCCAGCACCATATGGAGAACTTGCAGCCAAAATAGATGAGAAATTTGGATCTTTTGATGCGTTTAAACTTCAATTTACCAATGCTGCCATCAATAGGTTTGCATCTGGATGGGCGTGGCTGACTGTTAAACAAGATGGGACACTAGAAATTCATAATACTCCTGGACATGAAAATCCACTTATGGATGGCATTGGAACTGTTCATGGAGTCCCTATTATGACTTGTGATGTGTGGGAGCACGCTTATTATTTGAAGTACCAGCATAGAAGGCCTGAGTTCATTGAAAACTGGTGGAAACTGGTAAACTGGGATAATATTGTTAGCAATTATGAAAAATATGGAAAGAGAAGTCAAGCTGTTCCTTTCTAAGAAGTATATAAGCTATTAAAATTAGAAATTTTCTGAAAAATTATAAAAAACCTCATATAATTCTCCTATATTAATAATATTTTAGCAGAAAAGATTAGTTCAAAGAATTTATTCCTTTAAATTATAGTCAACTTTTGGATACCCATGCTTCTCAAAAGCTTCTTTAATCTCTTCCAGTGCTTCAGGATTTTCCAATACAGTGTTTGCTGGGTAATAATCTCCGTTCGCCATCTTTTTCAGCAAAAGTCTTGGGACTTTGCCATCTTTCGTCTTAGGTAGTTTGTTGACAATGATGCAAGTTTTAAGGCTTGCAACTGCTCCTATATCTTGCCTGACTTTACTAATCAATTCATGAGTGATATCATCATCTGTCTTATCAGACCCTTCTTTAATTACAATAAGCGCGATTGGGATTTCTCCACGAATTTCATCAATGACTCCAATAACAGCGCACTCTGCTACATTTGGGTGGAAATTAATAGACTCTTCATAAGCTGCAGCTCTAAACCTATGCCCAGAAATATTTATAACGTCATTTGTTCTGCCTACTATATGGAAATAGCCTTTATCATCTTTGAAACCTTCGTCACCTGACAAGTAATATCCAGGTACTTCAGTCATATATACTATTTTTATTAATTTATTATTTTTTATTATAGTAATTTTTTATGCTATTTTATTAGATAAGAAAGAATATTTCTTTTTAAATTCTTCATCGTTTTCCCATAGAGAAAGCATGAAGCCAGGAGGCGTAGGAAGTTTTACACAGATTTTTCCAGTTACATTGGAATCGGCTTCTTGCAAGTTGTCTTTGATTATTTGAATATTCCAACCAGGCACTGGCTTTGTTGCACTACCAGGCATTGTGGCGAATTTTTCAAGGCCGATTTGATTGCTTATCATAGGCCATCCTGATTCTGTTTGCCACCATTGATCGTTTATTAAAGCTTTTTTAGGCAATCTATGTTGAAGTCAGCTTAATGTGTCTGAGTCACATCTTTCTCCAACAACCCCAAAGTGTTCAATGCTATCTAAATTGTATTTTTTCATAAGTTTGCCTGATGGATCTTCTTTTTTAATAGCTCTAATTCCAGTTGGAGCTACAAGAACACTTTTTACTTCATGCTGCTGTATAACTCTCCACCATGCTCCTGCATCAGGAGTTCTAACAGGTTTTCCTTCATATAAAACAGATGTTGCTCCTCTCAATAACGGTCCATAAACAGAGCAAGTATGCCCAGCAACCCAAGCTAGATCTCCAGCTGACCAAAACACATCTCCTCTATTGATCCCATAGACCCATTTCATAGCATTATCTAAAGCTACTGCATATCCTCCAGTATCTCTGATAATCCCTTTTGGTTTCCCAGTAGACCCAGTTGTATGTAAAATATATAGTGGATCATAAGAGTTTACACTGACAACAGACTCAAAAGGCTTTGAATTCATCAGTTCTTCATGAAAATCATGATCTCTATGAGGCCGCAAATTAAATTTCACTCCTAAATGTCTATTAACTACAATCCTGGGTATATTTTCTGCACATGTCATGTTTGACTCAGCCATAAGTACAGCTTCATTCACAATAGGTTCAAATGGTGTCACTTTTCCTGGCTCTACTCCAGCATTAGCAGTTATTAATAATTTTGCCTTGCTTTCACTAATCCTATTTGCGAGCTCTTTAGCTGAAAATCCAGCAAAAACCACAGAGTGTATAGCGCCAATTCTTGCACATGCCAGCATAGAGATAACAGCTTCAGGTATCATGGGCATGAAAATCACGACCCTGTCCCCTTTTTTAATGCCATGCTTATACATCATTGCACCAGCTAGTTTTTGGGTTTCTTCTAGTAGCTCTTCATATGTATAGTGGACAATACAATTTGTCAATGGACTGTCATAAATTATTCCCCAGTTGTGGCCTTGACCTGATAACACGTGGCGATCTAAGCAATTATAGCACATATTAAGCTTCCCATCTGGAAACCACCGATATAAAGGAGAGTGGGAGGAGTCAAGAACTTTGGTAAAAGGCTTATCCCAGGAAATTCCTTTAGAAGCTTCCTTCCAAAAACCCTCTGGGTCCTGGATTGATTTAGAGAAAACCGTGTTGTAGAGAGCAAACCTTCGCTTGAGCACAGACAACATATTTTATTTGTGGCTTTATATTGGCGAATATTCAAAAAAATCTAAAACGACTATTGATTTGTTAAAAATTATTAGAAAATAGATAAAATAGAGTATTTGCCGTTTTTCTATCTTCCATTTTATTAATCGTTATTATTTAGACTTATTTAGATATGTATGACAATTTTTGATTAAAATACAAATATAATGACTATTATAAGATTTCTAATTAACTTATTTAACTATACTGCCGATTTTAAATCTTTTCTTGGATAGCCGTGCTCTTCTAATGCAACTTTCATTTCATCTAAAACATCTAGGCTTTCAAGAGTTGCTGGAGGTGTATAAGACTCTCCATTAGCTATTTTCCTTAAAAGGACTCTTGGAATTTTCCCACTTCTTGTCTTAGGAAGTCTTTTTACTATTATGCAAGTTTTCAAGCTGGCTACAGCTCCGATATCTTTCCTTATTTTCGTTATAATTTCATGAGTTAAATCGGCATCTGAGAGCTGTGATCCAGTCTTTGGAATAACAAATGCAACAGGGATTTCTCCTTTAATATCATCATAAACTCCAATAACGGCGCATTCTGCCACATTTGGATGGAAACAAATGCATTCTTCATAGGCTCCAGTGCTGAATCTATGTCCTGCAATATTAATAACGTCATCAATTCTTCCCATAATGTTGAAATAACCGTCTTGATCTTTATAATCATCATAATAATAAAAAGTCATATTATCGAAATTAGCTCTTCCGAGAACTTGAAGGCAAAAGATTTCTACTTATCACTCTAGAAGAGGGAGACCCTTAAGCAGAACGTGCGCAGGAGTCAAGTCTGGACTCAACCAACATGCCCCCATAAGATTTGTTGGCAAGGCTAGAGTGTCATTATTTAGGAGTGCTCCACTGTCTAATAAAAATGGGCGTGCAAGATTGCATATGACTTCAATATTTAGGACTTAAGTTCAAGCCCAACAGCTATGTGACACTCTCTGTGGAATCAAAAAAATAAGCCCTAATTAATTAAACATCTCAAGATCTTATAGCCTTCATCCCCTGATAAGTAATATCCAGGGATTTCAGACATGTACTTTTTAATAAAAGCCTCATCACTTTCCCATAATGAAAGAACGAAACCAGGAGGTGTCGGCAATTTTGCACATATTTTCCCAGGCTCATCAGGTGCGGCTTCAGTTAAGTCATCTTTTATTATATGCATGTCCCATCCTGGGACAGGCTTTGTCGCACTCCCAGGCTTTGTTTCAAATCGATCCAGACCTGAGAAATTTCCAATCATCGGCCATCCTGCTTCAGTCTGCCACCAATGATCATTGATTAACGCATTTTTAGGTAAATGCTCTCGAAGCCAATGCACAGTATCAGGATCACATCTTTCTCCAGCGACTCCGAAATGCTGAAGAGAGTCTAAATTATATCTCCTCATCAACTTCCCTAATGGATCTTCTTTTTTAATAGATCTAACTCCTGTAGGAGCGACAAACAAGCTTTTAACCTCATGCTGCTGAATAACTCTCCACCAAGCTCCAGCATCTGGAGTACCTACTGGCTTTCCTTCATATAGGATTGATGTAGCTCCTTTTATCAAAGGCCCATAAACAATGCAAGTGTGGCCAGCAGCCCAACCGATATCACTAGCACCCCAAAACACATCACCTTTGTCAATTCCATATACCCATTTCATAGCATTGTCTAAAGCAACTGCATGACCACCTGTATCTCTGACTACACCTTTAGGAGTTCCAGTCGTCCCTGATGTATATAAAATATACAATGGATGAGTAGAAGAAACACTAATTACAGAAGTGAATGGCTTAGAATTCATCAATTCTTCATAGAAATCATGATCTCTATTAGGTTGAAGCTTGAATTTTACATTTAAATGTCGATTTAATACAATCCTCTGGATATGCTCAGCACCCGGAAGCCTTGCTTCTGCTAAAGTAGTGGCTTCATTTACAATCGGCTCATACGGGATTATCTTATTAGGCTCTAATCCTGCATTTGCTGTAATAATTAATTTCGCTTTGCTGTCAACAATTCTGTTTGCTAATTCTTTTGCCGAAAATCCTCCAAAAACAACAGAATGGATTGCGCCTATTCTTGCACATGCAAGCATAGCGATAATAGCTTCAGGTACAAGTGGCATATATATAACAACTCGGTCACCTACTTTGACATTATGCTTGAATGCCATGGCGCCTGCCAACTTTTGGACTTCTTCAAGCAGTTCCTCATAGGTATAGTGCATGACACGATTCATCATAGGACTATCATAAATGATTCCCCAGTTCTTCCCATCCCCTGCTAACACGTGCCTATCGAGATGTTCAAGCATGAAATCACTCTACCCTTCATATCAAATTTTTAGTCTTGTATCCCTAATAAATACAGAATTTTTATATGGCTAGCAAGTTTGGCTCATATTTTAGTATTAATTTAAATGAGATATATCATGTTTTACATCCGAAATAAGCTATATGCAGAGATTAATCTGTTAAAATCCGTTAATTTAGCGCAATTACTACTAAATTATATATGCGTTAATGATAGATAATTTTGCTTGAATTGATTTATTTGCGTCTATCTATTTTATAGCTGAATTCAACTGGATTCATCGTTTTAAAATGCTATATCAAGTCTAAATCTGGCGTGCTTCTCTACTAAATCTCTTATTTATTAGCATATTAAATTTTTAACATATGCAAATCCTGTATTAATTCTGGATAGGAAATAAAGCATTTAATATATGTTCAATTGTCCTATAAATCACGTTTTTAATACCTTAGGGGCGAAATACTGCATAGGTAATTTTGTTATTAAAGTTTTATGTTTTACCATCGAGACAGTTATAGCACATATTAAGCTTCCCATCTGGGAACCATCTATAAAGTGGAGCTCTCGAGGAATCCAAGACTTTATTGAAAGGCTTGTCCCATGCTACTCTTTTCGCAGCTTCTTTCCAGAACTCTTCTGGCTCCTCGATTGATTTTTTAAAAGTATTTGCATACAGACTAAATCTTCTTCTAAAAATTGACATCATTCTAAATTATGTGGCTGAAATGAAATGTAGAGAAATATGATTCTTAATAAGGTAAAGATTTATTATGAAATAATCTTCGATATCCTTCCATTTATAAGATGATGTCATGGATCATTCAAATTTATCATAAATTGAAGTTCTATGCAAAAGAAGAGGCTCATTTTTATAATTCAGCAAATAAAAATTCTAATGTTGAAAAGATAAATAAGCAAGTCATTTTCTAGTTATATTGGATAAATTTATAAATTTAGTTTTAGCCTACTCATGTGCTTAAACTTGCTTTAAATTTTAAGCTAAACGCTGATTATTATCTCAGCTACTATTAAGCATATAATATTAATTATGATCGATAAATAAATAGCCAAGGGAAGGTCTTTTAATATGCATCAAAAAATTTAGTATAATTAAAGGAAAAAGGATTTTTTCGGATAGCTAATTAAACAATTAGAATTAAAGTTATATTGCACAGAAAATTCTTTAAATTTTTAAAACCCTATTATTTTAGAGAAAAAAGGCTAATGCTTACAAAAAATAGTATCAATTATATTCTAAAAACACTATAATTAGCATTAAACTTTCGGTTTTAAATCTTTTCTTGGATAACCATGCTCTTCCAAAGCAACCTTCATTTCATCCAAAACATCCAAGTTTTCAAGAGTTGCTGGCGCTGCATAGGTTTCTCCATTCGCTATCTTCCTCAAAAGAACCCTCGGGATTTTCCCGCTTCTTGTCTTCGGAAGTCTTTTTACTATTATGCAAGTTTTCAAGCTTGCTACAGCTCCGATATCTTCTCTTATTTTCTTTATAATTTGATGAGTTAAGTCAGCCTCTGATATCTCAGACCCAGTCTTAGGAACAACAAATGCAACAGGGATTTCTCCTTTAATATCATCATAAACTCCAATAACAGCACATTCTGCCACATTTGGATGGAAACAAATACATTCTTCATAGGCTCCAGTGCTAAATCTATGCCCTGCAATATTAATAACGTCATCAATTCTTCCCATAATGTTGAAATAACCGTCTTGATCTTTATATCCTTCATCCCCTGATAAGTAATATCCAGGGATTTCTGACATGTACTTTTTAACAAAAGCCTCATCGCTTTCCCATAAAGAAAGCATAAAGCCTGGAGGTGTTGGCAATTTTGCACATATTTTCCCATGCTCGTCAGGTGCGGCTTCGGTTAAGTCATCTTTTATTATATGCATGTCCCATCCTGGGGCAGGTTTGGTAGCACTTCCTGGTTTTGTATCGAATCTATCAAGACCCATGAAATTTCCTATCATCGGCCATCCAGATTCTGTTTGCCACCAATGATCGTTTATTAATGTATTTTTGGGTAGATGCTCCTGCAACCAATTGACAGTATCAGGATCACATCTTTCACCAGCTACTCCAAAGTGTTTGAGCGTGTCTAAATTATATCTCCTCATCAATTTTCCTAATGGATCTTCTTTTTTGATAGCTCTCAGGGATGAGCAATTATATTTAAACTTTTAGATTTTTTTACAATTTATTTGATATTAAAAAATTCGTGATTTTTTGATATATTTCGCTAGACCCAACTCTCACTCCTGTTGGAGCTACAAACAAGCTTTTAACCTCATGCTGTTGAATAACTCTCCACCAAGCTCCAGCGTCTGGAGTTCCAACTGGCTTCCCTTCGTACAATACTGAAGTAGCACCTTTTAGCAAAGGTCCATATACAATACAAGTATGGCCAACAACCCATCCAATATCGCTCGCTGCCCAAAATACATCACCTTTATCAATTCCATAAACCCATTTCATAGCATTATCTAACGCTACAGCATATCCGCCGGTGTCCCTTACAACACCTTTTGGAGCTCCAGTTGTTCCTGATGTATATAAAATATACAAAGGATGGCTCGAAGAAACGCTAATTACAGAAGTGAAAGGTCTTGAGTTCATCAATTCTTCATAGAAATCATGATCTCTATTTGGCTGAAGTTTGAATTTTACATTTAAATGTCGATTTAATACAATTCTCTGGATATGTTCAGCACCTGGAAGCCTGGCTTCTGCTAAAGCAGTGGCTTCATTTACAATCGGCTCGAACGGAATAATCTTATTAGGCTCTAATCCTGCATTTGCTGTAATAATTAATTTCGCTTTACTGTCAACAATTCTGTTTGCTAATTCTTTTGCCGAAAATCCTCCAAAAACAACAGAATGGATTGCGCCTATTCTTGCACATGCAAGCATTGCGATAATAGCTTCAGGTACAAGTGGCATATATATAACAACTCGGTCACCTACTTTGACATTATGCTTGAATGCCATGGCGCCTGCCAACTTTTGGACTTCTTCAAGCAGTTCCTCATAGGTATAGTGCATGACACGGTTTGTCATAGGACTATCATAAATGATTCCCCAGTTCTTCCCATCCCCTGCCAACACGTGCCTATCGAGACAGTTATAGCACATATTAAGCTTCCCATCTGGGAATCATTTATAAATTGGAGCGCGAGAGGAGCACAAGACCTTGCTGAAAGGCTTGTCCCACGCTATACCTTGTGCGGCCTCTTTCCAGAACTCTTCTGGCTCTTCTATGGACTTAGCGAAGGTATTTGCATACAGACTGAATCTTCTTCTGAAAATGGATAGCATATTAAATATTGTGGTTAAAATAAAATGTACAGAAATCAACGATAATTAAGCTTGATTATTTATACCTATAAGATTTTTGCATAAGATATTGCTTGGCTATCCTCCATTTATAGGATGATGTCATGGGACTTCTGGGAATCATCAAAATTTCAAGTTTGGATATGGGCTACAGAGTTAAGAAGATAAGAGTTCTTACTAAAGCACTTGATTCCTTTTAAACTAGCAATTTAATATGCATACTTTAAAAGCTGAAATTATTTGCAAAGAAATAGTCGTCTTCTAAATTTAAGTCAACAAGAAATACAATTACTAAATTTAATTGAAAATTTCTTCGAAATGCAAAATGAGAAGAAATTAAAATTTGCATGATAATCTTAAGGATTCTGGCCTAAACTTAATTTAGTTCGACAAATTTAAAGAAAAATTACTTAAAAACCATCAAGTGAAATAATTATTATAATATGTCTCAATAAAGTTTAAGTAAAATGAATTGAGTTTATCATAGATATTTAATAAATAATTAATAAATTACAACATACCAAATTAATGAATTTTGCTAAATCCATTTGCCGATGTGCCTGCCTTTGTTTTGGTTATTCAAAACAAAACACAGTCCAGCCAAATATTGAAACAAAGGAGCCTGAATGCAATGGTAATGAATCTTATGATTCTTTAAGCAGCATCAGGGCTGAAATCGGAGATAATGGCATTCCAAAAGAAAAGGAAAAGTATTATGAAAAATTATGTGGAGTTTTAGTGCTTAAAGAAGAGCCCAAGAGGCAAAATATTGCTAAAAAAAAGGAGAACAAAAGTTTGATAAAAGAAATATCAAAAAATAGCGCTTCTCCGTCAAATGAAAAAATATCAGCCACGCGGATGAAATTACTGAGTTTGTGTAAGGATTAATAAATGAAAAATTTTGTGTATACTTTAAGTATTTATGGCTGACCAGATCAATAATCATATACTCACTCCCCCCTCCATGAGCGAACAAGCCATTAGAAAAATGGATTTTTCTAACCCAAAAGCTCACCCCCGTGAGTGAATAAAAGTTTTTTTAATATTATGAAAAAAAAAATTATATATAAGTGATAATTAGTATAATGAAATTTCTAGAAAATTATGTTTAATTTTCAACAGCTTGCGTTTTTAAACATAAATTTTACAAATTAAATAAATATTTGCTTTCCAATTTTTGCGAATTGGGATTTTTTTAAATTTCGAAAAAAAAAAAATTACTATAAAATTTATATATAAATTTTTTTAATAATGTGAGCGAACAAAAATTTTTTTTTTCACTCACGGAGGGGGAGTCAGGATAAAGGCAGAAAATTAGTCTATGTGATAAAGAAAGGTGTCATTTTTAATAGTTTTCTTTATTTGTCTTAAATCTTTGTGGTATAAATCAATAAACAATTTTCGTATTTTTAATTAATTTTTTAATACCAAAAATCATAATCATAAAATGGCAACACTCGTAAGGTCCCGTTCTAAAATTAACACCTCACTACCATAGGCCATCAGAGCAATACCATTTGAGAAGCCCTTCGTAAGGCTTTTAGTCAGCAATATAGGCTGACCAAGGAGCCTGTGGATGAAACCTGTAAATGGCAGAAGCTCTAGTGTTTGCAACTCTATAAGAGCGTTAAGCATAATACACCTTTAATATATTCCAATGTTTACTACCAAAAATCAACAGTGGAATTGTGAGCATTTAAACTATTTGCCAACAGAGTATAGAAAAATTGTGTCAATTATTTATGATGATCTTTTCTTTTAATATATAAACATCAATTATCGAAAACATTTCATTGAGACAGGAAATTGAGTAGTCGATAATTTAATTAGTTAATAAATATTGCTCCATCAGTTATCATAATAAAATAAATAAATAAATTGCATTAAATAAAATATATACCAACTTACGAAGAATAACTCTTATTTAAATTGGAACTCATTATTGGCAATTTTTTCGAGATAAAAATACTAATTTTTATAAAATTAGCATTGGTATAATTTAGGAAAATGCGCAACCAGAATATTATTTAAAACAATTTTTACACGGAATCGATTAATTGTTTGAATTAATCCTTCAAAAAATATTAAAATCAAAAATATTGCTTTAATTACATTTTTAAAAAATTTAAATAATTTCGAGAAAAATTAATCCCCTATAATAAACAAGGATTTTTTGCTCCAATTTAAAGGGGAGAAGAGAGTGCATTTTTTGGGGTTAATTAGGCAATAGCAGGCTCTTCAAATTTGTTGGTAAGCAATATTTTTTGGCTGCCCAATTTAAAAATTGTGTACCAAAAAATTTTCTTACTCTCCCCATCCTTGATCAAACGGCTCGCGATCGTTCGATTAAGGATGGGGTTAAAAAAAAATTTCTGGGAAAAAAATTTTATATATAAAATAAAAAAAATTTATGTTTTTATTGTTTTTATATATTTTTAAATAAGGGTGTTAAGAGTATTTAATAATTATTTTTACAGCAAAAAATTGAATTAATTTCATAAGAATACCAATTTTTAATATTTCGATTTTTTGGTTACCCCTTTAAACTGTGTAAATTTTAATTTTTTTCTATAGAATTAAAAATTTAAAACTTTAAAGAATCTCTATTTTTTAGATATTGAGTTTTTAAGCCCAGGTTGATGACTAAAGCACTTCGGATGGTTGATTCCGTAGCTTCTTGTCGTCTCAAAGTCTCTGACAACAACTTCATAAGGCTTTTGGTAACTAATCCATTTTTATATATATAAAAATTTTGAAAATCGTTCGATCAAGAATCAAGGTTAATTTTCCCAATTTTTAGGAATTTTTTTACAGTCAATCGTTCGATCAAGGATGGGGGGGAGTAAATGGTAAATTCTTCATAAGTAGGTATATCTATCTTGATTTAATCGTTTTTATTTAGAATTTAGATTGCGTTATGCAAATTAAATCTAAATTTAGGATAGCCACCTAAATATTTAAAGGCAAAGAATATTCCATGTATAGTTAATTGGCCTAGTATATAAATGAAAATTACCCTGATCAGAATTTAAAATTTTTAAAAAAATTTAAAATAAACTGTAAATGTTATGATTTTTTATAATAAATAATTAATTATATCAAATCTCTCTTCATAATTTAGCCTATTTCCAGAAATTTCTGTTCCATTTTTGAAAATGATTTCTGAGTAAAGAGAATTTTAAAAGATTTCCATCTTTAATATAAATTCAAAATGGGAATAAACGTTAGCAAAAGAAGTATTAAGTATGCCAAATTCGAGCCTAACAAAGAGAATCCATTTACCTTCAGGGTTCCTTCTATAAGATCTGTATATAACATTGGCAAAATATTAGGACACGGAAATTTTGGCGTGGTTAGGGAAGCTGTACATATCAGGGAAAATAAAAAGGTCGCAATAAAAATAATTCAGAAATCAATAATTAAAGACAAAATTGAAACGCTTCTAACTCCCCCTTTATATTAGTACAAAATATAGGTAAAATTTATATATTTTTTGGTAATTTAATTCCCTTTAAATTTTTTTCTTTAATAGAAAAATTTTATAATTCGATAAAATTAATTTTGACCTAATTTAATGGGAAAAGTTCAAATAGAATATACTTAAACAGCTTAAAACTTGAATTGATTAATTTTATTAATTAATTCGTCATAAATACCCCAAAAAATTCAAAAATATTGGATTCAATTTATAGTAATTTTTTTAAAGAAAATTAGCCCCCCTTTAAATTGAAAAGGATTTTTTGTTTCATTTTAAAGGATTAAGAGAAATTGAGATTCTTAGAAAGCTTGATCATCCAAATATTGTTAAATTTTATGGAGCATATGAAGATGACGTGAACTTGTATATAGCAATGGAACTTTGCTCTGGCAGAGAACTGTTTTACAAAATAATCAATACTGATCACATAGAAGAATACAAGGCTCAAGTAATTATGAGAAAAATCCTTATGGCTGTGAACCATCTACATGCAAATGGCATAGTACACAGGGATTTAAAGCCAGATAATATTTTATTTGAATCAGCTGAAGAAGGCGCGGACATAAAACTCGTAGACTTTGGGCTTTCCCGCGTCTTTAAAAGCAAGTCCAAGCATTTTCACACAGTAGTGGGCACTCCATTTTATATGGCTCCTGAAATTCTTAAAGGTTCTTATAATTATAAATGCGATTTATGGAGTGTCGGGATTATTATGTACATTATGATTTGTCGTAGATTACCCTTTTGCGAGCAATTTGACTGTGACACTTTTAAAAAGATTAAATCTGGAAACTTTGATACCGATAATGAGTTGTGGAAGCAAGCGTCAAGTGATGCTAAAGATTTAATTCAAAAACTTTTAGAAATAAATCCTTCAAAAAGATTGTCAGCCGCTCAGGCATTAAATCACCCATGGTTTAAATCAATCCCAAAAGCCAAAATTTCGATTGATAAGCCCCTCCTTTCATCTTTTCAGGATTATTCTAAAGCATCTCTTTTCCAAAAACAAATATGGAAAATCGTATAATATGATAGGCTATTATGTGAATAATATAGCTGAACTTATATTTGTCTCCTTTATAAGATTGGCTGATAACCTATTAAGAACATTTTTTATTTATATTTGGAGCCATAGCAAAAATTTTAAGCTTTTCTGATTTGAAAGAGCTTAAGCAGAAATTTTTAGGCCTAGACAAAAATTTGAATGGAAAAATCACTATGAAATATTTTGCAAAAATTTTGAAGAAAAGCGATCATAAACTAGATCAAGATGAAATAAAAGATCTTATCAAAGCTATTGATATTGATCAGAATGGAGCCATAAGCTATTCAGAATTTTTAGCTGCAGCGCTCTATTCTAGACATCATTTAGAATCAGATGAAATAAGGACTATTTATAATCTACTTGATTTCAATAAAAAAGGCTTTATATCATCCAAAGATATAGAGCTCACATTTAATAGATACGGAATCAAAATTAACACAAAATCTATAATGAGCGAAATTAGGAAAACAGAAGAAGACACAATAACTTATGCAGAGTTCATACATACCTTTGCGTAATTCAATTAAATTAATTTCAAATATTTAAATACACTTTATTCAATTATTTATGTAAAAGCGCATGGATTTCTGCTATTTGTCTCTGAGTTGCTTCTAGTGCTTCTTTTATTTTATCATCAGGAATCTCATTCATGGATTCATACATTTTTGGGACTGGCTGCAAAAACCTTTGTGTCCTCAGCAGTTCTGCATTGACGATTGCTTCCCTTTCTGCTCTTTCTTCTTCCATCCTTAATTTTTCTACTTGGCTTGTAAAGGCTCAGGTATAAAATTCCACACATACAGGAATGTATTCTTCAAATCCAAATGGAGAGTCCAAGCTAATTTTTGATACTTCTCCTAGCTTGTTGACTGCTGTAACCCTCATATCAGGATGAATTCTAATCACTGTTCTATCTTCAAACAAAACCCTAATACTCCTATCATTATAGGCTGTAAATGTAGCTAATCCTTCTATATGATTTTCTACTTTTATCCCATCAAGAAAAATTCCGTTATCAGCTTCAGCTTGAGGTTTTTGATAGACAGGGAGGTTTTGAATTTCCATGCACATTTTTACGATTTCATTTGGGGAATATGAAGAAAATCGGTTACGGATTAAAGGAGGCACAGTCTCTGAGGTGAATTTTTTAATTGAGTCAGCAAAATAAGTGAAAAATTCCCCATTGGAAATTAAAAAGGATTGGTCTTCATGTATTAAAGTTTCTGTTGAGTTGTTTGATATTGTATAATAAGTCGCTTTTGGCTCCCAAACAGTCATAACTTTGCTTGCATAATATGTAAATAATTGCACTGAAGGAGAAATTGTATCATTATTCCATATTTCCCCTTGGATAGGAGTAGGCAAAGCAGTAGCTAATTCTCGGCGATCCCATGAAAGTTCTGTAGTTTGATACCATGAAGGCTCTCTTATAACTTCTTGGTCGCCACATTTAAAAGCTGCTCATAATATTGATAATGGACCGCTTAGATAAGGTGGATAATTTTTTGTGCTAAAAATTTGTTGGATAATAGCATATTCGTAGGACAATTTAAACCTTTGGTTTTTATTTTGAGACCATTCTGGCTTTTTATTTTGCAGCAATAAAGGAAATGTAAATCTAAGTAATAAACCATTAGGATTTATACTCATTTCTGCCTCGTTGTCACTACTTTTCATGAAATAGCTTCCATCCTCAGCTTTTTCAATAATTAATACATCTTCTCTATCTGGATCGATTTGAAAATGAAATAACTCAGTCTCAGTTCCTTTTGCGACTACAGAAATCCATCCTGGATTAAGTCAATGGATTATGCTTATTTTGCTGTCTTTTTTAATTGTTTTATATATTCACTAAAATGAATACTCACAATAATATTTTAATTATTTATATAAATTAAACTAAAATATTGCACATTTCTAATCAAGAAGAATAAATATCATCACTTAGTATTGCAGTTGGGCTAAATGCAAATGAGTTGCAAAGTTTAATGGCTTTAAGGAATTTTGGCTTTAAAATTCCAGGAACGCATCAGGTAATTTGTCTAGTAACTTCACCTTCAGATGAGAAATATGTAGAATATTGACCTCCTTGATGAAGAATAAGCCCTGAGCCATCATGAAATGCAATATGATATCTTCCATCAACATATACACAAGCTTTTAAAATATCATCATCCATTTATATGCCGCTTTATTTAAAGTTATAAATCCCACAGTTTAAATATTTAGCAACAGGTTCCTTTAAATATTTTAAATAATGAAATTAAATTCTCAAAAAATTAGAAAATGTGTATTGATTTAGGAAAATGTTTATTATAAATAAATTTATAGATGGATTTTCTTAAAGACCTGCTATGGTTGCTTGGAAATTACAAAATTACTTAATTGCTTAAAAATATAATTGCCATCATATGAGTTATTGTAATATCTGTTTATAATCTTTTAGATTAAATTAGACTCAAATTATAGCAACTTTAAAGCCCTAACCTGACTGACTCCATGCTCTGTAGGGTGGTAGGACATACTCACCTTAGTCTAGGTCAAAGCGGCGAACGTCAATAGTCAAATACTGGCTTTGTTAACTGGCTCAATTTCCAAACAAGACGTCTCCTAATTCCCCTCCTCCGTGAGTGCACAAAACTTTTGGAAAAACCCTATTTTTTGGGTAAAAAAACCCTCCGTGCAGCGAACAAAAATTTTGTTAAAATAAAATATTTTTCATAAAAATATTTCGATATATAAGTATAATTATTTTAATGAAATCTCTAGTTCTGTTTAATTTTAAACAGCTTTCATTTTAAAACATAAACTTTGCAATCTAAATTAATTTTTACTTCTCAATTTTTACGAATTGGGATTTTCAAATTTCGACAAAAAATTACTATAAAACTATATATAATTTTTTAAAAAAAAAAAGCAGAATATATTTTTTTTTCGCTCTACCGATTTAAAGCCTAAAACTAATAAAACGTGGACCATTTTAAACTGGGGAGTATCATGCTCGAACAGGTCGAAATTGTCTCATCTTTCCTTGATCTTTAGAAAGAATCCAGCAGCTTTCACTATCAGAATTAATCACAGAATAGCCCAGGAGCGATTGTTAATCGTCTTAGGCTGATTTTTCCGGGCATCTCCCTGGATTAGCTCTTCGACTCAAATTGCCGAACTAGCTCGGGAGTTACGAGGCAAAACTCAGCCCAATACGATTAATAATTGCTCCTGGGCTATTAGTATGATTCCCTTCCTCACATGGTTACCCACTAGGTTGAACGCATCTGGAAAAAAGAGATGCAATTAGCTGTCTAAGGATCAGGACTAAAATAGTCTCTCGCTTAAAGTCTACAAACTATTGCAGGGTCATAATTACAGCTCAAAAAATATAAGAACGCTTAACATATATAGACTTTTGCCTTGTCGCCAGCTTTATACATATTTTATAAGCTCTTAAAATACTCTATGGGAAGTAATTGCACAAAAGGTGATTCTGATGAGAATATTATTAGACCAAGATTTACTATAGGAAAAGAATATCAAGAACTGCCAAATCAATTCACAGGAGAAGGAGTTTTGAAGACCATTTCATGAAAAGCCACAATCACAAGGCAACAACTAGAAGCAAAAAGAATAGAATTTTGGAGAACCAGATCAACCGGCCGAAGACATATCTGACTTGCAATAAAAAGTGCTATCGAATCTGATCCGGCAACAGCAAAATTATTATTGGAAATGAATGAGATCAAGCTAAAAAACGACAGCATAACTCATTGTGAAGATGCTCACGGGACAATCTATGACATTCCTCCTTATATTGTAAATGATCCCATCTATTTTCCCAACGAAAAAAAAGTGATGGTCCCTAAGCCTTCTTTGATAGAAAATGAGCTCATTACGCTAAAAATTAGAAGAACTGGAAAAGAGCATGACACAGAAATTCAGATTGAGACAAAAAACCTTTCCCGAGTCCTTAAAGAAATATATGCAGAAAAAGATGGGCTTGATCCAGAAACTCTAACTCCCCCCCCCCATCCTTGATCGAACGATTGACTGTAAAAATTCCTAAAAATTGGGGAAATTAACCCCCATCCTTGATCGAACGATTTTCATATCATGCAAATTTTTTATATATATAAAAAATATATATTTTATCAAAAGCTTGTGAAGATGTACATAATGAAGTTGTTTTCAGAGGCTTTGAGACGACAGAAAGCTGCGGAATCAACCATCCGAAGTGATTTAGTCATTAACATATGCTTAAAAACTCAATAATCTAATAAAATACAGATTCTTTAAAATTTTTTTAAAAAAAAATTAATTTAATAAGGAACAAATTAAAAATTTATACAATTTAAAGGGGTAACTAATAAATCAAAATATTAAAAATTGGTATTTTATGAAATAAATTAAATTTTTTACCCTCTTATTTAAAAGTAAATAAAAAAAAATATCTATATATTTTTTTATTTTATATATAAATTTTTTTTCCCGAAAAATTTTTTTTTAACCCCCATCCTTGATCGAACGATGGCGAGTCCTTCGATCAAGGATGGGGGGGGGAGTAAGATTATTTTTTAGTGGAAAAGAACTGAAGGATGATCAAGCGTTATCAAGTTATTATGTCAGAAATGAGATGGTAATTCAAGCTTACACAAATAAAATGGCGACGACACCGACCCGCCCTCTCCCGAACCTGTAGTGTGATTGGGGACCTTGCTGCGGCCTGAAGCCAATCCACTCACTCCCCCCCCTTTTAAATTGGAACAAAATATAGGTAAAATTTCCACTTTTTTGGTAAATTAACCCCCTTTAAATTGGAACAAAATTTAATTTTATAATAAAAAATTGTATATATATAAATCATAATTTTTATGTAAAAAGTTTTGATATAATTTAAATGTTTCTTCTTAACTAAAATTAAAAATTTAGTTATATCCTGCTCTTGTTAAAAGAATAGAGTATAAAGAACATCTTATTTAAATAAATTTATTATCCTTAATTGTAAATTTTTAAAAAAATTTAATTTTTTTTATTTTAAAATATTGTTAAAAAAATTTTATTTTTTTTGATAAAAATGATATTTTTTATTTAAATAGCTTTGATATAAATTCAATGCGAATTCTTTACAAAAATTCAAAATTTACTTATCTTTTGCTTTATTTTAAAGAATAGAGTATAAATAACATCTTATTTAAACAAAATTAGCACACTTTGATTAATAAATTTTCTAAAATTTTTTTTTTTTATTTTTTTTTTATCAATAAAAATAATAATTTTTGTGTAAATAGTTTTGATACCAATTAATAGTGGCGTATTAATTAATAATAAAATTTTAGTTATATCTTGCTTTGTTTTAAAGGATAAAGAGTAAATAGCAATTTATTAAACAAATTTATTAATCTAATTCGATAAATTTTTGAAATTTTTTTTTTTTTTAAATTTTACATAAATTTTTTTTTTATTAAAAATTTTATAATGATTTTTTTTAAAAAAAGAATTTAACCCCCCTTTAAATTGGAACAAAATTTTTAGTTCCAATTTAAGGGGGGGGGGAGTCAGGGAAAGGTCTAGCATGGGTACTGGTATTTGTGTCCGGCTAGGTTTCCCTCCCGGTCCAGCAATGACGATTTTCGGATCGTCCCGACGGGACATGGGACAAAAAAGGGTTTTCCTCTAGGGGCTGCTGGTACCCAAATCGGACTGCACAGCAGATGCCGATAAGAGCTAGGGAGTTAATCCCTAGCTCTAACTCTAGTCGACGACGTGAAACATGGTGACCCAGTCCGCCTACTTCCGGAATTTCATGACCAAGCCCCATGACCGAAGGAGCCGAGTAGTAGCCTGTGGCACTTAGGTGTACACTGGGAGCAGGGCAAGGAAAGCAAGCGAGGCGACCAAAAGGAGGAAGAAAAGGACCTACGGTCCTGGCCGGAAGCTACTCAATAACATATAATTAAGATTAAGATTAAGGTAGTTCAAGCTTTTGTAAGAGCAAGCTAATTTGGAATATTTATTAATATATATTTATTCATATTTTGCTTTATAAATCTAAAGATACCTAAAATGAATCTTAATTAATATCTTTAAGATTATTGGCTTTTATTTGCTTATAGCTAAAAAATCTATAATAAAAGAGACTTACTGCTATCTGGCTCAAAATTAAATTTTACTATTTTAATCAGCTCTACTTAAAAAATATTGAATCGGATTTTGTTCTTTGTCATTTTGCTTTTCATAATTTATTTAATTCTATAATTATATTGAATTATTTATACATAATTATGGCCGCAAAATACTGATAATTTGATTTCGCTAAATTTTCAGTCAAAGAATGATAGCACTTAAAATAATTAATTAAATATATAAAAATACTTAGCCATGGAGCTTTAAGCATATATTTTAATTATATCTGCCAAGGCTTTACCAGCCTAAAAATGGAGTGCTATGCTAGGTAACTAATCCTGATACATTTAAGGCCCGGTCTTAGTCTGCTTTTAGGGGCTGGATTTTACTTCGAGAGAAAGGGAGACTTCAGTTGGATAGAGGAGCCCTTAAGGTCTTCTAAGCCTTTTTGGCAACTCCCTAGCGTAATCCAGGAGTTACGCCCTCGGCTACAAGTTTTACCTTTTCGCCGATGGTTAACTAGAAATTCCATTTTTGGAATTTTTGTGCAGGCAACCGGCACAGTGAACCAGCCACTACACTCTCCACTCGGCACGAGAGACAAGTACCCGTGGTGGGGCAGCGGCAGACGGCCGAGCGAAGCTACTGGAAAAACGCACCTGTGGATGCTACGGGAGCTTCTCGATGATCTAACTTAATATTAATGCCAATATATATAAAAATACTCACGATTCTTTAATAGTAGTTAAACTAATCAACTTTTCTCTAATAAAATGATTAAATAATTTTTACAGCTGTTTCGGATAATAATTATGAATGAAACAAGCGAAGATTCAGGATTTGAACAAGATTCAGAAAATGACATAATTGTTGAATCGGAAATTCCAAATTCAACACCCACAAACAAAGAATTTCTAAGACATCCTCATCACGACTCTTTAGAATGCATAACCCCATGTCTCCCACTTGCTCAATCTGGCCACAGTCTCGAACCAGACATGATTTTTGGGTAAATCTTATTCAGGTGACGACCAAATTCTCTCTTACAAAATAGTCCAGTCCCGCTTTCTTTTAATTTCGATAAAATCCCGACTAAAGATGCAATTTTTTATGGATTCAGACCTGAAGATTCCTTAGAGCTCAACGATACTTACTCTGGCCCAAATTCTTATAATTTCCATATAAAGCCCACAATTAGGCAAGCATGAGCAGCCATTAATAAAGGAAAACCCAAACAAAATAAACGGCCATTTGAAGGTATGAAATCCGAACTTGACCCAAATGAGCTTGAATTTCATTCAAAATTTGAAGGAGGAAACCTTGATAAAGTGATAAAAGTCAAAGAAAATGAATACGATTTGTATATAAGACCAGACTCGAATACGTACGGGCATAACCAATGATATTATTTTTTAATCAAAAATAGATCTGACTCAAGAGAGATCAAGCTAAATATCGTCAATTTTTCTAAAAGAGACAGTTTATATGTACAAGGGATGCAGCCATGCATTTTAAAAAATAATTCAACAAAATGAACCAGAGGTGGCTATAACATCCAATACACACAAAGCAAATTAAATAAGCTCTTTGTAAGAAAATGCTATTATTCTTTATCTTTTGAGTACAATTTTTCAGAAAATGAGGCCACGTATTTTGCTTACTCAATCCCATACTCATTTTCAAGGCTTTGCCATTTTGTGTCTGAGTTGGAAAAACTTAGATGTGTTAGGAAAGAAATTTTATGTAAAAGCTTAGGAGGAGTTGAAGTGCCTTATTTGACTGTGACAGATTTTGAGTCTGATGAGAAAAAAGAATTTATTTTTGCTACAGCTAGAGCTCATCCTGGGGAAACTCATGGATCATGAGCGATGGAAGGATTTTTAAAAATTCATTACAAGCAATAATATACATAAATTGGCCAGAGATGACCTTATGTATACCGGGCGTGGTTTTTGAGCTGTGTTTATGGACGAGCTATAGTCAGTAGCTCCGAAGTGAGGGACGTGAGACTGGAAGCTGTTGTTTTTAGCCCTCACTCCATGGACAGTTAAATGCAACTTTTTTTATCAGCAGCACCAGCCCAGTGGGATGCCCGAAATGAGGCAAGGTGATATGCTCCTAAGCTACTACTGTGGCTTGCCCCGAATAGCGATAGCTGTTAAGTTTTTATAGGGATGACTGAAAAAGAGAGAGGGCAAGCTAGGGAGTCCATCCAATTGAAAATGGTTGCTCAAGCTACGATCTGGCTAGGAGTGATCGCATGGTTGGAGTAAAACTTGACTGCGTCGAAGGGTTGGAAATAAAGGCAGTCAGCAAAGTCAGTGAATGGCCCAAGATCTTCACCTCTATCGAGAAGCCGGGGATTTCGGCCCGTCTCGAGGCGCTACGCTCTGCCGCCCTGCAGGATTTCACTGCAAAGGCGTGTGTACACTAAAAGCGGAATTAAAGCAAGCTACTAAATCTAATCTAATTCATTACAAGCAACAATAAGCAAGCTGTCGATTTAAGAAAAAGAATTACTTTTAAAATCCTCCCAATGATAAATATAGATGGTGTAATCTTAGGCAATACACGATGCTCATTAGCAGGATCTGACTTAAACAGAGTATTCAACAATCCCAACCAAAAGCTTCACCCTACTATTTTCCATCTAAAATCCCAAGTATCGACTTTAGCGAAAAACAAAAAAATGATTTTTTATTTTGATTTTCATTCCCACTCAAAGAAAAAAGGTGTTTTTATGTATGCTCCTCACTATCCTCTCCACTCTGATAAATATTGCAAACTCAAAGTCCTGCCAAAGCTTATGAGTGAATCCACAGAAATATTCAGGTATTACTCTTGCAAATTTAAAAACGACTGAAATAAGCGAAATGCCGCAAGGCTTGTTATATGAAAAGAGTTTCGGCTACCCTTTACATATACAATGGAAATTTCAGCATTTGGGTATATAGATGAAGAAAGAAAAACAATCACATTTAACGAAGAAATTGTCCAAAAGGTCGGGAAAAAGTTAGGAAAAAGAATAATTGAGTTTATTGATATGAGAGATCAAGAAATTAAAGATAGAGAAGTCAGAAAACAAGAAAGACTTAAAAGAAAAGAAGTGGGGGAGGTGGAAGTAGAGTCTTCAGCGAGCTCTCCAGTCACAAAAAATAAGCCAAGAAGCATGAAAGAGTTTATTAGCAGAATTAAAGAAGAGCCAGAAAACGTTGAAGATAGCTCTTCGTCGTCTGATAGTAGTGATGATGAGCAAACAGAAATTGAAAGAGACAAAACTGAAAAAAAAATGAATAAAAATATTTTATACGTTTTTAAACAATTTGAGTGCTGACTTGAGTCTCCATTAATCAACAAAAAATTGGCCGGTTCTCCTTCTCGAGGAAGAAAAAAGGAAGCCCAAAAACCTCCGTTATCAGCACTTTCCAAGTATTTTTCAAGGCCGCCAAAAACATCTTCAAAGCTAAATAGGCAGTCCCCAGTCATAAGAAATGAAAGTGCTATTCAGTACGACAGCTTAGAAGACATTCACCGAATAAATAAAGAAGCAAAGCACCAGTCTCGAATTAGAGACATCGCAAAACTTTCATATTCAAGAGGTCTCCAAGCTTTTCGGTCAAGAGAAGATTCTAAAAATTCATCGCTTTTTAAGAAACTTGAACAAAAATCTATGTGTATTGTAAGCGTATCGAAAAAGTCAAAAAGACTTATTTTACGAGGTGAAATGAAACAATCTGAATCCCAAGAAGACTCCCCTACAAACTCATCTTCAAGTGACATTGAGCGGCAATCAGTTGTTAAATCTCGCTACCCGAACCAATTAACATCTATTTTTGGTAGACAAGTTCCTAACTTTTTTGCTAGAGGCAAGAGGCAGTTGTTATTATAAGTAAATAGATTAGCGTAAATGATCCCCCTATAAAAATATAATGGATCTTAATTACATAGTCGGCAAAGATACAGCATGTTTACGAAAGCTCGATGAACTAGGCTGCGACTTAGACTCCCTCTTCTTCATCTCCAAAGACCTTTTTTCTATAGTCGACGATCTTGGTCTCAACTCCAAACAAGCCTCAGAATTTTTCTTCCGAATAAAAAATGCTTACGACTCCTCCCAAGGTAAACAAGTCGACCCTGACCTAGCTCTCTACGAGAATTCCAGAGCCAATCCAAGCCGGCTGAGCATTGAAAACAAATCTACAGGTAAAACATTTTTCTTCAGGCTCGTCTCCCAACAGCCCAAAACAGACAAATCATCAGCACTTTTCAGATGTGAGACCTGTGAAGACGAGCAGCAGCTCCGAAGAAATGACATAAAATCTCATGTAACAACAAAACATATGGGTTAAATAGACTAAAAATTCCTAATTAGCTTTTAATCATCAAATTAGCCTTTAAGGTCAAATAGTTCTTGAGAAAGTCTTAAAATATCTCTATATTGTCCATATAGCTGATTATATTTATCTTGTCTGTCACTGGCTTGTCCTAAAGCTTTTAGGAGCTCAGGATTCACGAAGAGTTCAGTAAAATAGAATTTTTCTTTGGCAAGGTAGCTTTGGAAGACGCTGGAGCCTTGTAAATCAGCAGAGTGCTCGACCTTTGGAGTGCTTTTCAGCAGTCTCTTGTAGGCATATAAAGAATTCGACATTTATATCCAACAATATATGCGTAATAAGATTATGTTATTGGGTTTTAAAGATAAGGACACTTCTGCGCTTACTCAAGAGTTCAAAAAACATCAAGTAGTGCGTCGCATAAGTTAAGCTTGCAGCAAAGGATCGGCCTATTACAACCTGCCAAGCACCGTCTCCACCTCCTTGAAAATCTGGGTCAGTGTCCAGTTTTTGCTTTAAGTAACTCCCAGCATCTTTATCAAGAGTTGACTTGCTTATTGCTTCGACTGCGTATCGGATGGCTTTTACCTCCATATCCTTCGTGAGATCACTGTGATTTATTTTAGCATTTTTAAGATCCTGCTTAACTGCCTCACGTTCTGCTTCAGAGTCGCTTGAGCTTTCCATTTTATATTTGAGATTAATATGAAAAATTACTTCAAATTACGATGCTTTCTGGCTGTGCTTCGAATTTTTGATTTTTTGACGTTTTTAGGAATTTTTGTTTTTCTGCGGTCTCTTTTGTCTTCTTTAACCTTTTGTTTGCGCTCAGCTTTGCTAAGTCCAGAGTAGATTGCGTCACCTGGAGTACTTTTCTTTTGTCCTGACTCTTCAGGCTCCTCTTCATTTTCCTCCTCTTCATTTTCTTCCTCTTCTCCTTCCTCTTGGCTGTCTTCATCACTAGAATCAGATTCGTCAGTATCAGAGTCTGCCTTGACCCCTGTTAATTTTTCAAAAAGCTCTGGATTTTTTTGGTCAAAATCAATTTCTTGCAGTGTCCTTGGAATATAAATTTCTTTAAAAACCTCATCTGATATTTCTTCAGTATTTTTAGCTTTTTCCCATCTCTCTTCATGAGTCATATCAGTTAAATCAGTTATATAGTTGAACATCCCTTGAACAGTAAGCAATGTGGCGCCATTTTTCTTGAAGAAATCATTGATATTTGCACAATCCCTTCTCAAAAAATAAAGTGCCTGAGGATGATCATGCTCCACTGACTGTGAAACATCAATAACTTGTATTTGATCATTGTAGTATAATAAGTTATACTCACTAAAATCTGAGTGCACCAAATGGCATTTATGATAAATATCCCTCATCAGTTTTACAGTCTCTACATAAAAGTCATTTGTATTTGTTTCGAACACCACATCTTTCAGCCTTGGAGCTGGCACTCCATCTTTCCCCAAAAAGCTCATAAGTAGCACATTTTGCTTGACAGCGATTGGTTCTGGACATGGTATTCCAGCCAATCTCAGCCTTCTTAAATTTCTCATCTCTTTTTCTGCCCACATCCTGACCATTTTCCTTGGATTATGCTTTGAGTATCCTTTTCTAAACCTGAATTCTCCTTCCACATATCTGTTTCTATCCTTAAAAATCAAAATCGATGTCTTGTAGATCTTGATTGCAAATTCATTCATGCTTGTGTCAGTCGCATAATACACGTTTGCTTCTTTTCCTGCACTTACACAGCCAAAAATTTCTGAAATCTTGCCTGAGTTAATAAAGCTGTATAAAAATAGCCGAGTTCGGTTATCTAGAACCAGCTCGACAGTTGCTCGGTCACTTTTGTCTTTGATGCGCATACGGTTGGCATCTTCTTTTTGGTGGATGTTTCGGATTGAAGCAGCCTGGTGGCTTGAAATTTCTGTTGCGATGAAGTTTTCATTGACTTTGGAAGCAAATTTGGTTTCAAGCTCAATGTGTTTTGGAGCTGAAAACTGCTTGAAGTCATATTCGTAAGTGGCATCTTCAGCCTCCAGATCAGAACCAGACATATTTGCCTATTACAAAGATAAAAGGGTAAATCATAATTCATTTCTTATGAAAAATAGAAACAATCTCACTTTTCCTCCTGTAAAAATTACGCAGAATCGCATAAAGAAAATCGTGCAGTCTAATCAAGATATAGGAAAACTATCAGCGACAACACCTTTTCTTATATGTAAAATCACTGAAGAAGTTATTCAACAGTTGACTTCATTGTCAAGCAAACTAGCAGTTCAGCAAGGAGATTCGAAGATTACTTTATGGCATTTGTAAAAGACATTCAGAGCTCAAGTTATTGAAAATGATAAGATGTTCGAAGCAATTAGATCAAAATGCCTCCAAAATCCAATGCTTATGGGAGCTGAGCCTCCAAAAAAACCAAGTGATAAAAAAAAGAAACCCAAAGGAGATATTCAGGAATTTATACAAGAAGATGAATAAATTTATATTTTTATCAAAAATTATTGATTAAAGATTTTTTTGCCGCTTTAATATTTATGGGTATCATTAGGAATTTTCTTTAAATTAGTAGATCTATGAATTTTCAATATTTAATGTCACATCATAAAATAGATCACAAATATAAAATTTTAGGTTACTTGAAATAGCTATGTCAAAATTTAGATAATCATTAAAAGTTATTGCAATAGGTAAAGTCTATTACGTTGAAATTTAGCATCTCAGATCTAGAACAGATGCTCAATTTGCTTATTATAGCGCATTATTTAAAGTCCTTACTTGTTTAAAAGAAATGTTTGGATAGGATATTTTAAGCTTCGAATGTTTATGAAATATTTTAATTTTAAATTTTTGTACCTTGGACTTTTAAAGTATTAAGATATTTTATGCTCATTTGGCTATTTTTAGAGTCCTCTGATGTGGAGGCATCTTCTATATGCCAAGAATTTTTTCCACATGTTGAAGTGTCGGTTCGATTCATCAAGAACTCCGAAAATTTATGCAGCTATTATACTATATACCACATCGCGATTTTATTAAATTTCTTAATCACATGCTATTTTTTAAAACTTATACCTTTTAAATACTTAATGAGCTCTTTGATAATTTTTTTCATATCTAAAATTTGTAGCCACAAAGCAAAGCATTAATTATTTATTTGCCCAAAATAAAATAGTGTAAAAAGTAAATAAATCTGAATTTACAAAGAGATATGAAATTAAGATTTAAGACTCATTAATTCTAAAGTGTGTTTATTCGTTTTTCACCAAAATAGCTAAATCAAATAAATTAAAATGGGGTGCGCAGAAGGTAAAGAGAATCCAAATGTCGATGACTTAACTCAAATCAGAGCACAGTCAGATCTGCTTTGCAAAGAAATATCTGGAGTTCTGTTCCAGAGCAAGCAGATTAGCGAAGTTAGCAAGATATCTCAAACTATTATATTAAAAATTAACTCATTAGCAGATGACAACAGAAAACTAAAAGATGAAATTAAAGATCATAAAATCAAATACAAGCAGCTAAAAGTTAAAAACCGAGAATTGAAATCGGTATCTGACCAGTTAACAGGAGCTTCAACACAAGCAAAACTACAACTCACCGCTATGATTGACGCAATTCGATTTACAAAAACTCAAAGAGATAGTCTTAAGAATAGAAGATTGAATAAAAGATATATTAGCATTCTAAGAAAGCTATCATATAGGTATGATACTATGGTGCAAAAGTCATTTTTATTGTGGAAGAGCAGTTTAAAATCCGAAAAGAAACTTCCACAAGAGAGTATTCATCAGCCTAAAATTTTTTAATCGCAATATCTAAAGGACACGGGCTTTAATATATAATCTAAATATAATTAAAAATTTAATTGAAATCTTTACAATTATAGATGAAGCTTAAAACTCAAATAAAATCAATATAGCACAAATTTAATTAAACATATTATTTTAATTCAGATTTGTTTCCATTATTAGCATCATTAATTTGTAAATCAGCAATTGGATCAGCATCAGAGTTTTTTAAATATTCCAAAAGTTCATCACATTCTATTTGTCCAAGCATATTTACACCTATTAATCCTTCATTATCATATACTTCTTTAAGATCTTCATTAGAAAGAATATCATATGCTTGCTTTAAACATCGAAAATATTTAGCACAGCCTCCCTTATCAGGATGATGCTTGATTGCAAGCTTTTTATATGCTTTTTTTATATCAGCTTCAGAACAATTTGGCTTAAGTCCCATTAGATCGTATAAATTTTTCATAAGAAAGTTAGGTGTTCTTTTCCTTTTTACTGGAATATTCGGAGCTGGACTTGAATAATAAAGATCGTTTCCATATTTATGTTCAAGTCATCTTTGAAATGCAGGATTAGCTCTTTTAGTGGCAGCTGAATAAATTTGCCTTTGGAATTTGATTTTTGGAAGCGCTTCTTGAGAGTTTTGGATATTTACACCATTTGGCCCTGTATTTTGGTAAAGATGATCGTAAGAAGTTTCTACTGACATTGGATTGATAGAAACTGGAATATTGGGGGTTCTTGTCAAACTAGCTAGGCTATTTTCTTCTTCAAATTGATTCTGCTTAAATCGGGTAAACATTGGATGACTATTTGTTGCATTTTGCTTTTTGAACTCCATAAGCTAAATAATAAATAGTGAATCAATATGTTAGGGGTGCAGTATCTGAAATTATAATATTAGTTAATAGGAGTTCCTAAGATGTGATTATATATAAAGCATAAATTATAATTCTTTAATTAAAACAAAAAAGCAATAATCAAGTTAAATAATTAGTTAATTAATTTTGGAGACGTTGCATAATTAGCATAGACAGCGCTAATAAATGCTAAAGTATTAGCATATTTTTGCAAATTTCGAATATATTTGCTAAACAAGAAAAAATGTCCAAAAATGGAACATTTTTGCTAAATAGGAAAAAAAATGCTAAAAACAACAAAAATGTCAAAAAAAATGGAAAATATTTATTTTTTGTCAAAATTGAGCAAATTTGTCAAAAAGTGTCAAATTTGTCAAAAATGTCAACAACAAAAAAAACCATTAAAAATTATCTTTAATTTTTATAAAATTTAATATAAACGAAGTTAGAAGATATGTATTCCATTTGCATAATACATTAGCAAAAATAGAAAATAATTAAATACATATCGAATATACAAAATAAATTATCAAACTCCCTTTAAACTAGTTATACTCTTAGAAGACAATAATTTTAAAAAAAATTAATTTATCTTATAGCATTCATCGAGATTGTCGAGATTTCTTATAGACAACTGCGCAATTTAAATGTAAGAACTTTTACTATTACTATCAGCGTATTTTTGCACAAGGAAACTTTGTAAAAGTAATTTTTACGGAAAATCGCAGATACTCAGTGATAATTAATTTTGAATAAATATATAGATTAGCTCGCATAGATTTATAAAGAAGCTTTAATTATCTAAACTTTTGTATACTCATTGTGTCAGTAATTATCCAAAAACCTGAGTGAAAGCGGTATATAAAAAAAATGTGCATCGTAGTTATACTTTCATGATATTATGCATTATATCAAATAGTATTAACCAAAAGTATTATAAAAGAGCTGATGATAATTGATCAATTCAAAAATGCAAAAGCAGAAGCTTTTGACTATTTAATGCCAAGAAGATCTATAATTACAATTTTTTAGATTTTTTGTTAAAATTTTGACATCTAATTCTTTAGTGATCAAATACATTGATATCTTGACGAGTTAATTAACATTTATTGTATATAAATAATTAATTTTAAGTGAGTATTAGGCTATATTTTTTCATAAATTAGAAAAATATGGATCTTTTGAAACACCTTTCAAATGCTTCAAGCCATTAACAATTTTAATTGCTGGATTTTTGGGGTTGGTTCCAGGGATTGTGGAATCTTTTCTGACCATATTAGTGGAGAGTGTAGCGCTTTGAACTCTCAAATAGGGAGCCTTTGACACCCTATTACAAATTGTAAGAAAAGTCTTCTTTCGTTCATGTCTAGGAAAGTCATGATTTTTATAGGGATTTTTTATGAATAAAAGCAGTTAAGAATATTTTTGAGGATAATTTATAATAATGATTTATAGATTTATTAAGAGTTTTATGGGATAGTAAATTTTGATAAACCCTTGACTTCTTGTCATAGCCGTGTACAGTTTACAATGGCTTCTTCTAGAACTGATATGTCACAGAATTCGTTTCCTTTGCCACAGATGACGTTTTCCAGCTCCTCAGGCTCGAAAACTTCGAGAGCTTCAACTGGGATTAGTTTTTCCAAGCCTTTTTTGAATGCTTGAGCTTGGTAACTTGCATTAGCGTATATTGAGCAACTAAATTTATGCTATTTTTCACCCAATTTATCCATAGCGTTTTTTATTTTCCGTCATGATTTGTAGTTGACTCCGAATTTTTATATAAAAAATACCAATAAAATTAAGTATTTATAATATATATATTCTTCTAAAGTATCTAATTAGCAATCTTGTCTTACCCATGAGGCTTTAATTAAATATCATCATATCAGATAAGGTAAAAGACAAATAAAGCTCTTCAATTGGCGTCCCATTTAATGTGATTTCTTTCATTTCGCCTTTTTGATAGTCAGAATCTGAGCATTCATTTGTAGGAATGAATTGAATTTTAATATTTTCTTGTTATAAGTTTGAGAACTTGATTGAAGAGATGCAATGCTATGACCCTGATGACTCTTGATTAGCTCTGATTCGTTTGCATTTTTTAAATTTCCTTTAACTCTACACGAGGCACTGCAATTTTTATATGGGCAATAAAAATAAGTGTACTCACCATGAACATTTTTTCTTCTATATGTGTCTGCTTGGGTTGATAATCAGGTATGATAAACTACCATTGAAAGGTTGCTAACTGGATATTTCTTTATTCTTCGCATTGTGATGAATGCTTTTGACATAAACAATAGTAATTAATAAATCTATTATGCATATTCATGTTCGTGTTGTTTAATAGTTATAATTTGTTTGAGCACAGCAATAGTGCCGATAGCCTTATTTATTCTATTCAATGTCGGCATTTAGAAAATATTTATCATTAATTTATTGTTCTTAATCATGTATTTTAAGAATCACCATATATATTGTAACTTCTGTTGACGCTGACACTGGCTGGATGGTTATAATCAATTATCTAGTTCTTTTGTTTGGGATTTTTATAATAAGTGCTTATATTGGCTACAAATTTGAAAAATTTCCACAAATTAGAATTTATTCTCATTAAAAAGCTTACTTTATTATGATTAGTTTATACTGCTAACGTATCTGTTTATCAAGATACAATTTTATGTTAAAATTTTAAACAAAAAATCTAAAAAATTGTAATTATAGATCTTCTTGGCATTAAATAGTCAAAAGCTTCTGCTTTTGCATTTTTTGAATTGATCAATTATCAGCTCTTTTATAATACTTTTGGTTAATACTATTTGATATAATTCATAATATCATGAAAGTATAACTACGATGCACATTTTTTTTATATACCGCTTTCACTCACTCCCCCCCCCTTTAAATTGGAACAAAATATAGGTAAAATTTCCACTTTTTTGTTAAATTAACCCCCTTTAAATTGGAACAAAATTTAATTTTATAATAAAAAATTTATATATATAAATCATAATTTTTATGTAAAAAGTTTTGATATAATTTAATTCTTAACTAAAATTAAAAATTTAGTTATATCCTGCTCTTGTTAAAAGAATAGAGTATAAAGAACATCTTATTTAAATAAATTTTATTATCCTTAATTGCAAAATTTTAAAAAAATTTAATTTTTTTTTTTTTAAAAATTTTTCAAAAAAAATTTTATTTTTTTTGATAAAAATGATATTTTTTATTTAAATAGTTTTGAGAGAAATTCAATACGAATTCTTTACAAAAATTCAAAATTTACTTATCTTTTGCTTTATTTTAAAGAATAGAGTATAAATAACATCTTATTTAAACAAAATTAGCACTTTGATTAATAAATTTTCTAAAATTTTTTTTTTTAATTTTTTTTTATCAATAAAAATAATAATTTTTGTGTAAATAGTTTTGATACCAATTAATAGTGGCGTATTAATTAATAATAAAATTTTAGTTATATCTTGCTTTGTTTTAAAGGATAAAGAGTAAATAGCAATTTATTAAACAAATTTATTAATCTAATTCGATAAATTTTTGAATTTTTTTTTTAAAAAAAAAAAATTAACCCCACTTTAAATTGGAACAAAATTTTTAGTTCCAATTTAAAGGGGGGGGAGTCAGGTTTTTGGATAATTACTGACACAATGAGTATACAAAAGTTTAGATAATTAAAGCTTCTTTATAAATCTATGCGAGCTAATCTATATATTTATTCAAAATTAATTATCACTGAGTATCTGCGATTTTCCGTAAAAATTACTTTTACAAAGTTTCCTTGTGCAAAAATACGCTGATAGTAATAGTAAAAGTTCTTACATTTAAATTGCGCAGTTGTCTATAAGAAATCTCGACAATCTCGATGAATGCTATAAGATAAATTAATTTTTTTAAAATTATTGTCTTCTAAGAGTATAACTAGTTTAAAGGGAGTTTGATAATTTATTTTGTATATTCGATATGTATTTAATTATTTTCTATTTTTGCTAATGTATTATGCAAATGGAATACATATCTTCTAACTTCGTTTATATTAAATTTTATAAAAATTAAAGATAATTTTTAATGGTTTTTTTGTTGTTGACATTTTTGACAAATTTGACACTTTTTGACAAATTTGCTCAATTTTGACAAAAAATAAATATTTTCCATTTTTTTTGACATTTTTGTTGTTTTTAGCATTTTTTTTCCTATTTAGCAAAAATGTTCCATTTTTGGACATTTTTTCTTGTTTAGCAAATATATTCGAAATTTGCAAAAATATGCTAATACTTTAGCATTTATTAGCGCTGTCTATACTAATTATGCAACTCTCCATTAATTTTAATACTTTCTCATTAAAATTTCAAGCGTCTCAAATTTATCTGGATAGAAATAAACAAGGAGTTCATAAAAGTTGTAATAAAGTTGAAGCTGGAAATAGCATGCAAATAAATTGTTGCGAACAGATTTTTCAGTGATCCTAGAAGTAATATTGTCGTTAAGAAACAATAGACAGGTAAATGTAACAGAAATAAAAAATATACAAATCTCAATTCACATTCATGGAGGCCAATTGTCAAGAACGGCGTAAACTATAACTACGTCAACTATATATAATAGACACCCGATAAATAAATACAGATATCCCGATTCATTTTGGCTTAAAAAATCAGAAATAAACTCTCTGTAAAAATTTAATGTTTGATTATACCCAGGGAGCTTTAATAAATATTTTTCAAAATAAAATGCCCCAAAGTAGATAAAATTTGCTAGCGAAATGCTTAAATAAAATACTAAAAATAGCAAGTCCACAATACATTCTATATAAGATGTAAAATATTCAGTAGATATATAAAGAATTTGAATAAATATCAAACCTATATATATAAGAAATAATTCATTCTGAAATTCTACTACCTGATTAATGATAGAAAGAAAGATATTCAGAATAAAAATAAATGAAATCGAAAGGAGTCATAATGATAAATTTGTAATAGTGCTTGATTCATATATTCTAAAGCTGGGAGCAAATAATAAAATTTGAGCAGAGAATAAAGTAAGAACAATAAAGATTCTTTTCAAGATATCATAAGAGCTGGATTTTCAATATCCTAAAATCATGATAATGCTCACAATTTCTAGTTCAATTAAAATAAGATTAAATATCCAAAGGTTCTCTATAGCTATGAAATGTTTTGTTGCTTGGGCGATCTGATTTCGAAATTGATATGATATAGCTATCCTGATTAAAATTAAAGCAGGAAGCATTTGGGATTGTTTTGGTCAATTTATTCCAATATTATATCTATTCATATATAATGTGTAAATAGAAATGGCATTGTGTAACGAAATTATTTTGCGGGGCTAATATAATTAATTCATGTGATAATTATTAAATTATTACAAAATTTCATATCTTTTTATATCAAAAAATAAATATTTAATCTTAAAGCCTTCGTTTCATATTATACATTAATTATCAATTACCTAATATCTCTATTAATAATAATTTTTAAAGGGAAATTATAAAAAGGAAGTATAAGTCTTAACCAAAATGATAGCTATATTTTGATATAGAAATTATTCTATTTATTGCTATATTACAAAAAATAATCACCAAAATTGATATTTCTTATTAGAGTTACTGTATGAAGGCTATTTATTTCTTTCAAGGCTCTAAGCCAAATAATTGGATTGTTTACTCCCCCTTCCTTGATCGACCAAAAAATTTTTTATGAAAAAAAAAATATATATAAGTGATAATTACTATAATTGAATCTTTAGCTAATTCTGTATAATTATAAACATTTTGCATTTTAAAATACAAATTTTACTAATTAAATTAATATTTGCTTTATAATTATTTCGAATTGGGATTTATATAAATTTTGAAGAAAAAAAATCAGCATAAAATTTATATGTAGATTTTAAAATAAATCCTTATCCAGGGGGAGCTAGATAGGTTATTTCGAATAGAATGGTTATTTTCCAAAAAATTAATTGCCATTAATATTAAAAGCTAATCGTTAACATTTGCTAAACATCATTAGCTTAAATTATAATAATGAAGCTTAAATCAGAACCTAAAAAATCATTCCAGAGAATTGTTCAAATCAGAAGAACATTAAGAAAAAATAAAGAAAAGCTTCTTAACTCTTTGGAAGCTCACAAAACTCCTGGGACACAAAAAAACACAAAAAAGGCGCGAAGCATTAAGAAAGAAAATAATTCGCAAGAAACACCACTTAATCAAGTTGACAGTAATGTTTACAACCAAGAGAGCTCAAATATTAAGCCAATTTTTAGAGTATGCCCAGTAACTATATTATACTCAGACTCATCAGGGATCATTTCTACTGATAAATTAGAAGTCTCTAACATAAAAATTGAAGCAGAGACAGACTTCACAGTGAAAAAAACTGAAGAAATTAAAAATGAAGCTCATGAAATATTACTTGAAAAAGATATATATCCAAATTCACTTAAAGTTTCTCCATCACCATATGAACTCAAGAATAAAGATAATGAATGTAATATGTACTCCAGTAGTGAAAGTGGGTTTGAGTTTGAACCGCTTCCTCTGTGCTTTTAATAAAAATAGATATCTCCATAATATTAGAAAGGTGCTTACTCCCCCCTTCCGTGATCGAACAAATCATTGGAAAAAGCCCTATTTTTTTGTTGGGTAAAACGAACAAAAAATTTTTTGATATACATTTTTTATGAAAAAGATTTTGATATGTAAATGATTATTATTAGTATAGCTAATTCTGTTTAATTTTTATACAAATTGAATTTTAAATCATAAATTTTATAAAATTAAGTTAATTTTTATATATAAAATGTTTTTAAAAAAAAAAATTAACAAAAAAATTTGTTCTTTCACAAAGGTTGGAGTTAGAAATAAAAAAGTTACATTTAAATTAAGCAGAAAGAAAATAAATCACAAAAGAGATTTATTTCAATTTATTCGTAAATAAATTTATTAGCTGTATCTTAAGTTCTTAATTAGGTAAATTTTTCCTAAATAGATAAGTTTGGAATAATAAATTTAAATTGTGCAATTCGGATATGTAATTAGCCACTGTAAGATCAAAGAAAAACAAATAAAAAAATTAAATAGTTAATCATAAAATATTTTCAAACTAAGCAAATGTTTTACTTAATATTAGTTTCATTATGGCTCACAACAAACCGAAAAAGCCTTCAATTGGCAAAAAGCTTCAGCTAGCGACATTATTGCCGCTGGTCGTAGGCATTCTGCTAAGCGCCCTTCTTACAGTTGTTATACTATTTTCCGAGCATGTCGATTGGATCACTGAAACCGAAAATTACCTTGTCGACAAAGAAAAAGAGCATTTAATTCGTGTCGCAATATCAAGAAGTGAAAGAATTAAATCATACTTAACAAATGTAAACAAAAATTAGGCTGCCTATGACATGAGACTTTACAAATCTGTCTATAATTCAACTATTTCAGGAAAAATGATTGCATCTTCAGAGATCACAGACCCTGCAGCAAAATATGCTTATGACACTTTCACGACAACATGTAACTCTTATATAGCTTATCCAAATTTAGATTACTCTGTATGATTTAACCCAACCGGGGAAAGCTTATCAGCTTCAAATTCGTATAAAACAATCAAACTTGTAGATGCTTTTATGAGACTTTTATACCCTCTGAAAACAAGCACATTTAGCCAGATAGGGCTGGTCATCACTGATGGGTTGGATTATCGATATCCTTTACAAAACATGAGCTATATAAATGGGGTGCAGAATTATTCTGAGACTTGTAAAGTTTCTGAATCAGCTTTTGACTCTAGATGCACAGGCACTTATTATCTGCTGAAAATTGATAATTTAGCTGAGGAGTTTATGGCTTATCCAGAATATTCATATGTAAATCAGTTTTTAAATATGGATGATGGAGCAGTAGCAGGTTATTTATTTGATACTTCAATATCGAACTTAATGATAGAAGTAGACGATTAGATTAGATTACGATGGGTATTTATAGTCCTCACTTCCTAAAGTGCTGAGAATTTCTACATGTGAACGCCTATGGGGTTGAATTCCTCAAGGCAGCTTGAGCACGGGCCGAAATCCCCAAACTTCTCAGTAGGTGCATTTTTCTCTCCTGATCTTGTTCAAGCAAGACTTTGCAAGGAACCCCCATTTCCAACATAAGTGCCAAAAAATTTCCAGCCTGCGTTACTTCGGTCAGATAGTCCCGCTTAGGGACCCTTTTAGACTAGAGAGACTAGCCTTGAGATCTTCATCTAGCTTGTCTTCCCTTTTCTTGGGATCATCTCCCAAAAACTCAATGCGCTTACGCAGACTCAGGGCAGGTCACAAAAACAGCTTAGGTAGATAATTCGCCCTGCCTCTATTGGACATCCATTCTGGGCCTAGGTTCTGCTGGCAAAAAGGATGCAAAAAATGTCGCTCGAGCCATGCCACTAATCAGCAGAAATAGTGTTGGGCCACTCGCTTCGAGGCTACCCAATCCTTGGGCAGCTCTTTGCACAAAAATCAGTAAGAATATACATAAGATACAGATCACTAGTCACCAACCATTTTATGTATATAGAAGTAGAAGATTATGAATATTTTATTACACATATTGATGGAGAATGGGTACTTGCACTCGACAAGCAAAGCCCCACAGTTTTCCAAGAAGAAACAATATGGAATGCACTTTTCCCTGAAGATTATATTCTATCAGGAGAAGTAAAATCAAAAGTCATAGTCCCAATTATGAATAAAGAAACCACCACAATCACCATTAAAGGAATGAACTCAAAATACTACGTAGGGGTAACACCTATTATTTTCAATACAACTGATTCAAGCCAAGAAAGCATCTATTCAGCAGGCGTTATGGTGAATGATAACACAGTTCTCCAGGACTGAAATGACTTGATAGACGATATCATTAATATCATTATAATCCAAATGTCAATTTTTCTGTTTTTCTTACTGATTACTCTGCTTGCTGCTTGGAAACTTGCGCTTTCAATCACCCATAGAATTACACACCCTATTAAACTTATAGAAAAATACTTAAGAGGGCGTGTGTCTTTGCATACAGTTGAAAGAAAATACAATAAAGAAGTCAACCAGATAATTCACCATTTAAGACTGTTAGTCATTGTAGAAAGATTTATAGAGCCAAATTATTTAAACCATCCAAAAATGAATATTAGGTTAAGCAACTTAAAAGAGGCTGAGTCGTTGTTTATTGCTATTGAAAATAACCGAGGGATAGCTATTGTAAAAAATTTGATTGGGAATTTGCTATTCGATAGTGGGGATTATAAAGGAGCAATTAATGAGTACTCAGAAGCTCTAAATTCAATTGAAGAGCTGGAAAAAGAAGTTCTCGAACAGGAGGAAGAGGAAAAAAAGCTGAATGAGAATGAGAAAACACTGCTGAGACAGAAAACAGGAAAAGCTATTGAAGGGTGGGAACAGGAAAAAGTTATGCTGAGAGAAAACATAAGTGAAAGAATTCAACAGTTGTGTATGGCGAAGCAAGCATTTTTAGACGAAAATTCAGAGCCTGTTGAACAGTTAAGATCTGCGTGGAAAGAAATTTTGGCACTTCAAACTCGGGCTTTGCAGCATTATATAACTACTAGAACTCATTATATAAGGCTGCTGAAATTGCTATATCAATATATATCAAAATAAATAAGTATTTTCTGTATTATATCCTATTTTCTATAAAAAATGCTGAAATTGTTCTTACTCCCCCCCTCCGTGAGTGAACAAAACCATTAGAAAAATCGCTATTTTTTGCCCAAAAACCCCGTGAGTGAACAAAAATTTTTTTTAAATGCAAAAATTTTTGATGGAAAAAAAAATTTGATATATAAATGATAATTATTATAATGAAATCTAGAGCTAATTCTGTTTAATTTTAAACGAATTGCTTTTTAAAAACATAAATTTTATAAGTTAAATTAATATTTGCTTTCCAATTTTTGCGAATTAGGATTTTTTTTAAATTTCGAAAAAAAAAATTTTTTTATAAAATTTATATATAAATTTTTTTAAAAAAAAATTAACCCCCCCTCCGTGAGTGAACAAAATTTTTTTGTGTTCACTCACGGAGGGTGGGGGGGGAGTTAGCACCAATATTGAATTACTATAAATTTTATAATTGACATGGCCTATGTCTTCCAAAACTTGCAATATTATCACTCAGCTATGGAATTATTGGACATTGTAAGTGATGAAATATGGAAACTTGAAAATGAAGGAAATGTAGATATTGATATCGATATTACCAGATTAAGAAGAATTGGTGTAAACGTCAAAGAAAAAGGCCAAAGAAAGCAGCATTTTCATATTGGGAATATTATTTACGAAAAAGATATCCTCAGACAAATGATGCTATATAGAAGAGGAATGATTTTAAAAGAAAACGAAAAATTCCAAGAAGCCGGCTTAGCCTTTACTATGGGTATTGAGCAAGGCAATACCTATGACCCCCGCATTCGAAAGCTCTGCATAATTGAGCTTTATAATATCATGCTTAAATTCGGTGTAATTGGTGAAGCTCCAGAGCTTAAAAAAATGTATGAAAATTTATTATCAACAAAACGCTCCATTTTATTTGTGCTTTGCTATGACATAAATTTAGAAGCCCAAGCAAATATTTTGCTGACTCAATTTGTAAGCGATGAAATTGAGTCACAAAATGAAAAATTCGGAGTGGTGACTGTTTACCCTAATTCTTTAACTGACTTAGAAGTTGTGGAAAGAGATTTTCCTGGCATGGATTTGGAGTCTTTGTTTAAGGTCGCAAAATCAAATATTAAAGCAGACCATCCTTTTGATGCCATGATGAGAGGTTTAAGAACCTTTCAGCTAGATTCAGGAGAAAAATATATGGTCGTATTTTTAAAAAACGAAACTGAAAATATAGGATGTGCTTATTTAAGCAATTTAAGTGAAATTTTAGAAAATGGGGTGAAAATAATTGTCATTGTAATGGAGGACTTTGTGCAAGAAGATTTTGAAGAATTTCTCATGAGAAGTGACAGCAAAATCATTAAATGCACTGGACAGAAATCTTTTGAAGAAGCACTTGAAGATTTAAGACAAGAGTTATTGCTGGTAGATAATATTTTATAATTAGATTTTAGATAAAATCACTGAACAAAATTCTTCAAGATCTATAACTCCATCACCGTTTTTATCGAATTCTTTTATTATATCTTGGAAAATTGCATCATCAGCACTTGAATTTACTTCCAGAATTTCTTTTATTTCAGCAATGTTAATAGTGCCATTCATGTCCCGGTCAAATAAGTCAAAAGATTTCTTTAGATTTTCAATTGACCCAAATTTCTTCTTGTCGACTGTTGCTTTTAAGAATTCTGTATAGTCAATAAAGCCGCTGCCATCTGAATCTACTTGTGAAATTATACGATTTACCTCTTCTTCTGCGTTTTCAGGGTTTCCAATAAGTCTATAGTTTTCAAGCAGTTCCTCTCTACTTAATTTTCCATCCCCATTTTTATCAAGAGCTTGGAAGGCTTCCCTCATTGATTTTATTTCATTGGCAGTTGTACAATGAGATGCTATGAACATATGAACTGCGTCCCTAAGCTTATTGCTTGACACAAAATTTTTTAGACTTGACAAAGCACATTCAACTGATTCATCATTTGAGGATTCAATAGGTGCCTTAGAAAATCAAGCATGGGTAAGTGCCTGTGAAGCAGTTAGTCTCTTTTTCATTGGACAAATCAGCTTTAAAATTAATCTTTTAGCTTCATCTGAGATTTTATCCCAAGGACTATCTGCAAGGTTGATTTTTCCTTTTTTTATGTTTAAAGCTATTTCTTCGTCTGATTTTCCATTAAAAGGCAGCGACCCAGATAATAGTAAATAGAGTATAACTCCGATGCTCCAGAGATCTGACATTTCGTTATATATACAATCGAGTGCTTCGGGAGAGACATAATTTATTAAGCCATTTCTCATTACTAAAGGCTGAATTATGTCAATTCTTGAAGCATGCTCAAAGTCGAAAACTTTAATTGTGTTTAGGTTGTGAGGCTCTTCTAGTAAGATGCACTCAGGTCTTAGTGTCCTATGCATTATGTTATGCTCATGCATGAAGGAAACCGCAAGCAGAAGTTGCTCTGTTACTTTTGCTGCTTTAGCTTCTGGAAGGCACTTTCCTTCTGGAATTTCGCTAGAAAGATCACCTCCAGAGCAAAGCTCGTAAATTACATGAATTCGCTTGATGTCTTCAAAGAATTCAAATATTTTAACCACATTTGGATGGTCCATACAAATAATACCGATTTAATTTGAACTTTATTAATTTTGACTGAAAATTTAGATATTGAAAACCAAATATTATTTAATTTAAATAAAATAATTTTTTCGGAAATTAATTGGATGGTCAAGTGATTTTTGGATTTCAATTTGACCGACAATTGAAGTTCTAACAGTTTCGTTTGGAAGCAAATCTTTACGGTAAATTTTCACACAGCGCTTTATATTTGTTTCTCTATTTGTACAAGTATGAATTTCGGAATATGGCCCATGAGAAATCATAGGGCCTAGTCTAAAAACATCTGCAAAGCTTTTCAAATTTTCATGGCATAGAGAGCTAGCAGCAAGTTTAATTTCTTTATTGCTTTGGCCATCAAGTTTTGTGCCTTCCGATGTTTGCACTCTTTTGAGTCTAGTATTAATTGAGCAGCCCATATTATTTTTTCTTACATTATAATGCCTTGAAAATTTTGTTTGCAATATAAATCAGATAAAGAATTTCATTAATCCAAAATATTTTTCTAGATAAATTATTTAACATCTGTAATATTTTTACGATTAACTCAGCATTAATAATTATAGTTTACCATCTGTTATTAGTCTGTCTTATATAATAGATTTAAAAATAATTTAGCTTATCTTTTAGTTTCAAAATGCTCTTATTAACTCTTAAGATCATTTTTTCTAGAGTGAAATGCTCATAAATCTTTATTCGGTCGGTGTTCGAAATTAAAAATTTTAATTCCCCTTAATAGAATGATATATATTTTTTTAAAGAAAAATAGAAATTTTTTATTTTTGCAATGGAGCTGAAAATGATGTCAGGTAACTTGACATGTGCATGCTTGAAGGAACTGAAAAAGAATTAGAAAAAGTTCATAGGGTTGCGTGATGAGTAATCGTAATATATTAAATGATGAAATTTTGAAAGTAAAAAATAAATCATTTTATAGGATTTTTAGAGCACAAATTGAAGAATTCACTTTATATTTTATTATTCTAATAGTATTTTTTATATATCAAAATTTTTATATCACTTAATTTCTCAAAAATAGAGAATTTTCCATAAATTTGGTTCATTCATAGAGGTTTATTAAGAAAAAATAATTGATTTCACTTCCGCTTAAATTTCTCACCTTTTCACATGGATTAAATAATTTTGAAAGGATATTAATGGCATTCGATATTGATCCATTTTCAATGGTGAATTTAGTAAGATATAAAATGTCTATTACTGTTGCGGTTTTGTATACATTATATTTTTTTAACTGAGAGGTGTTATTATTCGTATGCTCATTTGGTTGATTAATTGCAAATTTTATGAGTTTTAATCTAAATATTTCAAAATGGGGAAATTCAAAGAGTTTAAGGCTTTTGCTGACCGAAATGACATTCCAGTAAAAATAAGCTCTCATGAAAATCAGAGATATATTGAGATTTTTGAAGAACAATGTGAAAATTATTCAATAACCGTCAAGTTATCATTTCGAGGCACAAGTTTGCCTGAAATTTTAATTAAAGAGTCAACTTTTTTCAACGATCATGAAATCCCAAGTGATTTTCTTAGAAACATATGCCAAAAACCTGAAGTAAAATTTTTTCTCGAAGGAAATAATACTTTAAAGTTCAGCTGAAATCATAATTTACTTGACCCAAGAGAATTTAGTCCAGAACAAATATTTTTCAAAATTTGAGAAGCCGTCAATGAATTTATACACTTTGCTAATTGAGCAAAAGATCAATATAGAAAATATCAAATTCAGCAAAGAAGAATTCAAGAAGAAAATGAGGAAAGAATGAGAAAGCAGAGAGCAGATGAAGTAAGGAGAAATATCCAATCAAGAGAAACCTATGAAGAAGAAAGGAATAACTCTCAATCGACATCAATAAATATAAATAAAAAAATACCAAAAGCGGCCATTGTAAATGAATATAATTTTCAAGATATTTTCAACAAGCCTATTCCTTATAATTTTAAGGAATATACAGCAATCATTTCTCAAAAAGGAGCATCTTGCTATAGTATTGAATTTATGCACTTTTATGGTAAAGCTGCTAGATATAATGAAGAGAAAGGCAGCTGTCTTCGGTATACTAGTGAAATCCAAATAAAAACTCAAAAAGAATTTTATGAGTATCTATTCAAAGCCCAATCTCAGTTTTTTGACAAAATTTCTCAATATTTCACATCTCAAGCCCAATTTAACAGCATACCAGCAGCAAGATCTGGCCAGAATAATTATCCTGACTCCCCCTCCATGAGCAAACAAAGAATTTTTTTTCGCTCACAGTGAGCTAATTTTTTTAAAAGAACTTATATTTAAATTTTATGGTAATTTTTTTTTTTTCAAAAATTAAAAAAATTCCTATTCGAAGTAATTTTTAAAGCAAATATTAATTTAATTTGCAAAAAATTATGTTTAAAATGAACATGTTTAAAATAATCGGAATTAGCTAGAGATTTCATTATAATAATTATCGATTATATATCAAAATATTTATTCATAAAAATTTTGTTCTTTCAAAGAGGGTGGCTTTTACCCGAAAATAGGGATTTTTCCAATGGTTTTTCTAGCTTATGGAGGGGAAGAGTGAGGACTATGACATTATTGGGGGTTCCAACTATTTCGGAATTTAAAATGAAATCCCGAAAAATTTAATTAAAATATTAACCTAATTTTTGTGTTTAAAAGTTTGTTTATTGTATATTATTAATTTTCTAAATTAAGGTAGAAATATGAGATCAACGCTCTTAAAACAGCTTCATTGCCTCTTCCTCTTTGAAATTCTTGAAAAACGAGTCTGCCTAGATTCATATCTAGCTCGTTCTCTGTACGTCTGAAAACAAGTCTAAATTGGTCATCAATCTCCCTCTGACTTTTATGTTTTACATATAGAATTTTTGGTTTTTTCTTTACGCAATAATTCACTCTGCGTGAAATTCTTGTAATTGAAGTAAATCTCAGCTTACATAGTGGACATGTATTTTCTGTCTAATTAGTAAATACCTGAGACCATCTTTCAATGCATTCAAAACAAAAAGAGTGTTTGCAACAATCTAATTTTCCTTGAAACTCGACTGCATTTAAGCATATGCCACATGTCTCGGCACGGGAATTGAAGCGAGTGATTCTATTTTTCATTGAATTATTTTACAATATATGGAAAGTTTATCGAGATTTTTGGATATTAGACTATTTGAAGAACTCAGAAGCCAGAATTTAATTCAGACCGTTCAAATCTAGAGACAGCAATTTTATATGCTTTTTGGGTTGAATTTGATTATAATATACCTTTGAAATTCTTTTTATTTAGTTAAGATGTATTGTTGATTCTTATGAAATCCTCAATACAACTAAATATTTTTAAAGCGATGCTGTTTAAGATTGATAGCAATTTGCAATATTCTGATGGTTTTTCAAAATTCAAAAACAGAATAAAACAAATCAACTCAACTCATGCTAACATTAATGGACTTTAATTAGATTCCATGCTATTAGAATTCGTTTCGATGAATATTGAGACAAAAGTGCTGATCAGATTTGTCTGCGTTGAGGAGCATTGATTCCAAAAAAAAGTTTTTAAATAATAAAATTTAAACCATTTATGATTCATTATTCATACTTCTTCGATTATTAAATACTTGAAGTTGTCTATAAATAAATAGCTGTTATTTTTAATTATTTGTAATTATTATGATATAAAAAATTAATTAAAAATAAATAAGGAATAAAAAATACGCATAACTACCATTTTAAATTTGTCAGTTAGCGTGTTAGTTTCTTTGCTAAATAAGCGGCCAGGTCTTTAGCTTATTTCTTGATTGAAAAAGAAATATAAATAAATTAATCAATTTTTCTTCCTTGTGATAAATTTAAATAGACATTCAGATGCTTATAAAGAAAGATATTTAAATAAATATATTCCTGTTTGAACTAGAAGAAATAATTAGCATTACATAAATAACTCTCATATGTATTGTCCTTAACTAAAGCGCTAATGCAATAAAGGATATAAGGCAAATATCTTTATTTAGCTATTAACTAACCTATCTCTAGTAAATCTTCGCCTATCATTCCACATGAAAAATGACTCAGTTTATACCACTAATTAACATTATGCGTTAAGTTTTATTGCAGTCCAAATTGTGTTGAGCTTCTGCTTATAGATTTAGTGTTTATAGTTAATTTTAAGATTTATAGCTTTTTATTTTCTTAGGAACTACCAGATCCCAGAGTACTTCCACAATTTTTAACATATTTTAAGCCCCAGCCATGCTGGACTCACAGACCCGCTGGGTTGGACTTGCGACTTCCAGGGCATGCATGGAAATGATATTACCGATTTCAATGATTCAAGATTTGGCAAAGCTTTCTCACTGCTGCCGGATTTAAGTGTGAAACCATAGGCAATTCAAAGTTCTTAAGGTCTGACCACAAATAGGATATCTCTCTCTATATTTCTTACGAGTCTAATCCGGGATTGAACTCTCATGCAAAATAAACCTCAAATCATAGAATGGAATGTATTTGCTGTCGACCGAAAGATTAGTAGAGCTTAAAAGAAAAACTCTGCAGAGCTAGTTATCTTCTCATACAAACAATTTTTTATTATAAGCAATATACTCACTTGCACGAAAAGCTTTAAAAAATTTTATAGATTTTGTTTTAATGTTTAATCATTCAATATTAACAAAATAAGCTCTCTAAACTACTTATAAATAGTTTTTTCATCTTCACGGTATTTCAGATAAATGTCCATAATTTTAATAATAAATTTGGTTTGGATAATAATTAAAACTATGGGCTATGCATGATTTAGCTGAATTTTTTTCAAGTTTTATCTCATAATATTGATTTCTCCTTTTTGATGATTTTTTAAAAAATAAAATTCAATTCTCTACGACCGTAATGTGCACTATCATATAATTTTTTTCTTTTAAATGCTAATATTTTGAAATAAAGTTTTATATTAATTTTCTTCAAGACGATATAAACAGAGCCTGACTCCCTTTAAATTGGAAATTAATATGGTGGCTAGACTCAAGCATACCAGGAAGCTCAGAGGACATGTTAGCATGGGACATGGTCGTATTGGCAAACACAGAAAGCATCCTTGTGGTCGTGGTAATGCAGGTGGACTCCACCATCTCAGAATTTTATTCGACAAATTCCACCCAGGCTACTTTGGAAAAGTTGGAATGAGGCGATTCCACTTAAAGAAAAATACAGAATTCTGCCCATGTGTGAATCTAGACACTCTCAACACATTGTTGACTGAAGAACAAAAGGCTTCAAGTGAAATTCCTCTGGTTGATGCAGGAGCCCACGGGTTCTTCAAAGTTCTTGGCAGAGGTGTCCTTACAAGACCAATAAATGTAAAAGCGAGACTTTTCTCAGCAAAGGCTGAAGAAAGAATAAAAAAGGCAGGAGGCACTACCATTCTTTCAGCATAACTAAGAATTTTAGATTAATTTATGGTTCAGAGCTATGAATTTCTTTTCAATAATATTTCCTTTCATTAAAAAGTTTTAGATTGATATTTTTAAAGTTTATAACTACTTAATCTGAGTCATTTCATTCGTTACCATTGTATACGACAAATAAGCTGTCATTTCTCTTATTCCATAATTATATCTAATTATATATTACTTTGAACTGGTAACAAGAATCAAATCAGAGCATTTTGGGCGATCTCTAATATAATCACCTATACTATTCAGTGAGTCTTTTATTTTTGTATCGCTTATCAAGTCAGCTTTTGTCAAGCAAATAGTGTATTGTCTATCTAAAGTGTCCAGTCAATCCATAAGCATTTTATCAGTCCCCATCATGCCTCTTCTCGAATCTAATAAAATAATTGTTCTGAATAAATTTGCAGATGAGCTAAAATAAATTGATGTCAATTTTTTCCATTTCTCCAATTCTGCATCAGGAGCGCTTGCAAATCCATAGCCAGGAGCATCAACTAAACTTACGATAAAAGGCGATTTAAATCCAAGTGTATGATAAATTAATTGCTGAGTTCTTCCTGGAGTTTTTGATGCAATCGCAACTTTTTCATTTACAAGGGCATTAATTAAACTGGACTTTCCACAATTTGACCTTCCTACGATAGCAATTTCTTTGTGGTTTATTAGCATGCCTTTTTGTTTTGCAATTTTTTTAGCCACTGTATCTGAAGTCAAAACTTCGGTGACAGATGAGCCATTTCCAAATTGTTTTCCCATTGTGTACTTACTCCCCCCACCCTCCGTGAGTGAATAAAATTTTTTGTTCACTCACGGAGGGGGTTAATTTTTATTTTTTTTTTAAAAAATTTATATATAAATTTTATAGAAAATTTTTTTTTTTCGAAATTTAAAAAAATCCTAATTCGCAAAAATTGGAAAGCAAATATTTATTTAATTTGTAAAATTTATGTTTTAAAAAGCAATTTGTTTAAAATTAAAAAGAATTAGCTCTAGATTTCATTATACTAATTATCACTTATATGTCAAAATTTTTTTTTCCATAAAAAATTTTTTCTATAAAAAATTTTTGTTCGAGGATGGGTTTTTGGGCAAAAATAGCGATTTTTTCTAATGGTTTTGCTCACTCACGGAGGGGGGGGGAGCTAGATAAAATTTACTCATACTGTTTCGTTGAAAGGATAATAGCTTGTGTCTAGTGGACTTGCTCCAATAGATTCTTTATCGCGAATATTCAAAAAAGGAGCCTGCTTAAATATTCGAGCAGCCATCTTAAATTATTATTACAAAGACAATTATGCTCAATGGGAGTTTTACAGCATTTTCTTCAATTCCATAGTAGTCCTTAAAATAAATTATTTCTGTGCAATCATCATTGTTTTGCAGCAGTGGGTAATTTTCAGCCAAAAATTTAGCTGAAATTAAAGACTCCGACTCATTAGCTAATTTTCAGCAATTTTCATTAAATCTTCTTAATGTATTGCAGTTCTCGAGTGCTGAAGAATTCATAAAGTCTTTTAATAAAGCAAAGTAACTAAGATATGGAGTGTCTCCATAAAAGGGTTGGCAATAAGAAGTCCCGTAAGGATTCATTCCACATGTGCATGTCGAAGTAAACTGGTAAGAGGATGTACTTCCAGCACAATCACTATCAGCACTACAAATCTGAGGGTTTATCTGCTTTGAAACCGGAGCATCTATACAAGTTCCTATACTTGTAAAAAATGACCCCATTAAGCAGACACCTGAGCTGCATAAATAATTAAAACCTGCCTGCTTACTTCTTGAGCAGCTTGATATATAAGATCCAGACGGCAAAGAAAAATATTCAATGCAGGTCCCTGTAAAACCTATAATATTGCATCCAGAATTTGGGTAGCAGTCATAATCACTTGTGCATCCCGTTTCCCCAGCTTTAATTAAAGATGTGCATCTATTTTTATAGCATCGAAGACTTACATCACAATCTGCATGAGATGAGTAATACGTAAAAAAAACAAAAAATTAGCTAAAACCTGCCAACGCTAGACCTCTAGTTACGCAAGGCGGTTAGACCTTATTTTTCTGCGTCTTCTCGTTACTTTCGAATTCATGTTGGGCCTCACATCCGGCTCGCTCTTTCTAGTCTCCCTGAAGGCATTCGGCATCCCAGAAGTCCAGGAACTCTAGTGGTTTGGCGCTTTGCCTTGCTCTATCCAGCTTTCCTCCAGCGCTGGCTCTTCTAAGGGCTCTGCCTTTTTTCCCTCTTGGCAGAAGTCCACGTGAAAAAATCAAACTTCCTTTTTATCCAAAGCCATTTTTATATTATGAGATGAGCAAGACTCAGATCTTAAGGATCCCACACATTTATTCGTTACACAATTCCCATAAGCACAATCAGTTGCTTGGTTGCAAGGTTCTCCTGGGTATGATTCGTACTGATCAGCCTGCTTTTCTATGCAGGTTATATTTTGTTGGCTAGCTTGAGTTAAAGGGCAATAAAAAGGATAAGAGCAGGGGTTTAAAAAATAAGTGGATTGAAAAATTGAAGAATAGACGCAGGTAAGAGTATCTCAACCCATTTCACTATCTTTGCATTTGTATGATCAGCAATAATTTTGCGAGATTGCTGAAGATGAGGCAAACCAAATCATGAAAATGAAGACATAAGCCATTTTTAAATTTTCAATAGATTAAAAGATATGGGTTAATCTATAATACTGTGCATGGCTTAATGATAATAGAATGACTTGCTTAATATTTGAAGCAGCGGTTTCAAAAAATTGAAAAAATTGATAAATTATAATTGGTGGCCTATTGATTTATTTTCCACCCTTTTAGGTAGATGAATCATAACCTGAATTTTTGGATCATTAAGTCCTGCTAGAAAAAATTTTAAATCATTTAATTTTAATGATAATCAATCATAAAAAATATAAGAATTAATAAATATTATAATTATTTAGTTTTATATTTAATAAGAAATTGTCTATCTAATAATAAATTCAGTTTAATAATTATCAATAGTTATAAATCCATTTTATGTAAAATGTAAAATTAATAAAACCTCTCCTAATTATTCTGGCTTTTTCAAACTTATTTTTGCCTTGAGTTTAATTTACGAGCAATATCGAAGTATTCCTGGGCTTCTGCCGTTTAGAATCGTCCTTGTGGTGCAAAAGCTTTAATAATTAATTAATTTTTTTTGGCTCTAGGAACTATTGCAAGGATTATCGCTTCCATAAAAAACCTTTCTTTAATTAAAATACTTTAATTATCTATGATATAAGTTAAAATGACGGGTAAATCAATCCGAATTCTTGCCTCCTGTAGCTAGGACATTACTGAGGCCGTATTTTGAGGAAGAGAGGGGGAGGAATTCGATGTGCTCGGCTAGGTTTTACTGGTGCAGGTGGAGCAGCGATGCTAAGTTGATCTGCCAAACTTCTATCCTGATATAGTTCACAATTAATTTAATTATCTGCCAGATTTTCTCATCCGGAGAAAATTTCTAACTTTAGTAATAACGAACGGTTGTTGAACGCTAATTGGAATTCATTTTATATTTATTATAAATATTTAAACATCACAATTAAAAATGGAATGTATGAGTTAGGGGTTCTGTCCCCTATACTTGTCCTAGTGAGGGAAGTTCAGTCTTTCTGAAGGAAATCAGCGTTGGAACTGCTTCGGCAGCTCCAAGTGTACTTGAATCACATTCAAGGCAAGAAGCGAGACTCGTCTGGGCCATAGGCTACTGTAACGGTTCGACGGTTAGGCCGATTCCACCTACCATTGTTCAGAGCTGTACGCCAGTGGATGGAATTCATAAAGGGGAGCTTGTATTGTTAGATCCTAAGATAAGTGGGGGTCGACAAAGAGTTATCGTAATCTTAATCTTAATATTTAAACATTATTTATTTTAAATTGTTTTAATTTATAGGAATTACATAAGAACGCATTAAATTTTTATTTTAAACTATTAAAAAAATTAAAATAATTTTATCCAAATTTGAGGTTAAGTAAAAGTAGATTCTTCTCTCCATATTTGACAATAATTTCAGCCAGTCAAGCCGGTTTCGTTTATAAATTGAATATTATGAAAGACATGGTCTTTAATTGCCCTATTGAAGGTTGCAATAGATCTTACAAAAATAAATTTAATTTGGATCGACATGTGGAGGCTTTACACATGCAAGATAAAAAATATCAATGCCCACATTGCTTGAAGATTTTATCGTCCAAACAAAACTTGAATGAGCATTTATTCACACACTCTGGGGAAAAACCTTATGTATGCAGAGAGCCAGGATGTGGGATGAAATTTAGGCAAGGTAGCCAACTTTCAGCTCATAAAAGGATACACGTTGCTATTAAGAGTTACGCGTCGAGAATAGAAGAAAATGTTAGTGGAAGATATTATTTGAAGCTTTCACATTGTCTTAGCTTGTTTCCTTCATTATTAGAGCAAAAAAGCCTTATTCCTGACCTTAAATTGAAGGAGGAAGAAATTTTCCTTCCACCAATTTCTGGTCCTTCAAGTTCAGTACAGTTGCCAAGCGATATTTTATACGATCATCCATTACAGGTTTAATCATATCTTTGTCTAATAGTGTCTATTTAGCGAAAAAAGTTAACTAGTATAATTAATCAAAGAAAATTTAATAATTACTCGTAATATCTTAGTTGTTGAATAAAGTTTCCAGAAATATTTGAATAGGCAAATTTTATTAAAAATATGAAATTGTCCAGGATATGAAATAAAAAGTAAATTACAATTTAATTACTCCTTCTTTAAATGGGATAGTGATATATAAGTAAATTTTTTGGTTTTTTTGGTAAATTAAACTACTTTAGATTGAAACAAAATTTAATTTTTATAGGTAAGATAATAATTTACATCTGCTTAATGCATATCTTGTTTTATAAATAAAATGCCATTTTATCTGATATATGTTTAATTTTTTTTTTAAAAATCTATATCAATTGCATTATCGGCTTCTTTGAATAGAACATATTTTTTGCTCCAATATAAAAGGCGAGTAATGAATTCAGCTGTATCAAAGCAGTGAGTATCAAAGTTTGCTGCTCAACAATTAGCGATGACCCCCCCCTCAATCTTCATGTCTATTGCAACAAAAAATTTTCGAAAAAATCTTCATGCCTACTGCAACACAACATTTTTATAAAAAAAAATGAATGCATTTTTCTCTAGGGGAGATTCTCAAAAAAACCATAAAACAGCGCTACTGTAGGCGTGTCAATAACCTTATCATCGAGATTTGGACGGCTATTGTCATCGCTCGCCATTTTATTAAACTTACCTAGCTAGAAAGTACGGAAAAATTTAAGATACGCATCGAAAATTTGTTACAAGAGGATTAGGATTATAACAGACAGGCGCTAGCCATATTGGTGGCGCAGTCGCCAAAGACCTCCCGTACGAAAGGTTCTACCGCTTTTCGACTCCAGCCCAGAGAATCTATCCCTCTTACGAGTGCCCTTCCAGTACATTCTGTCTCCTCCTTGCTTGCGGCTTCAGTCTTGAATGGTCGGCTTATGGATTTCTGCGGCCCTGCTACGGACGATTGGAGTAGCTTGATTCCGGGGATCAGCTCTTGGAGTCTATTGGGTGTCAAGAAGCCTTCCTTCGAAAGCTAGTTTCTCGTTAGAGGAATACCCATAGGTCCTCGGATCCAAAGGACGTTGTTGAGCGCTTTCCAACCACAGGAAAGCAGCCAGAACCTACCCGGATACATACTTCTTGAGCCTGCGTCTGATTCTCGGCTCGGAGTCCGTCCCAGTTCGCCGTAGCCATAAGGTCTGGACTGCCCCGCCAAGAGGGCAGGTTGACACGTGTCGCCATTTTAATGTATATAATTTGTTGCTAGAGACATGAAAATTATTATTTTTTTTATATAAAATTTTATATTAAAAAATTGCATTTTTGTTGCAATAGACATTGAGGGGGGGGTCATCGTTAATTACTAATAAAAGCTTCAATTATTTCTAATAGCTTTTGATTATTTTTCATAATTAATTTAATAATTTTCGAGCGCTTCATTTGAAATGAAATTCGTCTTTAACTATAAAATAAATTTTTTAATTTAATCCATCTTCACTTTATTTCTTAAATAATCTTATCAAGATGGATCTTCAAAGCAATTTCTCAGAAAAAGTTTCATTGATTAGATCTCAGCAAAAAACTATCAAACTGTATGAAAAGCAAATTAGAGTTCTTGAAGAAAATAATATTAATTTAAAGCAAACTGTTGATTTGTTGATAAAGTATATAACTGATGAATTGCATGAAAACTTGCCTTCATTGCCTGCCCTTCCAAGCGAAGATGAAGAAATTCATGTAAGAATGATGCCATATATAAACCAAAAGCCGAAAACCTCACACAAGTCTGCAAGAAAGCACAAGCCTAGAGGGCTTAATCAGAGTTATGATGCTGAAACTCTGAGAAAATTATCATCTCAACCTTTGCCTTCTTCAAGCACAAAATCATCAATTTTTGATGATGAAATTGGTTTATATAAGTCTTTTGCAGGCTCTTGGTTTTTAAAAATGATTTTAGATGCCCAATTTAGCAGAAAAGACATGAAGCCACTGACAAAATACTTAAAACAGGAAAACTACTCAAAACTAGCCCCATCCATGAAATAACAGAACCATTTGAAAAATCCCTATTTTTTCCCAAAAACCTACCTTCCATGAAAGAACAAAAATTTTTTACAGTATAATGAATCTAACAGCTTGCATTTAAACATAAATTTTACAAATTACATGAATGCTTACTTTCCAATTTTTGCGAATTGGGATTTTTTTAAATTTTTTAGAAATATATTAATTTTAACAAACAAAAAATTAACCCCCCTCAGCCAGTAAATAAAATTTTTTGGTTTGCTCAAAGGGGAGTAAGATGAATTTTATTTGAATCTTTAAGTTTCTTTTTATCACTAAGAAATGTGGCTTTTCAGAACTATGAAAACGTTTTTCTTCCAAGGGTTCTTGAAATGATTTCGGATATTTTAGAAATTGAAAGGGTAACTGTTTTCCTATATGATGAAGAGTCAAATCAGTTTTACTGCAAAGCAATTAATACTGAAATATCTGAACAAATTGTTGTAAATAAGGATTTTGGCCATTTTTCATATTCATGTGAAAAACCGTTTTATATGAATGAAGCTGCAGATGATTTTCGGTTTGATTGAAAATATGAGAAAATATGTAGAACAAGCGTCAATAATGTGCTATGCTATCCTTTAAAAGTGGGAGACCAGCTAATTGGAATTTTAGAGTGCATAAATAAGAGGACAAAATTTTCATCTGAAGATTTACCTATTTTTGAGCAAATTGTAAAGCAACTTTCAATAGGAATGGCTACCTATTTATTGAAAGAATTGTCTAAATTTAAAATAAACTCAGATAGATATATTGAGAGGTCTAAAGATTCCTTAGTTAATCCAGTATTGAATTCTTTGACAAGCTGCTTGAAATATCAGCTGAATTGTGATGGGGTTGCTGTTTATACTTATAATGAAAATAATAAAGAAATATCCAGCACAGTATTGCTAGGTGTAGAGCCTAATTCCGCTAGTGATATAATCGCAAATGAAGCTTTAATATCCCAAAATCCAATCATTATAACTGATGCAGAAAATCATCCAGATCTTAAGTTTGATAGCAATTTCAAATTCAAAGAAGCCTTATGCTATCCAATAAATCAGAAAGGCGCTATTTTATGTCTTAATAAAGCTGGCACTAATAAATTCAAGGAAAACAGCCAAAGGATTTTAATAAATTTTTTGTCTATTTATGAAAATTTAATGACAGCTTCAAGCAATTTGGAAGGGATTTTGCAAGCTTCAGATTTAAATGAAGTTTGCTTTCAAGCCACCAAAGAAGCAATTTTGCATGTCAACTTTGAAGGGCTTATTTTAAAAGCAAATGCCCACGCTGCAGAGTTATTCAACCTTAAGCAGGAAAGGATTGTAGGCACTATAATAAATGAAATATTTGAAAATTCGCATGAGTTGTTGAGCAAAATTGTTGAAATAATAAAAAGTAATGCCTCTAATGCTTTGAAAAGACAAAAAATAGGACTATTTATTGGGAATGAAATGAAATGGATAAACGCGGATTTTACTTTTATACCAATTGATTCAATTTATATTTTTTTGATCCGAGCTTCGAAAAATTAGCTTTATTAATATTTAATAAAAACAATTAATCATCTCTCAAACTTACTTGTAATTTATTAATAAGTTATTTAAACTGATAAAAAACTGTCAAGATTTCAAAAAAAATCTACTCATTTAAATTTTAAAAAACTTAGGTTTAGTATTGCTGATAATTGATAATATTAAATAACATATAAAATAAACTCCTTTTATGAATATTAATTTATCATCTTAATAAACAAATAATTCATTTTAAATCCCAATGAAATGTGCGTAACCGTCTTAAAAGTCAATAAAATTTAATATTTTCACAGAAACTACAATAAAGCTCTTCATAATACCTAGTCATTATTTTGTTTCTTATTATTCATGATAATAAAAATATACATGATGACTTTTTTATTTACTTTAGTTTGCCTATTCAGTACTGTTTCAGCCTTAATATCCTGCTCGCAGCTATACTGAACTTCAGATCCCTCTCCAAATAAAGCCACCAATTTTCAAAGCTCCAAATATCCATTACCTTTTTTCAATCCTAATGACCCATCTTCATTATTCCATTCAATTAAATGCGAAGACATGCATATGCGCAATATTTCAATGACTGAAATGAATGAATTTTTGGGTCCTGAAATTTTAGAAGCTATGCCTGGATGATTGAAAACCCAATGATTAAGTATGTTTGAAAATTCTTCAAATCCTTTTTCTGATATCTTCATCAATGGAAATAAGAAGATTACTAGCTTTAATAATGACCTGAGGAAAAAGCCAAGATCTATCACATATAAGGAAATCACTGAAATTAATGAAAATCTTATATATTCAGAAATTGATCTAGGAAAAGTCAGTATTGAGCATAAAAATGAAAAAACAATAGAATTCGAAAATACATCAAATGAGCCTGTATTTGTTGAATTATTTATAGCCCCTGCAAATATTCATCTGAATTATAAGCACTGCAAAAATGAGTTTTATTACAATGAAGAAGATGAGTTTGAGCATTTGCCCAAATCTTCTGAATGCGAAAAAGACACTGAAATTGAAATAATCAAAACACTTACTAATAGAAAATCGCCAAAACTTAAACGGACTCTAGAAAGTGTTAATTTATATGGGAAACTTTTAAGTGGACTTGGCTTAGGAAACAACGATTTTGATGAAATTCTATTTTCATCAAATTCATATGAAAACAAATCAATGGATTTTCCATTCTATTTGGAAAAGCGTAAAATTTTCATAATACCTCCTCATAGTATAGGTAATATTGGGGCATTAGTTTTCCAGCCAAATCATGCCAAAAAATATTCAGCTTCACTTTTTATTAGAAACGGTTCTAAATTGGTGCAGCACATAAAAATTGTTGCTGAAGGAATTTCTTATAGTCTGAGTATTCTTGACTCTAAATCTGGGCTACTAAATTTTCATATATCAGAAAGTGACAGGCTAGATAATGAGCTAGTTTTTAGAAAGGACTTTACACTTTTAAACTCAGGGCAGGTTCAAGCATCAATTAAAGGTATTTATTTAGATGGGGCTAGCTGTGAGATGCATGGATTTATTCTTTATCCTTGCGGTGAAAGCATAAAAATTGATCCTGGGTTTTCTTATAAGATCAGCTTGCTATATGCGCCAGATTTTCATGAATTTTCAGCTAATTATCATATGGAAATCTATACAGATATTGAAATTATAGAAATTGGCATCAATTTGAATTTTCCAGTCCATATTATTGAAAAATCTGCATATGCCAACTTTAAACTATATACATTAAGAGGGATTGAAATAGTTATATTATTTATTTTTTCAATTACATTGGCTCTTTCACTCACTTTGGGTCGGAATGTATGCAAAACCAAAAATTCTTTTAAATTTACGATGGTATCTTCGAAATTTGAAATAAAAGAGAGTTTTATTTGGATCCCACAAACCTATGAGCCTCCATATTTCCTCCAAAAACAAGAAGCAGAAAAACAGATTGAGCAGGAAATTTCCCAAGAAATTTGTTCTGAGCCACAACAGGTGAAACTAGAAAAGAATAATAAAACCAAAAAATCTAAAAAAAAGCCAAGGAAATTTGCTATTGAAATAAATGATAAGCCATCTAAGCCTCTAGTTCAGGAAAATCAGATATTTGCCAATAACAGTTTTCTTTCTAAAAAAAGAGTAAAGACTGAATTGAGGTGCTCTATAGCATCTGATGAAAATACAGCAGCAAGCTATACAACAGGCACGAATTTGAATAACTCCATAGCTGAAAATGAGGATTCTCCTATGGTGACTTGGCATACTGAGGATGATTTTTCAGAGCTTGCTTTAGATGAAGAAGATTATTTTATAGACACCTATCGTGCTGGGAATGGACTTTTCAGCGGACCTACAGTCTTGAGAAGCTTCATGTTTGAAAATGATCCTCAGGTTTCATTCGATTAAATAAGGATAATTCTTATCTTAAACAGATTCTATAGGATTTTATTGATTTTTTAAATCTCCTTGGCGTTAACATATATAATAAATTTTTATATAGTAAGGATTCTTGCTATTCATTCTATACATAATACTGATGCAGAATTCTTACAAATAAATTTACTAATAATTTAAAAACTAATTATTATAAATAAAATCGCTTTATTTCCCTTTTATTTATTACAAAAATGAAATCAAATTCAAATGCAATCGGCGTAATGAGCCGAATGGAGTGATTCAAAGCAGCAGAGCGGGTTTTTGAGAAATTTTGCACAAATAGGGAAAATCCACTTGAAAAAATCAGTAAACAGAAATTTATTGATGAAATAAAAAAAAGCTCAACAAGTTTTAATTTACAAGACGAGCAATCATATATTTTATTTTCAAAATCAAAATTTCTATCCTTAAATGATATTTTGTCAGAATTTGAAACCTTAAAACAAGACATGCTTTCATGAGACCAAATTCTTGACACTTTAATCAAAATAAGCTCTTTTAAACGAAAAAACAATTTCGAAGAAAACAGACCTCTTCAATTGATTTCGTGCATACGAGATATCAATGGCTTTGATAAAGCTTCAGATACAACAGACACAATTGAGCAATTAAGCAGCATAATAAATTGTACCAATACAAAAGAAACACTACAAGCTGAGGATATTTTCTCTTTAAGAGATTTTCGACCGCCACAAATTGAAAAGAATAAAACATTCTCAACTGATGAAATTCTATTAAGCGGACTGAGCACTTTGAATAAAAAGTCAAAGCATGATGAGCCGACAAAGCAAAACTCAATAAATCTTTCCTTTCAACTAGAGAAATTGACGTTTCCAAATTCATTGATAAATGATGATCTTCTTTATTTAAATCTATCAGGAAACTCAATATCTTTGAAAGGCTTTGAGCTACCTAAATCATTGATTATTCTGAATTTAAGCACAAATGAAATTGAAGAATTTGAGTTGTCTAAGTCTCATCAAAATCTCAAACTCTTAAACTTAGGAAATAACAAAATCCACACTCTTAAAGGACTTTGAAAGGTGAAGAATCTCACAGAGCTATACCTGAGCTGCAATTCGTTAAAAAATGTAAACAGTTTATGCCAAATTGATAAGCTTGCACTACTAGATATATCTAAAAATTCAATAGAGACTCTTGAAAGTATTGCAACTTTATCGATAATGCAAAAACTCACCACGCTCTCTGTTAAAGGTAATCCTATTGAAGCAAGAGAGAAAATCTACGAAGAGATCAAAATTCTGCTACCAAGGCTTACAGTAATAAATCCAGAAGATTTTATTTCCTTTTCAGAATTTTCCAACCTAAAATCGTTCGCTTTCACAATGACTCCAGACAAAAGGCCTCCAATTACAATAAGAATGAAGCAAAACTTGTTAAAACTTCCTCTCCCTACTACAAAAAATAGTGATATTAACGAAAGTCCTTTATCAAATACAATTAGGGCTAATGAAAATTTCGAGTCGCCTTATAGAGATATGACAAAAGAAACCCCAAAATTTTATTTTGAAAATGGGAAAATTCAAGCTGATATTGAAACTGTGAGAGCTCGATGCTCACAAACTCCTGTATCAAAACCCCAAAAATTAAATATTCCTACTAAGAAAAGATCAAACTCTATCGAAAGGAATCAATCGCTTACATCAAGAGTTCCGTTAAAAGAAAAAAAATCGTATAAAACATTTTCCCCAAATACAACTTGTCCAATTAACCTTGTTAAACAAATTAAAGCAAATAATTATGTATAGTCATTTATAACATATAAGATCGATGTCTTGAGGATTTTAATTGCATTTAATATTGAAATAAAAGGAGGATAGATGTACTTGATTTTATATCAGAAGCAGAAAATCGAGTAAAAACAAATTCATCAGACATGGAATCGACCACTTCACTTTCTTCGCAGCGATCAAGAAATTATAGCACCGGATCTGAGAAAAAAACATATGGAAACCCTCAATTAGCTTTAATGATTGGCCCACCAGCAATCATATAAATAAAATAGTGTGGAGAGCCAACCTGTCCTTTTATCACATGTAGTCAGACAAGAGTCTGGGGACCTTGTGGTAGGGAGAGCAGCATTCGGTATGTGCATCCGGCTGGGTTTTACTTGGTCTGCTGGAGCGCAAAGTCGGGCTAGCTAAAGGTTTACCCCGAGAAGGATGGATTTTGGAAGTTTGAAAGGGATAGCCCAGTAAGGCCAGAGGGTGTTTCTCTTAGCCAATCGGGGCATTTTCCCTGCTCGTTATTGGGAGTTTAGCCCTGGGTTATAAGATTCATCCGGGCTGATAGCCTGACCAGAAAATTTCCTTTTCGAATTTTCGGAAAAGGCAGCCTCGTCGACTTACAGCACGATTCCCAGCGTCTCTGACTTCGGGTAGCAAGTGCAGGTTCTTGTCTGTAGGAAGCAACACAAGCCTTATGCTGCTTAATCAGACTGGCGATAAGGGGAAGGTGCGAATCAAGTGACGTCAAAAAGCTTTTTCAAAACTTGCCAGGAGTTTCTCTATAAAGCTTAATAAATGAATAGCCCACCAGCAGTGAGACCATACAATCATAAAAGAAGACCAAAAAAATAATGATAAAAATAATTTACACTGAAAACTTAGGCATCATAAACATTTCATCTGTCATAAAAATATCAGTCCTCGTCGAATCTCGATGTCTTTCTCTTTCAGTCATTGGTTTTTCCATATAATATCTCTTTACTTTACTTCCTACAACAACTGGTTCTTCTTTTCTTGCACTTTCTTTATTCTGTAATTTTCTCGCTGAATAATATTCCATCGGCCTTTTCTTTGGAGATAAGGACCTTTTTGTTTGAAATGACTTAAAAACAATTTTTATTTGCCTCGGCTCTAGTTTTTTCTTTAGCATACTCCCAGCTTGCTCTTTTGAATACCCTCTATTAATGGGGTGATAATTTTCTATAAAGGAGTCAGGAGTTTCTCCAACCTCGACATTCCTTTTGGACCTTGCAGTTTTTGGTCTTGTTCGGTCAGAGTCTAAATCTTTCACAAATGAAGGCAAACGGAAATAAAAATCAGCAGAAATGTTGCAGGAGGAATCTATTGAAAATGTAGGAGAATTGTCTTGGCTATGCTTTGGCGGCTTTGGTTTAATTGGGGAGATCTGTAAAGAATTATGGACTGCGATTTTTTGCATTGATGGGCTTTTTGCTCTGGAAGACCTTAAAACTTTGTTAAGATCTTGACTGAATGAGCGCGTTGTGAGCTTGTTCCAAGGCACTCATGTCTGTTTTGAAGGCTTTAAGAAAGGGTAATAACTTTTTGACATTAATAACTTACTTTAATTAAATTCATAACAATGGAAAACTCAACCAAACACCAAAAAATCGTTTTGGAATACGTAAAATCCTCAAATATCGAATTTCTTGTACAAAATAGTATCAGGACTCTGATTTCAGCTGACACACTTCCTGATAACCCGTTTGGAGCTTTATCCCGACATTTTACCTACTTTGCAGCTAAAGATGACTTGAAACGACTGCAAATAAAAGTCCGCGAATACCAAATGAACCGTCTAGAGCTGCCCCAAAAATTTGGAATCACAAATGTTACTAATGAAGTCGAGCTATGAAGCTTGCCTCATCTTCTGCACTATATAAACCCAAAATCGACCAAAATTCTTATCAAAGTCCTAAAAGAATTCTGCACAGAACAAAAACGAAGCTACGGGGAATATAAGTTACAGTCAAGAATAGCTGTTTTAGGTGGAGAATTATTTAGATCTAGCTTGATCCATGTCCCTGAAATTGCACCGACTCAGCTAGAAATTAGGGCAGAGTGCTTTGTGACTGGGCCTAATTTTGAGCAGTCTTTTGAGCTATTTGCTGAGTTTGTGTATGAGGACGTCATGAGGCTCGGTTCAAATAATTCGCTGAATCTTATAAGAGATTTTTATGTAGAGCAGGATCCACAGACAAATTATGTTAAAAAAGTGACTTTTGAAGAAATAAAAGAAAATAAGCAGCTGTTTATATCGGAATTGAAAAGCGCTATTGTACAGAAGAGAAGGAGCTATATAAGGGTGCTGCTTTTTACACAAGATTTAGCAAGAGTAGGGATCAGAGATATGGTTAGGGCATCGACACCAACTAGGTTTGTGAATTCGTCAGAAGCTGCGGTATCTGATCATTTTCAATACATTACGACCAAAAAATCATACGTAATGCACTACTCTAAGCCAGACTCTCCACTTGTCTATGAAACCACTTCTCATATTCCTATGATTTCGCTATTTCAAGGAGTTTTCCCAAATCCAGATTCAGCACGAAACTATGCTGAAATGTTCTATACCGAGAAAAAGAATCCATATGACACCCCTCACATTCAAAAATACTTAGAATCTAAAAGAGAACAAATAATAAAATACTACAAAAAAGGAAAAATAATCACAATGCTATGAGAAGTATTTTTGCTCGTATTGTGCACGAGTGAGAGCTCCAAAAATGCCGCCTTAATCGAAGAGCTTTTACAAATATTTGCACATAACAGCTCAAAACTATACAGGATGCAGAAACTTAATTTTGCACTGAAAATATTGATTAATGCATATTATGACACCAATTTCAGCCATTTTCAAAAGCTAGCTGAAGGGCTTTTTGTAGGGTTTAAGGAAGGAATGCTTGATATTTTTGGAGACTGTTCAAGTGCTGAGATGCTTTTATTAAGAGAATTAACCAAAAACATGCTAAATTTTATATCAGTCAATAAGTCAAGGACTTTAGATTTTCATTCTTATACGTTGATTATATTAGACAGGCTTGAATATATCTGTCGAAGTCTTGCTCAAAACACTACAGAAATGCTTCTAAGACAAAGTCCAGCAGTAAATGAACTATTATCAAGACTCCTTTCAGCTTATAACGTTCAGCAATATCTTTCTCATAGTGAGCTATTAGAAGGAAAACTTACAGAGCAGGTTTTTGACTTAAAAGAAGAAGTGAAAAAGCAGAAAACTAAGAAAAACATGGAGTATCAAGTTATATGTGAGTATATCGCTAAGACAGGAGTTATGGAAACACTTATCCTTACTACAAGAGATATATTGCTGAGCTACCCTTTACTGCCAAACCCCTTGAAAATTTTTGCAATGAAGTTAATGTGCGAAATATTCAAATACGATATGTTTAATGCTGACCAAAATGATATTTTAGACAACAATTGCAGAGTCCCCAATATTGTCCAGGGACAAATGTATCAAAGTGACCCAACTGGAGAAAATTATAAAAACTCTCAGCTTCCTTATATAATTGGCTTTGAAGAGGTTTTATTCGTGTCGAATGCTGATGAAATAGGATTTTTTAAACTTATTTTATACCCATATGAAGTTTTGCATTTATCGGCTAATGAATCATTGCCTGAAGGATATAACTTGAGAATAGTATCCAGTATTTGTGGGCAAAGCGTGATGAATTCATTAGCATTCAGAAAGCAGGCCACGCTCTGACATGTCAGCTATGGATTTTATATGAATGGGCCTTCATTTAATGCAGGCACACATTCATTTTTAGATCTTCTCATAAGATACGCACTTTGGCTTGATTTCAGCACCGATGCCTTTGTAAGTGGATTTTATACCTCCCACTCAGACGAGCCTCTTGCTTCCTTTCAGGACCTAATATCCCCAAGTGACCGTGAAAATTCGCTTGGTCTTTTGCTTTCAGCTTACCAAATGAATACACCAGTATGGCTGAGATATATAATTCCCTATAAAGGCGACAAAGACCTAGATGTGGAGGCTCATTTTATTGCAGTCCACGTCTATTTTAACTTGCATTTCGCTACAGGAATGGGGAGTATTCGGACCACTCTAACTCCTTTACAAAACCTTGAAGATATTGTCAAAGTATTTTTTAGCCAAGAAGATTTCGAGTTGTGATTAGAAGTGGGGCCGACTGATGTGTCTTCAAGCCAAGTTATTGATAAGTTTTTTGATAGGGTAAATCATAGCTATGATGTAGGACAGTATTTTAGAGGCTATTTGTATACACTTTTTATAAAGGTTTTTGAAAGAGATGAAGAAAAATATTAATATTGGCATTAATTATAGATTAGGACTCTTCCTACTTTTATGTTTCACCTGTGACAGGTCTTCGTAGAAGACTCGTTCAGCTGCTAGCGAACCTCCCTAGTATTTCAGCATTTCCACAGAAATAGCTCTCCTCCGGCATTCGGCCGGTTCTTAATTCTGTCTCGGAACCTTGGAATATGCTGGCTTGGGGCTTGACGGTTGCTGCTTGAGTGACTAGAGTCTAGCTATAAATAAACTTTCTAGTTAGTATCGGTACCAAATTAGCTTCGTCGTCGGCACTAGCAGTTACTAGGGTAAAAGTCTTTTTTTTCCCAAATGTCTATCGGGAAGACACAAGTCTTATTGCTGGAGAAGGAGGCAAAATCCAATATGAACTAAAATATCCAGTACCCATGGCTCCGTTTCCTGCTCAGTTTTGGCTCAGACCGAAAGGTCTCCAAACTTGAAACAGGGTCCGAGAGAGGACGGGTCGGTGATGTTGCCATTTTATTTGTGAAGAGATGAAGAAGAAACAATAAAATTATTGAGAATGAAAGAAACACCACTGGTTGTGATGTTGGAAGCGACTGAAATATGCGCAGCTATGCTTGATATTGCGAGCTTGGGCTTAAAAAATCACAGAAAATTTAACTTAGAGTACTCAGTTTTTGCGCTGGAGCAGCTTAAAAACTTCTGTGAAAGGTGCATTTATATGGAGAGAAACATATTTCTTGAGAGCCTTCAGCCAAGTATTATTAGAGTGCTCCAAATTACAGAAAATCTGCTCAAAGAGCACGGGACAAATAAATTAGAAAGAGTTGTATCAAATTTACTATGGGCAAGAGACGCTCTAAAAGTCCAAAATAAACTTGCCACTTTAGCACTTTATGAAGTATTAAAGGACAATCCTGAGTTTGCCGGGTAGTTAATTAATATTATAATTAATTGTAGATCAGACAAAAATGGGCGATTTCTTCCAAAGTCTATCTAAAAAGGAAATAAAGATCCAAAAACCTACAGGAAAAAAAGCTGAAGATAGTGGAACTGATGGCAATATTAACATTTATAAGAGTGCTGCAAGGTCGATCATAAAAATACTGTATAGCCAATTCACCATATGGATTGCATCATTGAAGATGTGAACGTACTATTGGAAATCATATCTTGTACATCTTAGACTAGAGACTTCACAGTTTAGAAAAATATTCAGATTATAAATAAATATTACTAGTCTAAACTAATTAATATGATTTTATATGCGTTATTTTTAAATAATTATAAAAATAAAAATAATTTTCAAGAATTCATTTGAAATTATTAGAATTTGCATATAAACTTTATCGAAATTTTTCATAGGAGCTTCCCTCTAATTTTTAAATATGAATTTGTTTTAGGCTATTTTTTTAAAAAATTAAGCTCATTTTAAAATTGGTTTTACTTATCAAACATTTTTAAATATAGAATTTTCCCATAGATGGCACTGTTTGCCCTTGATTTGCCCACTGAAATTTTTTTTTGGTTTGACCAAACCATATGGCACTGGTCGAACCAAAAAATTTTTTCAGTGGGCAAATCAATGGCAAACTGCGCCATTTAAGGGAAATTTCTATATCTACTTTCAGATTATCCAAATTTGGGCCAAGCCATTTCGCAGCAAAATTCCACTTTTCAGGAAGTTTGAATAAAGAGTTGTTTATTGCAAAATATTCCATTGTTTTTTTTAACGATCTTCATCTAAACATTAAAATTATTTTTATAATTATTTCAAAAATATATATAAAATTGGATTAAGCCAGGTTAAAATTAATGATGTTTTATTTAAAGCGCGAGTATTACTCTAAATAGTAAGATTTGAGTTAAGATGTGCAAGATATGAAGTCTATTAGAAAGGTTACATTTTTAATGATGACGATCTATATCAATGCATGAGTTATAAGAATAATTCAGATTATCTGATAGCCAGATAATTGATAAGATCTCTAAGGCGAAGTTCGACGAAAGTGAGCTAGGAAGCCGGCTGAAAGTAATTTCTATGCAGAAAATGTCCAGAAATTCTATGAGTGCAGAAGACTTCTATAGTCAATTCATGGAGACTGAAGCAGATGAAGCTTACCAAAAACTTGCAGCTGAGCTTAGAGGGATTCTACCAAGCACTTTTGTATCAATTTCAGAGAAGCAAGTTGAGGGCAATCCTAGCATTAAAAGTTTTTCCAACCCATCACAGGATATAGCTGTGTACAGGTTTCTTGACATGAAGAACTTTAAAAATCCACAAAATCTATGGAGGTTCATTACATCCTCAGTTGACACCAAAAAACTAAGAGGGCTTACAGTAAAGAAAGGAAACCTAAGCTTTTCTCTTATAAGAGATAAAAATGCCTGGCTTTTGTATAAAATATATGATGTAAGCGAATATCCAACTTGGGAAAAAGCAATTATGGGTTGCTCTGAATTGGAAATGCTGCCAGAAATATTGATATATGTAGAGTAATATTTATAAAGGTCTCAAGAAGCAGTTGACGAGTTTAAAATTACAAAAGATATTAATGACAAGATCAAACACTTAAAAAGATTAGCAGGGCAGCATGAATTTGTCATTCCAAGCACTATCAAAAGCAATGTGATTGATAAGATAAAACCATTGCTAAAGATAAAAGCAAGTAATGAAGCGAGGGTCCCATATGTCCAGGCTAAGCCTATAAACCTCTATCTACAGAAAGGCAGTATTGATGACTTGCCTGACTTAGAAGAGAGTCGAAAGAAAAAAACAGCTGATAGTAGTTTAGCAGAGACCAAACCCCAAGCTGAGTCTTTGCTTTCCTTTTTAACTTCTAATAAACCACCTCCTCCAATTGTACCATCAAATCCTAGCAAGAACCTTCCTTCTCTATTTTCATCATCTACTTCTAGTAAAAATCCTCCTTCAATACTTCCTCCAACTCCCCAAAATCCTCAGTCATCAATCTTCCCATCAGCTAACTTGAATCCTCCTCAAATGTTTCCATCAGCTGGACTAAACACTCCTTCTATCTTCCCATCAACTAGTCCAAATCCTCCTCCAACAAATCCTTCACCTTTCATCAAAGCTTCTCAGCCAAAATTCAACCCTCCTATAGCGCTTCCAATGGAGTCACAAACAGCCCAAATAAGTGAAAATTCTGACTCTATGTTTAATTCTTCTAGCCTTTCTAGGCAAAATGCACCAAAGCAGCCTGCCCCTTCAATTTTAGCTAATCCTACTAATCCTCCTAAAGATTCCTCTCAGATATTCAATCCTCCGACTGTGCATTCAAAGCCTGGCATAAACTCAGACTTGAATGCCCAAAATCATACATTAAAATGGCGATGGCGACCAGCCCTTTTTCTCAACACCTGTAGCCTGCATTCGCAGGGGACCTTGTGGAAGGGGAAAAGGCGCTCGAAATGTGTATCCGGCTAGGTTTTACCTTGGCACAGTGGAGCGCAACGTCGGATTAGGCCGACTGCAGTTCATTCTGACACCAAGGGTTTTGCCTCAGGGGAGATGGATTCCAGGGTTGGAAAGGGAAGCTCAGCAGCATCAGGAAGGTACCTCCTGATCATTCGGGCAACTCCCTAGCGTGAAACTGGGGTTACGTCCCAGGCTTTGGATTTCCATCTTGGTCGACAGTCCTACCAGAAAATTTGTTTTTCAAATTTTCGGAATGGGCAACCTCTGTTGACGTACTGCTAGGTGGCGTAACTCATCCAACTACGGGTAGCGAGTGCACATCCTCGTCCAGTAGGAGCAAGACCTTGAAGGTCGTGATCGATTGGTGGTGAGTAACCGGGTGAAGCGTGAAGGGTGGAGGTAGGGCAGGGGAAACCCGCGCCAATACGGCGAGCCTCTCATAATACTAATTAATGTTAATCTTAATGAATGCCCAAAAATCTTCGTCTGAGCAACCCATGCCTCAAAGTTATCCGAGGTTTTCTTTAGCACCTGAGCAAGCGTCAAAAAGCTCACCTAGTCTATCAAGTGATAGCGGAAAAGCAGTGCAAACACCAATTAATCAGCCAGCTCCTCAAACTAAAACTGAACTTAGACCCCCACCCCTGCCTCAAACTCTTTTATCAATGAAGCAAAGTCAAATTTCATCAGTTCCCACAAATCCTGCAGATATTTTATTTATAAAGCCTACTCCCAATGATCATGTGACTATTCCGATAAAAGGAGAAAAAATAGCAGCTAACTCGCTCACGGAGAGGGTTAGTTTTAGTTTTTTTTTTAAAAAAAACTACATGAGGCTTTTCATGGGAAAACTCATATATAAATTTTATAGTAAATTTTTTCAAAAATTTAAAAAAAAAATTGGAAATCAAATATTAATTTAATTTATTTTTAAAATGCAAGCTGTTTAAAATCAAACAAAATTAGTTAGAGATTTCACTAAAATAATTATCACTTATATATCAATTGTTTTGAAACAATGATTTTGTTTAATCACAGAGGGAGGATAAGATTAATTCAAAGAGTGTTATATCTGAAAGTGATAGCGATAGTGGCAGTGACAGTGATAGTGATAGTTCTGGGTCTGAAGTAGAATGTGAAATTGGCAACATATCTTCAGCCTCCCCAGCTATCAAAACTATTCCTATAAAAGTTGATCCTTTGAACTCAAACCCAATAGAAGCCCAGTCTAGGCCAGTATCCCAAATCGTGAATATGAAAGTGCCAAACCCTCCAAAGCAGCTTCCAACTATCCCAATCCATGCTGAATATCTAAATAGTGATGATATTAATAGAATTAATCGAATCTCTATAATAAAAATTATATCCCAAAAATGCCAGAGGTCTCAGCCCCTCCTCCTTCTCAGAGTCCTGGCTTACAGTCAAACTTATTTAGAAGTGAAGAAAACAGAAAGTCGCTTCCATTACCATCGCCACCACCAATGCTCCCTAAAGTTCCTCTCCCTAGAGTCCCAATAACTCTCCCACCAGCCCCTGCAGGCAAGCCTGAAACTTCAAAAACAATTCTAAAATCAAACCATGATCCCAACAAGTTTTGGGTATGCGAGTCTTGCACTTTGATCAATACTACAGACCGCTATTCTTGTGATGGGTGCAAAAGGGTTAATGATTACCAAAGAACTCGTCTTCTTAATAAATAACATATCTTAATCTCAATTGATTTATAATTTATTTTTCTTGGCCATTTTTCTATAGCATACTAATAAAATCAAAATTAATATTAAACCGCCATAAAATTGCATATAAATCCATATCATTTTATTAATCTTCAACGTTTAATTTAAAGATGTTAGAAGATGACCTTATTGGAGCAATTAAGATAAAGGACGGCCTTTTCATTGGTGATGAATATTCATCCCAAGATTTAGAGTTTGTAGTTTCTAGTAAAGTTACTCATATCATAAATTGTGCTGCAACTCAACTCCCTAATCATTGGGAACCCATTGGAATCTCATATTTGTCATTTCCATGACAAGATTTGGATTCACAGATAATTTTTGACGCAAATTCGACCAGTTTTGACGAGTGCTATGATTTTATTGAAGAAGCTGTTGATGCTTGTGAAAGCGTGCTCATTCATTCTGTGCTCGGGAAATCTAGATGTATCTGTGTAGTGGCTGGTTACATTATGAAAAAATACCGTTGGACCCTGGTAAAGACGCTTGAGTTCTTAAACTCACGAAGACCGAACTTAGAATTGAGGCAAAATTTTGTGAATCAATTAGTAGCTTTAGAACATAGATTAACTCGACAAGGATTTGGCCCGAAATCCTCGACCTGAAATGAGTTAGGAGAAGATGCATATATTGACTCTGAAGAATTATTGTTAAGAAACACCTATATAAATGCACAAGTAGGGCCATTTATTGATTATAAAACTCAAAAGACTGAAGAAAAACAATTTTTGATAAATTGGAGTGACTGTAACACCAACAATAAAAGCATGCTGGAAGATATTGCACATCCTTCTAGTAAAAATCCAATTGAAAATGGATACGCTATACTGAAATCATGCATTAAAGGAAGCCAAAATGAATGCAGAGCACTTGTGCAAGGGATTAAAAGAGCCAAAAAACCAGAAACAGCTCCTTTGAAAATAAAAAATCTAGATGATTTAGGGAGCATGCTGGAAGATGTGAGCAACACGAAAATGAGGAGATCTGCTTGTGCTGTAAAAAGAGATAACTCTCCTAGCAATTCTAAAGGAAGAGCTCAAAGTGCAAGAGCAAAAGAAGAAGTTGAGAATAAACCAATTAAAAAACAAGCAAATTTAGTGTTTGAAGGTGTAGGAAATATTAAGCTGCAGCTTAAAAATGAAGGAGTTAATGAAAATTTGGAAGCGAAAATGCAAGCTAAAGGCAGAAGGCCAGTAACATCACAGCTGAGACCTCCATCGCCTATTGTGAGGAATGGGAATAAAATAGATTTGAGACAGTCAAACTCTGGAAGTCTGCCGAAGAGACCAAAACCTATTTGGAAATAGTCATTATTAACACAATAATAAATTGAAATATTAAATAATTTATCAAATATAATGAACAGCCGATTGCTTTAAAAGAATTCAATTTTCATATATGCATGCAAAGCTGATTTCCTCAAATTAATTTTGCGTCTATGGTGTGAGAGAAAACTCTTAATCTTAATTGCAGGTGACTTCCGCCTATCGGTAGCACAGTTCTCAAAGAACCCCTCAAGGGTTCATCCGCTTGAGATGCCTTCGGACAAGTTGGGTCGGCTGAGATGAATCCCACAGCAAGAAAAGGATTGACACCATCTTGCTCCTCCTTCGACCCATGGGATATCCAAAGTGTTCAGTTTTTTCTGCGCCTATTTTCGGCTCCAGCATTGAATAGGCGGTCTATGGACTTCTGCGGCTGCTTCTTGAGTTGGACGAAGGCTGCCTATATAAAAATCCCAAAAAAATTTGAATTTTGGTTGGCTTTCGGCAAAGGGAAAAGCTAGAAGCCCGAAACGTAAATCTCGGTTTAAACGCTAGGGATTTGCCTGATTTGTCTAGTTATTGACTGTAGACCGGGCTCCCCCTTTCCAACTCTGATCCTTCCCTTTCGTTTGAGGTAAAATCCAATCCTGAAAGCAGGCTAAGTCTAAACTCCACACACAACTGCAATTGCTTATAGGCATATCCCTTCCTTAGATAGCCCTATATGGGCTAGGGATAGAGGCCAAAACTTCCCACTTGGTTCGACCAATCCATTTTGGCTGAACCAATTGGGAAGTTTTGGCCTCTATCCCTAGCCTTGATAGGGCTATTCACGGGATATGCCTATACCTAGCATAGCTGCCCATTTCTGAGCTGGAAATCTTTCCGGATATATAATTAAATATGATCGAGGCTGCATGGCCTGGAGACGATATCCAGGACGAGACTCCATATTTAATTATCGTGAGAGAAAACTCAGCTACCTATTGCAATTAATTTTAGCTCTGTTTTACAACAATTAGCCATATTGAAATCAATATTGTTTAAAAAATTTCAAGAAAATTCGATAATAAAATCTAAAATGAGCGACTCTAGTTTTCTCATAATTCTGGTCAAGCCGAATTGTCAGCTCATTTATACCTTAAACGTGTATTTCTGTTGACAATAATTAAAACCCAATCCCTAAGCATATTTCAAAGCTTTCTTCACGCTATTCATATGTTTCTCACAGAAATTTCATGAGGTTTTATCATTCATTCAAAACCCAAACATATTAGAAAAAATTATAAGTTAAGAGAGACATCCTTAATATATTCCCTTCTTTCAAAATAATTAAGTTAAATCATAATTTTCAGGATTTAATTGAATTTCTGCCATTTATATAAATGTCATCGTATTATAGGTATCTCAATCGCTATGCGCCATCCTTCCTCAGGCAATACCAGACCCAGACCTATATCAACCTCCAAAGGAGCACTCAATATCACCAAATTGTCCAAATGAACGCTACCTCTTCATTGACAGCTGATGAAGACCTCACCCTCAAATATAAAGCTCCATACAACATCGCGAATTTACTTGGAGGCATAGCTCTTATCTTTTGGTTTATTTTCCATATCGATACTTACTGCTTAGGCACTATCAAGCATCGTCTACGTTCATACCATAACTATAAGATGTGGAACCGTCTTGAAGCGGCTTTCCTATTTTTCCTCACTCCCCCCCCCCCCCTCCGTGAGCGAACAAAAAAATTTTGTTCGCTCACGGAGGGGGGTTAATTTTTTTTTTAAAAAAAATTTATATATAAAAATTTATAAAAAAATTTTTTTTCGAAATTTAAAAAAAATCCTAATTTGCAAAAATTGGGAAGCAAATATTAATTTAATTTGCAAAATTTATGTTTTAAAACGCAATTTGTTTAAAATTAAACAGAATTAGCTCTAGATTTCATTATACTAATTATCACTTATATATCAAAATTTTTTTCCATTAAAATTTTTTCTATTAAAAAAATTTTGTTCACTCACGGAGGGTGGGTTTTTGGTCAAAAAATGGCGATTTTTCTAATGGTTTTGTTCGCTCACGGAGGGGGGGGGGGAGTCAGGATTTTGTATTTTAAATTAATTCTCTGTGCATGGTTTTTGAGATAAAAAAATTTTCATATTTTTTTTAAAAGCTTAGGCAAATTTTTAGTGCTTGAAGTTATGGTTAGAAAGCATGGAGTGATAGATGCTCAAAAGAGAAGAGAAGAGGCTAAGCAGAAGTTCTTCAAGGCACTCAATATAACTGAAGAGAAATATAACGAGCTTGAGCAGAGAGTGAAAGATGGAGAAGATCCTAAAGAAGTGATCAGGACTGCTGACGTTGATTGGAATCTCAACTATTACCCTTACTTAAAACTCTAAACTTAGAGTATTTAGAAAATTTGTGTTAATTTTTTATCCTTCTTATTATAAACTTTCATGATTTGTATGCATAATACTTGCTAATTAGATATTTTAGCAAGAGCCTAGTAAATTAGTAAAAGAAATTTTCTTGCCAAGAATCAAATGATACTTTGGTGAAGAAATAAGCTCTAAAATAAGTTTATAGTAAAGCAAAAGTTAGCATTAGAATTTGAATAAAAAGACTTGCATAATGGAATTATCATAGAAGAATCGATTTTATAAGAATTCTATACTAATAAGTTTTAATCTTCATATAATAATCATAACTTTTTTTATGTAAGAAACTAGTCAAAACAATAAATAAAAATAAAAATAAAAATAATTTCTTATTGAATAAAGAATATTATCCGCAATTCAGTACCCATACTTACCAATCAGCTCCTATTTAATAGGCTTAATGTCCGTTGGTGAATATCTAAATAATCGCTTTAATAAAATCATAGAAAATGGGCCAATTACCCTCAAATCTTCAGCAAGGAACCAAACAAACCCATTCATTAAGGCATCATCTATCGGCACCAATATTAAGGAAAAAATTCTGCAAGATTTTCCGAATAAAAATAAATTCAGATTTAATAGCAATTCCCATCATAGAAGATTCCTTAACATGCGGATGACTGTTTTCTGAAGTTATTCGAAAATACAACAGCGAAGCTCAAATTGTCGCTCTTCGTACAAAAAACAACCTGGAAATTATTGATGCCTGGCTAGGCTCATATGACCGTCCATTATACCCTATAAGTGACGAAGAAGAGCTTTTTGCTGTATTTAAAGAAGAAGTTAAAGGCGAAATCGATTGATCTCACTTCAATCATATCAAATTAATAGGCAAAGGAGGCTTTTCCAAAGTAACTGAAGTAAGAAAAAAAGATACTGGGAAGCTATATGCAATTAAGACTATGAGCAAAGAATTTGTGATAAATGAAGATAAAGTTAGGCAGGTGCTGGCGGAAAGGAATATTATGATAAATTCATCTCATCCCTTTATTATTGAACTCCATTGGGCGTTCCAAACTCCAACTGAACTTAACTTACTCCTCCAGTAATAAGCAAATCCTTTTTTATTAGTCGGGATTTTCAGCAAAATTTCAAATAGTAAATTTTTATATGAATAAATCTAAATCTGCTTATTAATGGAGAGATTTCGGGTGAAAAAAAATGCCAAATTTTGGGAACTTTACCCCAATAATAATAAGAAAATTTCGATCTATTCATTCACAATTTACTATTTGAAATTTGATGCAAAAACCCCTCACAAAAAGCAAGAATTTTCTTATTGCTATGGGAAGTTTAGTTCTTGATTTCTGTCCTGGAGGAGAGCTATTTTATCATCTGCATAAGCTTGGGAGATTTAATGAAAAGCAAGCAAAGTTTTACTTTGCAGAAATCCTGCTGGGACTGGAATATTTGCACGGGAGAAATATTGTATATAGAGACTTAAAGCCAGAAAATATCTTGTTAGATATTGACGGACACATCAAAATCACTGATTTTGGAATTTCTAAAGAAAATGTTTCTCTAAGAGAAAGAACATATAGCTATTGTGGATCCCCAGAATATATGTGTCCTGAGATGCTTAACAAAACAGGGCATAGCCACGGTGTAGATTTTTACAGCTTAGGGTCATTTTTATATGAAATGCTTACTGGACTCCCACCATTTTATGATCCTGACAAACAGAAAATGCATTGGAATATTCAAAATGAAAATCCTCATATTCCAAATTATATAAGTCATAAGGCAAAAGATTTGCTTCTTAAATTGCTAGATAAAAATTCCGAAAGGAGATTAGGATGCAAAAGAGGGACTGAAGAAGTAAAATCCCATCCTTGATGCAATGATATTGAATGGGCTAGTTTACTGCAAAAAAAAATTTCACCACCTTTGGTGCCTAGCTTAAATTCATCAAATTTTGACCTTTCTTATATAAATTTAAATCCAGATGCTGCTAAAAGTATACTTAAAAAACGGCATACTGGTATTGATGTTGATCCATTTAGAGGGTTTGACCATTCTAAAGAAAATCAGCCGAAGAGTAATGTTCAAGATTTGTCTTGTTTATCTACAAATTCAAGTGGAATAATAAAGAAAAGCAAAAATAAGGAAAATTTATAAAATATTTCAGAAGTAATATTCTATTAGTCTTATGATATATCTATATTTTATAAAAATAAGCATTAAATTTTTATATTCATGAGTAAGCTGTCTCGATGATTCATAAATGCAACTGACGATTTTTTGCTAGCTAAACTTGAAAATTTTGAATCAAGAGCCATAGCAAAACCAAAAAGTTATTTTTCTTTTACAGAGGCATATGAAGATTCAGCCAATGAATTTTCAACGCCGAACTCTCATTCGAAGCTGGATAATATAAGATCAGGAAGTGCTTCTCCATACCAAAAGTTAATTTCTGTCAAAGTTCAGCCAAAAAAACTCAAAAGGTCTAAAACACCTATAAATACAGATGAAGGGATAACACTCACTCTACCTCTATTTAATAAACAGTCAGACCTATAGTTTTTATAATAAAAATTTTTAGAACCTTTTAATAAAAAACAACATTTACGCTAATTTTTTTAATTTTTTATGTTCTTTTGGAATAAATTAGTTAATTTTATAATTGTAATGATTTAATGCTGATGAATAAAATATTTTTGATATCAGTCAGTTTAAAACCTATAAAATTCTTATATCTAAAAACAAAATTAATAAATTTTTTAAAATAATAAAAAGCTACAATTGTTTAAGTTATACCCATCAATAATGGCAAAGGAGAGTTCGCTATTAAATCGAGGAGAGTAAGTAAAGAAAATCCAAAAGCGAAGAGCGAGATTGCAAGAAAAGACAAAAAAAAAATGTCAAAAACATGTAAGTAATTTTATATAATTTATTCTTTTTAAGTTAATTTTGTGATTATGGCATGTTATGCCATAGCTCATGCACCTTAATAGATCGATATGACCAAGTAGCATAACAAACTAGAAAAATTATTGTTCAAAGCACTTGTCTAAAACCTATAAGTCTGATTAGGCATCTTAAAATCATAGAAGCAGATTTTTTATTCTCGTTTGTACTTTTCAAGTACAATTTTATTTTAAAAGTTAAAATAGGGTCAATAATAGTTATTAAAAATTCAGGAAAAATATGTTTTTTGTCTTTTAATAATGATTTTCATTTATTTAAATTTTTATTAAATAATTTTAATTCTTATACCCTACTTTACTTACTGCCAATGCTAGAATTGACTCATTGTTCAAAATTGCTAATAAATCATATAATAAGTTTTGATTACCTTTACTTGTTTTTAAATAGTTACCCATATATATAAACCGAAATATTAGCTATCATGCTAACTCCTCTATTATTAATTGGAATAAAAATCTTGCTTCAATTAAAAAGGGTTATTTTTTTCCTAAAAATAATATGAAATTTCCAATTGTTAAAATAGCATGCTGCTGATATTAAATAGGCTAAAGCTTTTTATATAAAAGCTAGCAGTCTTTAATTCACAAAAACTTTTTGCTACCAAAAAACTTGAAGGAAGAATAAGCTAATTTATTCATGGCAAAATTTAAAATTCGTTGTGTATTTATTTCACTTGATAATATGTGGTTAATACAATAAATCTTAATGAGCTCGTTTATAATAAATGTCAACTGAAGAAGGAAAAATTTCTCAATCATTTGAGCTGAAAGTTTACCATAAAACTTGCAGCTTTAATGCAGCTCATATTTTGGCTGGCCAGTCATGGCAAGAAGATCTTCATGGGCACGGCTATACTATTGCAGTAATGATAAAATCAAAAGTAATTGGTGCTGATGGGTTTGTTGTAGATTTCAGTGTTATAAAAGCTGCATTAAAGCAATTGTGTCAAACTTTAAACAATAAGGTCCTTGTAGCTTCAAAATCTACAAGTCTGCAGGTCGTAGACCTAGAAGATCATATCAGAATCCTGGCTCCTAGAAACACCTTTTATGAATTTCCTAACTCCTCTACCCTTGGGGCAAGCTAAAAAAACTTACTCATTAGTTTATTTTTTAATAAAACTGTATGCTTAGATTTTGACAATTTTAGACTTGTAGATATCAAATGAAAATCTAATTTAATTTATAAATTAACGACTTAGAATGCAAGAGTTTAAAATTTTATTTCGTAAGTATTTTTCTAAAACCGATCGGCCAGCTTAATTATGCAAAATTCTCAATGACTATAAAAGAATTAGCTGAAGTTCTCAATATAATAATAAATTATCAAAATAAGATTATATAAATTATTTTTTTTTACTCGCTTACGAAGAATCTTAATTTTGAAAAATATGGATTTTTCTAATAGATTACCCAGTAACCAAGGGGGAAAGTAAAAGAATGTGCGCTTTATTGCCAATCAATAACAGCTCAGCTGAAGAACTTGCAAAATATATCTCTGAATCTATTTGGGAAGGTTTAGAGTCGTCTATAAAGGATAGAGGAATTATCGAATTCGGGACAGTTGTGTCAGAAACTTACACACAGCAAGACGGAAGTTATACTATGAGGATATCAGAATAGAAACATAGTTAATCTTTATTTTGGCATTAATAAGTTAGAAAAATAATTGATTTTCATTTTCAAGGCAGATATTAACAGTTTTAAGCTTTTCGTAAGATTACCTCTTTGAGATAAACCTTTTAGAAGGATAATAAAGGTTGGGTGCAGGAATATCTGTGTTTGTAACAAAATCAACACGTTTTCCTGATTTCGGCATTACAACTTGAGGAGGCTTTTGCTTGACAACTAAAGGATCTGATTTGTAGGCAGCTGGGCCAGGGGAGTTATTTCGGACTTCTAGTTTAAGTTCTCGTTTGGCTTTTCCAAAAGTAGATGGGCCAGTGATGGTATTGAATTCTGAAAAGCTTACAATTTCACTTTCGTTTCTTAATAGAAGGGTATATACAGAGTTTTTTTGGGGGATAGGTGTAGGAGTTTGACTTGAAGAGCCTAAGGATGGAGTTCTTCTTGATAAATTGCTGGGGACTTTCAACTGCACTGTTCTAGCAGGCTCTGGAGTTGATGGAGTTGAAAAATTGGTTGGAGCAGGAGTGTGATCTTTCCAGATTTCTTCTATTAAGCCATTAATTATCATTTGAACACCTTCTTTGAGCTTATCAGAGTAAATACCATCTTCTTTTCGCTCATTTAAATAAATAGTTAGTAACACCTCTTGCAATTGATCTATATATCCTTTCTTTTTCAGCCTCAGCATCACTTCGCTCAGTGCTGAGTATTTGTGAAGTTCATCTTGTTTTTGATATCTACTTTTCATCAAATTTATTAAAATTTAAAATAATTGATTATATTAAATGTCTTAACTTATTTTTAATGTATCAAAAATTTCAGTCAATTTTTGGTTTTCTTCATCACTACATTTGTCAATATATTGCTGTATATTAATCAATTGTTTTTTCATGGCTCCAATTTTCTTTAGAGCTGGGCTTCTTTTTACTCCTAAATATTTCTCTTCTATGCAAATTTGAATATAATGCTTGGTGCCATAATTTCGTCGTCATATTAATAAAGTTTCTCATTCAATTAGCATTTCTATTAGTTCTAAGCTATCAGCTATTACTTTGCCTTCTTGGAATTTATCAAAAGTATTTCCCATAAGGTTAATAATCAATTTAAGCATAATCAATGGATTATAATGGTATAAGCGAATAAATATAGCCAATAATATTTCCCATAATCCGAAGTATCATAGTCTCCGATATTTGCTTCATATGCAAGTGTTAGACTATGAAAATAATAATTATCATCATTTACTGGAACGCTGTACAAAACATATGACGTCAGTGGGAAAATCCTTTATGAATATATCTTCATGTACCAGAAATATAGTTCTAGCACCTAAATTTACAATATCCATGTGGCTAAATCCGTCGAAATCTTATTGTGATCTGTTTTCTAACTCCCCTCTCCGTAAGCGAACAAAAACATATTTGTTTTTTAAAAAAAATTATATGTAAATTTATAATCATCTTTTTTTCAAAATTTAAAAAAAATTCAAATTTGAGAAGTAAAAATTATTTTAATTTGCAAAATTTATGTTTTAAAATGCAAGCCGTTTATTATCAAATAAAATTTCATTAAAAAGAATTGTCGCTAATATATCAATTTTCTTTCATAAAAAATTTTTGTCCACCCACGGAGGGAGTATTTTTACCCAAAAAAACTAGGGATTTTCCAATGATTTTGTTCGCTCACAGAGGGGGAAGTAAGCAATCAATATCACAGACGAGCGACTGAACTTGATAGCATTCCAACCGAATTAGCCGAAATGTGATCAATACTAGTCTTCCTAATTTTGAAAATATGGGCGATGATCAAGTTTCGAAAATTATACTTTAAAATAATTCGAAAATAGAAATTACTATAATTTCAGTTTTATATTATTCTCAATGAAGCAAAAAAAAATAGTTTATATGAGAATCTATCGTTTATTAATTAGCAAAATATTCTTTAGAGCATTTCGATATTTCTTTTTGGCAACTGTTCTTATAGCATTCAACATTCTGTTCTCTTTTACTAAAATGCCCTCTTGCTTTGCTCATGACTTCTGCTTTCCCTCCATGCTCATATTCTCTTTCATTCAAAAACCTGCCTTTTGTATTTTCCAAGTCATTAATCAGTATTTTAACTATTGAATTTTCTGCAACAACTGAAACTTTCAGCTCATCTGCACCTTTTTGGAGCAAATTTCTAGCCCCTTCCATGTTTCCTTTATCCCCAAGCTCTCCGGCTTCTTTTAAGATTTCTGCACTCTTAACTCTATAGAAATTAACCATTACATCTTCATCAATTTCAATGGAATCTATTGCATCATTTTCATTAAAAACAGGAATATTGAGGTAGCATTCTTCTTCAATTTCTTCTCCAGTCCTTATCAGTCTATATTTAATAAATCCTTTTACAGGGCTTATTATATAAGGCTGTGGGAACTGCTGCTGGCAAGAAGGAAAACTCAAAATAAATATGGCTTCTTTTTTATCTCCTGTAAGAACAGGAGGCATTGCAAATGTGGAGTCCCCGTTTTCTGAATAAACTTTTGTGAGTGAAAATGAAACATCTGTAGCCTGAGTTTGCAAACGGACTTGGATTTGATCAGCAACTGCTGACATTAATTCTCCTAAACAGTTTGAAAATGCTTCTGGGATGGACTCGCTCTTTTCAACATAATAAAATCCTCCATTTCTTAATTGGGAAATTGCACTTAATAGCTGAGCATCGTGCCCAGAGCCATATCCAAAAGTATGAATTGAGTAATCTTTTAACGATGAAGAGTCAATACTAGCTTTTCCACGATCTAGTGATGTATCTTTTTGTTTATCACGCCCATCTGAAAGTAAAACGATTGAAGATATTTTATTAACAATCTTTCGATCTTCTACCTCCTACCTTTAAGAGTGAGGAATTTTTTTAAAAAAATTATAATTAAATATTTAAATTTATGTTGAGAATGCCGTTTAAAATAAAATATATATGAAACTATTTCATAACAAAAAAAAGTTAAAAAATTTTGTTGTGTTCTTAAATACAGTCAAATTCCAAAATAGGCATTTTTCCTAGTTTTGGTTTCTCTTAAATAGGATATTAACGTTTTAATTCCATGGTGCAAGCCTCCGGTAATATCAGTGCCTCCATTTGCTTCAAGATTTCTTATTTCTTCTATAGTTTGAGCTTTGCCATGTGGAGTCATTCTTATTAAGGGCTGAATCCTAGTAACAATATTATTGAATGCAATCAAGCTAACTCGATCTTTTTCGCAAAGCTGGTTGACCATAAATTCGAGTGTCTTTTTAGTTAATTCAAGTTTTGGTCCCCTCATGCTTCCACTTACATCAATTACACATATAATGTCAACTCCTTGACGAAGAGTTTCTTCAGATATTGAAGTCTCTGAAGCTTGCATTGATAGCTGGCATGGCATTTCTTGGGGTAATGTGCCATTAATTTGCAAATAGCTTAGAGCAGGCTTCATTAATAACTGCAATTTTTGATCATACGGCGTTATATCTGAAATAGTTTTAGTCTCTGATTCTCTGATTTCTATAGCTTCATCATCATTATATAAATCTATTTCAGTCGTTATTGGATAATCAGCTTGCCGATATCTTAGCTTTTCTGGCACTTTTTTGCTTGATGATTTATTTCCCATTATAGCTGATAGGCCAGATCAGAAGATAACTTATTTTTTAATATCATTATTATCATTTATTCTCCAGTCATCAACAGATTTCCCAAGCGTTACTTTACTTTAAATATTTATATTAATTTAAATATTTCGCAATGGTCAGAATCAATATATGAAAGCTCTTCATCAAATGGTATCAGAATATGATAAAAATTATAAATGACAAAATTGCCTATTTTTATACTGCTGTGGATAATTTTGTCATGTATAATTCTCTACTTCAAATCTTCAGATGACGATCTTAATTCAATTGTTACTATGCAAGAGAGAAAAATCGATTTAGGGCCAGTCATGTACTACGATCCGCCAGAAACAACTCAGAAGTCATCTAAAGGTGAAATTGCATATGAAAATATCTTTCAGTTGCTAGATGTAAAAAATCTTATTTGTACTCCTTTTTCATTTGGCTACAGTTGAGAAGAAGCCGAATCATTATTTCCAAGCTATAAGTTTCCGACATGCTCTTCTCTTATAAAAGAACCAAAATGAGATATATCAGAAAGAGCTTTCTCCATGGCATGCAAAAATTATACTGACGCAGCTCTAGTTCAAGGCCCAACTGGAAACGTAAAATACCCGTCATGAAAAGCCCACAAAAGGCTTTGGCAATCTGAACATTTTTCAAAAAAACTGAAATTGAATTCTAATACAGATTTTTTGCTGGCGACATGCGACTATAAAGAAAATTTTGATGTTGCCTGGCATAGGCCAAGCTATGATTATTATATCCATGAGAGGGCAAAGAGTTTATCAAAAGACAATCACTTAAAAAAACCTTTATTTATATTGACGCTAGGTTTGGATAGTTTTTCAAGAAGGCATTTTTTCCAAAAATTGCCTAAAACAGTTGAAGTTTTAAATAATTTTGTCAAAGAATTCAAAATTTTTGATTTCAAACTACACAATATAGCTGGAAAAGCAACTGTTAATAATGTAACACCATTATTCATAGATGATAAAGATGCAAAAAAATTAAAAAAATCAAAAGAAAATGATAAAATGGGAGAAAAAGCTATATGGGTCGACTTTAAAAGGCGAGGATTCATTACTTCAATGCTTACTGATGATTGTGATTATAGAGTTTATAATAATATAGGCCCTGAACCAGACATTGATTTTGTATCACGACAATTTTTCTGTGCAGCCCAAAAGTACACAGACTATGTTACAAATAAAAATAAGAAAATGAAGCAAAGGTGTATTGGCTCTCAAATGTCTCATGTTTATATTTTTCAGTATTTGCAAGATTTATTAAATATGTACTCAGATGTAAATCAATGAAGTTATGTTCATTTAAATGCTGCTCATGAATCCACAGGAAGGCATGCGCAAACTTTAGACCCAGACTTATCTGAATTTTTAACAACGTTTTTACCAAAAGCCACTAACTTACCTCAAGATTTTTTTTTAAATTTTAAAATAATATTTAAATATGCAAGATGTTTTAAATTTAATTGAAAAAGTAGGAGATATCATTATTATATAATAGTTAATTAGATATCAAAATATTGTCTATATAAAGATTTTATATTTACATTGTTATTCTGCCATCCAAGGGGGAGTAAGACGCATGAAGTCATGATAAATTTGCTAGGTGATCATGGCATGAGATATGGAAACTGAAAATACTCACTCCCCCCCTCCGTTAGTGAACAAAAAAATTTTGTTCACTCACGGAGGGGGGTTAATTTTTTTTTTTTTAAAAAAATTTATTTTTTTTCGAAATTTTAAAATTCCTAATTCACAAAAATTGGAAAGCAAATATTAATTTAATTTATAAAATTTATGTTTTAAAAATTCGTTTAAAATTAAACAGAATTAGCTCTAGATTTCGTTATAATAATTATCATTTATATATCAAATTTTTTTTCCATAAAAAAATTTTTCTATTAGAAAAATTTTTGTTCACTCACGGAGGGTGGGCTTTTGGGCAAAAAATAGGGATTTTTCTAATGGTTTTGTTCACTCACGGAGAGGGCAGGGAGTCAGTAGATGGTGACCAAGAAATGAAATTGCCAGTTTTTATAATGATTTCAAGTGATTTTTATATAAATTCAGTACCCAAATCCTATGAAACATTATCAAAAAATACACTAAGATTAGTAACTAAGCAAGATATAAGACAAACTTTATTAGGAATTTTGAATAGAATTTCCTTGACAAGAGACTCTAAAAATAAATACGCGTATGATTTATTTTCTGCAGAAATTCCAACCTCAAGAAATTGTGACACTTTTGCAAATATTCCAGCTCAACTATGCTCATGCCAAAGCTATAGAGAAATTAAGCCAGAATTTTGGAAAATGAAATATTTAAAGGTGTTTGTGCATGATTTAATCCAAATAGCATGTGACAAGATGAATGAAGTATCTCATACTCCTGATCAAGTCTCTTCTAATTTGTGTAAAAAAATAATTCCAAATGAAATTGCAGGAGTGTTTCACGATCCCCAATGATCGTATTTAGACTTAAAAATTGAGTTCACAGCGAAGTATTCTCCTGCAAGATTTTTGGTTGAGTATCACGTGCATGAAGATGATAAAACTCACCATGGCATTCCAATTATTTATGATCATCAAAGATTGCTTGTACAAATCATTTGCTATGCTGTTAAATAACATTAATCTTTTTAATTTCTATTCCCTAAATCTCTGCTTGGACTGAAAGCTCCGAGTAACGGTAACAGGAATCAACCTAACCGTTAGACCTGCTCATGTCCCCAAGCCTCCTAGGACTTCTCTATCTACGCCAGACTCAATATAGATTCAAGAAATCTAGGATTTCTCTCACTAAGCTCAGTTGCAGGACTGCGTTTCTACTCCTAAGTGCCATTTTAAATTGTGCACAAATTATGAATATAGATAGATTAGATGAATATGGAGGGATTTGTGAAGAAAAAAGTAATGAGTTAGGACTGAATCCAGAGTATTGTATTTGTGAATATGATAACGCTTAATTATAGTTTATACTTTCAATTCTGTTGTCTCATAAAATTGCTAATAGAATAATAATGACTTAAGATGCATAACAAAAAATAAGTAATCTTTATTGATTTTTTAATCAACTTGCTATTCTCAAATATCCAGACTAAATATTCATTGGTATTTTTAATACATTGTCTTATATCATCCTTAATCTAATTTCGCTAACTCAATACTCAATTAGATAACTATTTTATAATTAATGGCATTAAAAATTATCCACTCCTAATATTTTTTATCAGCAACTGAGCTTCTCATAATTTATCATAATTAATGTCTCTTATAAAAGCATCAGATATAACTGAGCCATTATGTGCTGATCAAGCTGAATCTTCAACTGGTCAAGAAGAGATTAAAAACCCTCGAGTGTCATTTTGACAGAGGATTTTTCCAATATTATTCTCTTCTTCTAGAAATGCCGAAATAAGTCTTCTAAGCTCAGGCTCAATAGGCGCAGGTTTTTTTTGCCTAGACTTTTTGTTCAGAGAATGCGGACTAATACTTGGTTCTATTATTTTCACAGCAACTGGGCTTACATTCGTGTTTTTTCAAAAAGTTATTTTATGGGGAATGAAGTCTACTCATGACGTAGATTTAATGAAAATGATTTATCATCTTTATGGAAAACGAACCAGAAGAGCTATGAAAATTTGCTTGGGATTGAGCATATTTGGACTATTATTTCTTAACTCATCTTAATTAGCTATATTTGTCTTAGTTTAATGCCATATTACATATCACCTGGACGAGCTTTCCGCTCCTGCTTCGGGATTCACCGCCAACGATATGTCATCCACCACTTGGCCTTAATCTGGAATGGACCCTTAGCTTTGGTGTTCGGATTTTGACGGCTGTCCTTCCAGCTTTGAGGCAAACCAACCTGCGTCCATCAGGCACACTAAAGGTCTCAGTCTCCATCGTCTGGGGTTTGTGGCACACTGCCAGAAAAAAATTCGACTCCTGAAGGGATGGTCTTCTAAGGGTGCGCTCTCTTTCTTCTAAGGGTGCGCGCTCTTGCGCATAATACACGATCATTGCTGAATAAATTCTCTGGGTGAAGCCAGACTTCATAATTAAAATCAGCCAAAGCAGAATTTCTGTTCGGAAAAGCAGAATTTCTGATCGGAAGAGCAGAATATTCTAGTATCGCCATATTTTGATCATGGAATATTATGTTCAAATCAAGCATTTGCAGCTGGATTTTTCAAAGAAGTTTTTTACACCCTGACTCTTCCCAATTATAGCTCATAAAAATGTTATAAAAATGCTGTATGCTAATTAGCTTTTTATAAGGCAAATATATGGTTATTGTTTAAATTTTCAAAAATTAATTTATTATCCTTTAATCTTCTAGATTTCAAAATACATATTCACCTGAAATACTTTAAGGCACTTTTATAATAATTAAATATCTTAAAAACAAATGAAAATGGTCATCCCAGTAATAAAGAATAAAAGATTCATATCGAATTGGGAATGTAAGTGATTATAAGATCACAAACGACTACTACAATTTTTTTTTGAGTTTTAGTTTTATTACAATTATTTTGCTGTTAGGGATATTCAATCAACAAATAATCATAAAGTATTTTTCAGTTCTTTGCTGGACTTCGCTATTTTATTTAACAGCAATCATATTGGTGCAAGTTCCATTTTATATCGAAGGGATAATCGATATACTGACAGAATCAAAGCCTATAACAGTTCCTTCATATGACGCCTATTTCATAAGGAATAATTTTTTGGCCTAGTTTTTTTTAGGCCAAAAAACTAACATAAAAAAATACGCTAAAAAAAAGGCCAAAAAATAGTTGTTATAAAATAGTTGTCGTGTGAAGACGTGGCCTATAACAATTAATGCAGGATTTGCTGATAGTGCTGCAGTAGTTGTATATGCTTTTCATACTTTATTCACAATTCCTATGGCCTATGAAGGCTTTAAAAAAAGTTCTTACAAAGAAATAAAGACTATGAAATACACCCAGTTTGGGTTCAGCTGTCTATTATTTTCTATTTTATTTTTATTTTACTACTATAAAAGCATTGCAGAGGATCTCAGCATTGAGGCAAGTTGGCTTCTGACTGTTGCAAAGATGCTCTTTATTGCTATTTAAACAGTAATATACATTAAATCTTAAACATGTAGCATATACCAAGTCTAGTGGGGATCAGAGACCTCGAGGAGGAATGATGGTGTTTAGGAATATATATCTGATAGGTTTCTGCTGGATTTTTTAAAAGCTCAATGCAGGAGAAGCCGACTGAAAGCTTTTCTCCAAATCCAAGTTTTTGCCTCAGAGAGGATGAGCGGAAAGTGAAAGGGAGCTTCATCAATCGTTGCTGACTCGAGGCATAGCTGCATAACTCATTAGCTAATGGGTAGCGAGTGCAAATCCTCGACCAAAAGGTCAGCAGATGCAGTTCATGCAAGGTAATACACGAGCCAGCAAGCAACGGAAAGCGTAGGAATGAAAAAAGTTCTTGGAAAATTAAAAATGGGCTTTCCAATAAGTTTAATAAGATAAGATAAGATATTTTAACAGTGAATACAGTGATTAATCTGCATCAATTTGTCATAATGATCATCGAAATGCTTCCATGCATAAGTTTTAGCCCCAAAACATATTTTATAGTGAAACTTATGATAAGCATCAACATTGGCATTTTTGCTTATTTTTTCACAATTCCTTTCACATACTACAAAGTAATAGGTGGGACAACAGTGATATTTTTTGACATTATCATACCGACCCTGATCTATTGGAAAGTATCTTGCAACTACCCTGTGGTGATTTCCATATCTCTTTGGAGTGTGCTGCTTATCTTGCTTGGAGTTTCATCAGCAGGTTATGCATTTACAGGTTTATAAATTTATATTTATAACATATTTTTAAATCTGAAATTAATTAGCCATTTTAGCTTTCTTCCTGTCTGCTTTGGTCTGATGGTGGTACCCTTCTTTGATCTGTTGAACGCTTCGAGTGCATTCGCATTTTTCACACTTCATAGTAAACATTCTGATGCTGGAATCTCTGGTAAGAATTGTTTGCATGCTCTTACAATTCTGGCATAGCACATACTCAGTAATGTAGACCAAGCAAATAAGTATAGCACTTAAAAAGTATATTTATTGCATAAAGCCTAACCTAAATTCTATTTTGGGGAGTTATGAACTAAAAAAGGAATCTTTATGAGTAGGAATACTTTTTCAAAAGAAACTCAATTTGTTTTTCAAGGTACCTACCTTTAAATATGAGCTGCAGGTCTTGGGTTATGCTGCCATCAGTGCCAAGTTCCACAAAGAAAAATCGTGACATATGGTCTGAAGGACGCTTAAGCATATCACAAATATCTTGAAAATTCACCCAGCCTGTTTTTTTTGAGCCGATTCTGACTACTTCTGGCTGTTTAACAATACAGCGCTGGTTGTCGGTACTCCCACCACCTCCTTTTGTTTTTCTTAGCCTCTCAAAAATGCGTGTTAGCATTTCATCATATTTGTTGTCAGCATCTTGCGCTTGGTTAATTTCTTTCTTTGCAGGTGTTGGGCCTGCCTTTGGCTTTTTCTTCTTTTTCATCTTACTCGCCCTGCATTAGTGAGTAGAGTTTTTTGCTATGGATAGGAAGGGGGTTAATTTTTTCAAAATATCATATATTAAAAATTTCTTTAAACAATTTCCATTCAAATAATCAGAAGCGAAAATTTAATTTAAGCTAAATATTCTTGCTTAATAAAAGGTTTTAGTTAGATATAGGCTGATTTAGAGAAGTCTATTTCATCTTGATCTTCGTCTGCCATTATATAAGTTAATTAATATACGGTAAAAATTAAGAGAATCACCAAAGAATTGCTTATCTGAAAATATTTATTTTATGAAATAATAATAAAATTTTAACCAAAATTTTATGTATAAATAATTAAATTATGATATACACCATTATGAGGCTCTATTAATTATGGAAGAAGGCAATCTAAATTGCCATGAACTTAGGCTTCAAGAGAAAAAAGCAGAAGAAATGATTGCCAAGCTCTCAGAAGAGAAAAAACAAGTTGCAATTCCTCTTTTAGAAATTCAAAGACAACGAAACACTTTATATCTTAACTATTTGCAAGAGCTTAAAGAGCTTCAAGAAAAATACGAGCAGAGCTATCAACCACTCTACGAGCAGCGTAGAGCACTTCTTAGCTCAGTCCCTGGGTTTTGGTTCAAATCTATAAAAAACAACACAGTAAGCTGCGAGTTTCTCTACGAGCAAGATGAAGCATTACTTCAATTCTTAGTCGACATCAGGCACAAAAAAGACCCCAACTCCGAAAACTTTTCAATTGAGTTCGAATTCGCTGATAACCCTATAATTGAGAACAAAATCCTAAAAAAAGACTATTTCATGGCTAATGAAGATGTTATGGAAAAAGCTATTGGGACAGAAATTATATGGAGAGGAAACAATCTTACACAACAAGTAAAAAAAAGCAAGAAAAAAGGTAAGCAAGGCAAGGAACCGAAAACTGAAAGAATTGAGAGCAGACCGAGCTTCTTCAATTTTTTTAAAAATGTAATGATGCCTGCACCTCAAGACTTGGAAGCCATGGATGAAGAAGACGAGCACGAGATTGTGAAAGCGTTTGAGCAGGATTTTGACTTAGCAACTGAGTTTAGAGATGAGATAATCCCAAATGCAATGCTTTTTTACTTGAATATCAGAGAAGAATCAGATGAAGGCGATGCCGAAGAAAATCAGCCGAAACCTGTGAAAGTGGATGGATCTGGAAGTGAAAAACAAGAATGCAAGCAGCAATAATTTAATTTATGACTATTTTCACACATAACTAACTATAAAATTGGATCACTTGCCCACAAATGCACACACAATCTTGAAATATTCTATGGTTGTTGACTAAGCAATTATAGCACAGTTGCCTGCATGAGCACACGCTTGATTCTATGTTTACATAAATTTTGCAATCTTTACATAAAATATAGCTGCCAAAGCTTCCTCTTACATCTTCAGGAAATAAAAAACCATCTCTAGGGCAAGAGGAAAGTTGGTGCTGAAAAATACAAAAATTGCACACCTTATTGCAGCATAATTGACTGATATTCATATAATTCTCTGCATCTGGAATTAAGTGATTGCAAACTTCGCAATACCCATGATTTGGTAAAAGTTCTCTCTCCTTTATTAATCCTAGATATTTTATATATTCAAATGCTTTAAATTTTGTCATCAAAGCATCAAGAAATAGGTTTAACTCTGTATCAGTATATAAGCTAAAAACAACTTTTTTTATGCTAATTTTCTCTACATAAAATTGATAATTTCCTGCAAAGACTATGAAAGCTTCAATGTGCCTTAGAGCAGCCTTTTCTATTGGATACCCAAAAATCCCACAAGAGATTCCAGGGATTCCAATTGACTTGTAGCTTAATTTGTTAGCTTCAATAATTGGAAATAATATCGATTCGAAGAGAGTTTCACGTTGGTATTCTGTTTCTTTTGCTCCCTCAAATACCGGTCCAACTGTGTGAAAAATTGACTTGAAATTTAATTTTCCTGCTGATGTTTCTACAACTGTTCCAGGTTTGACAAAATAGTTATTCCTAATATATTCATCGCATTCTTTTTGAACATCTGGCCCTGCAGAATTAATAATTTGTCCTGCTAGTCCTCCAAGATTTCCGAGTTTGTCATTTGCTGCATTTACAATTGCATCAACATCTAAATCCAAGATACTCCCTTGTCTGATTTCTAGTGTAATGCCATTAATAATTCCTTCTGCGCATAAAACAGGCTCTATGTGCTTCATTTTAAAGACCTGGCAGTATAAAAAATTATAGAATTTTATTTTTTAGTTATAATAATTAGGAACTTCGTTGCTAAGTTCTTTAAATAGTAATTATGATAATTCGCTTTTAATTTTATTTCCACAGATGCACTTCCTTGAACCATTGAAATCAACAGGCATGACATAGACACAAGATGTGCAAATTTGTCTGCAACTGCAGCCCATTTCTGAATTAGGCTTATAGCTGCAACATTTTCGGCATAAAATATATTTATATAAGCTATCGATCACATCATCTGGGAACCGAAACTGATCACATGGACAAGTTGCTTGGCAGTGCTGAAAAATGCAAAAGTTGCATATCTTGCCACAGCATAGTCCAGTAATGTTCATAAACGCTTCTTTGTTTTCTATTGATTGATTGCATAATTCGCAAAATCCGACATTTGCCTTGTATGATCTATCTTTAGCTGAACCAATATATTCAACAGTATCGAATACCTCAAGCTTTTGCCATAAAGCAGTTAAAAATGCAGAGAGCTCCCCTTCTGTGTACAAGCTAAAAGCAATTTTTTTTATATAGATATGTTGATTGCTTGTAACAAACATTCCTGCATATAAAATAAAAGCCTCTAAATGTCTTATTGCAGCCTTATCAACTGGATATCCAAATATTCCACAGGAAATTGCAGGAATGCCTATTGATCTAAGTTGGGAATTATTAGCGTAAATAATTGATTCATAAATAGCTGAAACCAATTCTTGCTTGTGTCTTTCATTTTCTTGTTTATTTTCCACCCTTGGCCCAACAGTGTGCAATATTTTCACAAATTTCAAACTTCCTGCTCCAGTTTCAACAATTTGTCCTGTTTTAATAATCCCTAAGGTAGAAATCGCTTGATCGCATTCATTTTGGATGATATCACCTCCACTTTCCACTATTTGATGGGCAAGTCCGCCAAAGTTTTGAAGCTGCTCATTTGCAGCATTGACAATTGTTTCAACTTCCAAATCTAAAACACTTCCTTGACTAATTTCGAGGACAATATTATTCAGTGTTGCTCTTGCGCATACGCTTGATAAATTTTCAGACATGCTATTTAAATATCATATAGAGTACTTATTAAAATGCATTAATAGTATTTAACTCCATCACGTCATAACTCCTCATGCCTGGTTCCTTTAGGAGTTGTCCTCACCCCTCTGTCATCTTTTTTGTTATCTTTGAAAATTCCTCTATATTTAGATTTATCTCTATAGATAATCATGCCTTTGCCGTGCTTTTTATCGTCTTTAAAGTACCCATTATATATATGTCCATCTTTCAGTTTCATTTTTCCTCTTCCACTTCTTTTATCGTCCTCCCAATTCCCTTCATATATGTCTCCATTCGAATAGATCATCTCTCCATACCCTTCATATTTGTCTTTGACAAAATCTCCTCTATATTTAGATCCATCAGGCCACTCATAGATTCCTTGTCCATGCTTTAAGCCATTTATAAAATCTCCTTCATATAAAGACCCATCATAATAATACATTTTTCCTTTCCCATTCATTTTATCATTCGACCAATACCCAATATAACTATTTCCGCTTTGTCATTTTTGCAGACCAAATCCTTCTCTTTTATCATCAACAAACTGTCCTGCATAAGTAAACGATCCTTGACTAATTAAAACTCCAAACCCGTTTTTTCTGCTGCTTCTGAATTCTCCTCTATATAGTACTCCATTTTCCCACATATAAACCCCATACCCATGCTTTAGCTGGTTTTCTGAATCTCCATAAAATCCTGGCTGATACTGGTGATAGCAAGATAAAAGCTCTTCAATTTTCTGCTCCAAAGTGCTTCTATCATATGGAGTATGGTGCACCATTTGTTTAGGCAAAGATTGTGATTTCGTATAGTCTGAAAAACGGTTCAATAAGTCAAGAACAATAAAGTTTTTTGAAATATCATGGGGATCTCTTCTATCAGCTTGGCGATCATGAGGACATTCAATATGCTGGTGCCTTGATTTTATATCATTTATACAGATTTTACAAAATGTGTGACCACATAGGAGCTGGAGTGGTGTATGTTCGGCTTCGTTGAACTCTTCGAAACAAATATCGCATACAATTTCTTCCATTTTCTGATTAAAATTATAATGGTCGATGATCCAAGTTCTAGGAAAGACAGAGCTCTGGCTGGTTTGAAGAATGAATTTGATGGGCTGGGGATTTTACAGGTAAATCTTGGAACTTTGAAGCAAGAAATTAAAGATTTTTACGAGGAAATTATTCATAGGCTTGAAATTAAGAGGATTGATGAATCAATTCTACAATTGCTATTAAATTCGTTTGAAGGATTCAGACAGTGTTTGGTTGAATATAGAGCTAATGAAATGAAACACCCAGGGACAAGTGATGAAATTAAATTAAAAATTAAAGAAGCTCTCAAGAACATTAATATAGCATTGACCACTTTATTGATAGGATACCCTGAATATTTAGAATATACGTCGCAGATAGCTTATAATTACTTCAGCGTGGGAACGTATAGTCTTGATGAGTGCATCTACAAATCAAAGGCAGCATTTCATTCAAATTATCTAATTGGGCCTGACCACGAGAATATCAATTGAAGAATTTTCTGGAATAATTTCTCAAAAGACCTGGATTACGCATTAATCCCAGTTAGCTGGATATTAGAAAGAGAAATAAAGCACCAAGTAAATAGGGGAGAAGAAGAAGTTAAAACTTCTAGAATAGAAGAATTTTATAAGCATATATGGCTCAGCAGGGCTAGATTTAATTCATTTAAAGGTAGAGCTGAACTTTTGAAGAATCTTCAGAATAATTTAAAAATTGATTATCAGCTTCTCCAATGCCAAGAAAGACTTAACCAAATTTTAATCTTAAGGGTCTCTGGATCCCCGCAGCCAGCTTACCCAAAGTTTCCAAAAGGTATGACTTACGAGATTGGCCCTTTAGGCTTAGAAGGATCTGATAGATATTGTAGGGATCGACTGGTATTATTTGGAAAAGAAATTGATGAGAATTACATAAATGATATAACTCTGCCAAATGCTACAAGCTTAAAGCCTTTGCAGATGGCTATCTATTGTTCACCTAGGGGGTTTGCTTTGCAAGATTTCTCAGAACAAGGCACTTATGTAAAAATAAAAAAGGATGAATTTCGAGAAGTAAAAAAAGGCTTAATTATACGTTTAGGATTTGCTTGAGAAATTGTGATAAAAGACTTAGAGTATCCTTCGAGAGATCCGTATTCTAGCTCTTCACTTAATGAAGGCTGCAACATTGTTTTAATTACCCACGGAAATACTGAATGCCACGCTCATAAAATATGCAGTAAAGACTTGCCAGAATTTTATATAGGGCGAAACCCTCGGCAAAATACGATCACAGTTGATGAAAAATCTGTAAGTGGCCAGCATATACAGTTTGCATTTTTTAATAACATGTGGATGATGAAGGATTTAAGCTCTAATGGAGTTTGAATCAGGGTAGGAAAATATCATGAAAGAGATGGCCAGGAAGAAAATTATATATTGGAGCAAATTCCCAAGGAAAATATTCTTCCAAGTCATTATTGGATTCAAAACGATGATGTCATTGCGTTTGGAAAAACAAAAACAGTTTTTGAATACAAAGTTTGGTGCATCATAAAAAGCTTACTCCCCCCCCTCCGTGAGTGAACAAAAAAAATTTGTTCACTCACGAAGGGGGTTTAATTTTTTTTTTTTTAAAATATATTTTTTTTTTCGAAATTTAAAAAAATCCTAATTCGCAAAAATTGGAAAGCAAATATTAATTCAATTTGCAACATTTATGTTTTAAAAAGCAATTCGTTTAAAATAAAACAGAATTAGCTCTAGATTTCATTATACTAATTATCATTTATATATCAAAATCTTTTTCCATAAAAATTTTTCTATTAAAAAAATTTTTGTTCACTCACGGAGGGTGGGTTTTTGGGCAAAAAATAGCGATTTTTCTAATGGTTTTGTTCACTCACGGAGGGGGGAGTTAGTTTAAACTTTTTTATTTGAATTTCTATAATAAATTTCTGCACATAAACGGACACTAGCTCTCATGAGATAATATTTTAATCAATCATAAATCTATGGCATTTAATAGAGCATATGCCTATCTAACAGTCCTAATGATCCCTTTTTATTATTCATAACAAAATATAACTATAAAAATAATTCTCAAAATTTAATTATAATTAGTCAAAAAACTCAAACATTTTTAAATTTATAAGGAAAACAAAATCATCACCAAGTCATTCTCTGAGCCTGCTCAGATGCTGGGGGCCTGAAGTCAAGCAGGAAAAGGAGGGCTATAGGCTCCGAACTTTGTGTTTTGGCTAGATTTGCTCTCTCATCCGTTAGCATCTTCCCGATGGATACTTAGCAATAAAGGATTTTTACTTCTAGAGGTCACCAGTGCCGATGATGAAAGCAAAACTTGCACTAATATAGATAGGATGCCATCCCTGCTAAAACTCTAGTTACTAACGCAACTACCGTCAAGTCACTAAACTGTGCGCTCCAAGATCCTGGGATAAATTAAGAATCCGAGAGCTATTTATGGCGTAAATACTCAGGGAGGTTTCAGCACGCCAGAGCAAATTTGATTTTAAAGCTGTTTTGGGTTAGAGACTAAAGAAGGAAGAGCCTAATCTTTAATTCAGATAGCCTAACCTTCTTATAGCTCATTTCCTAGTGTCGAAAGATTAATTAAAGCTTATTCAAATTTGTTAGTTTATTAAATTTATTATGGCCGTTTTTAGATCCATGATGGTAAAATAAAGGATTTTTTATACCTACGGAATCAATTATTAAGAAATTTATAATGGGATGCTGTTCTTACGACCGTCAAATTGAAAATGATGTAGATGATCTTGGAAATCGTAGCTCAGCATTTAATAACCAGTTTACTTCTCTAAAAATTGTTAGCTCTGGATCAATCTCAGAACTCAAGCAATTTCTTGATAGAGGATTTCCCACAAAATACAAAATGCCAGCATTCAATGGTGCTACTATATTGCATTTGGCAGCAGAAAAAGGCAACGCCAGCATGATTAAATTATTAATGGAATACGGAGCAGACGTAGAAAGTTTTGATGATAGGGGAATGACCCCGATTTTTTACTCAATAAAGGGGCGAAATCAAGAGTGTTTTCGGGTATTAGTCAAAACTTACAATGCAAATATGAATGTTGTTAATTCTTATGACAAAAGCGTTCAGGATTATTTAAAAGAGGATCCAAATTTTTTTAATGGGGAATTGCCTCATTAAAGTCAGTTATATAGCAATAATAGTCTTTTTTAGTTCCAAAAAGAGTACGTACATAACTTAAAATTCATCTTTTAAATAAAATGAGCAGCCAGCTTACAAAGCTTAAGTTTCGTATAGTATTTTGTAGCAGTGAAGACAACGAGTTTCCAGTGACCCAATTACTGAATCATGGCCCACACAGTACTGGTTGGCAGTCAGCAAGATTTCAAGATTTCCCTCAAATCATAATTTTGCAATTCATAGCTCCTATAAGAATCCAGCAGCTTCAGTTCTTGTCCCATCAGTCAAAAATCGCTACAAGAATTGAGCTCTTTACATACCTGCCTGAAAATCCAAGCTCAATTCCTCCATTAGAAAATTTCAAATGAAATCGGCTTGGTTATCTGTCATTAGATAACAATGAAAAATCAGGATTCCAGGCACGAGAGCTGAAATCAGTTTATATTGATGCCCAGGCTTTATTTTTGAAAGTTTCTCTTAATAAGTGTCATGTGAATAAGTACAACATTTTCAATCAAGTTGGACTGATTGCTATTAATTGCTTAGGTGAAGAACTTGGCAATGCGAAAGCACCGGCTAGAGGAGGGATCCAGCCGAGGCTTGAAAATGAAATGGAGTTTGATTCTGCTACAAATGAAAGGCTTAAACAATTGTCGGTAGCTAAAGAAAGAGCGCTTGAAAATGAAGATTTCGATGAAGCGAAAAGAATTAAAGACGCTATTGAAAGGCTGAAATCGGTGGGCTATGAGCTTTTAATGCTTGAAGATAGGAAAAGAAATGCCATTGCAAATGAAGATTATGATAGCGCAAAAATATTGAAAATTGAGATTGAAAGAATGAGGAATGCAGTTTTGCCTCCAATGCCTGACACTTATTTTGCACCTGTTCAACAAAGCTCACATAGGCCTTTTTCAGGAGGTCCTCAGCCGCTAGGCATAGGAGGCAGGCCTTCATCAAGGCCTCAGCCTTCTCAATTTCCTCCTCCACAGCAGATTGGTGATATGCCAAATTATGATCAATTTGAAAGAAGAAATAACCAGCTCTTGCCAGAACCCAAGTCAAAGGTCTCTCATGATGAGCAAGTAATTCCTACAATCAGCAATGGCAGAGCTCCAGGACAAATTTTTGGAGGTGAAGAAGAAGAAAATTTGCCTCCTAACCTTGATAATCCCCCTGAGCCATTAGGGGTTCAGCAAGCGAAATTTGCAGATCCATTGCTTCCTATTCTAGGTGAAGACTTATGCAGAAGAATTTTTTCTAAAACTTGGCAATTCAGAGAGGATGGCTTAGGCCAAATCCAAAATGAAGTTTCTAGAGGGCCATCAAGCCAGATTTTCGGCGGTACTGATAATTCAAACATTTACTCTGGCGTGCTAGGTGCAGTTAGGTACACAATTGGAGACAAAGTTTCTCAAGTATCATTAAAAGCCATGGGACTTATAAATACTCTTTTTAACAGCATCAACCCTTCAAGAGCAGTTGCTAGAGGTGATGTCCCTGAACATGTACAGAATATTTTAAGCTCACTCCTTGATAAAGTTGGGGATAATAACGCAAGGGTAAGAGAAACTGCTGAACAAACTTTTATATCTCTTGCAAGAAGTGACATTGTAGGAGCTGGTGCAGCTGTCCAAAGCATCCTTAAACCTATGAAAGATAAATCAACTTCTCAAAAACATATCATAGGGAGGCTTAATTTGCTCGACAATATGGTAAAGGAGTTTCAAATTGACAACTCTTATGTTCCTTTCCAGCCTGTTGCAGAGTATGCTTTAAATGGGTTTAAAAATACTAGTCAAGATGTAAGGAATTCAGCATATAACTTGCTTATGTCAATATATGCATGTGTTGGGCAAAAATTGCAGCCGTATCTTGCAGATTTAAGGCCAGCCCAACAAGAAATGCTGGAAAGAGGTATGCAAGATATTGATGGAGGAAATGGGCCAAGTGTTACTGTCTCGCAGCCTCCTCCTCGACAAGCACCAATTGGAGTTTCTAAACGAAAAAATTCAAATGCTCAGGTAAACAACTTTTTACCGTTTTGCCAATTTTGTGGCAAAAAAGATGCTATATTTGCGAATGAAGATAACTTAGATATTCATTATTGGAAAGACTGTCCTATGCTGGTATCATGTTTGCTTTGCAACCAAGTAGTCGAAATTTTCGATTTAAATAGCCATTTATTAAATTTAAGTTTAAGCTTAACGAATTACTCTGGGCACACAGCCCATTTGTCTTCTTTTACTTGAGGGTCCAGCTACATTAACAGCTCTGAATAACTGTAGGTGGACTGCCTAACCGTCAAACTGTTAAAGTTAATAAGCCGTTAAGACTTCTCTAGTCAGTGCCAGCCTCAGCACCGATCTCTTCTCTTCAAGCCGAGACTCTCAAGAAGCTTGACTTCTCTCACTAAGCTCAGATAATAGGACTATTACCTGTTTAACAGGAGTTAGGACCTATCCCAAACTGACATTTTTAATATTGTGCCATTTATTAAAAGAATGTGAACTTAAGAACGTAATGTCTCAGTGCCCGAGATGCAAAGAAGCGATTCATGCCGACGAAATCGAACAACACACTGAAGAACAGTCATGCTACGCTGCAAAACCTCCGAAGGTAGCTTCAAGATGTCCACTATGCCATGAAGATGTAGACCCAGGAATTGATGGCTGGAAAAACCACATTTTGGCTCAAGGCTGCCCAAATAACGATAGAAGTAATATCTAGAAAATCTATTTTAATTTAATTTTCCTTGAAGATGGCAGAAGCACCAGTTGAGAAGAAAACTTTTCGCAAAAAAGTTGTTCTACCAAGTGACAAAGACGAAACCAAGGTGAAAATCAAGCCTCATAAAGTGCCTAAACTTGATGATAAACCGGCCCAAATCCGGTTAAACGCAGCTGCAATATTGAGAGAAGAAGCCAGGCTTAAAAAGGAAGAAGAAGTAGAAAAGGCGAGGCTTGAAGCTTTTATGATTGAAATGAGGGATAAAAGCGAATATGAAAGGTGGAGGGCAGATATGAAAGAAAAAGATGATTTGGAGAAGCTCGAACAGTTACAAGTCAGGAAAATTGAAATGGAGATGTCCAGAGAAGAAGCTATTGAAGCAATTAGACTGAAATATAAAGAAAACCAACTAACTGCTGCAAAGCTGAAAGAAATGACGAAAGCACAGGTAGAAGAAAAAATAATAAAAGAAGAACAGGAGTTAGAAGAAAAGAAAAAATTTGTCACAGAAGTCGTTGAAAGCAGGGTGAACATTCAAGTAGAAAAAGATAAAGTGAAAGAAAATAATAAAAAACTTAAAGAAGAGTTGCAAAAAGAAATTCAAGAAGCAATAAATAGAAGAAAAGAAGAGGAAATCATTGAGCAAGCTAAAAGAGATGAACTTATCAGGCAGATCAGAGAATTACAAAATCAGCCGATTGCTAGGAATAAAGCATTTGACCCAACTGAAATCATGGGATATGGGCTGCTTGAAGAAATGTCTTTAGCGCAGCTAAAAGAAAGACTTGAAGAAAAGAAAAGAGAAGTCGAAGAAGAAATAAATAGAAAAAAAGAAGAGAATATTAGGTACAAAGAAACTAAAGCAGTAGAATTAAACGAAAAGATTAGCAAAATCACTGAGAATAGGAATCAAAAAGCTGCTCAAAATGAAGAAAGGAGAAAGAAGATGAAAGAAGACGAAGAAAGGAAAAAACAGCTGCAACAAGAAATGAGGGAAAAAGGGTTACTAACTGTCTATGAAAAAATATCAGCGAAAAAACAAAAAAGGCTAGAAGAACAGAAAAAGCTGGAAAAAGAGCTTAAAGAAATTAAATTGAAAAGGCAATACATGAATGCCAATAGAGCTTTAGTTGAAGAAAAAGCGTGGAAAGAGCAAGAAGCTGGTGCTGAAAGAGAAGCCAGAGAAAGACAAGCCAACGCACTTATAGAACAAGAGAGAGTAGAAAGGATCAAATTGACTGAAACTAATTTGAAAACAAAAGCAGCTAAAGAATTGGCAAAGCAAAAAATTGAAGTCATCAATGAATACCAAAAAGGCCTTGCCGAAGCTCACGAAGAAAACGAAATTTTATTAGCAGAAGACAGAAGAGATAAAACCAATAAGCACGACAACCAAAGAAACTTCCAGGAAACCCACAAGCAGAAAATGGACGAGCGGCAGTCATACTCCACCAAGTTGACTCAATCCATGAAGAACTCCACCAAAACCAAGTCATAATATAAACATTTTAAAGCTAACCTGCTTTTATAAGAAAACTAATAATTTGCCTTACAAATAATGGAGTTTGTGGAGAGCAGAGAAGAGGAATTCGGAGACGGAAAACTGTGACATGAGTTCGAAAATGTTGATGACATGAGCTATGGCTACAAGTCTGATTATTATTTTAACTCATATGCTCATTTTGGAATCCATGAAGATATGATCAAAGATGATGTAAGGACTGGAACATACAGAAAAGCCATCATCCGGAATCCTTATCTCTTTAGAGGAAAAACTGTCCTTGATGTAGGCTGTGGCACAGGCATTTTGAGCTACTTCGCAATGAGAGCTGGAGCGAGTCATGTGTATGCAGTGGATTGCGCTGATATCATTGATTACGCAAGAAAAATTGCTGAAGACAACGGCTTTGCTGATAAAATCACTTATATAAAAGGAAAAGTTGAAGAAATTGAGCTGCCAGTACAAAAAGTTGATATTATCATTTCTGAATGGATGGGGTATTTCTTGCTTTTTGAAAGCATGCTTAACTCAGTTATTTATGCAAGAGATAAATGGCTGGCACCTAATGGATTGCTATTCCCTGACAAGGCAAGAATTTGGGTGGCTGCAATTGAAGATTCAAAATACAAAGAGTCAAAATTTGACTTTTGGAGCGATGTGTATGGAATCAACATGACACCGATGAGAAGCCATGCAATTAGAGAGCCTTTAGTGGACACAGTTGATGAAGAAAAAATAATCAGTACACAAGCACCAGTTTTTGAAATAAATCTTCAATGTGTGACTCTAGAAGAGCTAACCTTTACTACCAGCTATAGGCTCCAGATAAATAAAAATGATATTTTGAGCGGCCTTGTGGCATGGTTTGAGGTTGGGTTTTGCCACTCTCACAAATGAATTACACTTAATACTTCTCCAAAACTCAAGAGCACCCATTGGAAGCAGACAATTTTCTACCTAAATGAATCGCACAAGGTAAATCACAATCAAATATTATCAGGCTCGATATCTGTGAGGCCAAACCTCGTAAATGTCAGGGAGCTTGACATAAAAATTTCTTATAATTTGGATGGATTTAGCCCACTTCGAACTTGGCAATTTTATCAACTAAGATAATATCCCTTAAGTTATAATTATTATATAAATTCACATAGTGTATCTAAGCTTGTGGATTGCCATCATTCCAGCATCTCTCAAGGCCATAGGGGTTAGCTTTGTCAATCTTTTTGGTAAGACTAGCTCGTGAACTGGCATATCTGATATAACTAGTGGATTTACCTATTTAAGGGTTTGCTTAGCCAGTATAAGCTGTAAAACTAACCCACGGATTATCTTAAGAAATGGAGAGATGAAGGCGAAACACTAGCATGTATATGCCATAGCTATTTGCAATTAAACATTTAATTTGCATGATGTTGGAATAATTCAGCATTTTTATGGTGATATAAGATGCCAAGTTCAAAATTATAAAGAATAGTTATTAATTTGGGCTTTAATTGCATTCAATGTTGCATCACTCTCATGCACCTTCAGTTCCGCTTCAATTACCTTTAATTTTGCTTCTGCAAGCTCGCGATTTCTTATCTTTGACTGTAATCTTAAAGTCCTTGAGGATTCAATAAGTTCTGATATATCACTTGGTAATATCAGCACAGGAAGCACTGTGAAATCAAAAGGATCATGGATGATTTCAGGTTTTATTTTAAAATCCTCTGCCATATGCTTGTATGACTTATTCACAACCTCAAGGCTTTCAGAAATGTGTCCTTCAAGAATTGCATTTAAAATTTGAGGAGAAGGGGGTTTTGGTTTAGGTGGTGACCTAGATCTGCTTCTTTTTCGATCCTCCCGGAAACGATCATCATTTCTTTTTTCATCACGGAATCGATCATCGTTTCTTTTGTCTTCCCGGAATCTATTATCATTTCGCTTTTCATCTCGAAATCTATCATCATTTCTCTTTTCGTGGTGGGTTTGCCGACGATCTTCTAACTTCCCTTCAAAGATAGAGCAAATGACAAATATGATAAAAAATTCTAATTTTTTTAATGAAGAAATAATTTCACATCATAAATTAATATTTTGTATAAAATAATTTAATATGTAATTAAAGTGCATTTAATTAAAAAATAAATCTAAATCATAAATAAATTAATTTAGTTGTGATTATATTGTGGTTACTCGAAGCCAAAATTATTTCAAAAACCTCTTAATTTGTAACCAAAAATTATTGCTCTTGGAGTGGGTTAAGGAAGAATCATAAATCAGTTTGTATTGTTGTGGGTGCTGAGTATGGGAGTGGCTATGACTTGGCCTATAATTAGATTTTTGTCTATCATATTTTGACATTTTTGTTTATATTTAAATATTATACTCAATAAAGCTAACTAGGAAGTAGAGAGCATCTAGCGAAATTGATAAGTTTGATGACCCAAAGATAAAGAGGAAATTAATCATGATTGATGTGATTTTAAATTTTTCAATGTATATTTCAGTTGTTAAAGTTTCAATTGGATCACATAAAAGGAATTTAATGGAGACATAGAAAAATTAATTGCAATTCCTTGACACTGAAGAAATAAAATGTTGGTGTTAACGGAAATTGGACTTCAAGGCGACACTTCCAGAAGGAGAGGTGGACGGCACGATGGGTGGCGAGAGATGCTCTTCGTGAGCGAAGTAGACCATCTCAATGGGAAGCCTGCCGAAGCAGGGTGTTTGTTTCTCCCCCAAAGGTTCCTGCTCCCGCCAGATAGGCTAGACAGGTTTTACTTACTTCTTAGTCTTCTATATCGGGACCAACGGCACTTTACAGATGTGGCTCTGCCTTGGAGAGCTAATCCTCTGGACAGAATGTTCAAGTCAGAAATTTAAGATGGTGCCTCATTCGCAATCTGAGATATATGGAGGCTGCTACTTGGAGAGCTGAGATAGTGCAAAGGCTAGTGGGTCACCGCTTATGGCCAGTTTAAACAGTTTAATTTAATTTGATACTGAGCTATATTAAGACCAGTTTTCGCAAAAATCTTAAAATACCACGTAATTTTTGATGACAAATCTTCAATAAAAAAATAATTGTGATTATACTAAAATTAGCATAGATACAAAGCATACATGCCGAATAAATACTTACGCATCCCTCCGTGAACGAACAAAACATTAGAAAAACTCCCCATTTTTTGCCCAAAAACCCTTCCTCCGTGAGCGAACAAAAATTTTTTTAATAGACAATTTTTTTTATGAAAAAATAAATTGATATATATGTGATAATTAGTATAATGAAATCTATAGCCAATTCTGCTGACTTTGAACAAATTGTTTTAAAAATAAATTTTATACGAAAATATTTTTTATATAAAATTTATATATAATTTTTTTTTAAAAATAAATGAACTCCCCTTAGTGAGCGAATAAGTTTTTTTTGTTCTCTCAAGGAAGGATTTAGATATTATTATCATATTAAATTAATTGAAATAAAACAACCTCATTAAAGTTTCTAAATTTATCATTAATTACCAAGCTAAATTCGTTTGATATAATTCAACTACTTCATTTTGCCTGTAGAGCCATATCTAATAAAATGGCAGGGTTAATAATGAAATGGCTGACCAGAATAACCTAACAGTATTTTGAATTTTAAATATAATCAAATATGACATAGAGCTAGTTCTTTTAATAATGAAAAATTCAGATTTCTATCCGCTATATTTTTGTTTGTTGGGAACAACTCAGCTCTGCCTAGTTTATGGGAAGTCTGAATTTATAGAAGCTGCCTTTGAGTAGCGCTCTAAGCGCCCGAGACTTCCCGACGAAGTCTGGGCGGTGGTTTGACCAGCTGATGTTGGTCAAACCAGCATCCAATTTGACAAACCTTCTGTATGAGAAGAATTTGTCATTTTGGATGCTGGTTTGACCAACATCAGCTGGTCAAACCACCGCCCAGACTTCGTCGGGAAGTCTCGGACGCTTAGAGCGCTACTCAAAGGCAGCCTCTATATCAAGGATGCTCCATACATGTTAATTTACAGTCCGACAATGATTTATCTAGCTATTGAACTACTCTATTCTATATATATTCTTATCAGGTCAGATGATATGAGTTCAAATGCAGCTCTAGCGCATTTAGTTCATTTTGCAACCCTTGGTCTAGCATTGACGTCTCTGACGTTATATATAGAAAGTCTAGATTCCGAGTTTGATTCAATCGGCCCAGCTCTGATTCCATTATTTATTATTCTAGTATTGCATAGTTCTTGCCGAGTTTTGCAAGAACCACCACCATTGTTAGCACCTATATTGAATGTGCTAGCCCCTGCTATGACAGTATGCACCATAAATGGTACTTGCAGCTCTATGTATATATCAATTTTTTCGTCAATTTTTAGTGCTTTTGGAGCTTCACTGGCAGATTTGGTTGCTATTCTCCATCCTTTAACATATTTGCTATTATTTTTGACGGCTTTATCATTATATTATGCAAAGCACTCTGTTAAATATCCGCCATTTATATTAGGGGTAATATCTAGTATATTGATTTTAGTTGGACAGCTCTACAATATATTTATTATTGTTCTGATATCTAATGCAATGCTAGTCGCATCAGTTCTGTGGAACAATAAAGTTCTTAAGCAGATTGCTCTTAAAGGTGTTTAATTAATATGGATTATTTTGAATTTTTAATTATTTTATTAACAGATTAAAGCTGATTTTACATTTTTATTATAAATTTATTATATTCAGATACTATTACCCTTAGTTAGTGAGCAATAATTATTTGCATGCAAAATCAACCCACTTCGTTTAATAAAATATTTTGATTTCGAATAGATGATTATAATAATTATATCTCTAAATATTAGAGTATTTTACATTCTAACGATGACCCCCCCCCCTCAATCTTCATGTCTATTGCAACAAAAATGAAATTTTAAATATAAAATTTTATATAAAAAAAATAATAATTTTTCATGTCTCTTGCAACAAATTATATATAATAAATTTTTCAAGTCTCTTGCAACAAATTATATATATTAAAATGGCGACACGTGTCAGCCTGCCCTCTTGGCGCAGCATTCCAGACCTTATGGCTAATGCGAACTGGGAGGGACCTCGAGCCGAGAATCAGACGCAGGCTCAAGAAGTGTATATCCGGGCAAGTTTTGGCTGCTTTCCTGTGGTTGGAAATAGATGCGCTCAACAACGTCCTTTTGATCCGAGGACCCATGGGCATTCCTCTACCGAAAAACTGGGGTTTTTGCCCAGGCCACAGGGGAACAGTCTTTTTCGTGTAGCTGTCGAAGGAAGGTACTTTGACACCCGATAGACTCCAAGGATCCTTGGAATCAAGCTACTCCAATTGCCCGTAGCAGGGACGCAGAAATCCATAAGCCGCCCACTCAAGACTGAAGCCGCAAGGAGGAGACAGAAGGTACCGGAAGGGCACTCGTAAGAGGAATACACCCTCTGGGCTGGAATCGAAAAGCGGTAGAACCTTCTGCACGAGAGGTCTTTTGTGACTGTGCCACCAATATGGCTAGCGCCTGTCTTTAATAATCCTAATCCTCTTGCAGCAAATTTTAGATTCGCATCTTAAATTTTTCTGTACTTTTTAGCTAGATAAGTTTAATAAAATGGCGAGCAATGACAATAGCCGTCCAAATCTCGATGAGAAGCTCATTGACACGCCTACAGCAGCGCGCTGTTTTATGGGGTTTTTGAGAAACTCACCTAGAGAAAATGCATTAATTCTTTTTTTTATAAAAATTTTGTGTTGCAGTAGGCATGAAAATGTTGTGTTGCAGTAGACATGAAAATTTTTTCGAAAAATTTTGCATGAAGATTGAGGGGGGGTCATCGTTACAACAGAAATTTTCCTTGCAAAATTAAATTATAATGCAAAAAGAGATTTAACTTAAAAAATTAGCTTCATGTTCGCTAAACTAAGGGAGGTCAGATATTTTTCCTTTAAATTTTTGGTTTCTCGACTTGAATATTTTAGAAACAATAATTTAGAATGAAAAAGGTGGCGGATCGACTACAACGTTCAGGAAGTCCAATAAGAGAATGCATGCCTGATATATCTATAAGTCCAGAAGAAGCTCAAAGCTTATATAAATCTCTGACAGTAGGAAATTTAGATAAAGCTTCCAAGCTATGGAAGAAATACGGATATGTATTTTTGGAACCTTTACAACCGATACAGAATTTTGAGCTTATAAGATCAATTACCAAGTCCAGAGATAATGCAATCGCAAGACTTGAGGCTGAATTAAGGTTGCTTTCAAAAAGCAGACACCATAGTGAAATGCTAAAGAACCTTCAAGAAAAAGAATATGAAATTGAGATATTGAGAAATACCTTGGCCCAAAAAAACACCCAAAATCCTGAACAAGAAGAAGTTTTCGTTGCCTCAGGGTCTGGTTTTGAAGTAGAAATCCAAGAAAAAAACAACGAAATTAAAGAGCTGCTAAAAGAATACGAAAACCTTCAATTTAAATTTGATTCACTTGAAAGAGAAAAAGAAGAAATTGAGAGAGAAAGCAATCGGTTAAAAGGAATGCTAATGAGAAAGCCTGATGATTCAAAATATAAATCAGATGGATTTATTAGACAATCTCAGCAGAGTCAAAACAGCACTGCAGATGAAGGTCAAGAAATAGCTTATTTAAAACAGCTTTGCAATGAATACTCATATAAAAACAGCTTTTTAGAAGCAGAATTAAAGATATTCAAAGACAAGAAAGAAAGAGATATCTATGATTTAAGGGATCAACTTTTGCATGTTTTGCTTAAAGCACAACTAGGTGAAGATGAAATAGCTAAAGTAAATAAAAGTGTTTCAGAAATCATTCAATCAAGGATAGCTGAGCAACTTGAGTTTATCCAGCCATCAATTATGGAATCCTTAAAAATCAATAATGAAGCTATTCAGAATGAAAAATTCGTAAAGGATGTTGAATGCATAAGACTGAACTCGGAAATCAAAAGATTGAGTGCGCTTATGTCAAGTGAGAAAATAGCTGAGCAAGAAATGAAAAAAGTACCAAAGGACAGTTCTGGGGTTGATCAGTGAAAAAAGATTAGAAGGGAAAGCATTGAGAGGGTTGAAAAGACTTACCAGGAGCAATGCAAAGAACTAAATAGATGCATAAAGGATCTTTCTGATAGAAATTCAAGCCAAATTAAAGAAATATCTGAGCTAAAAGATCAGTTAAATACTGGCATAAGAGAAGTTACTATAAAACTAAAAAGAGAGCACGAAACGAAAAAGCAAATTGCTGATCATTTTGCTAAAGAAAAGTTAAATCATGAAAAAACCAAAGAGCAGCTCAGGAAGCTTATTGAGAGTAATAATGCCATTATGCTAAAGCTTGGAGAAGAATCAAAGAAATTGACAGCAGAAAAGGACCAAAAAATCGATGAGCTTGAATACCAAATAGAAAAGCATGCGGAAACTATTAAAAATCTCGAATCAAAGCTACATGAAAATGAATTCTCTAAACAAAAAATGTACTTTCAAATAAATAAACTCAATAAAAAATCTCAAGATTCAGAAAGTGAAACAGCTGTAGGATTACAAGAACTTCAAAGGGAGATTGACAATCTTAATGATCAAAAGGAATCACAAGCTAGAATGCTGCAAGATAAAGAAGAAGCAATAGAAGAGCTTACAGAGGCAAACCAAAGACTTGAAAAAGAGATTTTAGATTTAGATTATAAAATACAAACTCAGGATAGCTTTATTGAAAAACTGAAGAAAAACTTAGGAAGTGAAGATTTGGAAAGAGAAAATTATGAATTGAAAGGAGAAATTGAAAGCCTGCAAGATCAAATTGAAGTTTACCAAGAATCAACAGATCAACTTAAAGAAGAAATTTCAAGGCTCAGAAATCAGTTAATGGAAGCAGAAAATGACTTACTCCCCCCAGTGAGCGAAGAAAAAATTTTGTTCGATCGCGGAAGGGGTTAATGTTTTTTTAAAATTTAAAAAAAATCCCAATTCTCAATAATTGGAAAGCAAATATTAATTTAATTTGTAAAATTTATGTTTTAAAACGCAATTTGTTTAAAATTAAACAGAATTAGTTAGAGATTTCGTTATATTAATTATCATTTATATAACAAAATTTATTTTTCATAAACCGCTTTTGGGCAAAAAATAGGGATTTTTCTAATGGCTTATTCGCAGAGAGGCGAGTTAGCAAACTCTAAAAAGTTTAGCGAATCTGCAAATGGCTTAGACGAAGATCAGCGCTTAAAGGAATACTCAGCTCGATTTGATGATTTGGAAAATAGGTACTCCGCATTGTCGAAAGACTTTGAATATTCGAAAAAAGAAATTATGAGTGTAAATGAAGAGAAATCCAATCTTCAGATCTTTAACACCCAACTATCCCACGAAAAAGAATTACTTCTAAATCAGATTAAAGACCTTGAACAAAAGCTGGAAAGCGCACTAAAACGAAGATCTATATTAGAACGTTCAGATTCTAAAGATAGGCTAAGCACTCCAATAAATACAAAGGAAGAAGATGTGCAAACTGACTCAGAAAATGGCGATTTTGTCGATGAATTGAGAGGAAAGATAAAGACTGATGGGAAACTAAAAGAACTTCTTGAAAGCGTAAAGGTGAAATTCACAAAGTGGAATCAAGAATATTATATGAGACACAACATTTCGTTTTCTACTATAGGGGATATTAATATTTTCATAGATATCTTGATAGAAGAGCATAAGAAGCTTAAAAACAATGAAAAATTCAACATAACTGTACAGCATATGGATGCTGAAGGTTCTCGACCTATGAGCATAGCAGATTTTAATACAAGGTCATATAAACAAAGTCTCAGTCCTCGATCTTATGCAGGGAATTTTGATAGAGACTCAGTTACATCCTATGATGAAGCAGAAAGATTCAGAAGAGGCCCTAAATCAAGGACATTTCGTGAAGAGCCTGATAATAGATCTATGAACGAAAGGAATGCTAACTCCCCCGCCTTAATGAGTAAAGTAATTTTGATTGATCTAGGAGTAGGTTAAATTTTTTTTAGAAATTTTCTAGAATTTATTTTTTCTAGAAATTAAAAAAAAATCTCAATTCAATAAAACAGTCTTTTGAACTTTTTTTTCTCACACCAGTAAACTTGTTTACTGATCTTAGCCAGTCGTTTATTCTGTATGGGAATCGCGACCAGTACCAGTTTACTGCTAAGCAAAAAATTCCAAATGGCCATAATTTAATTTGTAAATTTTATAAATTTAACAAAGTTAGCCAGAGATTTTATTATGACTTACATATCAACATATTTATTAAAATATTTTGCTCACTCATGGACGGTGGATTTTTTCCGAATAGGGATTTTCAAATGGTGTTACTCGCTCATGGAGGGAAGTAAGCAAAAAGATACTTTAGATCCTGATCAATGGCAGTATAAAACATTTGCACCTGAGCCTATCAAAGATGATGCTGACATTAAGTCAGATTTCCAATCCAAAAGATCCCGCACAAGTGTTAATCTACCTGATAAGCCCAAAGAAAGGCAAGAAAGGCAAGAAAGGCAAGAAAGGCAAGAAAGGCAAGAAAGGCAAGAAAGGCAAGAAAGGCAAGAAAGGCAAGAAAGGCAAGAAAGTCCTCAGAAAGTTAAAAAAGAATATGCTATTGACGAAGTTCAAACTACCGAACCTTTCATTGATGAAAAGCCATTCAAAGAATCCATCAGAAAATTAGAAGAAGAAAATTCAAGCCTCAAGGAGCTTGTCAAAAACCTAAAAAAATTAGAAGAGGAAAATGCAAGTCTCAAAGAAAGTGGAAAACGATTAATGCAAGATTGTGATGATTGAAAAAGTTCATTGCTAGAGCTTTGCAGTAACTTAAAAATAAATCCCAATGAAGAAAAAGAAGAGATAGCACCTAAAGAAATTGCTAAAAAAGCGCTTGAAATTATAAAAATTAAAGAAGAAACTATAAAAAATGAAACTCCACAAGAATGGGCAGGGAAAGAAGATGCATACATGCAGTCTATTGAATCACTCACAGTCGAAAAGAAATGTTTACTTAAAAGTGTTGAAGACTATGAAAAAGAAGTCCAGACCTTAAGAAAGCAAGCTGATTTTTATAAAATCGCTGCCAATAGTCAAATGGGTGACACAAGAAAAAGAGACAGCATCTATGTAGAAGACCACTTTGATCCTAGACTCAAAGAGCAGCATACAATAGAAGAGCTAGAAGCCCAAAGCAAATATATGCAAGAACTAATTAAAGAATACAAAGAAAATAAAGATAGAATCCAAGAAAAACTTCACAATCACTGCAAATACATAGACAATGTTTCTCGATCAACTCACCAAGAATTGCTTCAAGCTCTCTATGAAGAACGCAAACTGAGAGAAGAGCTCGAATACGAGCTCTCTCACAAATGCGACTTAATCGAAGAATTGCTTGCAGAGCTCGAAAATAAGAGAAGATTCATTCAAACCCGCGAATACGAATTCCAAGAGAGTATTTCAACAAAAGACAAAGAAATTTTAAGACTGAGATGCCGGAGCAGGCTTTCGTTTAGTTCTAATGATAAGTAATCTAAAATTCCATATTAACATCTATCAGTGGCTATAAAATATGGGTCGTAGAATCAGAGCTCAACGTAAAGGAGGTGCAGCAATTTTCAAAGCTCACGTAGCTCATCGTAAAGGTGTACCAAAATTCAGAGCTTTAGACTATTCAGAACGAAATGGCTACATCAGAGGAGTTGTGAAAGAAATCATCCATGACCCTGGTCGTGGTGCACCCTTAGCCCGAGTAGTTTTCAGAGATCCATACCGTTATCGTCAGCATATAGAAACATTTATTGCGACAGAAGGTATGTACTCAGGCCAATACATTTATTGTGGTCAGGACGCCCAACTTACTGTTGGGAATGTCCTCCCACTTTCACAAATGCCTGAAGGTACTGAAGTTTGCAATGTCGAGGGCAGATACGGAGACAGAGGGACAATTGGAAGAACCTCAGGGACTGCTTGCGCTGTTATTGGACAGTCAGACGACGGGACAAGGACCAGAATCAGACTCCCAAGTGGAGCAAGGAAAACTGTTGATTCTTCGTGCAGAGCCATGATTGGGATTGTAGCTGGTGGCGGAAGAAACGAGAAGCCAATCATGAAAGCTGGAAGAGCTTATCACAAATACAGAGTCAAAAGAAACTGCTGGCCTAAGGTTAGAGGTGTGGCTATGAACCCTGTAGAGCATCCACATGGAGGTGGTAACCATCAACACATCGGACACCCAAGCACTGTTAAGAGAAGTGCACCACCTGGACAAAAGGTTGGACTTATTGCTGCTAGAAGAACTGGAAGACTGAGAGGTGCCAAGACTCAAAAGCCTGCTGCAAATGCTTAAAGTAGCTAATAGTTTAATCGATTTCAGAAAAATATTATTTAAATCATGTTTATGAAGATATATGGAACTGGGGTCTTAATGTTTGGGGCTGCCCTGCAGCAGTACGCGATTTCAAGAAAGCACGCAGCCTCTACGCAGAGAAATTGCAATGACAGCAAAGCTACTCTTTTGTTGTACTATACGACAGGCTTATCATGTGAAATTATTGCTTTAAGCTTGGTTTCTTTTTTTCATTATATTACTGCGAGTAATTTTAAGGCAGGCTCAAGTCATCTTTTATTTTTGAGCTTTTTTTGGCATAAAGCTGAGCAAATCACAATTTCATGGCCGAGTATGATTGGGAATGCGGCGATATTGACATCAATTGTGTAAGAAATATAAAGGTTGGGGTGCTATATTGACGTAGATGGATATACAGAACTTAATGGAGATCTATTGGGGTACATAATTCTTGGAATTTGCTCTTTTTTTGTATTTGGTTTTTGTGCAAGATTTACATTAAGAGGTATTTATAAAGCATTTTTGTGCGGAAGCTTAGGGATGATGAATGTGCTGTGCATAAAAATCATCGCTCTCATGATACTCTACATATTAGATAATGAATATCAGTCTCTGTCATATGCAATTTCTTTTATTCTTTTGGCAGTGGTTTTGACATGCTTAGAGAGCTCATATAGCAAATTATTAAAAATCGAATACAGTATTGTAAGATCTATCTAGATTGAAATTTATATTGGTTATTACATCTCAATCCTTATTTTCGGATTGCTTTCTTCTCGCTATTTATTATGAGAAGAAATCAAAAATGACGTTTTATTTTTTAGCTGTGTGCTAATTCTAATTATTGTATGTTTTATGCAGGGTATTAGCTGTCATTATCATGGAACTTTATATGCTGAAAATAAAGACAGCTTTGAATTGTCTAATGCTAATGATGATAAGCTTGAGGAAGAAGAAAAAATTGAAAATTAAAGTACTTAAATAAAAAAAATCGTATGGAATTAATAATTTTCATTCAATTATTATAATTTTGTTTAATTATTTATTTTGACTTAATTTCATAAATTAATTGTTTTCCACGTATCCATTTATATTTCTGATAATTCATTACAATGAAGCTATCTTTTATTTCTTTGCTTTTATTTCTGCAAAGCATTTTTGCTTTACAGATTCCAGTTTACAAGTTGATCAAATATGAGCATCAAGGAGTGCTATACGGATCCCAAGTTTCTTCGTTAAAACTTGCCGGAGCCCATTATAAAAACGTTGAAGAAATTCAGCGTAAAATGGCACTCGTTCATGCTTCAGACCTTCATCTAACCCTTTTTCATGTGATTTTGGCTAACAAGCCAGGCGCTCTTTTGATAATTTTAGAAGAAAATGAGCCAGAAAAAATAAGAGACATAGAGCTCTATTTAGGAACTCATCGATTTTACTTCCCGATTTTTTTCACATTCCAAACCTTAGAAATTATGGAACTCTATGAGCAGCTTTATTGGCTGAAAGGAGATGGAATACAATTTGTATTAAATTCAAATGTGGAAGCAGAAGGATTGAGAAATGTCACATTGGAAAATTATTATGGGTTTCTAAATGATTATGATGAAGCTCTTCCTACAGTCGTTTTAGCGGCTCATTATGATTCATTTTCGATTGTTCCTGAGTTATCATTTGGTATGGATTCAAATGGAAGCGGTGTCATTGCTTTGGGTGAGATTGCTAAACTTTTGAAAAAAAATCTGATAAACTCGAAACCGAAATATAATGTTCTAATTCTATTCAATTCTGGCGGAAATGATAATTTTATTGGCCTTCAGCGTTGGCTGGACTCCAAAGCCCCTGACTTGAAGCATGCAATTAATAATATTGCTTTTGCCTTATGCCTTGACACTATTGGCAAATCAGAAGAATTGACATTCCACATCACAAGATTTCCGAGAAAAGATGAAACTGAGCTCATTAATCTTTTTTCTGGGTTTAATAGAACTGCTTCGAAGTATCAAATTTCTCTTAATTATTTCAAGAAAAAAGTTGATTTAGTAGACAATTACATTCCATGGGGACATGAAACTTTTATTAAGAAAAAAATTGTAGCTGCCACTCTTTCGCACTTAGAGAGACCAGCGAATTCTACGCTTGAAAAAAACTCAATTTATGATAGAAAATCTAATATAAATCTGCATATTTTAGAAAAAAATGTCATGTTCATTTATGAAGCATTAGTAAGGTTTTTAGATGGAGATCATGAAAATGCTCAGATGAAGGTTCAGGCAAAACTAAGCAGCGATGCATTAGGCTGGCTTAAAAAATTCAGCTCACACAGTCGGTTCCCAACGAAGATTGTGTCAGGATCTGAGTTTTTGATCCTTTTTAGAGATTATGTAAGAGAAGCCCTTGGCAATAATATGAAGCTTCAAAAGTTCCATGGATCCGATGATGTGTATTTTGACACAAAAGTGGAGATTCTAAACAGTTACAAGATGAAATCCAAAGTTCTTGATTTATATATCTTCTTGTACGTAGTAATATATTTACTGCTTCTTTGGATTTCTGTTAAATATGTTGGGAGCATAAAGTTTATTACGTCGAAAAAATCAAGACATAAGAATTTCAATCATCAATATTAGATTAATTAATTTATGCATTTATATAAACACAATCATAATTAGCTTTATAATAAGAATCGATTAATTTACTAGTTACTATTTATATTGCATATACATTAAAATGGCGACACGTGTCAACCTGCCCTCTTGGCGCAGCAGTCCAGACCTTATGGCTACGGTGAACTGGGGTGGACTCCGAGCAGAGAATCTAGTGCAGGCTCCAGAGGTGTGTATCCGGGTAGGTTTTGGCTGCTTTCCTATAGTTGGAAATGGAGGTGCTCAACAGCGTCCTTTGGATCCGAGGACCCATGGGCATTCCTCTACCGAGAAATTGGGGGTTTCGGCCCAGGCCACAGGGGAACAGTCTTTTTTTTCTGTAGCTGTCGAAGAAAGGCACTTCGACACCCGATAGACTCCAAGGAGTTGATCCCTGGAATCAAGCTACTCCAATCGCCCGTAGCAGGGCCGCAGAAATCTATAAGCCGCCCACTCAAGACTGAAGCCTCAAGGCAAGGAGGAGACAGAAGGTACCGGAAGGGCACTCGCAAGAGGGATAGACCCTCTGGGCTGGAGTCGAAAAGCGGATGAACCTCCTGTACGGGAGGTCTTTGGTGACTGCGTCGCCAATATGGCTAACGCCTGACTTTAATAATCCTAATCCTAATCCTACTATTTATATTACTCCCCACTCTGTGAACGAGCAAAAAAATTTTGCAAAAGGCCTTTTTTTTTGAAAGTTTAAAAAAAATCCTACGTTTAAATTGGAAAGGAAAAATTAATTTTATTTGTGTTTTTAAATGAAAATTGTTTAAATGAAATAGAATTGGCTCGAGATTTCATGATTATCATGCTTTATTAAAATGTTTCTTATAAAAAATTTTTGCTCACGAACGGAGAGTTTTTGTCAATGGTTCTAAATCACGTTAGGGGTAGAAGTAAGTATTTACTATTTTTCAGCTATAAAGCTTTTTTATGATGATGAAAAATATAAAATCTCTTCTTGAACATTAACCATTATTCTAAATTCATGGTCATTGCTAGCAATTCCATTGCTACTTTCAAATTTGGTAAAGTTTGAGACTGTAAAGTGTTTCAAATTCGCCCACATAAGTCCAAGGTAACTAAGAATTTGGCTTGTAAGCTCTATATCTTTCATGAGTAAAATTCGGATCTTCTTTCCGCTTTGAGCAATTTTTAGAAAACTTCTGTCGTCAAGTTTTTTGCAGCCATCAAGTCTGAGCTTTCTTAAATTCCTTCCTATACAGTCCATAATTGCTGCAAAGCTCTCATGTGTAAGAGTTTTTGAACCAACAATAGAGAGATTAGTCAGGCTCCGTAATTGTGCCAAAAGTTTGAATGACTCTGAATTCTCGATTTTATGGCAATTGATAATTGATAAATCATTAAGGCTTTGAATACTTGCAATATTGCAAAGCGAAGTGATTTGGGCATTGCTGATAATCAACTGTTTAAGATTTCTACTATTGCTAGAAAGAGCGTGCATCACTTGGTTAGTGACATTTGATGCCCCTGAAAGATTGAGGGTCTCTAGTGCTGGCATATGCTGAAATAGTTCAATTAACCCTGATTCTGATAATCTTTTGCAATTTCTTAAACTTAAATAGCAAAGCTGCTTAAGTGAAGAAATATGAAAAAGAGATGCATCTGTAATATAAGTAAACGAAAGTGATAATCTTTCGAGATTTGGGCTTTTATTGCTTAAAACTTGTGTGCAGGAGTCAGTAAAATGCTTAAACCCATCTAGACCAAGCACACGCAAGTTTTCACAAGAAGTGAGTAGCTGCAGTATGGTATTTTCATCTACAAAGTTGACTCCTACCTCAGAGTAGGAAGTGAGTCATAAATATTTGATTTTGCTTCAGCTTCTATATATAGTTGATATTCCCTCGTTTGTAAGAATATCATTTTCATATATTCTAGTATTATAGTCAACTATTTTTAGCTTATTTATTGAAATACAATTCTCTTCTATAATTCTAATGGTATTGTCAGTTAATGATAGGCTGCTTGTTTTAGCTACTTTATTTGCTATGATTTTTAGCTTTTCAAGATAACAAGGTAAGTTAAAAATTTTCGAATTTCAAATTTTTAGTTTTTTGATGCCTGAACTGCTCAAGCCATTAAAGAGACCTTGGCTTTTTTTTAATTCGCTAAAAGATGCAAGTATCATATTATCAAATTCAAACGATATGATATTTGTATTTGATAAAAAAGAAAATCACCTATCTCGATTTATTTTATAATCTATTGATTTGTTATAGACAGAAAGTTTGAGGACTTTCAAAAACTGAAGCCTTTCTAAGACCAATAAAAAATTTTCATCGCCAATTATTCGATCCAAGGATTCAAGTCTTAATTCTTCTAGACCTGTAGGAATATAGGCTAAAGCACTTAAGTCTAGGTAAGTGCAATCTATTTTAAGTTTTTTCAGTCTGTTACACTTTTTAATGACCGTTTTAAAATCAGTTGCTCTTAATAAAGGAATTTGATAAAAGTTCAAATATTGGAGGGTTGATCAGCAAGAATTTACTATATTCCATTGCCAGCTGCAAACACAGGCTAATCTTCCTCAATCACTTATATCCAAGAAGTCCTTAAGCACCATTATTAAAATATCTTGAGGAAGGTCTTCTAATTTTATATGGTTTCGGGCTGATCCTTTTACTTTTTTAGACATAATTAATTATAAAGACTAAATTTTTATAAATTATTATCGTTGATTATTACGAGATATAATTAATTTCTCCAAAAGAATTTCTAAAGTTCTTGTGTCAATAATTTTATTTTCCATTGTTTCTTCTTTTGCTCTGCTAGTCTTACTCCTAGCTTCTATTAGTGTTCTTCGTGTTACCATTTTTTGGATTTGGAATGTCTTCTTATAATATACAGCTCTAGCCAGAGTTTTTTATTCTTTTTGCTTGCAGCTCTTCCTTTAGATAGCTTGCCTTAAGCGGCTGAAGGAACTAGTATGTATAGGGAAAATGCCAGTTTATTATGTTAATAAAATTACCAATCTTTTTAATAAATTAAAAAAATATGAAGATGGGTATTTTCAGGGTAAATTTTACATAATTTGCCAATTTCTTTAGTGAATATTATCTTAAATTGCCTGCTGGATAACTCATGAAAAATTGAGAATTTAATAATTTTATATTATTTTTCGTTTTGCTTACAGTAAAGTTGAATTCCAAAATTGTTTTCTTATTTTAACTTTCATATTTAAATTGTTTACTTCCTAAGAACGAATTAAACACATTGCTTTTTTCATCTAAGCTTCTAACTCGCCTTTCTTCTAGTGCTCGTCTCTGCGTTAAATTTATTATATTTGCATTATATTCATTTGATGTCTTTCTATACTCCTGCTCCAGTCTAAATATTTCTTGCGTTAGGGTCCTCTTTTCTTTTTCTTCTTCCTCTTTTTCAGTTCGCTAGCAGCAAGGCTGCAGAAATCCATAAGCTGCCCACTCAAAACTGAAGCTGCGATAAGAAGGAGACAGAGGAGGTTCCGGAAGTGGCATTCACCTTCTGGGAAAGTCCTCAGGGCTGGAATCGAAAAGTGGTTTTCCTCCCGTATGGGAGGTCTTTGGTGACTGTGCCACCAATACGGCTAACACCTGGCTTTAATTACCTAACTTAACCTCTCTCTTTCAGCTTCAAACTGCCTTTCCAAATGTTTTAGTTTAGTTTTTTGAAAATCATATTCCTTTTGCCAAGAAGTTCTTTCTTGCATTGCTTTATCTCCAATATCAGTAATTTTGACAGCATAGACCCTTAATTCTCGTTCTAGCTCTTCTTTTTCTTCTTCGAGGCCTAAGTTTGTTTCTGCGTAGGCTCGGATTTCTTCTTGTAGACTTCGAATTTTCGAAGCCAGCTGGACGTTGGTTTTTCTTAATTCACCAAGCCGGGTAGTCAATAAAACTCTTCGGTCAAGCTGCTTTGTTTTATCAATTTGCTGCTTAGTTATTTTATCGTGAATTGTGCCAAGAAGCTGATTTACAACGTTTTCGTAATCTTCTTTTGACATTTATTATTGATTTCCTATTATTATTTATGATAGTTGTGGATTTTCTTTAGTCATTACTGAAAATACTTGCATCCGAATCGCTATTTTCAGAGCTACTTCTTAGCTTCATTCTTTTTTTTGATTCATTAGCAATGTTAATCGGTGCTATTTCTTCTTCAATTTTAGGTCTTTTTTGTGGCTCAGGCGATTCTTTTCTTTTTAACTTATCTTTCTTTTCTTTACTGGAGTCTTTATTTCTATAGTCCATTGTTTTTTCTCTAGATTTTGTATAGGGCCTGGCTGGGAAATTGAATTGGAGTGTAATCAATAAATAATATAAAAGATAAATTGCTTTACGATATTTAAATCCTTAAGGTATTTATATTATTGCCTTATAACAGAAAATGCTTATTATATAGTTAGATCATTAAGAACAAGAGAGCAAATTCCTTTGCTGTGAACTCCAATATAGTTTCTTGCAATCCTACCGCTGCTCACTTCCCACAGTTTTGCAGTAGCGTCAGTTGACGCAGTTGCAATATAAGCTGAATCACATGTGAAGTTCGCATCCCACACCCACATCTTGTGCCCTATAAGTGCTTTATCCAGCCCTAGCAGTTCCTCACTATCTAAATTGACGTTCCAAAGTTTCACAGTTTTATCAGCAGAGCACGTCGCCAATAATTTTGAATCCATCGAAAGCACACATTTTGTAATTAAATTATTGTGTGCTTGGATTCTTCCTAAAATTCTGAATTGGTCACCGTCAAGTGTTCATATTGTGATATAAAGTTTGTCTAAGATTATCTGGCTAAAAATAGCTCAATTTTATACTGGATAATCCAAGGGAAAAAGCTATAACTCCTAGATTGTTTCCATATACTCCAAATCTAGCATCCCCAGCTATTTGTGTGCTTCTTATAGCTTCTTCGTCTGGATTGACTACAATTCGATAACTACTGGAGGCAATATCCCATACAGCCAATAAGCCGTCTTCGTAGCCTGCAATTAATTCACTTTGATTAGGATGAAGCACTGCTGTATTAACACCTGTCTTCCCTTCATAGCACCTTTGAGATCGATTTGTGTTGAAATCCCAAATTCTTATGGTTCCGTCTTCTGACGCTGTATACAGCCAGTTTGAACGCTTACTCTCCCCTTTTCCTCTGCGGGAGAACAAAACTATTATAAAAAACCCCGTATTTTTTAATTAAAAAAACGCCCTATGTAATAAACAAAAATTTTTTTAATATAATTTATTTTTTAAAAATATTATAAGTGATAATTATTATAATGAAATCTCTAGCTAATTCTGTTTAATCTTAAACAGCTTGCATTTTAAACCATATTTTTATAGATTAAATTTATTTTCGCTTTACAATTTTATAGGATTTTTACATTTCAAATTAAATTAATCTATTTAGAAATCTAAAAAAAATCAATCACTTTCCATAAGTGAACAATTTTTTTTCACTCACGAAGGGGAGCTAGGAAATCCAATAGCAGTAATATTTCCTGAGTGCCCATCATAGTTGTGGACTGGTATGGTTGAATTTGACTGAAGATCAAATAATTTTAAAGATTTATATGCAGCCACAGCTATATATTGACGATCAGGGGTCACAGCAAGAGCACTGACATGCACATCTTTAAGAGGAATTACACGAGTTGCTACTTCAGTGCTGGGGTTTCATAAAACTACTTTTTCGTCATATCCTCCAGTCGCCAAAATAACTTCACTCATGAAATAATTGTAAAATTACCAGAAAAGTCTCAATTACAATGTGTTATTAATTATCTATATAATAATGCAGCTATTAGTCCCTTCTTCAGGTCTGCCGTCTTCTTCACCATTTTGATGTTCAGAGTCTTTTACAAAGTTATTTTGAGTCCACGACCTTTTTAAAGTTAACGCTGGTGAATGCGAATTATAACTGCAAGCAGCTTTTCAGTCATAATTGTAGTCAAAGTCATAGTCCATTCTGATAAAAAGGTCTCTAAAGAGTCTCTTGATATATGCGTAGTCAGGCTTGGCAGTAAATTCAAGACTTTTAACATAACTCATATATATACTTAAAAATGGCGACGACGTGCCATCTGTCCTCTCGACCCTATTTCCTCAAAACCTGCAGGCAGCGGCCCAGTTTTGGGGATTTAGGTGGAAAGGAGTCGGAAATCCTTTGTGTATGTCGGGCTAGGTTTTATTCGTGCCCTATCGAGCTAATCCGTGGGACTCGGGCTTTTACCTCCAGAACAACCATTGGAAAGGACAAGATCGGCAGCAGTCCCGAGAGGAGGCTAACTCCCTCGAGCAGGACTCAAGAGATGGCATTTATCCAACAAGAAACTGGGAGTTTCAACCCAGGTGGTTGGCCCTTAGGCTTCAGGAGCGATGGAAATCAAGACTGGTTGTGCGAATCATTGTTTGCGGTACAAGGTGGGTGTCCGCCGAGGCTCCTTATAGGTGAAGAGCGTGTGGGGGTGCAAATCCCCGGCCCTGCAAGTGCGAACGGCTAATCTTAATCTTAACATAACTCATATATGTGGAAAATTCAGGAGGACATAGAAAGCATAGCTCTTGAACCGTCGCGCAGACTTTTCTTTTTATTAGCTCTTCTTTTCTCATTTGGCTTGTATTGCCGATTCCTTCTCATGGTAAAGACCCACTTAATAGATAAATAAGCATATAGCCTAAAGCTTCTAGATCATCCCTTCTACTTTGTTCAATCCCTAATAAAGCATTATTCGAGCAAAATCTCTGATTCCCAGTAAAACCCTTCCCCTGCTTGTATTTTATGTGATTTTTGGGTGATTTTTTATATCTTTTGCTCAAGCCAAAATCAATAAGATAGATAATATTCTCAAATTGGTTTTTTCCTATCAGAAAGTTTTCCGGCTTAATGTCGCGGTGTATCAAGTGGTAAGAATGCAAACTTTCAATTCTGGATATAGCTTGCTCGGCGATCATTAAAACTGTTTTTAGTGAAAACACCTTCTGGCACATGAAGAAAAGCTCTTGAATGGTGTACCCAAGCAAGTCCATGATTAATACGTTAAATGGCCCATTTGTTCCGTACCACTTCACTTTGGGGACTCCTGGCTCTTCTTTAAGTCTTAGAAGGATTGCTGACTCCATTAGGAGCTGGTTGTAAGCTGATGAAACGGGCTCAAGTTTTATGGCCACTTCTTCGCCTGTCGCTATATGCTTCCCTATAAACACTTCTCCGAACGAGCCGCTTGTTATTTTCTTGTCTAGCTTTCAATATTCTCCAAAAATATAATTCATTATGTTTTTAAAATGTTCGTTTTACGAACTTAACTTGAATTTAATGTCGCTTTTATTAGGGAGACCTTTTTATATCAAACCTTCAAGTGCTGGCGATAAAAAGGCTCAGCTTAGGGAATTATTGTTGATAGCTCCTGAGCTTAGGACTGACGGTCAACTTTTGGAAATTTCGAGCTTAATAGAGGAAAACAGCTTTTTTTCTAGATTTGCAGGAAGTGGGCAGCTAGCTGAAATGTCGAGATATATAAAAATAAAAAAGTACCTATCAAATGAAATTATAATTGAACAGGCTGAAGATATTTATGGGTTTTTTCTAATCCACACAGGAAGGGTAAGGTTTGAAACTGCTTCAACGATATCTAAAGATATGATCAATGGTCAGTGTTTCGGTGAGAACTCATTAATTGATGGAATTCCACTTAAAGCTACAGTAAAAGCATTAGACCCAACTGAAATAATAGTTTTAAAGAAGCAAACTTTTGATTTAATCGCAAGATCTGTGCTCAAATTGCAGCATAAAGCCAATCTTGAGTTTTTCCATAGTCTTCCTCTATTCCAAAAAATGTCTGGGGAATTTATCAAGAATATTTCAAAGAAAGCTTACATTAAAAAATTCTCGGCAAATCACATTCTTATAAAAGAAGGGGATTATCCTCAAGGAATTTACATAATTTCAGAAGGAAGTGTCAAATTATCACGCACATTGATATTTTCTAGCAAGGAAAACGCTATAAATAAAAGAAAAATCATTATTGACGAGCTTGGCCCTGGTGATATGTTTTGTGAGCATGCTTATATAACAAAACAACCTATAGAATATACTGTTGTGTGCCCTATCCCTCTAGTTTGCTATTACATATCAAAGGAAGATCTAAGGTGTTTTGATCCTGTATTTTTTGAAGAATTGAAATTATTATGCAAACCTTATCCTAAGGATGAAGAACTCAAGCAGGAATTTTTTGAAAAGCAAATGTGGAGGGCATTTCGAGTAGATATTGTCAAGAATATTAAAATTGAAAAGCAGCTTAGAAGGTAAAATATATATAGATGTCTTGATAATCAATTTAGAAATCCAAGCTTAATCCCGAAAAAGAATTTGGTATTTGAAACCAATAGGTTTCCTAGCTTAAAAAAGAGTCGACCTTATACAACTCCACATAGACGCAACGCATCAATGTTTTAAAAAATTGGTGATATTACAAAGTTTTTTTATTAATAGATCTCTACCATAAAAGTGTAACTAATTCTAAAATGGAAATAAAAACTGATAACCGAGAAAAAGTAGGTCAATGCTCAAGTGAAATAGAAAGCATTCTGCAATCCCAAAAGTGGAAAAATAAACGACACTCTCAAAATATCCAAAAGCCTATAAAACAAACGATAAACCATGCAAAATCGTCATCACAAGTTGAAATTCTGTGTAAAAATGATAAAAAGCTTATCAAGCTTCCATCAATCAAAAATAAAGTTTCTCCCTATCTCCTCACAATGAACTTAATTAAAACAACTCTCAACTCTCCTCATCACGGCTCTACTAATGACCAAAAGGCCAGCCAAAGCTCCAAAATTTTTCGCTTTGCAATCCCCTATAAAATCCTAAAAGATTCTTTAAAACTTAATTTAGTAGGGCACAAAAAGCCTCAAACTAACACTTTAAAAGTGCCACTTTTCCCTCAATCTCCTTACGGGAATCATAAGCAGGACTCAGAAATTCGTTTCAAAGACATCCCAAAGCCTAAAGAAAAAACACAGCCAACCTTCACCGAAAGAGCTAGAAAAAATAGTGGCAGCTTTTAAATCTCTGCAATATAGTAATAGCTTTTAAAAATAAGCTTATAATTAAGAAATTAGATTAATGGGTCGCTAATAAATAATGGAAGAACAAACCCATATACTTGCGACGGTACAAAAATTGCTTGGGAGGACAGGTTCACGAGGTGGGATTACACAAGTTCGTGTTGTTCTTCATGGCGATGAAAGTGGGAGAACTCTCGTTAGAAATATAAAAGGCCCTGTTAAAGAAGGAGATATGCTTGCCTTGTTGGAAAGTGAAAGAGAAGCCAGAAGATTAAAGTAACTTATCAATAAACAGATCAGTTTCATTCAAATCATATTAATTGTTTAGTGATTTATTATTATTTTAAGAAGTGAAGATTAGAATATTTAAGGATCTGTCTGGTTAAAGGAAGAAGATGAGGAGCTGACGGCAATATTTTCTAAAGGAACTTCTTCAGGGAGAATAGGGATGTGGCCAATTCGCTGCATGTAGTCTGTTATCTGCTTGGGGATCTCTGCAAGAACTTCTTGAGCAAGCAGGTAAGGATTTCCACCGAACTTTCTGAATGGCACAAATTGAACGATATCTCGCGAAGCCTGTCTTCCTTCGCGGTCTCTTAGTAGACCAGTATCACAGTCTAAAATTTCCATGTTTCTAAAATCTTCATTTCCAAGGCCGACGATGATGATGCTCAAAGGTAATTGTGAAGCCTGGACAATCAAAGATAAAGTGATATCCATATCATGTATTTCTCCATCAGTCATAAGCAGCAACACGTGATAAAACTGCCCGGGAGGAGTGCTTTGAGCTATATTCATTGCATTCCTGATTACATGCTGGAATAGTGTTGGCCCTGATAAATGAACTCTTGGCAAAGTTTCATGATAAGCCTGAAGTATTCCAGGAATCCCAAAAATAAATGGATTTTGAGGGTTTCCGTTAAGTGGAAAACAATGATCTACCTTTCCAATCCAATCTGGCTTTCCTCCAAACCCAAAAACTGGGTACATTTTGCTCATATCATAATTATCAAGGATACTTCCTACAGCCCACATAGCTCTTTCATACTCATTTTGAGCGTTATTACTCAAATAATGCAACGAATTACGGTCTGTATAATCTCCATTGCTGCCTGTAAAATCTATAGCCACCATCATTGTAAATTGAGTTCCACCCCTTAAATAGTCAATAAAAGAATACACCTTCCTCTTTGTGCATTGCAAAACTTCAAGGACTCCTGAGTTTGTGTACTTCTTTTTATTTTTCTTATCTGGGTTAATTATAGGCAATTGGCAACCAGGCTGCAATAGATCATGCAAATTAGTGCTGCAGTAACCTATCAAATCATTAGAAGAGTTGCTGTCCCAATCCCAGCATTCAATCCTCAGAGTTACGAACTCATTTCCTCCGCATAGCTTTTCACTGGGAATTTCAAACGGTTTCCACATGGGATCCAATGTATTTTTAATTACCTCAGTTGACCAGACTTTGATAGCTTCTCCATTCTCCCTTATCCTATAAATGAACAGAAATGGATCACTCTTTCCGAAAGTGTCCATTTTGTCAACATGATGTGCACAAAGCTGCATAAAAATGATGTCCCTCGAAAACTTTATTTCTTCTACCCTGATAATGATTTTCCCTCTAGATCTCCCATCATTATGTCGTTTATCGTGCAAATCTTCTATCGCAGTTCCTTTCCCTACAATATACCCGAGTGTTGTTTCATATGTCCCAATAGTTTCGTAATTTCTGCCATCATAGTCATATACAGTGAAATTTAAATGTTGCTGGACTTCAAAATAATAATCAAGAGGGATAGAAGTTGTTCAATTAGGGTTGAGATTATTTTGGATTACTTCAGTTCTCCCCACCTCAATAGGTGAAGGGTTATGATTGTCGTGCATAGAAATGACGCAGATAGGATCACTTTTACTCCATACATCAAGGTCTTTAAGAGACCTTCCGCTTATAAACAGTTGCACTCTTGTGCACAACCTTTGATCCATTTTATATATAATAAAATCTATTACTCACTCCCCCTTCTGTAAGCGAACAAAATCATTGGGAAAATCCATATTTTTGTGTAAAAACTCACCCTCTGTAGCGAAACAAAATTTTTTATGAAAAAAGAATTTGATATAACGATGACCCCCCCTCAATCTTCATGTCTATTGCAACAAAAATGCGATTTTTTTAATATAAAATTTTATATAAAAAAATAATAATTTTCATGTCTCTTGCAACAAAATTATATACACATTAAAATGGCGACACGTGTCAACCTGCCCTCTAGGCGCAGCAGTCCAGATCTTATTGCTACAGCGAACTGGGACGGACTCCGAGCCGAAAATCAGACGCAGGCTCAAGAAGTGTGTATCCGGGTAGGTTTTGGCTGCTTTCCTGTGGTTGGAAATGGAGGTGCTCAACAACGTCCTTGGATTCGAGGACCCATGGGTATTCCTCTAACGAGAAACTGGGGGTTTCAGCCCAGGCCACAGGGGAACAGTCTTTTTCCTGTAGCTGTCGAAGAAAGGCACTTTGACACCCAATAGACTCCAAAAATCCTTGGAATCAAGCTACTCCAATCGCCCGTAGCAGGGCCGCAGAAATCCATAAGCAACCCACTCAAGACTGAACTCCCAAGGCAAGGAGGAGACAGAAGATACCGGAAGTGCACTCGTAAGAGGGATAGATCCTCTGGGCTGGAGTCGAAAAGCAGTAGAACCTTCCGTACGAGAGGTCTTTAATGACTGCGTCATCAATATGGCTAGCGCCTGTCTGTAATAATCTTAATCCTAATCCTCTTGCGACCTTGAAAAGGCAGGGATTACGGAGGAGATCGTACAGGAAATCGAGTGATGAATCGCTGAAAAGAAAAGGAAGGAGTTCTTAGTGTAGGAAGAGGCCTGGCGCACGACAGCGATGGTCATTGAGTCGTCCGGCTGCTAAAGGGTCAGCTGGTCTCCCTACGTGGCGGCCAGCCTAGAGGTCGCCGTGGGGAGGGCTACTTCCGTGGGGAAGGGCTTGCTGCCCGAAAAAACTGCCGGTGATGGCTCTTTTGGGCTCCTTGGGGGTTGCTGGTCTTTAGGGGGTTGATGTTTTGGGGTCGATTGCTCCGGAAGTTGTGGGAGTTCTGGGAGTTCTGGGAGGTGAGGGAGTCGCAGGAGTTCTGGGAGTTCTAGGAATTGTGGAGTCTGGAGCCTGGGAGATCCTGGGAGAACTGGGAGATTCTGGGAGATTTGGGAGTTTTTTTTTTTTTTGAAGTGGTGTTGGTTCTTCTGGGAGTGGTGGCGTTTGGAGTAATGCTGGTTCTGGGAGTGGTGCTTGGATTGATGCTGGTTCTGGGAGTGTTGGTGGAAGTAGTGTGACTCTGTAATTGGGTAGGGATAAGGCTAATTTTTTCTTTCTTTCTAATCCTCTTGCAACAAATTTTCGATGTGCATCTTAAATTTTTCCGTACTTTTTAGCTAGATAAGTTTAATAAAAATGGCGAGCGATGGCAATAGCCGTCCAATTCTCGATAAGAAGGTCATTGACACACCTACAGTAGCGCTGTTTTATGGATTTTTTGAGAAACTCACCTAGTTAATTTTTTTTATAAAAATGTTGTGTTGCCAATAGTTAGTTAGTTAGTTAGTTTTATATGGCCATACGTGGGGCGAGCCAGCTGACCACGACACCTCAGCTCGAAAGACGACTCCAGGTCGGGTTCTGATGCGACCATACTCCCAGGCCCGACGCCATCTTGATTTCTGGTCTGAACCACCTGTCCAGAGGATCAGCTCCTCTGGGCAGAACCACTCTTGAATGAGTGCCCCGATAATCCCCGATGAAGGAAACCATATGGTAGGAAAAACCTGTTCGGGGGAGAAATAAAACTTCCTTTTCGGCACGACTTCCCCACCTCTGAAGGCCTACTTAAGACAGGGAACGAGGCCCTATATTTCAGCTTCATCAGAAATGGGTCCTATCAGCTCTATAGGAGGTGCGCCTCGGAGTCCTGTTTCCGTCAACGTCACCATTTTATTTCTTGTGTTGCAATAGGCATGAAGATTTTTTCGAAAAATTTTTGTTGCAGTAGACATGAAGATTGAGGGTTATAAATGATAATTAATTTAATGAAATCTCTAGATTTCTTTTAAATTTTAAGCAAATTGCCTTTTAAGCCATAAATTTTACAAATCAAATTAATATTTGCTTTCCAATCTTTGAGAATTGGGATTTTTTAAATTTTGAAAAAAAATTAAAATCTTTTGTGGCTCTTTTATCCCTTACGAGATAAGGGATTTAGGTACAAATAAAAGATCATTTCTTCACTGTTATCCGAATCAAACTCATCATAGAAAAAAGATTAATTTGCACCTGGTATCACGCAATCTACTGAGTAAATTTACAGTCAAATTTGACGGTAATTTTTTTTTATTTTATTATAATAAAAAGAATTCAAGAACTCAGCAACAAAAGAAACCATTCTTTAATTAAGATAAAAATCTGTTCAGATCGTAAAATAGAGATCCTAGCTTTTCACATGAAAGCGAATTCAGGAAGTCAGTTGATTGCAAATACCGGCTCACAGTATGAGGAAACTAATGAATGGTTCTCTAATAGCAATACGCGACGCTTATGTAATTAATAATAGACAACTACTGTCTTCGTTAGAATAAAGAACTGAATTCGTTTCTTCATGAGAGAACTGTTTATCATGTAACAGAAAAATCCGTAAAAGTCATATGTCTGTGCGCATTCAGATACATATATTTGCTGCTTAGGCATGCAACGCAGAGTGTAGTAAATCAGATAATTTTGTTGCACATTTGAGCTATATACTTTATCCTAATTTCGTATTTTACTGATATATAAATACAAAACTAATATGACCATAATTCACGAACCAATTCTTTCATAGAAATAAGAATTAAATATTTCATTATCTTTACTGTGAAATGGTTCTCATTAAAAAAAAATGTTTTACGCAAAAAAATAGCTGATGCAAAACCCCTGTATATGGTGTTTTTACTGTACATAGACTCTCTTAATGAATTTATTAATATTTAGTATTGAATTAGTGAGAAAATTCTTGATAGCATTAATTAATTTACTATTTTTATAACTAAATAATATTTAGAAAAAAATTAATCAGGTTTCTATAATTAAATTGTAATTTTAACTTTTTTATTTTAAAGTTATACTGTATATTTGAGCCATTTTTATAATTGAAGCGCGAAATTTGAGCTATTTATTCATATAAAGCTCGTAATAAATTATTGAATACAGCAGTGAATGAATTTAGCACATATTAAAGAGATAATTTAGATTAAATGAGTGCTATTATATATATTATTTAGGTATTATAAATTTTTTAAATAAGTTTTAATCATAAATATTACTGTATCTATTAGTTTAGTGCAAAATGATACAGAAAAAAATACTAATTATGTCCAACTCTCGCATTCTGAAACATTATAAAGACAATAAGGCGAATTCCATAAACATAGTACAGTAGATTAATCAAAATGTTGCTGATATTTTTTGCGTAAAAACATTTTTTTTTAATGAGAACCATTTCACAGTAAAGATAATGAAATATTTAATTCTTATTTCTATGAAAGAATTGGTTCGTGAATTATGGTCATATTAGTTTTGTATTTATATATCAGTAAAATACGAAATTAGGATAAAGTATATAGCTCAAATGTGCAAACAAAATTATCTGATTTACTACACTCTGCGTTGCATGCCTAAGCAGCAAATATATGTATCTGAATGCGCACTGACATATGACTTTTACGGATTTTTCTGTTACATGATAAACAGTTCTCTCATGAAGAAACGAATTCAGTTCTTTATTCTAACGAAGACAGTAGTTGTCTTATCAATTACATAAGCGTCGCGTATTGCTATTAGAGAACCATTCATTAGTTTCCTCATACTGTGAGCCGGTATTTGCAATCAACTGACTTCCTGAATTCGCTTTCATGTGAAAAGCTAGGATCTCTATTTTACGATCTGAACAGATTTTTATCTTAATTAAAGAATGGTTTCTTTTGTTGCTGAGTTCTTGAATTCTTTTTATTATAATAAATAAAAAAAATTACCGTCAAATTTGACTGTAAATTTACTCAGTAGATTGCGTGATACCAGGTGCAAATTAATCTTTTTTCTATGATGAGTTTGATTCGGATAACAGTGAAGAAATGATCTTTTATTGTACCTAAATCCCTTATCTCGTAAGGGATAAAAGAGCCTCTTTTGTTCGGTACGGAGGGGGGGGAGTCAGTAATAATTAACATTTAATTAGAAATTAATCAAGATGTGAGGTTGAGGTTGTCATCTCAACTGTTCTTCGTAATGAAGTGGACGATTTCTTCTGCATCTCACAAATTCTGTAGTTAAGAGGGGATTTGCAAGGAGATCCAATTACACTTTCTGATTTTTCGTTTTTTTCAATTTTTTCAATTTTCATGCATCTTAAAATAGCAGAGCTCATTTTTTTATGGCGTAATTTCTTTAATGATGACTGGATATTCAATTTGCTGGTCAAGTTATCTGGGCTTGAAGCTTTTAAGACGTTAAACTGCTGGATCTGCTCTCGTTTTTTCATTTTAGGTAAGGGAGAGCATGAGAGAGAATAGCTAGGCTGGGATTTAGTATTTAAAAACGTATGGAGGTTTTCTGCCTGAGGCGTTTTCTGCATGGTTTGAGAGTATAAGCGCAGAATTTGATTCAGTAACTTGTCTGCAATATTACGGTCTTTTAAATGGTATTGAGATCTTAGATATTTGTGATTAAGTCTACAAGGAGACAATGCTGATGTAGGAGATTTCACAGATTTCTGACTGTTATGAAGCGATTGAAAATATCTCCGAAAACCGTCAGGAGTTTCTGCATCTTTTCTTATAGAAAGAGGGAAAATACTATTTGAACTTAATCCTTGTTTGAGCTGAGATTTGTCGTTTCTTGATCTCATATTGATTAATGTACCATATTTATCACAATCTATTAATTAATTTTTTAACAAGTTAATTTATCTTCTTTCCAAAATATTTTTTATTATTAATTTACGTCTTTATTTCTTTTTGAACTCTGCTATAATCACTTAGCAATGCAAAAATTTCGTTACAATAAAAATGTCTGAAAAGCCACCTTTTGCAAAAGTTATTTTTCTTGGCAGCTCAGGTGTTGGAAAATCAGCTGTAATAGAGCGTCTAATGCATGATGATTTTAAGCATACTTGCAGACCAACTATAAGTGCAGGCTTTCAAACACAAGAAGTAACTCTTCTCGATGAAAAAATTAATCTTCAATTATGAGATACTGCAGGACAAGAACGCTTTTTTTGTCTATCCTCAATGTTTTTTAGAAACACAGACTGTTGTGTATTAACTTACGATATATCCAATTTAAAAACGTTCTACGAGGCTAAAGAATGGAAAAGGAAATTTATTGAAAGTGGGTTTCCAGAAAACATTGAAGAATTCCCTTTTGTGTTAATAGGAAATAAACATGACATGAGAGCGGCTAGGAAAACAAATAAATCTGATGCAGCTGATTGAGCAAGAGCTGAAGGCATGGCTTATAGAGAAGTTTCTGCAATGACTGGAGAAGGATTTGAAGGATTACTGGAAAAAATTGCTGAATTGTCATGAAGATATGCAATAAAAAGACAAAAACTGAGAAATATTGAAGAAGGCAATGAAGCTATCGAGATCACAAATAAGGAAGAGCCTACTCAAAAGAAAGGGTGCTGCATTATATGGTAGATAAAATCCCGCAAATGGAGATACAAGTTTTAATTAAATTTTAATAAAAGCAAACTAATGATTTCTGAATCTTGTTGAGCAGTTACTGTAATCAACAGATTTAGAACTAAATTAAATAAGCATATATTTACTTATCTATAAAAGTCTTGGATATTGTTCTCCGTCCACAGCGCCTCCTCTTAAGGATCTTCTTACATTGTCATTGAACCTCTCAATGCTGTTTCTCATCAATTCTGCTGCAGTCTGATTAAGTGGATCATTAGGATTCGGTTCTAAGAACAAGAAATTTAGCCCCAAGATAACAGCGCTGATGCAAAGGACTGGCTTCCAGTCACCTCTTAAGATATTAAGACAGACATTTCCCCTGAGATCGATGTTTGGATGATAAATCTTGGTGTTACAATGCACACGTGGAGGCTCATGCGGATAAGCGATTGGCACTGTAAAGGTAAAGTTATAAGATGCTCCATACCAAAGAGATGTGTTGTCATCAACAGTCAAGTCAATATTGAAGTTCATTATGTCATTGTCATTAGGGAAAGTAATCCTAACATTTCTTGGCAGGTCTAGCTCTCCCAATTCTTTCTGAAGTCTGATTTCGCCAGCTGTTCTGCGTCTAGCTCCACCTTCTTCTTTTTTTTCTTCTTCATCACGTTTGGAGGCTTTTGGTCCGAATATTTTTATCATGTCTTAATAATTATTATATAAATACGTCAATACGAGTACAATTGAGTAATTCAAGGAGAAAAAAATAATGCAATAAATTTTTGATATAAATAGGTTTTGACGGATGTAATTTTATCCTATAAAAATGCTGAAAAAATTAATATTTATTGCAAAATTTAGCAAAGTTAAATTTGTAATAAAATTTAAGATTATATCAAGTGGGGAACTTATAGAAAAGCAACAATATAAATAATTTAAAAACAGCTTTTTATATTGATATTTGAATAAAATAGTGAGCAGTATTTTATAATTATAATGAAAGTTGCCATAGCAAAACGCTTATATTTTTTTCAGCTAATTTATAAAAAATCAGAAAATATCCTTTAAAAATTTAAATAAAATTTTCCTTCTTAATTTCCAAATATTCACCTAAAAATTCAACACAATCAAATGTCTTATAAAAATATATGGCTAGGAGCGCAGCTCAATACGATTACCTAATAAAATTGCTGATCATTGGAGACTCAGGTGTAGGAAAAACATGCTTCCTACTCCGTTTTTCTGACGATAACTTCACTGCATCCCATCTCACAACTATCGGGATTGATTTCAAATTAAAAACGATAGAAATTGAAGGCAAAACTATAAAACTCCAAATCTGGGACACCGCTGGCCAAGAGCGATTTAGGACAATCACCCAAACTTACTATAAAGGTGCAATGGGAATCATCCTTGCATATGACTGTACTGATGAAAAATCTTTCAATAACATCCGCAACTGGGTGCAACAAATAAAAATGCATGCCAATGAAAACGTCGCTAAAGTGCTTATTGGAAATAAATGTGATAGGCCTGATAAGAAAATTAGTACTGAGCAAGGAGAAGCTTTAGCAAGAGAGCTTGGAATAAAGTTTTTTGAAGCCAGTGCCAAGACAAATATTAATGTCAATGAAACGTTTTATCATATAGCCAAAGAGATCAAGGATAAGAGGTTAGGAGAAGCGTTAGGTACAACTGGGAATATTAGAGTTCAGAAGACTGCTGAACCTAAAGCCAAAAAAGGTTGTTGCGGGAAGTAATTTTATTATTATTAGGTTGTTACTAGATTATTATTTGTTATTGCAATTAAAGGTAAAATATATTATATTGGGAAAATTAATATAGACCACATAGGGTGAAAAATAAATAACTATTTGAGTCAGCTTAATTCTTTAAAATTAGAATTATAAATCATTACGAATTGATAATCTTAGGATTTTTTGAATAAACTCTTTTAATAGGAAATGAGAGGTCAGGATAATATATATAATGGCTAAACCTGGAAAGGCAGCTAAGAAGGCTAAGCAGCTCACAAAAGGTCACGTTGTGACCAAGCTCGAGAAAAAGGCAAGACCTTCAAACAGAAAAGGAAAGCTCAGCAAGCGTACTGAGACCGTAAGATCTGTTATCAGAGATGTCACTGGGTTTGCACCTTATGAAAGAAAAATCCTTGAACTTTTGCAGGCTGGCAGCTCTAACCCCCATCTTTACTAGTGACGAAAATATCTTGCTCGCTAATTGATGAGGGTTGAATTTTTTTTTATAATTAAGATTAAAAAATATTTTAAATAAAATTATAAAATTAATTTCAGTTTAAATTTAATAGAATTAGTTGGAGTGTTCATTATTATACTGATATTTTATATCAAATTATTTTAATAAAAACGATTTTTTACCCAATCTTATGAGATTTTCCCAAAAATAGGTTATAATGATCTTGATCGCGATCAAAGGGGAGTAAGGATGAAAAGAAAGCCCTTAAGGTCGCTAAAAGAAGAGTTGGAACTCACAGAAGAGGAATGCGCAAAAGAGAATACATGAGAGGAGTCATGCAAAGATTACGCCATAAGTAAACTTTAAGGACAAATTATCATTAATCACCTTATACTTTTATAAATATTGGCCAAATATAATTTAACGACACGGGAGGATTAATGATTAAATATTTCCTTGGATAAACAGAATATTCATGCTTTATTTAACTTTCTTCCACAAGTAAAGAAATTCTCATAATAAAACAACGCTATATAAGAGATTTATTCTCAGCTTATTTTATTAAGCAAATAAATAATATATATCAAAGAATTAATTTATTTTATAACAGAAAATAGCTCAAAATTTAAATGAACCAAAAATAAATTATTTAAATCGTTCTAAATTTGACTCCTAGCCGATCCAATATTTACATCAAACATTTTGCAAAACTCTTCGTAATCAACTCTTCCTGTAACTTTTAGCCAGCTAAGATTCATCATTTCTTCAATCTCAGCATCAGTAATTGCCCTTCCTGATTTCTCAATCACTCTCTTTACTTGTAAACCTGTAAAATATCCAACATCATCCTAAATAAATATTACAATATCAAAAGTTTTATATGCAGCCATCAAATTTTCTTCTTTCTGGGTGATAGCTGGGTCCAAGGTTGCAATGATAAATTCTGAATAATTCATTTTTCCATTGCCGTTTAAATCAACTTGTGACATGATACTTGTGATTTCGAAAGGAGCAATTTCTATATTTGCTGCTCTTACTACCCACTCTGTGAGCGAACAAAAAAATTTATTTCGCTTACTAGGCTAATATTTTTTAAAAAAAATTCCAATTGGAAAGCAAATATTTATTTAATTTGTAAAATTATATTTTAAAAATGCAAGCTGTTTAAAATTAAATAGAATTATCTAGGATCTCATTATAATAATTATTACTTATATATCAAAATATTTTGTCATAAAAAATTTTATGTTAAAAAAACTTTGCCTAAAACTAAGAATTTTTCCATTTACGGAGGGGAGAGATAGGCATTGCTCAAGCCCTTGTTGTGTTATTAAACCAGTGAGATCAACGTCAAGGGCTTTGAAATTGTCTAAGACAAACGAAACTTCATTAGGTTTCATAAATTTAGCAAGGACTCGTGCTGCTTCAACTCGAAGGCGATTCGAGGATGTGAAGCTTCTTAAACGTGAAATAAGGTTCATATCTAAAGGCTTGACCCTGTTAGCACCCATGATTGAAAATCAAGGATGCCTTAAAGCTTCAACTGCAGTTAATCGCTTATTAGGATCAGGGCAGAGTACTCTTTTAATAAAATCTTTAAACTCTTTAGAAGCTCTTTCAAACTCAGGCTCTTTTAAGGATATATTTGCTTTTCTTATGCTTTTGAAAATTTCTTTATTGCTTTCCCCTCTGAATGGTTGATATCCTGCAAACATTGTATAAAGAATTACTCCTAGACTCCATACATCACATTCTGGGCCATATTTTCCACCCAGAACTTCAGGAGCTACGTACAGTGCAGTTCCGACCATGGTTTTCATATCATTTCCTCTGAATCTACTCGCTAGGCCAAAATCTACTAATTTTAGCTCAGCATCTTCTTTGTTAGAATCAAATAAGCAATTTTCAGGCTTCAAGTCTCTATGGGCAATATTGCTAGCGTGCAGATGGTTAATTCCGTAGAACATTTTGAATGCCACATGCGCTGATTCTCTTTCGGTGAAACGGTTTTTTTTATTGATTTTATCAAAGAGCTCTCCTCCGGAGCAAAACTCCATGACGATATGAATAAAATTTCCGTCTTCAAAGACTTCATAGAGTTTGATTATATTAGGATGGTCGCTTGCTTTTAGGATCATTAATTCTCTTTGCAGTGATTTGATGTCTCTTTTAATTTTTTCCTTATTCAAACTCTTAATTGCGTATTTTTGGTGGCTTCCAAGCTTCGAGACACCTAATCTAACTACTCCGTATAAACCTTTGCCAAGGATTTTTTGTAAATCGTAATATTTGCTGATATCTGCTTAAAACTTACCATCAGTCATTATGTATAAACTATCGTTAATAGGGGATTTGGGGGTGTGAGGAGAAGCATCTATAGATGCGTCTTTGTTAGGAACAACCAAATTATTCGAGGTAACTACTTTTGGTGAAGTAGGAGTGCGTTTTGAGGTGCAGATGCCCATCTATAATATTTTACTTATAAATTATAAATAATTTAACTTCTATGCTAATTTTCGGGTATTTGTTGGCTTATATCGCTCCACTTGAAACAATTTTATTTAAATTTTTAAATTAATGAATTATTTAAGATATTATAACTTGCTTTGCTCTATATAGATGAAAGGTATTAAGCTTAATTATAAAGACTAAAACATCTTAATCTTAGATATCAAATGCTTATCAAAGCTAAGCTAATTGGAGAAGGCTTTTTGATTATTATTCTGCTGTATGATTGCATTTTTTTTATTAATATCTTTAAGTATTAAAAATTCCTCAAATAATAAAATTATATTTCCATTTATTTCAATTTTATTCAGCACAAATATTACCTAAATAATAAAACTGATGAAGAAGAAACCAGAAAATTTTCTCGTTGATAACACCCTGTAATCTTAATGCAGTGCAGTCAATAAATTAAAAAATCAAAACGCAAAACTCAAAACTGAACTAAGAGTCCTCAAACGCTCACTTGAAGAAGCAATTTCTAGACAAAGAAAAATTGATAGCGAGAAAACTAAAATTCCTCAGCATAATGGGAATAACACAGAATTAGAAAAAGAATTAAACAATGTATATTGGAAAATTAATGACTATAAAAAAGATATCAATGAAATGAAAATGCAGCTGATTGGAAATTTGAAAAATCCAAAAATCACAGATCTTGAAAACAGAAGAGCTTTTTTAAAGAAGCAAATTGAAGAAGTAGAAGCTGAGTTTATTGCATTGCAAAATATAAACGTAAAACAAGAAAAAGCTTTAGATGCAGCTGCTAAAGCCCAAGGCTACCCAGAAAAAAACGAATTTTTAAGGCAAGAGCTGAAAAAGCTGAAAGATGAATATCGAGAAAAATCGTACAAGCAGCAAGTTGATGAGAAAAATTTGAAGGCCAGGCATGAACTATTCGTGGATGTCAGAGAAAAATGCAAGGCTTTAAAAGAAATTATAGCGAAAAAAAATGCAGAGGAAGATGACCCTATTGACCCTGAAGCGTTAAAGTATGACATACCCACTCTTGAGAGAAAAATAAAAGAAATTGAAGAAAAAACCAAAGAAGATGTAAATGCGCTGAAATTGAAAATAAAAGATCTTGAAACTCACATAAATGACAGCAAACATACATTAAGCTTGCTACAAGTAAAATTAAAAGAAAAGGACCAAGAAACTCGAATCTGTATGCTTAAAATAAGAGAACTCAGAAGAGCAGTTAGCCATACTAAGTCATTGAACAAACTAGGACTTCAAAATCGTGGCTTTGATGAGGTTGATTTGCCGTTCAAGAGTAATCGGTTGAAAGGAATTTCAGAAAAATCATCATTTCGCGATTTAAGATTATCGCAAGAAATGCAGTCACCTGTTCAAAACGAACCAATAGAAGAATATCCGCCAAGATATGCAAACGATGTCAATGAAAAGAAGGAAGAAATTAGTACAAAAGAACAAAGCGAAAAAGAGAATTGGGAGCAAGAGGATAGAAGTAGCGATAAGCCTCATATAAATCAGATGATAGATATGATGTCTAGCATAGATGTCAAGTTAAGTTAATCTTGAGGATAGCCACCAGTTGCCTATTGGCGTATACCCACCTAGCCTGAAGATTAGTTCCCTAATTTAGAGCCAGCTCTTGAGGATGCCCCGCTAGTCCAGCTCATCTGGGAGGGACAGGAAAAATCTTCGGGATAAAACCTTCCCTCTTCAGCAAGCATCCCCAAATCCGAAGGCCTATTTAAAACTGACAAATGAACTATATTCAGAATCGTCGGGACGGGTCTTATCTGCTCCACAGGGAGTATATCTCGGAGTCCATCTTCCGTCGATCCCACCATTTTATTTCTTTTATAGACGCCAAGGAATCTTCAGTTGACGAAGAGAGTATGGACTACAGGCAGGAAGTGGATCATAAAATTTCAGCATTTTCAAAGCCAAATTTTGCAATTCGCTAGAAAATCTTATTTTCAATAATATATAATAATTATTCATTCTCGTGATCATCTATAGTTCTTGCTTTTAATTCCTAATTGTCAATTATAATAATAGAAAGTATTTTTTCTGCTACTATATGAGGAGAATAAAATTTTAATTTAAAAGACAAATTATGAATTGCAACTAAATTTAGTTACTTTCAATATCAAGCAAAATAACATTTTTTCCATGTTTCTCTATTTCTTCGTCGCTTGGGAAAGTCTCATCGAATGTTTTGGTGCCAAAAATACTAGCTTTTAGCCTTTCATATTTAGATAAGAACTGGTTAAATGATTCGATCATTCTATCATCAGGCTCACTTCTTAATTCTTCTGTTTTAAGAGCTTCCATTTCTTCAGCTTTCCTCAAGTAAGGTCTCAGCATCAATTGATCATACCAAACGAAAAATCTCGGATTATTGGAGATGATCTGAGGAGTATATATGACTAAAAGGGCCATAGGAGGGTAAATTGCTATTTTTAATGCGACCTTAAGCAGGCGCATGGCTCTTGCTCCTAGCTCCCCCTCCAGAGCGGGCAAGACCATTGGAAAAATCCCTATTTTTCGGGTAAAAGCCCACCCTCCGTCAGCAAACAAAATTTTTTTTATACAAAAATTTGGTTATATAAGTGATAACTAGTATAATGAAATCTCTAGCTAATTCTGTTTATTTTAAGTCACTTATTGTATTTGCCGAGGATGGCGCAAGATAGCGCCATCCTCGGGCAATTACTATAAATTCTTAAACATAAATTTTACAAATTAAAATTAATATTTACTCTAAAATTTTTGCGAATTGGGAGAAAAAGAAGTTTTTTTCTCACTCACTTGGAGGGATTAAGAACATTTTAATAAATTATTTATTAGAGCTTGCCAGAAAATTTAACCAAACCATTAATGCTTTTACAATTATCTACTTTAAATTTATTTTTGGGTTTGATTCTTGAGCAATTGCTTATACTAGCAATTTATTTTTCTTTGGCTATTTGAGTAGTGAAATTAATGGATAGTTAGACTAACTAAAAATTTTTTGAAATAAAAATAAAATGAAATTTGCAGTGTAATTATACAATATTAAAATAATAGCATGAGATTTGGAATGCTAATTATAAATCGATATTTATTTTTGTAATATAAAATTGATCTCTATTTGATCACTAATTTAACAATTCATTGTTTTCTATTTCAGACTAAAATTGTAAAATTAATATTATAATATCTATTTATAGGAAGATCCTCCAAAATTTCCGGTCTAACTTTGATAGGGATTTAATATTTCGATTTTTAAAAGATCATGTTCCTAAATATTTTTATTATGTTTTGCACACATCTTGAAAATGTCACTCAAATCGAATAATGTCAAGGCAGAAAACTCAAGGCTTAAAGCTGAGATCAAGTATCTCCAACTTGCACTAAAAGATATTGACAAAGATATTCCACTTCAAGACTCTTATGCTCCAAGTAGCCACTCGAAAATTTTAGAAATTAATCAAAGCTCAGCTTCAGATGAAAACTATCTTATCCAAAATTCACTCAGAGAGCAAACCAGTGAAAAATATAAAGACAGGAAAATAAAGGACAGTTATCAATATAAAATCTATGAAACAGAATATCATCCAAGAGACAAAATTTCCGTGCCAACTCATTTTGCAAGTTTTGGGAATACGAGAGAGTATTATTGCAAGCCTGAACCTCATAATCTTCATGAAGAGATGTGTGAAGAATTTGATTATTTAGAGCCAGAAAATGAAAACAATGGAAGTAGTATGGGAAGCGAAGCCCTACACAATGAATTTTATAAAATCAAAGCATCTGTTGAGAAAATAAGCAATTCTTTGGATTCGCTTGACCAATATTCTAGTTATAAAAATAAGCATGCCAATAAAGAGAAAATCCAAGGAGAAAATGAATGAAATGAGATAAAAGATTCATTTGAGTCTTACTATTCGAAGGAAAACTCAATTGAAAGCAAGCATGAATCATCTCGCAAGTTGGAAAATTATGTTGTTACGAGTGAAAAAGAGCTCAAGTTATTAAAAGAAATAGAAGCACTTCGGCGTGAAAACAATTATCTAAGAAATAAGTTAAGCAACTCTCCTAAACCTAAAAGACAAATATCCAAACATTTATCTCAAGACAAAAGCAGATCTACTAGCATCTCAACTTTAAAGCCTAAGCCGAATCTAAACTATGCTACAGAGTCACCCTCACGGATAAGAAGTAGCCGCTCAAAATCTCCAAGACTAGCTTTAGCTGCAAGGACTAAATCTCCTACATCTAAATCTCCACGCCACACCACACCAACCAGACTAAGACATTGCCGTGTATGTGATCATCTCCTCTCCAAAGGCTATTCCACAAAATACTGCTCAAAGCATGGTGAATCGCAAGAAGAGAAGCCCGATCGTTCTAACTCTTAATAACTCCCTACAATTTAACGCCATTTTCTTAGACAAAACAACTTTCCATACAAAAAAGATTTTTCTATTGTACAAAAATAATCTAAATATGTCTGAGACCCAGCCAATAATTTGCATTTGCATTGATAAAATTATTATTATAGCACGCACCCCTTTATAGATATTTAAGGACAATGATTTTAAAAAAATATTGATTTAAAATTCTAAGAAAATCTAAAACGTCAAAAATTAAATTAAAAATTATATATTTTATTTGCCAGTTTTTAAATTTGACTTTTCAGAATATTTTAAAATGTCAAAAGGAATATTTCTTTACAGGTATTTTTTCTCAGAAATCAAAAAGGCGACAGGCGCTATAACTGCTGTAACTGGAAAATATGCATTCTCCTCAAAACTTGCAAATAAAAACTTCTCAAACCGCTTCATATATTATTATTTGTAATTAAAACTTAAGTGCAATGAAGAGAAGCTTAGTACCACCAAGATTAAAAATAAGGGCAAGGGATCTTGAGCATTCTCAAACAAATGCACGAGTTCATTCCGTATCTGAGTTAAGTTCACCAAGAAATAGTTTTTTAGACAGCAAAAATTCGCCTGTGCAAGATCCATTTCTAAACATAAGGCTAAATGGGTCAAATATCCCTACTCTTCGTCCTATTTGTCCATCTAAACGAAGTACTCCTCGAGCATCAACAGCTGACATAAAAATTCCGACTTTGTCTCTTCCTTTAGATGACAAAATTCCTTTTGCCCTTGCTACTGACTCTCAAAGAAGCCATTGCAATTCGACTAACTCCTCCAGCTTTAAATTGGAACAAAATATCGGTAGAATTTCCATTTTTTTGGGACTTTAACCCCTTTAAATTGGAACAAAGTTTTTTTAATGGGGAAATTTTATAGTTGAAAAATGCTAATTTTTATAAATGTTTTTCCAAAATGCAATGAATTTAATCAGTTTTTTACACTCAATTTTTTAAATAAATTCTTCATAAAATAAATTAAAATTTTTATTAATTTTAAAAATTTAACCCCCTTAGGATTTTCTCTTAAAAGGTGGGGAATAAAGAGTTTGGCTCACTGTCAATCAGAATCAGCTCTAAAAAATAGAAAACCAAACTTGATTTTTAACGCTTCAAAACGAAGTTTACCTTTTGAAGCGAAACAGCCTATAAAACCTAAACTTTCTGTTCCTGCAAATATTAAAGAGTCATCAAAAATGAGAGCAAAAATAAAACCAGTCGCGATTTTTGATTTTAAAAGGGAAATTAGAACTCCTTGTTTCTCTTTTAACTCAGTTGGATCTCAAAAGAAAAAAGTGCAAGTTAGCGAGTCTGAAAGCTGTGGAAGCGAAAGCACAGCATTGCCTCAAAGCGGGGAAATATCAAGCTATGAATTAACTCTAAATAATATAAAAGTAAATCAAGGGCAAGGAAACAAGGAAGCATATGATAGAATTAAGAAACTGATTCTTGACGTAGATAGTTTGGATGCATCTGACGATCCAAGAGAAATGTCATTTGGAAATATTTGCCAAATGCCATTGACGTATAAAAGACCTATTAAATTAGTTTCTCCAAGAATGCATTTTCATAATTAAATTGAAGTTGGAGATGTAGGATTGAGCAACAATAAATTTGCTAAATATATATTATCATATCAAATAGTTTTTGGAAATAATATATTTTCTTAGGAGTAAAATAATTGTTTTATTATTAAAAAGAAAGTAATAAAAATACAGAAATTATAATATTTGGCTGCAAATCTTAGCCTTCTTCTGTTTTTTTCCTTTCTAATATCTTTTTCTTACTTTCAATGATCGATTTTATGGATGGATCTTCTAAAATATGTGAACTGTTTGATCTAATCCTATGCTTCCGAAATAAAATGGTGACGTTGACGGAAATTGGACTCCGAGAAAGCACCTCCTATGGAGCTGGTAGGACCCATTTCTGATGAAGCTGAGACATAGGGCTTCCTGCCCAGGTAGGCCTTCAGAGGTATGCCGAAAAGGAAGTTTTATTTCTCCCCCGAAGGTTTTCCCTGTCCCTGCCAGATGGGCTAGACAGATTTTTAATACCACATGGTCTCTCCGCATCGGGACCATCGGGGCACTCTCCAAGAAGTGGATCTGTCCAAAGGAGCTGATCCTCTGGACAGGTGGTTCAGACCAGAAATCAAGATGGCGACGGGTCTGGGAATATGACCACATCAGAACCCGATTTGGAGTCACCTTTCGAGCTGAGGTGTGTGAGGTCCATTGGTTCGCCACGTATGGCCTGGCTAGTTTAACTTAACTATGCTTCCGAGATTTAGATACTTTTGGATCTTTATCCCTCTCTGCTTCTTCTTTTGGAATTTCAATATCAATTTTCTTACTCCCCCCCCCTCCGTGAGTGAACAAAACCATTAGAAAAATCCCTATTTTTTGCCCAAAAAACCCACCTCCGTGAGTGAACAGAAATTTTTTTTAATAGAAAAATTTTTTATGGAAAAAATTTTGATATATAAATGATAATTAGTATAATGAAATCTAGAGCTAATTCTGTTTAATTTTAAACAAATTGCTTTTTAAAACATAAATTTTATAAATTAAATTAATATTTGCTTTCAAAATTTTGCGAATTAGGGTTTTTTTAAATTTCGAAAAAACAAAAATTTTTTATAAAATTTATATATATAAATTTTTTAAAAAAAAATTAACCCCCCTCCGTGAGTGAACAAAATTTTTTTGCTCACTCACGGAGGGGGGGGAGTTAATATTAATTTCTGGGCTACTTGTATGTTGCCTTGAATCATTAATTTTACTTTGAAGGTTATTTATTTGTTCCTCAATTATACTAATCTTTGGATAAAATTCTCTTTTTTGAGTTTTAATATTTGGGACTAAAAACTCTTGCTTTTGAAGCTTATTTATAATTTGCAAAAGCTCTTCCTTCTTTATCAAAAGTTCTTGGATAGCTGCTGCTTGCTTATAAACTTTACTATTAAACTCTTCTTTGGTTTGTTCTGAGTAATTACATCCCATTATAACGGATCTAATATTTATTATATAAATTATTGGTCATAAACCTTGCTTGTGATACTATTTAAGTAAATATAATGATCGAGTTCATATATTAATCAGAATGCATAATAGTATAAGCAAGGCAAATAAATAATAAAATTAAATATCATGTTAATATGCTATGCATGAAACCTCTTTTCATATCTATGGATTTCATTTTGGAGCATCATTTTATCCTTTTTCAGAGCTTTCACCTTATTTTTGATATCTTCTAATCCACCACCAGAACTTGACATTTTTGGGAATGTATGTTTAGGCTCAAATACAATTGATTCTCTTGGAGTCAGAGGTGATGAAGACCTCAGCTCCGGAAATGGATCATCGTCGATTTTCATCTTTTTGGCTGCAGATCGAGAAATTCTCAATTGGTGCTGTGCTGATAGTCCTCTGCGATTAGTTTTAAATGATCGGGGAGGTAAAGTTTCTTCATCACTTTGATCATAAGCTTTCTCATATGGTTCTTCAATTGAGTGATTTCCGAGACTTGCAATATGCAATGGAGTGTCTTCTCGAGATTCTTCAAGCTCAGGCGGGGGAGTTGACAAAATGCTTACTCCACCCCCCTCCGTAAGTGAACAAAAAAATTTTGTTCACTCACGGAGGGGGGTTAATTTTTTTTTTTATAAAATTTATATATAAATTTTATAAAAAATATTTTTTTTCGAAATTTAAAAAAATCCTGATTCGCAAAAATTGGAAAGCAAATATTAATTCAATTTATAAAATTTATGTTTTAAAAAGCAATTCGTTTAAAAATAAAACAGAATTAGCTTTAGATTTCATTATAATAATTATCATTTATATATCAAATTTTTTTTCCATAAAAAATTTTTCTATTAAAAAATTTTTGTTCACTCACGGAGGGTGGGTTTTTGGCAAAAAATGGTGATTTTTCTAATGGTTTTGTTCACTCACGGAGGGGGGGGAGTTATAGCTTTTTCTTTATAATCTCGTGCCCTTGCTTCCAAATCTCTTTCCAAAGTTTCCATGAGGCCATGCTTTGACAGTTCAGCTTCTTGGAATTGCTTTTGCAAAATTTCATTTTTAAGCTCTAATGCAGCAGTTTGTGATTGACTATCACATAACTGCAGATTTGTATTATTTAATAACTCTTCAAGATCTGCAACTTTTATTAATATGTCGTGATTTTCGTGAGCCAGCTGCTCTAATCGCTGATGCAAATCATAATTTTCTTCACTTAACGATATATTTTCTTTTTTCAAAGTTTCTAAACTCGATTCATACTCTTGTTTGGTGTGAGCCAACATATCTTCCAACGATTCTTTTTCTATAGTAATTTGCTTTAAGCTCTCATTTAAATCATAATTTTCTTTGCTTAAAGCTGCATTTTCATTTTTTAGCGTCTCTGAGCTTGACTCAAATTCTTGCTTTGTCTGAGCAAGGATTTCTTCAAGTGACGATTTTTCGTTGCATTCTTGAACAAGCTGTTCTAATTTTTGATTCAAATAATAATTTTCTTCATTCAGCGAAACATTTTCATCTTTTATGGTCTCAAGCTCTTCCTTAACACTAGCCAGAATTTCTTCAAGTGATTCTTTTTCCTGCCGTTCAGCTCCAATTATATCGAAATATTTAGCTTGTTCTTCATTAAAAGAGTTGACTGTTTCTTTCAGCGCTTTATTTTCGTTTTTTAATTCCTCGATTGCATCAGGATGAATTACATATTGAACCCGGCTTTGAGTATCTAGCAGCCTAAACCTCAGATTCTCATTTTCTTGCTTCAGGGCATCAAAGTCTTGTCGTAAAATATGATTTTCCTCTACAATCTTTTTCATTTCGTACTTAACATCTCTTTCCTCCTGATTGGCTCTTTTTTTCTTATCAGATTCTGCTCCCTCTTCATATTTCGACGCTTTTTGAGTTTCATAGTTTTCTGCTTTTTGAGATCGCGCTGAGTTTATTTTGCCCTCTATTCCTTCGTCTTCATACTCTCTGCCATATTCTTCTTCTCTACGATTTTCTATTATCTCTTCTTCACGCCTGCTAACATTTCCTCTTGCTGCTAATTTTTGATCATATTCTTCTGTTGATAATCCTTCTTTTCTTCTGCTAGAGACTTCATTAGCTTTTTGATTTCCTAGTCCAGAAGGGTTTTCATAGTATCGAGCACTATTTTTTACCTCTTCTGTGTCAATTCTCTTTTGACTTCCTCTTGCAGAAAGATTTTCATAGTATCGAGCACTACTCGCCTCATCTGTATAAGTCCTTTTTTGATTTCCTTTTGAACTGCTCCTATAAGACCTTGAACTGTTCTGCTCCTCTTCTGGGTCATTTACAATAATTTTGATTGCGTCTTTATCAGGTGGCGGAAGTCTTATGTTTATTTTTTCTGTTGTCATTAGAGAGTCTCTTTCATCTCTGGTAGGAGATGGACTTTTAAAATAAGAGGATAATGAAGCAACATTGTTTGGACTTGATGCTGTTAGTTTTGTAGAGTTGAAAGCGAAACTTGATGATAAATTGACTTTTTTAGAAATTACTGCTGAAAACGATGGAGTCATTACAGAATAGAGGATTTGATAGCTTGTAAGCACCTTTGTGGGCTCAGGTTGGGGATTTAAATCTCCAGTTCCTAGTTCTCCATGTGTGTTACTTCCCCAAGTATAATTAAAATATGGCGTCTTCGTCTGGGCATGGCCTTCCGGCCATGCAGCCTCGACTCATATTTTAATTATATCCGGCAAGGTTTTACCATTTCAGAGATGGACAGCAATGCTAGGTAAGCAATTCTGGTAGCTTTCAGAGCCTAGCCCAAGTCTATTCTCAGGGGTGGATTTTTCCTCGTGGGGAAGGAGGGTGCAAGGTTGGAAAGGGGGAAGCCCAGCAAAGTCCTCTGGACCATTCGGGCAACTCCCTAGCGTGAAACTGGGCGTTACGTCCCAGGCTTTGCATTTTTCCTTTTTTGCCGATAGCCGACCAGAAAAATCCATTTTTTGGGTTTTTTCGGAAAAGCAACCCATGTACAAGCAAGTAGCTCATCCATGAGCCGTCGAAGACGTGGACATTTGCCCTGGAAGCACCCTGGTGATCAAAGCGAGTTTGTCTCCAGCAGACTGGTGGGCCCGATGCGACGAAAGGCGAGTGATAAACCTGGAGTTGTAACCCCGTAGTGGACGTTAAGCGATATAAATTCTAATGTAATGTAATGTTACTTCCCCAAGTCCATAATTTCTTACTCACATCTACAGCAGCACCAGAACATTCTCCAACAGTAACTTTTACAATGCTTTCATTTACGCTGCTCACCAAATTTGGCTCTAAAAATTCTCCAAATACCCCTGTTCCCCATATATATATACTGATTGCCCGATGATGGCGCTCAATGCGCCATCATCGTGCAACGTCATTTAAGAGTCCACATGGGAAATGGGTTCAAGGTGTGGAAGTGAGGATTTTCTATGTGTTAAAAAGGGTTCAATACGTGGAGCCCATTTCCTGTGTGGACCCTGAAAAGACTTTGCCCGATGATGGCGCATTGAGCGCCATCATTGGGCAATTTCTATAGTTTTCCTTGGCTTATTGCGGCAGTATGATGGCCGCATGACACTTGCTCGACATTTTCCAGTCTAACTCTTTCAAATTTATAAGAATTTTTCTTATGGCCTAATCCAAGCTGCCCAAATCGGTTAAATCCAGCTGTATATAAGCTTCCTGAATTCCCTATAGCAGCAGAATGGCTGATTCCTGAGCTTATATCGCAGACACTCTCCATAAGTTCTACCTTTACAGGAGTTAGCTCTCTTGAGGATCGTCCAGTGCCTAGCTGTCCTTCATTCCCTCTTCCAAACACCAATAGGCAAGTAGCTGATGAGTGTTTCCTGAATAAGCCAAGCGTATGTCACCCTCCACAACTGATTTTTTCAATTTGATAATCACGAGAAAAAGTGATTTTTTGTGGTTCATGGGCGCTTTGGGTGTTTCCTAAGCCTAAAGCTCCAGAATCGCCGTTTCCTCATGTATAGAGTTCCCTTGTATCTGTAATCAGCGCACAATGCTCCTTTCCACAACTTATAGAAATTGATTTTAACCTCAATGGGATTTGAATCAAATCGATATAAGTTCCTTTGAGTTCAGAATAGTGAACGTTTCCTTCAGAGTCCAAAATAAATAGAGTTTCATTATTCGCTTCCAAACAGACTGGACTGATCCTCAACTTCGTAGATTTAGGTGTCAAATTTAAGTTTCCAAATCTTCCGCATATAAGAAGTTCCATTTTTATAAAATTATTTGAAATATCTAAATATCTTAATTAATAGCTTCAGTCACTCCAGCAATAATATGCCCAAGCAGTGACTTTGAGTTGATTCTTTCATTATAATCTTCTTTCAACATATTTTCCAGTAATACTTTTAAATTTACTCCACCAGCTGGCGTAAGCGAGTTCAACAGACCTGCGAGTTTAGCTCTTGCTTGGTCATTTTTTAAATTTACATCAGTAATGTCTCCAAGAGTCCGCATTTCTAAAAGTATTAGGCCTAAAGAATACACATCAGACTTTGATAATTTGGTTTTTACTTTGTTCCCACCTTTCTGCGCTCTATTATTATAAGCTTCGCGTATTTCGGGAGACATATAATTAACAGTTCCTGCAATAGATTCTTCTGTTGAAGTAACCCCGACAGTTGGCATGTCTAAAAACTTCGCCACATTGAAATCGACAACTTTTACATCCCAGTTCATTGTGAATAAAATATTTTGAGGCTTAATATAGTTTACTCCCATCTATAGCTCTGCATAGGAAGTAGGGTGACGGAACAACCTAAAACCTTAACTTGTTAACTCAGGTTAGCGAGTCAACTCTCAAATTGGTGAATATAACTGATGCTAGAATTTGTCACTTTAAGAGTTTTCTCAACAATTAGTTATCAAGATAGCCTCTAGTTTGCTCCATCACCCTGCTCCATAGGCAGAACTATTTGGGAGACTGCTATATCTCTATGATAAATCTTTTTGGAGTGCAGAAAAACAACACAGTCTATCAAAGTGTTCATAATTCTTAAATATTCTTCGTCAGTATAAAACCTTGGGGTCTTTTTTCTTTCAATGATGTCGTCAAAAAGAGTTTCTCTGCGGCAAAGCTCCATGACTAAGTTGTATCTATGCTTTTGTTCAACCATATCATAAAAATCACCATAGAATAGAGGAAAAGATGAATGCTTGCCTGATAAAGATTTCAAGAATTGAGCTTCATCTTCGCTAGTTTTAAGCTCTTCTTTATTAGGGTGTGAAACTGATTTTATTGCAATTCTGACTGAGTTGTTTCCAGGAAGTTTTAACACTCCTTCATATATTGAAGTTGTCATTTGCCCACGGCTAAACACATATATTGCTTCTCCAATTATTTCTATATTTTCTCTAGATGTAACCTGCTCAATCAGAATATTGCTCGGAAGTGACGAAAACGCTTGAGCTCTTGCAAATCCTTGGAGATTTTCATCAATTTCTGCAGGGATAAAGTTGTATTTTTCAAGAAGAGTATCCACTCTTGCTTTGTACTCTTCTTCTTGCATATCAATTTCTTTGATAATTCCAAGCATAATCCTCGCTCCATCAATATCAAATTTCACTTCTTCTCCCATGTATTGCTTTATACCATTAAAATCATTACTCCCCCCCTTTACTAGCAAAAATAAAAATCTGTTTGCTCATGGGTTAATTTTTTTTATAAAAATTCATATATAAATTTTAATGTAATTTTTTTTTCAATTTAAAAAATTTCCAAATTCGGAATAATTTTTAAAAATAAATATTAATTTAATTTGTAAAATTTATGATTTAAATGCAAGTTGATTAAAATTAAACAGAATTAGCTCGAGATATTATTATAATAATTATCATTTATATACCAAATAACTTTTTATAAATTTTTTTTTACCAAAAAAAAAATAGGGTTTTCCAATGATTTTGTTTGCTCATTGAGGAGAGGAGTTAGCGTCTTCTATTCAGTCGCAAGCTGCATCTACAAAAAAGCTTTCCAAGTTTTCCAAATTTATGTTGTTTTTCTTCAGTTTTGCTAGATATCTTAATCCTTTTAAAATAGTGTCCTTACTTCTATCTTTTAATAAATCCCACAGCAGTGCTGAAATTCTGATTTTTATCCATTGCTCATCAGGCTCAATATTATGGGGTGCCACTTGTGAAACAATTTCTCTCAGCCTCAAAATTCAGCTGATGAGAACTTCAATTGTTTGAGCTTCACTGACGCTATCAGTGATGGAGAAGATTAAATTGTCGATCGAGTGCTCAAGATCAAGCTCGTTGGTATGCTGCTTAATGAAATTGAGGCAAGAAATGCAGTTTGAAGCATCATCAAGGGAAAAAGGACTGGCTTCATTAGATGCAACAAAAGCTGAAGAGTAATAGAGAAGCTCAGCCTTTTCACGGTTATCTGGAGATGCTTCAGAAAGAACTGAACTCAGAGGCATTGATTTTATTTTCTCTTTGGGAAGAGTAAAATTGCCTTTGACTAGCTCACCGAGATTGCCTGATTGGTATTTGTTGAGGTCTGGAGCAAGAGAATCGTGAATATAGCTGTATATGTCTTGATAAGTTGCCATGATGATTAATATTATTATGACAAATCTATAAATCAGCGTAAATAAATATTTTATGAGTGTGAGCCTCATAGATTTAACAGGAAATTCTAAAAATTTCGATGACAAAGAAGATCTATCGAGCCATCTCTTTAACAAATGAAGGCTTTGTGAGCTGGTTTCAGCACTTTTTGCAGCTATAGGATTAGCTTTAGCTTCAATTGACTATGAATTCACATATTCTAGTGAAAGAAACCACAGTAACTGTGCAATTGATGAGAAGGAAATAGAGACTTACAAACTGGCTCTGGTTATATCAACACTACTGTCAATTAATTTTTTATTTATTAGAGATAGAGAAAAATCCCACTGGATAGCTTACCTTAATAATCAGAAATCGAGATATAACCCTTATGAGAGTGTTCTTCAAAGAAAAGCAGAAAAGAGGAAAACTTGGAACATGATAAGGCTCTTTGAGATTTTATTACTTTTTATGATTCCTTATCCTTATATGAATGTCAATGTTTACATTCCTTTCAGGAATAATTATGAAACAATTTATATATGCTATACTCTCAACGAAATTATGTATAGCATTATGTTCACAAGGCTTTACTTGCTGTATAGAGCTATAATAAATTATACCCCTTATGAAAACCATCTAGCAAGGAACTTTTGCACCCAAAACAACACAAAAGCTAATGTGAGATTTTCTTTTAGATGCCTGGTGAACCAGCATTCGATAATTGTCATCCTTTTCTTATTGTTTTGGCCTTCTATAATTTTCCTAGGAGTTATAACAAGAATCTATGAAAGACCAGTAGCTGACATAGCTCCATTTCAAATTGATAAGTTTCAAAACCCCTTGAGTGCAATGTGAATCATGTATCATACAATGAGTGGAATGGGGCAAGGAATTTACCCCCCCTTTACATATATTGGGAGACTTTTTGCAGTTTTGGGATATTTTTTAGGGACAATACTTACAGCATTTATAATCCTTTTCCTACAAAAGCAGACAGAGTTCACTACAAAGCAGACATCAGCATTTCGCAGCATATATAAAACTAAATCAGCTGCATTGTGCGTACAAGCTGCCTTCTCTTATTTCTTAACAATAAATGAAAAGGGAAGATACAATGATGAAAGTCTGCAGAAATTTGAGGTTCTCAGAAATAGAATTTTAGAGTTTAAAGAAAGGAAATTAAAATTATCTGAAATGAACACAGAGAGAGACATCAGCATTTTAGATTTAAAAGCTAATGTAAATAAACTTGAATCTCAGATGTGCAAAATGGAAGTGCTGTTTGAAAAAATAGCGAACTATGCAATAGAAAATTTAAGTGAATAGTAAGTGTAATTCTATAAGTAACTAATTGCTTTATCTTTATAATTTTGGAAAGACTGCTTTTGTGTTCTGCATTGCTGAAAATATCGCTTGAACTGTGTCTTCGGTCTGAAGAGCAAATGAGTTTCAGTTTAATATAAACTCCAATCCTTCTTCTACCGAATGATCTCTTGAGTAAATTAAGTTCTTCTTTATTCCTACAATTGCAACAGGGCTTTTCGATGCAATTTCGTTAGCTAATTTCAAGGCTTCTTCTAAAACTTTTTCTTTGCTTTCAAAGCATTTAGAAAACAGCCCATGACTTGTCGCTTCAGCAGCTTTGACATCTCTTCCAGAAAACATCAAGTCTCTTGCCCATGATTGATTTCCAACAACCTTATGCAGCCTTTGTAAGGTCCCTATATCTGCAGCCATCCCTTAACTTAGACAATTATATTGTAGCTCCCGAGAGCCATGTCGGCTTTTCATGTCCTTTGCTTCGTATCTTCCTCTTGCTTGCCAGCCCTATTACACGGCCTGAAGGTATGCATATCTCCCTCCGATGATGGCTTGCACTCGCAACCAGAAGGTAAAGATGCTGGGTAACTGTGTCATGCGTTAACGGGGTTTCCCTTTCCGAAAATTCAAAAAATGAATTTTCTGGCCAGACTATCGGCCCAAATGAAATGTGTAGCCCCTAGAGCAGCTCCTTGTATCGCGCTGGGAAATTGCCTGATTGGCCAAGCGAAAACCAACTGGGTATCCCTTTTCCAACTCCCAAGTTCCATCCCTCCCTTGAGGTAAACCCTTGCTCTGGATATGAGCTTGAGGTTTTTAAACCAGAAATTGGCTGCAACAAATTAAAACTCGGCCTGAAACATTTCCCGGACGCTTCTGCTCCCTTCCACAAATTCTCCAGACTCCTTTTGGCTACAGGTGTTAAGAGGGCAGGCTGGCTCTCATGCCATTTTTAAGTGTATCTGCAGCCATCCCAATATTGATTTCTCTAACACTAATAATTGTATCTGTAGTGCAGTATCTTATATCAGCTGCTGTAATAAAATCAACTCCTGCTCCAATACAAAGCCCATGCACAGCAACTATGACTGGCTTTGAACATTTCTCTAATGAAGATATTTTTTCTTGCATGGCCTTGATATTAGGCCTAGCGATAATTCCAGATCTTGCAGGGTCAGCTCCTTGATGTGTTTCAAACAAATCTTTTAAGTAATTGATATCAATGCCTGCGGTAAAGCATTTTCCATTGCCTGCAATTACAATGCACCTGACATCAGGGTCTTCTGACAGTTGGCTCATAGTTCTTGCAATCTCGTCTAACATTGTTCCATTCATAGCATTTCTTTTGTTTGGTCTATTGAGTCTGACTAAAGCGACGTTCTCTGAAGGTCTTTCAATGATAAGTGTCTCCATTTGAGAAATTATTAAATCTGCTAATTGCCCATAAACTTAGTTATTTTTATTAATAAGCTTCAATTTTATCTTTTAGACTTGATGCAATCAAGTAATGCTTTAAATTCTTGATGGCAAGCGTTGTGTTCGACTCCAAGACCGTTCTGGCTTACGCAAAATGAATAGACTGAGCCTTCTGCTTTGCACTGAGATAGTCCTTTCGCTATTCGTTTTCCCCAGTTTCCAGCTTCATGAACGATATAAAGCTTTTTATTCATGAAATATTATTTCTTTAAGAAAATGTAATGAAATTAAATAGACTGATATTCAAGCTAATCCTGGCTTGGAGTTCAAATTTATAATTTTGGGGATTGCTTTGGTTCTCTACATATTTCGCCATGATGGCTCTTGATACATTTTCTAAAACATTATATTAGTTATACTCCAATCCTTCATTAACTGAGAGGCCTCTTGAAAAATCGTGAGGTTTTAACAGCGACTAGATCTTTGGATTTTTGCTGCAATTTCATTAGCCAGCTCTAAAGCAGTCTCTAGTTCTTTTTCTTTGCTTTCCAAACATCTAGATAATATTCCGTGGCTTGCAGCTTCAATATATTTTATATCTTTCCCTTAAAAGTCATTTCTCTAACTCATGACTTGCTCAATACCGCAAAGTGGATGAATCCCCTAGTGGATCCTCGGTAACCGAGTTAATAAAGTTGACTCAAACCATCTGTAACAAATAAGTAAGTAAGTAAGTAAGTAAGCTGAGCAAACTCTGATATCACAAGCTGTTATCAAGTCAAGACCTGCCTCTTACATAATTCATGAATAACAGCTATGACCGTTACCAGCTATTGATTGGAACTTTTTCTTCGTGTCGGACTTCGTCGTAAATTTTTCCTGTGTGGCATTTCCTCTGCAAAACACTGTTAAAATTCTATGAAATTTATTAGAGGAAAAAAATTTCGGCTGAAAATGCCCAGGGAAATGTCACAGTAACTAAATATTCCAATCAAATAACACAGATTCACTATAACTGGTTTTGTACATTTTTCCAATGGCATCACACAGCCTGCAAAACTTTAAGTTGCTCTCTTATTTGGATCCCTATTCTTTCAGCATCAGATCTGTTGGTACTTTGTAAGATACCTCTTATAATTGGCATCGATTCCTGCACAAAATACTCTGCCATTGCAATTAGGTATGATGCACCGAATATCAGAATCTTCCGATAGCTGATTCACTGAGCGTTTAAGACCTTTGGTCTATTAAGAGTTAGTAATGTTCTCTGGTAGTTTATCTAAAATAAGAGTCTCCATCTTAAAACTAATAATAATTTCAGCTTACGCCATATTAAGTAAAAAAAGATACATTAAGTTCTAATAAAATGAAGTTATTAAATGCTGAATTAACGCAAATGCAATAATACCCATTATGACTTTGGCAAAGATATAGTAAAGTTAACAACTTTTATTCTCTGTTACTTTATTAGCTTTTTAAGTATATTTCTTAATTTTTGGCTGCACTCTAGTTCATTGACCACAAATTTATTTTCAAGTGCACTGCCTTTACCTGTATTTACTCTATAAGGACTATTAGAGCGTTTACGAGCTCTTATAGCAATTGGTCCATCCCAAGGTTGAGGTTCTTGCATTTCAGAGGGAGGCAAAGAATTTTGCCTGATAAGGTCTGAAGAAGATTTTGACGTATAGAGCCTTGAAAATACTTTTTCACTCCTATTTTGAGCTAATTTTTGTGATTGAGGATTTATTTCAGGCTTAGCAGAAAAGAAATCAGGAGAACTTGATTTTTTATTATAATGCAATCTATTTACAACTGGCGTTTTGCATCATTTTTCAGATAATTTTTCTGATCTTGGAGAAATATTTGGCTTCTCTTGTAAGTCCTTTAACTCCCCAGTAATATGCAAATTCTTACTTATTTTGGGGGTTTTTGTACAAAATTTCAAATAGTAAATTTTATATAATTTGCTCATTATTGAGGCAAATACACAAAATTTGCATTTTTCTAATAAGCAAGTTTTGATCTATATCCATATAAAATTTACTATTTGCAATTTAGCTCAGAAACCCTTATAAATAAGCAAGAATTTGCTTATTACAGGAAGTAAGGATATTTTTTCTATCTCCTCAATTTCTTTTCTTTGTGCTATAGTCTTTATTTTATTTCTGTTATGAAGAAATTCTACAAGCTGTTTTTGGTTTCTAGGAGGTGTGACACTATGAATTCGCGGCTTAAAGGTAACATTTTCTTCTTCATATTTTCTTCTTTCAATTTCTTTTTCCATTAGCAAGCTTTTTAAATTGTCGTTTTTCTTTTTAAGTTCTTCTTCAACTCTTTGATGCAAAGGCCTGGAAGAATTGGAAATCTGCATTATATTTACGCAATTTTTGGATGCTGAGTTTATATTTGGCTTATTTTTTAAGGATTTTGAGATAGATTCATATTTTTTTCTTCTTTGCTCTTCTATTCAGATTAATTTTTTATTGAAATATTCAGTTGTTTGAGCATAATCCCTTTCAATCTCATTTTTATGAGTTCTGCTTTCTAATAATTGAGAATTGCCTTTTTCGTAAAAACTGTCAACAACAGTTTCTAATGCACAAAATAAAGCATCGCAATCAGTAGATTCTTTAACAAGTGATTCTTTCTCGAAAAATTTTGCTAACGCACTTAATGTTTTGTTAGTTTTTGGTTGCGTCATGAAGTCCATAATTTTTTGATTTTATAACGACAGTAATTATAATTTAAATGATTCGATAGATTAATTTAGCTGCAGTAAACTTTAAAATAGTCATAGACATTATAATTAGGATTAATATTACCAGGTGCTTGTAGGTATTATATTATTGTAAGAAATCAAATTAAGATAAAAATAAAGACCTTAAGAATAATCCGCAATTAAAAGTAAAGAAATATCAAGCTTAATATGGAAAATAATCTTCCAAGTATCAAGAGCCATTCTTCAATAAAAAGAAGATTTGAAATAGCTAACTCCTCCTCTATTAATATTCAAAAACTTTTAATATATTGTAGGAGGGCCTATTTTTTGAAAATTTTAGAAAAAATTTTGTTTATCCCAATTAGAAAGGAAAAAGTAGTTTAATTTTAAAAACTTATGTTTTATAGTCAGCTATTATAATTTAACAGAATTAGATAGTGATTTAAAATAATTATTACATATATATTAAAATATTTTTATAAAATGTTTTTGCTCGCTAACGGAAGGGTGATTTTATCCAAAAATGTGGATTTTTCAAATGGTTTTGCTCGCTCACAAAGAGGACAAAGTAAGCAAGAAACTGGACCAAAATCTGGCTACGTCATCCATTCATTCACAGCTTATCAAAACAAGAAAGTCCAGATGGAAAGCAAGCCAAGAGCTGGAGCGGAGGGAAACGGGAAAAAAAGACCTCTGAGTGGTTCTAATAGAGGCCACTACTCAAAGTGAATTAATAAGCGAAAAAGTGATCCAAAAGAAGCGCAGACATCTAGACTGATTGACATTGAAAAAACGCTTAAAAAAGCAACCAAAACCTTAACTTCTTCAAATACTCAAATTATTTGTGAATCTGAAGAAAGCGCTTCTCCAGATCAAAAATCTTTAGACGCCGAAGTCGAAAGATTGAACTTATTTATTACCTCCTTAAATGAAACTCATAAAGAAAAAGAAGAAGCTTTATTTTTGCAAATTCAAAACTTACAACACGAACTAAATTCAATTAAAAATGAATTTATTGAAACAGTAGAATTTCTTGGCTCTCTAATAAAGCATGATGAATTCGCAAGAATTCCAAAAGAAATAGAAGAAAAGATTGCAAGCCTTATAGAGAAGAATTCACATCTTTTAAATATTTCAATTGAAAATATTTTAAAAGACCAAGAAAAGGATGAAAGATTAAAAATTGCAGTGGAGGGAACTGGAAACCATTTAGAAGTTTTAGAATACACAAGTGGCTTGTTTGAAACTGGGAAATTTAGAAGTTTTAATGATGAACAATATTTTCCTGAGGTGCCTAAAACCCCATCATCACAGATATGTGTAATTGCCTTATATGATTATCATCCCTCTCATCCTGAACATTTGGAATTTTCAGCTGGAGACAGAATAACTTTACTGCATCAGCTTGAAGAAGGCTGGTGAAATGGCAAACTAAATGATAAAATTGGGAAATTTCCAAGCAGCTATGTCCTTGTAGACTAGTTCCAAACATAACAAATTTTATGCGCAATTTAATTAATTTTATTTATTCACATAATTTCGTCTATTGGAATAGTTAATAAACAATGTTCGTTATTTTTCCTGTCAATGGGTCAAGGATGGTGGAGTGTATAGTAAATTCATTCTTGATCGGCTGTGTTGAGAGGATTTGAAGAAGATAGTCTTCATCAATTGAATTTTTCCCAACAATATTTAACAATTCTTGAGCAGGGTGGAGTCTGTCATCTTCTTTTGGAGGGTTCTGCCAACGATCATAATTAGTTTGTACAAGATACCACTTATTTTTAGTAAAATTCCAAATATCATCCACATCATGTCTGTTTCTCGTAATTACAGCAGCTTCGTCTCTATTTGATCCTGCGATTATATAATAAACTCCTGCTATTAATGGAATATTTTTCAAAAATTCCGTTGCTTCTTTAAAATTTTGTTTAGTTTCCAAAGCGTCTCTGATAGCAAAAGCAGATGAATTTAGCCCATTAACTTTTCTGAGAGTATCTAAAATTGTGGAAGTTTCTAAAATATCTCTTTGGTTCATTGCAATTGCAAATGCACCTGGCTTTATGCCAGTAATTACTCCAATATAACCTGCAAATGTGACCGCACTGTATAAAAGTTGGCCATCTTTATGAAAATCAACATGAATGACTAAATTTCCGATAATTTCCCCAAAATAATAGTCAAGGTTTCTAGCAATAAGCAAATTATTATCAGAATTTTTAACCACAATTGCCGTGCACGCTGCGTAAAATTCATACATGAAATTCATAACAAGTACAAACTTATATGGAATTCCAGATATTTTTGACAAGCCAGCCAGTTCTTTTTTCATTTCATCACTGACATTAGCTTTTTTTAATTTTTTATAAGCTGAATTTATCTCAAAATTGTCAAGTTCTTCTTTAGCAAAGTATGTGAATAATTTGATGTATCATGAGATGTGCATTTTATGCATTAATAATTTATATGCTTTTTATCATTCATGGAATATTTCAACCCCTTGACATGCCAAAATCTAGACATTTGAAATTTATGTAGATAAAATGTATTGCATATAATATTTCATTTTGGAAACAATAATTTCTTTTCAACGAATATCAGGGTCCTCATTTAAATTCACAACAAATCGCTTCTGATTTGATAGCAAAGATAAGGCTTTATGAACTCCAGATTTGAGAGCACTGATGAACGATTTTTTGATTTTTGGGAAATTTATAATCTCGCTTGATTTCTTTTTGATTTTTTCTGCGAACTCATTGACAGCCTTTTTGGTCCCTTTAAATACCCCTTTGAAAACGCTGTTAAAATCAGAAGATTTTCTTTGGAACTTGGATTTTTTATACTTTTTGTGGTTTTTATTATAATCGGCACTTTTAAGAAATCTTTTCTTAATTATTTTCATTATATTAGTTAGAGATTAGCTATAAAATTTTTCCTGGTAAAACGCTATCTGATAGGGTTGATATTTTGTAATAGTGGCTCTTCTTACTAAATAAATGTGTTAAGAAAGAAGATACAGCTATTTGGATAACGCATCCTCCAATAGTAACAATTTTATTCCTGAGATAGGTTTTAAAAATCCATGAAATTACTACAAGTATTGGTAAAGACAAGAAATATGCTGAAACAATAATTGAAAAATTAAGAACAAATGCGATCATTCCACCTCTAACTGATTCGTAAAGCGATTTTATATAGTAAACAAACCATGCCCATAAAGCAACTCTCACAAAAATAAGCAAAGCACCAGTTATGCCATCATAATCACTGAAATGATAATAAGAATCTTCTGTGATTGAGCCTACTCCAATAATCACAAGATGAAGCATAATAATTGTCACAATAATTGGTATTGCTAAGTCAGGCTCTGGGAAGTCTTTGTATTTTAATGTCCAGCCAGAAGCCATGATGATAAACAAAACTGTGATAAGCAGAGCGGAAATAGTGTCAAGAGCTTGGTAGAAAAATTCAAAAATAAAAAATCCTCGGCCATTATTTGAGTATATTCATAAATGAATAATTTCACTAATAATCCCTATAAACTCACATCCAATCGAAATATTAAGGATAAGCACTGCGGGCTGTATGTCATCAGTGGCTTTGAAATTTTCTATAAGTCTCATAAGATTTTTGGAGAGAACTAAGAGAAATGCGAGTAAAACTACAGGATATAAATAGATAAGTCCATAATCTTCTAATGAAAATTCTGATCCTGAATCATCAGTAATGTGCAATTCAACCTTAAGTTTTTCACCATAAGTAGCACCTTCACAGTCAGAAAGGGAAAAATACCATATATGAGGAGTTTTTCTTTGTGGAAAGCTGCCTGATATTTCTGCCCAATCTCCATTCCTTGGGATAAAGATCCTTTGCCTTCTCCTTCCTAGCTCAGCCTTCATTTTGCAGTCTTGAAGACTTAGAATTTCTTCTAGCTGGTCGTCGATGTAGATAGAAAAAACTGCGGCAACTTTATCAGCGCTTTCTTTATTCTCAGGCTTTGCGAATTTGGCTTTTAATTGCCAATGTGTAATTCCAGTATCAACAGCAAATTTAGTTAAATATTTCCATGGATGCTCTTCACTGAAATATATCGTGTTTGATACTAGTTTTGCAGCCACAATATTTAAGAGAAGCAAAAATATCATAATCCAAGCAATTAAATATGAGATATGCCATAAATGGCAGTTTATAAGTTGTTTTTATTAAGAAAATAATTAATTAAGATTAATTCTAGCAGGTGATTGGGGTTTATTTCAGCCCCTATCCTTAAAGAGTTAGCTTCACGCTCATGTGGTGCTAGACATCAACTCCTAATAGCAACTTTTTTCTGGTAATATCGCCAAAAAAAGGTGACCCAGGCTGTCGGGGAGACTCACCCGTTCAGGTCTTGATGCTTGACAAAGATTAAGGACTGCCTGTCGTCAGCAGGACTTGACGTATTGCTGAATAACTCAAAATCTCCTTCTTGGCCTGCCTTATCCCTATTCCAGACTAAAGATTTCCTCTCAAGAAGCTCGGAAGGATGCTACACCTCAGTCTGTCGACTCTGGATCGAGGAGGAAAGGCTTAGCACCAAAAGTTCGCTATAGAGAACTATTTCCAATGGGATCCACATTCCTCGGACTGGATCAACTTACAGGATCTAACTCAGCTCGCCATTTTAATAATTATATTAAGAAAATAAGGAAAAGCAAAAATATAAAATTATTATGTAAATTTGGTTAATTTCTCTTATTATTGATTTTATTCAGAAATTATTCTATTTTAATAACTAACTCTGAAATACAAAAGAAGATTGCAATAATATTTAATTTGAATTAATTCATATGGGAATTATTACAAGAAGCCTAATTAGTTAATAGAGAAGGCAAAACTTATTATCATTTCTTTTTATATATCAAATAAATGAAGCGTGAAAGGTCTCTCAGAGAATTTATTACAGATCTCCGAGAAGCCAAAACAGCAGCTAAAGAGCGTTCAGTAGTTGAAAACGAAAAAGCGTTTATAAGGCAGTCCTTGCAAAACCAAAAAACTCCTCCACCAGTGATTGCTAGATCAATTGCGAAATTAATTATGATTGATATGCTTGACTATAATGTTGATTTTGGTGGCTTTGAATGCTTGAGATTAACTACATCAAAGATTTTGACACATAAAAGAATTGGCTATTTGGGTATCAGCCAGTTGTCAGCCAGAAATCAAGATTTATTGATCCTCTCAACGAACACAATACTTCAAGATTTGCGATCAAATGATCCGACTATTATCATACTTGCTTTGGCTGGGCTTGCAAATTTTGGCACAGCTGATATGTGTAGAGACCTTGAACCTGATGTAGTTCGATTGTTTATAATACAAAAATGGCGTCACTCGAATTTTCTGGTCTCCCGACCGAAAATTCTCTTCCTCGATTTTTTGATTATGAGGCTTGGCTTTCCCCAGCGAATTTATCCCGGCGATGACAGGGCCTAAAGTGCCTGTGGTGTGCGACGCAGGACTCCTGTCCACTAGGGAAATCGAATTTTCTGGAAGGATGCCACCAACCCCCAGGCGGTGGAGACTGGGACCTTTAGGGTGCCTGACGGACCCAAGTTGGTTTAGCCCGAGAGCCGGAAGGACGGCCGTCGAAATCCAAACGCCCAAGCCGATGGGACCATTCAGCCTTGAAGCCAGGTGGTGCACGACATTTTGGTGGAGCGGGGAAACCCAGAAGCAGGACGGATACCCGTGCAGGGAGCGTGGCATTGGACGTTAAGCGTGTATTAATATTAAGTAAGTAAGTAGTTCGATTGTTTAAATCATAGAACTCCTTTAGTGCAAAAGAAGGCTATAATTGTTGGCGCATGCATTTTAAGAAAATGCCCAGATCTAATAGACGTAGTTTTAGCACCTATAAATGAAATTTTAATAGACCAGTGTGTTAGTGTCATCATTCAAATGTTTTTGGAAGCTGTAAAAACAAATAGTAAATATGTTGAAACCTTAGAAAAATATGTTGGGCTATTAACATCAAGGTTTTTCAAGATAAAAAGTGATGTTGTTCTTCAAACCAATATTTTGAAATTTCTCAGCTATTACCCTGCTGCGTTTTCGGCAGAGCTTGACAGTGCATTATATAAAATCTCATTGAGCACTATGAGCAAAAAGAAAGATAAATTAGGCCTTTATTATCAATCTGCTATAACTTTATTAAAATCACGCTCACAAGAGCTCAAGGCAGCTGGAAACTCAATGGTAAGCTCTCTGCTGTCAAGTCGAGAGCCTAATTTAAGATTTGCAGCACTAAGAACCCTTCATCAAATTGCTGATTTAAACCCAGAACTGATTGAAATCCAAGCCTTCACCATTTCAGACTGCATGAAGGACTCAAACGAAGAAATCTGTCTATCTGCCCTTGACTTATCCTTTAAACTGCTCACTTCTTCTAATATCACGGAAATCCTCAAAATTTATCTAAATTTCTTACTGACAAATGAAAAACTTCAATCGAGAATTGTCAGGAAAATCGGAATGGCACTATGCCTATTCCCGTTAGAGCCGAATTGATATTTAGATACGGTGATAAAAGTGTGCATTTTAAGCAAAGAAGTCCCAGATGACATGATTAATTCTTGCATTGAAATGATAAGAAGCACTCAAACCATACAGGCTTATGCTTCACAGAAACTTTGCTATGCGTTGCAGGCTGGGCATAGGCAGCAGTCTTTGCTGATGCTGTCGCTATGGTGTGTTGGAGAATATTGTGAAATGCTTGAAGAGACTCCTCAAGCCATTACTGAGCTGTTTGAAAATTTACTTACTTAACTTAACTTAATTATCTGGTGTTTAAGGTGTCTAATGCGCAGCCCAAAAAGGACCTATGGCAAATCTAGTGACGTAGGCGAGCCATCTTGGAACAGGTCAGCTCTGGCCAAGCCTTTTATCAACTCCTGCTTCACCAGCCTTGCTGCACGTCTCACCCGGCGCGATGCCGTCGCCCTTGTGTCTCGACTCAGCTCCTGAGCGTGCTCCGCCTAAGGGTCATCTTCCCGTGGAGATGTGTTGAGAGGTAAAAGCCCGAAATCTTGAGAGGACTGAGGAGCAGTTCCTCTGGTTATCCCTAGAGTTAAATCGCTATTGCTGTCCAGAAGTTCTCGAGTGAAAACCTAATCCTATAAATAAAATTCCATGAGGGAGAGAAAAATTAGCAAAAGCTAATTTCTCTCGAACCGAATGCCATTTTATTTATGCCGAATGCCATTTTATTTATACCGAATGCCATTTTATTTATGTTTGAAAATTTACAGTCAGAGAATTTGCCGAATTTGTGTAAGCTTTATTTTGTGAATGCTATTTTTAAGGTTGGAATGAAAATTGCAGACGTTAAAGAAGCGGCGATATTTATTTTGCATCAACTGTCGTTTGATAGTGATGTAGAAGCACAGCAGAGAGCATGCGAGTATTTAGTGCTGCTCAGAGATTATTCAGAAAATCTTAGGAAAGTAGCGGATAGTATCCCATCAATTGCAAATACTTAAAGAATTAGATAATTTTAATTAGAATAATTATGAATTCCCTCACCCTCAAAGAACGAGCCATTTTCTTTTAGCCACTCAATCCAATAAGATTTAATTTATAGCAGTTGAACCTGTACCTAGGAGAGAGTATTTAGATATAAATATAAAATATATTACTATTTATTAACTCTATTTTTTTCAAAAAATAATTTAGGTGTCTTGTAATAACGAATAATATTGTTTAATTTTTATTCACCTGAAAAAGATGAGTTATTTTAAAAAGTCTATTTCGTTATATTTGCAATGATTTAAATCACCTTTTAGCACTTATAAGTAAAATAATTGATCTAATTATTTAATTGATCATTTTTTAAGGTTTAACTCTATAAATTCTTATATATCTAAATTATATTTTTAAAATAAATATTTTAAGTTATTCCCAATTAATAATGGTATTATTATTAACGAAGAGCAGAGTAAGCGAATTCAATTTTCATCATAGCTAAATACCTAAGTCTTCATAAATTAAAAATGAAAGATACAGCATGCCAAGACACTTTAAACCTCAGCCTTAGGTGACTTACAGGCTCTTATATTTTTTGGAGTGTTCCATTAATCTACATTTTGCTCTCAATATCTCCACTGATGTTCGGGTATCCAGCAGCAGGTCCTTCATTAGCCCTGTTCATCAAAGTCTACTGCCTCTTTGCCCTAATTCTCCTAGTAAAGTATCTAACCCTAACAAATTTTCCAGATTCTTGCAGAACTTCAGACGAAATTCGAAAGCTCTTCACATCCCCGAAGCCTTTTCATGCACTTTTAGCAATCAATATGATTGTGTTCCCAATGCTTTATCGAGAATTTGGGCTTTCATTTGCCTATATAAGGAATTTTGACTCGTGAAGCTATTTTCAAGCAATAGGGCTTGGCTTTATGGAAGCAATCGCATTTATTGCTGCACACGAGCACATTGTCTACTGGTATGACCCACCATATGGCCGGATACATTGGCTTGCCCTGCAAATTCCATCATCTTTTATGAAGTCACTGTTTTTTTGTGCAACGAACCTGATATTAATGAGCATTCTTTGAACAGTAACTCATTTAAGATTAGCCTACGAAATGAGTTTTTATTTCATATACCAAGACTTCGCTATAGGAGCTATTGTTTTTAATATCAACTATATTTTAACCACAATGCTTAAAAACTTTTTGGCTAAGCCAACATTGCTAGATGATGAAAACTCGATAGGAGAGCAGCTTGCTATAAGCGGCCTTACAATAAATGATGAAAATATACATTTTCAGTGCTTCCAGGACTTGCTAAGAGTATCTAAAAATAATTATGAGAGAAGGATAAGCATTTTCGACCCGAAAACAAGCCAATGGAAAATTCTTCTTGATAAAGGAATTGACTACATTTCAGCAGTTTCGACACATATTCGGTCTTATGCAGTTAAAAAAAGCAAAATTAGACCAAATGAAATGGTTTCAGGGATGCCTGATTGGCAACAATTGATTTTCAAATTTTTTTATTTTATGTATTATGTATTCAATGAACCATTTGATGTGCAGTTTAGAAATGAGCTGTTTAGGATTACCACAATGGCTGCATTAAGCTCAAATGTGCTAACAAATTTTGTGACCTGCTCAGGGATGCAGTCGTTTATTTTGAAAGACAATTCTCTTTCATTGATTTTGCAGGCACAAGTTGATGCTTTGCAGGATTTGGAAAATTATAAGCATAATGATCCAGAAATTGACACAGGACTTTTTGAGTCAAATATTAACTCCTCCATCTACTTGAATAATCAAAATATTTGCTCCTCATGAAGGGTTTATTTTTTCAAGCTTTATACTAATTTTTCTAGTTTTGAAACCAATATAGAAAAAAATTTGCATAATAATATTAATATTTTATGAAATTAATAGAGAGAATGCAAACTATTTAAAGTTTACAAGATTTGAATAATAAGTACTATATAAACACATTTATTATAGATTTTTTCTCAAAAAATAGGATTTTTCCAATAGATTGTCTCTCTTGTGGAGGAGGAGCAAGAGAAACATAAAAGAAATCAAGCAAGAGTATAAAGAGTGCTTTAATTCGTTATCGTTGAGGTCAGATATTTTAGGATTTATTCAAAGGGTTAGTAATTAACATTAAATAGTTTTACTAACTCCCCCCACTCCGTGAGTGAACAAAAAAATTTTTTTCACTCACGGAGGGGGGTTAATTTTTTTTTTAAAAAAATATATATATAAATTTTATACAAAAATTTGTTTAGAAATTAAAAAAATCCTAATTCGCAAAAATTGGAAAGCAAATATTAATTTAATTTATAAAATTTATGTTTTAAAAAGTAATTTGTTTAAAATTAAACAGAATTAGCTCTAGATTTCATTATACTAATTATCACTTATATATCAAAAATTTTTTTCATAAAAAATTTTTCTATTAAAAACATTTTTGTTCACTTACGGAGGGTGGGCTTTTGGCAAATAATAGCGATTTTTCTAATGGTTTTGTTCGTCACCGAGGGGGGGAGTAAGTATCGTCTTAATTAAGAGGTTAAGAAAAAAATTTTTATGAATATATTCTAAATTATTAAACATGGACTCTCAGTTTCCGATTCTCAAAGTCTTTTGCAAGGTTTTGTTAATTGGCAAATCAGGAGTAGGGAAAACATCAATTTTACTTCAATCCACTGAGAATTTCTTTCCAAGTGAACATAAGCCTACAATAGCAGTCGACTGCAGAATTCGCAATTCAATGCATGATTCTCGGGTGGTCAGACTTATGATATTTGATCCTCCAGGAAAAGAGTCATTAGCAACGCTGACTCCTGCTTATTGATATTCTGTTGATGCTATTATTTTTGTAGTTGATGACCGAGTTCAGAGCCTTAGGTATGTAAAAGATAAAGTGAATGCGATTTTTGGATCCAAAGACGAAGAACTGCTCAAAAAAGTATTGAAAATTATTCTAGTTAATAAAAAAGATCTTATTACTGGAGAGGAAGGGAAAAATTATAAAAATGAAATTAAAAATTATGCAAATGAATATGATATGAAGTATTATAAATGCTCTGCAAGTGATCCTGCAGCTCTAAATGAAATTTTTAAATATATAATTGATACATTATTTTCAAACCCCTCAAAAGAAAAAGCTAAGCAAGCAAAAGAGAAGCTCAAAACTCAGAAGCGTAAAAATATATGCTCAAGATGCAGCCTATTTTAGTCCAAAATGATCAAAACAATTAAAAGTGTACCATAAATAATTTATCTAATTTTTTACGAATTATATCAATTGTTTAAGTTAAATGGAAGAATCAGATTTACCCTTCCCTGAGCTACCTCCAGAAGAAGGTTTATGAGATACTGGAAGTCTTCTGTGCCCTTATATGCCAAGTGTAGATGAAAAAGTGCGTGAAATGTTTTTAGCTGCAAAGATATGTGATAAAGATGTTATAGTTGACTTAGGCTGTGGAGATGGTAGAGTTCTATTTGAAGCTGCCAATGTTGGATGCAAAAGTGCTATAGGTGTAGAATTAAATCATGATTTAGTACTTATAGGAAGAGAAAGAATTGAAAAATCGGGATTGAGTGAAAAGATTAGAATTCTTGAGGATGATTTTATGAATATCGATATTAGCGAAGCTACAATTATTTATTTGTATTTGCTGCCAGAAGCTATAGACAAATTGAAGCCTATGCTTATTAGAGCATTGAATGGGAATGCAAGACTTTTGATTTCTGCTCATTTTTCGATAAATCCCACCATCCGTGAGGAGCAAAAAAAATATGCTCGCGAAGTGGGGTTAAAATAATTTATTTATTAATTTTATAGTAATTTATTAAAATTAAAAAAATCAAAAATTCATAAAAATTAGAAGTAAAAATTAAATTTAATTTGAAAAAATTATATTTAAGTATGCAAGCTATTTAAATCAAACAGAATTAGCTAGGGATTTATAATAATTATCACCTATATGCTTGATCATGGGGGTAGCTTTTTCTCAAAAAAAAAAAGTCATTTTTCCAATGATTTACTCACTCACGGAGAGCGGGAGTAAGAGAATGGAGAATATCTGAAGATACTAGAGTTGATGGGTTTAATTGCTACACAAAAGAAAGCTTTGCGGATTATGTTTCTAAATAGCTTATATAACTAAAAGTATATGTTGATGATAGAGTAAAAAATTATGCTGAACCACTGTATGATGAGAATTGAGAGATACGTGCATAAGACAACGAGACTCTTGTGGCGCTAAATGAAGGAAAAGCAGAATAGAACAGAACCATTTAGTTATTTAAATTTTCATAGAGATCAAACAATTGCTTCACTTTTAGGATTAGGACTGGATTCAACTCAACGGCATACTCTCAGAACTTAATAAACTTAAGCAAGCAAGTATATGAATGATGAAGAGAAGATGAAATTGATATTATTGATGATTGCTGTCTATAACAATCGTAGATTAGATATTTATTAGATTTTGGATGATGAAGCTGTGAAAGAAAGTTTCAAAATTCATGAATTTACCCTTCATTTGCACAAATTGGTGAATTGAATTGAGGAGAAATACGGATATAAATTCTGAAGATTATTAAAAAGAATATTAAGGAATTTAATTATTCAAAAATAATGACGAAAAATAAATAGGTTATATCTAATTAATAAAGCAAGAAGTTAAGCATAGCATTTCATGCCTATTCTGATAATGAAAATGCATAGCATCATAATAGTGCTCAGTCTTTAATGAAATTAGATATTTTGATTCAAAATTATATTTAATGTCGATATAGTATAAGCAAAAATGCCTTTATCCAACTTTTTCCTAAATTTTAGATTTTACAATAATTGGACTATTTGCATCTGTTTAATTTTCATGCCAAGATATTTTTTGAATGTTGAGGTGAGGAACAAAGACCCCCAGTTTTAAAAACAATTTCGGTATCTTAAATATTAGATTAGATTAGATTAGATTTAAGATGTGTCTTTATAGTCCCTACTTCCATGCGTGGCATTCCTCCGCGCTCCTTGGGGAGCCGTGCTGGCACGAGCGAAAAGGATGGACTTCCATCACTGGTTCTCTGAGCCCAGGCCGAAACCCCTGGTTTCTCGGTAGTGTGTTGCCCTATTGAGTCGTCAGCCGACTGTCGCTGGGCACCACCATTCCCAACTCAGCCTTCCGCCCCGAATTACGCCAGTCTTTGCCTCCGTCTGGCCAGATCGCCCTCGTAAGAGAACCCTTTTAACTGGAGAGACTTGCGCCCTTGAGTTCTTTAGTCTAGCTTCGCCTCCCCTCTTTCCGGATCATCTCCGAGAAAGAACTCAACCCCTTGCGGGATTCGGGGCTAAGCCACCAAGTAGCCTAGGCAGATAACTCACCCTGCCTCTTTCGGACACCGAGTCTGGGCCTCGGCGCTACTGGCAAAAAGAATGCGAAAAACTGCTGCCCGGGTCAAGTCCCAAAATCAGCGGAAATTGGGCTGGGCCTCTCGCCTCGAGGCTAACTCTCCCCTTGAGTAGCTCTCCGCATCCAAAAACCATGTCCGGTATACATAAGGACACCAGCCACGGAAGGACGGGTCGCTCGTCTCCGGCCATTTTATGTATATGGTATCTTAAATATTAAAATAAAATTCTCCAGCGTATCATATTATTCCAGTACCTATTATTATCACAATTCATTACTGATATAATTGTCAACACAATATATTATCATAATTTATGTTTAACGGAAACCCATTTATTTATTGAACTATCCAGATCCTTCTGGGCTCATAATTATAGCGCAGCTGATCTACGCAAAGTATGTTCCCATACAAGGAATGGTTTTGGTATCTTAAGTTTTCTAATGCTGGTCCTTGCCTAACTCTTCCCCATTTATCAAAAATACTTCCATGGCACATGCAAGTCCATCCTTTATATTTTCCAATGTATGGGATTGGAATACATCCTAAATGTGTGCATCTTGCGTTGAGAACCATCACCTTTGAATTTGGAGCATCAGTGATCCTTACTTGATGAGAGGTGTCCATAAGTGTATGTGGAGGAGTCTTGCCTTCGTCTTCCATCTCTTCTTTAGTCAGTCTTCTTATGAATAATGGAACACCATGCCAAGAAATCTGCATGACTTCACCAGGAGGTAATTCACCTATGTCAAATTCCATATATAGAGGCTGCCTTTGAGTAGCGCTCTAAGCGCCCGAGACTTCCCGGCGAAGTCTGGGCGGTGGTTTTACCAGCTGATGTTGGTCAAACCAACATCCAAAATGACAAATTCTTCTCATACAGAAGGTTTGTCAAATTGGATGCTGGTTTGACCAACATCAGCTGGTCAAACCACCGCCCAGACTTCGTCGGGAAGTCTCGGGCGCTTAGAGCGCTACTCAAAAGGCAGCCTCTATATTTGTCTGGGAAGTATCTTACCCAACCTGTAATGATTTGTGCCCAAGAACTTGCTGCATATTGGAAGCCAGTTACCCACATGATGTTTCCCATACAGTTTGCTATATAAAGCTGAGCTTTTTTGACTTCCCATTCTTCTTCATTGAATTCACGGGCTTCGTCAAACCAATTATCAAGCTTAAGTTTAAAGTCCATCACATCTCTGAAGTTTCCAGGCCTTGTTGGGGTTTCAAAAAAAGGTGCACCGTCTTCGCTGTATCTGTTTCCTCTGAACCACTCATCGGCAAATGCTGCCCTAGGGATTTTGATTAGTTGAGAGAGTTTAGAAGCTCTACTTAACATTTATTAATGGCCATGATGTATTCGAGATAGTTTAACTACGTAAAAGGATTCATAATTATAGTCAATGGCATTTAACGCAGGTATTGAAGACAAAAATGTAACAAGCCCAGTAAGAAGAAATTCAGGATGGGTTTTTAGATCAATGGAAATCAAGGACCAAGATGTCAATGAAAATTCAAAAGTAACTGAGGATAGTGAAAGTTTGCCGACTCTGCACATGAGAAAATCGTCAAAACTCTCGAGTGATATTTTTAGTGAAAAAATTAACTTGGATACACCTTGTCATACTTTCCAGGATTTGGATATGATTCTGGAAGGGAAAACCAAACATTTTGTTTTTGAAGAGCATCAGAAACGAGAGGAATTGCGTGAAAAGCATGAACCGTTAAAGAGGTCTGTTTTTTCAACAAAATCTGGCAGAGGACATATAAGATCAATTCATGATAGTGAGTTTGATAGTCAGAATACATGCAAAGTTTGTATTTTACAATAATTTTTGAATTAAATAATTGAATCACAATTTTAAAGTTTAGTGGTTTGTTAGATAAGCGGTTATAACTTAAGAGGATTTGTCGAGATTGACTATATATGGCTTCTTGATGAATTGAATTAGGTCTAATTATACTAAAAATGAGTCCGAAATTCATTCTAAGCAGAAATCAATTCACCACATGCAAAAATAATCAGTTTTAGCTATATAAAAATATAAAATTGATAAATACTATAAAAGGTCATTTTTTATTTGCATTAAAAAATCCTAATCATTTAATTTATTAGAATACTAAAAATTAAACAAAAATGTATTTTTAGTTTTCAAATCAAAATTCATTTTTATAAAATAGATTTAAACACTCTAATTATTTAAAATTGTATCTTACAACTTTTAGATTTACTACTTATTGGCTCTTAATCAAAGCATTGTCCATTTCATTCTTCTTTTGTGCGCCTTCTAGTTCTCTATTCATTTTTATTAATTCATTTTTTAATATTATGAACTATACGGTCAATTTATCATGGCTTGAGAGCAATGAACAGATTGATATAATAGTTCTCAACACAAATAATCTCTCATCATTCAATGAAATATATTACGAAATTTATGAAAGAGCAGTTAATATTATTGCAGCTGATGGCGCAGCTAATCTCATCAGAGAGTCTTTAATGCAAAGAAATGGAAATCAGATTCCAACCATCATAGTAGGAGATATGGATTCAATTTCTGAAGAAACTAAAGAATATTTTGAAGAAGTTATTCAAATCTATGATTCAGATCAAGATACAACTGATTTTCAAAAAGCACTAGGATATGTTAATAATGAAAGGCCTACAATAGTTATTGGAGACTTAGGGGGAAGAATGGACCACTCTTTACACGCTATTAGTGTGCTATTTGATCCAAATCATGCTGATAAAAGCATTTATTTATATAACTCACAAAATTTAGCATTCCCAGTATTCAAGGGTACCACAAGAATTATTTTTGCAAGTAAAATCCCATGGAAGTACTTTGGAATGATTCCTCTCTGTGGCCCAGCTGTTCTCACAACAGAAGGATTTAAATGAAATTTCAACAGCACGTTAAGCGAAATAGGAGGGATCGTGAGTGCTTGCAATGAAGTTTTAGAAAATCAAGTCGTTATAGAAGGTGACAAAAATATTTTATTCACATGCTCAAAATAAATTCATAAATAGTTAAGCTTAGTCTATATAAACTCAATATCAGCCCCAAGTCCTTTTAGCTTGTCATAAATTTCTTGGTGTGTTTCTTTGCTTATAGCTTTGGCAAGAATTAAAGGCTCTTTAGCTGTAGACTCTAACTGGTCTTTGGCTTCTTTGAGTCCAAGCTTAAGCATGTCTTTAAGTTCTTTAATCAATTTAATTTTTCCTTCTGGGCTAAATCCTTTGAGAACCAAGTTAAACGAAGTTTTTTCCACCTTTTCAGGCTTCTTTTCTTCTACAACTTCAGCTGGCTTAGCTGCAGCTGCAACGGAAAACAATTCCCCACTTAAAAATTTATCCATAAAAGACTTCGGGTACCCATGAAGTCCAATAATTCCTTTCTGCCCAGTTTCTTGCTGGTATTCAACATTCACAGGATGATTTGCTGGCCAGAAGTTCTGACTTCTCATTTGTGTTTCTTTTCCGTCCTCTGGAGGCCCATCTGGTTTGAAATTAAAAGTTCTTTTCGTTTTATCTCTCCAAACGTATTGAAGTGCTCTACTTTCAAGTGGGGAAAGCTGGAAAATTTCGTCGACAACCATATTGACCCTTTCTTTTTGCGCCTCTGTTAATTCTCTTCCTGCATAATAAATTTCTTTTTTTTGGCTTTCTACAAACTTGTCGTATTTTTCTTTGAAGGCTGACAGTCTTTTGATATTTTCTTGCTCTTGGAGCTGTGGCAGCTCTTTGAGAGCTGCTAATTTAGAAAATGACCTAAATATTGTCCTGCGAAGCAAAGACATTTATAAATGGAATACGGCAGCCAGGTGCTTTTCTTTTTGACCATAAGTTATATACTTTGTGGACTCTTTTGGACGTCAACATCAACTGTAATGGACGAGTTAGGAATGAAACGTTAAAGCAGGACTCATTGGTGTCTGCTTGGTCTTTTTAGCACAAAGTTCGCTTAAGCCTTATAAGAGCCCTTTTATTAGAGTTCGTGATGTATACTGCAGAGTGGGAGCAAGGTTTGGGCTTCTTTATATCGGGCTGTTGGTATTCTTACTATTCCAAACTGAAGATGATGCACGCGCGCTATTCGCCTACATTGACCCAAACCTCAATAAACAGCTAGAAATGCGCACAGAAAACTATGACAGGAACTGCGAGTTTACAATCCAAAACGTTTACAAGCTTTCAGACTTTTATCTTTTGGCCCATTTCCTCAATTGGTTTTTTGCAGCATTGATATTAAGGGACTATTACATTCTTCATATATGGAGTGTTTTAGATGAACTTATAGAATTATCATTAAAAAACATCAGACCCAACTTTGCTGAGTGCTGGTGGGATTCTTTGATACTAGATGTCCTCTTAGCCAATACCTTAGGCATCTGGATTGGAATGCTTTTAATTAGATACTTTAAATCACTGGAGTATGACTGGTTTGGAAGAAGAGGTGCCAAATCTATTAAAGAATGAAAAGTATGAACTGAGCATCGACATTTCCAAGGAGTATTTTTGGTCATTTTATTTGTGTCGCTAAATTTTGTCACTGGATTTACAGTATCAAATTCGCTATGGATCCCACCTTCAAGCAAATTAAACATTGTAAGGCTGCTGATATGGCTAGTTGTGGGAGGATTAGGATTCAGAGAAGGATATGACGACGTGAGGACTTGGGGAGACCATCTTAGAGCAGAAAAGCAAATCTTTGCACAGTACAGATGGACTGCATGAATGATGCTTTGCTGCGAGGTCATTTTAAGCTGGAAATTCAGACATAATGCTGGAAATAGACTTGATGAATCAGTGCATTGGTATGTAGTATTACCTTGGGCAACTTATATTATAGGTTCTCTGCTGTATTACTGCTATTTAAGGCTGTTTTACAAGTACAGAATCTACAAAGATGGCACCTACATGGACTTGGAAATCCGCCAACAAAGTTTACAAAACAAAAAAACCAATTAATCATTAATTCTTTGATTTAGAATAAAAATAAAATGCTGCCTATGCCTGTTCTTCAATGCGCAATTTCTACCCCAGTGATGGTTGAGCTTAAAAGTGGGGAATGCTACAATGGCTATATATTGCATGCCGATTATTTTATGAACTTAAAGTTGAAAGATGTAACACACACGAATGCAGATGGTGACCATTTTCGAAAAATCCCTGAATGCTATATAAGAGGAAACAATGTGAAATATATAAGGGTACTAGATGAGGTCTTGGAAAAAGCTGTAGAAAATAAAGTGTCTATTAAGAGAGGACAAGCTAGGATGAGAGGGAGAGCGAGATTTATGGCAAGAGGGAGAGGATAATAATCGAAAATAAATAATAGGAAGGTTTTAATTTTTAATTCAATTTATAATGAATGACATAGAAATTGTAGTAGAAAATGAAATTCATACTCCATGCAATTCGAGGGATGAAAAAGAAGAAATTGACGAGGCTGAGATGACTACAGAAATAGCAATGGATTCCAACACAACAAAATTTAATGATGTGCCAACAGCAGATATATCGCACACAGATACGGTTAATACTGATGTTTTCTGAAGACTTACTCGAGGTTTTAGTATTCGCCCAAGGTTTGACTCTGCCACGTTGAACTCAGCTCTTGGGAGAAAAATTGTAAACCTTTAATGTAGCAAGAGATAAAGGTAACTCCTATAGAAGTTTATGAAATTGAACTCTATGATATTTGCAGAAGATTCTACAAGCAAGAATCCAGACATAAAATATCAAATAAATGCATTCTCTATGTACATCATATCTATAGATTAAAATCTCAAGAAATTGAATTAAACGAAGATGATTCTAGAGTTACTAATCAAAGCTTAGAAAATTTAATGAGCTGCCATCCAAGATATTGAGGAGATTATAGCTTTTATAAAGAAACTCTTGCTTTAGTTTCTATACTTGCTGTCAAATGAAAAATAGTAACCCTAGATAATTATAATTACAGACTCAAAGGAAGAGGGCTCAATATTAAATTATTGGACCTCAATGAAATGAATTCGGATATGTTTACAATGGAAACTCTCTGATGAGCAAATAACATAAAAACTCATCCTTGGGTTCATGCTGTTGGAGATGAGCTCTTGCAAGTAGCAGAACTCCTCATTAAAATTTCTCCGAGAATTTTAAATGAACTTATTTCTTGCAACCAAAATTGCGATTTTGAGGCTTTTCCATCAATTTCACCCTTCCTCGCAGTAAAGAAACCAGCAATTGTTAAATATACCAAGGTAAAGCCTGATTTTAATATAAATGTAATGACATATCAAAGGCTGAAAATTAAAAACAGAATTTTTAGCTTATGCCTCAAAGATGATGAGTCATTGAAATTAAAGTCAATCTATGGGATGATCGCAGATTTTGAAATGGCCTACAGAAAATTTGAGCAGGATTTGATGGTTTTCATCATAAAAACATATCAACTCACTTCTAAAAATCTTGAAGAGTCATATTAAGATAATACATTATTTAATCAAATTGTTTTAATTAGCTTTGTTAGTAATTGTTGAAAATATGAAAATTTGGGAATTTGCTCCTGATAATTTTCACGAGTCCACTCATAAAGAAATTCTCAAATACATAAGAATATTTCTTGCTCTCTTTTCAGTTGGAAATTTCCTATGAGCGCTTATTTTAACCCCAGATTTATTCTTTATTTATCTAACTTGCTGGGGATTAACAATCACGATGATTTATTTTATAGTTGCTGCTTTATCTTATTTTTCCACAAAATTGACAAAAGTAGCATATATTTTATTTGAAACGATATGGGCTATAGAAAGCTGCATAACCGTTATGTATTGGACTGCGGTAGCGCCTTTGTCATCAATTGATGTTTTGCAAACCATTTTTCATCATGTAGTGCCAATTATTACACTAACATTTGACTTTTGCTTGAATAGAGTTGAATTTATAAGGAAGCATATGGTTTTTCCTCTAGGCATTAGTATTATTTACTTATTGTGTGTGAATATGCCTTATGCCTTAGAAGTGGAAGAAGTTTATCCTTTGATGAGCTTTAGAAATGTGTGGAGCTATTTGATGATTTTAGGGGCACTGATTGTAGAGGTGATTGCTTTTGAAGGAGCTTTACAATTGAAAAGAAAATTAGGAATATGCACGAAAAGTGTGGATATAGAAATGAACAGCAATAACTATGAAATAGATGGCAAAAGACCTTTAACTTCCTAATTAATCCAACTGAATTTTCAGCCAAACAGCATTATATCAAATATTATATTTATTAATTTTTCGTAAAATATATTGAATAAAAAAATCATCAAACTTTAAATGGAAACTCTTTACATCGAACCATATAAAGAGCAAGATTTCCCAAGATTGGTAAACCCTTCTGAAACTTTATCAAGCAAACTATCAACTTCCAAATTCAATAAAATTAATAGCCCTCCTACTTCTGTACATGATAGGCTTTATAAAGATTCCATAATTCGGCAGCAAACTAAAACCCATAAAAACAGTCAGAAGTTATCGAATAAAATTGAAGGAAAGCCACGAAAGGGCATTGAAAATATTTTATTGCAGAAAGGAAAAGTCCTTGAAGAGAAAAAAGAAAGGGTCAAAGAAAAATGGGAATGAATAAGAAAACAAAATTTCCGGTATGCTCCAGAAATCAATGAATTATCAAAGAAGCTAGCCTATATATCATATGCGAAGAAAGGGCATTGAGAGTTGCCAAGATGCTCTTCTAGGAGTTCATCAAATGATGCATTGAAAATGAAGAATCTAACTGAGAGAAATGATAATGGAGGAATGAAAAAGTATCCTGGCCTAAATATTAATATTGCTGATTTGCAGAAGTTTGAGCTGCCTTATAAAAGCTTAACTTCAAGAAGCACTCAAAGAAATTTTGAAATCCAACCAGATTGAAATGAAGAAAATGGCTTAACTGAAAGAAAAATACCTAAAAGTTCTAATAACGATAAAGAAAAGCAGATTTCTACAACGAAGCCATCAACTTTAATTAAGAAATCAATTGAAGATAATTCATCTCGGCCAAGCTCCAAGATGAGTTTCACTCATGAGCAATGCATGGTATCTCCGAAATCTCAAAACAAAAGAAAGAAATCTTATGAGAACATAAAAATTTCAAATAAAGACGAATACATTTTAAATTTACTGAGCCAAAGGTCTAGAACAAATACCCCTTCCAATAAAAACACGCCATCTCTAGAACCTAAAAAATCATCTAATCCTCAAACTCCTAGACACTTTCCAAGTAAGAGCGAAATTACTATAGATAAGCCCCCCTCAAGAATTGTTGCTGATTCAGCTCTACCATATTCAAAATATGCAAGAGAGAATTTCGGTCAGGAGACCAAAAAATTCGAACATCGCGATATCTTAATTATAAAGTTTGGCTTGCCCGATGAAATTATCCCAGTTGTAATAGGGAAGCAATAGCCGGTGATTTTCTTATCGGACTCCTCACTTTAAGGAATCGAATTTTCTAGAAGGGAGCTCTATTTCAGGTGGTGAAGACTGGGATCTTTAAGGTACCTGTCAGAACTAAGTAGGTAGCCTGAGCTCAAAGAAGAATTGTTGGAAACCTTTTAAGACTAGAATCTTTCTGCGAAGCAAGGTGAAGGTGGCCACAGTTTGGCGGGCCGGAGAAAGATGACGCGAATGCTCAGAGCAGCTTTGGAAGTAGCTGTGACAGCTGGCAACTTTCTAATTGACTCTAAGCGTAATAGTTAGCGATTTATTTTGACTCAGCTTTGCCACTAGAACTTGCGCATCATTATAGAGAATTAATAAAACGAAGATGCGAAGAAGACAATAATTTCTTAATTTCTAAGCGTAAATAGTAACATTTAAACAATGTGCTTATAACTTATCTGTAAACGCTGATTTACTTGACCCAAAACTTCTCTGCTGAGTTCGCTCATGCAAAAGACTTTCCAGTCTTTGTGCAGCAGATGCCCTTTTCTCTCTTACGAAAGCGCTACTTAGACGATCCACATCTGTACGAAGGCGAATTAACTCCTGTGCAAGCTGAGTGTATTCTTCAATCCCTTGGCTTGGCCTAGTGCTTTCTTCTGGCTTAGTTGATTTCGCAGATTCAAGCTCTTTTTTCATCTCGTCATATACGAATTTCAGCGTTCTTATTTCTTCTTCGTGTTGCGCTTTGAGTTGCTTAATTATTTTGTTAGCTTCATTCAGCCCATTTTTGAGATAATTCACTTCTTTTCGTAATGATTCAATTTCTTGAGGGTCAGATGAAGTTTGAGTTCTTGGAGTAATTAAGTTAGCGTATGACTGATAAATTGCTTGACTTCCTCTTGGAGTAGCTGGGTTCCTTGGAGACGAAGAAGTCCTAGGAGTTGAGTTCTTCTTTGCAAATGACATTAAAAGCTTTAATTACTAATTGAAAATTTGAATTAATTTTTTTCTAATACAACAGTTTAATATGATGCGTGGTTAAGCACAGGTAGCAACCCTACACCCCCACCCCCCCTAAAAGTGGTACCCCCCACCCCACCCCCTATAAAATGGTACCCCCACCCCCTAAAAAATGGCACCCCCACCCACACCCCCCTTAATATAGCATAAAATATATGACAAATGCCAAAATAGAGCAGACGTAATAAATAAATAAATTATTATTTTAAATATTAAAAATTACTGATTTATACAATATTCACATAGCGTAGCACAATCGATTAAGGAGTAGATGGAATGGGGTGAGAATTTCCTATAACTAGTAAGCACACCAAATCTGAAGAAATTTGTTAGCAAGCATAATAATGATCTTTGGTATTAATTAGCAGTATATATTGTATATGTTTATGGACTTTGTGGAACAATGGCTAAAGAGGCGAATTAGAGATCCAAAAGTAAAACTGGCAATAGCAAATACTATGTTTTTATAGCACTATTGAATCCTGTTACCAATTCAGTCCTGCAATCCTTGTACAATGGCCATTAGATTAGCTTTAATTTATGAATCAATAAATTTAATGCAAGTTATTGTTGTGCTTGGCTCATTAATAATCAATGCTATTATCTATACCTTAGACATTATATTTATAAATATAAAAAGCAAATTTAATATATTTTCTAATTAATTGTTTATTAATTTAAATTTATTAATTAATCATAAATATATAAAGTAATTTGTGAACTTAATTTATCAATACAGTGTTTTAATTGGATTATATTTAAATTATTCTGCTTGTTTCCTAACAATTACTTCTATAGGATAAACTCGAGAGGGGGGGTGGGGGGGTACCATTTTTAGGGGGTGGGGGTTCCTTTATTGGGGGATGGGGGTGTCTGATTGCGACCTATGCTTGACCATGATGCGTAAGCTTCGGGTGAATAACTATACAACGCCCGCTAGGAACATGAACTTCTATAACATCAGATGGGATTTGAGTTATGAGAATTTCTCCATCAATTAAGGCTTCATGATATTGCTTGGTGTCAGATTTATGAGAATCTGGGTCAATGTAAGCGACAAGAGGACCTTTGAAATGAGATGGGCAGTAAACATGAAAATGCTGGCATTGATGGAAGCCCAAATGAGGATGATTATTGGAAAATGATGTTTTTTGATCGGGAATGGAGTGATTTAATATAGTATAGCCAATGTCTTCTAAGCTGTTCTCGCACTCAAAATGATTTTTTATGTTCAAGAGTCTCTCCATATTTATTTTTAATTTCGTTGATTATTATTAAGTAAGCTACAATGAAAATGCATCAGAACCCTCTTTCAGCTTTTATAAAAACAAATCTAAAGGGAATTTTTATTATCGATTAAAATTAGCTGTTGGGGGCAGCTGCATCTTTAAAATATTAAGTCTTTAGCAAGTAATTCTTAAAAAATACTGCATGCAATTAATTATACATAAGGTAATTTTAATTAAAGAGCAAAGATTCATCATCAATATGCTTTCTTTTCCTCAAACAAAAAATGAGTCAGTCTATTCTAACAATTTTAATTCCCAATTGTCTCGCCTCATCCATTTTTCTTGTGTTGGTTCCATCAGACACCAAATATTCTACTGATCTATCAAGCTCTTCAATATAGATGGCTCCCAACGATTCACAAAGCTCTGATATTATAATACTTTTCCCAGGATCCTGGACAGCTGAACTAACCAAGCAATTATTTAAAACATTTTTATACGAATTTGTTGGTTCTTTTTTCTGCGTATGCGATCTTAACACTCTTTGTTTTCTATTTTGAATATCTTGAAAAATACTATTTTGCTCCGCAATTGTCTCCCCATCTTCAATATTAATTGTTTTATCCTCTTGTTTTTTATTTTCTGATCTAATTTTATTGTTAATCCCAATTCTATTATCAATTGGGTTCCTAGAAGCTCTTGGAGTGTCATAATCTATTTTTCGCTTTCTAGGGATTTCATCAAATGCAGATTGTTTCAAGTCAAATCTTTGGATTGAGTTAGATAAATCAGTTTTTGGGTTTTTAGAAATTTCTAATGTTCTTTTGGCTGGTGGGGAAGAATAAAAGGATCTCGAATTTACTGTCATATGGTTAGATCTTGGAGGGGAAGAGCCAGAATCTCTTGGACTTTTAAGAATTCAATAAAAAATTTTTAAGGATCCATTAGATGAAGTTGAAGATATGTCAAGCTTAGCATAGGAAAATTTTGTGTCTTTGTGAGATGCAAAGAGATTAGAGCTATATTTTATGGTTTTTTCTAGAGCGCCAACTACAGATTCCTGGCTTTCAATAAGATAGACCATGTCTGTTTGATCAGGGCTGTTGAACGCTCCAATTTGTACAGATGCAGAGCTTCCTAAACATAAAGTAATCTCTTCAATTTTTGTTTTCGGAAACTGAATTGTAATTGATCCTTGGCCTGAATGAAATTCTAAAACTTTAGCTTTGTTGATGCTTACCCCGCTCTGCTATAAATAATTGTTTTTATTGGTAAAGTTATTTATTTTACTCCCCCCCCCCTCCGTGAGTGAACAAAAAAATTTTGTTCACTCACGGAGGGGGTTAATTTTTTTTTTAAAAAAATTTATATATAAATTTTATAAAAAATATTTTTTTTCGAAATTTAAAAAAATCCTAATTCGCAAAAATTGGAAAGCAAATATTAATTCAATTTGCAAAATTTATGTTTTAAAAAGCAATTTGTTTAAAAATAAACAGAATTAGCTCTAGATTTCATTATAATAATTATCATTTTATATATCAAATTTTTTTTTCCATAAAAAATTTTTCTATTTAAAAAGATTTTTGTTCACTCACGGAGGGTGGGTTTTTGGGCAAAAAATAGCGATTTTTCTAATGGTTTTGTTCACTCACGGAGGGGGGGGGAGTTAGTAATTTTATTATTAAATTTTCAAATGATTTTCTACGAATTAGAATATTTTGTGCATCTTCACCATCCTCTAGTGGCTGGCAATTTATTATCTGGTAATCAATTGTGATCATTGAAATTTTGTGCCTAAATTTAATATAACATTTAGTTCAATATATGGACAATTAAATGTCAGGGATTTTTAGCGGGTTTAATATTCTAATACTTTCGAAAATATTAGGATTTACCGGGACATCCGCCAGCATAATAAAAAATAAAATAGAAGAGCACGGAGGAAGTGCAGATATTTTTGGATCAAGAAATATAAAAGATATCAAAAGCTACACAATAGTAATAGCCCCTGAAAATGCTACTGAAGAAATATTATCACAAAAGCTAAATATAACAAATATCAAAGATATGACCATTGTAAAGCCTGAATGAGCACACTCTTCTATTGTAGCTAAAAAAATCCAACCCATAGAAAATTTTAAATTAAAGTTTAATGAGAAGATGCCTTCAAGAGAATCATCTCCATCTATTAAAAGAAAAGCTGAAGAATTGGAAGTAGGAAAACCTAGAAAGCCATCAATTATTGATAATTTTTCTCAATCTTCGAGAAAAAGTGTTGGATCAGACTGAGTATTTTCAAGCCCAGAAGAGCCATCTGATTTGCCAATTAATATGAATCCAGAATTTTTTCAGCCTCCAGATCCTTCTAGGATTAAAAGCAGCAATTTAAATTCACATATCACGGATGAGCTAGAAAAATTACAAAAGCTATATGAAATTCTAGATGACAGAGGAAGGTCTGTAACATATGCTAACACAATAAGATCACTTAAACTATTAAATTTCAAGGTCACTGATGCCGAGCAGCTCAAAAAAATTAAAGGGTTCGGGATAAAAACTAGAAATAAAGTAGCAGAGATTTTACAAAAAGGATATTTAGATAAAACCGTTATGGCTGGAACCTCCTTTTGGCTCAAAATATAGTGGCGTTTTCAGACGTAAAAAATCGAGAGTTGAAAGCCAGCATTTGCTGTTAAACTAAATACCCAGTTTGGCGTCGGAAGACGTCAACATAGTTTGAGCCAAAAGGAGGCTAGGACTATAGCTTAAGCAAAGAGCCCCAAATCCAAGCAATTAATGAAATATCTCAAATTTATGGATTTGGATCGAAAACTGCGATTGATCTATATAAACATGGACTACGAACTATCCAAGATGTTAAAAAATTTGCAGAGATTAATAGAGATTATTTCAGCGAAATCCAGTTAACTGGAATCGAACTTTATGATGATCTCATACAAAAAATCCCAAGAGAAGAAGTAGAAAGAATTGGCTCTATTATAAAAGCACAGCTGAAACTTATAGAACCCAAAAGCGAGTTTGAACTCTGTGGATCGTATAGAAGAGGCAGGGAACTGTGTGGAGACATTGATATTGTTATTGGAACAAAACATAAGGATCGACTTCTTCCATTTCTTATAACTTCTCTTAAAGCAATTGGCTTATTAACCCATAGTTTTACAAATACCTCAGAAAAATTCACAGGTGTTGTGAAACTTGAAGGAAAGCCTCATAGGCAGCTTGACTTTTTTGTATGTAATATAGAAGAAACTCCTTATGCAATTCTTTATTTTACAGGATCAAGCAACTATAATCGACTACTCAGACTTGAAGCAGAAAAAAAAGGTTACCATCTTTCCAATACAGGACTTTACAATCGCTCGACAGGTCAAAAACTGATAAACGCAACTACAGAAGATGACATCATTAGGTTTTTAGGGTTTCCTATTCTCAGTCTTCAAGAACGAGATGTATAACAATTAATTTAAATTACATCCTAAGCCTGCTTTCTAGAATCTTCACTCGTATTTTTTCGTCTTCCAGCTGCTTTTCCAGATCTTTGATTCTGCTTTTTAGGCTGAAATTTTCTTCTTTGACGTTTTTTAATTCTTCTTTAATATTATTCTTATTGTTATCTATATCCTTTAACGTCTCCTATGGGGTTGCTGTACCCAGGACCGCCACCATCTTTTTCACCAGTCGGGCCCATGACCTTTGGATCGATCCACTTTTTTTCACCAGGGTTGGCTCCAAACTTGATGTTTCGGCTTCAACAGGGCTGCGCTGCCTCGATTCGTTACTCGACTTGCTCGTGTTCCGGCTTAGGTCAATCCTCCTCGGATTGGTCGAGCAGAAAAACACTATGCCTTCCATTTCCCTAGGATCAGAAGTCTAGCCATCGCTAGGCTCACCTGATATAGACTGAATAAGATTCACTGTGAAAACTGAACCTCATAATCAAAATATTTCTAAAAGAGAAACAATTAGCGGAGCTAATTAGTTTCGACAGAATGTTATATTTTGATTATAATTCTTCTTTAATCAAATTTATATCGTCAGAATTTCCATATTCATAGGATTCGCTGCTTTCGGGACGATTACAGTTGGGGTTTGTTGTGTCTGAGTTGTGGTTTTGAGGGATCGATACTGTTCGTCTATGGCCTTTTGCAAGACCATTAGCAGTATAGAGATGAGCAGTCGGAGTTATTGCTCTGGAAAAATACTCGGAACTCTTATTACCTTTTTCTTTCTTTTGCAGGAGGGTAGCATAATGATGGGATGGAGATGCAGGAGGTTTCGAAAAGATTGATTCCATGATTTAATAAATTTAAACCATTTTAATAAGAAAAGATAATGAAGCAAATCACCAGGAATGCTGCAAAATATTATCAATAATGGAAGAAATTTTAATAATTGTGTTCCTTTATTTAAGAAAACTTCAAAGCACCTAATAAAGGAAATAATTTAATTTTTATTTGCGAAGCAATGATTTTCATATTAAAATAAATTTTTAAAGCATTTCCATAAGATGGACATGGTTGAGCTCATTGATGATGGAGACCAGTTCTTTGAAAGGCTTTGAGATGTGATTGATAATGCAAAAATCTGCTGTTGGATTCTCACATATCATATAGGAAATGATTTAATTGCAAACAAAACATTAAAGAAATTAGCTGATGCTGCAGAAAGAGGTGTAAATGTTGTCTTAATGGTAGACTGACTCAATTATTGGCCAAACTATGCACTCATAAAAGAATTGGAAAGCAAAGGTGGTACTGTTCGAGCTGTAAACCCTATGGACCCATGGAGACGCTATATTGGAGGCCAAGAGATCTTTTCAAGAGAAGTTTTTGAGAGATACCACGAAAAAGTATTTGTTATTGACGATTTAATGATAATTGGCTCAGCAAATCTCGATTCTGATTATGGAGGCGCGAAATACGGAAACAGCAATTTTTATGATCTGAATATAATTTTCAAAAAGAAATGCATTGAAGAAGCACAAACTGCCTTTGATATCTTAAGCACTCGCTATGATTGGTATTTAAAGATACCAAAAATTGAGGAAATTCCTGATGAAAATTATGAAATTTTAGTATCTGAGCCTTATTATATGAGGTGAGAAATCCAAGAGAGAATTTTGGATATGATAAAAAATGCCAAATCCAAAATTACACTTGTCCAAGGATATTACTATAATATCCCCAAAGTTACCAAAGCTCTTAAGCAAGCTATTGACAGAGGAATAGAAGTTGATCTTCTGACATCTAAAAAAAGAGACCAACCAGTCTACAAATTCTTTCTGAATTCATGGCTTACAAAGCATTTCAAAGATATAGGGGTCAATGTATATGAATTCGATGAGCAAGTGCTACACATGAAAGCTTATATATGCGACGATCGCGAGTTTACTATTGGTTCCTTCAACAATGACATATGAAGCTGGCAAATCAATAACGAGCTCAACCTCTACGTAAACGATAAAGTGCTAACAAAGCGCTTAATAGATATCTCTAACAAAGTAAAATCTCGAAGCACACCTGTACAGTACCGAAATCATATAGAAAATTCCTGGGGATAGCGCGGAAATACGCTATCCCCAGGACCAACCGGGATCGGATCCCACATGGAACGAGGGTTCCATGTGTGGATCCATTTTTGACACGTGAAAGTAAATATCTCACATGTCAAAAATGGATCCACACATGGAACCCCCGTTCCATGTGTGGATCCGATCCCGGTTGGTCCTGGGGATAGCGTATTCCGCGCTATCCCCAGGAATTTAGTATACTTTTAAAGAAATGCTCTATATAAGGTTTTGGGAAGTTTTCTATTTTTTATCGATGAAAGCTATGGATACTGCTTCAGAGTACAAACTTTACTTTGAGCAAGCATTTATCAATGATTCTAAGCCACTTGCAGTTAAACTGGAGAAAAAAAGAGAAAAAGTCAAGAAGAATATGTACAACTACTTCAGTTTAATAAAATTTGATTTATATGAATAAAACCATTATTCTTAAAACGCTTTTTTAGGCTCTGGATCATCTTGGAGCTTTTTAATCATTTCCAGTTTTGATAAAACACGACTATTTAGAGCTTCTAAAGTCTTGATATCGTTTTGCAAGCTTACCTGGTTGATTTCTGCGGAATCAAGCCGAGCGAGCAAAGTTTTATATACATGACAGTCATTTTTGATTCTTTCCAAGCCAAATGAAACTTTATCATTTAGTTTTGCAAGAATATACTCTATTGGAGCATCTTGTTCGCTTGCTACTAAATTTCTTTTATTTGTCCTATACTCGATCAATGCTGCTAATTACTAAATTACTTATAAAGAAGCTCCCTGCATGCCTGAGGCTACTACTCGCCTCTATTTTCATGCCACCACTTGCTTGCCAGTTTGGAAACTGGCTTTAAATGCGCTGCTTCTCACAGATGAGGGCTTGCGATTGCGACCTGAGAGCTGGGAGACGCTGGGTTACCATGTTGTGCATCAATGGGGTTAGTTTTTGACGACAAAAATGGAAACTCGAAGACTAGGACGCGACAAGTGGTCTTTCGCTGGGAAAAAGTAGTGATTGGGTAAACTTCTAGCACAACTGGGACGTCCATTTCAAACTCCGAGCTTCCTTTCCCACTGTGCAAAATCTGGTTTTGATGTGAGCATGTGATGGCAAGCTCAACAATACACAGCAAAACCCTGCCGGATACACATTCCTGAGCACCATTCTCTCTTCCACTAGGTTCACTGGCCTCTCAAGAGCCTATCGCTGCACATCTTAAAAAGATGGGTTAGTTTGTCAGGCCATTTTTTGGTATATGCATATACTCAATCAGCGCGTTTTTAAACTTATTTGTCAGTCTAGCCTTTTGTTTTTCTGAAGCATATGGGTTTTTTTTTAAGAAGATTCTAAGTTTAATGGCACATTTTATAGCGTTGATAGCTTTTACCTTGATGTCTTCTTCACTTTCGTCTCTTTTGATTTTATCATAAGCTTTTCTTTCTTGAGGGGTGAATTCAGAACTGATCGTTAAGGAGACAACCATTAAGGATACCAGGAAAGTCCCCCAGAAACAAGCAATCACATCTATAAGTCTTCCTAGATGCGTTGATGGAAAAAAATCTCCATAACCAACAGTGGTCATGGTAATTACAATACACCACATTCCATTCCACATGTAGTCCCAGTTCTTAAGTGAAACCTTCATAAATGGCCTTTCAGCAGTTCTTAGAGCTACCCCAAAAGTCAAAATTGACAGTAATAAAACAATAGAAACGACTGTATAAGGTCTTTCCTTTAGCTCTGCTTTGATAGCGAAATTTACCCCTCCTTCACATAAACATGAGTTGCAGATTTCTTCAGCTTTTTCGTCATTTCATGATGAATAATTAGCAGCGATTCTTCATATTAAATAAACCCTTCCAAGCATAACGATTAAAACCAGCATGTCGAAGGCATAGTCAACATAGCCTCCAAGCTGCTCAAAAGTGAAGACCCAATTGAAGCCAGGCGGGCAAAAAATCATACAGTAAACCATTTCACATATCATAGGAATTAGTAAGCCCGATGATTTCAGAGTGTCATAAGAGTCAACTTTTTGTTTTGCCTTGTAAAAATGAAGGCGAAGACGGTAATGATTGAAAATGGTCAATGCAAGCAAAAAGGAACTGATTCCGATAATAATGCGAAGTACTGTGATTGTAGTTGTCTCGACGTATTGATCGTCTGTTCCTGTGAAAATTGAATTTCCGCTAGAATCTGTATCTAATTTTACATCGCCATAGAAAAGCTCATATTCTTCGTATTCTAGAATAACTCCAAATAATCCTAGAATCATCGCCAGCAAATCATTGATTTTTAACTTCGTTTCAATTTTTTTTCGAAGACTTCGATTTTGATTATCTGTTATAAAGATGAATTCCATTTATTATCAAGTATGTATAGTAATTAACTATATCACCTATGTACCTTTATTGCCTCACATTTGGGCTGTTTAAGAAAAGCAATGTAGAAGGAGACGGATCCGGTTGCTGAAGCCCACTCATTCCCATTTGATAAGTAGTTTTGATCTGGTCAGCGAGGTTTGAAAACCCAAGATCATTAAAAGCAAAAGGAATAAACCCAGGAGAGCTGATTATGAGGGGAGACACTGGCATCACTGAACTCAAGTTTACAGATTCGGGCTCCGGCACTTTCATTTCAGAAATAAGGAACTTTATAGGGTCAAGGCCTTTCGGGCATATTTTTTCTGCTTTTCTTGTGAGGCTTTTTCATCTGTTTTTTACTTGGTTTTCGGTCCTCCCTTTTAAGAGTCTTGCTATATCGCTCCACCTGTTTCCTCACTCAAGCTGCTTTTCGAGAATCAGGACGTCTTCTTCGGGACTCCAGCTGCCTTTTCGCAGGCCGTCGTTTAGATGGTTGTATCACCTTTCCCTGCATTGCTTGCCTTGACGGATTGGCATACCATTGTGTACAATTGCATTGACTTCTCTGGCAATTAAACTCCAGTGATGAGGACCTCTCTTATTTATTAAATCCCTAAGAGTTTCGTCTTCTTCTGGCAGCCAGGATTGTCTGGCTTGTGCTCGGTCTCAATTAATATCTGAATTAAAAGGTCTTCCGAAAGGGTGGTACTCTTTTTTGTCTTTAGATATAGCGCAAGGCACCATCCAAACATCATCTGTGATTTGAATGGGTTTAATATTTTTGTCATCCATTGTTTTATATTTCGTGAATTCTTAAAATAAATGAGTATGATTAGTGATTTAAAGGATTTTCTGTATTCTAAACAAGAAAGGAGTAATTATGAAATAATAGAATAATAGATTTTATTAGAAAACAATTATAATAGAAAAAGAGAGAACAATAAATATCAACAGAAACTAAAAATAAATAAATTTGAAAGAGTAAAAATTAAGATAATTAAAATTTAATTGCACTAAGAAAGGAAAAAAAGTGCCAGTAAAAATATTACTATATTTGCAATTTTAATATTTATTAACGACGATTTATATAGTTAAATCATTATATAATTATTTTTAATTTCCTTGCACTAATTTACTTATTTATATCAAAGTATAAACGCCAAGCAATTTACGAAAGCACATCAAAATAAAAATTCTGATGCAAATAAAAAATCATTTTTCAATATTTAGTAATTAAATTTCTTTTTAAAAATTTATTGTTTATATTGCAGAATATCTTATTAGATTTTTTTTATCTGTTACACCTTCTTTTTTTTAAATGGGATCTGAAAGCATGTAAGCTGATAGGTGAGAAATTGAATATCTGAGTTTTATTAATATATTATTTTAGTGAATTTCCTTATTCATTAAAAGTTTATTATAACTTTTTTCTAAAATCTCAGTTTAAACTCGCCGCTGTCTTTGGTAAAACAATTAAAACTCTTTGAACTTGGAGCTGTTGAGGACGATGTATCTAAATCAAGATCAGAATCACTGCTAAAATCATCCAGTTCTGCAGACTCAAAAAAGAAATGCCTAGGAGAAACACTCATATCAATTGGAGTATAATGTCTAAGAGTATTTCTACTACTACTCCCCTCCGTGAGAGAACAAAATCATTCTGCTCGCTTATGGAGAGGGTTAATATCTTTTATACTTATTTCCTATGAATAGGCCAATAAACTGGTGAATTACCAGTTAAAATTACAATTTGATCCGACAAAAATTATTATTAGTTTTGGTCTAACCAAACTTGAAACTCAGGGGCTATTCCCCATTGTGGGGTATGAAAGGGATTTTTCTTTATATGTAAATTTTATAGTAATTTTTATAGTAATTTTTTTTTCAATGTTAAAAACTCCTAATTCGAAATAATTTTAAAGTAAATATTAATTAATTTGTAAAATTTATGTTTTAAAATGCAAACTGATAAAATTAAGCAGAGGTTTTATTATAATAAATTATCATTAATATATATCAAAACGTTTTTTCGAAAAAAATTTTTGTTCGCTCAAGGAGGGTGGGTTTTTTACCCAAAAAATAGAGATTTTTTCCAATGGCTTTGTTAACTCACGAAGGGGCGAAGTTAGCAAATCTCCTGACGAAAAATTCTTTTTACATTTGCTGCTCCAGCTTCTCAAGACTTCTGTAAGATGTATCTTAATCTTAATTAACCTATTCACGTTTAGCGTCTACTATCAGGCTGCTCGACCGCAGCTACCTAAAATATCACTCTGGGGCGAATTTCGTGCCATTTTCTTCTGGCCACCTCCAACTTTGAGTACCAAAAGAGGACGTCAGTCTTGAATTTTGGGCTTCGATGACTCTTCTTTGAGATAGACACTTACTTGGGCCCGAACAGCACCCTAAAGACCCTAGTCTCTGCTGCCTGGGGTAATTTGTACCCTTCTGGAAATTTCCATTCCTATGGTCTGGAGTTGGTTGGAAAAAACGACCCGTCTCTTGGTTCCTTGACATAGCTGGGATAATCAACCAGTGGAAGCCAAACTCATAATTAAAATATGAGAGATGAACTTCGGCCGGGAGACCAGAAAATTCAAGTTAGGCCATATTTTAATTATTCTGTAAGATGTATCACTTCATTTGCGTCTAGCACATAATAATTCGCCAAGCTTGGCTTAATTCCTAAAGTGCAACTAAAAATATTTTCATTTTTCAAGCTTGTAAAAAGGCTGCTCTTTTGCTTTTTCAATGAGTTTATAACTCTAAACATTTCTTCATCTGAAATATCATCTCCAACTGCCAGCACAAAATCAATTTCTCCATTTTTTTCATAAAGCTTTTCAAGGATTCTATAAACCGTTGTTCCTTTATTGATACCTCTCGGTTTAACCTCTACATACCCAGCTCCTTCTGATACTTCACATTCATTAAGGAAAGGCTTTAAGAGTAGCTCTAAATGGGCTACAAGCTCTTTAGCCTGCCATCCACCAAATTCACGCTCAGCATCTCTATATTGAAAAACTACAGAACATTCTTTAAGTACCATAAAAGACCCTTCTGTCCTAGTGACATAGGCACTTATGATATCCATTGCAGTTTCTCTTCAAAATCCTGCAGTAGATGCTGGATAATCCCACGGCTCTTTTGCATTTCACCTTGTAAAAGCTCCATATTCAGCCGCAATCCCTAAAAATTGGACTGTTCTAAACCAATTTTCAACAATTCTTCTTTCTCTACCCGTTAGAATGAAAACAGTGTTTCTTTCGTCTTGGCACAAGTCATCAATAATGTGCAGTATTTTATCAGATGGCCCTTTGCATTTGTCGATATCTGTTTGCTTTAATAAATTCGTGAAAGTTCCTTCTATATCAAAAAAAAGAGCCCGATTCCGAGAATTTTTGTAAGCTTCTAAGACATTATAAGTATGAAGTTTGCTAAAGTTTTTACGCAAAGCGATTACTTTTAGCTTGTCACCGAGACCATGACTGACATATTGATATTGCTTATAGTCCTTGTGAGCTCTTTTTAAGTCAGTTAAAAAATGCCTTGCTCAGCGAAGGGTTGTTTTTGAGTTTATATAGGCCAGATCCCTTTTTCGCTTGTGCAGAAGCTCTGGCTTAGGAAGTTGGGTCATAAGCTCAAATAGCGCATTTTCTAAGTCAGCGTTATCAAATGGGTTGACTCTTCTTGGACTACACAGAGCTCGGCTCACTCCTGCAAACTCTGACAATATAATTCCTGCCCATTTGTCTCTATTTACTACTATATACTCAAAAGGCAGCAAGCACAGCCCATCTCTTATCGAACTAATCACAATTCCTGAAGAAATCCACATATAAGCATACCTTTCTTCTGATGTCAAGTCTTTCTCTACAACCTGTACAATTTCGCACCCCATTTCTAAGTTAATTTGGTTCTGCAAGTTATAAACATCGTTTTTTACATATGCAGACATTGGGCCGGTTCCTTCAGGTGTCAAAATTTGAAGGAAAATGATCCTGTCTTTTTTCTGAGGTAAACACCTCATCGTGCTTTGGAATGCTTTAAGCTTTAAATAAATTCCTGAAAGCTGATGGCAAGGGTCTATATTTAAAATCAATTTTTTGCCTAGATATTTGGAAGTAAGCTCTTGGAAAACATTTTGATAAGTTTCTGAATTTTGTAATAGAGTTATCAGATTTGGCTCCACACCAAGGTGCCCCACTTTGATCATAATATGTCTTCCATAGTAATTCAGCCCTAAAAATCCACCTTTGCTAAATTCAATATCGACCCCAATCATACGCTTGCAAGTCCCTATGAAATGTCTTGCATAATCAAACAAGTGAAACCCTATCAAATCACAGCAACAAAGGGCATGCAAAATTGCTTCTCTGTGAGGTAAAACTCGATAGACCTCTGAGCTAGGAAAAGGAATATGCAAAAAAAATCCGATATTCAGCACTTCATTAGTTTTTCGAGACAAAAAACTTGGCACTAGCATTAGTTGATGCCCATGTACCCAAACTAGTGTATGTGAATAGTACTTTAATGCTAAATCTGCAAATAAAATATTGACTCTTTTGTAGCCTTCTCACATCTCTCTAGAGTATTGAGGGATCATTTCGGAGTTTGTCTCAATAACCCCATGGAAAACTCTATGCAAAATTTTACTACAAAACTCATAATGTAATTCAGCGTCTATTGGCGGGATAAACATCGGAATGCACTTGTATTCTTTTATTAAGAACTGAGTAAGTTCTTCTTGCTCTTCATCTGATTCCAATCAAATCCCTGGAGACCCAATCCAGTGGAATTTGATGTTTTCAGCAATAGCAATCCTGTACAATTGAGTCTGTCAAACTCCTTTATGAGCATTAATTATCCATTTTTCGCTTAAAGGCTGATCTGGGGCATAGTTGTCATTCCTCGCAATTTTGATAGGCAGAGAATTCGAAATAATTAGAATTGTGTCAGATTTCTCATATTTTAATTTTTCGTCGTACGCAAAGGCTTCTGGCTCTAGTGAGCGTGGCAGATTTTTTGGCGCTTCATTATCATATAGAAAGAGCTTAGAAATGGTCGAATTTTCTTCATCTTCAATTGTGAGGTTTGTGTGAACTGCATGAAATTTTCGATTTCCTTGGATTTCTTCCCATCTGACTTGGTCTTTATAGATATAAACATATAGCACACCCCTTGTGGCTGCTCGCCCATTAAGTACCCCCTCCCCATGTCACACATCCCCTGACGGTCCTGAAAATTTTAAATGCTAAAATACTATTTGACAAGTCCCCCCAAATATTTTAAATTTTCAAATTAATATTTAACATGCTAAAATATTTAGGACCGTTAGGAGGTGGGTGGTATAGGGAGGGGTGCTCAAGGCCGATCCAAAATGGGTGTGTAAGCTATATTTGTACTCGACCTCAATTCCAAATGGGATGGTGAGTGGCGATACTGTACTCCAGCAAGGAGATGTGAACGGGTCTGCTTTCATGACGATCCCTTCTGAAGGTTTTCACATTCCAAAACTTTCAATGTTTCCTACAACGCGGACTTCTTCGCCTAGCTGAGTTTGGGTTTTAAACATCAACTTTACATTGGCTTGGTTGACTGGAATCATTTGAATTTATTATAGGTATATCTTTATCTAAAAATTATCTAAGCATAAGAACAGAACTCCCTATTGATTACTTAAATCATAGTGGTTTAAAGTTCACGAATTTTATTATTAAAGTATTTTTAGGATGCAAAGAGAGAAGTATTGAAGACATCTACCTCTATAAATGCAAGTTTGGCATAGAAGTTAATGAGTTATATGCTAATAATAAAAAGTATGATTTTAGTATGAAATTTTTACAATATATAATGCCATTAGTGTTTAATGGTGATAAAGCGAATTTCCATGTTTGTATATTGAATACACATAAGTATTTGAAGGTAATTCTTACTCGCTTCACCTAGTCATTTAAGGCGCAGAAAAAACTCTGACTTTGATGCTTCTATAGAATTTCAACTCTAAATTAGTAAATTGTTAACATTAAAGCTTCTAAAACTAAAATTTATATAAAAAAAATTCAAAACTCAGCTTATGCATATGCAGGAAAATTTTAGAAACCACAGGGTCAGCATTTAATTATTCAGTAGCCCAGAAAATTAATGATAAATTTTTAAAATCTGGATAAACGCAATCTTATTATTAGTGAGAAATATCGAGTTATTAAGTTTATTTGTAGATCACCAAAGGAATTATTTTTGTTAAAACTGCACTAAATTGAATTATTTTAATTCAAACATTTTGAATAAACTAAATTTAATAATCCAACACTTTAGCTTTAAATTTTTCTTAACCCCTAACCCTTGGTCTGTCAGCAAAACCATTGGAAAAATCCCTATTTTTAGGTAAAAGCCCATCCTCTATTAACCCCCTCGTTTGTAAGCAAAATTCTTTTGTTCACTCAGGGAGGAGGGGAGTGAGAATTATAATAATAAATGGAATCATATTGGAACGAGAATGGAAAAAGAGTTCGACAACTTGACTGGCCAAGTCAGAAACGAGCAAGAATTTGCTGTCATGACGCCGAAATGGAAGACCCTCAGCGTTCTTATATGAGGATCAGAAAAACACAAATCCAAAATATGCTTGAGCGGCAAATGAGCTTGTATAAAATGCAAGAAAGAAGCTATAGCACCTGCTATAGGCCATGTGAATTAGAATAACTGAAGAAGCTTAATATAATTGATAATTGGCCTTGCCTTAAATTGGTAAAATTTAATTTGAGTCTTTCTAAAATTAATTAAAATTATTCAAGGCAGAGTGTTTCTATTAGTTTTCAGATATCCTAGGAATATTTCTAGGATTTTTTCTGAAAATTATTTAGAACTATAAAAGATTTGGAGTCAGAAAAGTTATTAAAAAGAAAAAATTAATTTTGATAGAAATATTAAGATTAAGGTAATTTATACGAATCAAATCAAATAGACTTCTTCAGTTTTATAATTTTATTGATTTTTATCACAATTAAATTGATAAAGCATTTCAATTAATTTCTCTTTAAATATCCAGATTAATTGACCTGCTCCGTTATCTATCCGTTTTCTCTTTTCAATTTCTCTTCCTATTTCTCTATTATTCTGTTCATTTCTGATTTCTCATTTATTTAACATTTATTAGGTTAAAATTTAAATCGCTATTGCAATACAAATGATTCCAACAGCTTTATTTGAAACACTTGAGAACCGATGTTCGTAGTTCCATACGTTTTACTGGAATGGAAGCTACAAGTTTCAAATCCTGAATCAATTGAAAACGCAATGTCATGTTCATTTTTTCCAAAACTTAACTCGTCTTTAGAAAAATTTATCCATGCTTCACTTTCAGACGAATGGTAAAATCTCGGCTCTGGCTCAAGCTGGAATACAAAAGAATTCACCATCTGCGAAGATTTTTTGTTAGACTGAATGGTGCAATCGATAAAAGCACCTAGGGTTTCTCCAGTTTTAGTTTGGGCTAAAAACAGCATCGGAGTTGACGGCGGGTATAAAGATGATCGATTTTCTAGCTCTCTCAAAGTTACCCCACACTCTTGACTTGACAGAATAAACTTCGGCGCTAAAATCCTAAAGTTCGCTGGGAGATGGCTCCAAATCAAGTCAAAATGACAGACTGACATGATGTTCGACTGCAGCTGAATAGACAAACGAAACAAGCCTGCAATATGCTCGCTTACACTTTCAGGCTCAGGCTGCTCAGAAATAAAATCTTGGCGGCTAATGAGAGCTCGGAAGCCAGTTCTTAAAAGATCGTCGCAGCTAGTTAGCGAACAGCATTGGTTTTTAATATAAACTTCAATTTGTTCTTGTCTGTATGGGAGCTCTCGCTGTAGTATGTTAAATACTCCATAAATTACTCGGATCAAAGTTTTGTTCCCTTCACATAAAAAGCAAAGTAAAATCCTTAATAAGCACGAAATCCTGAAATAGCCGACGAAAAAGCAGTTCAGCATGTCAGAAATCAGCTTATTTAAGTCAAAGTTTTGAGAGTCCAAAAACGTTGCTAACCCTCTCATATCTCTTCTAATTAAATTTGAAGTTTCTTGCACCAATATGCTATGCTCCCGTTTCGTGCAGGTAAAATGCCGTTTAAAGCTTGTTTCTTTTTCCTGTCTTGAATTAATTAATAATTTCGTAATCAAAGCATAAGCTTCATTTTCATTAAGGTATACAAGTAAAAGTGACAAAGCACCTACAATTTGTGGGCAAAATTTAACGAACGGGTGATAATTGTGGATTACCCATAAAATCCTTTTTAACGCGGCTTCTCCAACTGAATTAATATAATATCGGGAGAGGATTTTTTCAATCGAAGTGGCTGTCGAGAAAGTGGGGACTAGTGTAAAAGTTTCAGGGATTTTGCCTGAAAAAACTTCCATCAGTAAAGGATGGTATTCAATATCAGATCCTTTGATGGAAAATAGCTTAAGAATTACTGATCTTGCCAGTTTATCTGGAACACCACTAAATGGAATTTACCTTCTAATGTAATGTTTTCATTGCTTTCTTAATTCTGGGTGATACAAAGATGGGGATTCTTCAGTTTTTTTCTTGAGCGTAGGTGCAAGTCTTTTTCAATTTCTATTGTAAGTTGATTGGGTTCGTGAGTAGCTCTGCTCAGTGGTTTCTCGACGAAAGGCAGCTAAAAAGAGATATCCGCCGTCTTTAATTCACGACGCTTTCATGAGAGAATGCTCAGAAGAAGACATGTCTTGGCTATTTCTTTGATTCATTGCAGTGCATGGGTTTCCCATTTTTATTTCTAATCCTTTTATCGAAGACTATTTAAAGAGTTTTCAGCTGATTTTTATTATTTTCAACTGTTTTCTGTTGTAAGTACTAATAGGTGAAATTATATTATATATGAAAACTGTTGATATAAATATTAAATGGAATTAAAATAGAAGGATCATAATGGAAAAAACCTTTAAATTATCTTTCTGAGATAAATAATTATTCTAGGATGTTATTCATTAAAATGAAGCGCTAACTAACTCTCCCCTCTGTGAGCGACAAAAAATTTTGTTTTCTCACAGAGAGGTTGGTTAAATGCCCCCGCCTCCGCCTCCGCCTCCGCCTCCGCCTCCGCCTCCACCCCTTGATCCTGCCCCCACCCATCACCTCAATATCAAGCTATCTAGTTCTGATAATAAGAAAGACTCAATTTTATTGTAACGCATGTCAAAATTTTTTGCAATTTTAAAATTAATTTACCATAGATAATAATTAAATATGGCGTCTTCGTCTGGGCATGGCCTCCCGGCCATGCAGCCTCGACTCATATTTAATTATATCCGGCAAGGTTTTGCCAGCTCAGAAAGGGACAGTAATGCTAGGTAAGCAATTCTGGTTGTGTTCAGAGCCTAGCCCAAGTCTATTTTCAGGGTTGGTTTTTTCCTAGTGGGGAAGGAAGGCATGTCAGTTGGAAAAGGGGAAGCCCAGCAGAGTCTTAAGGACCAATCGGGCAACTCCCTAGCGTGAAACTGGGCGTTACGTCCCAGGCTGCATATTTCTCTCCTTTTTGCCGAGAGCCGACCAGAAAATCCATTTTTTTTGATTTTCGGAAAGGCAACCCATGTGCAGAAGCAAGTAGCTCACTCATGAGCCGTCGAAGCCGGTGACATTTGCCCTAGGCGCATCTTGGTGATCGAGATGGGTTGGCCCAGCAACCTGTTGGCCCGGTGCGGCGAAAGGCGAGTGGCGGGCTGGGATAGTCTACCCCGTAGTGGACGTTAAACGTTATAATTATTAGTTAGTTAGTTAATTTACCATAGATAAGCAAAATGAAAATTTTATTAATACATTATATATCGTATTTCATATGTAAAATAAGCTATTTTTTGAATTAATTCTTCTTACTCCCCCCCCCCCCCGTGAGTGAACAAAACCATTAGAAAAATCGCCATTTTTTGACCAAAAACCCACCCTCCGTGAGTGAACAAAAATTTTTTTAATAGAAAAAATTTTAATGAAAAAAATTTGGATATATAAGTGATAATTAGTATAATGAAATCTAGAGCTAATTCTGTTTAATTTTAAACAAATTGCGTTTTAAAACATAAATTTTGCAAATTAAATTAATATTTGCTTCCCAATTTTTGCAAAATTAGGATTTTTTTAAATTTCGAAAAAAATATTTTTTATAAAATTTATATATAAATTTTTTTTAAAAAAAAAAAATAACCCCCCTCCGTGATCGAACAAAATTTTTTTGTTCGCTCACGGAGGGGGGGGGGGGAGTTAAAAATAATTTAAAATTTAAGATATTGTGTTTAATTTATATTTTTTTTAATTTTTAAAAATGTTGATATAGAAAAAAAAATTAATATTCTTTAAATTGGAACAATATGCTAGTTTCAATTTAAAAGAAAGGCAAATTAGAGAGTTCTTAAAAAAAAGTCATTTTATAACGATTAAGCATGATGAATTTACTTGTTTGAACTTAATTTTGCAGAAATCAGAAAAAAGCAAGTAAGATATAGAAATTTCCCTTAAATGGCCTTGATTTGCCCACTGAAAAAATTTTTTGGTTCGACCAGTACCATATGGTTTGGTCAAACCAAAAAAAATTTTCAGTGGGCAAATCAAGGGCAAACAGTGCCATCTATGGGAAATTTCTATACTTATCAATGCTTATCTAAAAGGGTATCTTAACTTAAAAATGAATTTTAAATAATAAGGCATTATAAAATTGGCACGTTTGCTTGCCAATTGGTCTAAACTTCAACCATTTTTTGACAATTCACTTTTTAATCTCTCATTATATAGAAATCAACCTCGTCCCTTCGATAACTTGTTCAATAGAGAAATCTATAAGTGGTTGGGCTATACATTCTAATTGATAAATTAATATATGTCTAGTTATATATATAATGGGGTGGAGGTTTGGGATCTGTGCTTGATCAAGGGATTAATTATATTTTTAAAGAAATCTATATATAAATTTTATAGAATTTTTTTTTCGAAATTAAAAAATCCCAATTCAAAATAATTTAAAACAAATATTAGTTTAATTTGTAAAAATTAAATATAATTAGTTATAGATTTCGTTATAATAATTATCACTTATATATCAAAATATTTGTTTACAAAAAATTTTTTGTTCGATCACAAAGGGGTTTTAGGGATTTTTCCGATGCTTTCTGCTCACGGATGATGGGAGTAAGGTAAAGCGGCAGTTTTAAATATTATAGAGCAATCTAAGCAACTATCACTTTTTAAATAAATTAATCTGTTTTGACCATACTCTCTTCGAGCTTTTTAACCAAAAATGCCAACACAAGACTCATGCATCCTAAAATAATGAGATGGATTGTAGCACCAGGAGGGCAAACAAGCAAAGTAAGCATGCAGAATAAAAATAACCCTATCAAAAACTTGTAAAAAATAGGCAGGGGTATGCTAGGGATCATCATCTTTACCGCTTGATATATAATTATAATTATTAAAGTTTAAACGCGTTTTAGATCATAATTTTTGATAAATTTTAATAAAGTCATAATCAATTCTCTTTAAACATAAAAATTTTCTACTTCACTAAACCTAATTAAAATCAATAAAATTTATTTATTATATATGTTTCTATTTTTCTTCTTTAGTTTTGTGAACCTCTTCTTTTATTTTTCTAATTTCCTCCTTTCTTTGTTCATCAATATTTCTTTCCAGTTCATCAAGCTCTTGCTGCCTGCTTTTTTCCATTTCCCCAACAAGCTGCTTGATAATTTCATTATTTCCCATTCCTTTGACATCCTGAATTTGCTCTTTATATTTCTTCCGAATTTGGTGTGTTGATTTAATTTTTAATAAAACATATTTTTCCATAATATTTTCTAACTCTTTTTCAAAAATTTCATATTTTAAAGGCTTTGGAACACCTCCAGATTTATCGCTTTCTCCTTCTGTCGATCTCCTTTTAGGAGGTTCGTCATTAGAGGATATATTAGACATATCTAAGTAGTTAAAACTCCCAAATTTATTTGGCGATCGAGGAGATGAGCTTCGATTTCGATTCTTTTTCCTGCTGCTAATTCTATGCTCTAAAGCTATATCTTGACTGTCTAAATTCAGCTGGATTTCTTTAGAGGTTGCACTTGTGTCGAGGTCATGCTGCTTTATTACTCTTTCAGCAACCCTTTTTTGGGTTAAATTTTCAGTTTTCCTGGTTTCAGGAGCAAGCTCAAAAGGATTTTCTGGGGGAGTATTAAATAGTTGTCTACTAGTAATGCTAATAGTGTGTCTTTCAGTAGGCTTTTCTGGTGAAGTAAACGAATTTTCAGTATTAGCGACAAGAACGTTGTCTTCTTTTTGAATAAATCGGATCATTCGTTCTTGATAATACTTATACTTGGCATCCCCAATAGACTCATAATACTCAATTGCTTGCTAAATAAAGAATACCGAATATAGCTCAATAAGAGATTTAAAAGCCTCAATTGATTCTTGAGTTTCAACCTGAATTTCTAAATCCAAAACTTGGTTAGCAAAATCAGCAGGCAGAGGGTGGATTGATGGTGAGTATTTTATTTTTGGACTTGCAAAATTTTTAGCTTTATTTCGTTTTGACATATTGGTATAATGTATAACTGCTTCATTTATAATACCTTTCAAAGATGTCAAAGATTTTCTCACGATCTATGTCTGAATCTAAGCTGATAACATTCAGGTCTACAAATATCTGTCTTGAACACGAAACAAATGATTTTACCCGCAAACTTGAGCGAGAACGAAGGGTTTCTAATCTCTTAAACAAAGATCTTGAAGAGCTTGTGGAAGAACTGGGAATCAAGAATAAAAAGCTTCATAGGAAAATAGACGACCAAAGAAATCGTAAAGGAAAACAAAAAATCGGAATTTTAGAGGAAAATCTTGACAGGTCACTAAAACAGCTGAGCGAAATTAAAGTGCTAAATCTTGCATTGAAAAACAAGATATGTGCTTTTAGAAAAGAAAAAAACTTGTATAAAACAAGAAATGAAGGCTTAAAACACAATATTGAGGAAGTTAAGTCATTTTCGAGTAAACTCAGATCAGAATCAATTGACTCGCTAAAGGTTTATGACTATATGAAAGAGAAAATTGATGGTGCAGAGAAATCGAAAGAAGCTTTGAGGAATAGCATCCACGATAAAATTGGCACACTAGCAAGCCAAATTCTTAGTGAAGCTCATGATGGGAATCGATATTTGCATGGAATCTCAGTCAAGCTGGCTGATCCAATTGCTAACGCTTCAGAAGTCTTCCAAATAATAAAGAATCAAGCAAACTTATGAAAACAAAACTGCATTAAGAAAAGGTCTTCTATTAATGAATACTCGGATTTTATAAAAATTTTGAATGATGGGATGGAGAAAATGAGAAGAAGCAGCAAAAAAGCTTTATTAAATGAAAATGTAAATGCTTTTTTAAACTATTTCGAAGAATCAAATAAGCTTTCAGAATATCTTGATAAGCTTAGAGATGATTTATCTAGAAATGAAGATGAACTGAGCTCGACAAGACACCAAATAAATCTTTTTCGTTCGTGCAAAGAAGTAGATAAAAATGATAGGAATTCTAAATTGAAACAAATTGATAACGAAATTGATAGCTCTCCACTTTTAAATTGGAACAAAATATGTGTAAAATTTCCATTTTTTATATATTAACTCCTTATTAAATTTTAAACAAAATTTTTGGAAAATTTTATAGATAAAAATATGATCCTTATATAATAGTTTTGAACTAGTTTAATGGGGTAAGTGCAAGTAGAATATTATTTAAGCAGGCATAGAAATTTTTTGAAATATTTTTCATAAAAATAAATAAAACAAAAAGTATGTTCAATTTATTTTTTTAATTTTCTAAATATTTGATATTGATTTTTTTTAAAAAAAAAAATAAGCCCCTTTAAATTGTGACATAAATTTTTGTCCAAATTTAAAGGGGTGTAGTAAAACAATACAATTAAGTCAAGATCTTACACAGAGCTCTGAAGACATGACAGAAAAAGTAAAAAATTTGAATGGGCCTTTAACAAGTATTTCAAGAAATCTTAAAACTCTTGGACTAATTGAGGGTTTTGAATATGGCTTGGATTCAAGTAAAAATGCTATCGAATTATTACAAAAATTAGAAAAAGGAATCGACTTAATAATATTTTCATCCCAAAATTTAAGCAGAAATGATGATATCATTTTACCACCTATTCAAAAGCTAAAGCCTTCTGATGTTGATATTGAAGCTTTTATTGATCCTGAAGAAGTGAGTTATCCCTTTACCGTGCAAGATTTAAGACAAAAGGCAACGAAATCCTTACAATTTTTTAAAGAAAGCCATAAATAATGTTCTAAATAATAAAAACACTGATTAACATTTTCATAGTTAATTTATTCTCATTTAGAATAAATACGCTTGTAAAAAGTATCCTAAATAGCCTAGAGAGATAGAAAAATTACTATCTGTATAATGTTTCATTTATTTAATTATAAAACCTTAAAGCAAATTATAGCTATCGCAATGTTATTTAAATTATAATGTCACTTCCATTTGGAGCTAAATATTTAAAAGACACGGGGATTCTACAAGCTTATCAAGCATTTATTGCTAGTCTAATGGAAAATGGACCTCCTGAAGGAGATCCTCTTGAACAAGCTTCAAAATTCATATTAAATTATGAATCTACTATAAGATCACAAAAATCAAAACTTTCAAGTGAAACCGATGAAAAAATCGACAACAATGAAAACGAAGAACCAGCTGAATCCAAAAAAGAAAGGAAAAAAATTATTTTAAAAACCAAGCCAAGGGTTCATCCTAGCAGCCAAAATATCACGCCTTCCGTTTTTGAAACGAAAGAAAGGAAAAGACTATTAATTTCAGCTTACAAGAAACAAGAAATTGATTACTCTTATATTGATGTTTTTGAAGGAAAAAGAATTGTAATAGATCCTTTGCAGCCACAGCCAGCTGTCGAGATAACGATTTCCAAAGAAAATTATGAAGTTGGTGGAGAAGAATATAGCATAGCCCGGGCTTTACTGATGACTCCCAACGTGGCTTAGGGAGTTGACAAGCCAGTATTTGCTGATAAAACCAATTCCTTGAGTGGCAAATCTCCGTTATTAGGCGGATTTAAAACCCAGAGAGTTGGTTTACAACAAATGCTGGTTTGTCAACTCCCTGAATGACATCGGGAGTCGTCAGCGCAGCTTGAGCTATAACAAGGTTCGGGCTATATAATGAAGTTGTGCACGGAGAAAGTATGGTTAACTATGAGAGCCAAAATGAACCATCGAAGCCTGGAACTGCCAACTCTATGAAATCTTCAGTTTCTTCAAAGTCTTCAAAATCTTCCAAATCCTCTAACTCCCCCCCCCTCCGTGAGTGAACAAAAAATTTTGTTCACTCACGGAGGGGGGTTAATTTTTTTTTTCAAAAAAATTATATATAAATTTTTATAGAAAATATTTTTTTTCGAAATTTAAAAAATATTAATTTAATTTGTAAAATTTATGTTTTAAAAAGCAATTCGTTTAAAATTAAATAGAATTATCTCTAGATTTCATTATACTAATTATCACTTATATATCAAAATTTTTTTCCATAAAAAATTTTTCTATTAAAAACATTTTTGTTCACTCACGTAGGGTGGGTTTTTGGGCAAAAAATGGCGATTTTTCTAATGGTTTTGTTCACTCACGGAGGGGGGGGGAGTAAGCATCTAGTTAAAGTTGGAATGGGAGAAAAGAAACGATCTCAAACCTCAAGAGCTTTTCAAGAAATGGCAGAACTAGAAGACTCTGATAAACCTGCAACTGCGAAGAGGTTTGAAGAAAATAAGTCGATGAATGTATATCAAGAGCTTAAAAATCCTTTATCTCCAGCAATGCATGAAATAGAAGAAACAGGAGAACAATAAAGCATGATAACTAAAATATTATAAGAAAACTAGCCATAAATAAATATTAAGTATGCAAAACTAGTGCTGGTTTTCTGATTCAATTTTTTTGCCTTCTTCAATAAATCTTTTATATTCGCCTTTAGTTTCAAATGGTCTTTCTCCTAACTACCCCCTCTGTGAGCGAACACAAAATTTTGCTCGCTCACGGAGGGGAGTTAGTTTTTTTTTTTTAAAATTTTTATATAAATTTTAAGTAAAATTTTTTTTCGAAATTCAAAAAAATTCCAATTCGCAAAAATTGGGAAGTAAATATTGATTTAATTTGTTTTAAAATGCAATACGTTCAAAATTAAACAGAATTAGCTAGTGATTTCATTATACTAGTTATCATTTATATATCAAAATTTTTTTCATAAAATATTTTTTATATTAAAAAAATTTTTTGGTTCGTTCACTGGGTGGGTTTTTGGGCAAAAAATAGGAATTTTTCCAATGGTTTTGTTCGCTCACTGAGGGGGGAGTAAGACTTCTACCAAATCTGAATGGGTAACTCTTTCTTTATCCATTAAAGCTCCAGCTAATTTCCCAATCAGATCTTTTTTGCTTAATAGTAAATCTCTTGTCTTTTGTAAGCAGTGGTCTATAACAGTCCTGACTTCTTCATCAATGATTCGATTAGTATCCTCACTGAATGGCTTGCTGAACGACTCCTGCTCATAATTATACCCAACAACTCCAAGCTTTTCAGTCATCCCAAAACTTGAAACAATTGCCTGAGCAATTTGAGTTGCTTTTGACAAGTCGTCCTGGGCTCCAGTTGTGACTTTTCCAAAGAAAATTTCTTCAGCAACTCTACCACCTAATGTTGCACAAATTTTATCAATTAATTCTTCTTTAGAGTAAAGCATAGTTTCATTTGGTAAAAATTGAGCAAAGCCAAGAGCTAGTTATTATTAGTATTAGGCTTATTGAAAGCTTGCTGTATTTCATTAATGGGCTATCCCCACTTGCAAATGCTTCTCTTCCTGCTCCCCCAATTTACGTTTCATGACATTGTCCTGTCCCAACGAGGGCACTGCTCAGTAGTTGGTGTGCCGTACACACCAAAAGGGTTAAAATTCAAAAAGGTTGAATTTTCTGATCAATTTTCAGTTAAGATGGAAATCGATAGCCCAGGGCGTGACATCGGTTTCGCGCTAGAGAATAGTCCTGTTTGGCCAGACGAACACCACTGACTCTGTTGGGAAGCCCCTTCCAACTTCCGTACCTATCTCCAACTGAGGAAAAATTTTTGGCATTGGAGTAAGGTATGCAATTGTCCAAACTGGCATTGAGCTTCACCGAACCAAGAAAATCCAGCTGAATACATATTCCCGAATACCATCCTTCCTTAATGTACCTGAGCACTTTGTGGGATGTCGGCTACAAGAGGAAAGAGGGTGGGTTGGTTCGCTACGCCCTTTGAATGCATACAGCAAAGCCAAGAGCACCTTTAGATCTAGGTAAAATACTAACTTTTAATACAGGGTCAGCGCCCTCCAAAAACCATCCTGCAACTGCATGCCCAGATTCATGATGAGCCACAATTGACTTTTCTCGGCCAGACAATTTTTTAGTTTTTTCGAGACCTCCTATAACTCTTTCTGAAGCTGTCTCAAAATCTGCTTTATCAACAGATTCCTTATTTGCTCGGGCTGCTACGATGGCAGCTTCATTACATAAGTTAGCTAAGTCAGCACCGCTGAATCCAGGTGTTAACGCAGCAATTCTTCTAGCATAATCTTCAGTTTTTAGCTCAGGGTTGAGTTTTAAAGGCTGCAAATGAACCTTTAAAATGTCTTCTCTTCCTTCTATATCAGGTAGCGTTAGTTCAATAGTCCTATCAAACCTTCCAGGTCTTAGTAGTGCGCTATCAAGGATATACTAATTGACCAAGAATAGCCCACTAAGGAGCCATTCTTGGTCTGCCAGAAAAAAATTTTGACAAAAAATCCTAATCTGCCATTACCACTGAGTTTTGGTGTTTCCAAATTTTTTGGGCAAGCCAAATGCAATAAAAAAAATTGTTCTTTTGCGATGATGCATTTGGCTTGTCAAAAAATTTGGCAACATCAAAACTCAGTGGTAATAGCAGAAAAGATCCTAATCTGCCATTACCACTGAGTTTTGGTGTTTCCAAATTTTTTTGACAAGCCAAATGCATCATCGCAAAAGAACAATTTTTTTTATTTGCATTTGGCTTGCCCAAAAAATTTGGAAACACCAAAACTCAGTGGTAAATGGCAGATTAGGATCTTTTTGTCAAATTTTTTTCTGGCAGACCAAGAATGGCTCCTTAGTGGGCTATTCTTGGTCAATTAGTATATCTTTTCTGTTAGTACCAGCCATGACAACTACATGAGAATCAGTAGAAAACCCATCCATTTCTACTAGAAGCTGATTTAGGGTATTGTCTCTTTCGTCGTTTCCGCCCATTTTTCCATGTCTTTTTTTGCCAACTGCATCAATTTCGTCAATAAAAATAATAGAAGGCGCTCTTTCCCTAGCTTGTTTGAAAAGCTGCCTAACCCTGCTTGCTCCAACTCCAACAAACATTTCTACGAAATCGGACCCAGAAATCGAAAAAAATGGGACTCCCGCTTCTCCTGCTGCTGCTTTTGCTAGAAGAGTTTTTCCAGTCCCAGGCGGGCCGACTAATAAAGCGCCTCTTGGTATCCTCGCTCCTAACTTTTTAAATTTCTTCGGATTTTTCAAAAATTCCACAAATTCCATGATTTCTTTTTTAGCTTCTTGCAGCCCAGCCACATCTTTAAATTTCACGTCGATTTTTTTATCAATTCCATAGACTTTAAACGAAGCTTTTGTCATGCCAAAAATATCACCCCAGCCTCCGTTACTGCCTGAATTGCCTCCCTTTGATTTTTTAACAACATTATAAAGTAACAATAATGCTGCCAGTGTGAAAATAGTAGAAGGAGAAACGATCGAAGTTACTGATTCCGCCATAGGCTGGCCTTTTTCTTCATATTCAACAGGAATTAAGTCTTTTTTATCCCTCCCCAATGCAATTTGCTCAGCATGAAGGGAAGCTAAAAAGGAATTTATATCAGGAATTCTAAGCTTGCCGACTTTATCTTCATAATGATTTATAAGGTAAACGTCGTGGAGGACACTTAAGTCTTTAGATTTCGAAATTTCTATTTTGATCTTTTTTAATGCATTTGTCTCTATGTATTTTTGGATTAGTTCTTGAAAAGTGATTAAAGGAACGCCATCATCTGGATGGTATTGAAGCAGTGCATATCCTAAACTGGCTGCTGCTAAAATGCCAAGGTTTCTCCAGTTGTTTGGATTCTTGTTAAAACCGGATTTCATATCTTCGAATGACCATTTAAGCTTTTCCGATGAAGACTTATAGGTATTTTTTTCTTCTTTGTCAGCTTTTTCTTCTTTCTTTGACTCTTCTTTAGGCTCTTCTTTTGGCTTTTCTTGTGTTTCTTGTTTTTCATCGGATTCGGGGTCTTTTTTCTTCTTGTAAAATTTTTCGAACCCTTTAGGTGGCTTATCATCAGCAAATGCCCTAAATGGGGGTCGATGCCCTGATGCTAAAAGTCTCCATACTCTTCTACTTAACATTTATAAGGAAAAATGCTGTTTAAGTAGATATGCTGAATGAAATGGAAATTAAAGACTTTATTGGTAAAATGTAAGGCTGAATTGCAATTATTTATAAGATCAAAGGAAATATTTTTAATGCAAATTTATAGCACATTTGAGCGAGTTATATCAAATTTTGTGATGCTTATGAAAGATTATTATGGAGAAAGGAATCAAAATAAGAAATAAAACTGATAGCAGGAGGGTAGAGATATTAAAACAAGCACTTAATGACATCAAGAATAAAAAAATCTCACTCCCCCATCATTGATCGAACGATTGACTGTAAAAATTTCTAAAAAATGGGAAAATTAACCCCATCCTTGATCAAACAATTTTCATGCAAATTTTTATATATATATAAAAAATATATTAGTTATCAAAAGCTTGGAAATATGTGTCTAATGAAGCTGTTTTCAGAGACTTTGAGACGGCAAGAAGCTACGTAATCAACCATCCGAAGTGCTTTAGTCATCAACCTAGGCTTAAAAACTAATAATCTAAAATATAGAGATTCTTTAAAATTTAAAAATTTTTTAAATAAGGAACAAATTAAATTTATACAGTTTAAAGGAGTAGCCAATAAATCAACATATTAAAAATTGGTATTTTATGAAATTAATTCAATTTTTTGCTGTAAAATAATTATTAAATACTCTTAACCCTCTTATTTAAAAGTATATAAAAATATATTTTTTTATTTAAATATAAATTTTTTTTTCCCAAAAATTTTTTTAACCCCCCATCCTTGATCGAACGATGGCGAGCCGTTCGATCAAGGATAGGGGGGAGTGAGAGAAAAGTGACCCTCTCCCATCATTTTCACAGTTTAAATCGATTTTCAATGAAAACGGATTTCATGATGATAATTTTCAAAAAGAAAGTATCACAGACCGTCAAAGGAGAAGCCCAAACGAAAGACTTTTTGCTTCTCAGCCCGATAAAAGCCCTATCAGATCACTATCTACTCAAAGAAACCTAAATAATGACTATCGAAAAATGCACCTAGAGCAGCTTGGTAGAAAAAAGAATGATCTCTTGAAGGACGCCGAAAATGGAAATCTTTATCCTGAATCTATTAGGATGAAAAATGAAAGAAATCCTGAGAAAGCTGACAATTTTCCTTATATGCTTGGTGTAGGTGGAAGCCCATTTCGTAATGTCCATGATAAATACAGTTCGGGCTATTCCAAAGCTCCACGACGATTAGAGCCGCTTTTTCCAGATCATCACTTCGTAAAAGTGTATAAAACAGGCAAAATCATCCAAGATAAATATTTCATAGTAGAAGTCAGTAAAGATCATAAAGTGCTGAAGATTATGATTTACAACCTAGAAGACCCTGAGAAGTTTGGGTTGGAAATTTCTCTTAAAGATGCCAAAAAGCTTATTGGCGATGCTGGGAATTATGAAAAATTAGTGGAAATGGTGAAGCTTGAGGGGAACGAACTCATGCTTATTGAAGACTCCTTAACCAATGAAAATGAAGACCATCCAATTGTGTCATAATTAAAAAATTAATCCAGTGGCAAAAATAATGATTTATTAAATGAATAATAATTCTGACAAAGATAGCCCACAATTTACATTAAAATGTCGGACACATTAGTAATCGAAATAAGAAGCCAGCTTTTGCATTTGCTATGTGAACTAGCGTCCACTGTAAAATAAATGTAGCCCGCAAACGCGAAAGAAGTGATAAAATCCACTCTTGAGTCTATAAAAGCTCATGTCTTAAGCTATTCTTCGATTACTGTATTTTTTATTCAGAATTCAAAAATCTTAGGACTAGATTCCACACAAATAGCTAAAATTATTCTGAAATTGCATCAAATCCTAATGGAGGTATCTTCAGAATTCCACCTTCTTGTATCAAATAATTCATATGAAGCCCATGCATTGTATAGGGCCTTCCTATAGATGGCGCGCAATGCGCCATCACCGAGCCATGTCGGGAGAGGGTTCCACACGAGGAATGGTTCTACGTGTGGAACCCTCTTTTTGACCTGTGAGAAAACTACTTTCCACGAGCCAAAAAGAGGGTTCCACACGTAGAACCTTTCCCTCGTGTGGAACCCTCTCCCGACATGGCCCGGTGATGGCGCATTGCGCGCCCATCTATAGGAAGGCCCTATATAAAATTTTAGAAGGAATTAATGCTGGATCTTTAGTAAAGACAGAAAGCAGCTTTAGAGTTCACGTCACAGATGGAGTTACGTCAGTAATGGGAACAGAAATTTTTATCAACAAAGAGCTGATGCTTTTGGCAGTGTCAGCCAGAGGCTCGTTTAATCCCTATATAAATGCAATTGCAGCTAAACTCTTAGAAGATGTAGGATTTCCTATAAGGCCGATGCAAAGCTTGGACGAGTTATGCCACACTGCATTTAGATTATTTGAAGACTCTGGAACCCACTTTCTTGATAAACAAAAATATGAAAAATATTTAGATATTTTCGTTTGGGGGAAACCTGGCAAAATTGCAGACGCTCTCAACGAATTAACTACAGATTTATGGTTTTCTGTCTTAAAAAACAATAAAGAAAGTTTATCATATATTGAACAGCTTCTGGTCGGCCTCTTGGGCCACGCTGATTCTAGATCTCGAGATCTAGCAGTAATGCATTTAAACGCCTTTTACGATGACACTGACTGGCAGTTGCTTCAGCCTTTTAACGTAAAAATAAGAACAATTGGTAAGTAGAAGTTATAGATTATGCTTGCCATAAGTGGGTAAACCCACTGCCCGTCGCCCATCTTGTCTCTAAAAGGTCGCCTTCTGGATTTTTAACCTAAACCACTTATCCAAGGAATTAGCTCCCTAAGTAGAGTTATCGTCTGTAGAGTGTCCCAATGATCCCGATGTGAGAAAACTGTGTGGTAGGCAGAACTTCGGGGGAGAAACAAAACTTCCCTCTTTGGCAAGGCATCTCAAAATCTGAGGGCCTGCTTCAAAAAAGGGATAGAAACCCTATTTCAGCTTCATCAGGATGGATCCTATCTGCTCCACAAGAGTGACTAGGAGATCAATTTCTGTCAATGCCACTATTTTATTTCTACAATTAGTAAGGAATTCGTTATAAGAGAAATGGCAGAGTTAGAAGATGTTGACCTAAAAAATATTTTTATGGAGCTCCATGCTCCTGGGTTTCATAATGATTCTAAGAATTACGTTCTTTCTTATCATGTCCCTGAAATTAGAGAAACCAGCTCAGGGGTGTTTTTGAAAGTCGATTTAGGCACCTTTACGAGATGCGGATTTTATGACTGAAGATTCAGCCAAGTTAAAGATGGGACTTTGCAGCCAATTATGTCCAGTTTTGATAAAATGAACAGTGATGTGAACCTTAATCCTATACAAGGAAGGTTTATTGTGCATCCAGGGGATGTAAAAGATTTGCAGATCCATGAGATTTTTATTGATTTTCAGGATGCTCAGTTTGACACAAATACTGGGAAGATCATAGAAAGAGGTACCTTTGAGTCAGTTACGAATAGTCTAAGAGAAAGATATTCCAATGGAATTAATTGCTGCTATTTGATGGGAGCATTAGAAAGAGATACAGGCACAGATCTGCAGAATCCCAATGCATCTCCATTAGCGCTGACATGCAGGGCTACAGCTTGCAGCTTATTGGGTGGCGCACCAGAGTTTAAAAATTTAATGTCTGAGGCAAAAGACGTCGGAATGAGGATCCTTGTTGATTGTGTAGCTAGGATAAGTTCAAAAAATTACCATAGGAGGTACAAAAATAAGTCGCTTTACACCAGAAATTCAGAAGGGCTACCTGTTGTCTGTCATGGATCTGAGGGCAGAGCTTTAAAGTTCGAGGACTCAATGATGCTGAATTATCGAAAATCTGAGGTGTGAAATTTATTAATAAGTGATATTCTCACCTTTGCTAAAAATTATAAAATTGATGGAATTCATATGGATAATGCTCAAGCCTGGCCGCAAATTATGGAGCTCGATGCTGGCGAAATGTATAGAAAAGATACAGATGGCCAGCCTCACTATACGACTCAAGAAATTTTTGATGGCCTCGTAGTAAAGCGTAATGAAAACTATGCATATTGGGCCAGCTTATTAAGAGATAAATACCCAAATCCTATTTTTGTAAAAATTTGTAAAGAGTTATGGAGGGAATTCCCAGAGTTTTATATAATTGCAGACTGCTGGAAAGGCGACGGAATGGAAGAAAGAGATAAGTGCATCATTTCTTCAGGACCAATTCCTAGACTTTATGATCTTCCTGTCAAGCTTGCTGCTCTTTTTGGCAAAAAACTCCACAAGAATGGCTCTTTTGAAGAAACCGAAAAAAAAGACGTCAGCATTATGAGGACTTGACATGAAGACATGCTTCGAAAAATGCCTGAAGGTGCAATTGTTGTCCAAAGCTCCACAGGCCACTCATTACCGTATCCAGCTTTGCTTTATGGCCGAGGTGCATGAGCAGCAGTGGATGTCCTATTTTTTATGAACTACGTTCCTATGAGTTTTATAGGCGAGCAAGATGGCCATGCATATAGATCGAAAATTGGTAGTCTTTATGACTTTGAAGAAAGCGCACCTATTAACATTGCCAGTCGGCTTTCGGGGTCTGATTTAACTGAACTAGATATTCCAAGCATGAGGCCTTCAGGAATTCCAAGAATTGAATCCGCTGCATCTTTATCTGTAATCCCAGACATAAATGAGCTGAAACGAAAAGAAGAAAAATACCAAAAAGAACTAGGACCTGAGTTCGGGTTTGACTTGAAAAAAATAAAGCTTCACTATATTCATAGAAGAGGACTGAGGCATGAAAAAGATGTATTAAAGTATGGAGAATTAATACCAGTTGTAATGAGACATGAGCATGGCTGGCATAAACAAGTTTTGGCGTTTGCAAGATGCCTGCCTGAAGAAATCGCTATTATTGCAATCAATTTAAACGAGCATCCCGTCAAAGGCTGGCTGGATTTGAAAAGCTTAACATCTTATTTAGAAAAAGATGGAGGGGTTGTCTATAGCATTGGGGATTGGGATAATCCAGAAACTGGCGATTTTTATTTTAAAGAAGAGCTTCTTATGGATCAGCATTATGTTTCGATACTTCCATATAGATCAGTTATAAAAGGAATTTATCAAAGCGAGGTGCCATCTGATATTGCCCTAGAAAGATCAATAGAAAGACTCAAAGAAAAGCTATCATCAGGCCAGCCAATTGACGGGAATTTTTCTGTTATTAATCTAAATGGCTAGGTACAGAAAGGATTGTCTAGAAAACCCTTCCTCCTCCGAGATATCTATTACTATGGAGTTCAGTTTTCCAAGTGGACCTTTATCAGCAATGTCAATCTGGAATTACTGCATAAAGAGCTCAGTGGCTCAACACCTAGGAGATGACCCTTAGGCAGAAAACACGCTGAAGTCAGGCTCAGGCGAGGCCAAACGCGGCCCATAAAGAATTCCTTGCCTTTATGGTGTTCCTTCTGAGAATTTAAAAGATGTTCCTATGCAAGCCAGAATCATCCTGCTGAGGGAAGAAACAAGTAAAAATCTAAGTAATTAAGTAAGTTATTAATCTTATAAAGCTTTTAGATGATGGCGACCCTCAGCACGCTTACAAAGAATTTGCAAACACTATAGGGAATATTTATAAGAATTTTTTGAAGGTCCATAATGTTTCCCCTTTATCATTTGCAAAAAGAATTTCAGTTCTTGATGAATATAAATCTGGAAAAATACTAGGATATTGCGACTTTTTAAATAGTATTCAAGCCCCTCAATGTCCACCCAAAGAATTCGCTGAAATTTTAATTAATGAAAACAAAATCGGCCCAATCGTTTTTACATGCCCCGAACTCGGCAGATTTTCAACATCTGGTGGTCTCGGAATTATGGTTGATGAACTATCCCAAGGACTTTCACAAATAGGTCAAGAAGTCTGAATTATAAGCCCTTATTATGACCGAAACAAAAAAGGTCACACAAACTATTTAACAGGTGATCCTGCAAATATTAATTGGCAAACCAATATTGATGTAAGTTTTGGAGGAGAGACATATACATTAGGAATTCACAGGGGCCACGAAAATGGGGTCCACTTGATTTTTATTCATAATCCTTCGTTATTCCCAACGATCTATTCTGATGGGAGGCATAGCTGGATCATGAAGCAAATTGTAGGCTGGGCCAAAGGAGTTCTTGAAGTACTTTGTTGGCTAAAAGTGATCCCAGCTATTCTTGTGACAAATGATTGGTTCACTGGACTTGTTCCTGCTTATGCCAAAATTGGAGCTTTCGGAAGAACGTTCGAAGGGACGACTTTTGTTCATGTTGTGCATAACTTGGACGCAAGCTATGAAGGAAGACTGTATCCAACTGCCCAAGAGAATTCGTTTATATCGATTCATGGGCTGCCTAAACATTTTTTGGTTGATCCGTATTGAGCTAGAGAGGTTGTGAACCCTTCGAGGTGCGCTATAATGATGTCTGACCAATGGGCCACTGTTTCTCCGTCTTATAGAAATGAATTGCTGGCAAATTCTCCATTAAAAGAATTATTAAAGCAAAAATATATGCCATTCGCTACGCCAAATGGAATTCCTGTTAAGCCAAGGCTGAAAAAACTTGAAGGAAAAGGAACACATTTAGATGCAAAAAAAGAACTGCAGAAAAAGTATTTTGGGTTTCAAGATATAGACCCTAGCGTATGCTTGTTTGGGTTTGTAGGAAGAATTACTGAGCAAAAAGGCGTGCACTTAATTATTGATGCAGCTCAGCAATTAATTCCACAATATAATTATAAAGTTCAGTTTTTAGTAGGCGGTCCAGCTAATTACACCGAAAAGTACTCAGCTCATAACGCAAATCGCTTAAAAGAGCTCAAGTATAGATTTCCCAACAACTTTTTCGCTGATCCAGATAACTTTTTTTACGATGGACCATTTGTGAACTTAGGCTCAGATTTTGGGCTAATGCCAAGTATGTTTGAGCCAGGAGGAATCGTTCAGCATGAATTTTTCGTTGCAGGAACACCAGTCATTGCCTTTAAAACTGGGGGGTTAAGAGACTCAATCTCTGAATGAAATCCAAACAATCAAAGTGGCTCTGGGTTTTTATTTGAATCCTACAATCTTGGTGACTTTTTATTTGCAATCCACAGAGCGATCACCTGCTTCCATCAGCAGCAAAATTATCCAATTTTACGAATGAGAGCAGCAGAAGCTGTTATTGATGGAGAACAAGTCAGTAGAAACTGGTGCAGAGAATTTTATAGGCTTAAAGGAAAAATATATTATGAATGCACTGTTAGGAGAACAATATACGAGCATTTAGATGGAATGCCATGGACTCAGGATGATTTTGATATTTCTGTGCCTCAAAATCAGGTTAGGCAGAAATCAATTAAAAAGTCGCCTTCAGGAATTTTGCTAGAAAAAGCTGCAATGAAGAAGAAACCGAGGGCAGGAGAAGAGATTAAAAAGCATGTACTTTTCAGGTATCAAGCACCAGGACATAAGCTTAAAAGTGTTCAACTTTCAGGGTCATTTGACAAATGACAAATTAGACATCCTTTGGTATATGATCATGGCAAGAATCATTGACATATAACGCTACAGCTGCCAAAAGGGAAATTCTTCTATAATGCTTTAGAAGAATTTCTTAAAGGGCTTGATTTGGTCAAACATGAGCAAGTAATTTAAATTTAAACTTAATATTAATAGATCTTTATTTCCTCATTTGGATTTGAGCAAAAATTAAACAAGATATATTTATAATAACTTAAAAAATTAAAATATGAAATTTTATCAGAAATCTCCATTTATAAATTTGGCGAGCTAAATTTAATAATCACATGGCAATTATTTTAGTTCAATAAAACAAAAACTTCAAAGTTAATAATTTATCAATCTAAGATCTTTATTTTAAATATTGGAAAGAATGCAAGGCTTTGCAGTCATTATTTCTAACCAAAATATTCAATTAAATTATAGCTTACAATAGTTTTAATATTTTGAATTATTAAAGAATTTATCTCTGATTTAATGTAAAGAGCTTATTAGCCAAAATAAGTGCATAACTCCCCCCCCCCCCCCTCCGTGAGCGAACAAAACCATTAGAAAAATCGCCATTTTTTGACCAAAAACCCACCCTCCGTGAGTGAACAAAAATTTTTTTAATAGAAAAATTTTAATGGAAAAAAATTTTGGATATATAAGTGATAATTAGTATAATGAAATCTAGAGCTAATTCTGTTTAATTTTAAAACAAATTGCGTTTTAAAACATAAATTTTGCAAATTAAATTAATATTTGCTTCCCAATTTTTGCAAATTAGGATTTTTTAAATTTCGAAAAAAATATTTTTTATAAATTTATATATAAATTTTTTTTTAAAAAAAAAATTAACCCCCCTCCGTGAGCGAACAAAATTTTTTTGTTCGCTCACGGAGGGGGGGGGGGGGGAGTAAGAAATTTTTAAACGGAGTATATAAGTTTGTTGTTGATGGAAATTTGTGGGTTCATTCGCATGATCACCCAACAGCCAAAGATGAAAAGGGAACAATTAATAATGTTCTTGAAGTTCTTTAATATGCCTTCTCTATTAAATTTATTTTCTCTCTAAGAAAAATCATTTTTATCATTCTTTACTATATATCATTTATTTTTTTAACTCTTTCCTTTAAATTGGAGTACCTAGTTTAAAGGAGGTTAATTTTTTTTGATAAAATTTTAAAAAATAAATTGAATGCAATTTTAATTTATTTTTATGAAAACTCATTTATAAAATTAATCAATTAGGCTTACTCTTGTTTAAATAGCATTCTGATTTACTCCCTTCAATAAACTAAGTCAAAATTTAATCTATAAAAATTTAGTATTGTCATCTGCAAAAACTTCTAAAAAAATTAATTTTATTCCAATTTTAAAGGAGATTAAATTACTCAAGACATAAAAATTTTACTTAATTCGTTCCAATTTAAAGGTAGGAGTTAAGTAAGAAATTTTGCTACTAAAAATGATTAATAGGCTAAAATTATTTATAATAAAAAAGAATTTCAAAAATTTCAAATTTGTTTAAATTATAAGGAGTTCTAATAAAATTATTAGTATGGCCTTATTTCATTTTCATAAATTTCCTGAGTTATCAATTCTAGGCACTGTTTTGTGTTTTTCATAGAATGTTCTTTACCGAATCTACTTGCTAAGTCATATACTCGAAATGTTTCTTCAGAGCTATTCATTCCGCAAATAATAATAGGATTTGTTACTAATTCTTTTATTTTACTAACTGGCTTTCCGCCTGCTGTTTGCTGATCATATCTCCCTTCTCCTGTGAAAACATAATCAAAGTCTTGAATAATTTCATTAAGTCTTAATGTCTCAGCTATCATATCGATTCCTTTTTCGATTTTAACCTTATTAAAGCATGACTTAAGCCCTGCAGCGATTCCTCCAGCTGCTCCGCTCCCAGGAAAAACATCAATGTCATCTTTATTTTTAATTTCTTTCAATTTCTCACTTATTATCTTAATTGTTTCTTCATAATATTCCAATTCATCTTGCTTTAAGCCTTTTTGAGGACCAAAGACATAAGTAGCTCCTCTTGGTCCTAGCAAAGGATTGTTAACATCGCAAGCAATCGTAATTTCAAGCTCTTGTAAAATTTCGGAATTTTCTGATAGCAAAATCTGTTTTAATCTTCTTAAGTCTTTTCCAGTGACAAATTCCGGATTTCCGCCTTCAAATTCAAACTCTAGACAGTTTAACGCATAAAGCAGAGAAATTCCTGCATCAACTGTCGCACTACCTCCAATCCCAAGTAAAATTTTTCTTATGTTTTCGTGGCTATACAAATGTAAAATCGCTTGTCCAGTTCCATGGCTTGTAGTAAAGTTTGGATGTCTATTCTCAAACGGGACAAATTCAATTCCTGACATTGCAGCCATTTCAATCACACCAATACTATCTCCATTCATCTCTAAAATTCCATATTCTGCATTCCGCATATTCCCTAATGGATCAATAGCTTCTAATCTTCCATATCTAAATTGACTCCCTTCTATCCCGCAAAATGCATTTTCAACTGTATGTAAAAACCCTTCACCTCCATCACTAACTCCCCCCCAATCCTTGATCGAACGACTCGTCATCGTTCGATCAAGGATGGGGGTTAAAAAAAAATTTTTTGGTAAAAAAAATTTTATATATAAAATAAAATATATATATATATGTTTTTTTTTTATTTACTTTTAAATAAGAGGGTTAAGAGTATTTAATAATTATTTTTACAGCTAAAAATTGAATTAATTTCATAAAATACCAATTTTTAATATTTTGATTTATTAGTTACCCTTTTAAACTGTATAAATTTTAATTTGTTCCTTATTAAATTAATTTTTTTTTTAAAAAATTTTAAAGAATCTCTATTTTATTAGATTATTGAGTTTTTAAGCCTAGGTTGATGATTAAATCACTTCGGATGGTTGATTCCGCAGCTTTCTGTCATCTCAAAGCTCTGAAAATAACTTCATTATGTGCATCTTCCCAAGCTTTTGATAAATAATATATATTTTATATATATATAAAAATTTGCATGATATGAAAATCGTTCGATCAAGGGTTGGGGTTAATTTCCCCAATTTTTAGGAATTTTTACAGTCAATCGTTCGATCAAGGATGGGGGGGGAGTAAGAGGAATTTTCGTAATTTTAAGGCTACTATCTATTTCTAGTAATTTTCCTTCTACAACGTTGCATACCTCCACTGCACTCATTGAATCTTTAAAAGTTGTAAACGCAAGCAAAACTCTTTTGTTCATATAAAATATGTCAGACGAAGAATGAGCTCCTTTTAATCAAGATGAAATTGATATTTTTGGTAACGATCTCTGATGTGAACAAGACTATTTAGCTCCTTTTTGGCCTTCAACAGACACAAGGAGTGAAGGACTTCTTAATAGTTTTGACATAAGAAATGATGATGTTTTGTATGATCTAGGATGTGGAGATGGTAGAATATTAATAGAGGCTGTTAGAAAAGGCGCTAATAAATGCATTGGAATTGAATATGATGAAGCTCTTGTAGAGAAAGGGAAAGAAAAAGTTCGAGAAGCTGGACTGGAAGATAAAATTGAAATAAAGCACGGGAATTTTTTGGAGATTGATCTCAGTGATGCTACATTAATATATGTTTTTTTATTGCCGAAAGCTGTTGAATTATTAACGCCCAGATTTGTAGCATTAATGAATGCTGGTAAATTGAGAATTATAGGTTCAGTTTTATATGAGTTAAAAGAATGGCCATATAGTTTTATATCAAAACCAGAAATAGCAAGTTTTTTATATTTCAAGGAAATGCCTAATCTGACGAATAATCAATAAATTCGTATAATCTAGATGATACTTTTAATAGTAAATTAATTAAAAAAAAATAAAGAAATTAGCCAATCTCTTTGCAGGAATAATACTTATTGCTTAATAACCTTTCATAAATACTCCAGCAAGCCATTTTACATCAAAAGCACTAAAATCATTAAAAACCACTATAAATACCTATAGAATAAAATTAAAATAAGAATTCGCCATAAGCGGTAACCCACTAGCCATCGCCCAGTCTCGGCTCCAGGACAGCTTCAGAACGAGATTCTGATGCTATTATACTTCTCGCCCGACGCGATCTTGAATTTCCGACCTGAGCCACCGTCCAAAGATCAGTCCCTTAGGCAGAGCTACCGTCTGTCGAGTGCCCTGATGGTCCCGATGAGGAAAGGCCATATGGCAGGTAAAACCTGTCTAGCCCATACGGCAAGAATAGGAAAACCTGCGGGGAAAAAAACAAAACTGCCCTCTTCAGCAAGGCATCCCCAGCCTGAAGGCCTACTATAAGAAGGACAGAAGCCCTAGCTTTCAGCTTCATCAGGATGGGCCCTACCTGCTCCATAGGGAGCGTGCCTCGGAGTCCAATTTCTGTCAACGTCACCATTTTATTTCTTCCTATAGAATAAGGAATATGTCAAGTATCCTCGTTAGGATACTTTTAATAATGGTGAAGAGGAAGATACAAGTTTGTCAAGAAGGAGAAGGGAACACTGGTCAGTGGACTCCGCGCGAAAAAGAAGCCTTTGTAGAAGCCATAAAACTATTTGGCAATGATTCTAGAAGGATCTCCCAGTATGTTTCAACGAGAACTCCAGCTCAGGTGAGGAGCCATGCTCAGAAATACTTCATAAGTGAAGCAAAAGCGAAGAAAAAGAAGGGAAGTTGCAGCAGTGAAGCTCGAAAGAAAATCACTCAAGAAATAGCAACCCAGTATGGAGAAGGAGTGGACTTTTTTAATTTGTGCAAAGAGAAGGACATTGAAGTGATCCCTTGCTTAACAAGCATTAAATAATCGATAAACATTTTAACTTTAGCTGAATTTTACCTGTGCATAAATTAGCGATTAAGGATTACAGAAAATATTGATAATTTAGTTTCATTATTAACCATTTTATTTGACTGACTCAAAAATTGTTTTAGTTAATTTCATTAAAATCGAAATGCGTTATAAGAGGCAAATTAACTCTTTTAGAGCTTTTAAAGCTTTAATTATAAATCGGGAACAATTAGACTATTCTATAAACGAAATTCTTATAAATTTGATTTTGATTCAAAGTCTTGTAGCTGATCATTCATAAAAAGAATGTTTTAGTTAAATTTAATTAAAGAGTATTTAATGATGGAATTAAATTTAAAATTTTCAACAGCCAGCAAATATAAAAATTAAATGTGTTTAGAGAACATAATTTTCTTAGAGCTAAGCAGATATATCTATTCTCTTAGTAGCTTCCGTTTTATGCACTAATTATAAAAATGCTCTATTTCAATTTGATTATTTCTTTTCTCAATTCCACCTCCAGTTTCAATAAGCACTATGGCTTTATTAGAGGCTAAAGAAGATATTTGTGCTCAGATTCTCTATGCTTTCTACAAGCACATTAAATTTGAATAAATATTGCAACAAGAATTTTAGACTGATCAATTCTTTTTATGCTCTAAAATGCTTAAAAGTACCTCCTAAATAGCTAAATCTAATCCAATCCAAGTTCTCTTTTGAGTAAGGCGTATTCTCATTCCTAACGCTAACTAATTCGAGGATTGAGGCTGCATAAATAAATTCTTGGGGAAGTGCTCAGCAAACATTAGAAAAAATGCCTATCAAATTTGAAAAAATTATGGAATTTTCATAGAAATCGCTATTTTTGAGCAATTAATGATCAAGCAGATTGATAATTAATCCAAATAGTACTCTGATAAAAATTTAATATTTATCATAAATTAAGAATAAAAATTTAATTAATATTGTGAATCATTCAATATTTAATATAATTAGAGGATTTGCTTTTTTGTGGGATATTTTATTAAACTTTTTGTTTTGTATTAGTAATTTTATGAGAAGCCAAAATTATTTTAATTGCTCAAAATTGCAAATTAGCTCCAATTTAAACTAATTTATTTATTTTGATGCTTTAATGCAGTCCATATGAGCATATATATTTGGATTAATTAAACATTATCGGCTAAATTTATTAATTTAATGAATTTAATATAAATTATTATTTAAAATTAAAAATATAAATAAAAGAACTAATAATAATTAGATGTAATTCAAGAGCAGATGCAATAATTCCAAGTAATAGTCAATAATAAACAAAATAAATCGTTTCTGCTTAGTTATAAACTCTCGAAACTTTAATTATAATTTTGAAAATGCACAACTATGGTCTGTAATTATAATTTGATTTATAGGCCTATTCTCAGGTTGTGAGAAAAAAAACCTGAGGGCTATTTATATCGAAAATGACTGAATGCTTGTTTCTGGCTTTTTCCAGGAAAAACTCAAGCGACTTTCTAAAAGTTTAAATAAAAAAGTCTAAGCAGCAATTTTTATTCGATTTTCCAAAATATTTTATCGGGATTTATTATTGCAACTGGATATTTCCCAAAGAACTTAATATTAAATCTTGATTCTTACTAAAAATATTTATCCAAATGATGAAAGAAATCACATTAAATAGAAGCAGTATATTTTTTGACCATTAAATTTTCTCTATCTAAAATCCACATGAAAACTTCTCTAAATCTTGAAAAATTAATATATTAGAAATAAATAAATTTTTATATGCAGGTAATAATTCAAAATTTATACTATTATAATAAATATATTCGGATTGATTTGTGGCATGCCTATAACTCATAAAAACAATGATAAATGCATGTGATGAATTTTTTATGCTAAAAGATATAAAAAAAACGGTGGTTTTATTTTGATTCAATATTTTCAACACATATATCCATAAAGTTAGATCTGCATTTTTAATTAAGATGAATTTGATAGAAAAGTCTAAATCTTAAATTATTATTCATTTAGGGCGCCTTATTTATTGCTAATATATGAATTTGCCAATTTTTAGCGAAGTTTTTAATACAATTTTGGATGGTTAAATAATGCGATTTCTTTCTTCAGTTGATTTGCATTTTAAAGTGTAGAATCAAGGTAGGCAAGCCTTTATATTAAGATTGATAAGGCTAAATCCTTAGCTATAATAATTAAATCCTAATAAAATATGGGTTTTTCCCATGAAGAGCCCCATAAGGCCACTATAACTACTATTTTAAAAAAAATGGTTTTTTCTGGAAAATTACTGCAGGTTTTTCATGGATACTTTTTATGAAAACCGTTGGTGTTTACCTAGAAAAAAACCTGAAACAAACCCTTAATTATTTTTTGACTATGAAAATGCAAACCCTTAATTATCTTTGCCTGTAAAAAGCCAGGAAAAAATGCATTATTTTTTTCAGCTCAACCCTCTGATTCTCAAGTATTAAAAGCTTTTATATCATGAGAACAAATTATAACCTAGAGAGCGACTTATTGCTAGTCCTGGAGCTCCAACTTGGGGATTTGGATCGGATCCAAATTTTCTAAACCAGCTCCACGATTCTGAGCGCTAATTAGTAGCTCAGGGCAATAAACTGCTCTGAGCTATAAAGCTCTTCATTATATAATTTGAAAATTAGCTGCAGATTTGCAAAGACTAAGTATTAAAGAGGAAGCTATTAAATATCTATCATAATGATTTTAATCAAAAATTCCAAGAATTCATACTCAAAAGATATTAAATCATTTTAGTTTTTTCAGTTTTATTGGAATCAAGAATCTAAATCTGATATAAAGTTAGTTAATTAATTTTTTAGCTTTAAAGCTTCTAGAACTTATACAATGCAAAATAATTATCACTTAGTATTAATAATTGATTATTATGATTAGCCTAAAATAAAAGTATTTAAATTTGTCCCATTTTCTGATGAATTTCATATTTTCATATATGAGGTTCTGATTTTTTAATCTAATTTTCTTTCATCAAAATGCTGCTTTTTAAAAAGGTTTATTTTTTAAATAAATTGATTCATATGAAATTTCTTCGCCATTATAAAGTTCCATTAATTTCATAACTAATACGATAATAAATGATGATTGATAATAAAGCTTACTCTTCATCAGAGAATCAACAATATTTAATTAGTTCCAAATCGCTTTATTTACGAATAAAACGATCCCTCTTCAAGAGTTTTGTGGCTATATACAGTTATAAATATAGATATCAAGATAAAAAAGAAACCAGACGATTTACTGTCACCTTATGAAATGCTATTGCAACCTTGCAAATGGTCACTCTTATCTGGTACCCAACTATGTCCATTTCAGGCTGAAGCACTTACATGTGGTATTGAAAAGCCCAAGCGTATGCCAGCTTTGATAGGATTTGTGCTTCAATAGGAGGTGGATTGACATGGTGCTTTTACGCAAGTGTGGGTATTATAGGCCTCAATATTTTTTGCTTAATTTTTATAGCTATGCTGATCTTTTTCGAAAAGAAAATCCACCCTCTTCTTATCTTTTTCCCAGGAAAGTGACTGCAATTTTTAGTAACAATAGGCAATATACCAATGCTAATGATTTTAGCCATGTTTACAAAATTCTCATTAATAGGAAATTCAGTTGATCAATATGCAGGGATTCAAATTGGCACTATAGATGTAAGCCCAGCTGCAGCTTCAATTAGTATTGTTTGTATGGCTATTTGCATTGGGCTATCAATACTTGGTGAGTTATTTTCATCTGAAACTAGGCATGCATATGCTCACTATAACTCTCTTGCCAGATCAAGATCATTGCCTGACGTTTTAGCTATCATCGCTATAGAATTTTATATATTTATTTATGTTTATTTAATCCCCAGTAATAAGCAAATTCTTGCTTATTTGTGGGGACTTTAGCGCAAATTTTTATGAATAGATTAAATTATGCATCATTAGGGGTAAATGCCAAAAAATTGCATTTTTTGACGTTTTATCTGGAAGCCCAAATAGCAAGCAATATTCGATCTATTTATTAAAAATTACTATTTGAAATTTTGTGTGCAAAAATTTAAATGGATCAGCAAGAATTCGCTAGCAAAGTTAGAGGAGAATCTGCTTATCTATAGATTTTTTTCTATTTTCGTAATTTTTATGATAGTAGCTTATGTCTACTACATAAATCTTCCTTACTATAACTTATTTGCAAATCAAATTAAAGTCGCTAGGTTTTTTATTGTATCATGTACAGGCCTAGCATTTGCAGTTGGCACTTATCTTGATAGCTCTGGAATAATTTTACTGCTTGAAGGAGTAGTAATTCCTATACTAGCGGTGCTTGTAGCTAATCAGGTAAACCGCCACTCTGCAAATCTCGATATGAGTAATCCAGTAGATCAATACCAATTAGAATTGCAGCTAAATCCCTTTTGAATTGAAAATATAGATAAATTTTCTTTTTTGGATATTTTGACCTCTTTAAATTGGAACAAATTTTATTTAAATATAATTTTATATAAATTAGTTTGACTTATTTTAATGTTTTCTAGTGCAGAAGAATATAATTTAAATATATTAAAGTTTTTAAATTAAAAGATAATTTCAAATTTTATATTAAATTTGTATTTTTTTTAAAAAATTTAACCCTTTAAATTTTAACAGGATCGTTTTTCCAATCTAAACGAGGGAGCAAGAAAAGAACTTATAAGTCCAAGAAATGAATATGTCAGCTTAGTTGTGGATAAAATTTCACCTTACTATAATAATCCCAATTTCAAAACAAATAAACTTTTAGCTGTATGGGAAGCTTATTATTGTTTATACGCCTTTAAAGATAATAGACTTGCACGAATAAAATTAGCTAGGACTTCTCATCTTGCAGCAAATCTGGAAAGCACTTTTCAAGAGCTAAAGTGTAAGCAGCTGTTAAATATAAAAGAAGCCAATGCTTTTGAAGATGTTGGATTTTTAATGTATTTAATGAAAATGAGCAGAGCCAAATCAGAAGACAAAAAAATTTGTTTGCAAGTTTTAGGGTTTCTAGAAGAAATCACGCTGAGAAAACCTAACATAAAAAGGCTCCAGAATTTCTCAAAAACAATTTCATTTCAGGTTTCTATGGTGAAAAAATGGTATTTAGAAATTGTATCAAGTTATCCCAAAATGATTATTTCAAGAGAGCTTTATGGGACTTTTTTAAGAGATGTTATGAGCGATAGCGATACAAAATATCTTTTAGGAAATGATAGATCAATTTCTGGGATTAGTCCCGGCCTCAAAATCAATGAAGTTCGCTCCCAAAATCTCTTTACAGAGGCCAATGGAATTTTATGAATTTCTGCAGAGATTGAAACACTCGGGCAAATTATTTATGCCAATGAAACAATGGCTAGCATATTAAATATATCAGCAACGGAATTAGCTGGGTCAAAGCTTTCTCAATATATTCCAGATCCTTATTGTAATGGCCATAATGCTAAACTCCAAAAATTTATTGACTCATGCACGTCATTAGATGTAAATATCCCTTCTTCATTAATGCTGAGAAATCCTAGAGGTTTTCTTGTAGAATGCGATCTACGTAGTCGACTTATTGCTCTAAAGGGCGAACGGTATTTTATTGCATCTATAAGAAAAATAAACACTAGTAGAGGCTGTGCTATTCTGTCAGCAGATGGTGCAATTCATAACTACAGTGAGAATTTTGCATCAATGTTTGATACAGTTCAAGAAAACCTAAAAGGCCAGTTAATTACTGATTTCATCCCAAGTTACATGCTTATTACTCTAAAGCCATTTGTTCCTGTTTTGACTATACTTAACCAGAAAAAAGTTGCAATTGTGCATACTGTTAAGGAGTTCAAAAATTTGACTATGAATGTTGCTTTAGTAGTCCATGACCCTATTGAAATAGAGCAATGGGAAAAAGGGCTTGATTATGATCAAGGAGAATATAGAAGATTAAAGCAAGCAGATAGTAGTTTTAGTGAAAAATATTCTGACTACAAAAAGTCAGTTAATTTTGATGATACACAAATTTTAACAGAAAAAATTCTAGAGTCAATAAAGACTAATGCTGTAGAAAAATCTGAAAAAAATGACAGCAAATCTTTTTCTGGCTCGAGCAGCCTTTCAAAATTTCATGTAAAGCTACGAGCTGGCGTTCAAAATGAACTAGTAAAAAAATCAACTCTTGCGATAACTATTTTCCAGTGGGTATTATTTTGGAATGTTGTAGCAATTACAATAGCTAGCATTTCTCAATTGATTTATTCATCAAGCCAAGTGTCAAGTGCGAGCTCTATCAATTCTATAAGAAATTTAGCAAATGTGCTCTATTCAACAGCAGATCTCGCCTCCTCTGCTAGATTAAGTGACTGGGCTATTCGTACAGGATCAAGCTCGATAGATAAAAATATAAAAGAAGTCAATAATACTATATCAAATTTAATTGAAGTCAATAATGATTTATTTTCAGGGCTAAAAGACTGGACTGAATGCTCTAGTCAAAATTTAATATCAGACCAAATCATTCCCAATTGAGAGCTATCACAAGATGGTCCTATTTTTAAAACAAATACAATGACAGATGTACTTAATAAGTTTATTTCCCATGGGAAAAATTATATAGCCTCTGCATATGATTTTAATTCGCATAAAGAGGATCTGTATTATATTGTCATGAATGGTGTTGGGGATTTTTATAAGTTTACAAATAGCTCATTAGCCTCTTTGGTGAGTTGTGAGATATCAAAAGTTAATGAATTAAGCTCAACGATTAGGCTGCTATTAATTTTAAGCTCCCTGGTGCTTGGAACGGGCATAATTGTTCTTATACCATTTTCTTTCAGAATTAGTAATATTCATAATGAGCTTTGGGACTTTATGGTACAATTAACTTTATTAGTTGGACATGGTCTGAGAGAAAAATGCTTAAGCCGACTGTCAATTACTCATGGCTATGAAGCTTTTGAGTATGCGAATGAGCTCATTGTAAGAAAGCATACAGTTATTGAAGCAAATAATCCCTGGTTAATTATTACTAAACTGTCGCTTTTGTTTTTATTTGCTCTTGGCTTTGAATTTACGAGAACATTTGTGCTATATCAGACTTGTGAAGAATATTTAAACAACCGTTCAAGTTTATTGCAGATCGCAACGTATAGAAGAGCGTTAATTTTAGAGCTGGATATATGGTCAAGGGAAATTCCTTCACTTAAAAATAATCTGACGCTCACAGATTTATTTCCTGAATCCTATCGTTTTTCGGACATTGAAACAGAATACGAGAGTCTCTTGAAAAGAATGTTCTTTTCAAACCATCAATTTATGCAGCAAAAATATCAAAATCTGCTCTCAAATAAACTTAAAGAATTTATATATCGTCAAATCGGCAGTCAAGATTACAATTCTTCGACTTATGGCTCATATTCTGCATATAATATGGCAATTCTGGACTCACTAAATGTTGCGTTTTCTGATGGAAATATAAGCGACTTGCACTATTCTTTAATGAATTTATTAGCACTTGAAGGAGATGTGATTGATGGAATCGATGCAGACTCAAAAGAAAAAATAAATGCTCAGCTTGCAATGATTACATTTGTTTCTATTATGTATATGATTTTTTGCGCTGGAGCGTGCTTGCTTTATTATTTTCCGTATTTGAAAGAAGAAAAAAATAAGCTGACAGAGCTTCAGAGTATGATTTATTTATTACAAGCACCATTACTAGGAGCTAATAGAGCATCTTTAGACTAAATTAAAAAATGGACAATTTATCAATTTTATATGCTTAATATGTTAAAATATGCAACAATAAGAGTCTGTTAATATCCATATGAATATAAGCCGAAATTAATCTTTCAATTTATATATAAAACACTTAAATGGCATATCTGACTTCTTTTTATGTTAAAGACATAAATAAAAATCTCTTGGAAAGTAACTAATTTAGGATCCAGAGTAAAATCACTATAGAGATTTCTCTTAGATTAACAAATATAATTTCTAAATCATAATTTTATATTTGCTTTATAAAGAGCAATTAAGACTAGTTAATATTTTGGCAATCATAAGTATTTAATATATAAAAATGATTATTCAAAATTTATAAAAAAATAGTATTGTCTCTTAATTAAGCTCATGTCATCTTGTGTGCACATTTTACCAGCATGATATTATTGCTCCATTTTTAGAAGGAGAAAAATAATATTAAAGAAAGGTAAAACATTAGCTTTGTATGAATAAAAGATTGCAGAATTATTTAATCATCTTTATTATTTCTATTAAACTTATTTAGAAACTTATATTATCTTAATCTCATGAGAATAATTAAATTACAATTCATTTATAGGTTAACTAATTCCCCCTCCATGAGCGAGCAAAGCTATTGGAAAATTCCTATTTTTTGACCAAAACCCATATCCTTGAATGAGCAAAAACATTTTTGGTATATAAGTGATAATTATTATAACGAAATCTCCCAATAGATATAAATAAATATAAATATAAATTATGGTTATCACCCCTAAGGGGTCAATTTTCTTCTAATTTTTAAGATTCCTTCAACGTACTTCCAAATTTTTTTATTTATGAGTCTAGCATAATTCTTGTATTTTTTTAGCACAATTTCCTCAAATTTCTAGCTGCATAATATTTAAGATTTAACTCCCCCCCCCCCCCTCCGTGAGCGAACAAAAAAATTTTGTTCGCTCACGGAGGGGGGTTAATTTTTTTTTTTAAAAAAAAATTTATATATAAATTTTATAAAAAAATATTTTTTTCGAAATTTAAAAAAAATCCTAATTTGCAAAAATTGGGAAGCAAAATATTAATTTAATTTGCAAAATTTATGTTTTAAAACGCAATTTGTTTTAAAATTAAACAGAATTAGCTCTAGATTTCATTATACTAATTATCACTTATATATCCAAATTTTTTTTCATTAAAATTTTTTCTATTAAAAAAATTTTTGTTCACTCACGGAGGGTGGGTTTTTGGTCAAAAAATGGCGATTTTTCTAATGGTTTTGTTCGCTCACGGAGGGGGGGGGGGGGAGTAAGATTTAAGATTACGATAACACTCTGTCGACCCCCACTTAGCTTAGGGTCTAACAATCAAGCTCATCCTTCATGAATTCCATCCACTGGCTAACAGCTCTGAAAAACGGTAGGAGGAATCGGCCTAACCGTCAAACCGTTACAGTTGCCTATGGCCAGACGAGTCTCTCTATCTTCCTTGAATGTGATTCAAGCACAACTAGGGCTGCCGAAGCAGCACCAAACGTCGATATCCTTCAGAAAGTCTGAACTTCCCTCACTAGGACGAGTATAGGGGACGGACCCCTAACTCATACGTTCCATTTTTAATTGTGCATAATATTACTTCAGTCAAAGAAATCTCTCAATAACTCTATATAATTTAAAACAGTTTACATAAATTTACATATTAAATTAATTTTTACTTTTCATTTAAAAAAAATTCACCTCTGCTAACAAGTAAAATATTTTTACTTGCTCACAGGGAAGTAAACTATTTGAACTTTCTCCTTCATAAACATCTACAATTAAATTCAATTGTAGCCTGCTTTTCTCTTGAGCAACTGCTGGCATAGAATTGGATTTATTTATTTCCTTTTTTAATTGAATATTTCTAACAAAAGGTCTTGCTCTATTTATCTGCCTTGGCGTTATAGGGATAATTTTTGGCATTTTTTTCTCATCACTTGAGATAAATGGGTCATTAAATTTATTGCTGGGAGTTTCTTGGCTATACTTTTTGCTCCATGTTATAGGCTCTTTATTGCTCTTAAATAGTTCTGAAAATGTGTTGTTCGACATCACTGGTTCACCAGTAAACTCAAAAGAATTCAGCCAATTATTGCTTGACGATGTAGACCAATCAGACCTTATAGTCTCATATTTTTGCTTGTTTAGTTGAGGAAAAAAGCCTCCTGAAGACTTTTTAACTGCAATAGTAGATTTTCTATTTGTGGGAGAGCTGCAGGTATTGCTCAGCTGCGGTAAGGAAAAGCTTGATTTGAGAGTATTATCGAAGTTGGCTGGCGTCTGTGTTTCGACATTGATATTTGAAGTAATGAATTCATGAAATGTACATAAAGAATTAGGCTGCTGTATTTCGTCGTGTTTTTTAACTTTTGGCTGCTTCTTTTTGCCGCATAGGAAAGATGCTATGAAAGATTGAGTTTTTGACATAGATTTATATGATTTATAAGCCATATATTTAAGAGCTAATAATCAAAAGCAATTGAAATTTATTATGTCAGTAAGAAGTGCAAGTTTTTAAATGATTAATTTTGATTTGCTTTTGGTGAAAAATCATGCTGTTGATAATTAGATTGAGTCTTATAAATATTCTCCAATTATGGATTAAGAATCTGCTTATTATTTAAAGTTTATGAACTGAGGCTTTTTATAATTATTCTTACAAGAGTTTAGATAGATGCAGTTGAGATATTATCGAAGCAGAAATAAAAAAACATTTGAGTAGTTAATTAATTAAAGTTAGTTCTTCGCACCAAGCAGGGCCGAGGATTTGCACCCCTGCACGCTCATCGTCCACGAAGGACCCGGCAGACACCCTTCCTTGTTGCCGCAAACAAGGGATTCTCACATACCAGTCTTGACTTCCATGGCTCCTGGAGTCTAAGGGCAAACTACCTGGGTCGAAAATCCCAGTTTATCGTTAGGCGAATACTGTCTTCAGGGTCTTGGGGTCATATTGCCACACAGACAATGGCCGATCTTGCCCTTTCTAATAGTTGTCCTGTATGAAAAATCGAGTCCCAAGGATTAGCTCCCTAATGCCCGGAGAAAACCCAGCCCGACATACATAAAGGATTCCAACCCCTTTCCACCTAAATCCCCGACATTGGGCCGTTGCCTGCAGGTGTTGAGGAATAGGGTCGAGGTTGGGTGGTATGTCATCACCATTTTTCTGGATATTTGAGCAGTTAATAAAAGCATTAATATTAATAAAAAATAATGGGATTAAGAATTCGAAAGAATTATAAAAATATCTTTTGTGTGTTGAATTTTATGATATTATAGATTCATATAATTAAACATAGTATGCAATTTGGTTATAACAAAATGTTTTATCACAATTCATTTATTTTCAGTAGAAAGTTATAAATTGAGATACTTTTTTATTAATTTTTTTATATCTTTTATTAACATAATTTTTTACCCCAACAATCACTCCTAAATTTATTTCTTTTAAGCTAAAATTCTTAATTGACTTGCTCTCTATTTTTATTTGTTTAACTAAATTTACCACACAACTTGTCTAAAAAGGATTATTTAATCTTCATCTTCCCCTTCAGCTTCAGTCTTCTTTGCTTTCTTTGCGATGTTTCTCCTCTTAACTCTTCCTGCCTTTCCATTGCTGAGTGATGAGTTCGGGTCGAATTCAATATATTTCTCGCTGTCAACTCTAACATTGAAGCTAGGGACATTGACAATTTGTCTTCCAACTCTGATGTGTCTTTGTCTTATGAGGACTCTGGCGTGGTGGATGCTTCTTGCCATATTCTTCTTGAATACTTTGGTTTGAAGCCTTCTCTCTAACTCCCCCCCCCATCCTTGATCAAGGATGGGGGTCAAAAAAAATTTTTTTTGGGGAACAAAAAATTTATATATAAAATATATATATATATGTTTTTTTTATTTACTTTATAAAGAGTATTTAATAATTATTTTTACAGCAAAAAATTGAATTAATTTCATAAAATACCAATTTTTAATTAGTTACTCTTTAAAACTGTATAAATTTTAATTTGTTTCTTATTGAATTAAATTTTTTTTTTTTTAATTTTAAAGAATCTCTATTTTTTAGATTATTGAGTTTTTAAGCCTAGATTGATGGCTAAATCACTTCGGATGGTTGCTTCCGCAGCTTTCTGTCGTCTTAAAGTCTCTGAAAACAACTTCATTATGTACATCTTCCCAAAGCTTTTGATAACTAATATAATTTTATATATATAAAAATTTGCATGATATGAAAATCGTTCGATCAAGGATGGGGGCTAATTTCCCCATTTTTTAGAATTTTTACAGTCAATCGTTCGATCAAGGATGGGGGGGGAGTAAGAATTTTTGTAAGGTCAATCCAAGGACAAAATCGAGCTTCTTTTCGTTCTCGTTCAAGAGACCTAAACGGACCATTCTGCGGATAAGAGCGTTTCCTTCGAAAATTCTTCTAGGAGCGGTCTCTTCTAATGTCAAAAGCTCTCTTGCAGCTTTACGGATCTTGGCGAGGGTAAGTTGGACTCTCCAAACCTCTCGTTTGTTCCTTAGCCCGTATTGGCCAAGAAGCATGAGCTCTTGATCAAGACGTTCCTTCTCAAATGGACGTTTAGGAGATTTTGCTGTCTTTCCATCTAAGATAACTCTTACAGTTCCTATAGTTCTTGCCCATTTTTAGCCACCCGAAATATTATATGAGAATGAAGGATTAAAGGAAAAGTAGGCAAGTTGATAGAAGTTTGGATTAAAAAGTGAAAATTGTGGAGAAAAAAGCAAAAATAAGAGAAGGATGGCAATACCTTAAAAGTGGAGAAGGATAGGTGGATTTCTTACTCCCCTCCGTGAGTGAACAAAAAAATTTTGTTCACTCTCGGAGGGGGGTTAATTTTTTTTTATATATAAATTTATATAAAAATATTTTTTTTTCGAAATTTAAAAAAATCCTAATTCGCAAAAATTGGAAAGCAAATATTAATTTAATTTGTAAAATTTATGTTTTAAAAAAGCAATTCGTTTTAAAATTAAAACAGAATTAGCTCTAAATTTCATTATACTAATTATCATTTATATATCAAAATTTTTTCCATAAAAAAATTTTCTATTAAAACAATTTTTGTTCACTCACGGAGGGTGGGTTTTTGGGCAAAAAAATAGCGATTTTTTCTAATGGTTTTGTTCACTCACGGAGGGGGGGAGAGTTAGTTAAAAATGAAGCACAAAACAAGTTATATGAGAAATATTGCGAGTCTGCAAATGCAATTTACTGTGTGCTGAAGGCGCTCGAATTTTTATACAATCTTCTTAGAATTTGAGCATGAATTGATAAATTAATCATTTCTTAATTTGGCTTGCATATTGTAATTATATATCTATATCACTATAAAACGAGTTCTAAAAGTAAAGAAGTTTAAACCTTATTCTTTCGTTTTGTCTTCTTTCAAATATAAGAAACTTACATAACTTTATTCAAGCCTATGCCTTGTATATAAAGAATTAATTATAAGCAACTCTTATTTTGGCAATTAAACTCCACACTAATTTAGGCTTTTAAGAAAATTCGTTAAATAAATCTTCAGAGGTTACATTTCCAACAATTTTCCAAACTCCTGCTCTTATTTCTCCATCAAGCTGTAATGGACTCCATCCTGAATACCCAAAAAACATTTTGAGTTTCATATCGCTAGATTTCGAAATTACTTTTCCTCCAAAGTAGATTCCTTCACTCACCATCTCACATTCTTCAATATCAGGATTGTTATGCAGCATATAAATAGAATCAGGTTGTACAGGGCCTCCTATATAAAACTTCTCAGGAAAGGACTCTTTTTTCGGTTTATTAACTCTCCTCTTTAGGACCTAGCAAGATAGATTTTTTTCGAAAAGTTAACTCCTATTAAATTGAGCAAAATATGAATATAATATTTTTTTTTATAAAATATTGATTTATAAAATTAATTGTTATTAATTATTATATTTATGAGATCTTTAGTTAATTATATTAAATTATATAATCTGTTGGAAATTCTTACCCTCTCATTTTCGCTTATAAGCTGTTTTCATTAAATCAAGAGATAAGTATTTTAGGATTTCAAAATAGCAAAATTATCGTGACTTTTTAATGTAATTTAAATATTTAGACTAGAAATAATGACTGCAAGGCTTTCTATTCTTTCCAGCAACTAAGATAAAGATCTTATCTTGGGCAATTATTTCTTGGAAGTTTGCGTTTTATTAAACTAGAATAAGTTTCATGTGATTATTAATGTAGCTTATCATATTTATAAATTGGGATTTCTGATTAAATTTTTTTAAATATCTAAAATTATTATAACTCTCCCCCCCATCCTTGATCGAACGATTGACTGTAAAAATTCCTAAAAATTGGGGAAATTAACCCCATCCTTGATCGAACGATTTTCATATCATGCAAATTTTTATATATATAAAAATATATTATTTATCAAAAGCTTGGGAAGATGTACATAATGAAGTTGTTTTCAGAGACTTTGAGACGACAGAAAGCTGCGGAATCAACCATCCGAAGTGATTTAGTCATCAACATATGCTTAAAAACTCAATAATCTAATAAAATACAGATTCTTTAAAATCTTTTTAAAAACAAATTAATTTAATAGGAACAAATTAAAATTTATACAATTTAAAGGGGTAACTAATAAATCAAAATATTAAAAATTGGTATTTTATAAATAAATTAAATTTTTTGCTGTAAAAATAATTATTAAATATTCTTAACCCTCTTATTTAAAAGTAAATAAAAAAAAATATCTATATATTTTTTTATTTTATATATAAAAATTTTTTTTCCCGAAATTTTTTTTTTTAACCCCCATCCTTGATCGAACGATGGCGAGTCGTTCGATCAAGGATGGGGGGGGGGAGTAAGCATTTCTTGCTTAATTTATGCTAAAATCCCAATATAGGGAAAATAAAGATCTATAGATATTAAAATTAAATTTATATTTTAAAAATAAAGTATGGTTTGTCTTAATGTTATAATTTTCAAAAGATAAATGTAAGAATAAAAATGGTAAAACTTTTATAAAAATTGTGATTTTATTTAATTTGTGCTCAAATCCGAAATGAAAAATATCGAATTAAATTTTAATTTTAAAAAAAGTATTATTTTTGCAAAAATTTCTTAATATTTTATATATTAAAGGCAAAATAAAAAATAAAGATGGCTATAATTTCATAAAATGGTAATTCTTATTTAATATGTGATAAATAATGAGAGTTTACCATATACTTGCTTATGCCTTGTCAAATAAAACCTGATAAGAAATGTTTGCAACTTATTATAAACAGTTTCGCTTTAAAAATAAATTTGATTTCTCTTTTAATATATTAAAATTGGATTGATTAAATATTAAAAAAATATTTATAATTTAATATATGCCTTGGTATTTTTTTGGAGTAAGAATAAATCCCATGGCACCATCACTTGCACTGTATTTCGTTATTAAAATTTGTGATTTATAAAAAATTCCATGCGACATAGCTGAAGTTGCTTTCAAAATAATCCCAGCATGTAATCCAGGCACAGGCTCCCCAACTCTAATAAAGCCTATCTTAATCCCACCTTCTGCAATATAAAATATTGGTTTAATCCCTTTGCATCATATTGCCAAAAGCAAACACCAAAAAGTAAAGAAAATGATAGCTCAATATCAGTTCACTGAAAAGGAATTTTTCGCTTTAAGATGATTTTTATCAAAAATATTTCAGTTGGGATTATCTGAAAAATATTTATATTTAGTTCTGCACTCAGGACAATATAAAATTTGGAATTTATTGTATCTTTCAGGAGATTTTATATAGCGTTTTATTGTTGTATTTTGCCATTGATATAAACAATTGGGATGAATGTATTTTTGACTTCCTTTACATCTACAAGGAATAATAAAATTGTTGAGATTATCTTCTTCAAAACAAACTCTGCAGGTATCAGACATTTAATATCAACAGGGGAGTTTTTCTTTAATTTAATTAAATCAATAATAATTAATTTTAACATAAACATAAATCCAATGCTGTAGCAAGATGATTGAGACTGTATATAAATTCAAAAAGAATTTAATGAAATAATTGCTCATAGTAGCTTCAAATCAATTAATAATCCAACAAAATTAGTGTTACATTTAAAAATTCATCAATACTTCTGTTAAACTGGGCTAGCTTCAAAATAAGTTAAATTTAATGTTTCATTAGCATCTGAAGCAGCTCTACTTATTACATCTTCAGCTTCTGAATTAAATCTGGAAGACTGATAAATTGATCCTCTTAACGGGCAAAGCTGGGTTTTTCGCTTTTGGGACATATAATTTCTGCCAAATTGCAGATTACTCGGCATCTTTGGATAATAATCTTGATTAGGGATATCATTTGTGTCATCATCAAGCAACGCTAGAATAGTTTTTCTTTTTCTTTCTCCGTGTCTTTTGCGTGCAACAAAACCTCTAGCTTTGCATGCTAATGTGTCACGGTCTTTATATTGTGAGAGAGGGTCAATTTTCTTGCCATAAATACTATTCAATCCGTACCGGCTCATTATATTAATATCATGCTTTTTCACTTCAACGTCTATATCTTCGTGTGCTATTTTCTTACCTACGGCATTTTTCGCATGGTTTGCCCGTTTTATGATTTCTTCATGATTAATTTTATACACAAATGCTGAACAATCCGCTGCCACATGCCCCATTTCTTGACAAAAATAGCACCTTACCCCCAAGTAGCTTAAATCTTTTCCTTGGCAGTTATTCACAATGATCTTTGTTAGCTCAGCTTCCTTTGGTAGCTTCATTAATACTGATTTAAATATTTGTCTATTCAAACAAAACACTTCACAAAAATTAGCACATCGTGCTGATGCACATCTTTTCCTACCTAAGAAAAATGCAATCTCGCCGAAGTATTTGTCTTCATGAATTTCAGTATAAATAGTCCCAGTTGAATGATGAAAAATTTCAACTCTTCCATGCCTTACTAGGTACAAATTATGATTTTTCTGGTCTTGTTTGAAAATTAAATCGCAAGGAGAAAATATCTCAACTTCAAGCTTCTGGCCTAAATATTTCAAAAATTTATAAGAAAAGTCACGGAATGGAGCGCTTCTTACTAAAACATGCCCCCTTGTGTGGATATAAATATCTCGCTGCAATGGTTGAGATAGCGCGGATAAAATTTCTTGCTCATCTAATATGTTTTGTTTCTGATATGAGTATAAATGCGCTAAATAAGCCATAATTTTTAGCCTCAAGCTATAAGATATTCTATGATTATGCATGAAAACTTTAATTTTTTGCTTTAAAGTATTGAAATATATTGATTCTTTTGTTGATTTTTCAAGGGCACTATTAATCCCTCCAACTAGATACCCAAACAATCCAGAAGTCAGACACTCAATTATAATGGTCAGCATCTTTTCAGCAGTAGATTGAGGGATTAGATTTCCATATCCTACAGTTGTCATTGTCACAGCCACCTGTTCAAGCTTCCTTATATATTGCTCGAATTTACTTTCCATATAAGATTGCCACAAATCACCATTATTGCTCAATGAAAAATATCATGCACTATGCATGATGCAGGTGGTTCAATGGGCTGCTAATAATGCAATTAATAAAAAAACTATGCTTCTTGTAGCAAAATATACATATGGAGCAGGGTAGATATCATCAATATTGTAAATTAGCTTTCTTAATCTTATCATTCGAGTGAGACGCAGCAATCAGAATAGCCGGGGCCAGTTTCAGTAGTCTAAATTATAGCCTTTATCGGAATCAGAATTCATATCATATAGAAAAAGTTCATATGGGATAACTGATATAAAATCTCATAGAAAATATGATGATAAGTAATGCCAAATAATTGCCTTTCTGTCAGCAACCAAAATTCCATGAATATAACAGGCTGTATTAAAATTCAAAAATAAATCAATTATAAAGCAAATTTCTAAAGGAGCAATAGTAGATCTATCAACTTGTCGCATAAAACTCAAACAAAATGGTATTATAACAGCCAAATAAACGGCTTGGACAGATATTAAAGCATCTCATATGACTCTCATGAAACTGGTTGGATTAAATATAAATTTATCATATCTTCGTTCAGCTCTAATAACATCTTTGCTTGGGAAAAAGGCTTTTTTGTTCGGGTGAAAGGATTCAAATCTTTGAGGAAGTAGAAAAAGTGTTGTTTTTCTTTTGACTACACTTTGCATAATTGACAAATTCGATCATCTTCTTTTATCTCTATCTAATCTGAAGGGTAAATTTTCCATATTAATCTATTTAAGTAGAATTCCTTAGAAAAGAGCTTCAATGATTTTTATAATGAGCTGACTATAAATGTATTTATGCGATAAAATTTTTTTAAATTTTTTGTTTTATGAGCCATTGTGATATTTTTTCAAGAAAAGAGTTTCAAAATTGTATAAAATTATTTAAAATAAAAAAAAAGAGTAATTTGATTGGAAGAGCAATGAATATTAAAGGAGCTGACAATTTAATATAAATTTATGGTTCTGTCATCTTTATTTTTTTGATATATAGTCTTATTAATCTATATTTCTCTCGCAGATCAGCTTAATTTAATTATATTTAAAGGTAGTTCTATTGAATATAAATATGCAATATCTATTGGAGTTAATTAAATATTATTATTTAATTTGAGTACATAGACATTATTTAATTTACTAATACATTGCTATTAAAATTAAAATTAATAATCATTTTTGTAGGCCTAAAAATATCGAAATTTGTGTTTAATATCCTAATTTTATAATAAAATGCCATTTTGAGATTTTATATGGCCTATGCTACATTTCTTGACTAGAATAAGTAGTTTCATTGCCATATGAAACCCTTTTCTTTGTATTTCCCCTTGGATCTAAAGTATAATGCTGAAATTCATTTCCTTTAAAATCATTTTCTTCGGTTTTTCTTTTATACGTTGCGTAAATTTCCCCGAATTTTAAATGCGTAGGAAATACATGGTAATTTTTATCTAATATATCATCTTGATCATCATTAATTACAGTCATCATAACCTCTCTTGTTTTTTCTTTATGAACTCTACGTATATCATAGCCCTTCACTTTTGTAATTAGATTATTTCTATCTTGATAAAACATAATTGGATTTATTTCTTTTCCTTGGATATTTTGTAGACCATGCCTTCTTAATACTTCTTGCTTTCTTGGACTTTGATCGACATCTTCTTTTGATATTCATTTTCTATTAGATTTTCTTGAAAAATTAGCGTGCTTAATAATTTCGTCATGGTTAACTTTATACACTATTTTTTCACAATTTTCTACTACATGACCCATGAGTCCACAGAAATAGCATCTGACGCCAAGGTAACTTAAATCTTTTCCTTTACAGTTATTTACAATAATATTTGTTATCTCTGCTTCTTTTGGAAGCTTTGTCAACAATTTGTTAAATACCTCTCAATTAAGACTGAAAAGCTCAGTAAACAGTGAGCATCTAGCAGAGGCACATCTTTTTCTCCCAAGGAAAAATCCGATTTCTCCGAAATATTTTTCTTTGTGAATTTCAGTATAAATTGTGCCTGTTTTTTGATGGAATATTTCAACTACTCCACGTCTCACAAGGTAGATGTTTCTGTCAATTTGCCCATACTTAAATACCAAATCAGAAGGGGAAAATAAGTCCACTTCAAGCTTTTGGCCTAAGTATTTAAGAAACTTGTAAGAATAGTCTCGAAAAGGTGGAATTCTTGTTAAGAGATTACCTCTCGTTCGAATATAGATTTCTCTTTGCAATGGCTGAGATAAAGAACCTAGAATATCTTGCTCATCCAGTACATTTTGTTTTTGGTAATCATAAAGGTGATCTAGATAAGTATCAATTTTATATCTTAGATCTCTCGGTAGCTTGTGCTTTTTCATAAAGAAGCTCATTTTTTGTCTTATAGCTGAAAAGTAAATTTTATCTTTTGCTGTGTATTTAATTGTACTAATAACTCCACCAAATAAATATCCAATAATAAGCGAAGCGCAACCCTGAATGACAATAATAATCATTTTTTCAGGAATGGTCTGCGGAGTTATATTTCCATAGCCTACAGTAAGCATTGTAATTGTAGCTAGCTCGAAGCTTTTCATATATTGATCAAATATATTTTTAGTATAATTTTTCCACATGTCACCGTTAGTGCTTAGCGAAAAATACCAGGTAGAATGTATTAAGCAAGCCGCTCAGTGAAACGATAAACCTGCTATCAATAAAAATACAAAAATGCGTGTAATCATATAAACCATGGGACTAGGGTAAATATCTTCAATATTGTAAATAAGCCTCCTGAGCTTTCCGAGCCTTGTAAGACGTATTAGTCAAAATAGCTGAGGTCAATATCAATAATCAAAATGATGATCATTATCAGAATCTATATCCATGCCGCTTAAAAAAAGTTCATAAGGAATAATTGATAATAGATCTCATAGAAAATATGAAGATAAATAATGGGAAAATATCCGTCTCCTATCTTTAACTAATGTTCCATGTATAAAACAAGCTGTATTAAAATTCAAAAGAAAATCGATTACAAAGCAAACTTCGAACAAAGGGATTAAGCGTTTGTCAGTTTCTTGCATAAAACATATAGAAAATGGGATCATAAAACTTAAATATATTGCTTGTGCAGAAATTATAGTATCCCATGTCACTTTTACAAGGCCTGTAGGATTTAAAACATATTTATCCACTTTCTCCGTCTTTCTTATGAGGCCTTTGGTCGGAAAAAAGCTATATTTTGATAAAGAGATGGATTCAGTATTTTCAGAATTCCAGAAGAGTTTTTTTGCATTCTCTGGTAGTTTGCCTCGAGTTGATAAAGCTGATCATCTTCTTGTTTCATTTGTGCTTACAAGCTGCATTTTCACCATATTACACTTTTAAATGCAGGAGAAACCTATGAACTATATTAATAGCAATTAGTATCGCAATAGATTTTCAGAGCGAACAGATTATTATAAATATTTATTGAAACTAAATAATTGGATTATTATACGAAACTTATAAAATATAAAAATTCCATTAATAATTTTTTATAATTAAAATCATCTCAATGAAAAAATGCTACATATTGAAAGGCTAAAACCTTCTATTGTCTAATTCTTAGCATAAAAATCAATTATAAATTTTTTTAGGTGATAGCAATAATTAGTCAAAAGATTTCTAATTGCAAAAAAAATAAAAAAATTAGATGACTGTAATTATTTTTTATTTTTAGCTTAATATCTATGCATTTTCTTTTTGTTCCTCTTCTTCTGCGTTAGGGTCTTTTGGCACTACAGGTACTGGGGGATTTTCAACCTTAGGGAGTCTTCTTTTATTAATCTTGTGAGAAAACCCTTTAGAGTTGTCTATTTCTAATTTCGTAACCAAAACGCTATCAAGCCTCTTTAATTGCGGTAGCAAAGTTATCGTATAAAGCCTATAGCCTGGTAACTGGTCTATAGAATTTCCATATAAAGTCAATGATTTAATATTAGTATCCTGCAAATTTAGCAATTCTTTCATATCTGAAATATAATTTGAATGCAAATAAAGTGACATCAGCTGCGGCAGTTCACATAGCTCCTTAGAAATTGTTGTCAAATGATTATAACTCAGATCAATCCATTTCAAGCTCAAAGGATTTCTCATCACTTTTGTAATGATATCAATTAATCCTGTTAGATCTGGAATAATGTTATATGAAAGCACTAGGCTTGTTGTCATGTTTTTTACTTTCTTTTTTTTAACAATTGCACTTGTATGCTCGTCTGCATGGCCATGATGTGAATTTGCTGCTGCTTTTGAAGTTGTATGCTCTGCAAGAATTTTTTGGATCGCTGGAGGCTGTGGAGGTTTAAAAGGTTCAGCTTGTTTAGTCTGCTTCGGGATTTCTTCTTCCATTTCTTCATTTTCCCCTGCACGTGGAGCTTCATGCCTAGGAGATGGCAGCAAGTGTTGGGAAATTTCTTTCTTCTCCTCTATTGGCTCTTCATGAAGGATTGGAAGTCTTTCACCTGATCTTGGTTCCATTGTGATGATGTCTGATAAGTTTCTGATATTTTTGAATGAAAAATCAAGGGGTTTTCCATCACGAACGACTTCGCCAACTATAACAGTTTTACGTTTACCTTTGTCAGTTTCTTGCATGCCCTATTAAAATTCTTATTGAATTTATGAAAATTTTGCTCAGAGAAGAGCTTGGATTTAATTTTAATTTGTAAGTGGAAATCTGATGGCTTTTGAGTTTAACATTAAATGGTTTTAAATTACAATAAATGAATCAACAAAAAAATAATCGGCTTAGAAAATCATATTCACCTAAAGCAAGCTTGAATTCAGCAAAAAGGGAAAAAAGTGTTTCAAAGCCTATAAAATCGCTGCAAAATGAAAATAACGATGATAAATTTTCACCAAAAAGCATCGATTACAAAATAGCATCATTTTCGACTACAGTTTCACAAAGTATAAGCGCGACTGATCTTCGGTTCCCTACGCTGAGTTCACCAAAATTAAGCCAAAAAACTTTGCAGTCTTATTTAGCAGAAGTCAAAAAATCCTTACCTGAAGATATTAGCACTCAGCCAAGTGAAAGAGTTTTTACAAAACCAAAAGTAATAAAACGAAAACCAGGAACCAGAAAAAGCACCCGAAAAGGGACACTTTCTTTAGAAAACTCAATGGAGCTTCGAAAATGGAAAAAATCAGCAAAAATCAAAAAATCTAAAACACCTGGAAAAGGGCTTGGAGAGCTCATGCAGCTTATGTATAAAAAACCGATAAAAGGTCCACCAAATAATGACTCCACAAAAGAGCTAACAAGTAGACTTTATGATACAGCTCAAAATGAGCCTGAAGAAGTTTTTAGAATTATTTCAAGCCCAAAGAAATCACTTGACAAACTAATAGCCAAAAAGCAAGAAAAAAAATTCGAATGAACTGAAGAGCATGAGCAAGCTTTTAGGAGCCTATTGAGAAAAACTCATAGTTTCAATTCGATGACCAAGACAAGGTTATTTAGAGAATTAGAAAAAAAACTACCGGAGAAAAAAACTAAGCTTGAAAAAGATTGAAAATATGATAAAAGATCTCCTTACATTAATGACCTGGACTATCAAAGCAAAGATTATTACGCTTCAGGGCTAGATTTAAGCAGTCCATCCTCCCACAAAATTGGCCCTATTTCCAATATAAAGACTACAATTAGAGATGAATCCTTCGAAATTGACTTAGAAGAAAAAAGAATTCAAGAACTAGTAGAAAAAACTGGCCTTTCACCTACAAATATCACAAAATTAGAAAAAATCGGCACCCACATAGAAAAAATAAAAGATTTCGAAGATGCTATGAAAGGTTTTGAAATGATTTATAATTGAGAAGAATCCGAAGCATTTTTTGATAAAGCTAAAGGCTTTTTAGCTTCACATATACTATCTGAGCTTCATGTGGACATGAAAGATCTCAATAAAGCAAGATATTCTTATTTATCTGGAAAAATTGCCTATCAAAGAGCTACGGCTGAGCTTCATAAAAAATTGATGTTGAGGGCAGAAGAAAAAAGGATTGAGCTGAGAAAAAGGCAGGAAGAATTCCAACGTGAAGTGTTTAAGACTAAGGTGATGCTGAAAAAAATGTACGGGATTAGCTATATTAATAAGCCCAAAAAATACTTGAAAACTACTTCATATAAGATGGGGTCGCCTGAATTTAATATGTATATGATCAAATTAGGATATTTACCACCAAAATTCAAAGCAGCACCAGAGAAGCTTAAAAAAGGAGGAATTATTTATTATAAAACTTCTAGTAAAATCCCTGAAAAAAGTGTAAATAATATGTCACAGTGGAATTATCCACCTGACTTTAAGGCACGAGAAATTGAGGCTGCAAATAAAAAGTTGATGAGTATTAAAGCTGCAGCGAAAATCCAAAGCAGAATTAAAGGGTGACTTATGAGAAGAAGAATGAGAAGGATGAAAAAAGCTTCACTGAAAATTCAAAAGTTATGAAGAGCTTATAAATGCAGAAAAGTTCTTATTGCCAAAGTAATAACACAGCTTTTCAATGGAAATAAGGCTAAAGTAGCAAAATTAGCTAAAAGATTTAAAGAAAGCTCTCTTTATTATAAACTTTATCAAGCAGCTGAAGCTAAGCGCAAATCAAAGCCCCCTGCAGCAATCCTTTCTAGTCCAAAAACTCAAAAAATAGTTCCATCCATTACTTCTCTTTCTTCTGATTTAAGCTCCTCCCACACTGAAAAAGATTTATCTCCTAAGCGCGCACTTCACAGTCCGGTAGACCCCCCAAAGCACGTAACAATATCCGAGCCTCCAATAAACAACTCTATAAATCCCTCAGACCAAGCCAGAGAAAGTTATCGTCTAGAAGTCGAAGCCCAACGAATTAACAATTTACTCAAAGAAATCTTAAGCACTCGCAAAGAAATGTGGAAATATTACTTACTCCTTCCATTCTTGATCTAACGATTTTCATATATTGCAAATGTTTATATACAATAAATCAATAGAATGGTTAATATATTTATTATAATTTATTAAAATTAATATTTTTCATTGGAAAATTAAGAGTAATTTGAGTGTTTTCTTAATAATCTGCACGGAATTAATCATCCGAATTGCTTTAGCCATCTGCCAGGCCTCAAAAACTTAATAATCTTATTATTATAAATTAAAAATAATTAAGAAGGAACAGAAATATTTTATAGAGTCGAAAGTGATAACTAAAATTTTTAAATTAACACGATTTGATTTTAATAGTTTTAATATATATATACACAAAACAATAAAAATAATATATATTATTTATTTGATAATTTTTTCTCAAAAATTTTTTTAAATCCCCATCCTTTATTGAACGACTAGAGCGTTCAATCAAGAATTGGTAGGAGGGAATTAGGAAGAGTAAACCATTCAGAATTAAACGACCAAAACCTTACCAGACTCCTGTCACATGAATCTGTATATGCAAAAGAGCAAACTGCTGGAAAACGTAAAGGGATTATATGGGAAGAAAGTGTCATTAGACTAGGCGCTGGCGATGATGTAATACAGCATGCAACTCCTGACAGTTTAAGAGGAAAGCCTACAGATATTATAATAGCAAATCTATCGAAAGAATTATGTCAAGCTATTATTGCTAAAGATCAAGCCCGAGTAAAATTTTATTCTTTACAGAATAAAATTGAAGACTTTTATAAAAAAGTAAACCCAGATCCAGTATGTGATGATCCATTTTTAAGAAAATGCTTGACTATCAAGGAAATTCCTGATAAAGAAGAAATCCCACTATTAAAGCGATTCCATATCAAATGATTGTATACTTTTGATAGTGCGACATTCCCAAATATTATCTTCCCAAAGCTTTTTAATAGTGAGGCATTTGATCGAAAAACCATTAAATTTCAAACAAATGGCACCCTATTTAAAAAGCTTTGACCAAATTTTCTAAACTATAAAAAGTGGACCTACGCCCTATTAAAGCCTAGAAAAAGCTTTAACCCGATATTTGGAGCTGCTGAAAGCATGGTTGGGAACATGGTAAGAGAAGCCTCGTCAATAAGTTTTAGAGTTGTAGGATAAGTTTAATAATAATATGAAAAGGTCTACAGCTATAGAAATTTTAAAAGAAAACTACGCCCATATCTGCGCCCAGGAAGAGATTTCTCCTGATGACGATATTTGGCCTCAAAATGATGAAGAAGACAACAGAATTTTGAATTTCGATAATTGCAATATAACAGATCAGCATCTATCTGTAGTCGTAAAAGCCTTGAAAGTGGATTGTTTTTTTAAAGAACTTATATTATCAAATAACCCAATCGGTAATGAAACAATATCAGCTCTGCTGAAATTAATTGAAAGTGATGGCTCAGCTTTAAAAATCATCAGGCTCGGCAATGGGCAACTAAATAAAGATTTATCTGATGATTTGTGGTATGAAGTGTCTAAAGCAGAAATTATACAGGATAGATCATGGGTGATTTATCTTGGAGAGAATTTGCTGAATTTAGAGAGCACACAGAGAGATTTTAAAGAAAATCAAAAAATTAGAAGTGCTAAAAGTTCATGTGATCTCATTTTAGATCAAGATGTTCTATTTAATCAGAGTTTAGATAAAGATTTGAGCAGCAATTTTGTGCAGCCAGAATTTCCAAATTTTATTAGCAGAAGCATTAGCCCCATTGACTATAAGGGAGCTGATCTCCTAGACTTTTCATGCAAGAATATAGTCCAAGTCCCAAGATATCTTGAAAACACAAGCCCAAAAATCCTGAATTTAGCAGACAATAAAATTGAAAAAATTACAGGAATTCCTATATCAATTTTGAAATTAAGTCTAAGAGGAAACTATCTAACAAAAATAGAAAACATTGATAAATGTTCGAGGTTGAGGGTTTTAGATTTGTCAAATAACCGGATTGCAAAAGTAGAGAATTTAAATTTGAATTTTAGCCTTCAGGAATTGAATTTGGCATCAAATCAGATAAGAGTTATTGAAAATTTAGAGTTGCTAAAAGATATCAGGAGGCTGAATTTGGAAAATAATCTATTATCATCATTAATGAGCATTCGAGAGCTGTCATTCAATACAAAACTCTCATTCTTGATATTGAGAGGGAACCCAATTTCTAATGAAAAAGGCTACAAGCCGTTAATCACCAGTCTCCTTCCTAAGCTAGTAGTTTTAGACTACGTAAAAGTAGCAGGAGCGCAAGGAACTTTTAGGCGTGTTTTTGACAAAGATAATGAATTCTTTTCAACACCTTTTCTAAGCCTTGATAGAACCCCAGAATCCACTTTGCGCAAAAAAAATAATACCACAAAAGGCCAAAAATCAAAGCCAATGATTCTCATTAATGACAACCCACAAATAAAAACATCTGAAATTCCAACAAATTTTACATCACCAGCGCATGGATATGCTGATACAAATGCTGAAACTATTAAAAAAGAGCCATTAAGGCATAACATTAAGTTAGGAAAAAATGAAAATACTAAATTTGAGCCCGATAGTTCTCATGAATTAGCTAAGATTAGAAGGTATTTTAAAAATGTTTATATTTTTAAGGATATTGCAAGTACTTTTATAGAGACTTTAATTAATGCAAGCCAGTTTAGCGTGTTTGAAGAAGGTTCAATAATACACCATTCAGAGGTTTATATAGAAAAAATGATTGTGGTCTATAAAGGAAAACTTCAGCATTTAGATCGTGTTTATGGTCCTGGAGCTAGTCTTTTTGCTGATAGTTTAATAGAACCTGAAGAAGTATATGGGGATGTCGTATGCATTGAAAGATGTGAAGTGTTCATTTTAAGCAAAACTGATTTAGACAATATATCAAAAAATTATCCAATATATAGAAAAGCTTATATGAAAAATTATGTTGAAAAAAATGTTCATCCAAATGAAATGGATATCAGATCACAAATCTATGTCAGAAGACCAAGAAAGAAGCCATTTGGGATTAAAAGCCAGTCTCGATGTATATCCATGCTCAATTTAAAATCTCTAGTAACGAGTGAAACTTCTTATAGTCTTGGCCTTATTTCTCCTACAAAATCTTTATCGACTCCGTTGGAATCAAAAATTAAATTCGAAGTTGATGGACTGTTGAAAGCAGCTGACCCTTATGATGTAGAATTTTCTCATACAATTCAGCCAACAAGTGGAAAAAATGAAATAAAACAAGCTATAGAAAAAGTACAAAAAATTTTTGAAGTTTATAAAAAAGAAGAAGCCCAAGAATTTGCAAAAGACGACGCTATAAATGAAGCCAAAAATTATTTGAAAAATGGAGCAAGTGACCCAGAAATAGAATTTTTAGCTCTAAAAAGAGACTTATTAAGAGATTGTATAGAAAAATGTGAGAGTGATGGCGAAGAAGAATTAATGACAGAGTATATTAGATGCCTAGATCGCGAAGAAAACAAGAAGCTTGAACAAGATCTTTTAGATAAAGAAAAACATTATAAGGACGAAATAATGACATGCCAATTAACATTGAGCTCTTTATTATCACAAAATCCTAGATCTTTTACTGAAGAAAGAATAAAGATTTATAGGAATTTATTAGATGAATGCAACTTACTCGATCTCCATGATGATCCAGCACCTGAAATCAGCGAAGCGTGCGGAATTAAACTTGAAGATCCGAAAATTAAAGAAAAAACTGACAAAGTGATGCAATTAATTGCGCTTGCTAATAATTACAGAACTTATATCTCTGAGGTGCTTGATACGCTTGAAAGTAATAATTATGATCTTTTCAAAGAAATTCAGAGCGAAGTTTATGAGAAAGGGCTAGCTACAATTACTACTAGAGCGTCTGTAAAAGAAAGCTGTCAAAGCTCATCAAGAGTTCCATCATCTCGCTATAGTGAATTAGAGCTTAAATCATAATTTTAAAAACATATTAATTAAAATAATGGGATAAGGTTATTGCAAAAATAGCTCCCCCCCCTCCGTGAGTGAACAAAAAAATTTTATTCACTCACGGAGGGGGGGGTTAATTTTTTTTTTTTTAAAAATTTATATAAAAAATTTTTTTTTTCAAATTTTAAAAAATCCTAATTCGCAAAAATTGGAAAGCAAATATCAATTTAATTTATAAAAATTTATGTTTTAAAAAGCAATTCGTTTAAAAATTAAATAGAATTAGCTCTAGATTTCATTATACTAATTATCATTTATATATCAAAAATTTTTTCAATAAAAAATTTTTGTTCACTCACGGAGGGTGGGTTTTTGGGCAAAAAATAGCGATTTTTCTAATGGTTTTGTTCACTCACGGAGGGGGGAGTAAGGGAAAAAAGATCTCTTTATGGGCAAATAATTTAGTAAAATAGCAGAGGGCTGGGTAAATTTTATGGTTTAATTCGTGGTATTGTGCATTATATATAAACTAGCACTCTAATTTGCTCTCTAATAATTTTTTAATTATGCAAGCTAAAATGTTGAATTATTATAATATATAGCACTATTACAATCATGCCAATTTATTTATTTTCAGTTTGCTTTTTTATAATTTCTTCCCACTCTCCTCTTTTCTGTTCTGTCTCATTAATCATTTTTCTAAATTCCTGCTCACTAAACACATAATTTGGCTGTGGTTTAGGCGGTAATTTTAATTCTTGGATTTTTGTATTATTAAGGGCTGCGTCAGCTTCTCTTTTATATCGAGTTTTTTCGTATTCGTCCCTCAGTCCTTTGCACATGCTATTATAAGTCTTCAATTGTTCTATATAGGCATCTCTTCTTAATTTTATGTTTGTCTTTATAACAAAATCTTTTACAAGCTCAGGAATTGAAGAGTGACCTTGAACTGCATTAAAACTGATTCTTTTATCAAGCTCGCTTTTAGGTAAAGTATGCTTTTTCACGCAATGTTCTATATACATTCTATATTCAACTTTATTTCATAATAATTGTTTTATGATAAGCCCTTGCTGTCTTTGCTTTACTACAACTCTCATTGTTCTTTGTATAAAAATAACAGTCCTTATAAAAGCAGCCATCAGATTGAACATCACGTCTTTGGATAACGCCCTTTCTGTTAGCTCACATATCCCTTGTCTGTACTTTTTTTTCATTCCTGCAGCCCATTTTATAGCAGGAGTATGCAATCTTTTGAAAGTCCTTATAGCTCTGGCTGTCCTTATTTTTTTCACAAGTCTTTTGAACTTTCCTATTGACATACAAAGAATCATCAATTTTTTTAATACGCCTTGAGACCTTTCGTGTAGATCTTTTCGGTAAAGAAATTTTTCATGAATGTCTGTAGCTCAACCGAAGGCAGCATCCATAGTAATCCATGCTCGAAAAATCTTGGAGACTTCACATTTTTTTAATTTAAATTCAAATCTCCTTTGCTTGCTTTCGAAATTCAAAATTTTTTCTAATTTTTTATTAAGTAAAATTTCATGCTTTTTCTGTATCGTTTCAACAATTCTTGTAGACTCCGCCCCGGCTCTCTCTCTAATAGTCTTTATTCTGTTTTCAGGTAAATATTTCATCATATTTTTGTTATCCCTTACAATTTCTTTGAATTTTTCTTTTTTATTGCCTTCTTCGCCAATCTGTTTATGAAGGGCTGGCAGGAATAAATAAGAATCTTTTTCTATAAACCTTGATAACGTTGAAAACTGAAATGAAGGCCCAGAAAGGGTACTTAAAGATATATTATAGTATCCAGGACCTAGCTTATAATTGGTAGGAGATGATGGAAATGGAGATCTTGATGGAATTATTATGTAGCCTAGCTCACTCCCTGATCTTTTATGAGGCCCTTTATTTCTCTGGTCTATTGGCTCTGGAAAAGCAGAGACTGGATGAGGCAAAATTTCCATCGAGTTATGTCTTTGATGCTTAGGTAAAAAATTTTCATTCGGCTGTAAGTTTACAGATGATTTTCGAATTGAACTGAATAAGAGGCTTTCTTTTTCAGCAAGAATCGGATTTTTAATGTCTTGGGTGGTGTTTTGTAAGGGTGTGCGATCGCGTGTAGTGACTGAAAGTCTTTTGTTTCTCATTTCAACCTTTTAAAAAATATCTATCAGTTATTATTTCAGCTTTAAAAAAATATGAGAAACAGATTTATAATTTAAGGAAATTATCGAGCTTGATAATGTATATGCCTAAATTATATTTTACTATTTATATAATAGCTTTATTCTGCTAAAGCTGAGCACTATATAACGATCTTTATTAATCTAAAATAAAAATAAAATGCGACTTATATGAAAAAGCTATAACGCCAATTATTTATGCAGCGAATTTGAATTCCACCATGGGAAAAAAACCTAAAAATTTAGAGAGCTTTTTATAGAGTTCTTTTAAACGCCTTGAAATAATTCACACAGCTATAATAATGAATACTTAATGAATAATGAAGTGCTACGCCGTTTGAACAATTATGCTAAATTAGAATTAATTGCAATTACATAATTAAATTGTATGTAAAAATAATTATTAATTTTTAGCATAATTAATATACTTATATGTGTATATGCGAATATGCGAATATAGCGAAGAAAAATTTTAATGATTTATCAAATATTTTTACATAAAATGGCCGATTCATGATTGGCTATGAGGCCTTTTAATTTTTTTAATTAATAAAAATTAAATGTTCAATTTTATTATTCATGATTAGAATACGGCATATTTAGGTATCTTTGCTCTGTTTAAGAAATCAATGATAGTATGTTTTTAACATTAGTACAAGGGAAATATTAAGAAATAATTATAAAATTTCATATTAAAATCCCAATCTGCTTCTATCCAAAAATAGCTTATGCTCCATTCTCCTTTTTTCAATTTCTGGGTCTTCCGACCTCACAGCGCTTGAACTTCTTGAAACTTGTGAAATATTACTTGGACTTCTTTCCAGCCTTACAGAATTTGCTTTGCTATCAATTTTCCCTGTAATTTCTTTTAGTTTAGAGATTGATAATAAGCTACTTTCTCTAAATGGTGAAACCATTCTTATAGGAGAAAGATTTGAAAAAGATCCAATTGACTTAGATAGACTATGAGAAGCTTTCTTTAAGTCTTCTATCCTACTAGTAATATTATCAATATTTTTTGTATTAGCTTCTTGAACATTTTCTAAGCTTTTATTATGTTGGTCCTATATATAATTTACCTTTAAATATCCTAGTGTATCCCGAATTGATTTTAATTCTGGGCTTATTGAATCTAAGTTTTTGGGCTTTAAAAATAAATTTTTCATGGATTTTTTTAATAAATTTTCCGGCTCAATTTTAGTGTCTCTGCCATAAAATGTGTCCATTATTTTTCTGGAGGCTTCTGTCAAAAGCCCATCAATATGCAGCACAAGCGCTTGCTTATTTTTGGCTTCAACAAAACTGTTTCCTTTGTTTTCATCTTTGCTTTTATTATAAAACTCATTTTTTCTCTTTTGTAGCTTCGCTTTTTTTGCTTGTAAAGCTTGCCGCTCTTTTTCAAGTTTATTTTTTGACTCTTTGATATTCCCTAATTCTTGTTTCAGTAATGAATGTCCATCCTCAGCGGCTTCTATAATTTCTTTCAAGTTTTCATGCTCTCCTTTTCACATTTTTTCAACTTCTTTTATTTCTTTTTCTAATTTTTCATTAGCTTCTTCAATATTTTTACATTCATTAGCAAGCTCTTCTACCTGTTCATTTTCAGTAGAAGTTAATCGATGGTGCAGAACATTTAGCTCTTCCATCAATTGTGCTTCTTTTTCTTGAAATTTAATAGATAATTCTGCGATATCATTTTTCAGCATATTTATAGTTTCTTCTAACAGCTGATTTTCTTCATTAGAAAGCCTGCATTTCATCTCCATGTCCTTCACATCATTAGAAATGGTCATAATTTCATGCTTTTCTTCAGACTCTGACTGTGTCTGTATACTGTGCTTCCTCAGTAATGCTTGCAGCTCATTATTTTTTGCTTACTTACTTACTTACTTACTTAATTATCTGGTGTTTAAGGTGTCTAGTGCCGCAGCCCAAAAGGGCCTATGGCAAAAACTGATGACGTAGGCGAGCCATCTTGGCACAGGTCAGCCCTGTCCAAGCCTTCTATATCAACTCCTGCTTCACCGGCCTTGCTGCACGTCTCACCCGGCGCGTTGCCGTCGCCCTTGTCGCTCGACTCAGCTCCTGCGCGTGTTCCGCCTAAGGGTCATCCTCCCGTGGGGATGTGCTGAGAGGTAAAAGCCCGAAATCTTGAGTGGACTGAGGAGTGGTTCCTCTGGTTATCTCCAGAGTTAAACCGCTATTGCTGTCCAGAAGTCTTCGAGTGAAAACCTAACCCTATAAATAAAATTCCATGAGGGAAAGAAAATTAGCAGAGCTAATTTCTCTCGAACCGAATGCCATTTTATTTATCCATTATTTTTTGCAGTTATTTTTTCAATTTCATCATAAATTGAGTTGATTTTTTGGCTTCAAACTTGTTGGTTTTCTTCAATTTCTTTTAAATGCAGTTCTTCTACGACATTTCTCAGCAAATTTTCATACTGTTCTGTGCCTTGCTCAATGACTTCATTGTTAGTTGAAATTAAGATTTCTGCTTCTTCTAGTAAAGTTCCACCTTTAGGCAGTAAATTTAGCAGATCTTGGACTGATTTTTCATGCAAAGATGGCTTTGTAACTACAGCTGTTTGAGTGTTTTCTATTTCTTTAAGCTTTTTTGTTAGATATTGCTGGTCGAGTTTATTGCCAATTGCGTTTTCATTCGGAAGTTTGGGGAGTTTTCGCTGTGTTATTTTTCTGTCTTTTTCAGGACTGCTGTCAGAAGATATAGGAGAAATTGGACGGTTGTCCTGAGAAGTATCATGCTTTTTTTTAAATAAGGCCCGATACTGCATATTGATGACTCTTCATTTATCTAAATCATCTTCATCAACTTGGAAATCTTGTAGTGGAGGGGGCTGAACCATGCGATTTTGCTGGGGCTGTTTGAGCTTTTGCCTTCTTGCTAGAAATTTCGAAGCTGTCCTTTCCATTTCTCCTGTTAAAATTTATGAAATATAAGATAAATTACTCCTGATAATTAGGATTACTACTACTTTTTGTGAAATCTTCAGAGTATTTCGTCAAAGGATCAAAATAGTCATTCATGCCTGAAATGGCCCATTTGTCAGGCTTAAATTTCGTCATTCACTCTAAATATAGAGGTTTCCTCTATATAGCGCTAAAAGCGCAGACATTTTCCCAGGAGCTTTCCAAGTTCGTCGGACCAAATCGCTTTTTGGTCCCGACCAAGGCATTGATTTGGTGCAACCTACCGATAAATTCCGATCAGAATTTATCGGCCTTACAGCGCCAAACATAGGAAACTTCTATAGCTTTCTAGCTTATCCTCTCTTTTCATCCAAGGTGGCTGCACACATTGTGATTCAAAAATCCACTGCTGCACATATGAATAGTCTGACGGGTATTGGCTGACCTCTCCTTTATCATCAAATACTTTGAGCATCCAAGGGGATTTTATCCATGCTAAGCACTGTATGATAGTCATTCTATTCTTGGCGTGGAGCTCTTCCATCCTAGCTTGATTTACATAGGCAAATCTATCACTTAAATCTTTATGAGTATAGCAAAAAATTCCTAGATCTACGTCGCTAGCAACGTGGAAAGATTCTAATGGAGGGTTTTCAGCTCGGTTGACTGAAAGGCCTCTGTATAGTACAGCATCAATAACATTAACGGTTGGCCTTCCGGATTCATCAGGGAAGTCCTTTGTCTTGTGCAGCTCAACTCTTTTGCCACTTTGCTTTAGAGTTCCTAATGTCCTTTCGAGATGCTTGTATAGACTTGGATTCAAGAGGTCTTCAACTTCGTTTAGAGCATTATTGCCAATTGCTTTTAACACTTTTTCAAAGTCATGATAAAACCCAGTAACTAGTTTAGGCACCGATATTTCATTTCTTATTATCATCTGGTCACATGCATATCTAAAATTTGCTGGTTTCTCGCTTTCTCCTTTAAAAGTCCATGGCAAGCCAAAAGTGTCTTCAGGTTTCTGTTGCAGTCTTTGGTACCTTTCGATTATAGACTCTTCAAATAAATACATTAAAGAGCTTATGCCAAATCGTCTTGTGCAGAAATGGAAATTTAGCATTATTATTTAATATGGAGCCAAAAAGAAGAGATGAAGTCAAATATAGAATTTCCGCTATGAAATCATGTGCCGCCCAGCTATTTGCAACGATTTTTTACAATAAATTGTCAATTGATTATAGAGTTGTCCACAGGTTTCGGATTTGGCAGCAGATTTTTTTAAATAATGTAATGCAAGGAATAGAAAGTAAGCATTTAAACCGGCAGCTAAAGCTCAAAAGGACGATTTTGGTGTTAATGAGCACTATTGTAGCAAAGCATAAGCAAAAAGCTTTTCATAAATGAATGAAAAAGACCAAATTGGCTTGCATGAATTGTATATCTGATAATCATCTAAAAGCAGCTTTGAATATTTCAGCTATTTTATTAAGATTAGAAAACTCAAACGTATGTGAAAGACTTTTCCCTATTTTTTATGCAAATAGTTTAAATTGATGTGTTTCGAAAAGAAAATTAGCATTTTCGATGTGGAAGAAAAATATTGTTAAAAGTTTATTGTGTGAAAATAGAAGAGAAAATGCAGTTATAAGACTTTTTTATGCACTTGGGAAAAAAGTTAATCCAATTATTTCGCATTCTCTAAAACAAATGCAAATACGTGGAGGAAATTCACTAGGAACACTGATGCTTGTTTTAACGATGAGAAGGATCTTACAAGCAAATTTGTATACTGGATTTTTAAGTCTGAAGAAAATTCGCCCATTTATGCAAGTAAAAAATTGAAATTCCAAAGAAAAGCAGGTGAAACTGTCATCATTACAAAGAGTTGCGACATTCGATAGGCTGAATCGCTTAGTTACCAAAAAATCCGAAATAAATTCTGAATTTTTGCAGCTATTTATGTGCTTTATGATATGAAAAAAATCATTTTCTCACACTAGTTTGGAAAATTCAATGCAATTATACATGCTTGCCCCTAATCAAAGATTGAAAGAAATTTCTGTGATTTTTTTAAATGCTGTTTATTCTCATCAAAAAAGAATCAAAATCCTCAGGAAATTTTCTAATTGAAAAAATAAATCAAATAAGCAGGTGATAAAGAAGCCTCAATGATCAATAGACAAATATATCATAGAAAACCAAGCTAAAGTAGCAGCTTCTATCGAAACCCAGATAATTACAAGAGGCAATGATATAGCAAAGCTAAAACAAAAACAAAAAATAAAAACACTGTCATTTATTTTTCGAAAATCCCTGAAAATGCATATTCAAATTTGAAGAAGCCGTATAAAAGATGTGAAGGAAAAAAATGGAATCAGCGATCCATTGTTTGATTACATTAGATATTTAGAAGATAAACTTGGGCTTTCTTCAAAAGTCCCATATCGCCCCTGAATTATTTTAGATCGTTATGACCATCTATTTTTATTTTCAAAACTAACTTATACTTTTCAGCTTTTTTGAGAAGTAAAAACTAAAATGACAATCTCCGTTTATGGTTTAATATACCTAATCAGACTTAGACTGCATAAAGCAGTTGCTCTAGGTCATATTTTTTCTGGTCGGCATTCTGCTGGGTTATAGCAATCTATTATGGTGCATAAATTATACCTTCTCGGGCTTTTGAATCAGAACAAGCGCTCTTCGAAATTCCCAGCAACATAATTGAAGTTTTACACGATAATAAAAATCAATATATTATACCAAAGCTATAATACTTCGCTATTAATTTCATATGTAAATGCATGATCCAAAATCCACTTATGTCTCAAAGCTTCTTCAGCTGATATCCTCTGATGAGCTGGAATAAGTAATTTTGATATTAGATCTTTTGCATCTGCTGAAACTCTTGGCCAAGGCTCATCTTCTAATGAATATTGTCCAATTTTGACTCTTTCTAGCACCTCTTCATCATTATTCCCATTAAATGGTGGATACCCTGCTAATAAAATATATAAAATAACTCCACAACTTCATAAATCGCAGTTTTCATTATAAGTTCCTCCTAGTACTTCTGGAGAAATATAATAAGAAGACCCATGAATTCCTTTTATTTGTTTATTCTTTTCGAATTGAAGTGCTGAACCAAAATGAGAGAGTTTTATATATGAACCGTTTTCATCTTCATGCATAAGAATATTTTCAGGCTTAATATTCCTATGGCAAATTTGATTTTGATGCAGATAAGCTACACCTGAAAAAATTTGTTTAATAATTAAAGCTGCTCGATGTTCACTGAAAGTTTTTTTCCTCAAAATTTCTGTAAACAGTTCTCCTCCATTACAAAATTCTGAGACTACATAAATTCGTTTAGGCTCTGAAAAATAGTCACAGAGCTTTACTATATTTTGATGATTTATTGATTTTAATATTTGCAATTCTATTTCCAAAGCTGCATTTGTTGAGTCGTTAGTAATTAGATCTTTTCTGAAGATTTTAACAAATCGTTTGATATCAGTCTTCCTATGGAAGCAAGTTCTAGCCTCCATATAAGGATTATCTGCCATGCATGGTCCAAGCCTGTATAAAGAATAAAATTGGTCGTTATTAGTAATTTCATCTACAGGCGACACTTGCTTAAATTCCTGCTTTTGAAAAGAACTCATGTTTTCTTCGCAAACTTTAAACTCCTTTTTAAATTTGCTCGAAATGGTTCCCATAAATTTATATTGAGATTATTTCATTAATTATTCAATTTTTAATTTTCTTTGGGTTTTGCAGCATTTCAAAATAAAATAAAAAACCCCAATAAAAATCGCTACGATAGGCAGCAATTTCCAATAATAAAGACTTGAAATTTTCTTGAATAAAAATCTAGCCAGGTTGTATGCTTCTCTCAGAAGAGTAATCGGAGGTGGCAGCTCTTTTCTGTCATACATCAAATATGTGTGGTTTAAATAAACTAGTTTGAGCTCTCTTGAATCTGTTTTACCTGTATAGTTATAAATATACCCATCAGTGTAATAAAGAAAGTTAGGAAATGTTGAGATCATAAATCTTTGTGCAAGCTTGGGGTTTGCCAAAATATTAACTTTTGCGATGTTTATTTGATGAGACTGTTTTTTTGCATCTTCAGCGAAAAACTTTCATTGAGGGCTGAATATTGTGCATTTAAAACATTGTGGATGAAAGAAATAGATAAACCAAGGTGAATTGGAGGTTGATATAGTAGTGTCGAAATTTGTGTCGTTAAGGTCTATGGAAACTTCGTCCTTTATTTGAGAAATCCTTTTGAAGCCTTCTTGAAAGTCCATATCAATCATTGCGTTAGCCTCTAATGTAAGAAGAATTCCTAACAGCAGAGAAATTGCCATAGTTTTATAAGTTACTTACGTGTTTATAAACGTGCATTAAATATGAAGAAATTTATTTTATTTAATTTTGGTATATTTAAATTTGATTTTTTCGCTTTTAGCTCACTCCCCTCTGTAAGCGAAAAAAATTAAGCTCGCTGGAGGGGCTAATTTTTTTTTATTTATGCGTGTATAAATTTTATAAATCCATATTTGAAATTTTAAAGCAAATACAGGTTTAATTGTTTAAATTAGATAGAGATTTCATTATAATAATCATTAATTATATATAGGTCAAAAAATAGGGATTTTTCCAATTTTTTTTCTTATGGATGGGGAGCCAGTAAAAGCTTTTATAGCTTAAAATTGCTATAAATGAAAGTTATAACACACACTAGATAGTCATCATAAGACCAATATTATTCATAATAATTTTTATCAATAGAAATGATATACCATTTACTCTAATCAATTTGCTTGATAGTATTTCTGACTTTATTGTTCATAGACTCCAGTTTTCTCATAGAAATTGAAAATTGTGGTAACAGCGGTGCTTCCTTTACAGTTGCTTTTCTAAGTCTTGTTGCTTCACTGGCTCCATATGAGTTAACCATTTTCCCAAACATTGTCCCTTTTCTTTTGATCAAATCTTCAGGCTTCCCGATTTCCTGGATTCTTCCTTTATCCATAACAATAATGGCGTCGCTATCTATAACTGTATGCAGTCTATGGGCTATGGTTAAAATGGTGGCTCCTTTAAACATTCTTCTAATGGTTTCTTGTATAAATTGATCTGTATTTAAATCTACAAATGCTGTAGCTTCATCGATGACGAGAATTTTGTTATTTTTTAATATAGCTCTTGCTAGGCAAATTAACTGTTTTTGTCCTACAGACAAGGCAGCTGAATTGGAACTAAGCTCAGTTTCCAAGCCATGTGAAGAATTTTCGAAATAGTCAGCTAGATCGACGCATTCGAGGACTTTTCATAATGCTTCATCATCGTGCTGATCAAACGGGTCTAGATTTTTTCGCAGTGATGCTGAAAATAAAAACGGTGACTGTGGAATAATGGAGAGATTTTTCCTTACTTCCACTCCGTAAGGGAAAAAAACCCACTGGAAAAATCCCGTTTTTTTCAAAAAACCCAGAAAAAATGTTTTTTAAAAAAACAAAATTAATATATAAGTGATAACTATTATAATGAATCTCAAGCTAATTCTGTTTAATTTTAAGCAACTTAGATTTTAAAACATAAATTTGAAAATTAAAATAATATTTGCTTTCAAATTGGATTTTTTTAAAATTTTGGAAAAAAAAACTGCTATATATTTAATTGTTTAACAAAAAAAACTAACCCCCTTTCGTGAATGAACAAGATTTATGTTCACTCACGGAGGAGGAGTTAGGTCATGGAGACCGAGCTGTGTGATGTCTTGGTCATCAATAAAAATAGCTCCATCATATAACGGAAAAGATCTAAACAGAACTTGAAATAGGGTGCTTTTACCACTCCCAGTGCGGCCTACAACACCTACTCTTGTCCCACCAGGAATAATAAAGCTCGCACTAACCAAAGAAAACTCTAAATGCTCTCGATATCTCATCGTAACTTCTTGAAACTCAATTTTTCCTGTTGTTATTTGAAACTCTTTAACATTCAAATCCCCTTCCGGCAATAGTGTTGTATAATCGTAAAGCCTATCAGTGCTTGACATTGAAATCTGTGTGTCAATGATCATGCGAAAACACCAAGGCAAAAATGCCATAACACTCACGCTGAAGCTTAAACTTAGACTAGCCAATTGGCTATCACTTTGCCCTAGCACCAATACAATAAGAATTGCATTAATTCCAAGAACACCCCCTCCTGTCATCCCTATAAACAGTAGATAGAATCTTAAAGCAGCCACATAATTTGATAAAATATACTGAGATTTCTTGACCACTTCTGTTATTGAGTTTCTGAAATGGTTCTGCCAATCATAGCATCTGATATTTACAAGCCCAGAGACGGTGGCATTAAAGCTGGACTGTATGGGGCTTCTATATATTAAATCCATTCGTTTTAAATCCCTTATATGTGAGCCTGAAACATGATAAATGTAATAAGCTATAACTACAAATACACCTAAAGCAGCCAAATTGATAGGTACAATGTATATCATTGTGATAATACTCCCAAGAACAATTAAGCTGAACATCAAAGAGTCTGTTAAATTCCCAACAGCAAGCTCATCTACAAAAAATAAATCACGTGAAAATCTATTAATAATCCTTCCTGATGGAGTTGAATCGAAAAATCTTACTGGCGAAAATAAAATCCCTGATATAGCACTTTTATGAAGTTTAGAGCAAGATATATAAAGACACTTCATCAAAATACTGTTCCTAAAAAAAGTGGTCACAAACACAATAACAGACAAGATCAGCAACACCAATGGATAATACCCGCTGTCTTGCTCATCCTCATTTTGGCTAGTCCAATAAGAAATCCACCATTGCATTATAACATAGACAAACTGTATGCAAATGCATGCAATTAAAAAGGTCACTACAAGGCAGCAGTAGTAAAATCCATCCCTCATAAATTTATAGTAGCATTTAAGGGGCACCCCACCATTCGCTTGTTCTTCTACCATCACAGTGTTCTTATCTTCTTCTTTTTCAGAGTTGAAGTTATATGAAGTCGATTTCTTGGCTTCTTCGCCAAACGCTACTTGAAGCTTGTGGCCTTCATTTTTGAAGCTTTCTGAGTTTTGGCCTATCATTTCAAGAGCCCATTCCTCTTTTTGCATGTCTTCATAGGTCCCACAGAATACAACTCTTCCGGAATCAAGTAAAATAATTTTGTCGCATTGCGGTAAAAAGTGCACTTGGTTAGTAACTAAAAGACGGGTTTTCTCACGGAGCATGCCTTTGATGCAAACACTGAAAAGCTTGTCAGCGACTTTTGAATCGACAGCACTGAGGGGATCGTCGAGCAAATAAATGTCTTTTGAGGAATAAACAGCTCTGGCTATAGCAATTCTGGCTTTTTGGCCACCTGATAAGCTGTTTCCACGTTCTCCTACCAATGTTTTGTCACCATACTTCATTTTTTCTAACTCCTCACTTTAAATTTTATTGATAAAATGCTAGTTTTGACCTAATTTAATCATAAAATGCAAGCAGGATGCTATTTAAAAACTCTCACACTGAATTTATTAATTTTTTTTATTTAATTCTTCATAAAAATAAATTAAAGTTTAAATTATTTCGTTCAATTTATATATTTTTAAAATTTTGGAAAAACTTAAAAGTTCAATATAAAATGTTTTATAAACCTTCTAATTTAATAGACAAAAAGAAAGTAGAATACTATTTAAGAATTTTTCACACTCAATTGACTAATTTTTTATTTTAATTCTTCATAAAAATAAAAAAAAAAATTATAATAAAAACTAATTTTTATAAAATTAAATTTTAACTAACTCCCCCCCCCCCCCTCCGTGAGCGAACAAAAAAATTTTGTTCGCTCACGGAGGGGGGTTAATTTTTTTTTTTAAAAAAATTTATATATAAATTTTATAAAAAATATTTTTTTCGAAATTTAAAAAAATCCTAATTTGCAAAAATTGGGAAGCAAATATTAATTTAATTTGCAAAATTTATGTTTTAAAACGCAATTTGTTTAAAATTAAACAGAATTAGCTCTAGATTTCATTATACTAATTATCACTTATATATCAAAATTTTTTTTCATTAAAATTTTTTCTCTATTAAAAAAATTTTGTTCACTCACGGAGGGTGGGTTTTTGGTCAAAAAATGGCGATTTTTCTAATGGTTTTGTTCGCACGGAGGGGGGGGGGGGGGGAGTAAAAAAATAATTAAAATTCAAATTATCTCGCTAAATTTATATTTTTAAAATTTTAAATATTTTAAAAAAAAAAAATAGAGAAAAGTATAAAATAAATTTAAACCCCCCTTTAAATTGGAAAAGGATATATTCAAAGTAGAAGTAAGTCTTCTGAAAGTGCGCAGCATTGTATAGTGTTTTCGTAAAACTCTGGCTCATAATCGTGACCCATTACTATATTATCTCTAAAAGTGCCTGTTATAATCCAAGGTTCTTGCTCCACATAGGCAACAGAACCCCCTACAACGACATCTCCCCCGACCAAAAATGTTTCTCCTAATATCGTCTGCAAGACAGTTGATTTCCCGCAGGCAACAGATCCCACAATTGCGCAAAGCTCACCTGGCTCTACATGAAAAGTGACATTTTTCAAAACGTATGAAGGGGAGTCTGCAGATGAGGTCACAAGCCCATTGGAAGTGTGCAAAACATCTTCTCTTTCCATCACGCTCCATGACGCGTTTACTTCTATTAAATGGACTGCACAGTTCTGCTTATCTCTTCTCACATAGTGTTCTTTTGTTGGTAGTAAAAGAGTATTTGTTACACGTTGACAAACAGCTTTCATAAATCCTTGAAGAATCATGCCAATAGAGACCATTCCTGTGATGTAAAAATGTGAATTGTTCAAGACACTGATAGCACTGAATACACTTGATAGCCCCAAAGTGCCTCCCATCTTTACATGTACATAAAATGTCAATAATAATACAAAACCTTGTCCAGATACAAGTAGGGTAAAAGTGAGGACTTTGATGATAGCTTTTTTTCAGTATAGAGAAAGCTCAATATTGCGAATTCTGCTTAAAATTTCATAAAATGGCAACTCCCATGCATACATTTTAATGATCCTTATCCCTTCTATCAAATTAGTAGTCAAGCCTAATCTTTGGCCTGACTCCCTACCAATTTTCCCTCTATATTTTGCTGTGAGATTTGACAAATAAATTTGCAACGGAATATTCAGAATTATAAAAACCAGCCCAATTACTCCTGACCACCCCAGCTTAATGGCCAAAATGACAAGTGCACCAACTTCATAAAAAGGAATTGTCCATATAAAGCTTGTAATTGTAAGCTGTTCAAAAATACTTAAATCTGTTGTAGCTGTGCTCACTAAGCTTGCTGCTACGCTTTCTTGGTTTAGCGTAATATTTGAGATATCTAATAATTTGTCATAAATTAAAAGCATAGACGCAAATTGAATTCTGGATCCTAAGCTTGCATAATTAAAGAATACTCGGTCGTTTTGGTTTTGGCTAAGCAGTGCTAAAAATAAAATTCCGAGACCGTAAAGAATTCCTATATACAAATCTGACCCATCTTCTAAAAAGCTTATAATTTCTCCGATAAGTAAAGAAACTCCTAAATTGCACCCTAGAGAAATAATCATGGGCAGCCCAGACAAAATATACTCTTTCCAATAAACACTTCACAAAGCCCTTTCAAAACTCGGTCTATGCTTCAGCTTTTCTTGCTCCCATGCATGCTTCACCCTTAAATAGTTACTTTTCAAGTCTTCTTTTTCAGGTGGAGGAATTAAGGTTTCTTCTGAGGCCTTGTGCTTAAATCTGTATCATATGTGCTTAACTAGCCAAAACTCAAAAAACCTAGTAATAAGGCTACAGGTATCATAGGGATGCTTTGGTATGTCCATTGATTATTGATTTTATTTATAAATAGCTCAATGGGAAACGGAAAGTTTTCCAATACTTTAATGATATTAGAAAAGTTTTAAAAAATATCATAATTTAGCTTGGTTTTTTTGATTTGAAGATACCCAAATGTTCAACAATTAAATATTATGGACGATAAGAAGTTTCATAAAATTCAAATAATTTAATATGGAAAAGACATAAAAACAATAACTTGTGATGCGATTAAGCAGCTTACAAAATAAAAAATAAACAAATGGTATATGGGAAAATAGAAACCTGATACTGCGAACTGATAAGTTTAGTCAAAAATGAATAATCTGAAGAACTGATAAAAGAAGTATGGATAATGAAATATTGAGGAGTCGATTTATGAAAAGAGAGAGCTTAAAACTTCCAGACATAAATAATAGGCTGGGCTCGTTTTCTCCTAAACCAATTCGGTTAAAGCTATATCAAAAGCATCGAAAGCAAATATAGCGCTTTCCCGAGGATGGCGCGGAATGGCGCCATCCTCGGGAAAGTCAACTAAGCATCCACACGGGAACTGGGAGTTCCACGTGTGGATGCCATTTTTGACATGTGGGATCCAAACTTTCACATGTCAAAATGGCATCCACACGTGGAACTCCCAGTTCCCGTGTGGATGCCCTTCCTGGCTTTCCCGAGGATGGCGCCATTCCGCGCCATCCTCGGGAAAAAGCGCTATATCAATTGATGCAATAATTAACACTCCTCAGGAGAATCTTGCTTCAAGCTCATTTATCACATCTTCACATCTTGAAGAAAAGCGCAGCATTTCAATAACTCCAGCTCCAGATTCTTCTTCCAATAACCCAAGAATAAGGAAAATTCGGCTCCAAACACCTGTTTTGACTTATGAAAAAATTGTGATGTCTAAAGATCTTGCTATAATGGCAAAAGTAAGGAAGGGTATCATTTCTGAGTTGACAGGAAACCGAATTCTCAACTTGACTCCTGATCTTTTGCAGACTTTAAAGCATCAATACCTTCCTGAAGAGCTTAAAACAAGTGAAAACTCTCAACAGCTGCTTCAAAAACAGAAAGCTTTTCAAGAAAAAATTACTCGGCATCCTTTGGGAACGGCTGCATATGCGATAAGATCTTTGTCACCACAAGCTAGAAAAACAATTAAAGAGCAGCTTAAAATAGCCCTTCCTCAAGGATCCAGATTTTTAGAAATTTAATTTGAAATTTTTACTATAAAATGGATTTGGAAAGTGTCAATAAAATTTTAGATGATAACACGCCGTTCATTTCTGATAAAACAAGCGAGCTAATTATCAAGGAACTGAAAAATGATATGAGACATATGATGATATCTATTATTGCGAGAAAATCTGAGGCGCTCGAGGAAATTGAGAAATGAAGTTTGTGCTCGTTTTGTCGATTAACGCAAGATCAAAAATTTATGAAGCTAAAAGAGTATATTGAACAAGGAGGAAGTTTTAATGGTAATTATAACTAAAATAATGTTTTTAAAACAATCTAAATTTCTGCGTTTAATTATTTTTATGTTCATTAGCACAATAATTAGTAAAATTTAAACCTTTTTCTAAATCAGTCTAGAATTAAGATTTAGTTTAAACATCATTTAAGCTGATTTAATAATGCCGACTTGAAAGCATGCAATTTCCAAATATTTTATTACTTATTTAAAAGAGCAGGCAATAGTTCTGATAAGCGCTGAGCTAAGCCAGTATATGACTCTGGAGTCAACTTTTTGAGTTCTATTGTGATAAAGCTTGGGAGTTTGAGCTCTTTCTCTATTTCATCTACTAGCTCAATGAACTGAATGCTACTCATGCTATTAAGTCCTCGGGTATGTTTCTTCAATAGCTCATAAGGCTGCGGAAACCCGTATTTCCTCAGTATCATCTGAACGGGTTCTGCAAGAATTTCCCAATGGCTATTTAAATCATGACTTATTTGTTCTTTATTAACTGAAATCTTTTCAAACCCTTTCATTAGAGACTTATAAGCTACTAGCGAATGCCCTAGGCCAACTCCTACATTTCTTAAAGCAGTAGAGTCACTTAAATCTCTTTGAAATCTTGAGATAGGCAACTTATGTTCCAAATGAATCAAAATAGAGTTCGCGATGCCTAAGTTCCCTTCAGCGTTTTCAAAGTCTATAGGGTTTACCTTGTGAGGCATCGTTGAGGAGCCAACTTCTTTTTCTTTTACAACCCCTTTGAAGTAGCCTAAAGAAATATATTCACTTAAGCGACTAAATATTAGAATGATAGCCAGTATGATAGAAAATTAATAAGCAGATTAACAGTTTAATTGTATATATCCCCACATATCGCGAGATAAGTCAAGAAGTATAGTATTTACTTGGCTGATTTTCCCACACATTTCAGCTACGACATCGTGAGGCTCTATTTGTGTTGTGTAAGGATTCCATTTCAAGCCAAGCTTGCTTACAAATTCTTCTGTAGTTTTTAGCCAGTCAACTCCTGAAAAAGTGACTTGGTGAGCGTTATAGTTTCCAACAGCTCCGTTACATTTTCCAGTTAATTGCAGCTCATTGAGAGCTTTTAAGTGCCGGTTTATTCTGTATACAAAATTGGCCAGTTCTTTTCCTACAGTAGTCGGTGAAGCTGGTTGTCCGTGTGTCCTGCTGAGCATTGGGACAGCTGAATTTTCAATTGCAAGCTTTTGTATTTTATCTTTTAGTTGAGTCAATGCAGGGATCATTGCAAGTCTTAAACTATCCTGGAACATTAGAGCATAACTTAGATTATTGATATCTTCAGATGTGCAGCATACATGGAAATATTCTGTATATTCCTTTAGGTTGCTGTGTTCTTTTAAATAGTATTCCACTGCTTTTAAATCATGATTTGTTTCCAATTCTTTATTTTTCACTCATTCTGCATCTTTTAGCTGGAATTCGCTTCAAAGGCTGTTAAGGTCTCTGATATCAGCATCTGAGAGCTTTATTGGGATTCCTGCTTTATCAAGAAGAATTCCAGCTGAGGCCAGATGGATAAACCATGAAACTTCGACTTTTGCTCGGTATTTAATGAGTCCTGATTCACTCAAAAAGTCTGGCAATGGACTGATGAGGTGGGAGTATCTACCATCAAGTGGGGAAACTCGAAGTAGCGGAGAGGTAAATCGCCTTATTAATTTCATTTAGAAATTAAAAATTAATGGAAATCAGAATCAATTATTTTGCTTTGGAAACAGAATATTCAGCAAAGCAATGAATATGATTGATAATATGAATCTTCTTTAGATACAATATATCATATGTAGTTTAAAATAATAAAATAGCAATCTTATGTAAAATCAATCATTATTGAGTCTTCTATAACTTTTTGAATTGTTAGAACTTATGAATTATGATTTCAGAAAAATGGAAGAAGATTTCACAATTGAGCCTTGGAATGATACAATTAAACTTATCACAAATCCTAAATCCCACAGACCAAAGATTTCATCAAAATCTTTTATAAGCAATCGAAAAATTTCTTTATCCCCTGTCTGTGCCCGAACTTTTAAACATAACTCCTCAAATAAAATTTCAGACTCTTACATGTGCAAGGATTCAAAGCCTACCTTCCCTTGTCCCAAGTACAATATAAATCATTCTTTTACCAGCAGAAAAAATGAGCAATCCAAAGCTTTTCCTAAACGAAACGATATTTCTGCAATGAAATCTTTGCTCGAATACAAAAAACTTATACGGTCAATTGATTCAGGAATTTCAGGTGATCCGTTTCTGTGGTCAAATAATATTTATGGCATTGAAAGACTGCAGCACTTGTTTCCTTTAAAAGTATCAAGCCAGCCCAAGTTCAAATCAACCAATTCTATGGAAGTCCAAAAATTAGATTTTTTAATTCCTGGGATCTCTTCAAGATCTTTAGTCCCAGGCCATAAAACAAGATCTTCTTCGAGCTTCAGAGCTGCAAAAGTAAAAAAATGTTAATTAATAATAATTTTTAGCTAATTTATGCTTCAAGAAATACAAGCTCTACCAAAAGTGGTAAAAAACACATAGGAATTGCATGCGCATTTAAACGGATCCTTAAGAAAAGAGACTTTGATAGAGTTTTTAGCAGAAGATGGCAAAAATGAAGGGTTTGACAAAGATTTGACGATGGATGAAGCATTTAGACTGTTTTCAGTGGTACATTCTGTAGTAACGAGACCTGATAGGGTTGAAAGGATTACTAGAGAAATGCTGGAAGATTTTGAAAAGGAAAATACGGTTTATCTAGAAATCCGAACTTCTCCAAAAGCCACACAATTTATGACGAAATTGGAATACCTAAATTCAATTATTAAGGCAATAAGGGAATTTCAAGGAAAAATGGTCACAAAGGTATTGATTAGTGTAAACAGAGCTCAAAGTGTGGAAGCAGCTTGGGAAAACATAGAATTAGCTAAAAATTACCCTGAATGTGTAGGAGTTGAATTTTCTGGAAACCCAAACATCGCTAAATTTAGAGATTTCTTATTCCTATGGAACGAGCAAAAACAATTTGCTCGCTCATGGATTTTATCTAAAATTTTTACAATGGATTTTTGTTTTCAGTTCGGAAAGTAAAAATTAATTTAATTTGTGATTTTAAATTTTAGAGCAAAAACTATAATAATTATCACTTATATTAAAATATTTTTTTTAAAATAATTTTTTGCTCGATCACGGATGCTGGTTTTTCCTAAAAATTAGAGTTTTTCAGTAGTTTTGCACTTTAAAGAGGAAATTAGAAGTATTTAATCATGCAAGAGACATTGGAATGAAGGTTTCTATACACACAGCAGAAATTCCAGATAATGAAGATACTTTAGATATCATTAGGTTTAGGCCTGATAGGCTAGGCCATTGTTGCTATTTAGAGACAGAAGCTGAAAATCTGATTATAGAAAATCGTATACCCATAGAAATATGTCCAAGTTCTAATATGGCGACTATGGGGTTGACTAGCATGATTGATCATCATTTCGGGAGATTTTATACTAGATCTCATCCAATTGCGATTTGCACAGATGATACATTGTTATTAAACACAACTTTATCAAAAGAATATTATTTGGTAGCAGAAACTTTTCATCTCACTATAGATGATTTAAAAAGGATCATTAGAGAGAGTGCTTTGATGTCATTTTTTGACTGGCATACAAGTTATTTTACGCAAAATCCACTATAATTCTTAATAGAAAACATTTTCTCTATTAATTTTGAATTAAATTATTAGAGGTAAAATCCTTAAATTTGAATTAATTTTTAATTTGTTTTAGTAAAAGAAAACGGCTGAGGATCAGCAAAAATCACTTCTTTTTTAGGTGGCATCGTGCTGCTAACTTCAATATTTCTTTCTTCTGCAACTATTGGTCTTAGCCCTCTAAAGTTCCCCATCTGCTTCTAAAACGTTTTTTGTGTGGGGTATAACTTAAATTTAAAAAATAAACTTTATAAATTTTTGTTGTATTTAGAATTTTTAAGATGAAAATGAATAGACATGCAATATACTAAATATTTTATTTATAAATGCTTGAGGGGATTTTTAGACACTGTAATTATAATTAAATTATATATTAAAAAAATTAAGAAATCCTAATTTAAATAGAAATATTTTAAATTTTTGATTCATTATTAAAGGCGCCTACAAAAAATTTTTAGATTAGGCTTTTGCCTATTTATAGATGGGAGGAATAAGAATTCCATATAAGAGCGGGACACTTTTGGATTCCATTGTTTCTGATATTTTAAGCTCTCTTGATATAAAAGCTCTATCAAAGGGAGACTGAGCAGGCTGGCCGCTTTCTGCAACGAGGACTGAAAGGGTATGGTTATATCCATTATATTCGAGATACTCGCGGATTAGTTCATTTATTAGCACATTTTCTTGGCTGAGTCTAGGTCTGGAAGGTTCTCTGTCATCTAAGGCAGAAAATATTTCTGCTCTGATTTTAGCTTTAAGGTCTCCAAGGACTCCTCTAGCTTCTAATGTTTCTTTTAAAGCGTTTTTTAGGTCTTCAATTGATGCCATTTTAAAGTTTATAGAGATTTGGGATGCTTATTTAAATCCTTACAAGAAATTTTTACAAAATCTTCAATTTATTGAGATTTTAACCTCATAAACTAATATTCTGAATTATTTGAACTCATCAATATTTAACCTTAAGATAGGATTAGAAATTCCTGATGCTTGTAAGATCAAATGGAAGACCTAAAGATTCTTCTCTTGTTCTATTTCTCTCCAAGTAATTAAGCTGAGCTGGACGGTTTGGAGGCTTATAAACGTGCAAATGCATGTACTCATCATCTGCTGTTCTGACCTTAATCTTGTAATTGGTTCCATAAATATCTTGCTTTCTATATTCAGCGCACTTCATCCAACGATAGCTTTTCCCAACGCTTTCTTCTATAACAGGCTTTAAAAATCCAACAAGCTCAGAGCAGGTAGAATCTGGACCAATAGGAGCTGAGAATCCTGTCTCATCATATTGCTTTGACATTTTATTAACTTTAAGAGACTTGTATTTAGTTTCAAATAATATTTTTGATTTAAATAAGAGAATTTGTATATTTATTATTTATTAATATATCTATTTTAGAAGCTAGATAATTTGTGTAATATTGGGAAAGATTTGTTGATAATAAGTATTGTGGTACTGATACTTGAGTTTATACGCTGTATTAAGCCAATATAATTTTAATAATAAAATTCCAAAAAAATATATAGGGCTTTCCTTGAATAGCCCAATAACGGGATGAAGCCAGCCCGTCATCGGGCAACTCAAGGGAAAGCCCTATAGCTCTAATTCAGGCTTTCGTTTTTAAAAATTCGATATGCCATATCTTTCTCTTTACTAATTAGAATGCTTAAATCTTAATTTACTGCCCAAGCTGGTAAAATGGTGGTTTTAATATGATAATAAAAAGAATAAAATGCAATCACTTTTCGAAGAAATAGAATATTTACACAAAACTCCTTTCTGAAAGAAAGTGGAAAGCCATCGTTCTTTAGAGACTGATAAACTGTTATATCAAGGCATGCTTTTAGAGCTCAAATCTTCTGGAAAAACAAGGCAAAGTTTTTTTTCTTTGACAAACAAATATTTATATTCTTCCAAACCTGGGCACTTAAAGCCAAATAAGCAAGCAGTTATAAAATTTAGAGTAATTGAGCCATTTATAGAAGAAAGAGAGGATACTGTCAAATATGGTTTTCAAATTATTTTGCATAAACATAGCAAAATATTTTACACATCTTCGATGAAAGAACTAGATAAATGGATGGACTATCTAGCAATGGTTGGGATCATGACAAAAATTGAAGATGATTATCAAATAATGAAGCTCCTCGGGAAAGGGAGCTATGCAAATGTGTACTTAGCCAGAGACCTTTGTACAGATAAAGAGTATGCAATAAAATCAATTGATAAATCACTTATTAAAAGTAAAAATACTTTTAATGGGATGGTGAATGAAATTGATATTCTCAGAACTCTGGATCATCCGAATATTGTCAAGATCCATAAAGTTTATGAATCTGAAACCCACATACAATTAGTCCTCGATTATATAAAAGGTGGAAGTCTTTTAGCCAGATTGCATAATGAAGGCCCTTTATCAGAAAAACAATCAAGAAAATTCATGAAAAAACTACTGGAATTACTTGTATATTTAGAAGATTCTAGCATAATTCACAGAGACATTAAGCTTAATCTTAATCTTAATTATATGTTATTGAGTAGCTCCCCGGCCAGGACCGTAGGTCCTTTTCTTCTATTTTTGGCCGCATCGCTTGCTTTCCTTGCCCTGCTCCCAGTGTACACCTAAGTGCCACAGGCTGCCACTTGCCTCCTTCCGGTCATGGGGCTTAGTCATGAAATTCCGGAAGTAGGCGGACTGGGTCACCATGCTTCACGTCTTCGACTAGGTTAGAGCTAGGGATTAGCTCCCTAGCTCTTATCAGCATCTGCTGTGCCGTCGATTTGGGCACCAGCTGTCCCTAGAGGAAAACCCTTTTTTTCCCATGTCCCGTCGGGACGATCCGAAAATCGTCATTGCTGGACCGGGAGGGAAAACCTAGCCGGACACAAATACCAGTACCCATGCCAGACTTTTCACTGAGTGGATTAACTTCAGGCCGCAGCAAGGTCCCCAATCACACTAGAGGTTCGGGAGAGGACGGGTCGGTGTCGTCGCCATTTTATTTGTGTCAGAGACATTAAGCTAGAAAACATTTTATTATTGTCTGAAAAAAGCACTTCACATTTTAAATTGATAGATTTTGGCTTTTCAGGGTATTTAAAAGATAAAGAAACCGCATATTGTGGGACTCCTGGATATATGGCTCCTGAAATTATTAGAAATATTCCATATGGCCTAAAAGCTGACGTTTTTAGTGCAGGAATACTATTGTATATACTTTTATATAATCAATCTCCCTTTACAGGTGACACAGCAAATGAAGTGATTGGTATTTTAAAAAATAGAAGAAAAAATTTTAAAAAAATTATCATATTTTGCTAAAAATTTATATGCATGAAGTCATTGAAAGTAACAAAAGATGCAAAATATTTTTTGATAGCAAGTATTTTCTAATGGCCTCTTGCGAAGCAATCCATACTATTATGGAAATGACCAGCTCCAGTCCAGCAGCTAGACTTAATGCAAAAGAGCTACTAAAGCTCAGATGGTTTACAAAGGAAAAATCAAATGGCAGACTAAAAAGTAGGACACATACTGATGACATCATTTGCGCTGATTCTGATAAAAAGAGAAAAAGAGGAAGTATGTCACACAAAACAAAAGGCCATGAATTAGAAAAAAATTATGTAAAAAATAGGTCAAATGTAAAAAATGAAAATAGAGCAAGAAGTAAATCCTTATATGAAATAAAAGATGAAGGCTCATAGTTAAGGTAGCGTATCGCAATTCCAAAAATTAAGAGAATAATTCATTATAGGATTTTCAATTATTTTTATCGAATTTAATTAAAAAGTAACATAACAAACTTATACATAATTTTGTCTAATTTTAAATTTGCATGCAAAAATCACAAATTTTATGCACTTTAATGTCTAAAAGCGTTTAAATTTCTTTTTTGATTCTTTTAACATTATTTAAACACAAATTTTATATTCGGATTTTCATCAGTTACATTCTACGAATATAAAAATGATTTATCTATAAATTTTTTATGTCCTTACACTTTTATGCTTTTATATCATAAATTATCATTTTTCCGCTTCCAATTTCTGATATAATTTTTTTAATATAAAGTTTTTAGCTTAAAACCTATACAAATAGTATTCCTATAGGGCCTTCCTATAGATGGCGCGCAATGCGCCATCACCGGGCCATGTCGGGAGAGGGTTCCACACGAGGAATGGTTCTACGTGTGGAACCCTCTTTTTGGCTCGTGGAAAGTAGTTTTCTCACAGGTCAAAAAGAGGGTTCCACACGTAGAACCATTCCTCGTGTGGAACCCTCTCCCGACATGGCTCGGTGATGGCGCATTGCGCGCCAACGATAGGAAGGCCCTATACCTACTATCCATTAATATATTTTTAAATTTAAGGATGAACAAGGACCAGAATGCTAGCAATAGCGATATTGAGCGTATTCTATCAAGCCAGGTTTGGAAAAGACGGTCTCTTACAATGCGAACTACCGCCTCCGAAATCCATAGAAAGCTTAGAATTGACTGTTCCAAAACAAGCATATGTAACAATACTTTATCAACACCGAGCCTGCCCCCTATAAAAGAAAGCTTTCTAAATAAGCTAAAATCTGCCACATTACCTCCTCTGTCTCCATCAGATTTGTCTTTTAGCCCTGATCACAGCAAGCGACTATTTCGATTAGCAATTCCTTATAAAACGTTAGCAAGTTCTCTTAAATCTCAAATTAGAACGATAAAAACGAATACCGAGTCAATAAGAGTCCCAGTTTTCCCAAAAGCACCGTTTGGAAGCCATAAAAATGAAGTCGTTCCAGAATTCGAAGAACTGACTTTTGATTATACAAATATACACGATATTGAACTTAAAGCGAACCAAATTAAATGCCTTTCAGGAAGAATGAAATCTGAAGGCTTATTCGCTAACCTGCTGGCAAAATCAGCTGATTTAAAATAAATTACTTAAAATTTTTTATTCTAGTCAATAGTCATTCCACTTATTTTTTCCTCCTGCATTTCGAAGAATTTCGGCGATTCTCAAGGCTTCTGAGTCAGATATATTTTCAACTAAATTCAACGGCATTAATTTGAGTTTATTTATAGGATTTACATTTGCATGCTTTCTAATGAGCAACTCTACTAAGCTTCTTTCTAGCCTTAAGCAAGCAAAGTGCAACGCAGTATTATATCCCTCACTTTCCATATCATCAATATGTAATCCGCCTTCAAGCAAAAGATCTAGGACTTTATAATAATTTTCATCATCAATCCAACTCAATGCAAACTTTGGCAAGGTTCCTTTAAAAATAGCGTGGCTTAAATCCAGCCCATTTTTTATAAAACATTGAAGAATATCCACATCATTATTTGAAAGCGCTAAGTTAAAAGCCCTTGCTATATATCAGCACAATAAAATAATATTTCCTCTATTTTTTAAAAGATTGTCAAGTTTCTCTTTATCTCTATCCTCTACAGCTTCAAAAATCTCTTCATTGAGCTTCATAGTCTTTTCCATAATTTCTGTGTCATTTTTAAGCTCTTCCATATATTGCATTTCTTGATTCAATGACTCAAACCTTAATAATCCTATGTGTTCTTCTTCTGGTACTTCAGCTGTAAATACTCTTTGCCTAAGCTCCATAATAAATCTATTTAAATTGAAAAATGCTTGACCAAATCCAACCCCACATTAGGAAAATTGAAAAACTGATTGATGAGACCAACCTCGAAGCCGAAAATCTTCAGCAAGCTATGAAATCACAGTTACAGAGTTCAAAAGAAAAAATTCTTTCTCAGCTGCGCAACAGTACAAATCCAAAAATTCTTAGTCCATTTGCATCTAAAGTTCTGAAATCTTGGCGGGATCCTTCGATTTCTTATCAGCCAAGTATGAGTGAAAATATATTCACGCTGAAGAGAAAACCTGTGTGCTCAAGCACCGGGATAAAAAAATTTAAAGCGAGTGCCAAGGTAAGCGATGCGAGTACAATTGTAGATGAGCAGGCTGATTTTGAAAGCGACTCAGAGAATGAAGGATTTAAAATCAATTATAAAGTCCCTGTATGGGCTAAAGATGTGATGAGCCATTGAAAGGAAGTAAATGCAAAGCATGATCCTGAAGCAATTTTCGCACCGATAAGAACACCACAAGGATCAGGAATCTTTTGTGATTTGAAGGCAATCTTTCCACAATCGAAAAGAATGTATGAGCAAAGAGGAGATTCAGGAAACTGGCATTATAAAAATCTTAATTAATTTATCATTAGGAATGTATTTATGCTCTTGTAAAAAATTAAATGATAAGCCTTAAACTATAATAAAAATAATGAAATGAGCAGCAATTATGAAAGCTAAAGGCAACTATTTATTTGAATTTATAATATGAGCCATGGAAGCTGGAATCTCTAAATAATGCAGAAAATTTAATCATAGATTTTTGGGTAAACAAAATTAATCCTTTTTATTAAAAATACTCCACCTTCCTTTTTTGCTTTCTCTTATGGACCCTTCTGAATGGACAACATCATCTTGAAGGCTCAACTGAGATTTAATGATTTGCAAAATTGCTTGAGATTCTTTATTTAAAGGTGGAAGAGCTTTCACTAGATTTGTAAAAGAGTTTCTTAAATGTTCTGTATCAAAATTCATAAATTGCTTATGCTGAAGTTCTTTTATGTTTTCTTTAAGAACTTTTGTGAGCTCTAAAGTGGTTTGCAATTTATTTTTTTTGTTTGCAAGTTTTTTATTCAAATCGTCAATTATCTTTTTTTGCTCTAAAATTTTGAAATGGGCTCGATAGTTAGGCTCTTGGCTTTGAGACGAGCTGTCAACCGATACAGTGTCATGATCGTGAACTGATGATGTAGGAGACTCACTTGATAATTGGGGATAGTTAGCTTTATGAGGACTTTCTGAAGAAATTATATCAATGTCATGATCGATGCTGATTGATTGTGGCTTCGATACATATCTATTAAATAAACTGACCAATGATTCAGGAATTTTTCTTTCATTGCTTTTCTCAATGAAATTTTCCAATTGATTTATCAGTTCTTGAATGTTTTTTGAAGATTTTTCTCCACTTGCTTTAGAATTTTCAGAATCATGAGAGCCTCTTCTTAAGCCTTCTTGTGAAGTATCAATAAATAGTTTTATATTTGAAGACTTAAATTGGACTCCATCCCCAGGAGGTTCTGTTAAAGGAGCAGAGTTTTTTCTTGTAATTAACCCTTTATCTTGCTGCTTAAGGACTCTTAATTCATTTTCTAATGAGTCTATATTAGTTTGATATGTGATTTCTTCATTTTGGATTCTATTGGTGAGTTCAATATTTTTTTTCTTTTCATTCTCATAGTCATTTAGAGCTATTTCTAGCTTAGATTTAGCTTGGGTTAGTTCATAGTCTAGTTGGCCTATTCTTTGTTGTTGAGAATCAATCATTTCGCTCTTTTCATCAATAATTTTGGTGTTTTCTATGCTTTCTGTTTCAAGTTCAGCATTTTTACTTTCTAACTGTATTTTTATTTTGGTGAAATTGTTATTAGAAGATTCCAATAAAGCTAACTGAGATTGGAGTTTAATATTATGCTCTCTAAGCTGATTTCCTGAGAGCTGAGATGATGCAATTGCTGACTGTAATCTTTGTTCTAAATATTCTTTGTCATCTGTCAGCTTAGCTATTATAGATTTTTTATTCGCAAAATCAGCTGAAATTTCAGAATTTTTCTTCTTACTCTCACCATTCTAATCAAAAGACCACCGACAGTTCGACCAAATTTAGAGCTAAAAATTCTCATTTTTATTAACTAACATAATTGTTGTATTAATTTTCTTACCTATATAAAGATTTTATTAGCTAGTAATATATTGGAAAATATGCCAAAAGTCACATTATAATTGCGGAGGAGCAAGCAGCTAGATTTGAGGTGGGCAGGAGAATTGGTTTTATGTTTGACCATATGAAATAGTTAGTTCGATCAAGTATCGTTACAAATTTCCATTTTTGGGGAATTGGATTGGAATCTTTTGTAAGAATGAAAGAGTTAAGGTTTTTTATTTCTTCATTTAAATTTTGGATTATATTTGTGTTTGAGTCTATTATTTTGTTATAATTTTCGTTTTCCTCTAATATTTTAGCAGAGTTTAATTTCTCTGATTCTAAAGTATCATTGAGCCTGGATAATTCTGCCTTAGCATCATCTAACTGCTTTGCAATTTCATATTTGATAATTTTCAAGTCTTGAAGCTGCTCTTTTAACTCCTTTTCTCTTGCAATAGATGAAAGTCTCTCCTCTTCTAAAACCTTTAATTTATTAGTGGTTTCTTCTGTATATTTAATGCAAAATTTTTCCAGCTGGGAATTTCTCTCGCAAGTTTTTTCATATTCAAACTTAATTTCACTTAAAATATTTTCGAGATTTGGAAGAATTTCTATTTCTGAATAATCTTTTTGTGTTATTTTGTTGACGATATCAATAATCTCTTTAGCATTGATTAAAGTTGGCGTTTCAGGATTTGGTACTATGTTCGTTGTAAGATTTTCATGAATCAATAATTTTGCTTCATTTAGTTTGTTAATTTCATTAGAGAGTTTTTCAATTTGTTCACTTTGGTCAGATAAGACTTTTGCTTTTTCATTTTCAAGTTCTTTAACTCTTTCATTATACCCTGAAATAATTTTTTCTTTTTCAGATTGAAATTCATTAGTCAATTTTTCTGAAATCTCAGCTATAGCAATTTTTGTTTCTTTATTAATATTTTTTTCCTTTTGCATATTTTTTTTCATCTCATTCAATTCTAAATAGGCACTATCAATTTGTGACCTTAATTCGTTATTTTCATTTATAACTTCATTCAATTCATTCTCAAGCTCTCCTTGAAGTTCAATTTTCTCCTCAAGTTTAGAAGTGCTGATCCGTACAATTTTATTTAATTCAAATATTTTTTCATTAAGATTGTGGATTTTTTCTTCTGTGTCGCGGCTATTATTTTTCATGATAATTTCAAGTTTTGATATGTTTTCATTGAACTCTTCAATTTTCAAGTCTTTTTCAATGATTTTAGCTGCTTCTTTTTTTTCTATTAAGCTCATGTTTTCTTGAAGACTTTGAATTTTAGACTCATTGCTGCTTATTTCAGTTTTCAGATTTTCATTTATAATTTGCAGATCATAACATTTTTCTCTTGAGTTATTTAATTCTTTTTCTAATTGGTTATTTCGATTATCATATTCTTCTTTTTGTGATTTTATCTTACTTTCAAGGTCTTCTATTTCGCTTTTCATTTCTATTTCTAATTGAATGCTAAATGCATCAAATTCTTTTTTTTGTGTTTTAATTTGCTTTTCAAGAATATCAATTTCACTTCTTAATTCTGAATTTATTTGCATTAGTTTCTCAAATTCGGTGTTTTTGCTAGACTCATTCATGTCTTGGGTTTCATTAGCATTTTCAAGTTTTTTTTCAAGAATTTGTTTTGTATCTTCAAGCTCCCTTAATTTTTTATTTAGCTCTTTCAATTTCTGATTGTAAGTATCATCACTATTTTTTTGGGATTTTTTGAGTGCTTTGTTAGATTCTTTCAGCTCATTTATTAAGTTATTATTTTTTTCGTTATTCAATGCTTTTTCCTTTAAATCAGAAATATTTTGTTTGCACATCATTTTGATTTTATATAATATTTCTTTCGATTTCTTAACTTTATTTTCATTAAGCATAATGATATGTGAAATATTCTTAGAAAATTCATCAATCTTTTTGTCATAAATCAACATTTCATTTATAAATATGTTTTTCACCATGAGTAGCATTTTTTCAGTTTTACTTTTTTCCTCTCTAATTTTCGATAATTCTTGATTAGCTTTTGGAGACTGGTGAAAAATTTCTTTCATATTTTTCATAGTAGTCTTCAATTCAGAGTTTTGAATTTTCAAATCTTCTATTACTTTGTCTTTTTCTTTTAATTCACTATTCGTTTCCTCTTTCAATTTTTCCATTTCTCTCTTAATTTTTTTATTTTCTCTACTTTTCTCTTCAATAATCTTATTAAAGCTTTCGTTTTTATTTTTTTCTATTTGAATTTCTTCTTCGAGCTTTTGCAAATAATCATTTTCCTTATTTTCTATTGTTATGCTATTTATCGCATTTTTATTTGATGTTTTTGCTATAACCTCTAAAAATTTATCACTTTCAAAATCCCTTATAATCTGTCTAAGCTTTGCTTTAGAATTTTCACACTTTTCAAGGGTTTCGCTTCTATCAGCTTCTGCATTTAAAATGGCTCTTTCTGCTCTTATGGTAGCATCAATGAAATTTTTAGCTGCTTTTATAACTGTATTAGCTTTAGCTCGAATAAGAGCTATAGTGCTGCTAGCATTTTTGCTTTCTGTATCCTGATTAGAAGTAGTCGCTAATAATCCAACTGAGTTATTTTTCATATGGTTTATTTTTCATGCCTTAAAGATATCTCTTTCTTCAATTGTTTTTTCTAGCCTTTGCTTAGTTTCTATCAATTCTTTTTTAATATTATGAAATTCTTTATTTTGTGGGGATACTGATCTAGAAATAGGAGAATTGGATTTTGATATCCGAAGAGGGCTAAATTCTTTTGTTTTTGGAGCGAATGATTTTATTAGTTCTCTGCTCGTTTGTCTATGCTTTGCTGCAGGGACTGGAGACCCAGAAACAGCTGATCGAGCAGGAGAAAATCCTGAAACGCTCATTCTCAGCTTTTTTATTTCGTTTCCTTCACATCTAGATGCTGGCCTTGATCCTTCAGTTCTAATTTTGCATGGCGTTTCTTGGCAATTTTTGAAATCCCTTATTTGTTTATTTAATTCTTTTACCATCTTCTCAAGTCCATGCTTTTCTTTTCTCAATTTCAAATTTTCCATATCTTTCATTTTAATCAATTTGAAATATTTGTCTTTCTCCCTTTGCAATTCTTTTTCAAATTTTCTGTTAAACCCTTCCTCATTGTCTTGGACTCCCACCATTAGCTTAATTTCACTAATAATTCATCTCGCAGTTTTCCTATTTTCACTATTATTCATACAAAGCTCAAAAATTTTTTCTTCAATTGTTTTCAGCTTTGATTTTTTGTCTGCTTTTATATTATTTTTCTCATCAATTACAGAATTTAAATCATTTTGAATTTTTTTCTTTTCTTCTAACAATTCACTGATAGACTCTTTGTTTCCAGCATCCTGACTATAGGTTTCTTGATTTATTTGTGAAGTATTTTCTTGTAGTACATTAGCACATTTTCCGACGAAATCTATATACTTTTGCTCTAATGCTAACAATTTTGACTGAAGCCCTGTAATAATCCCATCATTTTCTTCTGGTTCTAATCCACCTGCAGTATAAAAAATTTTTTGCTGTTGAAGAGTCTCTCTATTCATATTAAAATTATTGTTATTTTAATTTAAATTTATGTTTAAGCTATTTGGCTAATTTTCAAATAGTTCATGAAGAAGAAAAATAGATATTGATATTATTTTTGAAGGTTTACTGCATAATATAAACTAATTAATCCGAATTTTTGAAGACACCAGCACTTTTTCTTCGTCTTTGCTTCCAGGTAAAAATTCAAGCACATCTGCGGCTCATTTGTCAGGACTACTTGGGCTCATAATTTCTTCAATGTCTTCTGTTGAAACTTCAACTAAATCTTTGCATGGTGATGCAATTTGTCTCAATTTATTATACCAGTGATAAGTAATTACTCTCCAACTAATATCTCAATATTGGTACACACAATTATTGTTAGTGCTCTTGCATTTATTTTCAAAATATTAAAAATTTGCGGGACTTCTGGTGGAGATTCATCACCTTCATCTACAAGATTCACAAGACTATGAAGATTGAATTCTTTTGAATATGACCTAATTCTACTTTGCGAAGGCATCGTCGGAATTATTTCACTGGCAGCCCTTTCTCTGACCACTCTTGCTGAAGGCAACTTATAAGGTTGATTCGGTGGCTGTACAACAACGCGGATTTTGTCTATAACAGCGTCGTGGCCTTGTATATGCTTGCTCGGCATATGTTCACGAAGGACAGTATCTGTCTGTGGGGCTTCTTTGTGAAGATATAAACAGTCTTTTTTAGGGCATACTTGGCCACTTAAAAAGAAATTACAATACTTTGTAGTGCCATAGGTGACTGTTAACGGTTTTCCGTCCAGCTCGTAGTTATGGCAAGCTTTTATGCATAGGGCAGCTTCTTCATCTGTAGAGAAAGTTATGTGCGCTCCATATGCAGGGGTATTCGAACTATTTGTAAAAATAAAGCCTTTGTTTAGAGAGCATTTGTTTATGCGACCATATTGGCCGAAGTACTCTTTACTTCGCAATATGCTTTCATCAGCTGCTGACTGAGGTAAATTAATCACATAAATTAAATTGCTTTGAATAATTCTGGCGCTTGCTTTTTCTGTGTTTTGAGGGTTTATTGGGCTCCCTTTGGATCGAGGACTGTATTTGATATTACGGTTTTGAAGGGCTATAAGTGGATGAGTGTGGTGTGCGTGGGGAAGAGGTTTGTGTTTCTGTATATGTTCGAGGAGGAACAGTAAGCTTCGTTAAACCGGAGTTAAAAGCACTCAAACGTGAATCCATGTTTATAAAATGACTTGTGGTAACAAATTTAGATTAATGGAATATAGAGTTTTTAGAAGACATGAGTGATTGGTTTTTTTTTAGTAGATGCTAGAATGTTAAGCAATTTAAAAATATTGTATGCAAAATCTAGAGCAAATTTCAAATGATCAATTTATGATTTCCGACAATCCTAACTGCTCCTATAAATTAGAAAAAATATTGGTAATTCTCCATTTTAGGCATAATTTATTTCTTCATAACTATTTTTTCCCAGTTTTTATCTCAATCAATAAATGTTTTGAATATCAATTCAAAAAAATAAATTAAAATTCAAAAATGCTCTATTCTGATATATTTTTTTTCAAAAAATTAACCCTTCTGAAATTAAATAAGAATTCTAATTATGAGGAGGAGATTAAGCGATATCATGTGGATAAAATTTAGTTATAAAGAGGAGAATATAAGTTGATTTTTTGAATTATTATGCTGTTGCACTTTGATTCAATTTCAATAAAATCATTAAAATGATGTGCTAAAAGCTTAAATATGTTAAATATTTTTCTTATTTTTATAATTCAGATTTGTCTTTAAGAAATTTAATTAAAATGTTGAATCGTCCTTATGGTTTTCGCCCAGGATCAACTTTTATGATATCCCAAGATGACCCAGTATCTTTACGTCCTTGGCATGGAACTTCCGCCTCATTCAGCAAGACATTGTCAATTTTTTATACAAAAGATTTTTTATCGAAACAGTCGAAATCTCTGATTACTAAAAATCTGTTACTGCCGAGCACAGTTTATAAAGAGTCTCAGCTTGCAAAGCAAGCTCAAGCAAGACAAAGAGCAGCTCAGGATAGACAAATTGGCGAGAAATGAGAAGAAATAATGAAAAAAGAGCTACAAAATTACAATGGAGTCAAAATTAAATACCAAGAAGCAGCCAAAATTATTCAAAAGCACGCAAGGCGTTTTTTAGCTACATTAAAAACAGAAAAATTGATCCTTAATCGAAGGAAACAAGAAGCTGCGTGAAGCATTCATGATATGGCGAATCAAGCTGACAAATGCTTATTCTACTTAGGTTCACATACTGTTGAGGTAAAATTTAGTTAGGCTGCCATTACATTGCAAAGGGCTTTTAAACGCTTTTTAGTAAGAAAGCATTTATTTTTTATGTTATTAGTTTACTATTTAAGCCCTGCTCCTTTATTGCCTCAGCTTGGACTGACAGCTCTGATTAACGGCAGATGAGACAAGTCTAACTGCCGGCCTAATTATGTCCCTAAGTCGCATAAACATTAAAAATGTCTGCATGTGTCACCTGTCATCTTGGCGCAACAGTTCAGACCTTATGACTATAGAGAACTGGAAGGACTCAGAATCAAGAATCAAGTGCAGCCTAGGGATGCATATCCGAGCAGATTTGGATACCTTCCTATGGTTGGAAATGAAATGCCCATGGGTATTCCTCTACCAAGAAACTGGGGGTTTCAGCCCAGGACACGGGGGAGCAGCCTTTTTCCTGTAGTTGCCGAAGGAAGGCACTTCAGCACCCAACAGACCCCAAGGCGCTAATCCTTGGATTCAAGTTAATCCAATCGCACATCACGGATGCAGAAATGGATTAGCGGCCTACTCAAGAGCCGCAAGGAGGAGACAGAAGGTACTTGAAGCGGTATCCGCCTTCGAGGGAAAGAACCTCTGGGAGAGTAGAAAAGCGGTTGAACCTTCCGTTTGGAGGTCTTAGTGACTGCATCACCAACATTGGCTAATGCCTGACTTTAATTAGCCTAGCCTAACCTCTAAGGACCTCTCCTTTTAAACCAGTCTTAATTTAAAATACTACTTTTTAAGCCGAGACTCTAAGGAGTCGAGGAATTCTCTCATTGAGCTTCGGTTGTAGGACGGTGGCCCTACCCCCCCAAATGCCATTTTAAATTATGAAGTATTTATTAATTTTACGTCGATGCTATGACTTATTCTGTAGTGATAAAGAAGAAAAAGCATCGAGGATTCTTAGAAGGGCACTAAGGTCAATCTTATGCAAGCAGAAAGTGAAGTATTTAAAATTTCTTAAACACAGAGAAAAAAGATTAGTAGAAATCAAAGAAAAAATTGCAATTTTATCGATAAAAAAGTTTTGAAGAAGTAAAAGATTAACCTTTATCATTATAAAGAAAAGACTCCAAAGGATTAAACAAAGAAAAGCTGCAATGCAAAATAAAGAAATGTATCAGAAATACCTAGCCTCCCTTAATAAGACTAATAACAGAGCTCCAAGCCCCACAAGGCTTACAGAATCGCCTAATAAAAACGAACTAGAAAATAAGGATGATATTACAGATGAAAGTTTAGAAAAGAAGGACGAAGAAAGGCCTGATGGAATTTCAGAAGACGAATTTAAGGAAGCCAAAAGGATCCAAGCAGAAATACAAAAAAGATATAAAGAAAAAGTCAGAAAAGGGAAAATTTCACATTCAGTTGACCCAAATTTGAAAGAAGTGACAGTTTTACCTGTTATGCAAGAAAGAGCAATAAAGGAGACATTTGAAGTCCATCCTGAAACTGATGTGGAAAGTAGGCTTCACTTATCCACAGCTTGCGTGTTTGCAAAAGGGAGAAGCTTGAGCCGAGATTATCGGCCAAAGACAAGAAATCTCTTGATTTTTTCTCCTCCAGTTGTAGGAAATCGCGCTATCACTGGAGGAAGACTTCTCCCTCCTATTCAGCTAACCCAAGTTAACGATATTCCGCTATCCAGCAAAACTCCTTATCATTTACCATCTGAAGTTGAGCACGCAAATTTCATGGCATCCACTATTTCTTTTATGACAAAAATTGATACCCATGATGACTACATACCCAAAAAATCCTCCAGAAATAGAACTAAAAGCCCAAGAAACCTAAAAGTCAAACTAGAAGCCCTCAAAGAAAAGAGAAAAATCAGAAAATTAAGCGGCGGACCTATATGAATTCCAGCAGCTTCATTCGAGAACCAATATACACTTGGGCTTGACAACGCAGCATTCACGCCCAAAATTTGGAAGCCGCTTCCTCTTGATAAAGCTTTATTTGATGCGTCAACTTCTCCTTCAGTTGAGCGCAGGTCTCATAATTCTTCAGATATGGGGGTTTTATAACATTGTCTTACAATATTAATTTATTTACATAAGAAAATTTCTTGTTGTTATTAAAAATTGTCAGTGCTAAATTGTGGTAAATTTATAAATCTGATAATGCAAATGAATGAATCGGATATGTGCTCACTCAGTACCAAGCCTCAAACAGGAGCAGCTCCTCCTCCAATGGCTTCTCAACGCTTTGTGGAGGTCAATCCAGACCAAATCCTCCATATATGAGATTTCATAGAATCACGGTCAACTTCGTCTACATCTCGATCGAACAATAATCAAAAGTATGTTCAAATCGATACAGAATCGTTCAGTGATATTTTTTAAAGGACGGCGTTTTAATGTATTTAATTTGTTTATATGTAAAACCTTTCTTTGAAACTGCTCATAAAATGATAATTATCTAACTACCCCTCTCCCTTTAATTTGCAACAAAATATATGTAAATTTTCGTTTTTTGGATACTTTAATCCCCTTTCAATTGTAACATAGGAAATTTTAACGATAAAGATATAAAGTCTCTTATAATCAGGTAATGCCCTTTTTGTGAGGTAACCCTTACGAAAAGGGGTGTTTACCAATTGTCAAAATATTGCGTTCAATTTTTAACATTTTTATAATGCTTTTTATAAAGAAAAATTTAATATAGTATTTTAAAAAATAAACTTCCCTTATATTGGAACAGGATCTTTTGCTCCAATTTTAAGTGCGGAGACGAGTAAGCTTAATTCATGGCTTTATCTAATAATTCTATAAGTTGCTTGGTATGGACTGAAGCATACCCACTCGCTGCAGCAGCAGATGGAGGCCTTGAAACTACACCAGCTGGGCCAAACCCTAATGCTTTCAACGCTGTATCAATTCTTGGCTGTACATATCCCCAAGGACCTAAATTTAATGGCTCTTCTTGTACCCAATGATATGTAGCATTTATATATTTATGAGCCTGATGCTGTACCCTATCAAACGGGAATGGCGCAATTTGTTCAATTCTGCAAATAGCAATATCTTTTATGTCTCTTTTTCTTCTTTCTTCCACCAAGTCATAGTAAACCTGCCCAGAGCAGAAAATTACTTTCCTTATTTTTTCATTTTCTACCAAATCTTTGCTAGGGTCGTCATAAGCTCTGCTAACTCTATCGTTATTGAATTCTTCGATTGTAGAAACAGCTTCTTTATGCCTCAATAGACGCTTTGGAGAAAACACAAATAAAGGCTTACGGAATTCTCTGCGAATTTGTCGACGCAGCATATGGAAATAGTTCGCAGGGTTGCTCGGCATGACAACTTGGATGTTGTTGTGGTAAATCTGCATACCTTCGACGATCCAGTCTGTTGGGATATTGTTAGGATCGTCTGCAGAGAGCTGCAAAATACGCTCGATTCTACCACAGGAGTGCTCAGAGCCCTGGCCATCATAGCCGTGAGGTAATAAAATGACAAGTCCAGCTTCTTGACCCCACTTGGCTTCACCACTTGTAATAAATTGGTCTATGATAATTTGTGCACCATTAGCGAAATCACCGAACTGGGCTTCCCATAAGACAAGGGCATTAGGGTTGGCTAAAGCAAACCCATACTCAAAACCTAAAACTCCCATTTCACTTAATAAGGAATTCACTGCTGTAAACTTGGCTTGATTTTTAGCTAAAAAGTTAAGAGGGGCATAGGTCTTTTCATTTTTTTGGTCATGTATAACTGCGTGTCTTTGTGAAAAAGTGCCTCTTTGGACGTCTTCTCCGCTGATTCGTACATGGACACCATCATCTGCTAGTAGGCTTGCCCAAGCCAAAGCTTCTGCAGTGGCCCAATCAATTCCTCTTCCGTTTTCGATAGAGTTGTATCTTTGTTTGAAAATTTTGGTTATACTTGGATGGGCATGAAATTCTTCAGGAATTGTATTGATTTGAAGGCCAAGTTCTCTGATTCTATCAACTGAAACTCCAGTTCTTCTTGGATCTCTTTGAGCTGTTTTTATAGGTGACCACTCAGTGTAGTTTTTATTTCGGTTTTTCAACTCGTCTTCACTGAATTCTTTAGCAGTGCTAAATGAAGATTCATAGTCATTTAAAACAGACTGGGTTAGACTTGTAGCTTCTTCTCCAGACAAAATTTTTTCATTAATCAGCTTCTTTGAATAGAGATCATAGCAAGACTCATGCTTACTGATAATCTGGTACATCTTAGGGTTTGTAAAAAGCGGCTCATCCAGCTCATTGTGTCCATACCTTCGATACCCAATGATATCAATAAATATGCTTTTTCCGAATTCTCTACGCCAGTCGCAAGCCATCCGAGAGACGTAGTCGACTTCTTCAGGGCAGTCACCATTAACATGGATAATTGGGGCTGATATAGATTTTGCGATTTCTGTAGGGAAGAGTCCAGATCTTGCTTCTCTAGGAGTGGTGGTGAAACCTATATTGTTGTTTGCTACTATATGAATAACGCCTCCAGTGCTATAATCATATAAGTCTTCCATTTGAATTTGCTCAAAAACGACGCCTTGCCCTGCTAAAGCTGCGTCACCATGAATAAGAATGCACATGGTTCTATCTGGGCTGTTTTGGTAAAACTGCATAGCGTGGGCTTTGCCGACTGCTACTGTATCGACAGCTTCTAGATGTGAAGGATTGGCTAAGAGGCTGATTGTAGCTGATTTTCCATTGATTGTTCTGATTGCAGTATGACCTAAATGATATTTCACATCGCCTTCTTCTAAGAGTCTAGCATTGGACCCTAAAAACATGCCAAACATGTCAGTTAAAGAACTTCCACAGACGTTGGCAAGCATGTTTAGTCTTCCTCTATGCGGCATTCCAATAACAAAAGTATCAATTCCTTGATCAACTGAAGAAATAAAATGGCGATGCTGATGAAAATCAATCCCAGGCACGATCCTATGGAGTATGTAGGATCCATCCTGATAAAGCTGAAGCAGGTTTATATGCCTATGTAAGTTTGTTTTCGGGTTTGAGGATGCCTGCTGAAGAAGGAAGGCTTGTTTCTCCGCCAAGGTTTTCCCTGTTCCTGCTAGATGGGCTGGACAGGTTTTGTCTCCCGCTTATCCTTTGCTTATCGGGACTAATGGGACAATGAAAGAGATGACGAGGTTAGGTGGGTTTACACCATGAGACAGGCTAGGGTTTATCCGCTTATAGCCTTTTAGATCTTAACTTTGATCAACTGCAAGAAATAAACTGGCAACGACGAAGAAAATTGGACACAGAAGATAGCTCCCTATGGAGCAGGTCTGAAGCTGAAAAAAGATCTCTCCCCATTTTTGGAGCAGCCTTCAGGCTTAAGAAGCTTTGCTGAAAAGGGAAGTTTTGTTTCTCACCCTAAGGTTCTCCTGTGCCGCCAGATAGATAGGCGAGGGGATTTTACCTATTACATGATTTCTTCTCATCGGGGCCATCTGTGCCTGCCTTAGGAGCCCTTGGACAGGTAATTCAGGTCGGAAATCCAAAAGGAAGATCTTTGGAGCCAAGATCGGCAGCTATACCTCCAGAACAGGCATGGCTCGACCTGAAACTCCCCCCCCCCCCCCCACCCCCACCCCCCACCCCCCACCCCCCCACCCCCCCCCCCCCCCCCCCCCCCCCACCCCCCCCCCCCCCCCCCCCCCCCCCCCCCCCCCCCCCCCCCCCCACCCCCCCACCCCCCCCCCCCCCACCCCCCCCCCCCACCCCACCCCCCCCCCCCCCCCCCCCACCCCCCACCCCCCACCCCCCACCCCCCCCACCCCCCCCCCCCCCCCCACCCCCCACCCCCCCCCCCCCCCCCCCCACCCCCCACCCCCCACCCCCCCACCCCCCACCCCCCACCCCCCCACCCCCCACCCCCCCCACCCCCCACCCCCCCACCCCCCACCCCCCACCCCCCCCCCCCCCCCCCCCACCCCCCACCCCCCACCCCCCACCCCCCACCCCCCACCCCCCCACCCCCCCACCCCCCCCCCCCCCCACCCCCCCCCCCCCACCCCCCACCCCCACCCCCCACCCCCCCACCCCCCCCCCCCCCCCCCCCCCCCCCCCCCCCACCCCCCACCCCCACCCCCCACCCCCTAACGGTTTCAATTTGAATGGCATTGCTAATTCAAAATGACAAATCCCTCATTAAGGATTTGACAAGTCAAATTTAATTTGTAGATTTCAATAAAGTTGAAACTGTCAGGAGGGGGGTTCTAAGGTCGATCTATAACCGTGCTCACAGTATAGTGGATTTACCCGTTTATATCCAGCATAACCTTTAACTTAACTTGATCGACTGCTCTTTCAATAACAGCTTCTACTGATAAAATTAATGACTCAAGACCATCTAAGCCAAATCTCTTGTGAGTGGTGAACTTTTTATGCAGAAACTTTTCCAATAGTTCAGCTCTGGCTAATTTTTTCAGTAAACTTTTCTTTTGGTCAGCACTATAGTTAAATTGATGATCTTTTTCGATCCTCTCAATCATCCAGTTAGTTTCATCCCTGAAAGGAATGTGGAAAAATTCAAACCCTATGTTTGAGCAGTAGGCTTTTTTGAGTTTTTCAATGAAATCTTTAAGTTTCCATTTTCCATGGGAAGGACTGTTTAATGAGGTGAACCCAGTTATCATATGATTGCTGATATCGTAGGTCTTTTCCATGTCTTCTGGGGAGAAATGGTAGTTCTCCAGACGAATTGGCCCTGGTAGTCTGACATCGACGCCATGGTCATGAACTAATGAGTGGAGTTTAAGTGGGTCTAGGTCTGCAAGCATAAATCCATGGATTTGGAAAGCACGGTGCAGCAAGGAAATTTTTATAACTTCTTTAGCTTCTTCCCTAAGGTCACCAAATGAAGATTGTTGACTTAGTTTTTCAAGGACTTGGCTGTCTGCACGACTGAAGTAATTTCTCCAAGATTCATGAACCGAGTTAGGGTCTTTGAGCCAAGTATCGTACATTTGAGTCAGATAAAAAGTCCCAGTGGGTCGCACAGGTCGATAATTAAACGATAACCACGAACTGAGCCTCGCAGCTTTTCTAAACATAAATTATTAAACAACTGATAAAGAAAAACACTGGAATAATGGTATTTTTGTAAATATTCTTTGAAGACTTCAAAGTTAAATATTTTCATTTGTGAATTGCAGCTAATAAATGCTATTGCTATTGCTTGGAAATAGATATAAGTATTATATTTTAATTCAAGACATTTGAGCTTCTATTAAGTGATATTAGGCAAAGAAGTTTTATAAACCTAAGCAGGAAATTTTTAAAGTAGATTAATGAATCCTATGGCAATCATATTCTGTTAATTTACCCTTTAATTAAATTTTATTGAAATTAAATTAATATCTTTAGCAATAAATACATTAATTTTAGATATTTAAATATAAATATTCAAAATGATTTATTTTAATAACACATTTTTTCGCTTTAAAAATCTAAATGAAATGGAAAATTAAATTAGGTTTTAGCGCTGAGATATTTTATCAAACTTACAGTCCACTATACAAAAAGGAGATAACTATTTAATGAGAACTATGTGAATGCTGTTAACCTGCTTTCATAGCTCAGCCGGCAGAGCATTTGGCTGTTAACCAAAAGGTCCCTGGTTCAAACCCAGGTGGAAGCGTTTTTTATTGCATAGAATAAAACTTTATCAACCCATTCACTTTTACTTATTCCTTAAGTTTTACATAACTTATTAAATAGCTATTCTGTTAGGCGTTGCTTTAGAAATAATTTACATTAAATTGCTTTAGATTTTTTCTGTCTTTTTTCAGCTTCAATAAGCAATTTAAACACAGTTGCTTCAACATCTCTTGAAAGCTTATTACTTTCTACGAATTTTTTAGCTAAATCTTCAACCTTATCACCTTCCTTTACCACAATTTCAAGTGCTTTTTCTCCAAGCCTCACATTAACTTTATATAAAATTTTATTTTTCTTTGAATTCTGGATACTTCTGATTTCATTGCAATATTTATTGATTTCGTTCTCGATTAAATTGCCTAAATCTTCTGCTTCAGGACAATTTCCTAATATAGTTTCAGCTAAATTTTGAGCAGTATCTCCTGGGTATACATTTATTCTTTTAATTCCATCTTTTGTTTTCACATCTAAAAACAAAAGAGGGTCTTTTATAATTCTTTCTGTATTATGACCGCTGTTAATCTGAGTATTAGGGGCTGTCCTTCTTTCTGTTTTTGGTGGGCACATAGATATCATTGAAGGCTGCGATATAATCGTCAAAGGTGGCACTTTCCGTTGTTTCTGCCATGAAGGGCTACCTAGGGTTTCAATATTTATAGGGCAATCTTCTAATCTATCCATATTTTCATAAGCATCAGGGAAAAAGTCTTCCACGGTCTCTGAAAAATTGAATTCTTCCTTTGATATTTCGCTGATATTAGCAAAACTAATATTCTCTTCAAATACTTGGGCTTTTGACTTTTCATTAAGAATATTAATAGGAATTTCAGCTAAGACTCCATCCTTGCATTTTTCATAGCGATCTTTTTTCTTTTTCATTTCTTTATAATCGCTAAAAGACATTGGAATATCTGTAATAATATTTTGACACTTGTTAAATTCATTTTCAAGATGCAAATTATTTTCCTCGATGTGATATAAACTAAACTCGTCAATTATATCTACATTCCTTTCTACTTCTTCACTTATTTCTGATGCTTTTGGACTTGAAATATTAACAAAATCATTTTCTGGCTGTAGGTCTGTCATCTCTGGGTGCTTTTTTATTAAATAGGTTGCGCGAATTCTCATGACTTTTAAAGTCAGCTCAATGTTTCTTCTATTTATAGAAGAAATTTCCATATGAAAAACACCATTTGAGGTAGCAAATTCTTCGGCTTCTTGTGAGTCGACTTCTCGCTCATTGATAAGATCATTGTGTGTCCCAATTATGATAATAAATGAAAAATCATTTTTTATTGTAGAAAGGATATAAATTAAATTGGTGACACGCGCCAATCTGCCCTCTTGGTGCAGCAGTCTGGATCTTGTGGCTATGGCGAATTGGGACGGACTCCAAGCCTAAAATCAAGTGCAGGTTCAAGAGATATATACAGGATAGGTTTGGGCTGCTTTCACGTGGTTGGAAATGGAGATGTTCATCAAAATCCTTTGGATTCGAGGACCATCGGCATTCTCTACCGAAAAACTTGGGGTTCGGCCCAGGCCACAGTAGTCTTTTTTTCCTATAGCTGTCGAACGAACGCATTTTGGCACCGAGAGACTTCGGGTAGTTGATCTTTGGAATTACCAAACTCCAATAGCCTGCAGCAAAAGTCCATAAACACTCAAGACTGAAGTTGCAATGCAAGGAGGAGACAGAAGGTACCGGAAGTGGCATCCACCTTTGGGGAAGACCCCCTTGGCTGGAGTCGAAAAGCGAATGAGCCTCCCATATGGAAGGTTTTTGGTTACTTCGTCACCAATATGGCTAATGCCTTACTTTAATAATCTAGCCTAAACTTATAGTAGAAAGAACTTGCGGAAGTCAGTTTTCTTTTACTGACAAAAAGGATGCATAATTGGCCAGCGAATACATAAGAAATATGCAAGGATATTGTGTAAGCCCATTCAAAAATTGATTTGCTTCTTCTAGATGAAAAACTAAGCTAGTTTTTGTAGCTGGGTCAATTGTTTCTACTTGAAAATCTTGCAAATTTGCTTTATTCGAGCAAATTGCTTGCAGAAAACTTGATTTTCCAGTCTCAGAATCTCCTAAGACTATCCCTTTTAAATGCACAGGCATATTTAACGTTAATTTTTATTCGTATTTCTATTAAGAATTTTGCTTTTTCCTTCAATCCTGAACTCATAATTATCATTTTTCTGCAAGGTTGGAGTTTTCCACCTAATTTTCTTATGGATAGAATTTTTTAAATTTTGGTAAAATAAATGATCATCATTTTCACCTTTGTTTAAATTTATATGGACTTTGTTTGATTTTAAATAATCGATTTCGACAGTATTTTTTGTAATTAATTTCTCTGCCCGTATCATATTAGAAAATGGAGTTGCAGACTCTGTTCTTTCTGGAATAGTTTCTTTTAATGGCTTGTATTTCTTAATCCCTGAAAGAGCAAAACCAATGGAAAAATCATATTTTTTAGTAAAAACCAAGCACAATGAGTGAACAACACTTTTTTAGCGTAAAAATATTTTAAAAAAATATTTTTGATATATAGTGATAATTTTATAATAAATCTCTAGCTAATTCTTATGAATTAAAAAATTGCATGCATTTAATAAATTTTGCAAGTTAAATTAATTTTTGTTCTACGATTTTGCAATTTTTAAATTTAAAAAAAAAATTACTATAAAATACAAAATTTATTAAAAATCAATTAACTCCTTTCCGTAAGAAAGCAACGTTTTCCTTCACTTAGGGGTTAGCAATTTTTGTATTTCTTTCAGTTAAGCTTGGCTGACGTAAAGGAGTTGTTGATAAAAAATTTTTGAACTTTATTGCGAAATCATCGGCATTATGTGAATATTTTTCAATTGGGAGTTTGCGAAATCTCTTTAAAGAGCGACTAGCTTTTGTTTGAAGATCTTCAATAAAACTAGGAGGTATATAAGATTGCTTTGCAGGCTCAGATGGTGCAAAGCCATTCGAAATAATCACTTTTAAAACTGGCGAATCAATTTTTGGTATAATATCATTAGAATTTTCCTTCATTTTTCTATATGAAATTACACTGTGAAAAACTTAAACTAATATTATTTATTTTAGCCAAAGCTTGAGTCTAAATGCATCATTTCCATTCAAATAATAAGCCTGAAGCCTTTTATCCCTGACAAACCCAAAGCCTTCATATAGCCTCAACGCTGCAGAATTTGTGCTCTCTGCTTCCAATGTGACTTCTTCCACTCCATCATCTTTCATTTTTTGAATAGCTTTAGCTACTAATTCTTTTCCAATGCCTTGCCTTCTATATTCTTGCTTTACCGCAAGCATAGCTATATATCCTCTCATCACTTTTTTGTGTTCTTCTGCTTTACATACGATTACTCCGATTAATTCGTTTTCTTTGTAAGTAAGAATTGATAGATGAGGCCATGCATATAGAAAATATCGATAGGTGAAAATACTATATGGCTCTGAAAGCTCAGCGTCAATCATTCTCATGATATCAGTGAGTTGGCTTTCTTCTGTATATGGCTTGTATTCGATTTCCATATGACTATTTTTTATGTCATAAAAAATTTAAGAGATGCCTGAATTTTACTTAACCACATAGATAATCTCATTAAAAAATAAGGTAATTGCATCATAAGCTATAGAATAGTAGAAAATTGAAATTATTTTAATATTAATAGAATTTAAGGCTATTTACACTAGATTATTTAAATTTAACTCATATCTTCTGTAGTGCTAAACTCCAATTTTGATGTCTATTAGTTTACAAATTTGAGTCCCATATTGAATCCTTATAAAATCTGTATCAAAAATGCAAATCATACTCAAAGATTTGTCAAGCTCTCAATCAACTCTTGAAGTTGAGCCAACACTTACAGTACATGATCTTAAACAATTAGTTTCGGCCCAAAAAGGCCTTGAAGTTCATCTTCTTAAGCTCCTGTTTAAAGGCAGAATTCTTGATGACTCCAAAATTCTTGAAGAGTATCAGATAACATCAGGCAGTGCAATAGTCATAGTAGCATCAAAGCCAAAACCTAAAGAGCCTACTGTAGTTCATCAAGATCTTCCTCCAGTACAGCCTCAAAACATCCCTGAGCTTCAAAATCCTCAGCCTTCGGAAGAAAACATATCAATTTTAGTAGGCATGAATTTTTCTCGTGAAGACTCTATTAGAGCTTTATCAGCAACTAACCAAGATATAAATAGAGCGATCGATTTTTTGCTATCAGGAGCTATTCCAGAGCTTCAAGATCCCCCCACTGCAGGAACTTTTGATTTTTTAATGCAAAGCCCAGAATTTTTGAATATAGTTGAGATAATTCGGGCAAACCCGAGAGAACTTGAGCCTTTTTTAAATCAGCTAGAAACGCAAAATAACGAACTGTTCGAACTTATTTCAAGGAACCAAAGGGAATTTTTAGAATTGATTCGGGGAGCTGAATCGGGAACTGAAATTGAGCTGACAAAAGCTGAAGAAGACGAGATCAGGGAACTTATGGCACTAGGGTTTTCAGCTCAAGATGCGATAGAAGCATATCTCTCATCTGGGAAGAATAAAGAACTAGCTGCGAATCTGCTGTTTCAAAATCCCCGATAAACTTAGAATAAATAATTTCATTTTAAAATTTAAAACTAAACTACTGGCTATGCTTTCAGCTTTCATAAAGACCTACTAAACTTGTTTAGAATAAATTCTTTAAATTAAAATTTCAGCATTATCAGAAATTCAGTAAAAAATTGATGCTATTAAATTTTAGCCAAGAAGGGTAAAATAGTCAGCCATTTTAAGTTAGTCAGCAACGCCTATTATAATCTTGCTTATACTTAAAAATGGATAGCCACAGTAAGTTGAGCGAGCCTCTTTTGAACAAAGAAGAGGACTCCCATCACCACTTTGATGTGAAGCCAGACGTCTTATGGTAATTTTCATATAGTGATTTTTTTATACTAGAAAACATTAATCATGGCAAGAGTTTAGAAGGGCTAAATAATTTAGGAGGCATTGACGGCCTTGCAGCTAAACTTAAGACTGACAAGAAAGCTGGTATCAACATGGACAAAGAGCTCATCAAAAAGCGAAAGTCCTATTACGGCTCAAACAAACCTCAAGCTAAAAAGGAGCGCACTTTCATGGAAATGGTTTGGGAAGCCCTAGAAGACACAACTTTAAGGATTTTAATTGCTGCCGCGCTTATTTCATTAGTCGTAGGGATCTGGGAAGACCCTGAAGAAGGCTGGCTCGAAGGTGTCGCAATTTTGGTCGCTGTCGTAATTGTGGTTCTTGTAACCTCAATAAACAACTGGGTAAAAGAAAAACAATTCAGAAAACTCAACCAGGAGGCCCAAGAAAGACTTGTCACCGTATTTAGAGCAAGAGAAAACAATAAGGAAGACCAGATTTCAGTTTTCAAGCTCCTTGTTGGAGATATCATCAAAATTGGAGCTGGAGACATTTTACCTGTAGATGCCGTCGTTGTCCACTCTAATCAATTAGTTTTAAACGAAAGCTCAGTCACCGGAGAGTCGAAGCCTCTTAAAAAAGGCTATGATCATGGAGAGACACCTTTCTTATTATCAGGCTCACAAGTAGAAGAAGGATCAGGAACAGCCATGGTTGTTGCTGTCGGCAAGAGAAGCTTCCAAGGCAAAAACATTGAGCTTATGCAGCAAGAAGACGAATCAGAAACTCCTCTGCAAATGAAACTCAATAGAATCGCCTCAGGAATTGGAAAAGTAGGCCTCATTGTTGCTTTACTTACCTTTGGAGTTCTTATTATCTACTTGGTAGTCCATACAATTGATAATGGCTGGACTGATGACAGCTGGAGCAAGCTAATTTCAAGCTTTATCATCGCTGTCACCATTGTAGTCGTAGCTGTTCCTGAAGGTCTCCCATTGGCTGTGACTATAAGTTTGGCTTATTCAGTTAACCAGATGAAAAAGCAAAACAACTTAGTCAGACATTTGGACGCCTCAGAAACTATGGGACAAGCTACTGCCATTTGCTCAGACAAAACTGGAACTTTGACCAAAAATATTATGGAAGTTGTTGCTATGTACTGTGAAAAGAGAAAAATCGAGAGCATTAAGCCATCAGAATTCAGCCCTGCAGTAAAAGCACTTCTCTGCGAGCATTTTTGCCATAACTCAACTGCATCTATTACTGTTGACGTAGAAAAGGATAAGAAAAAAGAAAAATTCACAGGGTCGAGAACTGAAATTGCCCTTTTAAAGCTGGCAGCTATTTTAGGGACTAATTATGCTGATGTCAGAGATTTAGATTTAATTGCTGCTCAAGTTCCTTTCAGCTCAAAACTGAAAAGAATGGTCACAGTCCTCAAAAAAGGAGATGGCTACATTGTCCTTGTCAAAGGCGCCAGTGAAACTGTTCTCGGAATGTGCTCCAAAGTTGTTGGAAAAGATGGCATTGAGCACGACATCACTGAGCATGATAAACAAGAAATGAACGCTACCATAACTGATTATGCAGGCCGAGCATATAGAACTCTTACTTTAGCCTACAAACATGTTGATAGAAACTTCCATGTATTCAATGATGAGGATGAGATCAACCAAGCTCATTTAGAAAGCAATCTAACTTTGCTTTGCATCTGTGGAATTGAAGACCCTCTTCGTGAAGAAGTCCCACACGCAGTCGAAGTCTGTCAAAATGCTGGCATCACTGTAAGAATGGTCACTGGTGATAACATTGAAACTGCGGTTGCAATTGCTAGAAAATGCAACATTTTGCCTAAAAACTACAAAAAAGACTCCCCAGATGACGATACCGTTATGCTTGGGTCAGAATTCAGAGAAAGAGTCGGAAAATTAATTGACGACCCGAATGATAACCCATCTGAGAAAGATAAACGCCCGAGAAACAAGATTGTCGGAAACATGCCTGAATTTACCAAAATTGTAAGCAAGCTCAGAGTCCTATCAAGGTCTTCCCCTGAAGATAAATTTATATTGGTAACTGGCCTTCGTCAGCTTGGAGAAGTGGTTGCAGTAACTGGAGATGGCTCAAATGATGCTCCAGCCCTCAAAAAATCAAACGTAGGCTTTGCTATGCATGAAGCTGGCACTCAGCTTGCCCAAGAAGCCTCTGATATTGTTCTGCTTGACGATAACTTCGCCTCAATTGTGACCGCTATCAAATTTGGTCGCAATATCTACGATTGTATCAGCAAATTTATTCAGTTCCAGCTGACTGTTAATATTGTAGCTTTAGTTTTAAGCTTTATTGGAGCTGCAATCACCCAAAAATCGCCATTGACTGCTGTGCAAATGTTGTGGGTCAACCTTATTATGGACACTTTTGCGGCACTTGCATTAGCGACTGAACCTCCAAATGACTCACTTTTGAATAGGAAACCTAATAAGACTGAAGATTCTTTGGTCACCCCAGAAATGATGAAGAATATTATTGGACAATCTTTCTATCAATCAGTTTGGCTTTTGATAATTCTATTCCTCGGTCCTGAAATTTTCGGAGTCCAATCTGGCCTTGATGTCGATGAAGCATGGACTGAAGAAAATGGCGTCCACTTCACCCTTTTCTTCAACACTTTCGTTTTCCTCCAAGTTTTCAACGAAATCCACTGCAGGAAACTCAAATCCGACGAACTTAACATTTTCCATGGATTTTTCAACAATTGGATTTTCTTGTTCATTATCATCATGACCATCTTGGTCCAAATTCTCCTTGTCACTGTTGGTGGAGAGCCCGTCAGATGTTCGCCACTTACCCTAGAGCAACACGGAATTTGCATTGCTATAGGCATTGGAGGGCTCTTATTCGGACTTTTAGTGAGACTGATGCCAACTACACCATTCAAATGCTTCAAGATTTCTGAAGCACCTCTTACAAGTGCTGAAGCGGACAAGGGAGTTACCGGTTTGATGAGAAGAAAAACTACTAGGAAGATTCAGGCTGAAAATTTAGCTATTCGTGGATAAATAAGCTTAGTTAATCTTTATCTTCTTTATATATTTGCAGGAAGGGCAAACTGTGGTTGCGTATAGTCTGCTACCAAGGCCTAAATAGGTAATACATTGTGTTTGTTTCGGGAGATGGGTAAGGAGATATGAGCATTTTTTGCAAAATTCTCGTTTTAAGCTTGGATCTCTATATGGCATATACAGTCTTAAGACAAGTTTTTCTGCTATAAGTCTCATATCTTTAATATATAGCTGGGCAATTTTCGGGCTTCTATTAAAAATTTCAATAGCAGCTTGAAACAGAAAGTTAATTCTTCTGAAACCTTCATTTCCAGGGATTCTATTAAGATCCATATTTCGACTATTATTTTTTAGATCAATTATCTTAGTTCTCAAAAAGTGCTTAAATATTGCACACTATTAAAATAAAATTTTATTACAAAATAAAGGCATTGATTCTTCTTATCATACAGCATCCATAACATCTCTTATTTATAGTAACAGATTTAATATCTAATATTGAATTCATATGTAATATAAAATTCCACAAAAATCTTATCTTATCAATAAATTAATTTGGATGGAATATACACCTATATAATTTAAATGAATATCACTGTATGTTTATTTATAGATAGGAAACTTATGCTCAAAATTTTATATTCCTATTTTAAATAAATGTAATTTTTAAATCTCAATAAATATCCTAATCAATTGAATTAAATATTAAAGAAATATTCTGTATTATTACATTAATTCAGTATCCTTAATTTTTTATTTCCTGTTTAGTCTTTAAAATCTCTAAAATACCTAAATTGGTATTGATGATCGCACTTGTTTAATTGAAAAGCTTTTAGTTAGAAAAATCTAATTTTATTTATTGAATTCCATTTATTTTAATGAATGGAAGAGGTTACAATTTGCTAGGCGGCCTTGAAGGACATTTATTTTAAAATCATTTTGCATTTTTGACTTTCCACAGGGTTTATTTTTCATGAGCTTGCTTTATATGAAAATCTAATGCGTATTTATGATACATCATGCTATAGCGCCTTCCTATAGATGGCGCGCAATGCGCCATCACCGGGCCATGTCGGGAGAGGGTTCTCCACGAGGAATGGTTCCACGTGTGGAACCCTCTTTTTCCACGAGCCAAAAGAGGGTTCCACACGTGGAACCATTCCTCGTGGAGAACCCTCTCCCGACATGGCCCAGTGATGGCGCATTGCGCGCCATCTAATAGAATTCGCTATACTTTTTTTCATCAATTGGATTACTTCTCCTATGTGCAAATTCACACCTTTTATGCTGGAGAATATTTTATTGCTATGAGAGCAGCTAGGCTTACGAGCACACGCTTCTTCTAAATAGCTTTTTAGATCATTTGAAATCGTTTGAGTTTTTGCATATCCTAAAGAATTTGCACTTACTCCCCCCCATTTAATAACGAACACTTTTTTTGTTCGTTATTAAATGGGGTCTAACTTATAAAATTTTTGGGAAAAATATATAGTCAGTGTCACTAACTATATATAAAATTTATATTAAATATCTATGATTTTTTTATATAAAAATTTCAATTAAAAGGTTAATAATAACAGGAGTCAAATGATGGCAACAGAAAGAGAAAGAGAAAGCGCCTAAATGCAGGCGAAAAGATAACTATTGTTAACTCCCCGCCCCTCTGTGAGCGAATAAAACCATTAGAAAATCCTTCAGCGAACAAAAAATTTTTTTGATAGAAAAATTATTTATGGAAAAAAATTTGATATATAAGCGATAATTATTATAATGAAATCTCTGGCTAATTCTGTTTAATTTTAAAACAAATTGCGTTTTAAAACATAAATTTTACAAATTCAATTAATATTTGCTTTCCAATTTTTGCGAATTAGGATTTTTTTGGATTTCGTAAAAACAATTTTTCTTAAATTTATATATATAATTTTTTAAAAAAAAATAATTAACCCCCTCCGTGAGCGAACGAGATTTGCTTGTTCGCTCACGGAGGAGAAGTAAAGCACCAGCTTAAGCTTAAGCCACTAGTAACTTATTACCTCTTGTTTATTATTCTTTGCTCGATTATGCTTATTCTTATCTTACTCTAACTACTTAAAATTAGTAAACTGTAAAGACTAAATTAGCCTATATAAATTTTATAGTAAATTTTGTTAGTTATTAAATGGACCTAACTCCCCCCCCCCCCTCCGTGAGCGAACAAAACCATTAGAAAAATCGCCATTTTTTGACCAAAAACCCACCCTCCGTGAGTGAACAAAAATTTTTTTAATAGAAAAAATTTTAATGGAAAAAAAATTTGGATATATAAGTGATAATTAGTATAATGAAATCTAGAGCTAATTCTGTTTAATTTTAAACAAATTGCGTTTTAAAAACATAAATTTTGCAAATTAAATTAATATTTGCTTCCCAATTTTTGCAAATTAGGATTTTTTTAAATTTCGAAAAAAAAATATTTTTTATAAAATTTATATATAAATTTTTTTTAAAAAAAAAAAATAACCCCCCTCCGTGAGCGAACAAAATTTTTTTTGTTCGCTCACGGAGGGGGGGGGGGAGTAAGGAAAAATTTTTAGGAAAAAAAATTGACGGTTTTGTTCGTTATTAAATGGGAGGAGTTAGATATGCTTGAATAGATTTTAGACTATAAAATGAAATGCAGCAAATTAGATGCTACAAATTGCTGAGTTATAAAATCAATTATTTTTGGATGTTTTTATACTTCTTGATTCATAATTTATGATCTTAAATCATTTCTATGGTTGCATTTATGCAAAAACTATTTTGTAATAGTTTAATATTACTATTTTATGGCTAATAAATTTTTGCTTTTATCGAAATCTTTGATAGAAAAATTAATATCTTTAAGTTTAAATTCTTTTTAGTCATTGCAAATACTTTGAAATATAAGCATTACTTATCCGTATAAAATCTCTTTAACTTCAAAACTATAAAGTGAAAATTCCTAAATTTATTTTATTTGAATTCCATTTATATTAATGAATGGAAGAGGTTACATTTGGCTAGGTGACCTTGCAGGACATATTTGTTGTAAAATCATTTTTTGCATTTTTGGCATTCCATACGGGTTGATTTTTCATGAACTTGCTTTATATGGAAATCTAATGCATACTTATGATTAAATTTATTGCCGCATCTTGAGCATTTCTCCTTTTTTTCATCAATTGGATGGACTTTGCCTATGTGCAAGTTAATGCCTTTTACGCTGGAAAATATTTTATTGCAATGTGGGCAGCTTGGCTTGCAGTTGACTATTTGTTCATTATAGCTTTCTTGGAGATTTGAAATTTCTTGACTATTGTTTATATAGTTTGCATTAAGATGAACTTGATAATCTTCAAGACTGGAAAATGAATAACAGCATTGCAAGCATTTGAATGGTGTTTCAAAAGAAAGAGTTATAAGACTAATTACTTTTGGCAATTGATCTCTCTCTTGATTCATACTTTATTAATTTTCAACCAATGTCTATTGCTAATATTTCCTAGAGAAGCTATTTTATAAGATTTAGCTCTTGGAGAATAATACTTACTATTATATTAGAAAAGAGTATTATTCAAGCATTTCTCTCTTAAAACCTATATGCAAGAATCATTTGGTGTAGGAAAGCTCTTAAATTTGAGCATCAGCATTTTAATGACTCATCATTTAAAATACTAGTAGATAAATAATTTAGTCTTTATCTTAAAATTTATTTTTGAAACATCAACTTTAAGGCAACTTTAAAGACTTAAAAAGTTTTGGCTTTTAATAATATAGGGAATTTTTATTTAAGGCTTCTTATTGATCCATAAAATTCAAATTATTAGGCATTTGAATCAACACTGCCACAGCCAAAGTAAATTCAAAATGTTTAATTCGAGCGTTTCTATGATCAGTTATCTTATAATAAAATAATATTTCTTAATATGCATTATCAAATATAATAATTCTAATTTTTATGTCATAATTATATTTATTTAAATCAAAACATTGCTTTAATTAAATAAAATGAAATCTAATTATGCACGCGCATAGAAATTTTATAATGTGCCTGCGGTTTAATCTATTTGTCTCTGATTTAGAATAATATAGATATTTTGATTATTTACTCCCCCCCCCCTCCGTGAGTGAACAAAAAAAATTTTGTTTCACTCACGGAGGGGGGTTAATTTTTTTTTTTTTAAAAAAAATTTATATATAAATTTTATAAAAAAAATTATTTTTTTTCGAAATTTAAAAAAAATCCTAATTCGCAAAAATTGGAAAGCAAATATTAATTTAATTTATAAAATTTATGTTTTAAAAAAGCAATTCGTTTAAAATTAAACAGAATTAGCTCTAGATTTCATTATACTAATTATCATTTATATATCTAAATTTTTTTCAATAAAAATTTTTGTATTAAAAAAAATTTTTGTTCACTCACGGAGGGTGGGTTTTTGGGCAAAAAATAGCGATTTTTCTAATGGTTTTGTTCACTCGCAGAGGGGGGGGTTAGCAAAATTTAATATTTGAACATTATTAAACTAATTAAGCCATAAAGTTTATTTTGATTTTTTTTTATCTCTATTTTTTCCTTATTTTATAAAGATTAGCTGACTTTTCCCTTTGCCCTTGGGTATTTTAAAATATAATTGACATATTTCGATGTTTCATCCAGTAAATGTTATCGTTATTTGCAGATTTTTGAACTTTACCACCTAAGTGTGTAATTTTTTCCGCGTGTGAAAAGAGGATTCCACATGTGAAATCAAAAAATTCCACACTTAAGTAAAAGTTGAAAAATCTGCAAATAACGATAATAAATTTCATATTTTAGCATTATCTTAATTATTTCATCTAACATTTGATTCTATTTATGACTGGTGAGTCCCTTATGCCAATAAATTATATTTTATAAACTTTAATGGTAGTCTCAATGCCGACAAAATTCTTGATAAAATAATTATCTAATTTCTTATTGATGCAAATTTAAGGTAAATAATATATTGCAAATTGGTATAAATTGCCTGAATTAAAGATATAAATTCTTTATATATTTTGATACTATTTTTAACAAATATAGCAGCTATATATTCTTGCTCAAAAATACACTTTAGATCCACTCTTCAGACTTTGCTTTATAATAATTCATAAAGCTTACGACTATAAAACTTTAAAAAAACTTATTTAAACTTAAATCTATTATTTTAAATTACTAAACAACATATTTTTCAATAAATAAAAAGTTTTGCAAAAGAGGCATAACCTTTACATGCTGAAGGTCATAAAATAAATCTTCAATTTCTTCTTGAGATGAGCATTGCATAATCAAATCTGTTCTGTAAATAAACAATGAAGCTGCTAGTAATGCCACAATTTCGGGGCTATCGTATCCAATAATCCTATCTCACAGCATAAAAGTCTGCTCAACTTCTATAAATCCTATAAAGCAGTAAAATATCCAAGGAAAAGCAATTTTTAATGGAGATACCCCAAGCTGGTATAATTTATAAACCATGTCTGGATCATAAGCTTGCAAAACATCTTCAAAAAGACGACAGAGACTAATTATGCCTCGCTCATCCGAAGTCAAACTATGAAGATAGCACAAATATTTGCAGTAAAAATTTCTGAAGACAAAATAGCACTCTTCAGGTTTATCAGAGACAAATGTAAAAGGTGCGATATAGCGAGAGAACCGTTTGAAAGGTATAACTGAGCATGGTGGGACATTCCCTATCGATCGCCCATCATTAGAGATCCCTGTTAAAGGGAGATTTGGAAGAGCCCTTAAATTTTCGCCCACCCAAGGGTCTCTAACAAACGCCATAAATATTTTTTCTAAAACTTCATGAAAAATAAAAAACCTATCGTCATTGCACACGTCTCTTGCATCATAAAGAATTACTTTATCAAGCGAGAGCTCCCATTTTTGTGTCTGCTCTATTAAATAGTCAAAATAACTTTGATCCTTTGACGATATATTCACTTCAAGGATTTTCATATAAAACCTGCACCTTAATGAATTTGGAATGCCTCTTTTTGCGTACTGCACCATATAAGGCACATAGTCTTTGTTGAGCAACTTTTCTCCTATCGCAGTTCTTTCATCCATGAAAGCTCTGTCATCGTCAACTCCTAAATGCTTGTAGCAGACGTCGAGTTCTTCATATTGAGATCTTAGCATATCAATAGGTGGGGTTCTTATGTGTAATTTTATACTTCCCCACTCAATAGAATCCTTCCTGAAATTCCCATTATTTATTGACAGAATTGTATTAACTCCCCCCTCCGTGAGAGAACTAAAAAATCTTGCTCGGAAAGGGAGGAAGTTAATTTTTTTACATAAATTTTATTGAAATTTTTTTTTTTTTGAAATTTAAAAAAAATCCACTTCGCAAAAAATTGGAAAGTAAATATTAATTTAATTTGTAAAATTTATGTTTAAAAACGCAATTTATTTAAAATTAACAGAATTAGCTCGAGATTTCTACTAATTATCACTTATATATCAAAAATTTTTTCCATAAAAAATTTTCTATTAAAACATCTTTGTTCGCTCGCGGGGGGTGGGTTTTTGGACAAAAAATAGGGATTTTTCTAATGGTTTTGTTCGCTCACGAGGGGGGTGAATAAGCATATTTTCATCGTCATAGACAAATGGAATCTCTTCAATTTTTTCATTTTTTCTTTCCATTTCTTCGTCGCCTTCATCTTTTCTTTCTTCAGGAATAGCAAATTGCCAAGGAGTTTTTCTGACACTTACAAGTGGCTTGTCAAGTTCGTAGGATAATGATAAATACCTTGTTCGCACAAATTGTGTCCATTGCTGCCTTGCAGCTGTAACCGACTCTAATGGCTCTACATGTACATGTGTAAAATAAGGTGGAAGCGGAGGGATAGGTTTTGAAGCATCAAGCCCATGCATGAGGGAAATAGCGAAATTATTGTTGGAGTCTAATGAAAACATGCTTGTGTAGAGCTCGTTTATTTTGTTTTTGAATTTTATATCAACTTCTAAATCTTTGAGAATTTTAGGAAAATTTTCTTCTAAGTCTTGCTGCTTGTATTTAGGTTTGATAATTTCTTCTTTAGCTAGTCTTTTCATTGCTCAGTATGTGTACGAATTTTTTAGACGAGAGCTTATAAAATCCACACGTTCATCAAGGTTAAAAGGCTCATCAAACCCGGGCTCTTCTAGATCCATATTTAAAGAATATCAATTAAAATATTAATTTACGTTTTATCTTTCTATTTTAAGCAATTAAGATTGCTGAATAAAAATATATCTCTGTTATAAGTATAGCTAAAAAAATAGCATTTTCTGCTATTCTGAATTAAGTCTCTTACTATTGCTATGAAGCTTTATTGTTTAGGTTGCTTATGCTCAATTAATGGAAATCCTTTAATAATGTTTCAGAAATTATTAATTTCTGGGCAGTACTTTATACTTATGTACAAATATATATAGTTTCTGTATTTTTAAGCAAAATATTATTCAATTATTCAGAGCAATAAGTCTTGCAACTCAAAACTATGCTAGCAGCAAAAAATATAAATTTAGTTATTGAGGTTTTTATAATGACTTTATAGAACAAAGTATAATTGAAGACTGCATATTATTTCGTAAATAATATTTCTAGCATAAATTATTTAAGCGCATTGAATCTTGATTCTAAATCTTCCATTTGAGGTTCTTTTGATTCTTCAACGACTGGCCGATTGAGTTTCCCAGCAGGTGCGCTTTGTAATGAAGCTGCTACTTCAACACCAAGCTCGCTTAGAACTTGATTCACAACATTGTCACTTTCTTCTACATCATTAGGATTTTCCAAAGCCATGTCTACGGCTTCACCCATCATTTCTTCAGTCATATCCATCCTCTGATTTTCTTTATAAAACTCTTGCATCATTCTATTGAGCTCAGGGAGATTCATTTGCTTGTTAAAAGCTACCAAAGCAGGTGTGACTCCTCTCAGTGCTTCTGACATTGCCTGAGTTGACCTCATGGTTTGTAGTCTCAAATCCACTCCTTGGATCTGTGATTTCATTTCAAGGAACTTCTGAGTTTGCCTTCTCAAGCGCACAAGGTCCTTTGCCATGACTTTCAACGGACCAATTTGGTTTTGCTTGGCCAATTTTTTGATTTCTGCGACAAGTTTCTTTTCTTCCAAAATAAGATGATTCCTTTCACGGTCTAGCTCTCTCATAGCCCGTTTCAGTCCACGCCGATGCTCTCTCATCTGCTCTTGTGGAGTGAGTTTAGGATTGCTTGCACCCATTTCTATTTATACTACACTTTTGAAAATAAGCGTTTCAATAGCAGCTATTTATTGTAATTTAATAAATTGATTGTTTAGCTTTTATATGAATTTATTATAGCTAAAATTATTATTAATATCCTTTAAGCACATCACTGAACTTTTTATTATTTTGCCTTTTTTCAATCTGAGATAGCTCACATATCGCTCCATCAGGAAGAACCACAAAATGCCTATACAGAGTTCTTGATCTATCATTAGCGACATTATAAACTGAGACATGCTGAGCATGCATATTATATTTGCTATCATATGAGTCTGTAAAGTCAAATGTGCTTATTGCGATCTTCCTCGAATCCCCATTGATGCTTCTATAGTTCCTAGCTTTATAGCAGATCCAGTCCAGGTACCTTTTACTGATTTCTCCATCATGTGGAATAAAAAAACTTTCTTCTGGCCCATTAATTCTCATGTAAATGTCTAGTAAGCGCCCATTCATATGGACGTATAAGAAGTAATTATAAAAACAAAAACTGGCAATCCCCATCATCCCAGCATATAAGAACAGGGTCATCATAATACCGATAACGCCGTTTCCTTCCCAAGTTTCAAAGTAATTGTAAAGTCTGAAGGAATCGCCATCCCAAAAATCATAGACAAACCCACGAATTATGCACTCTATGAGGGTGATTATGGGATCAATTACAGTAATTATTCCCCAGCATTGGATTATTCTAAATCCTATAGCTGGAAATCTACCAACCACTAGTAAAGTTCCAAAAGCAACTAGTGAAAAAAATATAAACCAAAGAATGCAGAAGGCTTGGCCAGTCAAAATTGCTCCAATTTCTTGAGACAGTGTAAGCTGATTTGGATATTCCATGTCTAAGGTGAACGCTAAGGCTTTAAATACAGTGACTGGATATCTAATTGCTTTTAAATAGAGCCATTCTCCTCCATAGTGTATATATCGACTAGATCATATACAAGCTATCAAAAGCAAAAAGGTAACATAAATTTGTAAATGTTTAAAAGTTTTAAACCCAAGCTCTATCATAATTTCTGCCATCAAATAAGAAAGCTTATTCCTTGGAGTTGTCAAAAATCCGGTTTTTACTACAGAAAATTTGTGCTCTTCAAATTGTTCTGGCGTTAATAATTCTTCGTATTCTTTTAGAATTGCCCCGTCGTATTCGTATTCTTCTTGGAGATCTTGGGTGGTCATTAGGTGAACGATGACTTGCTTTTCGCCTTTAAGTAAAGGGATTTGTTTGTGTGTCTGGAAATATAAATTGCAAAGCCATTCATCTATGTTGCGGCGGTATAAGGCTTCAAGATCTGAAAATTTGTCAATAGAAGACCTAATAGAATTTCTTAATATGGGGACTTTGAATTTTCCTTCAACAAGCTCAAAACAGTTATTTATTAGAGGAAAATACCCTTCTCCTACCACAGCTCCCAAAGAATCCAACAGTTGAAAGCAATAAACCATAGTAGGTGTTATCGCAATCTCTGAAGGCGCCAACACAAGTAAAGTAGTCAGGAATTTCATGGACTTAGAAGCATGTTTCCCATCATGGAAAAGAGGATCAGTCATATTTCTCCATTCCTGAATGCACTTATTGAAGCTCAAAATAGCTCCTCCAATTCTATCTTTTATCACAACTTTCAGCCAATAATCACCCCTTATCAATTTATCTTTGATATCTCGGCACTCATCAATCCTTACTTCTACAGGCTGTGGGCGGCCTTTCCAAGAAACTTGGTAAAGTCTTTGGCCGCCTCCGTACATTAGGCCTTCCACAGAGTCATCAATAGTCACCCTAAGGTCGCCTTTTTTCTTCTTAATTGCATATTTCAGTTTCATATATTGAAATGCCAACCCACCCTCTAACTCCTGAGCTAACGCCCCACAGTGGGTGCAGGGACTTCGAGCAAGAGAGGATGGGATTTAGTAATGCCTATAGGCTAGCCTTTACTTAATTTAGTGAAGTTAATGCAGGGTTAGCCGACTGCATACATACTCCAAATAAAATTTTTGTCACAGAGGTAATGAAGCTGAGAGCTGGAAAGGGATTTCTAGCAGTCTCAACAGTTATTTTCTGATTAATCGGGACGTTTTCCAGCCTAAAACAAGAATTTACGCCTTTTATTCAGATTTCCATTTTTAGCCTGAGTTGACGAGAAATTATACCATTTTGAATTTCAATGGCGGTCAACCTTGTTGGCACCGGCACGGAGACACAACTCATCAAACTACCTGTAGGCAATTGCAGGCCCTTGTCAGGCAGGATCGTCCTTTGTAAGGTTGTGTGCGAACTGACAATATGCCAAAGGGCGCTACTGGTAGAGGTAGTCCTTCGGAAATTGCAGTGAACTTTTGTATAAGTTTAAGATTTAAGATTACGATAACTCTTTGTCGACCCCCACTTAGCTTAGGATCTAACAATACAAGCTCTTCCTCCATGAATTCCATCCACTAGCTAACAGCTCTGAACAACGGTAGGTGGAATCGGCCTAACCGTCGAACCGTTACAGTTGCCTATGGCCCGGACGAGTCTCTCTTCGTTTCTTGAATGTGATTCAAGTACACTTGGGGCTGCCGGAGCAGTCCCAACGCTAATTTCCTTCAGAAAGAATGAACTTCCCTCACTAGGACAAGTATAGGGGACAGAACCCCTAACTCATACATTCCATATTTAATTGTATTTGTATAAGTAATATATCGACAAGTTTAGTTGCATATTTCAGTTTCATTTCTTGCTTCCTGAAAGCTTTAGACACAAGCACCTGTCGTTGCTGATGCTTGTGGGCGGAATGGTCTTCTAAATATTTGATTTTTCCGATTTGCTTGTTATATTGGGCCTTTAATTTGTTTCTGGATTTTTGCTCTTTATTTAGGATGTCTAATTGGAAGTCTTGATGCTCACTTGTTAATTTATTTAGGCCATCTAGACGCTTGTTCTCAAGATATATTTCTTTTTGTTCTTTATCAAGAAACTCTGAAGGAAGTTTCACCCCTTCGTTTTCCCCATCGATTTCGAGCTCTGAAGCATAAGAAATATTTGGTTCTGCATTTAGAGAGGAACGGATAAGTAGGAGAGGTTTATGTGTTTCGTCTTGTTCAAAATTTGGCTCTTGCTCTTCATTATTTTCTTCAAAGTTGTCTATAGGTTGAAACATGAATTAAATTATAAGGAAATGATAAATTAATAGAAAATCCCGTTTACTTACTCCTCTAACTTTTAACTGGGAAAAATAACAGTAAATTCCCATTTTTTAGGCACTTTAACCCTCTTTAAATTGGAATAAATATTTTTATCAATAAGAAAATTTTATAAAATCAGTTTTATCCTAATTTAATAGAAAAAGTGAAAATAGAACAGTTTTAACACTGATTTGAGTATTTTTTAAATTTATTATTCATAAAAATAAAAACTAAAATTCAAAAATAATGTGTTCGTTTAATATTTTTTTAAATTTTATATTCTTTTTTGTGGAGACCTTTAAATTGTAAAGGATTTTTTATTCCAATTTTAAGGAGGAAGTTAATATATGAAAAAAATTAATGATATCTTGGCAAAGTGATGGAAGAAACATTAATTTAAAATCACTTATACAAATCCTAACAGTTATTTTTTGATTTCTGGTTAAATATTACGTTTGATATTTAATAGAGAAATGATCCCAATCGTTATTTTTTACAATTTTAAAAATTTAGCTTTGTTTTAGCATCACTGTCAAGACTTTCATAAATATTTCATTTCTGTTGCTTCCTACTTTTCCAAATCATTTCTCAACCAAAATCTAATGGATAAGAGAAATAAAGATACTGAAAAATGGAAGAAGAAAATTTGTTCGAAATCTACATCTTTATGATTTTAATCCCACTGGTGTACGTGGTGTGTTTTATTTATCGCTATTTATATCATTATAGAGATGGGAAAACCAGGTCTAGGTATCTTTCTAAGTCACTATTAGTGAAATCGATCTGTACAGTTCTTATGATTTTCTTCAGCATAATCCACACTGCAGAAGCGTGCTTTTCTGAAGCTCATGGAGATGAGGTTAGATTCGTAAGAGTCGCCTTTTTTGGGCTCTTGACTTCATCATGGATGCTTAGTCTTTACCTGCTCATCTTTGAATATCAAAGATGGATAGCTTCAACATGCATTGGGAACAAATGGTTTTGAATTATTAATCTCTTTGCTCAGGGAGTTGTTTCAGTACTTTATTTGACTTGCGATAAAGACAGAGATCCACTGTGGGATTTAATAAACATCTGCGCTTTGATTTTAGGCATCATTACTTGCTCAATATTATCAGCTTTTGCAACATTTATCCCAGAGCGAAGCGTGAATATAAGTACAGAACCATTTCTGTACTTATCAGATAACTCTTTTAAAAGAGCTTTAACTTCCCATTTAAAAAACATGACGTGCTCATATTAATAGAATTAAACTAGATATATTAAAACGTTTATATTCGCAAAATTTTAGTATATCATCGAGCGTCACGTGACCCAAACGACTTCATTCAACACAAAGCAGTTTGTAAAATTTAATGTATAAATAAATTTTGTTTTTAAAAGCACTTTTTAAAGTCTCTCAGTTTTGCTCTTTGTTGATAAGGAGTAAGCAAACATAAAAATTCGCATGTCGACAACTCCGTAGATCCAAAAATTAAAACTTTTATTAAATCATGCAAAACTAAAACCGAAGGGAATATACAGGTCATCTACTTCAGGATTCTCGTAATGGCTGAAGGAAAGTCTCATAATGTCTTAAGAACACCGTCTAATTTTGAAAGGCTTCATAGGACTCTTAAGCTTAAATTTCCAGCAGAAGATTTCCCTTCAATGGAGTTGCCAACTTTTCCCACGTTTACAGCTTCTCCTCCGTCACTTGATTTAAGAATGAAAGCATATAATAAATATCTTGATGAGCTTTGCAAGCCAGAGTTCATGGTAGAAGCGTTGATGGATTTTCTTGAAATCTATGGAGAAATAAGGAATAGATTTCTAGAAAGCTATAAATTGGTATCTTAGTAACATGTAATAATTTAGGTATAAAATGGTGTCTCAGAATTTGAATTTCTCATACAAGTAATATTAATTTATGCTTAAAACTAAAATTGGATGATGCAGGAGCTGACGATCCAATCATATATAATTTTGAAAAGCGAATTTTCAGAAAAAAATTGTGATTTAAGCAATTTACCTTACGAAGTATTTATGTCTATGCACACATTCAAAATAGTCTTTAAGCCAGTCTTTTTTCTTGTGATGAATATTATCTGAGCTCTCACGCTCTTCTTTTAGCTCTGGAGTTTCCCGAAAAACTTCTCCATAGCTGCTCTTTGGAGGCTTCTTCTGAAGTTTCATACTATTCCACATTTCTTGAAGATGGTCTCGAGAATGGGCATTAACGGTAACTGGCCTTTCATCTTTGGCTTCTTCTTCTTCTTCATCCTTTGCTTTACACCAAAATTTTGCTACTTCCATGGCAGCTGCAGAATTGCTTGACATTGCCCTCCTCGGATCATTTCCTCCTCGGGAGTATATATTGCTCGTGAATTTGAAATTAGAGCCCTGCATATTATAAAATGGATGGAAAGCACTTAAAAAATCATTTTAAAAATAAATAAAATTCAAAAATTGCCATACACAGTTAAAAACATAAATAAGATATTCGATCTAATATTAGAATCATGGTAATGTTTTAGAATAAAAAATTGCTTAATTTCAAATAAAAGTCAATTATCTAAGCTATCCCATAACGTCCTGGTCACTGAAGATCATATACAAGAATCCATCTTCATCTTTTTTCTGCTCATAAATCTGCGACATTGGTGCGTCACCAGAGACTAGTTCTATCCCGTTAATGAAGACAAATAAAGCAGTTTCGCGTCTCATTTGAATCTTTTTTCTGATACAGCCCAAAAACTGCTGCACCGTATAATCAGAAGGACACAAAAATTTATTCTTTGGAATGTCTTCTAATTGGGAATTCTTTGCTTTTTCGAGAATTATTGGAATTTTGTCAGGCCATTTGGTCGTGATTTTTTGAACCTCTTCTCTTCTCTTGTGGAGTGGGTTTTCTTCTTTGAATCGGAATCTGTTCATATTTATTATACTTGGCTGGATTAGTTTTAAGAATTTATTTTGGGGGAGGAGATAATGAAAAATTAAATTTAAGATAGAGATTATAAAATAAGAGTAAGCTTGCTATGGGCTAGCAGACACAAATAAAATGGCAACGTCACCATCCATCTTCTCCTAGATCTGTTTTGAGTTTGGGGACCTAGTTGCAGCCTGAATCCAAACCGAACAGGAAACAGAGTTTACGGGGGGAAAAAGATTTTTTACCCCTAGAGACCACTAGTGCCGACGAAGAAGGCATAGTTAGTACCGATACTATTACGGAGTTTATCTCTAGCTGGAACTCTAGTCATTCAAGCACTAGCGGTCAAGTTCAAAGCTCCATACTCTAAGGTTCCGAGACAGCATTAAGAATCAGGCCTAAAGCTGAGGAGAGCTATCTCTGGTGGAAATGCTGACATACCCAGAGATGTTCGCTAACAGTTGAACGATTATTCTACGGAGACTGCCACGGGTGAGATGTAAAAATAGGAAGAGCCCTAATCTTTAATTAATGTTAATGCAACGAGCTAGCATATATTCGACATCTGTTATATTAGATGCGATTGGCTTACAATTAGATAGGAAAAATAGTGGAAGGCCAAGGATTTCAATTCTTAAAAATTTTATATAGATACAAAGATCGTGAATTATGTGATGCTATCTGATTTCTTCTGAAGCACTTTAGAGACTTCATTTTTATGGATTTATAGAATCGATAAAAGCAAAAATTATTTATATAACTTAAAACTTAGGGAAATAAAAGTTTGTATTTAGCTCTTTGCTTTCAATTTTTTTTTATTTTTATTGAGTGCTAGTCCTTAATTTAATTTCAAGAAATTTATCAATTTTTCTTCTTGAAAAAGCTTTACTGCCTATAGGCGTTTCTCCTAACAAAATAAATAACTTTAAAAACATTTAAAAGCGCAATTACTATAAAAATAGATAGGTTAAGTCTCTGCTTATTTAAATCTAATGGGATTGCTTATTAAAATCTAATCGAGAATTTCTTTTTATCTTCTTTTCTTTCCAAATGATACTTCCACACAACAATAATCCCAATAATCACTAAGCACCCAGCTGATATTGCAATAATTAGTCCAATTTTATCAGTTGGCGATGCAAAAAGTTCTAAAAACCAGTTGTCAGGAGACCCTTTGGGAGAAGCAATTAGATAGGAATTTGGAATAATCGGAGTCCACAATTTTGAATAAGAAGAGTCTTTATGTCCTACAGGCATTGCTACATAAATAAAAATACCAGACTAGCATAAAATAAATGAAACAATGAATTTATTATAGTGCTAGAAACTTTTCTATAATAATTAACTTACCCCATCGTGAGTGAGTAAAAATAATTTACTTGTTCATAAGGGGTTAATATTTTTTTTTCAAAAATTTATATATAAATTTTATAGTAAAAAATTTTTTTTTAAATTTTAAAAAAAAATCCCAATTCGAATAATTGGAAAGCAAACATTAATTTAATTTGTTAAATTATATTTTAAAATGCAAGCTGTTTAAAATTAAACAGAATTAGCGAGAGATTTTATCATACTAATTATCACTTATATATCAAAAAAAAATTTGTTTGCTCATAGAGGGTGTGCTTTTGGGCAAAAAAAATGGGATTTTCCAATGGCATTGATCGATTACTCAGGGAGGAGTTAGACTTATTGCTACATAGAACTCTTCAATATAAGAATTTGTCCTTCCCAGTCCATAAACACAATAAGGAGTATTCAACGCAAAATAGGCAGTTTGTGGCATCTGAGTCGAATGCATTTGCACCTTGCTCATATCTAGTTCGGTCAAAGTGAACATAAAAACTGCTCCTGGATAAGCTGAGCTATATTCTTGTTTTTGATAGCCATTCAATGCTAAAGCTTTCAAATGAAAAGCATCGTTTAAAAAGTTATTGTAGAAGCCTTTGGTCTGGAATTTTTCTCCAGAATAGCTAACTGTTAAAATATCTAAAACTCCATTTTCATCTAAATCAAAGAAAGTTGCAATAAAAACTCCAGGATCTTCTGCAATTTTATCATATTCTGACTTCTTAGATCTTTCAAAAAATCTCCGGTTTTCAGCTTTTCCACAGTGTTCTTCATCACAGTCAACATTTTCAAATAAGTAAGCATGTCCAGCAGCCTCTGTATCTTTTGGCTTCATTGTGACTAAAAAGTCTGGATATCCATCTAAGTCCATGTCTCCGAATCGAATTGTAAATGGAAAATCATTGCCCAAGCTATAAAATGAATTTTCTTGGTCAATTTTTATTATCATTTTATTTCCTGTAATTTCTTTATCTCCAATATCGTCAATTTGAAAATCTTTTACCCCTCCATAATGATAAGTGCAAGTAGAAGAGGCATCATTATCGTTAAAGACTATATGAATTTCTTGCTTACTTGTACAGTCAGCTCCAATGCACACAGGGAATATCAAATCTTCTACTCCATTCCTATCAACATCTGCAAATGATACTTGCCCTGCACCTTTAGGAGCTGGAGTTTTTTGTCTTTTGCAATATTTACCATTCTTCATGTTAAGTCAAAATTCAAAAGAAACATCGCCTGACTCGTCAACTGTTGTCAGGAATAAGTCAGCTAAGCAGTCTTTATTTAAGTCAACAGATGCAACTGAGTGAGGAGTTGATAATAAAAATGAAGACTGAATCATGCAGTTGTTATCATCATCTGTTCCAAAGGTATGCAAAGGCTGAATAGAAAATTCATTATTTTGATATAAAATCACTACAGCTTCTGCTGTCACATTATACACTTCGCGAGCAATTATTACTTGACCTATTTTGCCTTCCTCCCCTCTCCCACCCTCCCTGACAGTTTCATTTTAAATGAAACAAGAAAAGGAATGTCATGTAAATCATTATGAATTTGACGAGTCAAATTGATTTTTCATATTTAATTAAAAATGAAACCCTCAGAGCGTAGGGAACGGAAGATGGGCAATCCTGGTCGATTTACAATTGTGCTCATGCTATACTGATGATAGTTCACAATAATTTCCAGCCTAAATATTGCTTACTTTCTGTCTCCATTGATATCTAATAAAGAAGGCTGTGAGCCTTCAGGGATTTGCCATGACTGATTAGGTACAAAACCGCTTGGACTCTGGAAATAGACATGCAAGAAGGTATCGGAATCTTGCTTTAAGGTGACAACAAGATCTAATAGGCCATCATAATTAATATCTCCAGGAATTGCTGAAATGATAGTCCCATTAGTTTGGATTTGAAGAGTATCACTTTTGGTGAACTTGGAAGAGCCATTATCCCAGAGGTAGACTATTAATGTTTTTTTACTTCCACTAACTCCCCCCCCCTCCGTGAGTGAACAAAACCATTAGAAAAAATCGCCATTTTTTGACCAAAAACCCACCCTCCGTGAGTGAACAAAAATTTTTTTAATAGAAAAATTTTTTATGGAAAAAAAATTTGACATATAAATGATAATTATTATAATGAAATCTAGAGCTAATTCTGTTTATTTTTAAACGAATTGCTTTTTAAAACATAAATTTTGCAAATTGAATTAATATTTGCTTTCCAATTTTTGCGAATTAGGATTTTTTTAAATTTCGAAAAAAAATATTTTTATAAAATTTATATATAAATTTTTTTAAAAAAAAAAAAAAATTAACCCCCCCGTGAGTGAACAAAATTTTTTTTGTTCACTCACGGAGGGGGGGGAGTAAGAACAACAATATCGCAACTAAGTGGAGTTTACTATTTGTCTTTATTGTAGTAGCCGAATGTTGATAATATTGAATCGGTGTCTTCTAGACCGATTTTTACTTCATAAAGGCCAGGATCACGATTTGCTTCAAATATTCCTGTGTGAAAATAATCGATGTCTTCAATTGCTTGGGCTAGAGCTAGCAATAAAACCCACATTTATTATTATTTGCCTTTACGATTATTATTTAAGTCATCCTTATACTTTATATAAATGGGAAAAAACAGCATACCTCTAAGAATTGGCCGAAAAAAGCCAAAAAGAGAAATGAACCCAGTCGAACAATGAAGATACAAAATAAAACAGAAGAAAAACCTTCAAAGCTTTTTGAAGAAAATGAAACAGAGAGAGAATGGCGAAATTCCTGAGAAAAAGAAAAAAGTTATAAGAAGATCCCCATCTCCAGAAAGCAATGACCCTATGTGTGGTGAACTGATGACAACCAGCTCGCTAAGAAATGTGGAAGAAATGCAAAAAGAAATAAGAAATGTGATGAATGAAGAAAAAAGTGAAGAAGAAAGGGAGGAAAAAGTAATTTTGGTTAAAGAGAAGCCTGAACCAAAAATGTTTATTCCTGTTTCGATTAGAACTAAAAAAACTACTGAAAAATGTGAGGAAGAAAGCTCTGGGTCGGAATCTGAGTCTTTAAGCGATTCTCCTGTTCATTCATTTTACACATCTGTTCCAAAGCCAATTTCTATGGTGTCTCAGCCTCCAAAACCTGCAGTGAGTCTTTCAAAGCCCCCTCAAAACTCATCAGCTTCAACAAACCAAAACCTTTTCAAGTCGCTTTTGAATGATTAGATTAGATTAGATTAATTAGTTTAGCGGGTCACGGAGGTTTATTTCAGCCTCTACCCAGCGCTGCCAGCTTCAGGCTTGCGCCCTATGCACCGGCTCTGTAGCTCACTCCATTTTCTGTCGACGTCACCAAAAATGGTGACGTCGCCATCTAACAGGGAGACTCACCCAGGTACTCCTTGATCAGGGTCTAGTGATCCGGCGCCGTCCCTTCTGGGGAGGGTGAAAAGTAGCCTCCCGGAATCTCCTTCAGGTCCCCTAAGCTCCACTACAAGCTTCATCACTTTCCTTCTAGTCCTGAAGTGTGACTCCTGATTCTGCGGCTCTGGTCTTCTTGTCTTTGTGAGAGGTAAAAAACCTTGTCGTGGTGTCCCGACCAAGGTAAAAAAACCCACCCTGGACACAATATCCAGGCCCCGTTTACTTCTTAACCCCGTAGTCCTGGGGGTACAGGAGAAGGACGGGTCGGATGGCTCGCCATTTTAATTGTGTCTTTTGAATGAAGATCCAAAACTGTCTGAATTTTTTAATAGCATTAATGATTTAATTTAAAATTCATATTAAAATTCACTATCCCAGTCAGGAGGTGCGGGCGTATCTTTCATTATTATTCCACTGCTTCTAAAGTCATCTTTGCCTTCAACTTTTTGTATAGCAGCTTCTAGCGTTTTGTTTTTCCTAATCGCTTTTTCTAATAAATTGGTATCAATTTCTATTTTTGGTACATAAGGGCTTTTGATTTTTCTCAGTAATAAGCTATCTCAGCTAAAACTTGAAAATCACCTATGTTCTTTAAGCTTCCCTAGGTTTCCTCCAGTTCTTGCGCCTGGGTTTTTGTTTAGCAGCTGCTGAATTAGCTGCCGAGAAGGCGACATGGGGTCATTTTCGGAAGGAAAAATTAATCGGTATTCTAAGATGCACTCGAAAACTGCTATTGGGTCATTTTCTTCTTCCCCAAAAGGTAAGGACCCATATAAAAATTCATAGAGCATCACTCCCAAACTTCACCAGTCTACAGATAGCCCATATCCGACTCCTTTGATTATTTCTGGGGCCATATAGTGAGGAGTCCCTACAGTTGTATATGATCTTCCTTTCAAAATGCGGCTAGTCCCAAAGTCAATTAATTTTGTGTACCCTATATCATCTATCATAATATTTTCTGGCTTAAAATCACGATAAATAATATCGCGCTCATGAAGATGCTCGATTATTAAAACCAGCGATGCAGTATAAAATTTTGCATCAGCGTCTGACAATATCCCTATATGTCGTAAGACATCGAATAGATCTTGGCCTTTAACATATTCCTCCAGAAAATAAATACGGTGCTGGTCTTTAAAAGTTTTTATTAATTTCATGATCATTATGTGATCAAGCTGCATCATGATTGTACGCTCGAGGACAATGGAGTCATAAACCCCGTAATAAGAAATCTTTTCACGAGTTACTGTTTTTAGGGCATATAACGTATTTTTTGTTCTGTGACATGTTAAAAATACGCTACCAAGAACTCCTTTTCCTATTAGTTTTATAGGAACAAGTTCACTAACTCCCCCCCTCCGTGAGTGAACAAACCATTAGGAAAATCCCTATTTTTTGCCCCAAAAACCCACCTTCCGTGAGTGAACAAAAATTTTTTTAATAGAAAATTTTTTTTATGGGAATATATAAATGATGTTTATTATATAACGAAATCTAGAGCTAATTCTGTTTAATTTTAAACGAATTGCTTTTTAAACATAAATTTTATAAATTAAATTAATATTTGCTTTCCAATTTTTGTGAATTAGGATTTTTTTTAAATTTCGAAAAAAAAATATTTTTTATAATTTAAAAAAAAAAAAATTAACCCCCCTCTGTAGTGAACAAATTTTTTTTGTTCACTCACGGAGGGGGGTAGTAAGTTCTATTGTGTCATCTTGAAGCTCAATTCTGCTTAAGAGCATTTGTTGTATTCCTTCATCAATTATTTCTAAAAAATCATTTTTTTCTAGCATCCAGCAAGTTACACTTCCATCAGCTTTTACTGTTGCGCTTCTTGTGTCGTTAAATAATATTGACCTTTCTCCAAAATAATCATGCTTAGTGATCGATCTCAATTTTTCACCATTTCTTATCACATCGACCCTTCCGCATTTTATTATGAAAAACGAACTTCCAGGCTCCCCTTGCTCCACAACTGTATCCTTATCATTAAACTCAACAATTTTCAGCATCCTTATAAGCTCTTTATATTTATCTTCAGTCAGTCCTTTTAGTAGCTGCACTCTTTTTATTACAGCCAAAGCTTCGTTTCTCGCATGAATTTCAGCAATATTTCCGCCTACGCAATTTTCTATTTCTTCTTTGCTTATTTCCGCGATATCTACATCAGTTTCAGCTATATAATCAATTTCATATTTTTCCTCAGTAGGATTCACCAAGAAATCGTCGCCAATGCATGTAAGAATATTCAATTTTTCTTTAAGGCCTCTGACGCTTCCTCTTAAGATTATTCATAGAAATGCTCCTTTATTCGCCCCTCTGGGTATAATGACTTCTCCTGAAGAAAAATTCTGAATTCGCATAATATTTATAATTTTCCCTTTTTGCTCCTTTGAAAAGTTTTTTAAATTCGGGGATTTATCCATAGCAATCATTTGTGTGTTTTTATACAAAATTTGTTGTAAATTACTACCAAGAACGTCCATAAGGGCGTGCCTTCCTATAGATACAACTTTTACTTCACTGATAGCTGTGATTGTGGCTGTTCTTGGCGAATTGTACAGCAGTGCTTGCTCCCCAAAGAAATCGCCTTTAAACATCTGCCTAATTTCTGTTTCCTTTTGACTGCATGACACACAGCCTTCCTTTATAATATAAAAATGATCCCCTGTGTCTCCTTCTTTTACTATGCTTTGCCCGCTGCTTCATTTTTCTGTTACCAAACTAGCTAAAAGCCCGTCTTTTTGCTCAGATGTAAGCTGATTTAACAGCGGTACACTGTCAAGGAAATTTTTATTTTCTTCCAAATTCAGAGCATTCACGATTTTTATGGCTTCTTTAAACGTAGTTCTATCAACCCCTCACAATGTGCATCTTTCCAACGTTTTTATGGTCCCAGACCTAGGTCTATCATCTAATAGTGCTAATTCCCCAAATCCTGAGCCTGCGTTAATTACAGCTTTTCTTGCTCCGTTTATTATCTTACTTACTTTACTTAAATTATCTGGTGTTTAAGGTGTCTAGTGCCGCAGCCCAAAAGGACCCTATGGCAAAACTAGTGACGTAGGCGAGCCATCTTGGAACAGGTCAGCCCTGGCCAAGCCTTCTATCAACTCCTGCTTCACGAGCCTTGCTGCACGTCTCACCCGGTGCGATGCCGTCACCCTTGTCTCGACTCAGCTCCTGCGCGTGTTCCGCCTAAGGGTCATCCTCCCATGGGGATGTACTGAGAGGTAAAAGCCCGAAATTTTGAGAGGACTGAGGAGCAGTTCCTCTGGTTATCCCCAGAAATAAGCCGCTATTGCTGTCCAGAAGTTCTCGAGTGAAAACCTAACCCTATAAATAAAATTCCATGAGGGAGAGAAAATTAGCAAAGCTAATTTCTCTCGAACCGAATGCCATTTTATTTATGCTCCGTTTATTATCAGTTCGACCCTTCCTGTACACAAAACGTAAAAAATAAACCCAGGCTCACCTTGTGTAAAAATTATTTCTCGAGGGTTTATAGTATAAAATCGCATATGCTCGATTACGAGTCTTAAAGAATCCTCATCAAGATTTTTCAATATAAAATGATTGCTTACTCCCCCCCTCCGTGAGTGAACAAAATAATTTTGTTCACTCATGGAGGGGGTTAATTTTTTTTTTTTAAAGAAATTTTTTATAGAATTTTTTTTTTTTAATTTTAAAAAAATCCTAATTTGCAAAAATTTGAAAGCAAATATTAATTAAATTTATAAAATTTATGTTTTAAAAAGCAATTTGTTTAAATTATTAAGCAGAATTAGCTCGAGATTTCATTATAATGATTATCACTTATATATCAACATTTTTTTTTCCATAAAAATTTTTGTATTAAAAAAAATTTTTGTTCACTCACGGAGGGTGGGTTTTTGGTCAAAAAATAGCAATTTTTCTAATGGTTTTGCTCACTCACGGAGAAGGGGGAGTTAGGGCATCACGAATCATTTTCTTGTCGGCTTCGGTTTTTATTTTGTCAGAGACAGAGGCAGATGAAGGCTCTTTTACTTCGTCACTTCGGCGGCGTCTTTCATCGATAACTGGCGCTTTGTGTTTTACCTTGAAAGTATTGCCTCGCTTGGGGAGTGAAGTGATATTTAGTTGAGATGATGATGTTTGCTTAGTCAAGTAAACTTCGTGTGTTTGAATTGGCTGATTTATGTTTACAATTGATGTTGCTAAGATTGTTTGCCTTTGCCCACATACACAATTACTTCCCATATTATTGGAGTGCTAAAAATAGAAAACCTATCAGATTATTGACCTTAACAATAGATAGCACTAACAAAATTCTAAAAAAAGTCATCTAAGATAGAATTATCATAAAATTTACAAAAATATAAAAAGAAGGTTGCGGGATGTAAAAATTGATATTATGATATAGAGAATGAAATAAGTCAATTTTTTTTTAATGAATTAATGGAAATTACTGATTATTTTTATTAATGCATATATGATAATCCCACAATCTTAGTCTGAAATTATTCCAACTTAGCTTATAGCGCTATAAATTGCTTGGTGTTTTATATCGAATTCACAGCAGAAAGTCATTACGATATGAAATTTAATTTACAAATTAATTTTTTTAACGATTAAATAGTTTTATTGATGATATAGTGACTCCTCTAGCACTTTCAATAAAATTTCTTCATCATCCATTGAAAAATCCTACATATATTTTACAGTAAAAGTATCATAATCAAATTGGTGCATTGTCTGCAAGTGTTCATTAATATCAATACAAATTTCATCGGGATCTCCCCAAGGCATAGCTAAACAAATCGTGCATTTCGCTGCTTTATACTGATGCTTACTATTCACGTGGAACAATAAAGACACTCTATCGAAGTTTTTTAAGCCACAGCAAGGACACTTATATGTCCACCTATTTATAACAGGAATTTTAGGTCTCCTTATCGATTTTGACGCTTTTTTGATTAATTCTTTGATGCTTGGGCAAATAGAAATATGGTCATTATAAGAGGTATACGGAAAAGTCTGTTTACAGTCACAGGAATATAGCGAGGATTTTATTTGGTCCCAAAGATTATAATTAGTCATCAATAAGTCAGATGTAAGTGGAGATCTGCAGATTGGGCATGGAGACGTTGTGAATTTTATTACATTAGTGATGCACTCAGAACAGAAATTTTTCTTGCATGGCTTATGGACTTTAGGCTGAACAAGAACTCCTAAGCAGATGCTGCACTGAAATTCCTCTTTGATATCGGTATCCATTTTAAATAACTTTAAATATCAGCGCCTTATTATTTTTAAAGTGAGGATTCAATTTAATTATGGATCATTTTAAATATGAGGGAAATAGGATTTTTAATCAATTGATATGCGAAAAATGAAAAATTGAAATGAATGATAAGATAAAAACTGAGTATAAAGCAAATAGAAAATAGAATCAGAATCATTTTAATTCAAAATTGTGAAAAAGGTTTATTATAAAATGGCTTATCTTCACCTTCTTGCTTTGCTTCTTATAGCAGCCTCAGCAACCTCTCTCTGTGAAAATCCTTGCATCCAAGATCAATCAAACTTAGTTTGCTGTAGTGATTCTATTACAACCTGCGGAGAAGCATGCTGTCCAACGCTCTCAGAAAATTGTGCTGAAATCGCTCCATCTCCTTATTCCCTTCTTTTTCAAGATTTCCTCTCCTTGGATTTAAAATCTTGCAATAAATACTTCTTAATGGTAGAAACAGAAATTCGCATTTTTCTCTATAAGATCTCTACATCGCAAAGCTGGGATACAATAAAGCAGCAACTTTACTTGGTGCTTAAGTACATTCCTTATATGAGAGTGGAAGAAATAAAATGGTGATGCCGATGGAAAGTAAACTTCGAGGTACCATCCTATATGGAGCAGGCAGGACAAATTCTGATGAAGCTGGAAAAAAGCCTCTATCTCTTTTTGAAGTAGACATTCAGGCTTCGGGATGCCTCTAAAGGGAAGCTTGTTTCTCCCCTGAAGGTGGGCTAGACAGTTTTTAGCTACCACATGGTCTTCTTTCATCGGGGCCATGACATCTCACAGACGATTGCTCTGCCCAAGGGAGCTGATCCCTAGACTGGTGGCTCAGACTGTAAATTCAAAAGGACAGACTAGTGATTAGATTTGGTTATGGCGAGCATAACCATTTTAACTAGCTAACTAGCATATATGAGAGCGTATTGTTTTAGCTAAATTTTAATAAAAATATTAAGAGTTATTCAAAAGTATCAAATTCTTCTGATAGCGATAAACCCCAATAGGCAGGAGTGTATATAGATTTTATACATGCGTCGTTGTTAATAGTTAATGGGTAGTGCGCAAAGCCAAAATTTACTTGCTTCATTAAGGTGGTTTTGCCAATTAAAGACATGCAAGCGCTACTAGCCCTTCTGCCAGTGTTGCATGAGGTTGTGAGTTTTAACGTCTTAAGCCAGGTCTGTATAAGCAAAACTCCAGGCGCATCTCCAATAAAAGAGCTGCAATAAGAAGTTCCAGCGCTATTATAGCCACAGGTGCATTGACCTAAATAAAAATTTGTCCCATCGGTTCCAACACAGTCAGTATCTTGTGTATACCCCTGAATTTGTTCGATCATTATTAATCATCCATTTTAATTTTGAAGATTAATGTGTGCTTGCCAACTTTTTTGAAAAGTAAAAACGAAAATGACAAATCTCCGTTTAGGATCCAAGATGCCTAATCAGGCTTAGATTGCATAAGGCGGTGCCCCGGATCATATTTTTTTCTTGTCAGTATTCTGCTGGGGGTTATAGCAATCCATTTTGGTGCATAAATTATACAACTTACAGGAAGAGTTTTTACACTTGTTGGAGCAGATTGGCATATTCCGATATTTCCATACCAACTTTGAGTATTTGAGCAAAATCCGCTTTTACATAAATGAGACCATCCATTAACACAGTCAGTCACAACTGCTCCATTACTTAGGGTTGCATAAGAGGTGCACGTCCCATTTGTGCTTGTATAAGTAGCATTGCAGCCAGCCCAATTTACGCAATCTTGGTAGTCTCTACACCCTGTAGTTCCAATTGCCAATTGGGCAGTGCAAGTCCCACCAGGCGCGCATCTCAATCCAGGAGCGCATTGGGCATGTGTTGTGCATTTTCCATTCTTTGCGACCCCAACGCATTTTTTGCTTGTGCAAGTTCCATATTTGCAGTCAGATTGACTTGTGCAAGGCTCGCCTGGATAAGAAGCTAATGCAGAACTGGCTGGGGCTGCTGTGCATTGTAATGTTGTAGTATTGCAAAAAGTGCTTGTTCCTGATGTTGGGCAAGCTTTCAAGTTGAAAACGTTTACATTTGTGACTGTTCCACAATATCCTGAAGGGACTGTAGCAGTGGAAGGTGCACATTGATATTTTCCACAGGTACTTGCTTCAAAGTTGTCTTCTTCTAGAGCATCGTGCCAGTTTCCTTTGACTAATGAAATGAGTATTAAATAAATCAACATTATAATCATGAAATGGCCTAGTCACTTACTTAAAAATTATCACGATCCTTTTACTCAGACCCTTGATTTTCCTTTTAGATTTGGGACTTTTGGGACGCCTTCTAATGATTATGTATTGTCTATATAGTGGTTTTACCATAAATGCATTGAACATTTTGGGTTGACTTCAGCTGATAAGGCAGATTTTGTGCAAAAGTTTATAGATATGATGTTTGCTTTTGACAAAAATGATAAGGAAACACTAAAGAAAATAATGAAGGAAGAAATTTATGAGAAATCAATCAAAGCATGAATGAAATTGAGAAATGATGGGTATCGAGCCAAGTTATTAAACCGATGAGAAAAAGTGATCGAATATAGATTATTTGGATACATTACATATACAGGAATATCACCTATTATCAATCAAAATTTTTCTCCATCGGAATACGATGTTTTACAGATAAATGCTTTAGGCTATCCAGTTAGACTTGAATTTAGCTTAACTCCAAATCTAAATTGGAAAAAATTTGTTCAATTAATGTTTTGGGAAAATAAATAATATAAAATTTTTCACAAATATTTTAAATCAAAAAATAAAGAATAAATGCAATATATTTGAATTTTAATTTATTTTTATAAGGAATTAATTTAAAATATTAATCAATTCAGCGTACTAAGTTTTTAAATAGCATTCCTTCCATTAAAGTTAGGTAAAACTCGTTATATAAAAATTAGTACTTTCAACTATAAAATTTTCAATCGAAAAAATTTTTCAATTTAAAGGGATTAATTTACCCAAAAATGGGAATTTACAGTTATTTTGTTTCTTTTTAAAGGGGGGAGTAAGGAACAAAACTCTTTTAAATGAAATTTCAGATAAAAATGCAGTAATTGAAAAGAGTGCAAATCCTTATTATATAAGAAATTTTCCAAGAGATTCCAAACATCTTCATGAGCTCTTTGAAAAATACCCAATAATGATTTGCCAGGTGGATTTTGGATTACTTTCAAAAATGAGGTTCCAAATATATGACAAATATTCACAGAATAGCCTAGCTGATGGCGAAGCTGATCCTGAAGAATATGAATTCCATATAATCCGCTTTGAAAAGCTTTTTCCTAGAGATAAAAAACAATACGACAAAGAATATGGTTTTAGGCGCTTTATTGATGCCAATTTCGAAAAAGAATTCTATAATTGGCAGATCGTGGATATCGATCAATACATAAATTCATTTCCATTCCCTAAAGAATAACGTAAAAAATGTCTAATCTGCACGTAATTATAATTTGTAATGGATTATCTCGAAGCCTTACGTCCGTCTTTTTGGAGTAAAGGTGATAGTTCTTTTTTATGGATTTACGTGTTAATATTGATACTGCTATTTTCAGCATATGTCAAGCTTAGAGATTCAATATACCATAAAAAGACTTTCTCTGAAGAAAGTTTGAACCGAACTAGACTTGAAGTGAGGTCAAATTGGGAAAGACGACAAGAAGAGCTAAGGAGGGCAAGGGTTTATGAAGAAGAGAAACAGTTAATTAGTGGTTAAAACGGGCATTATTTCAGAACCTAGCAAATCAAGTTTAGCTTCACTTTTCGTGTTACGCTAGGCACTAAAGCCACCAACCCCCTTTTATCAGGGTCACTAAAATGATGATATTGTCAATATAACAGGGAAATTTAGCCGAACCTGCTTTTATCAAAATTAATCCTTGGCAGTGCTCAGAGTAAGGGAATCGTACAATGCCTCTTTCTGGAATTACCTCTGCCATTTATAGGCAGCAGAATGCTCTTCCAGAAGTACTATTGATGCTGCGCTGTCAGTCTCTTGAATGTGGGTTGAGGGAAAGCCCAGCCTGAGAGTCCCTCTAGCAGCTCCTCCAAATAACAGCACAAAGCACTTACCCTTGAAGTTTCCGGACCTTCTCTCGCAGCACACCATGATGGAGAAATGTTTTTTATGAAGAAGATAAAGAGGAGGAAAAATTAGAGCCAAAGCCAGATATTGAAGAGGAAAAAAAGCCTGAACCAAGAAATAGTGGACTTCAACCACCTCCAAGGCCAGTGAAAAAAGCCGAGCTTAACCGATATGACCCAAGTGGGCCTCGAATAGGAAGGCCAAGCTCATACACAGCGCCTTGCGCTACTGGGACTTGACGTTAGTCCAAAAGATTGTACTAATACAGCCAAGTGAAGAATACTCCTAAAGATGTGGATTATTCAGAGGCTGACTAAATTAAACATTTTCAAAACTATTGTGTGGGTATAAAAAGTAGGAATAATTACATCATATATTCTGTGAATAGCATAACTGAGACATAATTAATAGAAATATACTTAGTGCCATTCTTGCCCTTTTAGTTTTTAGCCATAAAATCTATAAAACCCTATTTATTTCGATAAGTTAATATCAATATCTTTTATATTTATTTTGATTAAATCGATTGATGATACTTATGCTCAATGCCGATATTTTACAAATAATGCTGCTTGAATTATTTAAATTTATTTAAAATGATGTTTATTTAGCATTTATTAAGGCTAAACTTACTTATAGAGAATATAAAATATTACTACTGGCTACCTTTATCTATATTCATACATAAATAGGAAAACGATTAACTATTAGCAATGTTGGATTCAGTGTACATAGTATATAAAATTTCAAATATCTAGCAAAATCTTTCTCATTTCATTATTTTAAAGATAAAATACTGTAAAAAGTGGTTATTAAGCAAACAAATGATTATTATGACTATAAATTATTTTTTCATAAAGAGCAGACAGAACCCAGGAAAAATGATTTCGACTAAAATTTTGATTTAATATATCAATCTTCAGCTAGTTGATTTTCAAAAGAGCCTATAATCAATGATTATTTTGATATTTAAGAAGTATTAAATCCAGATATTTTTAATTAAGTCCTATAGAATACTGACTTCTGAATGATGCAAGCTTATTCTAAATTAATTTCTTAATTTAAGGCTAAAATATAGCTAGATAATTTTTTTCGCATTTGCAAAGCAAAAATCAAATTCTAAAAAAAAAGAAATAAGATATATATATAAAATCTTTATTATATGCTCATAGTGAATGAATATCAAATCTTTCTTAATTCACTGACATCAGTCAGCTGTTACATTTCCCCAGCTCTTTTTTTACTAATATTGCTTGCGATAAATTTATCTTTTTGTCTCATTTCTCTTCAAATTTCGAATTAGATAATCTCACTATAATGACTAAAATAGGCATTGGAAGAACCACAACTCAAGAGGGTTATCCTTTATCAGCAACTGACATGCCATTAAAAGACGAATTGCTTACCTCCTCTAAGTTAGTGAGTAATAGCATTAGAAAATCTCAATTAGCATCTTTAGCTAGTTTTTCATTTTAACATATTTTTTTGATGCAACACAAATTATAATTAATAACTATCATAATAATAAAATTTTAAGCAAATTATATTAATTTAGACAAATATGCTCTCAAATATTCGGAAAATTTGTATTTTTTCAAACACTAAAATAAATTTTTATATTATAATAATAATCTCTAGCCAAAGAGGGTTAGCCAAATTACGATAGGCCGTTTCTTGAAATTTTCAAATGACTCAATTGAAATGACACAAATAAAAAATGGCGACATCTCCTATCCGTCCTCTCCCGGACCTGCTTCGAGTTTGGGGGCCTTGCTACGTCCTGAAGCCAAACCGAGCAGGAAACGGAGTCTACGGGTACTGGGCATTTTCGGTTGGGTTTTGCCTCCCTTGTCCGGTAATGAAGATCTTGTGTCTTCCCAATGGACAAGAGAGAAAAAGTTTTTTATTCCTAGAGACCACTAGTGCCGACGACGAAGGCATGGCTGGTGCCGATACTAGCTATACCAAGCTGTAATAGTCACTTAAGCAGCAGCCGTCAAGTCCCAAACCTACATACTCCAAGGCTCCGAGACAGTATTAAGAACTAGGCCGAAAGCTGGAGGAGAGCTATCTCTGATGGAAATGCTGACATACCCAGGGAGGTAGCTAGCAGCTAAACGAGTCTTCTAAGAAGATTCGACTCGGATAAGACGTAAAAGGAGAAAGAGCCCTAATCTTTAGTTAATGTTAATATAATGATTCAATAGAAATGATGTACCAAAATCTTATAGTGAACTGAAATCGGTACCCTGAAAAAATTACAAAATCATTTAAGCAAGATTTAAGACTGTACTTATATAGTTATTATCTACTTTCCATTGTTTACTTAATATTATACATTGTCGCAACCTCTGATCATGATAGTGGAAATATAAGTGCTTGCACAATTGGACTGATGGCAGGACATATGCTCTTCAGCACGATTATGTATTTTCTTAGCTTTTATACAGATTTATTTAGATCGTTAAGAGCTTCAGCTTTAATTCTCACATACTTGATCATAGCTGCAATTTTAATAATCAACAACCAACCTATTCAAGAACTAATTTTTGATGAAAAAATGGATCACTATATGTCATGCATGCTTGGCCTTCTGATTCTTCTGTCTGTCTCGAGTTCAATTATCCATACAAATTTATCCTGATTTTTTATCATAAACTCGCTGATTGCTATTTTCTATTTGATTATACACCTCTGTTCAGACCAAAGCATATCAACAACTTTTTTTGAATTTTCAATTTATATTTCAAGGGTTTTTATTGAGTCTAAAAAATTTTACCTGCACGAAATAATCTCTCGTGAAAAATTTTTAGCTTTCAAAAGAAATGGAGAAGACCACATTTCTTCTAGCGAGCCGCAAACAGAAATAGAAGAAATTATGGGGTACCTCAAAGAGTCAATTGAGTGCACAAAGCTGCTGTCACAATCTGTGATACCAACGAGAAGTAAAATAGGAAGAGTACAAGAATTATTAAATAAAGTCATAGATATCATAAGATCCAAAAGCAATATTTATAAAGTCAGCATTGATGCTATCACCAAAAATCTAGATGAAGATGATAGAGTTTTTATAAAGGAAACAACCAACGATTCTCAGCCGATAGCGAAGCTTAGAAGTAAAATCAAGATAAGGAAAACTGACGAGATCATAACAATCCATAAAGCATATAACACAGATGAGCTTATTGGCGTTCTAAAACAAATTGGAAAAAACTGGAATTTTGACATGTTTTTCGTGAGAGAATGCACACAGAATCAGCCTTTATCAACAATGGGGAGGTATTGCATAAAAAAATACACCCTCGACGAAACGCTGAACATAAATGATGAAGTTTTTATGAACTACTTTTATGAGCTGGAAATGAGGTATAAAGACAACCCCTATCATAACTCGACACATGCAGCTGATGTGCTAGCGTCAGCTATGTTTATGATTAACCGCTCATTGTTAGCTGACTTGCTCTCTGATTTTGACTTGCTTGCTACTATTATTGCATCTTTGGGACACGATGTTGCCCATCCTGGCTTTACCAATAGGTTTCTTATTAACAACAAAGATATTTTAGCAATAAATTGTAATTTCTAAGCAGACAATGATTACTCAGTCCTTGAAATGATGCACTGCTCAACCACTTTTCAAATAATGCAAGAAGACCACTCCAATATTTTAGTGTCTTTGGATTTCGACCATTATTTAGCTGTGAGGAAGTTGATCATTGAGATGATCCTTTCTACTGATATGAGCAAGCATTGGGACTTTTTGGCACAATTTAAAGCAAAAACACTAACTGGACCAAAAAATATCGATAAACTTGAGCAGAGGGTCGACGTGCTGAAATTGGTAATAAAATCAGCTGACGTAGGCCACGCTGCAAAAACAAGGGACTTGCACTTAAAATGGAGTAGGCTTGTATGTGAAGAGTTTTTTGCACAGGGTGATATCGAAAAATCTAAAAATCAGCAGGTTTCGATGTACTGCGACAGGGAAACTACAGATATTCCTAAATCACAAGCAGGGTTTATTAGAAACATTGTACTACCTCTCTATGAAGTTTTAGCTGGATATTTTGCAAGTCCTTATATTGACGAAAGCTGCTTAGAACAGGTTAAAGTGAATCTTCTTACTTGGGAATATGAAATGGGCAGAAACCGTGTAAAAACTCTGACGCAGCCTGGGGAATCCATAGGAGACACTGACAATATGGCTGCAGAGACACCCAGGTACAGAAGGGTGGGAACACAAATCATGAAAATTGATCCTGATACTATTTCTTGGCTTCAGAAAAAATACCAAGCTAGTTAGTGTGAATGGATTTCTCAAAATTTATCATTGCATAAAAATGATGATGACAGACCACATAATCCTATTTCTTCAACACCAGTAGGTAATGGTCAAGTGTGAAGGGAAAGGGCAGAAAGAGGCCGTGATCCTTTATGTACGCTGGGCTAGACTTTTCTCTGGCACTAGGGAGCTAATCCCCCTGGGGCTTGAGTTTTTACCTCCGAGACCATCATTGCAAGGGAAAGGGCAGGATCAGCAAAAACTCGAGTGGATGATAATCCTTCGAGCAGAACTTAAGAGGTGATATTTGTATAGCATGAAACTGGGAGTTTCGCCCCTGTAGAGGGCATAAAGGCTGGAGGAGTCTAGAAAGTCAAGATCGGTCGTGTGAATCACTTGCCCGCTACTGCGAGGAAGGGTGCCTGCCGGGTTTCTCAGGACGATGAGTATACATGGGTGAGCTAACATTAATTAATTAATAAAAATTTATTAATGACTTACGCTAATGTTTGTTCAAACTATCGGTAAATTCCTCTATCAATATCGCAGCAATCAAATCATCTGCCGTGTTGTCTAGCTCCTTTATTTTTTTTGCAGCTTTGATCAAGCTATTCCATCGATTTTTCACGCTGTTCTCTGTCCTTCCTGGCATCCTTTTGGCAATGCTGCATCATTTTTTCCCGACCTCGAGTTTTTGTTTCATTAGAAGCAAGTCTTCTTCTAGTGACCATTCTCCTTCTAAATAGATTTTACTGTTTAGATTCGGATTCAGATGGTTTTTCCACCTCTCTCGGCATTGTTTGCCATTTCGGACAGTTAAAGAGCCATGTAACGCATTATTAACTTCTAATGAAATTTTTGCCCACTGTTTGGTGCCATACTTTTGAACTAATTCTATTAATAAATTATCCTCGCTTTCCTTTCACGGTTTCCATTTCATTCCACCTCTACTTATAGGGACTTTTCGCTCACTCCCCCCCCCCCTCCGTGAGCGAACAAAACCATTAGAAAAATCGCCATTTTTTGACCAAAAACCCACCCTCCGTGAGTGAACAAAAATTTTTTTAATAGAAAAAATTTAATGGAAAAAAAATTTTGATATATAAAGTGATAATTAGTATAATGAAATCTAGAGCTAATTCTGTTTAATTTTAAACAAATTGCGTTTTAAAACATAAATTTTGCAAATTAAATTAATATTTGCTTCCCAATTTTTGCAAATTAGGATTTTTTTAAATTTCGAAAAAAATATTTTTTATAAAATTTATATATAAATTTTTTTTAAAAAAAAAATTAACCCCCCTCCGTGAGCGAACAAAATTTTTTTGTTCGCTCACGGAGGGGGGGGGGGGAGTCAGGTATGCTAGAGATTTGACTTTGTGCGAAATTTGAAATGGTATAGATCGGTATGAAAGAATGCGTGGACAGGTCTGGAATGCAAGGAACTCAAACGCAATATGGCAGGGATTGAGAAAAATCAGCATCAATTGGAAGAGATGAATTTCCGGTAGAGTAATAAGCCATTTATAGGCAAGCAAAAGGATTCAGTAATCCATAATTTATCACATTTAATGGCAAAGATTTTTTATTTTAAAACTTTTGTACGGATTTATAAGGAATTCAATTTCTTATAAAAAACTCGGTATTATAAAGATGAGCAATTCAGCTAAGCCTATAGGCTTTAGGCCACAAAAAAAAACAAGTTCACTGTTTTCCCATCTTTTATCTTAATTTTCATTTACTTCACCAATAATCCTTGTTATTCCTATTCTCCTTATTTCTGCATCTTTCCCCCAATTTCTCACAAAAAATGAGTAGAAATTTCCATCACTCGCCACCTCGCCCATCTCGTTCTTACAATGCTTCGACGCTCGAAAAAAGCGAAACTGTCTGAGGAACACGAGACGGCCGTGATGGATTCCTTGATCCTGAAACTCTTCAGCTTGCTGAACAACTTTTTAAAGAAGAATCCACATGTGGGATACATTTTTCTGACTATGATAATATTCCAATAGAAGTCAGTGAAGAAATGCCAGTGCTTGAAGAATTTACTGATGTAGAAATACATGAAGTCCTTCAAAGAAACATTTCCTTACTCCCCTCTTTTAATTTTAAAAAAATATACTTAAAATTTGTGACTAAACACGATGCATATTTTTGGCCTACTTTTGTTTGATTAATTATTTTTGGCTTGTCTATTTGCCCTTTTTTTGGTGGAATTTTTTTATCTATTTTTGGCCCATTTTTTACCTATTTTTGGGCTATTTTTTTTAGTTATTTGTTTTGGCCTGCTATTTTTGTTTAGCCTATCTATAAAAAATTTTATACACAGGGGCATTTTCTAGCTAGTTAGTATTCTATTTTCTTTCTTAAAGTATTTTATAATGTAGAAGAAATCGGATACTGTTTTTAGTCGACGAGTGATAACTCTTCCCTAGTGTATAAATATTTTTGTATTTTTTTTATCTACCTTGACTTTATTTAGTCGAATTGCTTTTGGCATGATTCCATATTAACTATTTCAAATTAATTTTCAATCTATTTTGGTAATTTTTGGACAGCAGTTATATTTTAAGATTTTAGCATAAAAAAGGCTAAAAAATAAGGCCAAAAAAATAGCCCAAAAAAGAGGAAAAAAAAAACGCCAAAAAATAGGATAAAAAAATAAATAGGCTGGAAATTTTACAGTTTCCTTCACAAAACGGCTATTTTTTTGCTGGCCTTGGTAATTTTTAAATCATAAATTTTATTAATTTTTATATATAAGTAGTTCTGGACTTAATTTAATGGAAGAAATTCAAGTAGAATATTATTTAAACAGTTTCCATATTGAATTGATTAAATTTTTATATATATCTTACTCCCCCCCCCCTCCGTGAGCGAACAAAACCATTAGAAAAATCGCCATTTTTTGACCAAAAACCCACCCTCCGTGAGTGAACAAAAATTTTTTTAATAGAAAAAATTTTTTAATGGAAAAAAATTTTGATATATAAGTGATAATTAGTATAATGAAATCTAGAGCTAATTCTGTTTAATTTTAAACAAATTGCGTTTTAAAACATAAATTTTGCAAATTAAATTAATATTTGCTTCCCAATTTTTGCAAATTAGGATTTTTTTAAATTTCGAAAAAAATATTTTTTATAAAATTTATATATAAATTTTTTTTAAAAAAAAAAATTAACCCCCCTCCGTGAGCGAACAAAATTTTTTTGTTCGCTCACGGAGGGGGGGGGGGAGTTAATAAAAAATTAAAATCCAAAAATATTGCGTTCGAATTTTTATTTTTCTTAAAGTCTTTAATAGAGAAAAATTTTAATATGCTCTTTTAAAACAAAGAACGAATTTTATCTCCAATTCAAAGATGGGAGTTAATGAATTATAAAAAACCCACCCCAGTACAAAGACATGCGATCCCTATATCAATTTTAAGAAGAGACCTTATGGCCTGCGCCCAAACAGGCTCTGGGAAAACTGCCGCTTTTCTGTTCCCTATGTTCGCGAAAATGCTTAAAGATGGTCCACCTGAAAAAATCAGACGAAGAGAAGCATTTCCTATAGGATTAGTTTTGGAACCGACTAGAGAGCTGGCAGTCCAGACTCAAAGAGAAGCGCTTAAATTTGCATATAAGACAGGGATACGATGTGTAGTTGTACATGGAGGGAAAGATTTTTATAATCAAGAAAATGAAATAAATAGAGGGATTGACATTCTAATAGCAACGCCTGGGAGACTTATTGACTTTTTGGAGAGAGGCATGATTGACTTAGCTATTGTTAGATATTTGATTCTAGATGAAGGATTAATAAAATGGCATTCGGTCCGAGAGAAATTAGCTCCGCAAATTTTCTCTCCCTCATGGAATTTTATTTATGGGGTTGGGTTTTCTTCTGAGAACTTCTGTACAGCAACAGCGGTTTAGCTCTGGCATATAAGCCGAGGCACTGCTCCAAGTACGCAGGGGGCTCAAGTTTTACCTCTCAGCATACCTGAGGAAGGTGACCCTTAGGCGGAACACGAGCAGGAGGAGCTGAGTCAAGGAAAGCGAGGCAACGCAGCCCGTCAACGCCGAACGCTTTATTTGTCCTGTGCCCTGGCGAAACAAAGTCGATCGATCCAGAGGTCCATGGTCCCGACACGTGGATAAATCTGGTGGCTGCTCTCGAAACGGTTACCCCGTAGTGGACGTTAAACGATATAAATAATATAAAATAAGATTCTAGATGAAGGAGATAGAATGCTTGATATGGGATTTGAGCCGCAAATCAGAAGAATTTTAAGGGCAATGCATGGGAATGATCATGAGACAATAATGTGCTCAGCAACGTTTCCAGAAGAAATGAAAGCAATTGCAGCCACATTTATGAAAGATTTCGTATTTTTGGCTATTGGGAGAGTAGGATCGACTTCGGAAAATATTACACAAACTTTATACCATGTAGAAGATCACCTTAAACTAGAATTTTTAATCAGAGTTTTACAAAATTTCCAAGGAATAACTCTAATCTTTTTAGAGAAAAAAAGAAGTGTGGATTGACTTTTCTACGAGCTATCAAAACGAGGATTCATCTGTGCAAGCATTCATGGTGACAAAAGCCAGGGCCAGCGTGAAAAAGCTCTGGATGACTTTAAGCGTAAAAGAGTCAAAATTTTAGTAGCAACAGATGTAGCGTCACGAGGATTAGATATCCCTGATATAGATAACGTTATAAATTTTGACACACCGAATTATATTGATCATTATGTACACAGAATAGGCAGAACAGGAAGAATTGGAAAGAGCGGCAAGGCATTTTCTTTTATAAATAGCAGAAATCAATCAATATTTAGAGATCTTATGAGCTTGTTGAGAGAAAGCAATCAAGAAATTCCCGAGTGGTTTGAAGACCTAGCAGCGGGAAGAATGACGCAAGATTATAGCGAAATGTTGCCGTTTATAGAAGGGGGAACAAATTTTTATTCACAAGGCTTGAACCCAAGCAGCTATGATATGCCGAGAGAGAGCAGAAGAGGGAGAGGAAGAGGTTATAGAGGGGGTTATGATCGATATTATCAAGGAGAAAGAAGAAAATATGGGTCCCCTCAAAGAACTTATAATAGAGGCTTTTATGATCAATATAATGAAGAGCCAAAAAATTATTATGAGAATGAGTATTCTCCTCACTCACGGAGGGGGGTTAGTTTTTTTTTTTAAAAAAATTTATATATAAGCTTTATAAAAAATTTTTTTTCGAAATTTAAAAAAATCCTAATTCGCAAAAATTGGAAAGCAAATATTCATTTTATTTATAAAATTTATGTTTTAAAAAGCAATTCGTTTAAAATTAAACAGAGTTAGCCCTAGATTTCATTATGCTAATTATCATTTATATATCAAAAATTTTTCCATAAAAAATTTTTCTATTAAAAAAAATTTTTGTTCACTCACTGAGGGTGGGTTTTTGGGCAAAAAATAGGGATTTTTCTAATGGTTTTGTTCACTCATGGAGGGGGGGAGTCAGAGAAATTATGATAGATATGAAAGAAACGATGAAATTTCAAGAGGAAGAGGAAGAGAAAGAGGTAGAGGCAGAGGCTACAATAGGCAATATCAAGAAGAGAGAAGAAGCTCCCCTAACCAGTCTCTTAGTTATCAAGCATAATTATTTGTAAAATCATTTTTAAGAAAAATTAAACGCTTTTAATATGCAAAATTATTTTAATATCATGCTTATTTGTATATAAATTTATTAGTTATAATAAAAGACCTCCAGGTAATTATTTTAAATTTAGAGCTATATAAATTAAAATTGCATTGCTTTTTTTCAAATATGAATTGGATTTTGTAAAACCGAATAAAAATCTTTTAATAGAAATTTAAAAAATTAAAAATAACTAACTTATACTGAACATAAAATCGCACTCATTATGCAAGGAAGTAATAGAAATTATAATACAGGATACTATGATCGTCCTGAAGAAGAAAGAAACTTTTATGAGAACGATTATTCTTCTCAGAGAGACTACGGCAGATATGACAACACAAGAAGCGACGAAATGTGGCAGGGGAGAGGGAGAGGAACCTATCGAGGAAGCTATGATAGGCAATTTATGGACGAGAGAAGAAACTATGAATCTTCTCGGAGAAATTATAACAGAGAATATCAGGATGAAATTCCTGAAGAGCCTAGAAGGTATTATGGAAGTCCTCATCAGAGAAATTATGAAAGATATGAGTCACCTAGAAGGCAAGCTCCAGCTCAAAGGAATTACCAAGAAAGAAGATATGAAGGAAGCAAATATGAGAACCAAAAACCATATACACTGAAACAGCCAGCTGGGGATACTGCAGATTATAAAGAAACATCAGGTCAAGGATTTGAATGTGAAGAAAGGACGAAAAACGTTCAGAAGGCAGAAGAGACAGCGCTTCCAGGAGATGGCCCTGATCCATGGAGTAGCTATCGGTAATTATTTGTATCAACTCATTAAGAAGTCTTAATTATCTCATATTTTCATGTAAAAGGATATAATATATACAGCTTTAGAGAGTCGAAAAACAGGGCCTTGGCTCTCTGGTTTACTATTCCATGTCAGAATTTATTGCCCTAAATATTCTATTTAGTAGCTTGCGGCTTGGTCTTCTGAAAACATATTTTATACCAAATTTAATTTAATAAACCAACACATTATTAGTTTGCTGAATCTGTTCAGGATATGAAATTCAGTTTCCATATAAGAAAATGTCAACAGATTTTTAAAATAAATTTTCTGATACCCTTTTTTAAGTCCCTAAATTAATTTTTAATTTTCTATTAATCTTGGTCCTATATTAGAAAAAGAATTTACTGAGCATTCTACTGGAGATTTTAGATGATATCAATAAAGAAGCTCTAAGACTTCAAGAGGCATCTATCTCTCTGTCGGCATGCCACCCCATCGAATTTGTATATTTTTTGTTCATGTACTATTTCTCCAGTTCAGTTCATTTTTAATGCATAATCCATAAGTCAGCATTCTAATTGAGATTTTAGATGATATCAATACAGAAGCTCTAAGACTTCAAGAGGCATCTATCTCTTTGCCGGCATGTCACCCCATTGAATTTGTATATTTTCAGTTCATGTCCTATTTCTCCAGTTCAGTCCATTTTTATAAAATCATCTATAAGTCAAAATCTACTGGAGATTTTAGATGAAATTGATACAAAAGCTTTAACACTTCAAGTAGCATCTATCTCTTTGTTGGCATGTCACCCCATTGAATTTATATATTTTCAGTTCATGTCCTATTTCTCCAGTTCAGTCCATTTTTTTATGAATCATCCATACATCATCCAAGTCCAAATTCTACTGGAGATTTTAGATGATATCGATACAGAAGCTCTAACATATCAAGTAGAATCTATCTCTTTGTTGGCATGTCACCCCATTGAATTTGTATATTTTCAGTTCATGTACTATTTCTCCCAGTTCAGTCCATTTTTTATGAAATCATCTATATAAGTCAGAATTCTATTGGAGATTTTAGATGATATCGATACAGAAGCTCTAACACTTCAAGTAGCATCTATCTCTTTGTCGGCATGTCACCCTTTTCAATCTTGTTAAAATCCACCCTGCCTGCTTAATCAAAAAATTCATCCTTTATATTTAGCAGGTAGCTCAGCTGCAAACCCAGCAGGAAAATCCAGAAGTTAAATTAAGTAGGCAAACTCAGCATGCAAACAGAGAGATAGATGCCTCTTGAAGTCTTAGAGCTTCTAATAGAAAATTAAAAATTAATTTAGGGACTTAAAAAAAGGGTATCAGAAAATTTATTTTAAAATCTGTTGACATTTTTCTTATATGGAAACTGAATTTCATATCCCGAACAGATTCAGCAAACTAATAATGTGTTGGTTTTATTAAATTAAATTTGGTATAAAATATGTTTTCAGAAGACCAAGCCGCAAGCTACTAATAGAATATTTAGGGCAATAAATTCTGACATGGAATAGTAAACCAGAGAGCCAAGGCCCTGTTTTTCGACTCTCTAAAACTGTATATTAGAGAACAGTGTATAATATTTTTGCTATATCGATAGAATTGGCTTTCCAATTTAAGATAATTTGTCATAATAAAGGTTAGGCTATTAAAGTCAGGCGTTAGTCATATTGATGATGCAGCGACTAAAGACCTTCCATATTGAGGTTCATCCGCTTTCGACTCCAACCCAGAGGGTCTGCGCCAATTAAGATACCTTCTGTCTCCTCCTCGCGGCTTCAGTCTTGAGTGGGGGCTTATAGATTTCTGCGGCCCTGCTACTGGCAATTGGAGTAGCTTAATTCCAAGTATCCTTTGAGTCTCTTACTTACCGAAGTGCCTGCCTTTGATAGCTACAGGAAAAAAGACTGTTCCCTATAGCCTGAGCTAAAACCACCAGTTTCTCGGGAGAGGAATGCCCATGGATGCTCATATCCAAAGGACTTTGTTGATCACCTCCATTTCCAACCACAGGAAAAGCAGCCAAAACCTACCTGGATACACATCTGTTGAGCTTGCACACGATTGTCGACTCGGAGTCAGTCCCAGTTCGCCGTGGCCATAATGTCTAAACTACTGCGTCAAGAGGGCAGGTGCATACGTCTCGCCATTTTAATGTATTTTCCATAATAACTGGTGCAAGCAAAACTCAAATGATATTATATTAATGACCTATGATCTAAATTTCCTTAAATCTGCAGCATTTAGACGCAGAAGCTTAAATACCCTTAATTATAAGAATATCTTAAATTAAGCTCAAATATTAATATAAATTTCTTTATCTTAATCTGCGACATTATATTCTCAATATAAACTTTTTAAATAAGCACAATGAATGGCTATTTATAAGATAATTTTGGAGATATCCAAATTTTATCAAAAATGAGCTCTCTTGCTTCCATATTTTTATGAATAAAACGGCTAAGACAAATTATGCGATTAAAATAATATAAAATGAAAATCGTGTTCGTTCTATTACTCAGCCTAAGTGTATTTGCTGTGAAACCTGATTTATTTAAAGCCGCTTTCTTACAAACTCGTGATAAAACCGCCAAATCCACAAATTTCCTTCAATCAGATCCTTCAGAGTTTTATGAATATGCTAAATCAAAGGCTGAAGAGTATGCTCAAGCATACGCAGAAGATGTCTACAGCTACGTACAATCTCAAGCTGAATATTATTTTGAACTATATTACCAAGACCTTGTTGCTTATGTTGGAATTTGCCCCACTTCTGATTCTTTTATTCAGGTATCTCAAGAAGAGTCGACTACAGAAACTGAATTTGTGGTTTCTGAAGAAGATAATGCTGTTAACGGAGATGACACATCAAGTGCTGCAAGTTCACTATTGTCCTCAAGTTAAATGCTTAGAGTTTAATTAAAAAATTTAAAGAAACTAACATTTTTTATTGGAGGAATTGGCAAACATTTTATATAGAAATTTCAATATAACACTTGATTAATTTTTCAAAAATTAACGAAAATTATGTGAAGAACGGAATCAGCATTTTATATATAATACAAATTAATTACCAGATACGCAAGCTTATTATAGTAAGCTTTTCCAATGTAAAGAATTAATTTATAAATACACTGATGCAATAATAACTTATAGGTAAGAAATAATTTATTATAGAGACTCAAAATAATAAAAATAATTTAAGGGGCTACCTTTATTAAAATTTGTAGCACTTAAAGCGTCACCTTCGTAGTTTTAAACCTTAAGATAATAAACTACATTTGATGTATTAATTCATTAAGTACATTTACTTTTTTCACTTTTTAGTTTCTTTACTGTGAAATCTAACTTAACTCATTCTTGATTGATTAAGAAGGATATTTTAGGATTTGAATCATAAATATCTTTCGAGAAATAATTGATAATCATTTCTCATTTTCTACTCTCTGAGTAAAAAATACTTGGGGCCTCTGCATTTTACTCCATGCAAACACCTATGGAGCGCAAAAAAGCCATCAATAATCCCATTCCATTAAAGAGGATGGCTGGCCAATTCCAAACCCCAAACTCATCCTGTATTTATTTTCGAAAATCCTGTGCAACCCTCTCCCACCAATCTCCTTCAAAACTTCCTTAAACCAACCAAAAACCTTCACTCTCCCCTCAATCCTTACTTTTCAACACAAGGCATCTCTCATCGCGGAATCTTTTAGACCCCGCCTCAACCGCGAAACCCAAAAGAAATTCCCGCTCGAATACTCTAAAAATGCTCAAGATGATCCAATCATGGTCTTTAATGAGAAACTTTCCCTAAATTTCTGCTTCCAAATATGCCCAAATCCATGATGGTTTTAATCTGATTTTGATCAACAAAACAATTTTATGATGTCTGAACAGGCAGTTGGCCGAATAACTGACTTGGAATGGAAGGAGAATAGAAATTCAGATTGCAGCATCGAAGATGATGACCTTATCAACTCATTACTAGTCATATACAAGGAAAAAGGCAAGCACTGGCAGAAAAACCCAACCAGGAAATTATTAGAAGCAATTAAGAAAAATCAAGTGTGTGGGAGGGTAAGCTGGGAGAATGTGGTAAGAGAGATGAATGGAATTACGAAGGAACAAGCTATGGCGAGATACTATTACCTACTAAGGAAGCAGAAAAAAGATGAAATGTTCTTAATAGAGATCAGGCAGTTGCAGATGAGTAGATGGCTTACTTCTGGAAAAGGCATTGCATAGCAGGAAGCTATTAAAGTGATAAATTAATTTTTTGGGAAATAATTTAGCTGATAGACGAAATCAGATGCCGGGCAATTTTTTATTGGTTTTCCATATTGAGAATTTGTCTTAATTATGGAGGTTTGGATTTATCCTACGCATTGTCAACTCGCATTGATTAGTATTATGCTTAAGCAATTTAATTTGAATTTTAATTTTACTTTTTAGCATCCTTCTATCATAAATACAACTCTAAAGTCATAGTCAATATTTAGGTAATTTTTGATAAATAAAAAACTGCTTGAATTATTTCTAAGATAGCATTAATCAGATAATCAGATGCTGTCAAATCATAATCAGAGCGAGATTATTATAATTCATATTTATCTGCTTTATAATTCAAATTGTAAATAATTTTTCATTTGTAATTTTGTAATAAGAATAAAAGAACCGACATTTTAATACTCCCAATCAAAAGTTAATAAACATTAAATTTACTATTTTAACTATCCCTATACAAGTTTTCTTTCATCTGTACAATCCACTTAGAAAATTCATTTCTTCTTTCGTTTCCTAAGATGTTATCATAATTTTCAATCCTTTTGGACTCTTTTACAGCTTTTATCATCAAGTCATCACAAAGGGAATCCTGAAACCAAAAAGGAAATTTCGCACATGATAATTCTCTTTGCTTTTTTATTTCAATTTTCCTAAGTAAATCTCACTTATATTCATTTAAAAAAAATAAGTCATCATTGATGTCAATTCCTACTCGGTCTGATTTTTCTTTAACTTTGTGAAGAATTATTGATTTATTCAATAAAGGTGGGACTTTCAAAGGTTTATTACTAGGTAGTTGGAAAGAGGAATTAAGATCGTTTCTTCGATAGAGATATTTGAAAGATGTGTTAGTTGAGTTGGTGCTTGAAGATGTTGGGAAATTTGTAAGTAATCGAGGAACTGTGATGCGCTTGCGAGGGACTGAGGGTTGGGAAGATTCTCGTGTGCGGTGAGAATGCTCAGCTTGGGAAGTATCAGGAATTAGTATATTAGACAAATTAGACATTGATTTTTATGAAGATTATTATAAATTTATGTTTGAGCTCTTCTAATAAAACCTTAGCTGAAAGTTGTCAGAAAAATAAGCATTAAGCTTTTTAATATCATTACAATTTCATTTTATTGCATAGTTTGAAGGCTTCCTTTAATTAATTGTATCTAAATTCTTAGATTTAAATAATTATAATATAAATAAAAATATTGATTTGACAAAAATTTATCGAATAAGTAATATTTAGATAATAGCTCATAATTTTTAATTTATTAAGAAAATTTATTGAAGATTATAAGAAAAATAAAATATTATAAAATAATACATCTATCTAAATATTATAGGTATAATTATTAGTACATCAACTGCTGAAGGAAAAATAGCCTAAAATAGTTGATTAAATCTAAATTTCCAACCATAATAAAGCATTTAAGCCATAAATTTATTAATTACTAAATATTAGGCTGAGTAAAAAGCTTTTCAATATCAACTTTATACTTTTTGCTAGCAAATTGCCGCCTCAATTTCATCGTTGGAGTATATTCTCCTCCTGCAATTGAAAACTCTGATGGAAGATACCCTCACTTTTTAATCTGATGGACTCTCGTTGAAGCATGCTTATTATACTTATCAATTGCCTTTTGGATAAACTTTCTTAAGGCTGCACAATTTTCTCCTGATTTTCTATCTACAGCAGCACTTCCAATCGATGTTAAAACATCTAAAATTTCTTTGCTTAATTCATTACTATAAGATCCATCTGGAAGCTGCTGATATTTTAAGCTTAATAAAGCTGCTAAATATTTTTTCCCTTCACCAACGACTAAAACAGTGTTTAATATATTGCATTCATTTTTAATCTTTTCTTCAATTATAAAAGGCGGCACTTTTTCTCCTCCTGCAGTTATGATGAGCTCTTTAATTCTCCCAGTGATATACACAAATCCATTTATATCTACATATCCTTCATCTCCTGAGTGTATAAATCCGTCTGCATCAATGGCTTTTCTTGATTCTACTTCATTTTTTAAGTAGCCCAAAAACTTGTTTCTTCCTTTAAAACAAATTTCTCCGATTTCTCCTATTGGCAATTCTTCCATTTTTGAGTTAATTATTTTTAGTTCTGCGCCTCTGAGCGGCTTTCCTGCACTATTTAAGGCTCATTGGCCTGGCCCACAATAAGTCATAGGTGCAGCATTTTCAGACATTCCATAGCCAATTAATATATGCAAACCTATTGACCAGAAAAAATTAAATGTGCTTTGTGGTAATGGAGCAGCCCCTGTTGCTAACACTCTACACCTATCAAATCCTAATAAAGCTCTTATTTTTTCAAAAAATATAGAGTTAGCTAAATAATAAGACCTATTTAGCGGTTGATTTTCAATATGAGATATCATAGATTTTCCAGCTACGTTTTGGGCTCATCTTATCAGTTTTTTTTGTTGAGGTGTGCTGGATGAAATCATTTCTTTTATTTTTTCTTCAAACTTTTCCCATATTCTTGGGACTGCAAAGAAAAATGTTGGCCGCACTTCTTTAACGGTATTCGCAATGGTGCCTTGCAAAGCATTTTCATCAGCGAAGCTTAAGCATCCTCCTAGAAATATGCAGCAAAAGATATCAAAGCATTGCGCTGCAGAATGGCTTAGTGGAAGAAATGAAATTATTTGCTCATCCTCTCTATCAAGCTTAAATCGCTCACATATCCTTTTGGCACACCAAATATAATTATCATGGCTTACTCCCCCCCCCCCTCCGTGAGCGAACAAAACCATTAGAAAAATCGCCATTTTTTGACCAAAAACCCACCCTCCGTGAGTGAACAAAAATTTTTTTAATAGAAAAAATTTTAATGGAAAAAAATTTTGATATATAAGTGATAATTAGTATAATGAAATCTAGAGCTAATTCTGTTTAATTTTAAACAAATTGCGTTTTAAAACATAAATTTTGCAAATTAAATTAATATTTGCTTCCCAATTTTTGCAAATTAGGATTTTTTTAAATTTCGAAAAAAATATTTTTTTATAAAATTTTATATATAAATTTTTTTTAAAAAAAAAAAATTAACCCCCCTCCGTGAGCGAACAAAATTTTTTTGTTCGCTCACGGAGGGGGGGGGGGGGAGTTAGTAAAACTCCTTTAGGAGGCCCAGTCGTCCCTGAAGTGTACACAATGGTTGCTGCTTGTGTAGGCCTTATAGCTTGAATTCTATTTTCTATTTCATTTGGGTCTACATTATTTCCGAGCTCCATAAATTCACTTCATGTGAATATTAATTTAGTATCAGTTTTCCACTTTGATAGGCTAGCTTTTGGCCAATAAACTATTATTGCTTTGATTTTCGGCAGTTTTTCCCACACTTCTAAATACTTCGCCAAATAAGTTTCATTTTGGACTACTATCAGTTCGGCTTCACTATGATCAGCGGCATAAAAGCAACTTTCAGTACCACTTGTCGTGTAAACTCCTACTGGAATGCAGTTAGCTAATAAAGAGCCGCAAAATGAGATGAGCCATTCTGGGGAGTTAAATCCAATAATGTTTATTGCTTTCCTTTGAGTAATTCCTAAACTGATTAGAGAAATAGCGAATTGGACTGATTGGTTGTAGTATTCTTGATAAGTTCAAGACACTCATTCGTTATCTTTTTTGATTCGCAGAGCAGTTTTCAATGGGAATTTTAGAATTGTGCTTTGAAACAGCTGAGGAAATGTAATTGGAGGGTCTAAAGCTTCTTCAGGAGACATGACGATTGGAAGCTCATCATTGATTCCTGTCACTCAGTGCAATCATTGCTTACTGTTTGGAATTTTATTAGACAGGGCTGAGTCTGAAAACCAATAATGAAGTGGATTTTGCATTTATAATATGAAAAATAAATTAAAATTTCCTGCATTAATTACATTATTTAGATTTCTTTTTCAAGCATTTCCAAATTTTCCCTGCATTGCAAAAATATGACTTTTTTTCATCTTCAGGGTTCAGTCTTAGATTTACAATTTCTGCAACTTTTTCTCTCTGCTTTTCATTCAATAGATACCCAAGCACGCTTTCAATTGGAGAAACATAGCACAATAAGCCCATAATTTCATTTATTTTAATTTCGCAGAATTCTTGATTTATATAATTCCATACTTTTATCGTTGACTCTTTATATTGAGATAAAAGCTTCTGAGCCAATTCCAACGCTTCAATCACTGAATTTTCTCTTATCAGATCAATAAAGGCTTGGGAAGATAAAATAAGATAAACTTCTGAGCCAGGAAACGCTAAATCTGGGGTAAACTGTTCAAGTATTTGGAGTGCTTTAATAGAATCTCCTGAATTTATAAGGACAGATATTACACTGGATAAGGCTCTTGGAGAAGGATCATCATGCTGAGGAGCGACTTTAAGCTCTTCAAGTTCTATAGCTACATCTTCAGTTTTAAGCAGAGAATAACTCAATGTTCGGACAGATATATTTCCCATGATTAACTTTAAATTAAAAGGGTTTACAGCCTGCATAGAAATAGGCTCTTTACTTTTCAGATGTTTTTATTTATAAAGAAATTCCGAATCATTATAATGTGTATAGAAACTTTCATCAAAATAAATGAATTATGTAAAATTTAATATTAATAATTCATTTGAAATTCTCTTTTACTCTGATAATTAAAATGAATTACTATGCAATTTTAATTTTCCCTTTATATGTTCTGAGCGCTGATATGCAATCGGAAGCACTACTGTTGCTCAACAATTTCTACCAAGAAATCAGTGGCAAACACAATGCTTTTTACGAACTCTATGATCTTATCTTTATTTTCTCAAACTCCACAGGCAACTTGCAGAACTCCCTAGTCCTTCTCCTCAATAACACTCACACAAATTCCACATCATTACATTACATTGTCTTACTCCCCCCCCCCCCCCTCCGTGAGCGAACAAAAAAATTTTGTTCGCTCACGGAGGGGGGTTAATTTTTTTTTTTAAAAAAAAATTTATATATAAATTTTATATAAAAAATATTTTTTCGAAATTTAAAAAAAAATCCTAATTTGCAAAAATTGGGAAGCAAATATTAATTTAATTTGCAAAATTTATGTTTTAAAACGCAATTTGTTTAAAATTAAACAGAATTAGCTCTAGATTTCATTATACTAATTATCACTTATATATCAAAATTTTTTTCCATTAAAATTTTTTCTATTAAAAAAATTTTTGTTCACTCACGGAGGGTGGGTTTTTGGTCAAAAAATGGCGATTTTTCTAATGGTTTTGTTCGCTCACGGAGGGGGGGGGGGGAGTTAGAAAACTCTTCTCCAAACTCTACTGAGCTTATTATGCATGTTTCTCCAATATTTAATACTTTACTTCCCCATCCATGAGCGAACGAGCCCATTGGAAAATCCCTATATTTTTGTTAAAAAACTGCTTCCTGTGAGCGAACAAAAAAAAAATTTTTTGCTAATTCTGTAGAATTTTAAGTAGATTGCATTTTAAAACGTAAATTTTATTAATTTCTGCCTTCCAATTTTTGCGAATCGGGGTATTATTACTATGTAATGTTTTTTTAAAAAATTAACTCCTGAGCGAATAAAATTTTTTATTCGCTCAAGTAGAGGGGAATTAGAAAGTGACAAAAAATACCTGACTGAAGCTTTATTCAGCTTTTTCGACGCAAGTGAGTTGCATTTTGATATTTTGGTCCCACCAAAGAGACAAGACTTTAAAAATAACGAAAATCTCAGTGAATCTGTAAAAAATCTGGCTTTTATCAATGCGGTTATATCTTATAAAAATAAAACGTTTTCAGCAAATTTATTAATTGACAAGAACAGAATAATAAAGAAGGATTTTTGGGAAATTCCTCCTATTAATGAAACTATAACTTATTTTTATAAGCCTACGTCAAATCCCATAACTTTCTTTGTCGTTTTTACCATAGTAATTACTGCGGCTTTAAGTTATGCTTCGATGTTCTTATATTGTAAATATAGAAATGCTTTATTGGGAATTTTAAATTATAAAGAAGAGCAAGTAGGCTGATCGAGTTAGATGTAGGTCATTGAATCTGCAGAAGCTTTATTCTATTTTTATAAAAAAAGGGCATTGATCTGATCTAATTATGAGAATTCAATCAAAAGCAGCATATTATCTCTTAATCAACCTAAAGAAATTGCGTAAATTATTTCATAAAGTCTAATTAACTTAAAGGTCAAAGTGTCTTATTTCATGCCTTTTGGCTTCTTCTTGCTGCTGTTCAGGAGTTAGCTTGGACTTTTTATCCCAGTATTCCTCAGCTTCATCTGGACTTAAATGTGGAACATCAGGCAGTTCGAATTTAACATCTACGTACTTTTCGACGAAAAACATCATCCTAAGCACATCCATGTCTCCAGTGTATCTTATATAAGGCGGATGTTTGTGAAAAGCTGGGAATAAATAAATCGAAGGAATAGTATCTGTCTTAACAAATTTATGGACTGACTGTATTGCTACATCCATCCTATAAACTCGCAAATTTGTAAATTCCAGCTCGCCGTATCTTTTAGCAAGCTTATTGAAGTAAGGAGCTATTGTGTATGATTCCTGATTTTTGTGGGAAGAATAAAATAGCACTACAACGTCAAAGCCTTCACCAAGCACCAATTCATCAAAAGTTTCTCTTGTGACTATTGGAGTGTCTTTATATTTCTTTTCTAATTCAATATCTGGCTTATAGTCAGGGACATTTTTGACTGAATGCTTATTTTCTAAAAATTCTGTTACAAATTCTGCAATAGACTCCCTTGTAATTGGTTTTCCTTCCAAATATGGGTAAATTCTTCCATCTGCTAAATTAAAAGCGAGACTTGGAAGAATTTCAGTCACAAGCCCAATTTTTCGCTTTCTTTGCTTATTGATTTCTTCAGTGCCATCAAGCCAAACGAATTTTATATGGTCTTCAAAGTCCCTGGCGACTTTTTTGAAAATATCAAGATATTCGTCCATATTAACATTGTTTTTGTCTAGAAACATGATGAGCATAGGCAGTCCAATTCCTTTGTAGACTTGATAATTATAAGGGGTAAGCTCTTCAACCAGCCCTACACCGTTTCTAGTTATCCAATTCCCTAAGTTCTGAGGGAGCGCTAAGTCTAGAACTTTATCATCGGCTCCTCTTTTACTTAAAACTAGGCTGTTCAAGTAAGGAATCCATTTTTCTCTTTGCTTTAATTCTTTGATCAATGCTTTGTCTCTCACAATTCCCACTTGGCAGTTCACCCAATTTGCCAGAGCCATCGAGACTTTTTCATATTGCTTTGCTAAAGAGTCATCAGCATCATCATCGTCATATATAAAAGCAACCAGTGTCAAATAGTTATTATTGCCTTCTGGCGGCGTTAAAAATTTTTCAATTTCTTCTTCACTCTTCAAAGTTATAACTGGTAAATACATTCTGTCTACAAAATTGACAATTTTTGCAAAGTTCACGTAATCATGATATTTATAAAACTTTCCTTTTTTCACTGCATAAATCACAGGGACCTCATCATTTTCTGCCATAAATTTTTTGATGAAATTGGTTTTGCTGATATCAGCCCTTGCCAGCTTGATTCTTGGCGTTAAGGTATCAAGCACCTCCAGTACTTGCTTGTAGATCGGCTCATAATGGCAGCAATTCTTGCACCATTTGGCTGAAACTCCAAGAAGAAACAGTTCATTTTCCTTTGTGAAGTTTTTAAATTGAGCCTCTGAAGTAATATTCACATCTCCAATAGCAAAATTTTCTAAAACGCAATCAGCGGACAAAGTGACCGCGATAAGTAGTGCGAACCATTTTAAATCCATTTTTATATACGTGTAATTATTCCGAATAAAGTTCCCCTAAGGACTCTTCTACGTCTTTTTCACGATTTTGTTTTCTCTCTTCTCTGATTTCTTCAGCTCTTTTCATCATTGCTTTCTGCCCTGTTATGTCATCTAGCTCATATTTCTCGCCTTCTCTAGAAGATTCAACGAAATTAGCGAAATCTATATAAAAATTACGTGCGAAATGGCTTAAAACAATTCCTGCTGCTACGGAGACGTTTAAGGATTCTGTGTTGCTTCGGTATTGTGGAATATATATGAAGTAATCACAAATTGATTTTTCGATATCTGATAGTCCAGTTCCTTCATTTCCCAATATAAAAGCGGTGCTTTTATTGAATGGGGAATTCCAAACATTTCTGGACGAGTCCATAATTTCAATTCCACAAATTTCTATTCCTAAGCCTGCAGCATATTCTTTCAGGCTAGTTAAATTCTCAAAATATCGATAAATCAGCCTTTTGGCTGTCCCTTGATTTCCAAATGTTGAAAGTTTTCGTTGCCCTACAATTCAAATTTCTGATACGCTAAAGGCTGCAGAAGATCTAAGGATACTGCCTATATTGTGTCTTTTTGCGACATTATGAATAATTAGAAAGCTTTCCATTTAATTTATGATATTAATTTTGCTTTTTGGAGATCTCGCCCATTCATGACCGTGCTCTTTTATGCAGATGTTACAAGGGTTTTTTCTATCAGCATGAAGTCTATTTAAGAATTGCTCTGAGTATGGGCTTTTTTTCTTCTTAGGCTTTATTTTTTTGAATTTTGGCTCACACTCAGTTCTTGCAGTAAGTGCTGTGTCTAAAGTATGGTAAATTTTTGTTGATAGTTCATCGATTTTTTCACCGTTCTTGATAAACAAGTCTTCAAGCTGACGTATTTTGCGGGGATTGATCCTATCAGTTTCTTGAGCTGAAAATTTTTTTTGAAGATCGTTGTATAATTTCATCTGCTCAAATCGTGCCTCTTCACTAAAGGCAAGTTTTTGTTCGAGCTCTCGGAGACAGTTTTCCAAGCGAGATTGATAGCGAGACACTGGCTCGAAGCCTTCAAGCTGACTTCGGTATTCATCTAATGAGTTGCTCTGGAGCTGTAGCTGCTTGTCTTTATCTTTTATTGCTTCTTGCAGTTCTGAAATTCTTTTGTTAGCTAGATCAATTAAATTTTGATTTTCTACTTCTTTAAGCTCACTTACTCTTAGTTTGCAATCGATATCTTGAAATGCACTTGTCTGAGCAATTGTTTTTTCATTAAGAATTTGCATTTCATTGCTATAGTCATTTTTCATATCCTGATAAGCTTTGCTTAGCAAGTCAAACTGCTTTCTTATTTCCCATTTTTGCGCCTCACTAGCTTCCAATTCATTCTTAATCCTATTGACTTCCTTATCAATTTCCTTCACCATTTCTGCATATTCTCTTTCACTTCCCAAGCTTTCCTTTAATTTTTCTCCTTGGGCTTTCAACAATATATGCAATTCATCATTTTCCCTTTCCAAGTCTCCAATTCTTCCTAGTCTTGTTTTCAATTTTTCATTTTCATGGTTTTCATCCCTCAGCTTTCTGATTTCTCTTTTTAACTCATCAATTTCTTTTTCTAAATTTTTAACTATTTCATGCTGCTTAGAACTGGACATTTGCTGGATTTCTATTTTTGCTTCAGATTCAGGCGTTTTTGATGTATTGCAGCTGCTTGGAGATTCTTGAATTTCAATTTCGTCAAATTTAAATTCTATTCAAGGACATGGGACAATGTCAGGTTTTTCAAAAAATTCAGCTGCAGTTAGTTGTTTTTCAAATTGTTCATGAAGGCGAGCTCTGGGCTCTGAGAAATTGTCAAGTTGCTGACGTTTTGATGATAGTTCTTGAAAGGTCGCATATTTAGTTTCTTGTTTATTTTCAGTAGTTTGCTGAGGACCTAAAGTAGGGGTTTCGTCAAGATATAAAGAAACCCTATTATCTTCAAAAGAGCATATGCTAGACATAATATTAGAAATCGTTACATAATAAGTCTTTAATTATGCAGTCTAATATTAATTAGCAAAAAATTCTAATTATATATATTTCATAGATTTATAAAAAAGCTTTATAAATACTATTCACAAATTGCAGTATTTTCTTTATTAAGAAAAGTATTATCATAAGCATATTTATATTAAAGCATATAAGAGCCAGCTGCTCTGCGTCCAGGATTATACGTATTAAATTCAGAAGCTCTATAACTTTGTCTATCATTATGATTAGACTCATCAGCCAAGTCTTTCGGCCCATTTACAAAAGATTCTGAGTCTGCTTTTGGCCTGAAAACATATCTGGAGTCTATATCTTCAGCAAACTCAAATGGGTTTTTCATCGAGTCTCTCATAACTAAATCATTCTTTGGGTGAGGCTTGATAGGGAGTTTTTCTCTCATAGCTGTCTGGTAAATTTCTCTCTGACTCATTCATGAAGTGTTAAATTATTTTAGCAAAATTTTATTTTGAAATTTAAAAAAATCCCATTCACAAAATTTAGAGAATGCAAATTAATTTAATTTGTAAAATTTATGTCTATAACGCTAGCTATTAGAATTCAGCAAAATATAAGAGATTGCATGACAATAATTATCATTTATATATTAAAAAAAATTTTTGATCAGTCAGGGAGGAGGGGTGAGAAATTTTATAAGGTTTTGCGTATTTTTCCCAGTCTTCAATATGCAGTTCTTCAATTGAGGTCTGGCGTACAGGAGGTGCATATCCTCCAGCCCATGTTTCACTGCGGTCACGATAAGCGTTGCTTGGCGAAGGACTTATGTCTTCAGCTTCTCAGGATTCATAGTTTTTCATGCTCAAGGATGTAGATTCTCGGTATAGAGTCAGAAACGAAATGCTGTCTATTTTCAAATCATAAGCTTTGTCTACTTCCATCACGATGACCAAGTGGCTACCAATATGAAAGGGAAAGCTAAACAGTGACCCTGATTTTTTCCCATCAAATTTTATGTCACCGTCCACTTTTATTGTCCTCTTGCCTGAGTATTTGCTTGCAAATAGATCAACTGTCACTTCCTGGCCTTCGAGAGTGAATTTTCAAGTGTAGCGCTTTTTGGAAGATTTTATATGCTTGCCGACAGCTTGTTCTTCGAAGTACTGAGCTTTTACCCCTCTTAACATGGATATTTAGGAGATTTTATGAGAAGAAAAAGAAATCAAAATGGTAAAAGCGTTTAAAAATCTATCAACAAAAAATATAACTTTGAACTGATAAGTATCAGTGCATATTACAAATAAAATACGAAAATCAAGAAATTTCCATCTTATTAATAGCTTCCCTTTTATTTTATTTTCTATCTCCCTTAATGCCCACTCTTACATTAAGGATTGCAATAAATTTTGCTTTATTAAGAAACTCTCATTCACTCTGAGAAAACTTGATAAAAATTAGCTAGTGGAAATTTTAGTTATAATTTTATAATGGTGGTGAAATTATTATTCCTTCTAGGAATTGCATTTGCGATCATCCAAGTCCCTCTGCATCCTCTCAAAACCAACCAAGAGTTGCATGCTTACTACAAGACTCCAAGGAAATACACCAGATTTGGAGCATCAACAGGCAATGTCCCAATCGTTAACTACCAAGATGCTGAATACTATGGAACAATTGGAATTGGGACTCCAGCCCAACAATTCAAGGTTATTTTTGACACTGGGTCTTCCAATTTGTGGGTGCCTTCCTATAGCTGCCAAACCTTGGCTTGCTTCACCCATGATACTTATAAGTCATCTGCTTCCAGCACTTATGTGAAAAATGGCACATCCTTCAGCATATCTTATGGCTCTGGATCTGTGGAAGGATTCACAAGTCAAGATACAGTCACTTGGGGAAACTTTACTATTCCTAAAGTACTTTTTGGCGAAGTTACCGACTTACAAGGAGTTGCCTTCATCACAGGAAAATTCGACGGAATCCTTGGCATGGCCTGGCCTTCAATTGCAGTGAACAACATTCCTCCTACTTTCTATTCCTTGTACCAAACAGGGCTGATTCCTGCTAACCAGTTCTCTGTTTATCTCAGCAAAGTTGTTAATGCCCCTGGCAGCCAACTTATATTAGGTGGATCAATCAGCAGCCTCGGAAAATCAGCATTCTCATATGTCTCCCTCAGCAACCAAACCTATTGGTTAATAAACATCGATAAAGTTTCAATTGGAACTGAAAAAATTCCATTTTCCGGCCTGAAAGGTATTGTTGATACTGGTACATCTCTATTAGTTACCAGAAGCAAAATTATGGATTATATGAGAGTCAAGATTGGGATCATCAACACTGACTGTTCAAATCTTAACACCCTCCCTAACATCACCTTCACCCTTGGTGGCAAAGACTATCCTTTGACTCCTTATCAATATGTTTTGAACTTAACATCTCTAAATCAAAATATAACTGACTGCGAAGGAGGACTTGAAGGAGCTGACTTCGGAGCTCAAATGGAGCATGATTTCATCCTTGGGGACGTCTTTATCAGAGCTTATTATACACTCTTTGATTATGGCAACTCAAGAGTCGGCTTTGCGCCAGCAGCTTAATAAGTTAAACGATTAGAATTAATAAGACTATTGGATATCTTTATAAAGAAATTAAGTTAAAAAGAAGTGAATGATAAGATATTATGAAATAGGTTTTTATAGAATAATTAAATTTATTGTAAAAATAATTGCGTAACAATTATTGACTGATAAATGGACCCTAGCTTGTCATTGATTTTTTTACAGTAGTAGTGTGCCGAGAAGCACCATATCGATTGATTATATCACTTGGATGCCGCAAGCCTTCATTTCTCGCCTGCAGTCCGCAGATGATTAAATGGTCTGCAAAAAAGTGATCTTCTGCAGCTTTCTTGCAAGCTTTTATGATATCTGGCCTGATTTCATTAGAAATCCTTATCATTTCTTTCAAATAAGCAGGAGCCTGCTCCAGTTCTTTGCAATTTTTATTTGTGTTTTTAATTGCAGCGATTTTATCAACCATGCAAAATTCATCAACCAGACTAGCTACTTTATGAGGGAAATCTTGGGATTTATTAGCTAGTTCTGACAGTTGATCATCAAGCAAAGCAAGTTTTTCTCGAAGACTTTCAATGAATTTAATTAATTCGCGATAGGTTTTCATCATTTTTCTTGAACTTGAGTTTAGAAGCTTGGGGTTTAAATCTATGTAAGGGGAAGTTTCTTCTGAGTAGGTAAGGCTAAGAGATTCTAAATCACCTCTGGCCATAGTGGAAAAAACGATAAGCATAAGCCTTACTAACTCTTCAAAACTGTGCTGCTCTTCTCATTGGCTTTGGGCTCCAAGTGATTCAATGAATTCTGTTGTTCGTAAATCGAGCTCAACTTTGATTTCATGGACTTGCTTGAGTAATGGCTCACACTTAGTGAAAACACTGTCAAAGTCTTCAATTCCTGTGTTGGCAAGACGCTGGCCGGGCTTGGGAGGTTTTATCCGTGATTTACTGCCAGAAAGACCCATTTAGTGAATATTTTAATAAATATGAACAATATACCATTATTTTTAAATTCCACCTAACTCCATGCTCATTGAGTGGGGTTAATTTTTTTTAAAAAATTTATATATAGAAATTTCTCATAGATGGCGCTGTTTGCCCCATGAGAAAAATTTTTTGGTTTGACCAAACCATATGGGACTGGTCGAACCAAAAAATTTCCCCAGTGGGCAAATCAAGGGCAAACAGCGCCATCTATGGGAAATTTATATATATATTTTATACTAAAATTTTATTTTTCGAAATTTAAAAAATTCCAATTAGCAAAAATTGGAAAGCAAATATTAATTTTATTTGCAAAATTTATGTTTTAAAATGCAAGTTGTTTAAAATTAAGTAGAATTAGCAAGGGATTTCATTATATAATTATCACTTATATATCAAAATATTTTTTATATTAAAAAAATTTTTTGTTCACCCATGTAGGGTTAGTTTTTGGGCAAAAAAAAAGGATTTTCTAATGATTTTGTTCGCTCATGGATGGGGGGAGTAAGGATTTATAGGTTTCAGTAGCACTTGGAATATGGCCACGCTTGGAAATCAAAACAGGCTCAAATGACACCTTTTTCTTAGGTGGAAAATAGGTTTGAGTGCTAAACATTGGCGATTTAACTGAAATTTCTTTTTCACCTGCCTTTAAATTAAGCTTAGTAGGTTCGGTTTTAAGGCTTTTATTTGACTTAAAATTCTTTTCACTCACACTTGTACTGTATAAAGCTTACTTAGAAAATTTAGATTGCGATAAAGAAAAAGTATCTCACCCTGAACTTGTATTCTGCAAATTTCTTGGAGATTTTACTCTTGGAACAATAGATGAATTTTTTTCTTGAAATTCTGAGTTCTTTTTTATATGCTTATTTCCAGAGTTCATCAGCCTTTTTCCTGATGCTATTGCATCATTAACAGAAAAATATATTTTTTCTCTTTTTTCTTCGATTGGAATTATTTTTTTCTCAGTTAATCTTACAAATACTTCGTTATCAGATTTCTTATTAGAAAACTGTTCTTTGAATTTCGCGACTTCTTCGTCTTCGATCAGTTCTTTTTCTTTCTTTTTCGCTTCGATTTTTTCTCATTTTCTGAGCCAAAACTGTTGGAGCCTGTCCACAAGTTTTTCTTCTTGATCCTTTGACAGCCTGTTTGCTCTTAGCTCTTTTGATTCCTGCTCCTGCAAAAGCTCTTTTATTTTTTGCCGCATTTCAATGGTTTGCTGCCTGCCTATGGCATCTCTAATCAGCCTGTTAAAAGTTTCTTCTTTCTGTGCTTTGGGAATTTTCTTTGTATTTTGGTGTTTTTGAATTTCTTTTTCTTTTATGTTTTTTGTAATTTCGATTATTTTTTCCCGGGCTTTATTCCTGCGCTCTAAATCATTGTTCATCCTTTGGAAAAATTCGTCAAAATCCCCTAAATTAGATTGCTTTTTATTTGGATTTTCGCCCTTGAGTGATCTTTGTTTGATATCGGTTATTAGTTTATCTAAAGCTTTTATAGGACCTGAATTGTACTGCTTTAGTCATGTATTAGAGGATTCGTACTGCTGGCTTGGATCAAGAGTAATTGGTATTGGTGGAATCCAAGGGTTTATGTCTTCATCATTCAAAGCTTGCGGTTCGGAAAAAATGCCTTTCGAGCAAATTAAATTCGAATGGTATTTGTCTATTGAAGTTGTTTTCTGAGAAACTGTGGGCTCATCACAGCTGAATAAGGATTACATAGAAATGTCATCATCAGGAAGATCCATTACTGTATTTTTTGTAAACAATGAAAGAATATCAAAAAACGATCTTATTGGCAATAGTTTATGCAAAATAATTAGCTTAGAGATTGAAAATAGATCCTTTAGGCAAGATTTGCCTTCAGAAATTACAGGGTTTTTATGAAATTATGAATATTAATTAATTTATTCTGCATAACTATGAATAAAAAAACATAGAAATCAGATGTTTTCTTTCAGATTCCAAACTGTCTTCCTCATTCCTTCGAATTCCTTTTATTTCTATTTCTCCTTTGTGTGTAAGTGGCTCAGTGAACACTTTTGCCAAGAAATTTGCCGTCAACCCATTATGAAGACCGTTATCAATCAGATGCCTCAAAAAATGAATAATTGCCAAAAAGCAGCACTCTGCCACTGGATCTAAATTCTGTAATAGATTTGCCCTTGCAGAAGCAAAGGACGACGATTGGAAAACTTTGACACAGCCATCTATCAAATCTGAGGGCAAAAGTGGTTCATCCAAGGACTCCAGAAATTCGAGCATCACAATGCTCATTGAAAAAACATCAACGTCTTCCCTAAAAGGCTCGCCATTGTCCAATACATCTCTGATGTGTGCTTTTATTTCCAAAATCCCAGTCTCTTGAAATAATCCTTTTTCCCTTGACCCAAAATTTTTAATGAAATTTATCATTCTCAGAAGCTCTTTTGGGACTTCAACAATTGGTTCTAATTGAGAAGCAACCCATTCCATACGATTGGGAAGCGAGGCTACTGGGTAAGAAATTTTGACTAAATCCTGAATTTTTGCACCAAAGCAGGAACCTTTATAGTCTATCGATACCTCAATCTATATAAAGCTTACATAATAGTCAGAGCCGCCTATGACTCCAAGTATAAAAATTAATGATAAGTAATCGTCGTCTTTATTCGCCAATCTTGACTGGTGCTTTCCGAAATCTACAGTAATGATCAATTCTGTAGACTCTCCTGGCGATAAAGATCCAGTTGTTGGAGAAATGCTTAAATATGATTTATTTTTTGTTAATTCAGCATATTCTTTGATTTCAAAAATTGCGAATGAATTTCCAGTGTTTTCAATACTTAGCTTCTGGGACTGCGGGACTTTGTATTTGACTCCTGGGAATTCCATGCTTATAGTTGATAAGGTCAGTTTGGGGAGAGCTTCATATTGGACTTCATCTATAATTTTATAAATTTCGTTTCGAACTTTTTCTTTCAGCTCTGAATCAGCTTGCTTTACACGGATAAGAAAGCTTGCAAATACTGGCTTGTGATCGCTTTGGATTACATATGAACAAATTCCATATCTGATTAATTGAGCTTCACCTTTTCAAAGAACTCTGTCACATCAGGAAGGGTCTCTTTTATTATTAGTATCAAATTTATTTGATCCAATATAATATTTGAAACTTGGGGGAAAGTCAATTTTTCCTTCTGAAAAATCAGCTAAAATCTGATTTGTCTTTTTTTCAATGTCAAATTGGTCGTAACGTAGTAGCTCATCATACTGCTGACTATTAAGTCTGGACAAGATTTCATCAGTGTTCAGCTTATTTAGTCGATAATTCAGGTCTCCAGTCCAAAAAATGTAATCATGCTCATATATCCCTTTGATTTCTTTATCATCTAATGTGAATTTCGCATATTTTAATATTGACTTCACATGGTGGTTTCGCAGCCTTGTTTGGTGCTTGTGAGCAGCCAAATGGCAATTTATCACACAAATGGTGGAGTCAAAAAATGAAAATCGTTGGCAGATAGCTCCTTTGTTGCCTGTGTAGCCTTTTAGGCCTAGTTTCACACATGAGTCTTTAATGTTTGACAAATATTCTTGCAAGGAGCTTTTCACTATAATTAATGATAACAGCCCTACTAAACTTTGGTAACCAGCCTAATTAGACTTTACAACTACGTAATCATTTCCAGGAAATGACAAATTGACTTGTTCACATAAGTGATTTGTTCACTCTCGCATCCTGGCTTCTGCTCCCAGCAAGTTTTTTGCAGTGAGCTCACACATTTCTTGTAAACAAATTAATAAAATATCAGGACTTTCTTCTGGAGAGTCATATTTTTCACTCTGGCACTTATACCATAAAGACAGCTCTTCTTGAGGCTGAGTACCTGCAGTATTTCAAGTCCCCACCATGATCCTGATATTTCTCTTTTCTGTAAATTCGCTTTCTCTTTTCCTCAATTGTTCGTTGATGTAAAAGTCCATTGCCTCTTTTCCGTAGTCTTCCGGATGCAGCAGTGAGCTCCTTTTGGCAGCAGCTTCCTCTTCTTCAGCGTTGATCATTTTCACCTGAGCAGGGATCATTTCTTCATAAAACCAGAGCCATTTATAAGATGTCGCATTCGAATTAAAAGGGTCTCGCTGGTATTTTATGGCTTCTTCTAACTCCCCCCCCCCTCCGTGAGCGAACAAAACCATTAGAAAAATCACCATTTTTTTGACCAAAAACCCACCCTCCGTGAGCGAACAAAAATTTTTTTTAATAGAAAAAATTTTAATGGAAAAAAATTTTGATATATAAGTGATAATTAGTATAATGAAATCTAGAGCTAATTCTGTTTAATTTTAAACAAATTGCGTTTTAAAACATAAATTTTGCAAATTAAATTAATATTTGCTTCCCAATTTTTGCAAATTAGGATTTTTTTTTAAATTTCGAAAAAAATATTTTTTATAAAATTTTTATATATAAATTTTTTTTAAAAAAAAAAATTAACCCCCCTCCGTGAGCGAACAAAATTTTTTGTTCGCTCACGGAGGGGGGGGGGGGGGAGTAAGTAATTTCCTATCTTTACTTACTTAAACTTAATTACTCGGTATTTAAGGTGTCTAGTGCCGCAGTCCCAAAATGGAACTTTTAGCTAACTAGTGACGTCATGAAGCCATCTTGGATCACGGTGGTGAGCCCAACCCGCCAAGCCTTTTATCAACGCTTCGCCCCTAGCCGCCGCACATCTGACCCGGCGCGTTGCCGTCGCTCTTCCCTGATTCAGCTCCTGCGCGTGCTCCGCCTAAGGGTCTTCTTCCCGTGGAGAAGTGCTGAGGGTAAAACTCCGAGATCTTGAACGCACTGAGGAGCTGTTCCTTTTGATTATCCCAAAGTTAAACAGCTATTGCTGTGCAGAAGTTCTCAAGAGAAAACCCAACCCCATAAATAAAATTCCATGAGGGAGAGAAAATTAGCAGAGCTAATTTCTCTCGAACCGAATGCCATTTTATTTATAAGTAATTTCCTATCAAATTGATGAAGTCGTTGCTGATCACTTTGATTTTCCACTCAGTTTCCAGATAATTCAGCCATTGAATTGTATAGCCTGTCGAAGTATGAAATAATTTCAACTCTTTCGTCAAAGGGAAAGCTTGAATCAAGTCCAGTTTATTGTTCAAAGGATACATATTTCGTGGCCGGAACAAGAAAAGTCTGTATGTGTCTTACGCATATTCACATTGGCTGGTTTTATTTCCTATTATAGAGAGGAAGAAATCCCTGAATTTATTTTTGTGAAAGAGAGAAATGGGTTCGACCTGAAATAAAGCTTACATGAAGAACAGTCTCAGAATCGCGGAGTTTGCTTTGAATTATTTTAGTTGAGGCAATAGTTTTACTCATATTTCTTATATTAAAGCGAAAGAAATGAAAAATTCACGTCATCTAAATAATAAGAATATTGAGCGAGATACTGCAGGTTATTATAAAAATGTCAAAGTTCTTCAATGCAATTGGACTCATGCTCGCGTTTGTTGGGGGCTATGTAGTTACTGATAAACTATTGCCAAAACCTAGCCCAAAGGCAGATCCCAATCACGACGACCAATATATTTACAAAGGAGTCAACGCTGCAATGAGTTCACAAATAACAAGAGTGAAGTAGCTAATTTTAAAATAGGCTTTTTTAATTCATTTGTTAATTTAATAATGAAATACGATGTGAAGATCTTTTGTCTCAGTCAGCAGATATGATTATACATTTTCCTTGCTTTTCAGCTACTATTAATTTCATTATCCATTGGCAGTGTTTTTACAGACCATTGAGTTAAACAAGGCAGAGACAGTTCTAAATGGCAAGGAGGAATTTCAAGCTGTACGAGTGGCCCAGCGGAATGAAAAGGGAAAACTTATGCGACTCTTGCTGAAAATCTGTGTGACAAGGATGACGATTTAGATAAAGCCATGTGCTATACTTTTGAGCATTTAAGGGACGCTGGGCTTTCTTTTATTATTTTGGAAATATGCACAATTTTATTTACGTGCACTTGGCTAATTGTTTTGCTTTTTATTTTATTCGGGAATAAGACAATAAAGGCGTGACTGCAAGTTATTTTCCCAATATTTGGGCTAGGAAGTCACATAATTGGACTGATTTTATGAAATACAGTTGCGCACTCAAGCTTTGGAGCAGATTGCGAAAAAGATGTCAAAGGCGATAACCCTCCTGACCTCTGCTGTACCGATGGCCCAGCAATAGCTAAACCTAATTGCAAAGATAAAAGCAATCCTTCTCGTAGCAGCTATCCTATTTTATATAATAAATGAGATAACGACTAATTTTTAAGAATCCCATTCGTTGTAATTAGGTCTATCTCCTTATGTATAATATACGGATTGTCAATAACTCTCTATTTTATATTAATATATTACCAATCCAAACAAACAGAAGAAGAAACGCCCATTCCGGACTTAATGTCTCAAAGATACGAAGGCCGGCACAAATGGAATAGCAGTGCTAAATATTCAATGGAGCTTGAAATGCACTCAGAAGAGAGCAAAGACGAAGGCTAATAAACATTTTAAACTGCCCTTTAAACAAATAGTTCTATCAGAAATTTGACTGCTATATCTGGTTATAACCTTTTCGGTATATTTATAAGACTCAAACTAAATCTTGATTATTAACCGTTTTCTGGTTTTAAAAAAATTCATGCTCTAAAGGCAAAGAAATTTCAGTTTCTGAATAATACCAATCTAGATTTCCAATAATTAAAATGGTAGATCAAGCCAGAATTCGCGTGGCCTTGTTTAAGAACGAGCACCACCCAACGATTAGCGAACAAATTTTGATCGACCCCAGAATGGAAAAAGAAGAATTATTGAACTTGTGCTCTGAAAAGCTTGGAATTCGAGCCAAAAAGATTTTTAATGAGGCTGGTGTTTTGCTTAACTCTTTTGGAAACCTCTCAGATGGTGCCCATCTCTATATTTCTCAAGGGGAAAATTTTCAAGTGGCCATAAGCGAAAGTAATCAAGCAAAACAAAGCAAAAAATATGTGATCGCAATGCTGGGAGCAGCTGCTGTGGGGAAATCAGCTGTCACCATGAGATATGTATCAAATAAGTTTGTGAGAGACTATGATCCCACGATAGAAAATTATTACACTAACTCCCCTCCATGATCGAAAAAAACATCAGAAATCTTAGTTTTATGTGAAATTAGCATCTTCTGTAGGCAAACAAACATTTTTAATATTTATTATATTGAGATTCTATCAAATTTTAGAGAGATTGAATTTGAAAAACAATTATTTTAAATTTTTGTTTCATGGAGAGGATAAGACAACTCAAATTGAAGGAGAACCTACAGTGATTTCAATTTTAGACACCGCAGGTATGGAGGATTATTATCCGCTTATAGATGACTGGATCGACAAAAAAGATGGTTTTGTCCTAGTCTACTCAGTTGATGTCCCTGATTCACTCAACAGACTCAAATACTTCCATGAAAAAATCCTCCATCGGTATTCACATCAGGGCAACAAAGGCCCAGTCATTGTAATGGCTGCCAATAAGGTTGATTTACCTACCAGAAACATCAGTGCAGAGGAAGGCAGGAAGTTCGCTGAAAACTTGGGAGTCAGACATATAGAAGTATGCCATTTGAAATAATTGAAATCATATTTACTATAACAATATATATCGCTCATACTTGATTAAACAATAAATCAGTATAAATCGGATATCTGCTGCCACCTCTGCAGGAATTGACGAAGTTTTTGCCTCAATTGTCAAGGAGCTCAGATCCAGAAGAATTGTTGACCGCCCCTCAAAAAAAGAGCCATGGTATAAAAAGTGCACACTTCTTTAGTGTCAATAAATTATAAGAATAGCTATAGATATGATTCACGATTCTAATCAGTTGGATTCTTTTAAAATTCTTTATAAAAAATTAAAATGTCCTTAAAACGCCTATCTTTTCTCATCTCAATCTCAGTCTCCCTAGCGACGATTTGCTCGAAGTCAGACTTTTCGCCTCTAAATGAAGTCGCAAATTTCACGCTGGCAGCTTTGCCTTATGGCTATGATGCTTTGGACCCTACAATTTGGCCTGGCCATCTCTATTATCATTACGCTCGTGAGCACGCTTATCGTCTTAACTCATTGAATACTATATGTACAAATAATACAAATTATCAAAAATTAAAGGTAACTGATCTCTTGATCCAATATGGGACAAAAGACGAAGCACTAGGAAGATTCGCTGGAGGACACTATGGCCATTCTTTGTTTTGGTGAATACTTATAGAGTCCTCATGCTCTGGGAATGGGCCAACTGGGAAGCTATTCAACGATATTGAAAGTACGTGGGGAAGCTATAACGAGTTTGTGGAAGAATTCACAGAGAAAGCAAATACAGTTTTTGGGTCTGGATGGGTGTGGCTTTCAGTAAAAAGCAACAATGGAAATTTGGCTATAGAGACTACTGAAGACGACAATTCTCCACTGGCTGGTGGGGAAAGCTACCCTTTTCTAGGAATTGACATGTGGGAGCACGCATACTATATTTCTTACTTATACGACCCATTTGACTGGATTGAGCATTGGTGGACTATCATTGACTGGGAACTAGTTGAGTACTGGTATGAACAATACGCGAGTCAGAAAACCCCAGTGCCTGTCTAAATTTTTATAAGAGCTCTTATTGCATTTAATTTTCAATTAATTTTAATTCAATTTCCAAAACACTGTAGTTCCCATTTAAATACGTTTTGTTGATTTGTGTGATACTTGGAAACTTGCTCTTCAACTGCTCAGCTAGCGTCACTGCTTTCACAGATGCCAAGTCTTCTCCTATTATCGTTATTTTTTTGGTTTCTTTTAGAGCTATTTCAGCTTGATCAATGATTCTTGAGATTTTTGTAGTTTTGGAAAGAGAGAAAGTTGCCATGATTATTATTCAATTAATTTATTAAAGTGATCAAGGATTTCTTGCAAATTGTGAATTGAAGAAGAGCATTGGGATATCTCTTTGTGTGAAAGTGGCTCAATGGTGTTAGAAATCTGCTGAAGCAAAAGATACTTATCCATTGCAGTCAGACATAAATTATCATCGCCAAGAGATCCAAGTGTTTTTAGGTTTTCAGGGTCTATAATTCCTCATTTTGCGTGAACTGTGTTTATCAATGAGTTCCCATGTCCGAAAAGTTTGATATAAATTGCTTTATGGCTTGGAGTTTCTAAAAATACTCGATTATAAGGAGGAGTTTTCGAAACCTGAGGAATATACCCTAATTCAGTGCATCTGCTGCATATATAAGTCCCAGTCAGCCTCACAAGCTCTTCAATGCTGAGTTTTTGCATTTTATTTATCCATCTTCATTCGCTTAAATTTAAATGGAATCATTTCGAACACAATTGGTCGGCATCAGTGCTTTTCCAATGCTGGAAAACCAAATTGTCAACTCCAAGACTCAAGCTTTATTAAGAAAATCTAACCAAGGCCTAATAATAGCTTCCACAAACCCATCCAATTTGGTAGAGCCAACAAGACTTGGTGAAAGATTTGCCCCAGATAGCTGCGTGGAAGGCGGAAATTTGAAGTACGTGTGGGGAAATGGGCTATAGAAGTTTCCTATGTTTGGCGCTGCAAGGCCGATAAATTCTGATCGGAATTTATCGGTTGGTTGCACCAAATCAATGCCTTGGTCGGACCAAAAAGCGATTTGGTCCGACGAACTTGGAAAGCTCCTGGGAAAATGTCTGCGCTTTCAGCGCTATATAGAGGAAACCTCTATAATTGAAAACACTCATAGACCAACTGAGCTTTATCAGCTGGAAAAAACCCAAGAGGAAGCTTCAAATGATTACGTGAATAATGATTACCCCAAAATCAAAATGGTTATCCCGCAACTAATAGTAAGAGAAAGGCCAGGAATAACGACACTATCCTTACGATCTCAAACAGTCCCTGCAAATTATTTTTCAAATGACGAAATAGTGGAAGAAGAGCCGAAGTCAAAAACTATTGAAGTTTCGATGCCAACTGCAAAGAATTTGTCGACATCCCAGAATTCTTCTTCATTGAGGAGTTCTTCAAATAATAAATCAAGGTCAAGTCTTAGCAAGACGAGCAAATCCAATTCGCAGCTCTCCTCATCTTCCCGGCAAGAGAAATCATCACTAATTCCAACGAAAAAGCGGCCCAAAAAATCAAAGAAAGCAATTTTGAAGAAAACTGAAAAAGAAGTCCCAAGCATTGCAATCCCTGAAGCCTCCCCAGACAATCCTTCTTCGCTTAGTGCGAGTGCTAGCAGAAAGACAGTCACTTGGAGCGAGCCTTATAGTGATAATCGTGATACTATAAAAGAAGAGTATGAAGAAAAGAGAAAACAGCTGTTTGAGAACCATAAAAAATATCCCAGCTATTTTAAGGAAAAGGACCCACATAAGGATTCAATAGAAAAACTAGAAAAAATAATAAGCGAGCAAAATACGTTAGTAAAAAGCCTTGACAGCGGACTTTCAGCTTCCAGCCAAAGCTCGAAGTACCAGAAAACGTATGAAGAACTGGAAAAAGAAATAGAGAGCATTAAAGAGCTTTTGAATGAAAGAGAAGAAAAGTTCAAAAGCAGTAGCAGTTATAATAGTAAGGAAGAAGAAGAAATTAGTGATTTGTCATATTCATCGGATGAGCCTAGAAAAGAAGAGTTCGAAGATTGGCTTTCCCCTAGGTTTCCAGAAGATAAACCTTAGTAGTGTTAATCTATTACTTTTCTAGTCAATGGAAACTTCTCTACCGGCCTGCAAAATGATTTATTTCCTATGGAATATAATAAATACATTGCTTAATTATTAGAAGTTAGTATATTATTTATTACTCTATCAATGTTTTTGCGCTCCTTAAAAAGTCGCCTTCAATAACTTCTTCTACCCCAAAAAAATTTTCAATTATTGTCTGGCATGCATTGCATACTATGTCATTGCTGTGATTTTGCGCTCTTTCTATTGCATCCAGACATCCAGAATAATCAAAAAGCTGAGTGATTGGGTTTACTTCATAATTCTCTCCTGCTTTTAGCAAATAATAGCAAACTTCTAATATGTTGACCAAATATTCTTGATTAGGATCTGCAAGGGCTGTAGCTAGCCCAAGGAAAATGTTGTGAGCAATAATTTTCATTTTCCCCGCTTCGTCTGTATTATGCATTGTATTGGTAAAAATATAGGATGCATAGAGTCTAACTTCATAAGAATAATCTAATAAACCTCTTATTGCTACGTTTAGAAATTCATGATCAAGAAACATTTCGCACTGCTCTCTTGTGCCTCCTGAAATATTTCCTATAATCCAGAAAATATTTTTCCTTATTTTTCAGGAAGGATGGTCTGAAAGAGGAAGTAGCAGGTCTAATATGTTTTCGTCAAGCATTTTCTGCGTTTGAAGATGTGTACCTGCACAGATATTCCCAATTAAAGTGATGCTTGAATGAAGAAGGGATTCTTCAGAGGACTTTAAGTTTCTCAAAACGAAGGGAATAAAGCCTTGATCAATAACAAACTGTACTTTTGAATCTTCTTTATGAGAAATTTTGCAAAGAGCTTCTAAGCAATAGCATTTTACCTCATTGCTCTCTATAGAGATCATTGTACGTAAAATAATCAGCAATTTTCTGAGTTCTGTTGGAGGCATAGCTGCCCAAGCATTTGAAATGTTTACTAACCCTCCCAATATTTATTATTATACTGTTTTGGATCGTGCAATTGAGGCATAGTAATTCTTTGACTTTAAAAAAGTATTTTACTATATTCTTAATACAATAGATATAAACATATAAGCTGAAAATTATATAGCTCGAGCAAAAGGAGGATATACTAAGCGATGTTAAAATCAATGAACAGGTTGCTATAAAATTTAGTAAAGTTTTAAGTTTCTTAAAAGCTAAATTTTAGTTATACTTAATTAACAGTGATTAAGCATCATAAAGCAACTTTTTGCATTGCCAAACTTTCTATATTTGCTTCAATGAGAAATTCATATATAACTCCAATAACTCCCTTTTTAATTAACAAAATTGAATACTCCATTTCATCACCTGCAATATTTGCCAGTGCCCAAAAAATATGTTCACTTACTATCATCGATTTCAATGAAAGCGCATTCAAAATTTTTTCTAATCCCCCTAACTTAATAAAGCATTCAGTAAATTCAGCTGGCCCAGAAAGGATATTACAAATAATTCAAGTCGAGTCATGCACAGCCTGTTCTCCAATCTGAAAATCTACATACTCAATTAAAACCTTCAAAAAATTTTCATCCAGGTTTTCATGAAAGAGCAAGAAAAATCGATCTAAAGAAATTCAATGTTTAAACATATCCAAAATCATTAAGCTCTCACTCTGAATTTTATTCTCGGTAAAAATTGATTTCAAAATCTCGAATTTTTGCTTCAAAGACTTATCCCCATTTAATTCAGGGTAAAGCTCTGCTAAAGGCTCCACTTTAAAGTTGAATTCTGAAGATATATCAACCTGCTGAGAGTTCTCTATAAGATATCGCTTTTTAGCTCTGGTCTCATTTCGCTTTTCCCTTCGTAGATTCACAGAGAAGGTTTCGTGCTTCTTTTTAAGCTCGTCAGGGAGAATTGCTTGGAAATTCTGGAGTCTTTTCTCAAATCTATTTGACTCTTCCAATAACCCCGCCATTTAAATAAGAAATTGTATAAATGTTTTAAAAAGGTTTAGGGAGTGGGATCAGCGGAAGTCTTACACGGTTTTTCTGTAGTCCTTGCCTTAATTTCACATGCCGTTCAGGGTCAGAGCTTAGAGCATCTCTAAGCTTTTGTGTGTTCACCTGATTTTCTTTGTCCAGTTCTTCTTTAGAACCTCGTGCACTCAACCCACGGCCTCGTCTTTCGTAATTTGGGCCAGGAAGACGGTTACTTAAAACCTTCATACTTGGCTCAAACTTTATGGTGTTCAGCAGCTCTGAGTCAGCTTCTGCATTGTATTTGAAATTCCTTTCTCTCAGCGCAAAGGGCATTTCTAATAGCTTCTCACAGGATGGCCGAGCATTTGGCCTGATTTGGAGCATCATCTTAATCACATTGGAGAGCTCGGCTGAGAAATTGACAGGAATTGGCTGGTAAAGACCTTTGATGACTTTTCTATATAGCGCTTTCATGTCAACTCCAGTGAATGGGGGGCGAAGAGTTGTCATCTCATAAATCACACAGCCTAGTGACCAGATATCGGAACTAGAATTATAAGGCTTGTCCTGCCACACTTCAGGACTTGCATAATAAGGCGTCCCAGTCTGGGTATATGCAAGCCCACCTTTATTCACTTTCGAGACGTTTAAGTCTCCTATTTTTACAGTTCCATTTGCAGTCAAAAATATGTTTGCGCACTAAATATGAAATACTTTTATGTCTCTATGTAGAATTTTTAAGTCATGCAAAGCTTTGAGCCCTCTGATTGTTTGAGCTAAAGTGCTGAGAATTTCATTTTCTTACTTACTTACTTACTTAATTATCTGGTGTTTAAGGTGTCTCTAGTGCCGCAGCCCAAAAGGGCCTATGGCAAAACTGATGACGTAGGCGAGCCATCTTGGCACGGGTCAGCCCCGTCCAAGCCTTCTATCAACTCCTGCTTCACCGGCCTTGCTGCACGTCTCACCCTGCGCGTTGCCGTCGCCCTTGTCGCTCGACTCAGCTCCTGCGCGTGTTCCGCCTAAGGGTCATCCTCCCGTGGGGATGTGCTGAGAGGTAAAAGCCCGAGATCTTGAGTGGACTGAGGAGTGGTTCCTTTGGTTATCCCCAAAGTTAAACCGCTATTGGTGTCCAGAAGTTCGCGAGTGAAAACCTAACCCTAATAATAAAATTCCATGAGGGAGAGAAAATTAGCAAAGCTAATTTCTCTCGAACCGAATGCCATTTTATTGAGAATTTCATTTTCAGTGAAATAAATGCTTCTTTTCTTACAATTTTCAATCTTATTTAACAGATCTCCTCCTTCAGCATATTCCATTACTATGCAGAGGGAAGAAGTTCCTTCATCGAAAAATGCTTCTTTATAAGCAATTATGTTTGGATGGTCTATTGATGCTAAAATGCGAACTTCATTGAGTGCATTTTCTTTTTCTCTGTAGTTCATAGGAGCGAATTTAACTTTCTTCAAAGCATAGATTTGTCCATCGGATTTTCGGCGGACCTTGTAAACACTTGAGAAGGCACCTTCACCGAGTTTGTTAAGAATTTCAAACTGATAAATTGACATTTTTAATTTCAAAGCACTTTTGAAGTAGCATTTAGAAAAATAATATGAAAATGAAGCATTATTATTTATTTAATATTTAAGAATATAACTATTGCTTATATTTTTATTGCTATTGATAAATAGTTGTTTCATTTGTGCTTGCATATTAAACATTATAGGCTTAATAAGGATTTCTTTAGCTAATTACTTACCAACGAAAGATAAGTCTCAAAAGAATTGGCTATATTTCTCTTTTTCTTGCTAGGGCAAATAAATTAATTGTTTTAAATTTTCCAAATACAGAAATCTGCAAAGGCCTATATACTTAGCAAAGTATGTCCAATTCAAATTTTATCGTATCTCAAAGAAACCAAGTAATAAAAATGGGAAAAAAGCAAAAACCTAGAACACCCTCAACAAGCTCAAGTCAAAGCGAATCTGCTCTCCAGAACCCTACATCTAATCACATTTCTCTTGCATCTCCTATAAAAACCTCAGTAAGCTTAAGCTATCGGGATTCTACTCTGCAGCCTCTAAATTCAGATGCATTTGATCACATTTCTCTCGCATTACCTATAAAATCACCTACAAGCTTAAGGCAAAGTGACACAATACCCCAACCACCACAAATATATACGTCTAATACCAATTCTCTTGTTTGCAACCCTGATCCTTTATCTATTATTGAATCTAAGGTATCAGATAGTCTAAGACAAATGTTTGAACTGTATTTTGCAGAATTCACAAACTCTTTAAGCCAAAAGACTGACATATCTAACTCGGAATACTTCAAATTTGATCAGAGATTAGATATACGTCATAATCCTTCTCTCAAACGAGGTGAAGAATTCGAGTCTCTCTACCAAATTTACTATGACAATGCTAACAATTTCTCTGACAAACTTTTGACACATCTTAAAAAATACGATGATCCCGACCTTATCACAGTCCTCATCGGAATTGACAAAGCGAATAAAGTCTTCATGCGGGCAAGCCGAGAAGTAAAAGACGCAATGCAGAGATACTACAAAAAGAACTTCACAACTTTTGAAGAGGTCAATAGAGTCCTCTTCTTCCATCGTGTCCTAAGCCCACTTGAAGAAAAAATCCAAAGTGCGAGAGAGTTTGTAAATCAATGTGAAGCTGCTAGGAGGGCTTGCCAACTCTATGACGAAGAATCGTTACATTTAAACATGCTTTCTGAAGCAAGCAGCCCAAACAATCGAACGAAGTTCAAGCGAAATAAACAGATTGTGAGGTGAGAAGAAATGAGTGTCGATGAAATTGTCAATTTTATCAATGGAGACGAAACTCCAAAGAAAAATAAGGCAAAAAATAGGAGCCAAAGCAATGGGAAGCAAAGAAAAGAGGTAGAAATTGAAATTGATGAAGAAATTGAAGAGTTCCAGAAGAGGATCGAAGAAGTCAGCTTGAGCTCTTCAAGATTCAAACCAAAGGTTACACAAGAGTGGCTGAGCAACCTGCGAAAAGAAATTAAAATGTTGTCTTTGTTTAAGGCTTAATATAACCCATTTAAGATAATATGTATAAGCATTATTTTAGCAGGTCTCCTTCTGAACTACATTTATTGTGGTAGAGCAGCGATCTTTCAGAATTATATCTGGCTGGAGAAGGCACATTAAGGTACTCTTTTGCAGAATGGAATCTTGATGGACTTGGAATGTTAAGATACACTTTTGGCTCTTGCGGATTGCTTTTGCTCTTTATCAAAATTTCTTCTCCTTGATCGCTTTTAGCGGTGCTGTGCCTAGAGCCGAATAGCAGGCTTCTATCAAATTCGAAGCTTCTGACGAACATAGTGTTTATGATATTTTCCCTTTCCTCATCCTGTTCACTTGTGCACAAGATTTCATCAATGTTTGTCACAGTTTTCCTCAGGTCATTCTTATCTCCTTTACGATTTTTTATTTCTTTCCTGAACTCTCTTTCAAAGTAGCGGTTGATTTTAAATGAAAGAGCAGGGTCATCCAGGAAAATGGTTCTGGGATCTCTGTCAGCTCCTACAGCATTGAAGGCTCGGTATCGGAAATGATGGACATTTCGCTTTTTTCGGTTGTTTTTAAGCTCAAAAGGATTAATCACAGTGGTCAAACCACTTTTCTGCTTAAGCCATTTTGCCTTGACAACATCGTCTGTTTGGTTGAGCAATACCTTCTTACAGAAAGCTGACACATGTCCTAGTCCTCCACACAAATAGCAGACGATTCCAAGAGAAGTTAAATCACCCTGATGGCATTGAGTTTGTAAATAATCACAAGCTCGTGCAGCATCGGGGTTTCTATCTAATGCAGAGTCCATCATTTCTCGAGAAAGAGACAAAGTTTCTACAAATCCTGTATACATTCAGAACAGGTATGGCTCGACCTGAAACTCCCCTTCCCCTCCCCACCTCTTTGACGGTTTCAATTTGAACAAAATTGTTAATTCAAAATGACAAGTCACTCACTAAGGATTTGACAAGTCAAATTCAATTTGTAGATTTCAATAAAGCTAAAACCGTCAAGGGATGGGGTGGAGAAGAGGGAGGAGTTTCAGGTCGATCTAAAATCGTGCTTACGGTATACATTTTGATGAGCAGCACCTGGGAAATCCAGTAAAAAAAGCAATTTCCCCGAAGTGGGAACCAGATTTAAGCTCTTGGAATATTGATTGAGTCTGGTGGTGATAAAGTTCTACTGTTCCAGATTTAATGAAAAACAGTGTTTGGCTTTTCTCTCCTTCGTCAAAAACAGTGTCATTAGGGGCAAATGTTCTTTGCTCGAGAATCTTGGTTAATTGCAAAATAAAGGTTTTTTGAAAAGAAGTGTTAAATACCTGGCATGTGTATAAAATTTCTCCTCTTGTATGGACATAGACTTCTTCCTTTAGCGGCTCTGATAATAGGCCTAGAATTTCAATTTCCCCCATGATGCTATGCTTCTTGTTTTCCCAGATGTAATCTAGGTACCTTCTTACCCTAAATCTCAGGTCACCTGGAATTTCTTTGTTTTTCATATAAGCATTAATAGCCAAGACCTTATCGCGATATTCATCAGACTCAGCATTTGATTTAGAGACAAGAGCGCCAATGCTGCCCACAGTGTATCCAAAGAGGGCACAAGCAACAGCCATAGCGGCGCATGCCACAATGATTTCGTTTTGTGTAATTGGATAGACATCTCCATAGCCAACAGTTGTCATTGTTGTGAAGGCTCAGTACAATGCTGTGATATAAATCTCAGTCAAATCATCTTTCTCCATATAGGTGTTATTTAGCCAGGTGTCAGGGTTGGTCTCTGCATCGTTTGAAGCGATATAATACCATACACAAGCTGCTCAGTGTGCTACCATATAAGCTGAAACTACGAGTCTGAGAAAAACCAGTAATATCGCTAAAGTATGGCTTGCAATGTAATCTTCAATGCCAATAATAATTTGCTTGAGCTTTGAAATTCTTATGAGTCTCAAAAGTTTATTTATCTTAATTACTCTTACAATTTGAGCTGCATGAGTAGCACTTGAGTTTGAAATCCTAAAGGCTTCAAATAAATCTTCAAGCGGAATTGTTGCTATAAGATCAAACCAGAATCAAAATCTCAAATAATTCCTAGCGATTTCTAACTCCTACTTCCTCTGTGGGGGAGTAATTTTTTTGCTGGGGTGGGTTATTTATTTAATAAATATTTTAAAAAAAAAATTTTATATTTAAATTTTTGCTTTTAAATCTTGAAATCCATATTTAATTTGCAAAAATTTGAAAGCAAGAATCTAATTTAATTATATTAGCTTATATATTTAAAATTTAATAGAATAGCTTGAGATTTCTTTTAATTAATTGTTGCCTAAATTTCAGAATATTTTTATAAAAAAGACCTGTAATGAAATATTTTTGCTCGATCGAAAGGTATTGTATTTTTTATGGTTTTGCTTGATGACAGAGATGGAGCATGCGTTTTGTGATAACAGCTCCGCCTTTATAAAATCCTGTATTAAAGTTGATTGCAATATCAGTAAGAAAAAACACTTTGATTGCATTATCAATAGCATTTCAAATAGTCAGGTCATCTATTGTAAACACAAGCAGGAAAGGAATTTCTATAGCCTGGTAAAAGATAAAAAAAAGCGAAAGCAGGTTTCAAAAAAATTTTCAATTGCTCTCTGGATGAAAAATGCAGTGTGATTTACTACCTTCTTCATCCAAGTTTTCGGATGAAGGAAAATAATCTTCTTTTGTGAGACGCTTAATGGTAAATTGGGCTTTGTAGTCATAACTTAGTGACTTGGAGGAGGCTTGAGAGAATTCCACTAATTCCCCTTTTACCTGAGTAACCAAAAATATTAGAAAAATCCTATATTTGATGTAAAATTTTACAAATAATTATTCTCTATATAGTTAATAATTTTAATAATGAGATCTTCAGCTAATTATATCAGATTTTAAAAGATTTTATTTATAAAAATTTGAATTCTTATAAATTAGATATTTTTTTTATCTCAAATATTATTATTATTATTATTATTATTATTATTATTATTATTATTATTATTATTATTATTATTTATTATTATTATTATTATTATTATTATTATTATTATTATTATTATTATTATTATTATTATTATTATTATTATTATTATTATTATTATTATTATTATTATTATTATTATTATTATTATTATTATTATTATTATTATTATTATTATTATTATTATTATTATTATTATTATTATTATTATTATTATTATTATTATTATTATTATTATTATTATTATTATTATTATTATTATTATTATTATTATTATTATTATTATTATTATTATTATTATTATTATTATTATTATTATTATTATTATTATTATTATTATTATTATTATTATTATTATTATTATTATTATTATTATTATTATTATTATTATTATATTATTATTATTATTATTATTATTATTATTATTATTATTATTATTATTATTATTATTATTATTATTATTATTATTATTATTATTATTATTATTATTATTATTATTATTATTATTATTATTATTATTATTATTATTATTATTATTATTATTATTATTATTATTATTATTATTATTATTATTATTATTATTATTATTATTATTATTATTATTATTATTATTATTATTATTATTATTATTATTATTATTATTATTATTATTATTATTATTATTATTATTATTATTATTATTATTATTATTATTATTATTATTATTATTATTATTATTATTATTATTATTATTATTATTATTATTATTATTATTATTATTATTATTATTATTATTATTATTATTATTATTATTATTATTATTATTATTATTATTATTATTATTATTATTATTATTATTATTATTATTATTATTATTATTATTATTATTATTATTATTATTATTATTATTATTATTATTATTATTATTATTATTATTATTATTATTATTATTATTATTATTATTATTATTATTATTATATTATTATTATTATTATTATTATTATTATTATTATTATTATTATTATTATTATTATTATTATTATTATTATTATTATTATTATTATTATTATTATTATTATTATTATATTATTATTATTATTATTATTATTATTATTATTATTATTATTATTATTATTATTATTATTATTATTATTATTATTATTATTATTATTATTATTATTATTATTATTTATTATTATTATTATTATTATTATTATTATTATTATTATTATTATTATTATTATTATTATTATTTATTATTATTATTATTATTATTATTATTATTATTATTTATATTATTATTATTATTATTATTATTATTATTATTATTATTATTATTATTATTATTATTATTATTATTATTATTATTATTATTATTATTATTATTATTATTATTATTATTATTATTATTATTATTATTATTATTATTATTATTATTATTATTATTATTATTATTATTATTATTATTATTATTATTATTATTATTATTATTATTATTATTATTATTATTATTATTATTATTATTATTATTATTATTATTATTATTATTATTATTATTATTATTATTATTATTATTATTATTATTATTATTATTATTATTATTATTATTATTATTATTATTATTATTATTATTATTATTATTATTATTATTATATTATTATTATTATTATTATTATTATTATTATTATTATTATTATTATTATTATTATTATTATTATTATTATTATTATTATTATTATTATTATTATTATTATTATTATTATTATTATTATTATTATTATTATTATTATTATTATTATTATTATTATTATTATTATTATTATTATTATTATTATTATTATTATTATTATTATTATTATTATTATTATTATTATTATTATTATTATTATTATTATATTATTATTATTATTATTATTATTATTATTATTATTATTATTATTATTATTATTATTATTATTATTATTATTATTATTATTATTATTATTATTATTATTATTATTATTATTATTATTATTATTATTATTATTATTATTATTATTATTATTATTATTATTATTATTATTATTATTATTATTATTATTATTATTATTATTATTATTATTATTTATTATTATTATTATTATTATTATTATTATTATTATTATTATTATTATTATTATTATTATTATTATTATTATTATTATTATTATTATTATTATTATTATTATTATTATTATTATTATTATTATTATTATTATTATTATTATTATTATTATTATTATTATTATTATTATTATTATTATTATTATTATTATTATTATTATTATTTATTATTATTTTACGTTATATCACGCCCGAGGCGTCTTAATTTTTTGCTTTCAGTAATTAATTTGATAAATTCCTCAACATGAAAATCAATTTCATCAATTTGACTTCTTTTTAATTTCAACTCGCTTTTTTCCCTTCTTCTTCGTATTTTCAAGAATCCAGCACAAAATCCACTAAATTCAAATTTCTATCAGTAATTTTTATAAAATTCTTTGCTGCAGCATTTACTTTAAGTATCTGGCACTTCTTCATTTTCATTTTCTCTTTAATTTCTTTAGCTTCAGATCTCCTTCATCACTTATTGGTTTCCTTAACTTGACTGAATCATTTCTTTTTCAGCCCGCCATATTTATTTTTGAATTCTCTTACATCCCTTTTTTCGCGGCAAATTTTCCTTCCAATCTGAGCCTGAATTTTCTTTTGGTGGCACTCATTCTCATCAGATTTCAACTTATTTCATTCAATTTCATTTATTTTTCATTCAATTCCATTATTTTTCTCCTCCTTTCCGTCTGCATCAATAATATCTCCGTCTACACCATATCATTCTTCATCATTTAAGGTCCTCTTTTGTGTAGCTAAAGTCTTTAGTTTCGGAAATACTAGTATCAGCAAACCCTGGATCATCATCTTCAAATATTTCATATACATCTTCAGCCTCCTCACTTTCATCTTCATCTTCGCTCTCATCTACATCCTCACATTCCAATCCACGCTCTTCCAATAGTAGTAGAAGACTAAAAGCTTGATCAACGTCACCTCCACACAGTCTCAGTGCTCTTCTTGCTCCTTCTTCGTTAAAGCCTAAATTCACCAGTGCATTGTGCTTTTCCTGTAGCTTGCTGGTGTCTGCCATGATGGCAAAAAAATGTATATTTATCTCAAATATAAATCTAAAAATTTTTTATATAGGCCTTTGGGTCTTTTTAAAACCAGTAAACTACTCTACTGATAAAGCCAGCCACCTATTCTTGCTGAGTTATATATAATTTTTAATAAAATTATTTTTAGAAAAATTATTGAAGCAGAAATTTTGCTCGCTAAGTGGGAGTAAGGAAAATGAAGACCAATTTCTCTTTTTAAAAAAACCTGGAGATAGCATTTATATTAAAAATATCTTGAGGAAAGCAGAAATTTTAATAAGAGAATTAATTCATTTGCTAATGTTGGAGACACTTAAAGGTTTCAAATAGGAAAATTATTGGTCGAAAATAAACTGAATTTTATCATGGCAAATTATAATTGCGAACTATTTAGCTGAATTTATAATAAGCTATTTTTATCATTAAGTAATATTTAGTTGGCATCATTAAAGAATTTTATTGTTTAATTTAATAAATCAACAATTTACTTTGATTACTCTTTAGTTAGAGATAAAAGTTGATGGTTAGCTGCCCTGCCATGTCAGGAAGCACAAGCTGCCTAGAAGATGAAAGGATAATCTTGCATACTGAGGTATTAGGATTCCAAAGCAAAAATACTGGGTTTAGCTGGCCTGAAAACGCAGTCGTGGTGTAAAATACATTTCTTATTCCTTCAACGCATCCATATATAATAATATTTGAAATATATGGGAATTCTCCATTAGCTCTTGTATACCCACTTATTGTTGGTTGAATGATCAAGGTATCAGTTGTAGCATTGACATATTGATAATGATAATTAATCATTGTATATAGGTTTCCACTTAGGCTGTTGATTGAAAGTCCATCATCAAACACTGCGTGCCCATCAGCTTGGAATGCTCCATTTAATGCAACTACTAGCGTAATTGGAGACTTCCTCAATGATATAGTATCAAGAGCTGTGTTTGAATTGTCTAAAGTAGGAACAATGTACCCTCCTTTAATATGAATTGGGATCGGGCCAGGTAATGTCATATTTAAATAAGCGCTGTTGTAATAGTTCAATTGCATGTAAGTTCCTTGGTAGAAGTCATACCAAAGATCATATGGGAAATATGATGTAGAGCCAGTTACACCTGGCCAGAGACAAGGATGAACTATAAGTCCTTCACCAAGCATGAAATGAGAGGTAGCGTTATTAAGCAAGTTGATATCGTTGGGATAGTCGAAAAATGCTGGTCTGAAATGCATTCCTCCCATAAGAGATACTCTGAACATTCCAGTAGCAAAGTGGAGTAATAGAGAGTATTTAGTTCGAATAGCGATGTTTGAGGTCTGCAAAAGAGTGCTGCCAAATGACCAAGGATACTGATCAACTGAACCTTTTGCGTTGTGATTTCTTGAGAAAGGATATAAGGTTCCTAATTGCATCCATCTGGAGCACAATTCTTCATTGGTGTTGCCTTGGAAGCCACAGATATCAGCTCCAGCGAATGGAATTCCAAACATTCCTAAGTCGAAGAGACCAGTAATTGAGTATGCTAACTCCAACCCCTCTGTGAGCGAACAAAAAAATTTTGTTCGCTCACGGGGGGTGGTTAATTAATTTTTTTTTAAATATAAATTTTAAAGAAAATTTTTTTTTTCGGAATTAAAAAAAAATCCCACTTCTCGAAAATTGGAAAGCAAATATTAATTTAATTTGTAAAATTTATGTTTTAAAACGCAATTTGTGTAAAATTAAACAGAATTAGCTCGAGATTTCATGATACTGGTTATCACTTATATATCAAAATTTTTCCCATAAAAAATTTTTGTTCGCTTACGGAGGGTGGGTTTTTGGGCAAAAATAGGGTTTTTTCTAACGTTTTTTTTCGCTCATGAGGGGGAGTAAGAAGCTCCACTGTGAGAAGTTGTCACCAGTCCATTTCCCAGCATATCTTCCAGTTCCTACGAATGAGCTCCTGGTAATTATGAAAGGCCTCAAATTAAGTCCTTTAAAGTATTGATAAGTAGCCATTGTCTCGCCGAATCCAAACAAACTGTGGACGTTGTACTCAAGAATTCCTCCATAGTGTATTGAAGCCACATCTATTGAATTGTCATTCACATCTTGGCCAGGGGTATAAGGCATCGTTAAGTTTGTGATTTGAGAAGGAGGGTGGCCTGGCTCTCCATTCACAAAGTTACTAGCTTCATTCATATCTATCCAGATCCCTGAAAATGAAGTCAAGGTATTGAACTTAGTCAGTTGGCCTGTCCAAAAAGCATTTGCATTAGGGTTAAACCAGTCCACAAAGACTGAAACTCCAGGCCAAACTACTCCTGTGGTAGGAACATTCTTGTAAGCTGAGGTGATGTACACATTAGGATTAAGTCCAGAATTGTACACAGAATAGCCGGCGCTCTGAGCAATTCCAGCATCTACGATAGGGACAAAGTGCTTGTTTGCGGCTTTCAAGTTTGTGACCCATGTGGTGAAGCTGGCTTGTGGGAAGTTGACTGGGTCAAGAGTAAAATCTTGATATTGGTTCATGTAGTCAATATCAATCCACATCGCATCCAATGGAAGATTGTAAGTTGTATATGAAGTAGTTACGCTAGAAACCACTGAGATATTCTGAAATCCATATCTGCACTGATGCCAGCCTAAACCCCACCAAGGGACTAGTGTTGGGTAGCCTATCAAATCGTGGTATTGATTGATTACATCAGCTGGCTGAGGACCTATAAATAGGAAGAAGTCAATGATCCCACCGGTTGTTCTAAATCCTACAAAGTTGCTCCCTACAAAGGCAGTCATTGCGTTAGAGTTCAAGAATAGCCCACCATGAGCGGCTAACTGATTATCAACTGCGAGGTAAAATGGTTGAGAGCTGTACATGTTAGAATCTGGAGTGTCACCTGTGTCAATTGGAGAGCCTCTATCACGAGCATAAAGGGTATAAGAGCCTTGGGCTAAGACAAAAGAAGAAATTCTTTCACCTAGTCCCATAACTTTAATTGGGTATCCTAACCAATTTGCAAAGCCGATGTCTTGATTGTTGTATCCAAAAGGCTGCGATGGATTTAGGAAAAATACCACCTTATTATCAGTTGTCCTTGTGATTTTTATAGAGAGAGGCTGACCAACTACGATTGGAGCCAAGGAGTAGAAGCTTCCTGCCCCAGATGGAGTATAGGATGGAATTGCATTAGGGACTTGCCAGCGGGCGTTGTTTGCATCAGTCATTGTAAAACGCACACGATATGGGTTATCGTATTGGATGGTGATTGCGAGGTTAGTTATGATTTGCTCTGAAGCTGGAGTCTCTAAATCAGCTGGTGCTTGATATTGAGCTTGAACAGTAACGCCACCTGTGTTAGAAACAACGCTAGTGACTACATAAGGGTTTGTAAAAGCTGAAACCTCTTCTTCTGAAAATCCGTAATCGTTTGAGGCATATGAAAAGCTGAGCAAAACTAAGCACAAAAAGGCAACTTTAGTTTTTGCCATTTATAATTAGATTCTCCATATCAATTTCTCATGTAAATTAATTAATCTTAAAGGGAGCTGGATTTTAAATTCATTACAAACATATCATTGAAGAAAATAACTTATTTTGCATTATTTTTTATTTTAATGAATAACCCAATTGATAATGCAGCAATTAAATGAAGGTAGCAAACTGAATAGAAGCTGAAGAATTCAGCTATGAGTATTTCTTAATTTTAAGCCTCTTTTAACGCAGATATTATAATTCCTAAATTAAACTATTAATCTTTTTATGAAAATAGTGTAATGAAAAAGATAATTTATATATTTTAATTCCAAAATTTAATTCATTGATCATCATAGCTGAATGCTAATATTGAACTTATTATGATATAAGCAAAAGCACTAAATGAATCTTTTAACTATTCCTCAACAAGATGCAATTAATTAATTTAATAAACTAAATTTTAAGAACTATCTGCATGTGTATGCTATTTCTTCTAACTCACCTCCAATTGTGAAGTAAAATTAATTTAATTTGTAAATTTTATGTTTTAAAGGCTGTTTAAAATTAAACAGAATCAGAAATTTTATTATGCTAATTATCGCTTATATATCCATTTTTTTCATAAAAAATTTTAATTTGCTAACGGAGGCTAAGATTTTACCCAAAATTAGGATTTTTCCAATGGTTTTGTTCGATCAAGGAGGGTAAGCAAATAGAACTTAGAGCACATTTTTATGTATTATGCGCAATATTTAATATTAAATTTCACGTTTAGGATAGTATCTTGATGATTGCTAATAAGAATTCTTATTATTTAATTATAATCCACCTTGTATGACCATGGGTGTTCAATTTCTCCATATTGTATTGATAAAATGTGATCTAGCAATCGTTTTGTAAGAAGGCCGCTTTTTCCAAGTTTCATTGGAATTTCATAGTCTACTCCTTTAAAAAATATTTTTTGGACAGGACAAACTATGCATGCAGTTCCTGCCCCAAAAGCTTCAATTATTCTGCCTTCTTCAGCAGCTTGGGTGAGTTCGTGAATCGAAAAGGCTCTCTCCGTGACTTTGAATTCATTCCACTCCCTTGTAAGCTCCAATATTGAATCTCTTGTAACTCCTTCTAAAATTGTTCCATCAAGAGGTGGAGTAATCAGCTCCGTTTCGCCTTCTTTGTTTTTCCAAAGCATAAAGAAATTCATTGTTCCAACCTCCGTAACATTTCCTTTTACAAGCCATAAAAGCTGCTGGTATCCTAATTTATTAATTTCTGCTGTATAAGCAATTCCAGGGCCATAATTTCCTCCGATTTTTTTATCCCCTACACCGCCTGGCCAAGCTCTTATTCTTGTTTCATCACAATAGAGATTAACAGGGTTAAATCCAGTAGGAAAGTAAGGACCAACAAGAGCGCTAACAACGAAGAGCTTTGCCGACCCTGGCTTAGTGACTCCTAGCTGCTGATGTGTTCCTATCATTGTTGGACGGATATACATGGAGTAGCCTTTTTTATCTGGTACCCATTTTTTATCTACATCTACAAGTTTTCGAATGCACTGAAGTAGTTCAGCACCATCAAAATCAGGCAATGCTAAGGCTCGGGCACTCTTTCTAAGCCTTTGAATATTTAGATCTGGTCTGAACAGAAGAGTTTTGCCAGTTGCTGTTTTGTAGGCTTTAAGTCCTTCTAAGCACTCAGTTCCATAATGAAAACAAGAGCTGCAAGGATCAAGCACTAGTGGTTGAAAAGGAACGATCTGAGGAGTGTGCCACCCTTTTTCAAAATCCCAATTTTAACTTAACTTAGATTATTATAGAGTAATCCTGACAAATCTGCCAGCTTTTCATGTCTCTTGCTTGGCTCCGCTTTCTTGCTCTCTAGTCCGATTAGTCAGCCTAAGAAATCGTTGCTCCTTCTGATTAGGGCATGCACTTAATATCCGGAATTAAGATGCTAGGCCAACGTGCTGTGAGCCGGCGAGTTGCTCTTTCGAAAAAATTCAAAAAGCGAATTTTCTGGCCAGGCTCTCGATCTGAATTAAATTCGTAGCCTAGACTCAACCCCAGATATCGAGTTGAGAAATTGTCCGATTAGTCAAGCAAAAGCAACACAAATAAAATGGCGACGACACCGGCCCGTCCTCTCCCGGAACTGTGGCGAGATTGGGGACCTTGCTGCGGCCTGAAGCCAATCAGCCCAGGGAAAGGTCTGGTATGGGTACTGGTAGTTTGTGTCCGGCTAGGTTTCCCTCCCAGTCCAGCAACGACGATCCTAGGGTCGTCCCGATAAGACACGGGGCAAAAAGGGTTTTTCCTCTAGGGACCGCTAGTGCCAATTTGGAGGGCATGGCAGGAGCCGACAAGAGCTAACTCCCCCCCCCCTCCGTGAGTGAACAAAACCATTAGAAAAATCGCTATTTTTTGCCCAAAAACCCACCCTCCGTGAGTGAACAAAAATTTTTTTAATAGAAAATTTTTTTTTATGGAAAAAAATTTTGATATATAAATGATAATTAGTATAATGAAATCTAGAGCTAATTCTATTTAATTTTGAACGAATTGCTTTTTAAAACATAAATTTTATAAATTAAATTAATATTTGCTTTCCAATTTTTGCGAATTAGGATTTTTTTAAAATTTTGAAAAAAAATATTTTTTATATAAATTTTTTTAAAAAAAAATTACCCCCCTCCGTGAGTGAACAAAATTTTTTTGTTCACTCACGGAGGGAGGGGAGTAAGGAGTTAATCCTTAGCTCTAACCCTAGTCTGGCGACGTGAAGCACGGTGACCCAGTCCGCCTACTTCCGGGATAGCATGACCAAGCCCCATGACCGGAAGGAGCTGAGTGGTAGCCTGTGGCACTTAGGTGCACTCTGGGAGCAGGGCAAGGAAAGCAAGCGAAGTGTCCAAAAGGCGGAAGAAAAGGACCTTCGGTCCTGGCCGGGAGCTACTCTGTAAATTTAACTAAGACTAAGACTAAGTCAAGCAAAAGCCCTCTAGCCTTGGTGTTATCCCTTTTCAACTAATTGGTTCCATCCTCTGGGTATTATGATCCACTAGACCAAGTAAAAGCCCAGTAGACCATTCTCACGCACGCTGCTCTCCTTCAAAAAGGTCACAGAACTCCCGTCTGCTAGAGGTGTTAAGAGAGCTATTGGTTCTCAATGCCTTTTTAAAGTTTTAAAATCTCAATCAACCCAGAATAGATGGTCGGTCGTGTTTTTTCCGAATATAAGGCTTTGGTCAAGATGAGGCATTGTTTTAGGGGTATGAGTGAGGTGAACAGCTAGATCCGAAGCCCGAAATGATGTGCTGTGCCTTCTTGATAAGGTTTTTAATAAGCAATTGGACCACATTTTATTAATAAAATTGATGAATAAAATAAATAAATTAAATAGATACTGGCTTGAGATTGATATTAAAACAGGAACTGTGCCACTTTTTATAAAACTATATTATTGTTGCCAAATTAGTACTTACACTAATCAATAATTAGCCTGTTGAGTAGAATTAATTTTCTTTTTTGTGCTGAGATAGCGATATTTTTTTGTTTCAAGCATTTATAGAAGCCTCATTTCTTGATGCATTTTTTGGAAAAATTATCTCAATATTTCCTTATTTACAGATATAATGAAAAATAACGAGCTTCTGGATGCTAGCTACAAAGATATAGCGAGGTTTATCAATAGATGATCAACAAAAAATAAAGTTCTTTCTAAAGTGCGCTCAGCTGGCTCTATTTGCTCTCCCTCAAATCTAAGGGCAGAATTATTTTTCAAAAACCCTAACTCCCCCCCCTCCGTGAGTGAACAAAAAAATTTTTGTTCACTCACGGAGGGGGGTTAATTTTTTTTTAAAAAAATTTATATAAAAAATATTTTTTTTCAAAATTTAAAAAAATCCTAATTCGCAAAAATTGGAAAGCAAATATTAATTTAATTTATAAAATTTATGTTTTAAAAAGCAATTCGTTCAAAATTAAATAGAATTAGCTCTAGATTTCATTATACTAATTATCATTTATATATCAAAAATTTTTTCCATAAAAAAAAATTTTCTATTAAAAAAATTTTTGTTCACTCACGGAGGGTGGGTTTTTGGGCAAAAAATAGCGATTTTTCTAATGGTTTTGTTCGCTCACGGAGGGGGGGGAGTAAGCAGAGAAAAAAACAAACTATATTAAGTCAATACATAATTAGAAGATCAGAGCTAAAAGTCGCCAAAAAAAAGATCTTGCAAACTTTTAACGAAAGCTTTGTCAGTTTGGAGATGCTGCGTAAACAATGCTTGAAATCTCTTGAAATTGATTTCGAGTCAGTTGATGGATGGTGTCAAGAAATTATTGAGGAAATTTCAAATTTTGAAACAAAGAAAGTTCTGAAATCGCTGGCAGATGATGAGGAGAACATTCAGCATGCACTCTTCATGGACCAGAAAAGCTCCAATTTAATTGAAAATGTGAATTTCGTATGCACAGTAATTTCCACAATTACAGAATTAATCGAAAGTTTGGTTTCAATGGGCTCTGAAGATTCGTTTTATTATAAGTTCAGAGAATATACAATTAAAATACTTAAACCTATAATTGATGAATGAGCCAAAATAGATGAAAAAATTTGATATCATGGTCTGAATGACACCCCAGAAACAAAACCTCCATCACCAGTCCCTATGAATTTATCTAATTTAATTCAAGCACAAAGTTGCATTAGGGGATATTTAGCTAGAAATCAAGTGAGCGAGTTCAAAAACTGTTTTCAAGATCTTATTGAAAATAATTTAATGAGTATCTCATTTTCAAGAGATTCAAGAGATGCTGGCTCCCTCTAAAGAATAAGCAAAACTATTGGAAAAATCTCTGTTTTGGAGAAGCCCTTTGAGAGTGAGCAAAAAAATTTAGCAAAAATTTTTAATTATGAGTGATAATTATTATAATTAAATTTCTAGCTCAATTCTATTGAATTCTAAAAGCTAAATTCGATTAATTTTTACTTTCCAATTTTTACGAAAAAAAATTAATTAAAATCTGTATATAAAATCTTAAAAAATTCAATCCCCTCTATGAGCGATTTATATTTTTTTCGTGCTCATGACGGAAGGGAGTGAGGAAGAAAGCAAATTAAATTCCCAGCCCTTTCCAAGTGCAGAATTAAATCCTGATCTGCAGGTTCTTGAGTATTCAGCAAAGCTAGTGGAGTCTATTGAAAACAATCTTGGTCCTTATAAGCCAGAATATTTCTTTGACGATCCACAACCTCGAATATCGCGCGATGCTCTGGAAATTCAAGAAGAAAATGCCATCTACCAAGGGGAATGAAATGAAGAAGATAAAAGGCATGGCTTTGGCCTCCAAATTTTCAGTGATAATTCAACATATGAAGGCTTTTGAAGGAATGGTATGAGGGATGGTGAAGGGCGATTCATTTGTGCAGATGGGACTGTATATGAAGGAAACTGAAGAAATAACAAAAAGCATGGAAATGGGAAAGAAATCTGGATTGATGGGACAAAATACGAAGGAAGTTATGTTGATGATAAAAAAGTAGGGTTTGGAAGGTTTGCATGAGTTGATGGAAGCACATATGAAGGGAACGTTTACGAAGGAATAATACAAGGAAAAGGGATATACCGATGGAGTGATGGGAAAGTATATGAAGGAAACTGGAAAGATGGGAAAATGTATGGATTAGGAAAGTTTTATTGGCCTGATGGGCGAACATATGAAGGACAATTTGTTGAAGATGTAATGCACGGTCATGGAACTCTAATTTGGCCAGATGGTCGAAGGTATGAAGGAAGCTGGCTTAAAGGGAAGCAAAATGGAAAGGGATTCTATTGGAATTCTAAAGGAATTAAAAAAGAAAGTGAATGGAAAGACGGTAAAAGAATGAAAAAGCATTCAAAATGAAATGTTAAATTAAGCGATTAAAATGCTTTCGTTGAGATTATGTTTGCTTATCTTTTGAATAATTTAAGTTTTCTATGATGGAGTTAGAAAATTAATTATCTTAGTTTATGAAATGTTTTTGCATATTAAGTTTATATTATATGCATATTCCACTTCAACTTTTATTATAAATGAGTTCAAATTATTGCTTAAATAAATATCCCAGATGAATGTAAGCCAAATATCATATTATTATCGTTAAAACTCGCAATTTGCTTTTGCTATCACTTCTTTTTAATGCTCAATTTAATATGGCTCTAATTTTAATTAAAATTGAAATTTTTTACCATTTTTTAAAGGGTGGGATGCAATAGAATACTGCTATTTAAACACAGTTGAAAAAAGCTAAAAATTTAGATGATTTCTTGGCTTTAATTTAAAGGGGAGAAGTAAGAGAGTTTGAGATATAATGGATTATATTATATTATTACGAATGCTCTAATGTCAATAATTAATTATACAAAATTACTTCAATATATTTAAGCTATACATATTTATAGTTCCAATTTATGAAAGTGGAATGCAATTAAAAAAGACACAAGTGAATTCATTATTTAATGAAAAGTTATACACATTAAGTTTTAATTTAAATAATTATGAAAATGAAATTAATAGTTTTATCATAATCCTAAGAAATTAAGTTAAAGAATTCGTGACAATCCATTTGATAGAAATATCCTTGGCTCTTGCTTTTTACATGGAGGAAAAATAATGCTATTGCACAGAACAAATTTTCATTTCCTCTATATGTCGACCAAATTTCACTTCCAGAAATAACTTCAAAATGAGGTTCAATTATGCTATCAGGATTTTTTTGATAAAAAATCACTTTTTGAGGCTGCTCGTAGCGAGGAGGGGTGCTTGGGTAATTTATTATGATGTCATTCATCATGTTAAATTCTGGATCTGCAGTTGGATTGTTTGCATTATTTAGCATCCTAAAAAATGCATGCGATAGTATATGCGCATCTGTAGGCCTTTTCGCAGTTCATGAATCACCCTGATAGGACCCTCCTGAATTAGCTGAATATCCACTTAAGCCTGGGGAACTCTCTAAAGAGTGTAGTCTGTTGATTACATATCCTCTACAGTTATAGCCAGGAATCTCAAAGTATTTTTCAAGCATAATTCTCTGTCTAAGCGTGTCAACAAATACCAACCTTTTAATTGCTTTTTCAACGTTTGGATCTTGCTGACCTTTGATTGAGTACACTCTTGAGGCTTCTAAGTCTTTGACATAGTTGCATCCCATTTCTATGGCTAAATCCTGTATTTCTCTGAGACCAACCCTTTTATAGTAATTCCTTTCCTCAAAAGTCAAATCTAGACCTCTGCTCTCATCAAATGAGCCTTCGAAAATCCAGTATCTGTCTTTCCCTTGTGTAAACTCTCTAAGCTGCTTATTAAGCGCTAATAAGTTTTCTAACTCCATATCGTGAGCGAGCAAAATTTTTACTCGTTCGCAGAAGTGTTAAATTTTGTATCTCAAAAATTAAAGGATTCAAGCTTCAAAAATTAGAAGTGAAGATAAATTTAATTTATGTCTAGGAACTGTTTAAAATTTAATAAAATTAGTATTATTTATATATACAGATTTCATTATAAGAGTTACTACTTATAATAAAACATTTCTTTACCCAAAAATTGAGGATTTTTCCAATGCTTTGCCACCAAGAGGGGAAGTAAGTGGCTTTCCAAGACCAGTCTTAAGAAATCTTTGGAATACCACAGCCTAATATTCTGCATCCAGGTTCTTATTTTCTTGTCTAGCCCTTTATTTGCCAAGAAAGACTCAGCAAGATCATCAACACTATCAAAAGCCCGGAGGTTTAAGTTCAGCTGAGGACTTGTGGACGGTTTTACTTGAGCTGTGTAACTTTGATGGAGTGGCGTAGCCATACTAGGAAAATCATGTGAAAAAGAGGTGACTTTGCTTTTTGAAGATGCTATTCCCGCTTTTCTCAATGTTTCTTTGCTTTTTTCTAAATATCGTTTGCGAGAATCTGCAGGCAAATCATCGCGGGTTAGCTTGTAGACTTCGAAATCTTCTTGCACATACATATAAGCGACTATTCCGGTGAAGGCTATACATATCAATGTAAGAGGTGCTAGAAAAGATGTGCCAAATAAGGAAGATTCGCTCGGAGATACGTAAAACAGGTCAATTGTGAGCAGAACTGATACTGAAGCCAGAGCTATGAGAAAGTAACGGAGTTTTTCTTGCCTATCTTTTCGCTGCTGAGATTTAGCCCATGGACTTGAATTGGGGTCGTACATATATAATATTAAGAAAGCAAATAAGTTGAAAAAATCATAAAGAATGCACTTAGAAATACTCAATCAGCTTAATTAATTTTCCCTATTGCATTTACTATGAATTAATATTCATGGATCAGCCGAACTATGTAACCCTTGAAGAAGAGCTAGAAAAGCCCAAGGCATGCCCGATTTGCTATTTAGAAAAGCCTTTATCTGCAATAATCCCATCATGCGATCATATATTTTGCAGAGAATGCTTAACGTTATATTTAACACAGCAAATCTCTGAATCAAAAGTACAGGTCATCAAATGCCCGAGCTGTTCTGTTATGATTCAGCGCCAATTCCTTACAGAATTTCTTGACCCAGCTTGACTTCTAAAGTATGATCGCTTTTTACTTACTCCCCCCCCTCCGTGAGTGAACAAAAAAATTTTGTTCACTCACGGAGGGGGTTAATTTTTTTTTTTAAAAAAATTTATATATATAAATTTTATAAAAAATATTTTTTTTGGAAATTAAAAAAAATCTAATTCGCAAAAATTGGAAAGCAAATATTAATTTAATTTATAAAATTTATGTTTTAAAAAGCAATTCGTTTGAAATTAAACAGAATTAGCTCTAGATTTCATTATAATAATTATCATTTATATATCAAAATTTTTTTCCATAAAAATTTTTTCTATTAAAAAAAATTTTTGTTCACTCACGGATGGTGGGTTTTTGGGCAAAAAATAGCGATTTTTCTAATGGTTTTGTTCACTCACGGAGGGGGGGGGAGTTAGAGAAACCCTGGCATCGAACCCCTATGTGCGTTTTTGTCCTCAAACTAACTGTGATGGCTATGATCTAGGTGGATCTAGCAAAAAGAAGCTTAAATGCAACCAATGCAGCTTTGAGTATTGCTTTTTCTGTGAAGAAAAGTGGCATGGCTGGAGAAAATGCAAAAAAACAGTTGATATTGAATTTGAAAAATGGGCAAAGAGCTGGCCAGACATGAAACCGGCCCCTTCAGTACAGTTTTGATAATAAGAAATATAAGAAATATTGTAGTATTTTCGCTTCTAAAATATTTTAGCATAATTTTATATGATGTTTGCGCATATTCAAAATCCATTATTTTATATCCCTACTCTACTATATTTATATGGTAAAAATTTTTAGACTAATAATAAAAGAGTAAATAGAGAAATATGCTAGATATCGGTAATTATCGCATTTAATCATGAATCTAGCTGAATTCTGCTTTAAAATAATAGACAAAAAAAAATCGGTTCAAACATAAATGTGTATCATAGGCACATACAATATTTAGCAATGATTCGCTAAATTAATGCGTTTTAACAAATTTAATATGCTATTTAAATATAAAATATGATATATCTCATTTAAATTTTATACAAATTATGGCTAAATTTGCTAGCCATATACAAATTTGGTTTATAGTAGGGATATGAAATAAAGTATTAAATATATGTGTAAACATGCTATAAATCGCGTTTTAATAGTTTAGAGGCGAAAATAATGCAATGTATCTTATATCTCTTATTATCAAGACTAGGTAGTTTGGTATTGGAAGTGAGATTAATGCTTGACCAAAGAGTAACAATGTAAAATTCTGTCCTCAGTGCAAGAGAAGGGTTGAAAAACGAGGAGGCTGCCCGAATATGTCATGCATTTGCGGAGCTACCTGGTGCTGGAGGTGTGGGAAACCTAATGGACCTCATCATGAAGTAGAATGCTTAATAGGGGAAAATATATGGAATATTCACTGACTCCCTTCTCAACAATGGACAAAACTACAAATTTAAATAGATCGAAAGTGTTCCGATAGACACCAAAAATAAACATTTAACCGTTTACTCCAAATAATAAAGCTAATTTCAATCTACTCGTATAAAGCTAATATTTTAATTTTGCGATAAAGCCTCTAATAATAAGCAAAATTTTGCCTTTATCGAAGGGAGTGAGTGATTCTTTTTGCTTTGATATTTAGTCCAATCTTACTCCCTTTTGCTCCGTTTATAGCTATTGTGATAACTTTCGACTACTTGCAAGAACTTGATTCTGAAGCTTGGCTATTTACTCATAGAAAGTATTTTTATCCTCTGCTGTTTATTTTATCTCCAATTATTATGATAATCGGGATATTTTTTGGAACAGGAAGTATCTTGTTTTCAGCCTTCAGAATATGGAGATACCCACCCATTTTATCTGCAACCCTCGTAATGTTCGTTCTCCCTTTGGTAGTCCTCATTGATACTTTGCTAATTCCAGTTATTGGAATCTTACTAATTATAGCTGTTATTTCAGGAGTGATCTTATTTTTCATTAAAATATACGCATATTTGGCTGGGAAAATAGTTTCGGATGAGACATACTACCCAAAAGTGTTTATTTAATTGTACATTTAAGATTAAAAGCAAAAATTATTTAAGTTTAAATAAACCACTTTTTAATTCTGCATTCTGTTTTGAGCTTGAAAACCCAAAAGCCATA